TTGCTCGACATACAGGCTCAGGCAGACGCGGTGCGTCGCGACCGCCTGATAGCTGAGGACGAAAGGCAAGCGAGGGTCACCAAGATTATCCAGCGCCCTTTGAGAACGATAAACCCAGTTTTAGCGCCCATCGCCCTTTCTAGCCCCAGAGACCAGGACAAGCCCCTCGTGGTCAATATTGCAGCTCTCTGTAGGCATGTGGAAAATGACCCCCGGCAACCTAGATGGGCTCGACAGAACATGCCGGATACACCTATTTCTTTGAACGTCGTTGCGTCTCGTCTAAACTGGCAGACCCACGACGGACAGCCAATTCCTTTCCCTGCCGGCGAAGATCCCGAACACGTCAAGAGAGTTCGCGATAAACTCCCAAAGGAGCTCGCCCATCTCGAAGGCTTCTTCTCCAAGAAAGCTTCGACCGAGCTGCCGCCGAGCCGTGAAGGGTTCGACGTGACCCTAGACTTGGAGCGACCTTTGGAAGGGAAGCCCAAGAGGTTCTATACACCCGGTCACCTTCTCCCTCTGGAAAAAGAGACGGTAGACGAGCTTCTACGGATTGGATTCGTGGAACCCTGTATGGAGGAGACAGCCGCTTCGACGCTATTTGTACCAAAGAAGGGTACCGAGGAGAAACGTTTCTGTGTGGATTACCGATGGGTCAACCAGTTCCTGAAAGGACGCCAGTTCCTCGCACCCGATATCCAAGGAACGCTTTCCAACTGCCGTAACGCCCGCCGCCTGACCAAGATCGATATTATCCGAGCTTTTAATCGTCTACTAGTCCACCCCGACTCAAGATTCTTGACGGCCTTCAAGACCCGTCAAGGAACCTTCCAGTGGAAAGTCCTACCCTTTGGACTCAAGGTCGGCCCTGCTTGGTGGCAAGCCTTCATCAACGCTCAGCTGAACGAGCTCCTAGACAACTTTGCCAGCGCCTACGCCGACGACGTTCTCATCTATACTCAGGAGAACGAGCCACACTTCGCACACGTGGAGGAGGCCATCTATCGTTTGTATAAGGCTGGTCTACAGGGAGACATCAAGAAGTCTAGCTTTGACGTGGAAGTCATTGACTACCTAGGGTTAGTTCTCGAAGCTGGGAAAGGCGTACGTATCGACCTAGAGAAGATCAAGGCCATCCAGAGTTGGAAGTTTGAGGACCTACGTTCGATACGCGCCGTCAAGTCCTTTTTGGGCTTGTGCAACTATGTCCGAGTCTTCTGCCACCACTCTAGCGATGCCGCCGAGCCCCTGTCCAAGCTATTGAGGAAAGGTAGTGAATTTGTAATGGGACCCGAGCAACAAGCGGCCTTTGAGAAACTGAAGAAGCTGGCCACCGAGGCCCCAGTCCTCGCCTTCTTCGTCCCCGGCCGCCCGACGCGAGTGGAAACGGATTCTTCACGCAACGCCACTGGAGGCGTGATCATGCAACAACAGCCCGACGGAGTCTGGAGACCCGTGGGCTACTCGTCGAAGAACATGACTCCGGCCGAACGTGCGTATCCGATCCAGGATCAAGAGTTGCTCGCCGTGGTCAACTGTCTCAAGGATAACGAACCTTCTCTTCTCGGCCAGGAGTTCTTCTTGGTCACGGATTATAAAGCCTTGATCTACTGGTCTACTAAGCGGTTGCTGTCAACCCGTCAGGTCCGATGGTCCGATTTCCTAGGCCAGTTTGATATCACCTTCCAGTACCGCCCGGGACAAGAAAACGTGGTTGCCGACGCTCTATCACGTAAGACCGTCGACTCACCTACGGTTAAGGCACGAGAGGAGGAAGATCGAACATTCCCTTTGATACCAGTGGAACGTATCCAACCAGTCCTAGCGCCTATCTCCCGAGCGGTAGTGAATCCAGATATGCCTCGCGGCGCTGACCTGGTAGACCTGATCCAAGAGGAAAACGAGAAGCAGAGTCTGGGCGTAGATAACGGTCGTCTCGTGGTACCGGAAGTCACGTCCGACGGAGCGGTATATCTACGGACGGCCCTAATCCGAGAAGCCCACGAGCCGCCTATCTTCGCACACCCAGGCCAAAACAAGACTATCGCGTTCCTCAAGAAAGACTTTTGGTGGAGTACCCTCCGACAGGATGTCAAGAGGTACATCAAGAACTGCCGAAGCTGCCAGAGGAACAAGACCCGTCATGACAAGACCCCGGGCCTCTTACACCCTCTGGAGGTGCCGAATGAAGTCTGGAGCCAGGTAGTCGTCGACGGAAAAGATATGCCGAAGGATCGTCACGGCTACGACTACGTTTGGGCCTTTATTTGCAAGTTCAGCAAGATAATGGCTACGCTCCCTGGACACAAGAACGATACCGCACCGGATCTGGCAGAGCGCTACTTCCACAAGGTATACCGTTTCTTTGGTATCCCGGCTGTCTGGATTAGCGATAATGCAGGACCGTTTATCTCGGAATTTCTGGAAACAATTAATAAGCTGACCGGGACCAAACACCGTCACGGCAGCTCTCGCCACCCACAGACGCAAGGCGCCGTGGAGATCACCAACGCGGATCTAGACCAACGAATGAGGCCTTACCTCACCAAGTACCAAGACACCTGGAGCGAGTACCTACCGGCACTCGACTTCGCCCATAATGTGTCCTGGCATTCGAGCATCGGCATGGCCCCGTTAAAAGTCGCGTTGGGAGCCACCCCACGGAACCCCCTCTCTATTGATATCCTAGACCTCAATACCTCGACCGACCCGCAAAAGAAAGCATTACAGCTCGTCACCCAGACCAAAGCGGTACAAGACCTGGCAAGGAAGAATGCCTTAGAAGCTCAAGCGGCCCAAGCCGTCCAAGCGAACAAGAAGCGACGTCCCGTCGACTTCACCATTGGAGACTTGGTATACGTGAGCAAGAAGGGTATGAGGACAGAGGCCCCGAGTACCAAGTTGGATTCACAGTGGGCAGGACCATGGAAGATCGTGGAGGAACGAGGACATAGCTTTGTGCTGGATACTCCGCCCTATGTCAAAGGCACGAACCTCTTCCATGCAGATCGGCTACGTAAGGCTGATGACAGTCCCCTACCCCAACAGACCAGCTTACCGGAACCACCTGAGGAGATCAACGGGGAGCCAGAGTGGGAAGTTGAGAGGATTAATGCCTCTCGACTGTTTGGCCAACGAGAGACCCTACAATACCAAGTTGCCTGGAAGGGGCACGACCCCGACGATACTTGGTATAAGGCAGAGAATCTCAAGAATGCAGCTATGGCGCTGGATAGTTTTCATCGAGAATACCCCGAAGCCGCAGGACCTCCAGTGAGGCTGCGTGATTGGATAAAGGCAGCAGCAGAAGACGAATATCCGGAGGACCACGAAGAGGATAACAAGGCAGAGCACAAAGGGTACAAGGCAAGGCAAAAGAGGAAGTATACTAGAAGGCACGCTTAAATCCGCTCTTCAAAGCCACGACCACCGTCACGGCAGTCGCGGCTTGGAGGGGGGTAGTGTGAGGGCCTGGTCCTCCAGGCCTCCCAGACGCTCTGGCTAATCAGACGCCAGTTGGGTGGATCCACCCGACCAGTCAGAGCCCCACCTTGAGACGCCCTGGAAGAATCTCGCGACGGGAGGCTTTTGAGCTTCTTTTCCCTTTTCCCTTTAGTTTAGAATCTTCGTCTATAGCGCCCAATAGAGGAGTTCCGCCCTCATCCCAAGCCGGCCGTGACAGACTGTATATATAATATCCGATCGAGTACCTGTGGAAAGGTAGTTCAGAGTGTAAGAGAAGGTATCACGGCTCAGTCAACGTAAAGAGACAGGGCTGCAGTAATCATCGCTGAATTCGTAGAATCTAAAGATGAAGAAGGAAGCTATGACGGGGACCGCGCAGGGCGCGGGGAAATGGGTAGTTGTGGGCCACGTGATACGTCAGGCACAGACCACACTCCAAACAGGAGCCTGTCCAGGCCATGCCGTGACAGAAGGTAGGTACGCCTGATCAAGGTGGTCACAATGCAGGCAAGAAGGTAGGGGAGCAATGACTTGTATTGGTGTAAGACTTCAACCTGGCCCTCGCAAAGGAAGATGGGCGAGGGCCATTGTTTATATACCTGCTCAGGGGTTCGGCCCGGGCATCAGTCTGCGGTCGTGGCGCCACGGCGTAGCGTATGCCAGCTGGCAGTGTTCTAGCCAGTTGGTGACAAGTGGTGGGCGCGCACCCTGTGCGCGCAGTTGGTGTTTGGGGTGTCCTTTTCCTTACACAGAGCCCCTATCTTTTTAATATATTCTTTCTGTTTATCTTGAACAACCTCCTAGTCTAATAATCCCCTTGCTAGTAGATCGAATTTCGAAGGCCACGGCGTACGTATAGGTTTGAGGTCGTAGTATTCGTACTTGTTCAGTTTGGTTGTGCGTTGAAAGCCTGTCTTTCGCAATCTGTGCACGATACTCCTTGTCTCCTGTCATCTCCTACCTGCCGTCCAGACCCCCACAATCCTAGGCCGGGCCTAGCTCCGTGGACCTGTTGTCTAGATTGTAACACGTGGGCTAATCAGGGGCGTCCTATGGAGTGTACTAATTAGGAGTGCCCTAGGGTCCCGAAGTGGGACCCCTGAGATCGGGGACGCGGGACAGTGGTGTCACGGCCGGCTTGGAATGAGGGCGGAACTCCTCTATTGGGCGCTATAGACGAAGATTCTAAACTAAAGGGAAAAGGGAAAAGAAGCTCAAAAGCCTCCCCTCGCGAGATTCTTCCAGGGCGTCTCAAGGTGGGGCTCTGGCTGGTCGGGTGGATCCACCCAACTGGCGTCTGATTAGTCAGAGCGTCTGGGAGGCCTGGAGGACCAGGCCCTCACACTATCTTCATAATTACCAACCCCCAGCATTTTGTGGAGCCCGTGCTCCTTTATAGACAGACGACCCAAAGAGTCGAGTGGTTTGTAATAGACCTCAACGTGTTTACCAGAGTCCACCATGGACTACTAAAATCCCACGAAATGCACGTGGGAAGTATAAACGGATTGACCAGTGAGGAAACGGCCAAAATGGGCCTTGAGCACGAGGACGGGGAGTAGGTGTTCACGAAGGCAGCCAAAAAGGCAGTGATGGAATTAGAGTCAAGTGAGTGAGATCGAGAACCTTAGGTCACCAACTACTAATCATCGGGGCGATGATTTTTGTGTGGAGGGGCATTGTTGGACCATTGGTGGACTATATACATACAAGGTCACATGATCACGTGACCCGGAAGACACTTCTAGTTCTAGATTTGGACCGTGATCCATTGAGGTAGAAGACATACATCGCATTTTCCACCAACGCACCCATGTGCCAACATTATCGATCTTCTTATAAAGATAGCTGTCATGCTTATATGATGTCATGCTCACATAAGCATGAGGTGGTCTATGCATTAGCCTTCATTAGCATTTGCTCCAGAACCCTAGAACTAGAACGATTTATCCTTCTTAAATTCTTCTTTCTTGTAGGCACGTATGCCTTCACAATGGTAGCTGCGACTTCAACGTCGTAGCGACCTATGCACTACAATTGAACTCGTACACCAAAGGCGCCGAGATTTTTCTCGATGGCCTGAGCGACGAGATCACCAAGTCTTCCGCACACGCAGGTAGTTTCTTAACACCTGTCCTTTTCTATAAGATCTCCATCGTCTGTCTATTCATTTCCATCGCTTGGATTGACGGCAATTGATCTGTTCCATTTTTCCGACTACCTGCCTTCCATAGCGACATTTGGAAGCCTGTTTTCTGCTTTTTGCACCATTTTGCGTCGGTCGTACGCGAATGCCACTTTGGGACCCCGTTTTTGCCCAACATTCTGGAAAATTCCTGGGATCTCGCACAAGACCCGCACACACAAGAACCGCTAGTTCATGTCGGTGCAGATTACTGCAGACTACCCTCCCTGTCATCACTGTACCTACAGGCTATTACGTCCCTGTATTGAGGTCAGCAGTCGGCCTGTCGTTTTATCGACATTGATGTCAACCAGTTGTTAATGGATCGACAGCCCCGAGAGCACCTTCTAGCCGCTCAGATTTTGAACTATATTGCCGTCCACCCGAACACCCTTGACATTGATTCGATCGAAGTCGTCGAGGAGTACATTGACCACCTGCCGCAGGAAGTGCTTGACGAGATCAAGTAGCAGAACGAATAGCAGCTCGGTACCAGGCGTCGGAACCAAGGTCGGACTATTACCTTCAATCCCAATTAGATCCTCCAACACGACATCGTCAAGAGCGAGCTGGCAGTAGTCGTCAGATTCATCAAATCCCAAACGGTCCGCCCCGTCGGACGATCGACATCGGCATCAACGTCAGGCCAACAACTCTCTGACAGCATCGACAGCACCGCCAGCACCGTTTCCGGCAGCTTTCCAGACACCTCCCCTGGACCGTCACGGGTATTGATCCCGTTGCTAGCAGCCTTAGACCTCAATTAGTTCTCGTTCTCCCTCTAGATTTCCCATAACGCACCACCTGCCCCGCGCGGCGACAGAACAAAGGGGCTCAAGAAAGTAGTCAGACCCATCGCACTCGACTACAATCGTCCACGTACTGAGGTCGAGGACAACCTCATTGATAAAGAGCTCTACAACTTGCGGGTTTGTCAGCACGAGCAGCAATTGGCAGCTCTCAATCTCGGGACCGATCGAGCTCAAACAATCGAGCCAGAATCGGCACTACAACCTGAATCGGCACCACCACCACCACCTCCGGAGTCTCGTTAGGAAAGCTTATATGGTAATGAAAGAAGGTTTGTCAATCTTCACAAACTCTATAACGAAGTCTATGACGGCTTCCTGCGTCAGGCGGGGAATGACGTGCTTGATTAGTTATAGGTGACTTTAGGGTCCTATTGGCGAGGATCCCAGCCTCGGGCTAATAGTCTCTCATGAACCTGAAGTGAGAGGCTGTTATTGATCATAGCTATTATGACTGCTCTGTTCGTACGCCACTCTCGCTTTTGCTCAGGCACGAGCGCAGCTACTATGGCTGAGGTAGTCTCCGTAACGGTAGGCTCTTCAACTTCCTCGAGAATAAAGTGCTGAAGGTCGTAAATATTGAGGTAACCCCAAGAGCGCTGTCCCACTGGGTCAGGTTCTTTTCTCCAAGGACCGGCATGTCGGCCCGGAGCAGGCGAGTGTTGTCCATAGTCATCGTGGAATTGAATTGGCAACCTGGTTGGTCGAATGGTCTGTCAATCTGTCACCAAATTGACAGTGTTGGAAATGGCCTTAATATGGTCCTATAGGGGGGACAATCGAGGACTTTGTTCCGCAGGGGTATTGCTCCGCAGTGCTGGCCGAAGTAATCGCTCAATTACCTTTGTTCGGGTCGCAGATCCCGCTTGTTACCTGCGCCCTGGAAAATACTGGGTAGATCAATCAACTGGACTAAACTCCCGAGTATGCGCTCTCGAATGCAGAAAGCGGCTTGGTGATAGCTTCAATTTTGGAAGCAGTAGGGCGTCATAACCTGTTGTGGTGACAAAATGTGTAGAAAGTGCACTAGCTGGCCAACTCTAGGAGGGGCTAATCCCCGTACTAAATGTGTGGGCGTGAGAACCCATGTGCGGGCTGGTAGCCCAAGCGTTCAACCAGGGCTAAGCCCCGCAACACCTTGTGTATGGGGCATTGCTTACACCCCTCTCCGGCACGTGAGCCGACATGGGAACACCGCTGGGAATCTCGGACCCGACTGCCGGCCGCAGCTTGTTTTTGGCGAGGTATTTCTTGTAGCCGAGTCTTGGTAGATTTCTACATGGAGCCACTCTACTGCACCCGGACAGGGTTTGTTTACTGCGACAGAGAACAACCCTCCCAGGAGCGACCCGAGGCTCAATCCGAGAATCAAATGCGTATAAGATTGATAGTCCGAATTCCTCGAAACAAGATATCATCGGTCCGGCCGATCCTTTATTTCTGGACTAATCAAATACCCAACTTTGCCCTCTTTTTCTTCCCAGTCCTCCTCTTCTGTTCTGTTCTCGGAATCACCGACCCTCAACACGCCGCTTGTGTCAAGGTCATGTCCATAGTGCACCAAGCTATGTCCGTCGTGCACTAAGCCATGTCCGTAGTGCACCAAGCCATGTCCGCTTCGATAGTCCTTGCTTGGATTCAGCAATGCCAAGAAACCCTCCCCCCCCCCCCCACGAATCTCTCCACAAAAAGACTGACCGGGCAAGGAGAGGTGAAGAAAAGAAATAATCTAGAAGCAGTCCAGCCAGCGGGAATCCTGCTGCCCACGATCCAAATGTCCGAGGTTCCATGCCATTCGATCCCAGCTGGCTCGCAGCTACAGGTTGGGTTGGCTCACGGCTTGAACACGTGAGCCCACCGTACTGTCCTATCCGGTTCTTTTATTCTTACTTCGCTCCCCGCCTTCGCCCTCAACTTTCCAAAGTCAGTCGATCCGACTCGGACCAAGTGAAACTCCTTATTGGGCTTTTGAACACCGCACCAGTCCACCTCGTGCACTTGTTCCGTGGGCGCCGAAGGTGTCAGGATCTTCTTGAAAGCTGATTCGGCGGCCGTCTCGTAAACAACAAGTTCAGTTGGCTTTTCCTGGGCGGGTGCGGCCTGGCCCAGCACGCGCTGGATTGCATTCTCAAACTGCTTCTTTGTGAAAGTGGGGTGCTGGCCACCGGTTGTCGTGGCGGAATTTCTTTGGTTCGAGGTGCTAGGGGTCTCGCTTGCGATGTGTTTGAGTCTATCCATGATGGAAAAAAACGATGGAAAAAAACGATACGCCAAAAGAAAAGCGAGAGGCTCGTGTGGAGAATTTCTCACTTGTGGGAGAATGGAGGTAATGGGGAATAGTACGTCGCGACCCTAGGGGATTGTTATCGTGACTGCTTGAGAGCACGTCGAGAGACAATTAAGTGACGAGGCCAGATATATAGACTTGGATGACCAGAGACCAGAGACGAGGAGACACAATGCTGTCCTCCAAGTACTACCCCCCTCGGTAGGTATCTCGAGACCACGTCCCACCTACTTTAGGGTGCCGCGGAGGGAATGTCGGCAACCACCACCATTTGTTTCAAAGGCTCGTATCATCAGCCCCTGCCGTAGCGGCACCAAGAACCGAGCCATGGCGAGGGGACGCCTCCGGGGAAGTGAAACTTACGTGGTATTCCGTATCGCGATACCTAATTGGGTGGGGAATGTTGTCAGAAGAGTAACTAATTGGTCAGGTCGTAATCGTCATTCAGGCTGCATTAGCGCGTCTAAGAATAGTCAGCGCCCACCTGCGCCGCAGCAGGCGTCGGGTGGACTTGTCGGGCCTCATCCCAAGAAAGAACATCGCCAGATTGTGCTGTGCCTCGCTCGGTAGATACCTAAACCAGCCAAATCTCGAACCAACGAACCGACACATACCTAACGTCAGTTCCTATAATCTCGACATCGGTTCCTATAATCCTATCTTGGTCGGCACAGTCAGATCCTGTGGATGACCGGTGACATGATGTCAGTTTTGGATCTTGCTCGGATCTTATACCCGCCATGGCACGGCACCAGACGTCTGTCTGTCTGATATGCTTTCCGCCATGCACCCCCCCCCCCCCCCCCCCCTCGAGCCTCGTCTGCGGCATTCACCTGCAAAGACTTTGAGGCATATTCTCGTCCCACATTGGGCGGTGGCGTGAATACACAACCCGCCAAATGCTGCTATTTTTTAACGGTTGAAACATCGACGCCGTAGTGCCAGCTGTGGCGTGTCCTGGTCTCGGAGCTTTGAAGGTCGGTCAAATTCGAACATGACGGGCACTCACTGCACCTGAGCCCCAAACCTGGGCCGCCAACTTGACCATCCATCCTGCCACGCTGATGAAACCTTTGTTTGAAGCAAGACACAGCTGTGGTGTTGGTGGCAACACGATTCTTGGCTGAATGGATCAAGGCTGAATAGATCAAGGCTGAAAACATGTGGGGTCTGTTGTTCTCTGTAATTTTAAAGTACCTAATTAGCAACAAGCTTCAGTGTATATATTTCATTCAGTCCATAATTTTCATTCAGTCCGGCACCCAGACACAAGTCCCAGAATCTTGGACAACAAAGGCCCTCCGACACTTTTAAGCCAACAGGCCGCCGATTGACGCAGAGCATCCCTCGTTTCTCTTTTCACTTTTATTTTCTGTCCAGCACCTCACAAGTCAGAAATGTCCATCTTGACTCCCGTTTTTGGGTTTGAGCTTGAATTCTTTGTCAGGCTCAAAGACAGTTTCAAGGAAGATCTGAAGAAGAGGCTAGAGGCCAAGGAGAACGTTCCTGCCGAATACAGGTCCTGGAATTTCGAGATCACCAACAGAGAAACGGATCATGCCAAACATGATGCCCAAGACTCGCAGCGGAAGCGCATGAGAGACCTCCTCAAGGAGTTGATGAAACAGAGAGGACTCAAGATATATGTGAACCAAAACGAGGACAGCTGGCAGGTTACTGACGAACCGGCGCTCTCGGAGGACAAGACAGACAAAAATGACTACTGTATGGTCCTCTCCCTCCTGCTTCCTCCCGGGTTTCGCGGACTGACAAGCTCGTTCTTTGACAGGGCGCGTTGAGATCATCTCTCCTGCCCTGGGCTCCAATGAGAACTGGCAGGAACAAGTTCACAACCTATTCAAGGCCTTCAGTGAGCAGATCGAAATCACCACCACGAAAGGGTGCTCACATCACGTCCACGTCACGCCTGGCACAAAGCTGGATCACCCGTGGTTTGTCGCAGAGCAGCTGGCCAAGATCTACTGTGGAGTCATGTACTGGGAAAATGCCCTGTTCAAGGTCATGCCCCCGTACCGCAAGAGGAACACGTGGTGCAGGCCTCTTGCCGAACTCGACCCAAAGTTACTTGCCAAGTACAGAATGGTCCAAGGTACGGCGCCGGCGAACGCAGGTTACAAATGGGACAAGATATTCGACAAGGCGCTCAAACGAGAAATACACGTCGACCAACTTCACCAACGTGCTCAAGGGCTGCGGAACCGTCGAGTTCCGCCGCCAGGGATGGGCCAAGACGGCCGACCAGACCATCAAGCAGGTCGGGCACGCCCTGGGACAGTTCACAGCCTTCCTCGTACACTGCAAGTGGCAAGAGCTCAAAAATACAAAGTCCATCGGGACTCCCGCACAGTACATCGAGGCTGTTCTCGAGGGAATGCGGAGACTACCCGCCAATAGCCAAGTCGCCGGTCTGAAAGAATGGCTCCATGCACTGGACACGGACAATAGTACAAAAGACGCTGAAGAGCTTGTCCCCGACGAGCTCGCGAGGGCCGCAGAAATCAAGAAAAATCGACTCTTCGATGGGACAAGCTTTGCTGTTAGTCCTCTCTCTGTCTCTCTCTCTGTCCCTCTCTGTCCCTCTCTGTCCCTCTCTCTGTCCCTCTCTATCCCTCTCTCTGTCCCTCTCTCTGTCCGCCTCTCTCGCCCCTCCCCCCTCCAATCCTGACTAGCTGGGTTCTTGACTCTGCCCTAACTAACCTTCAATACAGGGACCCCAATCCCGCCCTGCTACGCCCACTACGCCGACCACGCCGGGCCATACAGTTCCACAGCCCCAATCCGCGTTGCCGTCGAAGATTGTCTCGACTGCTTGGCCGGGTAGTGACACCGGACCCTACGAAAACCCCTGGGCAGAAGAATAAGACGTTCAGCTACCTCGCGCCCCAGACGACAAGGCATTGGAGATTGGAGACTCTCGTGGGGAAGAGGGAGAAAGAGTAAAGGGGGGTGGGGGGATGGGATGGGAAAGGGGGAAGATAGTTTGGCAATGCTATGGTCAATTTTCTTGAAAAGAAAAAAAAGAAAAAGAAAAGAAGTATAGAAAGTGGGAAAAGAAGCAGGAAGCTGAAGCAAAAGATTACCCACCCTTGGGGCTGATCGGTAAAAGTGTCCAGGCACATCAGCTACCATAAGCCATGCGGGCAAGAAAGCGGGTCTGGCTACCTGCTAAGCTGGGCAAGGTAATTATTGGCATCGGTTGGGACTCGGGGGCGGAGAGAGAGAGGGAGGGGAGAGACAGAGAGAGAGAGAGAGAGAGAGAGAGAGAGAGAGAGGTGTAGAGGATACCTACCTAATTAGGTACACTGTATTCTCTTATCACTTCAGTACTTTCTCAGACAGGGCACTAGCCTTGTACTTAGGACCGCAGGCTATACCCCTTCTAAACGCTGGGCGTTTGTGAGGCGGGGTGGGGGCGCGCGCCCAGGTGGCAGGCTGGCAGCTATGTACGCACTATTAGTTCGCTAGACGTGCTCATGGTCGCGGGAGTTTATGTTTGCAAAATCAACTGACGGGTAATCCCACTGTTACCCGTGCTGGCTCTTGGGTTCACGTTCTCAGCACAAGAGGTATTGTCTCCTCGATACAAACAGACAAATAGCAAGCAAGGTTTAGCTTTTTGTTCTTTTTCTTTTTTTTTCTGTTTTTTTTTGCTCCTTTTTTTCTGTTACTTTTGTTTTTGTTGGAATTTGTCAAGCAGAAGGGCCTCGAAGGTTCTAGATAGAGACTTTGCCACCAACTTCGCCACCACAATAGTAGTATAAGAACGGGCTTTCTGGCACTGCCAGAAAGCTAGAGAGAAGAACAGACATCTACAATCCATCACTTGAACCACCAGTTTTCGGCGTGCAGCCACGCCCTGTTGAGTCCAGTACCGGTACCCTGGTGAATCCAACAGTTTTTTTTCTGTTTTCTTTTTTTTTCTGTTTCTTTTCTTTTGTGTTTCTTTTCTTTTTTTTCTGTTTCTTTTCTTTTTTCTGTTTCTTTTCTTTTTTCTGTTGGTTGTTCTGATTGGCGGGTGAGTGGCGGGGCGGATGCTGGGGGCCAAAAGATACACCCAAAAAACGTAGGTAGGCGCCAAGTGCTTGAGCCCCAAGCCAGCAGGTACGAGTGCGTTGGCGGCGGCGCTAACGGCACTCTCGGCGGCGCAGCACCGCTGCATCCAGTCACCGCCGCCGTCTTAACCCGCCGTCGTTCGATTAATCAAGAATCCTTCAAGCAAGGTGGGGGTTACATAGAAGGAAGCCGGAGGGATTTAAGACCCATGGACCCGATTCCCGTCCCGCAAGAGCAAGACGCAGCCGCCACTCTCGCTCCTAGACCTACCTAGGGCGCACTAAGGTCTCACTTCTGACGCGCCACGTCAGGGTCAGCGGCAGGCAAACGGCCAGAGCCTTCAGACGGACGACTTGGAAGGTGGCGGTGGCCACAAGCCGGGGGTGCCGCACCCGGATCGGATGGAACAGGGCCCCTGTTCAAAAACCGACCCTGCTCCTCTCGCCTTGGACAGTTTGTCCCGACTACTCTTGCTCCTAAAAAGCCTCGAGGCTCTCCAAGGCCCCCTGACTTTGAAATTCTCCCCTCCCCAAACCTGTCGAGGGAAAATGAGGCGCCACTAGCGCGATATCAACAATCAAACCAACAAACGAATAAACACCAAGCTACGAAACGAAACGAAACGAAACGAAAAGAAGTTACCGAACCAGAGCAGCCATACCGAACCAAACGTCAGAGCAACCGAACCAAACGTCAGAGCAACCAAACCAAACGTCAGAGCAGCCATGATCGACGTTCTCATCATTGGCGCGGGGCCCAGCGGGCTCTGCGCCGCCAAGACGCTGCTCCAGCAGGACGCCGCCGCCAAGGTAGTGCTGATCGACGCGCGAACGACTGCCGGCGGCGTGTGGGCGCGCGAGAAACTGTACCCGACACTGCGGACCAACAACCTCTTCGCGAGCCTCGACTTCACCGACTTCCCCATGGACACGGCGCGCTTCGGCGTCGGCCCCGGCCAGCACATCACGGGCGACCAAATGCACGCCTACCTGACCGGCTACGCCGAGCACTTTGGCATTGCCGACAAGATCCGCTTCAACACCAAGGCCGTCAACGTTGGGCGGCGAGATGGCAGTGGCGCGGCTGGCGGCGGATGGGACGTCGAGCTCGAGGGAGGCGAGGTGCTGCAGTGCCGCAAGCTGGTCGTGGCCACGGGCGTGCTCAACGAGCCCAAGCTGCCGCGCATCGACGGCATCGAGTCGTTCGGCACGCCCTTCCTGCACTCGTGCGACCTGGGCCCGCAGGCGCACACGCTGACCGGGGACCCGCAGATATCGACCGTCGCCCTGCTGGGCGGCGGCAAGTCGGCCTACGACGCCGTCTACCTGGCAGCCACGTCGGGCCACCGCGTCGAGTGGATCATCCGGCGGTCAGGCCGGGGCCCGTCGTGGGTGTTCCCGACGCACACGATGCTCGGGCCAGTGCGGGCGTGGCGCGAGCAGCTGGTGCTGCGGCGCGTGCTGAGCTTCATGTCGCCGTGCGTGTTCCCCGACTTCTCCGGCCTGGGCTGGCTGCGGCGCTTCCTGCACGCGTCGGCCGTCGGCAGGTTCGTGGCGTCCAAGTTCTGGGCCGCCATCCACGCCGACACGGTGCGCGACTGCCGCTTCGGCGCCGACCCGCGCTTCGGCGTGCTCGAGCCCGAGCACGGCCCGTTCTGGTACGGCACGTCGTCGGGCACGCTTAACTACGAAATCGACTTTTTGGACCTGGTCAGCTCCGGCCGCGTCCGCATCCACCGCGCCGACATCTCGCACGTCTCGCACCGCACCATCCATCTCGTGGCTGAGGAGCGCAATACCGCCGCAGATGCAGGGTACAGCACAGGGTACGGCACCGTCAAGCCCGCGGAGGCGCCCACAACAGAGCTGAGCGTGGACGCGCTCGTTGCCGCGACGGGCTACTCGTCCAAGCCGTCCATTTCGTTCTCGCCCGCGACGCTGCTCGGCGATCTCGGCGTGCCAACGACAACACTCGACACGGAGCAGGCAGCTTTCTGGGCAAAGCTAGATGCCGAGGCAGACGACACAATCCGGCGGCAGTTCCCCCAACTCATCCCCGGACCCGGCCGCAGCGCCGTACAACGCTCGACGACGCCGTGGCGGCTGTACCGCGGCATCGCGCCGCCGAACCTCGCGGCGGCGGGCGACCGGTCGCTAGTGTTTGTCGGCATCTTCAGCAACATCGCCAACACGATGCGGCTAGAGGTGCAGAGCCTGTGGGCGGCGGCGTACCTGAGCGGCAAGATTGCGCACCTCGACGACGACGACGACGACGACGGCTCTCAAGAAGAGCAGAAGAAGGACCGCATCTACGCCGCCACGGCCCTCGCGCAGCGCTGGGCCATGTACCGCGCCCCCTTGGGCCACGGCGCGGCTTACCCCGACCTCGTCTTCGACCAGCTGCCGTACTTCGATTTGCTACTGCACGACCTCGGGCTCGAGACGCGCCGCAAGCCGACTGCGCTCCGCGAGCTGTTCGAGGCGTATTCCCAGGATGACTATCGTGGGATTGTTGACGAGTGGCTGGCGAAGCAGACCTAGGTTTTCTTTTGGGGTTAGGGCTTGTCGCTTAGCGGAGGCGTTTGGATAGGGCGGCGTTTCGTGGTTTTACGGGTGAGACAGTGGGTACCTGCCGGAAGAAGTAGATGAGGGCTTGGACAGCGGCTAGATGAGGGCTTGGACGGCGGCTAGATGAGGGCATGGACAGTGGCTAGATGAGGGCTTGGACAGCGGCTAGATAGAGAGACATTTTGAGCGTTTGGGTGTTTACAGGTACTGGAGAATGGGGACGGCCACGAGGTAAATCGTGGACGGGAATCGGGGGGTTGGAATCGGGGGGTTTTACATAGACACGCAGCATGTCAGGGGGCTTTTGCATGCCAACGGCCTTATAACTAGGAGACGTGTCGGCACGCATCTATTTCCTCGATGGGCAAGAAATCCTCTTGGCCAGAAGCTCGACCTCGGAAGTCAACGTAAACAAACTTCCTAACTTAGTCGACTCCGTATTGCACGTGCATATGTCCGGCTTTGACAATTGAGCGAGGTACGAGCAGCAGCAATATTTTACTGCTAAGTTTTCCAACGAATACTTACTAACAAGTCGCTGGCCACGATAGTTAGATAATTAATGCAACAATGTCATTGGTTGAGGATTGACCCACTGCAGAATCACGTAGTTGTACTGATGTCACGTTTATAGAACCTGCATGTCTCGGGTGCGGTTACACTCCAGCACGCCTGCCGGAAACCGGCAGCTACCCTTCAATTACTAGCTGAGTGATGGGTTTCTGACAGCCACAACTGCTACCCGGATCATAAGATTGTCTCGTGAGGCTTTGGGCATTAGAGTGCCACCAAATTTTCAACTCAAATTCACCCCTTTGAGGCTTTGCTATCACTACTCCTCTAGCAAGATCAAAACTACCGCACCGGCTTAAGCAGGAATAAACCAGCCTCCTTTCACATACGGCCATAGGTACTGAAGAACTCGGGATCCCGTCCGCTCTCCCCTAGATAAATCGGTAACCGCTAGACTAGTAGTTGGGTCGGTGACGACCAGCGAATCCCTGGTGTTGTATGTATTTTTTTCTCCTCTTTCTTTTTGCTCTTCTTTCTCTTCTTCTCTTCTTTCTTTTTGCTCTTCTTTCTCTTCTTCTCTTCTTTCTTTTTGCTCTTCGGCGACAGAGCTCTCTTCAGCTGAGCCCACACGGCTGATGTGTGCTGCACTTATAGCCTCTTGTTAGCACGTGCTGGTCTAGGCCGCCCTGCAATCTCGCCGTGTTCCCTTCTCCCGACTGCCGGTACGCAGGCATTTCACCCAGGTTCTTGGCATGCGCCGGGTAAAGCGGCTGAACGCAGCTACCCGGGACCTGATATGAGCGACCGCCCCGACACGAGCATCCATGCCACCGCACTCGTCGTACTCGGAGGGCCCCCATGCGGGGTAGCACTCTGTCTGTCCTGGGCGTCTGGCCGTGTTGGTCTTATCACCACGCAAACGGCAGGCTAAGATGGCCGTCCCACCCCGTTCCTGATTCGCTCCTCATGCACGCCCCCATTCATCGCCCCATCGTAGACCACGCCGTACCTTGCCTAGCCGCTGCTGCAGCCCGGACTACAAGTCGGCTGCCCACCCGCTCCTGACTCTCGCCCACCCTCGTCGTCACCCTCCACCAACGCCGCCGAGGTCGAACACCCCCCGTTGACGGACCTTTGCGCCACGATGCGGTTACCAGCGCGGATACTCGTCGCCGCGGCGTGTGCCTTGCCGTGGTGGCACGGCGGTGCCGAGGCGCGGCGGGTCGTGGCCAAGCCGCGGCGGCCGCCGCGGCCGCCGCGGGCAGCACCCGCATGCGTCGACAGCGAGACCATCGTCGACCTGTGGTCGGTGCAGGGACTGTCAGTCACGTACACGCACGACGAGCTGGTGCGCCAGGGCAACGCCACGTTCACGCTGGCCAACACGCGCTCCGGCTACCGCGAGACGCTGCGCTGCGCCCTGACCTTCAACTCGCTCTGCGAGTTCCACGGCACGCCCGGCGACAAGGACCTGCAGCTGTGGCTGCAGCTGAACCTCGAGCTGGCGTCGATTACCATCAACCAGACTTGGTCGTGCGACATTTCCGACGGCGTGAATGTGTAAGTGTACTCACTCATAGCAGCGAACCCGCAGCGTCAGGAAAGGAGTTGGCTGACGACACACCACTGCACGCGCAGTACGGCTTTCGTCGTCGGCATGGCCGAGGTGTACCTGGTGTGCCCCGAAGACGACAGCGAAACAGACATGACGTGCCGCGGCGACACGGACAGCGAGTACAACGGCTACGCCAACGGTTCCGTTGTGCTCCCCGCGCCTCCTCCCCCGACATCATCTACCACAACCGTAAACCCGGGCGGCGTCGTCCGGCGAGCGGCAGGGATCCGCGCCCACCCGCGCTCGCGCTTCCACGGCAAGGCCGCCGACCCGCGCGCCCTCGACGCCCGCGGCAAGTGGGAGACGACGACGGGCCGCAGCGGCAAGTGGGAGAAGACGACGGGCCGCAGCAGCGGCAGCGCAGCAGGGGTAGCCGAGAACCCGTCCGCAGCCGCGGCGATACTACGCGGCGGGCTGGGCGGCGGCATGGCGGCGTACGACGCGGCGCGACGCGGCTGGCGCAGCGACAAGGACAGCGACGACGCAAAATTCGGCAAGCAAAAGCAAAAGCAAAAGGTGGCAAATTATGATGGCAAGGGCGTGCAGCAGCAGCATGAACATGCCGTGGTTGATGCTGCGCAGTATGGGCTGGGCGTATCGCCGCCGGACCTGGCCGACAAGATGCAGAGGGCGGCGGCCGAGGAGCACCGCCGCTGCTCGCCGTCGTGTCGCGGCGCGGCGTGGTCGCAGGGGAATACGCGGACGGCGTGGTCGCAGGGGAATGCGCGGACGACGCCGGTCATCCCGGTGTTTCTAGAAGAGAGGTGATGGAGGGGAGATAGGAGGGGAGACGGGAGGGGAGATAGGTGAGGTCTGCTGAGGTGTTGTAAAAGGAGGTATTCACTACTTGTGTGTAAAAGGAGGTATTCACTACTTGTGTTGTAAAGGGAGGTATTCACTACTTGTGGGTTGGGCTAGGAGGGTCAAACTCGCTATCGTTTGGCTTAATTCGTGACATGATATGGGTTAAAGGGAGGAGTCGATTGTCTGTATACTGATCAGAACGGCTACGGAAGACATATTATGTGAAGAAAAGGCGCTTCACCTCAATTAAAAAGGGAAGATACAAAGAATAACATCTGCCATGGCAAGAAATATTCCGTGTGAAAAATGAGACACCATGAAAGACCTCCACACAGCCCACCCCCTCTATCCAGCCAACTGCTACGACAGTCAGTGCCACTCATGGCCAAGACACCCCCCAGTCAGTGCTACTCATGGCCAAGACACCCCCAGTCAGTGCCACTCATGGCCAAGACACCCCCAGTCAGTCACTCATGGCCAAGACACCCCCAGTCAGTCACTCATGGCCAAGACACCCCCAGTCAGTCACTCATCTCCAAGACACCCCAGTCAGTGCCACTCATCGCCAAGACACCCCCAGTCAGTCACTCATCTCCAAGACACCCCAGTCAGTGCCACTCATCGCCAAGACACCCCCAGCCAAGGCTCGGCCAGAGCCGGTACACATGCATCAAACGCCCATCACTCCTCGGGCTTGTCTTCCACAACCCCAACGATGTGATAGGGCTGGATGGTGCGGGAGAGGCGACTCGCGTGACGACGTTGACGAGCTGGGGATTGTCCTTGGGGGAGGGGAACTTGGCCCACGACAAGGTCCACTCGAGCTCACCCTCGACGGCGCGCGCGTTGTCAATCTTGATGAACGCCTCGTGGAACAAGATGTCGAGTGTCTCGAAGTCCGGGAACGCCGAGGAGCCGGCCCCGGGGTGCAGCGGCACCTTGGCCTTGATCTCCAGCGCACCGTCGATGGGGATGTAGCGCTTGATGGGCGGGAGGACGGCGGTTTGGACGGCGGGCCCGGGGACATCGGGGGAGGCGCTCGTGTCCTCGGCGTCTGCCGCGGAAGCGTAGACCTCGCCGTCGTCGCCGGGGCCGGGCGTGTCGACGTACACGACGGGGATCTTGAAGCGACCCAGAGAGGTCTCGACTAGGATCGTCTTGCTGTTGAACCAGAATTCGGGGAGGAAGATGGGCAGCTTGAGAGTGATGCGGTAGGGCCACTAGCCGGGGGGGCCAAACACGGAATATCCCCGGATGGAGAAAAACAGACCGCCGACATAGGGCTCCTGTTTGATGAAGGGGAGCGTGATCTCTCTAGTCAGAGAGCCTTGGGCGATGACCTCCAGATATCGACCCAGGCCATGATATATGGCGCTGATGTCCTTCTTGGGAACGGGGATGAGCGACGACATTGTGCTAGAGTCGAGCCTAGGCTGTGAGAGTATGGTAAATGTTTGTTAGCTGCAGTTTGCCGAAGTAAAAGATGTGGTGGAAGCGGAGCGATGATGATGATGATTGAAAAGGAACTTGGGAGTTCTCAGAGGAGGCTTCAGACTTTATAGACGATGGGAGAGCAGCTGTGTGGACTCGAACTCTGTATCAGGGAACCGTATGAGGTAACCCCACTATTTCTACATCGCCAGGCTCGCCGTTTATCTATTGAGATTATACGCTGAAATTCTTGTTATCTGATATTACCTGATATATTCCATGCCAGTACTTCAAGACCTCCTAGCACTTCAAGCCCAGCTAGTACTTCAAGCCTAGCCAGTACTTCAAGACCAGCCAGTACTTCAAGCCCGGCAACGTAAAGGTCACCGTGGCACCCGGTCCCTGTTAGAAAGGGCTGCCAAGATACTTTGCTTGTTCGACGCAGCCAGCCACATCCTCTCAACCAGAACAATACCGGAACCCGATTTGGCGACTTGGCGATATTGGCGTTGAAAATGCCTGAGAACGTTGATAAACTGGCCTCCCAGCCACTGTGTATGGACCGTTTCAGCTGTCCCTCGGCCGGACCTTACGCCCTTTTCCGACCGGCGCGGGATGTATTGGGCTGGAAGAGGTCACACAATACATTACCACGAGCATGACATTTGCATGCTGGGCGCAGACATGCAACCTCCCCGTGGATGACGAGCTCCAGCCACATTCCGGCGTCAAGGAGAAAGAGGGTAGACACTAGCGGATAGGCCAGGGCTGAAAAGATGCAGTGTGCGTGCTGTGTTTTGTGAGCCGCCCGTGGGCTGTAGGGAAGACAAGCCCCCTAATGCCATCACCGGGAAGAGGGGCCTGAAACTGCATCTGGAAACCACTAGCAGTATGCACTCCCTATTTGGGGCCCGTGTGGGCGCCAAAGGCCGAAAGAGGCGCGCTGACGATGCAAGGCCTCGCTAGTGGCCTTTCGCCCTCTGGGTGTGATTGGCCAGCGGCCGGCATTATGATAGAGCTTTGATCAGGGCACCCCATCTAAAAATCAGCGCACCCTACTTCGCATTCTCGGCACCTGTTGGCAGTTGTGCTACTCAGGGCCCAATATAGGCCCGTAAAATCCTGAATTACCAGTAACTTTGAAGCCGTCAAAACCGTCATACGCCCCGAAATTGCTGACCATTTCTTGGTTCAACTTTGGTTGCTAGTCAGGCCTTTGAGCAACCCCGAGTCCTGAATTTGCACTAAATTGGCTGGCCAAAAGCCACAGTACACGGCTAGGGGGCTATGAAATCTATTGGATCATGGTTTGTCAGCATGGCGATGTATTTCCATGGTGTTGGGCCTGTCAACCTGCTTACATAGGGACGTTGACGATGTGTTACGCACCAAGGCCTGCACCAAGGCCTGTATTTGAAAGTGTAAATATTGTTATTCGACTTCCCCGGTCTTCCTTAGTGCCCGGTAGCCGGGCAGACCGTTACGTGGCTGCCATGCAATACGGAAAATTTACCATACAAAAAGCGGTCCCTGCGTTGGCAGGTGCCAGGGACCCCGAGTACGGTGCCCTGATTTTTGGATGGGGTGCCCTGATCAGGGTGCCCTGATCAAAGCTCTCATGATATACGCCGCCGAACCCGAAACTATTGTCTGGGTGGCTGCCATCACTGCGGCTCTCGCCTTGACTGGGAGCTGCCGATATTTCGAAAAGTCCAATTGCGCCAGGACCATTGTGTGGTCTAAAAATCGGTGGCTTCTCTGCTCGAGGACGGTGGCTGGCTGTGGTGACAAGATGGGAACCGTCTCAGCGCGCTTGCCAGGCCTCGACCTGACCGTACTACGTATGTACAATGCCGACCTGTATGTTATCTGCAGTAATCACTCACATGAGACTCAAGACAGCCAATTTCAAACACTGCAAGTCAGCAAGGCTTCGGCATGCCCGTGGTCGATTGCAGATTAGCTGAGTCGCCAGAATAGCTGAATCGTCCTGCGCGCAATTGAATAGGTAGTCACTGATTAGGCTGTTGAGGCCTAGGACCAGGGCAAAGTCCAGGACGTAGATATGCTTCAGGGCAGGACACAGCTCACGACGGAGACAAAAGTCGTGGTTTCTGCCCCCCTTCATCGTCTATGAGTTGACTGACTCTTCCCCAAGCAAGCCCTCAATTTCTTCGCCTTCGCCTTCATCACTACAGAGCTCAGAGCATCTCCTGTTCCGCTGCCTCACCTTCAATATTTTCTTCAAAACCTCTGGCGCAATGTCGATCCTCTATCCGTCCGGGCCCAAGCTCCCGAGGTTCTCCGCATTGTACGACTTTCTCACCCAGAGCCTTACCCTGACTGCCGATGGAACCAAGCGCTGGGGGCTGCCGGACCCGTTCTTCCAGCAAGAGGAACGCGTCGGCGCTTTGTTTTTCTCCCTGCGTGCTTACATCCCCCTCGAGCCTCCGCCGGGCTCGATCGAGCTCGACGACCCATTCCATATTAAGGCCAAATTCAAAGTCCACCTCCCCCAGGAATGCTTCGACAACGACAATGTCTACATCGAGGTGGCCGGCACAGTAGTCAAGGTCCGCATCGACTACATCTTTCTGACTGGAAAGTCGGCACAGAACGGGGACGCCACCGGCGTGGTCAAGGCCACCGACGCCGACACGGCTACGGTCGTCTCGTCGCCGGTCAAGACCGAGGTGCTGCCCCCCAGAGAACTGTACCTGCCCGCCGGGCGCACCGTCGACATCAAGGCCATCATCCCCACCCCTCTCGACATCGGTGGCGGAGCCTACACCAACATCTACCTCAACCCCAAGGTCCTGGCGCTGGACAACGCCAGCACGACCAGCAGCTACCTCTTCGAGGCGCTCACCTCCCACATCACCTGGTCCATCAAGTGGGCCCCGGATCTGGTCATTGCAGACCCTTTCCCTCCCCAGCGCGTCAATGTCGTCACCACCCGCGATGGCGGCTATCACGGCGACGACACCAAGGTCACTCGTTCCGTCCAGACATACCTCATTTATCTCACCCTCCTCAAGGACAAGGCCTGAGTGGTCGCCGCAGACAATGAGTCCGCGAGAGAGAGAGAGGGGGGGGAGAGAGAGAGAGAGGGAGAGAGAGAGAGAGGGGGGGGGGGGAAGAGAGAGAGGGAGAGAGAGAGAGAGAGAGAGAGAGAGACAGAGAGAGAGAGAGAGAGAGAGAGAGAGAGAGAGAGAGAGAGAGAGAGAGAGAGAGAGAGAGAGAGAGAGAAAGGTGAATTCTTCCCGATTTCCGTTTGATCTACTTTTATTTTCTGCACAGAGAAGGTCGTCTTTAGTTGAGAGTCGGGGAGTGAGCGGCGAGACTAATCAGAGGGATTCCCTCATTGCGTTTCAGTCAACAGTCAATATTGTTTTTGTAAATAGCTTCCCCACCATTGAACATCCCGTTGTCTTTACAAGCAACAGCCCCAACACCAAGGTAATCACCCCGTCCCGGCAATAATCAAACACCCCTTTAAATACCATGGTCGCCAATGCGCCGACAAAGCGCCTATGTACATGCACATACAAAAGCCGAAACTAGCTTGGACCTGCATTCTCCTGACGCGCCTCAACCACGGAAACCTTTTACGGACACGGTCAACTATCGAAATCTCCCCATCAAAGCAAAGCCTCGACCACAGCCTGCAGTGCCGCCTTATCTGCACCGCGAATCCTATCAACGCGCCCATCGCCCGTCAAGCTAACCGACTGGCGGGGCCGGATGCCCTGCACAGCGACTCCCGTGGGTGAGCCCTTCTCGAAGAACAGGAACGTCGGCATCGCAGAGACGCCGTAGCGCCCCGCCACGTTGTTGACGTGGTCGACATTGACCTTGGCGAACGCAAGACGGCCCGCCTGGGCGTGGCTGTCGGCCAGTTCCGAGAACACGGGCGCGATGGCGCGGCAGGGCGGACACCAGTCGGCGTAGAAGTCGACGACGACGTGCGTGTTGGAGGCCACGACGGCGTCGAACTCGGCGGCAGTGGTGATCTTGAACACCTTGCCCGAGGTCTCGGGGATGGGTGAGCGGTCGGCGAACACGGCCTGGTTTTTTCAGATGCGTTGTTAGCGGGCGTGCATGTGGTGTCATGAAATTCTTTCCAGTCACGTGTTGAGATTCATCCACGGCAGTCGTGACGCGATTGGGTTGACACATACTCGGCCGACTATGAAGAGAACGAACAAGATGAGCAAATAAGTTGACGTTTCCATCTTGTAGAATAGCCGCTGATCGCGCGGCGTTGAGAGACGTTGTGTGGGTGGGATGGCGGCGGCGTTGGCGTTGCGAAAGGAAGAGGTGACTGCCCGTAATGCGCGACAGATGCAGGCATGGCATGGCCCCACTGACGGAAACCGCTAATCTAATTACGGATCGGTACTGGGTGGGGACAGCCGAAAAGGCGGGGGGCTTCTGCTCCACGTCGTCTGGCAGTCACAGGGTCTTCCCCTGCGCAAGCAGCGCAGCAAACTCGTCGATCCTCGCTTTGCGCGTCTCTTGCCTCTTCAGCGTCTCGAGGCGCCACAGAAACGAGTACCTCTTCGACTTTCCTAGCGCATCAAAAAAACTGCGCGCCTTTTTGTTCCTGTCCAATGCCGCCGCGAGATCAGCCGGCACCTCGACAATACTCGCCGACGCGTACGCCTTGTCCCAGCGCCCGTCGGCCTTTGCCGCGTCCACTTCGGCCTGTCCAGCGCGTCGCATCCTGCCCGCCTCCACCAGCACGGCGACTTTGCCGACATTGCGCTTCGACCAGATGCTCGCCTTTCGCCGTGGGGTGAAGCGCTGCAGGAAATGCGTCTCGTCGAGTGTTTTGCGCTGCCCGTCAATCCACCCCCAGCACAGCGCTGCGTCGACGGCCTGGTCGTACGTGACGGAGGGGACGGGCGCCCCTTTCTTGCTAATCTTGAGCCAGATTCCTGCTGTTACGGTCCCGTGGTTGGTATCGAGCCATGCATCCCAGGCGTCGGCGTCCTCGAAGAGGTGGGCCGGAGCGGGGATGGTTGTCGACGGTCTAGCCGCTTTGGCTTGCGTTGTCGTCGCTGTTGGCGTGAATTCTGCCGCTGCTGTTTTTGTGGATCGCGTGGTTCGTCTTGACATGGCGACAAGAATTCCGCGCAGCATGAATCGGTCTGTCGCGAGAATTTCGACAAAACTCGGTCTGTCGCGACAATTTCGAGAAAATTCGGTCTGTCGCGACAATTTCGAGAAAAGTCGGTCTGTCCGACAATTTCGAGAAAAGTCGGTTTGGCGGAGGTCGGTTTGGCGGAGGTCGGTTTGGCGGAGGACGCGGTGTCTTCAGCAGCGGACGCGTCTCGCTTTAGCCCTTCACTCGGCGCAGCTTGGCGCCGAACCATTCTAGGGTTAGGGTTAAGACCGCACCGGAGCTAACTAGTAGTTCGACACATCGTTTAAGCTGCTACCACGGTAGTGCAGACGCACGTTTCTCTGCTAAGAGTTTTTACAATTTCCATCAGAGATTCGTCCGTCCATCCATTCCATCCACTAACCAAGGAGAGAGCGAGGCATGGCCTCGATGTGAGCTGATCTAATTACATGGGAGCGGGCCACAATCATGACGGATTATAATGTAACATGTAACACTGGCAGCACGATCTACGATAGCGGCGAACCAGCTACACCTTTCCCAGAGTGCTAAAGAGAAGACAGTAGGTAACCAGAAACCCCAGACGCACGCACATTCAAGTAGCCTTCTTCCTCTTCAGCTTAAATCCTACTTTCTTTCCGATGAATTCGCTCTGTCTCCCCTCCTCCAAGTCGGCAGCAATGAAGTCCAGGGGATCCTCTGAGGAAGTGGCGTAGCCACCCGCCTGGCTCAAGATGTTCAAGTAGGGCCCGATCAGCGGCACCCAGGCAAGAGTGTCCCGCCACTCGGGGGGCGAGCCGGCGCCGGCCACCACATTGGCCGCCGAGCAGTCGTCGGGCGCGGGAATTCGAGCTTCCTTGTGCTTGGGAGTCAGCTGAGAGGCGCAAAACAGCGACCAGGCGATGTCCTCCTCTTCTTGTTCCTGGATGAGGGCCAGATTCTGCCTGTGCTCGGGAAACATGGGCATGTAGTCGCCGATGAGCCGTGTCGGGATGGCGCTGTTCAGGTCCAGCATGGGGAAGCCAGACATCAGCCAGGCGCGGATTGCGGGCCCGCGGCGCTCCTTTCGGGCTTCCACAATGGCTGCGACGACGGTGGCGAACATGGTGTTGTACTCGCCGGTCTGGGAGCGGCCCCACATCTGCGCCAGGCCAGCGGCGTGGAAGACGGCGTCGCAGTTGTGGGCGAGGATGGCAGTCTTCAACGCCGGCTTGTCTGTGACCAATCCCGTGACCACGCCGGCCAACACAGCTCGCTGCTCTGGCGCGAGCTTGGCAGGCGAGCGGACGTAGGCTATGACGGTGTGGCCGTGTTTGATCAGGGCTGGCAGTGCACGGCTGCCGACATTGCCGGTAGCGCCAAGCAAGAGCACCTTCATGGTCGTTTGGATGTCGTTTTTTTTTTTTTTTTTTTTTTTTTTTGGTATTTTTGGTTGGTAGAGATGGGATGCAATTACTAGATCGTGAGATTGTACCTCCAAAGCGGGGTTATAAATAGGTACCTGCTCTCTCGGCCTCGAAATCTCCGCGGAATTCACGCGAGACAACCCGCGACAGTGACGCGCGACGCGCGACGCGCGGCCTCTGCTTATGCCCTGGAACGTTCCGCACCGGGCGGGGCTTTTACTCCCAAGTCCGGACGCTCGATAAAGACTCTAGTTCTACACGTCAACTTCCGTGTTAAGTCCGCCCACAAATCCCATGTCAAGCGGCATGTAGTCGACCGGAGACTTGAAGACAGCTGCAGGATGAATGTCCCGCAAGATTTCGTCAAACATGGCACTCTCCCACTGCAAATCGTCCTGTTCATAGCCGCCTGACGTCAGCCAGTCGAAACCGTTGGCGCTCCGCCCTGCCGACACATCCATCGTCTCTCGATCCCCTTCATAAACGCTGGTGTCATAGGCATTGGTGGTCAGCGGGCTCCTCCCCTCACCTGCCGCTGTGCCCATGGCGACCATGTCACGCCATTTCTCGACCCTGGCCTTCTTCATCTTCAAATGTTCTGCAGCAAGGTCCCACGTATCGTTCTCCCAGTCCACGCCCTGCGCCGCGGCCATCTCGTCCTTTGCAGCCTTGAAACGAGCTGCCATGGTGTCCAAGATGCCGCAGATATCAACCTGGAGATTGGGCTGCGCTGCGACCTGGGCCCTGAGCGTGTTGACTATCTGGGCGGACACGACTTGGGCGGACACGACTTGGGCGGAGGATGCTGCTGAGGCGGGAGGCCTCGACAAGCTCATCAAATCTGGGCATGGAGGCACGCCGCTGAGAGCCGGCGTTGGTTCCCAAGGAAGCGTCACGGATTCTCTCTGGGACGCGGACACGGCGATGCCGGCGGCACTGGAAAGCTCGACCGCGCTCGGGCCGGCTACTCTGGTCCAGCGAGAGATCATCGTGGCGGCGTGCACCAACTGGGCGTAAGCGGGCTGAGGCATGTAGAAGTAGGAGCAGACCGGGATGGCAAGCCAGTTGTCGAGCCAGGCCTTGAGCGCGGCAGTGAAGCGTGAAAAGACGTCGGATATCAGCACGCCCGAGAGCGAGAGCGAGGCGAAGGACCGAGACTCAGCATCTGGGAGGTGCGAACCTGCCAGTAGAGGCTCAAAGATCCTGAGGTGGGCGCTGTGGTAATAGCAAGACAGAAGGTCTGGGCTCTCAGGCCACGTCAGCGAAGCACCGGCGACTTGTCTTGTTCAGACAGTTGGGGAATCAATCATACAGTCAGATTTGAGTTTCGGGGGTAGTGTGTTCCGGAGCCTGTCTAGCTCGACTCGGAACGCCTCCAGACACGCTGTCGTCGAAGCTTCGGGTGAATCTCCCAGCTGTTCGTCCATCCAGGAACCCCTACTGTGAAAGTGGCAAATTTCCTCGGTGAGCCGCTGGATGCGGACCAGCTGTACGGCAAGTTGATCTGTCTTGTATTCTCCAGCATCCTCGAGCTCGGTGAGGCATTGGTCCAGATATTTAGTATATTTTGCGACTGCTAGCTGGTTCACGACCAGGCCAGCGCTGCTGTCAAGTCAGTCTCGTTCTTTATGAAGCTCTAATTACCTATGTGGGCGGTGTGGGCAGTGTAGGCGATGCGAGACTCACTTTGAACTCATGTACCAGACGCCAAGTAGTGCCCTTCTCTCGTCGTTCGTTCTAGACATGGGATCCTCGGCGCGTAGCAAAGGCAGCTGACTCCTCCTTTGTTGAGACTCGGGGCATGTAGTCAAATCCATCTCCTCTACCAGGCTGACTGCTAGACGAGTCAGATTATTGAACTGCGCATGAGTCATGCAGTGGTAGTGGTAGGACCCGAGGAAGACCAGAATGCCTTGGAGGAGATCCAACGAGCGCTCAGATCTCACGAGTATGGCCTGAGAGATTTGTTCCACGACGGCGCGGCTCTGCCCCCTCATCAGCCGCAGGTGGCGGACGGACGCCACCATTCTGATCACCTTCATGAGAAGTGGACGAGTTGCCTGCAGTTGCCTCGCCGTTGTGCCAGCCGGAATGATGACAAAGGGCAGCCGGCTGGACAGCTGGTTCCTGTAGATGGACAGCAAAGTCTCGTCGGACTCTACGGGGACAAGGTCGTCTTTGCCGACTGCTGCCATGCAGGTGCATGCGGGACGCGCTGGTGTGCCAGAGGCGAAGTCGTACGGCGGGGTGTGCAGAGCAGCTGCGGTTTCTTCCCGGCTTAGCGTGTCTTGAGCTTGAGGTTCGGTGCTAATCGACGATGCGGAATGGTTGTTTGCGAGGTGATCCGGACTGCTAGTGGGCGAACTGTCATGTGCAGTCGAGCTCTCCCCCCCCGGCGTCCTCAACGAGCCGATCAGATTACTGAATGCCTCCTCGGGCATAGCCGTTCTTGTGTCAAAACTGGCACTGGTCAGGCACTGGTCAGGCAGATGCAACAGAGGGTCCAACATGAATGCTCACGAGGATACTGCCGCCTGTCTCTTCTTCCTTGGTCTGGGAATTTGATCCGAGCAGTGTTTCTCCAAGCTTCGGCATCGATCACATGGTAGAGCAGGAGACTGGGTGCGAATGCAGCGTGCCTTTGCTGCCGCACACGGAGCGCAGGCCGCTCCCCATCTGGCGCTGCGACTGGTCTTTGGCCCGTCCATCCTGGGTAATAATTCGGCTCTGCGCTATTATTCGTCTTTGCCTTTGCCGTGAGGTTGTGGTGGCTCGAAGAATGCCGGTTCTGTACGATGCACACGCATGCCGCGGAAAATAAAGGCCACAGGTGTTGGTTTGGGGTCCTTTGGCGGAAAGGTTTAGCAGAGAACGTTGGCGGAAGCTTTTGGAAATCTCCGCGGCACACGGCGGGAAATACGGGATTCTGTTATTTTGGTACAGCCAAGCCGCCCACTGGAATTTGGCCACTTTGTTGGGGGCCATGCAAGGTAACCGAGCTAACAAAATCACCCTTGCAGTGTTCTGGCTGTGCGAACTCGTAACCAACAGTAACCCTTGCAGTGTTCTGGCTGGCGAACTCTTAACCAACAGTATAAGTGGGGCGTAGCAGGGTTAATAAACCCCGAGAATTCCGCGGGAAGATTTATGGGTGGTCTACTGAATATTAAAAAAAGGGGTCCAGCAGCAGTCAATAAATAGCCAGCCAAGTGGATAGACTGAACACGACGACAATCAACAAAATACAGATAGACTGAACACGACGAAAATCAACAAAATACAGATAGACTGAACACGACGACAATCAGCAAAATACATTTCCATTCTTCTATCAAACATCTGACATCAGCAAGCCGCCAAAATGTCGCAGCCGTACCCCATCTCCCTCTCCTCTCTCAGCCCGCGTGAAGCCATCACCGACGCCCTGTACCGAGCCGCCATTGGCAGCGATCACCACGACACGGCGCTCTTCAACTCTGCATGGGCCGGCGAAGACGTTTCCATGGAAATCCACGACGACAACAAGAGAGTCATCCCGAACCTCTCCCTGATCCGCACCCATGTTTTCGACAAAGTTGGCCCTATGGATACCACACACAACATCAGCATGGTCCGCGTGCATGTCGAGGATGGCGCCGACACTGCGACTCTCACTGCTACGTCGATGGCACAGCATAGTCCTCCCGGCACGGGCAGGGATCCGGCCGGGCCCAAGTACACTGTGGGCGGCGAGTATTCGGTTGAGCTTGTCAAGGATGAAGCGGGTGTGTGGAAGATCAAGAGGTTGGTGTTGAATGTTATCTGGACTCTAGGAGATGCCTCATTGATGGGCGGCCCTCCAAAATAGACATTGCTACCTAGGCAGAGGGCAGATGTTTCGGGAAGCGCACATGGTTTCTTTTTGCCTGTCTTGTCCTCGCGAAATTACCCATCCGAAAGAAGCAGCTCTAGCAGCGTTATCTAATGCAAGAAATTGCTCACACATATAACGCGGCCAATACTCTTCCTTTCGCCGTGGTAGACATGTCATGCCTTTAACCTAACTAGTTGTGGTTTTCATCGTCACTAAGAGTGTGGGATGCTAATTACCCAAACCATACCGCGAGTCTCCCAAGCATCTATCTTTCCAACCGTGCATGGGACTGGAGCTGAGTAAAAAAGAGTAAGAAGGGGCTTCAATGAGTGAGAAGGGGCTTCAATGAGTGAGAAGGGGCTTCAATGAGTAAGGGGCTTCAATGAGTAAGGGGCTTCAATGAGTAAGAAGGGGGGCTTCAATGAGGAGGCTTCCGGTTTGAGGCGTTGATTGGGATGTCGGACATCGTAGATTTGTTTTAAGATTTTGTGTAATTATCAACGGCATTGATCCCACTAGAACGTCGGATCCCACCGGAACGCCGGATCCCACCGGAACGCCAGGTCCCCCGGCTCCCGCTTGAGTCTAAACTCTAGTGCGATGATGCCAAAGGAGAAGAGAAGAGAAGAGAAGAGATTCAACGCCGCTGGGTGTCATGGGCAATTGTACTAACCTGTCTACCGAGTGCCAGGCCGCCATCCATGCCATCCATGCCCATCCGGCGACGCGCCTATTTACCTAGACCTAGACAGTGACTTTTTCCCCAGCACCCTCATCCTCGCCCTGTCCCTCACCAACCGCACCGGCCTCCCTCTTGTCCCTCAACGCTTCCTTCTCTTTGATCTCGAGAATATTGTGCCAACCCAAGCCCCAGCAACAGAGGAGCGCTCCCGCCGCCAGCCCCACGCCCAGATACATGACGCGATCCACGCTCGTGGCATACGACTCCAGCAGCGCCTGCAGCGCCGCCCCCGAGAGGCCCAGGCTGTGCACGCCGCGGGCGCCCGCGCTGAATATGACAAAGTCGGGCGCCAGGCCGATCGCGGACGCCTTCTCCTGCAACAGGCTGCGGAGGCTGTTGTTGAAGATGACGTTGGCGATTATGAGCCAGACGGAGCTGCCCAAAGTCTGCACAGTCAAGACGATGGCCATTGCCTGGGGCACTTGGTGCAACGGGACGAGATTCTGCACTGCCATGTAGGGCTGTTTTTGGTTGGGTTGTCACGTCACGTCAGCGTCGGGCCTGGTTATGTACAGCGCCTTGCTCGAGCTTCACGAGGAAAAAGGGACGCGGAGTCTTACGCTGCTGTTCCCAAACACGCTGCCCACGCCGTACAGGATCTGGTAGCCGATCCAGCGAGCCGTGGGCGTCGTAGGAGAAAGGGTCGACAAGAGCCCGTATCCGACGGCCGAGATGCACGGGCCTACGATTGCCATGGGGAGGTAGTAGCCCGTCGACTGCGTGAGGCCGCCGGCCACCACCATGGACACGAGCATGCCGAGCGTGGTGGGCAGCATGTGGACGCCGCTCTCCAGCGGGGTGTCGTTCAGGACGGACTGGAAGTAGATGGCGAGGTAGAAGTCGGCCACGAGCATGACGCCGTAGTTGAAGAAGTTCGTCATGGAGGCCGCGCGGATGATGCCGCTCCGGAGCATGGCCCACGGCACCATGGCCGAGTCGCCCTGGCGGTACTCCCACGCGAGGAACAGCGCGAAGGTGGCGGCCCCCCGACGATCAGGCCGATGACGACGGAGCTGTCCCATGCGAACTGGTTGCCGCCGTACTGGAGCCCCAAGAGGAACATGAGCACGCCCCCGCTGATGAGCACGAAGCCGACGAGGTCCAGCGACTTTACGGCCGTGCTGAGCACGCTCCGCCAGGGCGGCTTCTCCTCGGCCTCGGGGATCGTATTGAGGAGGAAGGCGACGGTGACGAGCGGGAAGAGGCAGAGGTTGAGGTAGAAGCACCACCGCCAGGTGGCGTGGACGTTGGAGGTGAAGGCTCCGCCGATGAGCGGCCCGCCGGCGATGCCGAGCTGGCCAAGGCCCATGATGGCTCCTAGAATGGCCGGCCGCTTGTGCATGGGGAGCACGTTGGCCACAATGGTCATCATGCCGGTGAAGAGGCCGGCGGCTCCGATGCCGGCGACGGCGCGCCCGACGATGAACATGTTGGACGAGGCGGCGGCGCCGCTTAGGGCGGAGCCGACCTCGAAGATCAGGAAGAAGACCAGGAAGGACCAGCGGATGTGGAAGTAGCTGTAGATCTTGCCCGTCATGGGCGTGCAGGCGGCGCTGGCCAGCTGGTAGGCGCTGGCGTACCAGCCGACGTCGGTGAGCGCGTCGAACCCGGTCGTGACGGCCGGCGCCACCGTGGACATGACGGCCATATCGAGGAAGACGAGGAAAAAGGAGACGGCCACGGCGCCCAGGATGGCCATGAGGGCGAGGCCCGTTGGATAGGCGTCATGCTCGTGGCCGGCCTTGCGCTCCGAGACCACGGCAGCGTCGGCAGCGTCGGCGTCCGCAGGGGGCAGGCTGGCCGTCTGTCGAGAGGAGTCCGATTCGAGCCGGGCCTCGACGTCGCCGAGTCGAGACGGGGTCTTAGGTCCTGTCATCTTGGCTGCAAAAGACTGCTGGCTTCGATGGGTAAAATTTCCAAGTGCAAGAAGCCGATCGCGGTGTCGGAACTGACCTACCCAGCTTAGACTTGGCAGCCGCCGACGCCATTGAATACATATAGTATTCACTTTCACTTTCAGGGGCATTCCCCTACTCATGGTCGCGCTCCATCCCAGCCCGTCGGATTGTTGACCGGAGATGAACGGGCTTTCGACGGGGTGAGCGGAATTTTGCAACCCATTTATTTTTTTTTATTTTTTTGGAAAGCCCCGCGGAATTTTCGTCTCCCTCAGCCAGAACACAATCCTCACAACTGGTACCCTGACCTTTCCCGAACTCCGTACTTAAGCGCATTAGATATAATTGCTGGAATCACCAGGTACCGGTACTGGAATCAACAGGGCGCGCTGCGCGCCGTATACTGGTGGTTCAAGTGTTGGATTTCGTTGTCTATGTGTTTCTCTAAGAAGGTGGAAGTGGCCTACGGCTACTTATTTAGGTTCGGTGGCCCTGCGCCCCTGCGCCTCCACCGCCACATGTGGCTGCTTGCGCCTCCACCGCTACATCTGTGGCTGACTAGCGCGTTGTTCCAACAATAATTATTCAGCAATGTAACTTAATTTTCGGTACATTAAGTTATGCAAAAAAATCCAATAAATCCGAATCCGTCTCCACCGAACAGCGTCCGCCACGTCGGCATCAGACACAAAATGAGTGCCCCCTTGCGCTAAAGTTGATGTCGCTGCATTGGCTGCAGTCCTGTTCCGCAGCTTGGGGTCCTTCCCCCCATGCCCCTGATCCCCCGTGGGGCTCGATTCATATCTGACTACATTCTCAACCTCGTGAGTCGCTTGCACCAGCCGTTCAGGTACTGAAGTTGCCTCAATCGTTGCTTGTGTCGGTTGTGTGACGTCGGTATCCGACTGGGGCTGGGGGGTTCTTGGGTTTCGCCAGTATTGCTGGCAGGCTCAGAGACAACCATCCTCACCGCGGCACCCGTGTGAATTTCCCCAACCCTCAAACGAGGTTACAATTGACATTGCCTTTTGAAAGCTTTCCGCGGCGTCCTGCGATGTGAAAAAGGGCGTTTCCGCGTCAGATTCGAGAGTGTGAATGAGCCTGTCCAGCAGATTCTGGCAGCTCCGAGGTAAAAGGTCTTCAAAAGTGATGCGGCTTGGAAACATGATCCCGTGACCGCGTCTCTCGGCCAACGGCTCGTCAACTGGCTCTGAGGGCCCTGTGAGAACGATAGCTATTCTCTCGGAGAAGGCGCGCACAAGTGAGGTGAGTTTGTCGAGAACGTCGCTCGAATAGCCACCCTTCGCAAGTCAGTGGATATCGCGGAGAACGAAAACCTTGCCGAAGCCCCTCTCGATCTGCATTTGAGTCTTGGGCGTAGTCTGTCCCACGTGTTGCCCGATTAAGGCCATCGCCGGGCAGAACACCACTTGGTGGGTTGGGAGGCCAATGTCACGAAATAGCTTCCCCATGTACCTGGCCAGTGTTGTCTTCCCAGTACCTGAGGGGCAAAGATGCTTAGGTCAGCGTCTGTGAGCAGTAGCCAGGATATGAGGCAGGACTGAGGAACGTTGCCACTTACCCGGTGGCCCCTTCAATATAAAGGTTCGTGGCACGTGGTGGTTCAAGTCGCGGTTTAAGTCGCGGTTTAAAGAGGTCGGGAGGTACCTCTCTAGCTGCTCAATGGCCGAGTCCGATACTTGAACCGTCAGATCAGCGCTGCAGCTGACCAAGTTGCCTGCTGATACCGTCTGTAGCCGCAACCATGGGTCAAAGTCCTGGGTTCAAGGCGAGCTTCAAAGTCATCGTCATGGTTTTGGTTTGTCATGTGTCGCTCCTGGCTTCGCAGAACTGCTTCGGATACCAGGAGCCCACAGCCCAACTTGGTCAATGGCATCGTCCATGCGCTGGTAGGGGAGTACCCTAACTACCATGTGTGGTCTCCTTGGATTCTAGTCACCGGAACAGAAGAAGTCTAGTTCCAGGGAACTCATGAAGCTTCCTATGCAATGGTCTGGCCCTTACGGATGCGTCGTCGAGTGTCGAAGGAGGGCCCTCATTGCCGACCAAATCACTCCAGAAGTCCACGGGTTCTTAAGTCCGTTACCCAACGGACCGAGGACCACAGCTTTGTCGCTCGATTATGGCGATCCATCAATGGAATGATGATTGGAGATAAAAGACCCTTTTCTTTGGAGGCGCAGATGCACGATCTGAGAGGCGCGCCAGGAACCGCGAACCGGGAGAAAACCTCGAGAAGACGGGTTCAAACGACAGCCGCCCTGAGTTTGATGTCCTCAAGGAGGGTAAGACTGGGGCTCCGAATGAGCCTGGCGCACCTCAAACATTGAACACCCCGCTTATTGTCGATGTTGGTCTCAAGAGAAGAGAAGACGACGACCTGTTTGAGGACTTGATGAAATATCAGTCGAAGGAGGACATCATGCAATGCTTCAGAGTAATACCAACCATCGAGGGGTAAAGAAGAACCGGACTGGAAAGCCAAACTGGATGCAGTGCTGGGAGAATTGAAAGACATGCTGCGCAGAATGCGCGAAAAAAGCCTGGGAAAGATGGAGGTCTTTGCGCCGCGCGAGGGCCTCCTCTCCGTTGTCTTCCAAGGCGAGCTGGCCAACAGCCGTGGCCTCAACATGCGGAACTGCGCAGAATACAGTTGGGCGTGTGTCGAGGACGAAGACGTTGACCGGAAAACAACACCGTACCGGCCTGGAGATCTGTTCATGGACGAGGACCCTTTGAAGCTGAAGCAAGCGATGGGGTCTCAAGCCGGATGGCTTCCACTTTACGTTAACTAGGTGGTTGGCCTCGGATATTGATGAGGTCTACTGGCACGTTAACTGAGTTTGTGAAAACCCAAGGAACGGCCAGGCTGTATTCCCCAAGCTTAAGTTGGAAGATCGGCCAGCGACCTGCAAAGACCGCGAGTGTCTGCACCACACCATGGTGCTGCAACCTGCAAAGACCGCGAGTATCTGCACCACACCATGGTGCTCTGCAGCAACTTCCAACACTTTCGCCTGCACGGCCGTGCCTACTTTACGATCGGGGACAAGTAACGGTATCCTCCACTGTCCGGATTTGATGACGAGCTGTGGGTTTTCGAGGGGCGATGATATCAAGTACCTATACCACCGCCGCCAGCACCCCGCTAGCGACAACGGACCTGATGGGCTACACTGTTCCGTTGTGCTCGGACGGCACATATCGGCGATCCCAGGTCTTGGCATCGTTCTTGGATATTTTGGTGAGGCACTTTTGGGCCGAGAAGAGTTGGGTTACGAATGTTGAGAGATATGATCCTGTTCTCCCTCAGCTATCGCCATGTGTTGGTAATGCGTGGGAGCTCTGGGTGAATTGCGGGAGGTGGTGGACTCTTTCAGATCGCGTTTTCTTCTAATGCATAACCCGCTTCAGCGGCCGCGATGCCATGAAGATGAAAATCCGAAACGCCCCGATGGGACTGGGAGGTATTGACTATGGGATGATTAGAAGGCGTGTGCCATTCGCGCAGTTGGGGAGTTAAAAGGCGACTTGGCTGAGAGACAAAGACAGTATTTGTGACGAGCAAGCAAAGGACTTGTACCAACTCCATGACTTTCCAGACATTTGCAACTTGTTTGAACTTTTGCTTTCCTAGTACGAATGGAGCATTTGAGACGCCCAGGCACTCCTTGTTCCCGCTGATACATGTTCCCGCTGATACATTGCAATTCCTTTACTTCACTGAGATCACACGAGTGGAAGGCCCAATGCAAACGAGACGGGCAAAGTGCATTGAGACGATGACGAGCGGAGGTGGGCGCCGCTAATCGTGACTTCTCACCCCAGATAGTGTTGTTTTGTTTGAGGCGGGGCTGGTACATGGTTTACCTGGTTAAGAAATTCTTGGCAACATAAAGGTGTGTCGTCATGCGTACAGCGGCAGACAAAACAGGCACCTGTTTCCTGTCACTGAACCAGAGCAAGAGGCAGCCGTGACTCGGGCATCAGCCCCCTTCAAACCAACGATTTAAGAGCCCCAAACGCCGCCATCCAACCAACAACTCCAACCAAAGTAACAACAATCAACAACAACCAACATCGCAAACTGCATCCGCATGAAAGACGACATGGTCCTGGTCACCCTCCTGGTCACCCTCCTCGAGAAATGCCCCAAACTGCAAGGCCTCAGAATCACCCGCCTGGTATGGGACGAGGACTTTCTAGAGCGCCCCTGGATCAACTCTCAGAAGATTCATTGCCGACGGCCCCGTGTCGCAGTTCGCCAAGGCTCTAGGCCACTTCGCGGTTCATATGGTGTAGATGAGATGGAAGAAAAGTACACCGAGCTCGTCGACACGGGGTGGCTATTATTACGACAGAGTCCGGAGACGTGGGCTCGGATGGATACGACAGTGACGAGTAAGGCAGCGATGGACACCACATATCTTTTGTAGGGATCTGGTGATTGTATTGCTTGCAGGAAGGAAGTTAGGAAGGTGGTGCTATGGGCTGTGGATCGCGAGGCGGATCCGCTTGCCTCGTCTCAGGGCTACGTATGACCGTGGCCATAACAGTGATTAGCGCTAAATAGATAGGGATGACGGCAACTGTGTAGTTGGATAATATCATCGTGGCTACGACAGAGTGTGGGGGTTATGATTCTCCACACTAGGAATTCACATTTTTCACCCCTAAACATGCCATACCTCGGTTGATTGGACAGGGGGCCTGTCGTCTCCCGTTTTTTTTTTTTGGGGGGGGGGGCCTTGTCCCAAGGCTCCATTACTAGAATACTGAATAACCGTGACTTTAGACCATTTCCATTCTTGACTTTTTCCATTCTTGACTGTTTCCATTGCCGTGCACAATAATTAGGTCCTTTCTATCGAGAGCTTTGTTGCTGGTGTTTGAAGCAACGCTCTGTTGCCGGTGTTTGAAGCAACGCTCTGTTGCCGGTGTTTGAAGCAACTGTGGATAGACACTGCAGAAGGAGTCTACTAATTTGGTCGCAAGGATGCTTGACGGCATGGAAATCAATCATGTTTGGGTAGGTAGATATGCCAGGAATACTACCATTTCAGCTGCGTAACCCCCCCGCTACTTGATCAGCTGCTTCTGGCTCTCCTTGTAGCGCTCCCACTGCGTGTTGAAGTCGCGCTTGAAGGCGCTGACGTTGGCGAAAGCCCTCTTCAAATGGTCCTTGCGCAGGCGGCCGCCCTGGCCGCGGTACTTGGTCTCGGCGCGCGCGAGTCCGAGGGCTGTCGTGACCGTGTTGCGGATCTGGCGACCGTCGAACTTCTCCTTGTACACGACCTCCTCCAGCCAGTCCTTGATGCCGTCGTAGTCGTCGACCAGCCCGCGCTCGTCCAGCTTGTCGAGGAACCCGTGGAATATGGCCTCCATCTGGTAGTCCTTGAGGCTCTCGTACTGGATCGACACGTGGATGCGCGACGGGATCGCAATGTCGAACTCGGCGATCTGGTTGGTGGTGAGGAACATGATGCCCTGGTAGTACTCGAGCACGCGTAGGAAGACTGGAGGTGTGGCACGTCAGCGAGCTGTTCCGGTCGAGGCGAAAACGTGTGGGTTTACCCGAGACCAAGGCGTTCTTGTCGGTAGAGCGGATGGCGCTGCCGCGCCCGCGGCTCTCGAGAAAGACGTCGGCCTCGTCGCTGTCGTGTTTTAATTAGCAATAGCAGTCTCGGGGGTCGAAAAACGGGTGGTACGTGCATTAACAAAATTGCCTGCCACCTCGTCGCCAGCGAAAAGATCCTTGACAAGTTGGACTCGACATGCTTGGCTTGGGTGCCCACGTCGGCAACGCTGACCGAGAACAGGGGCTTCTTGGTGGCGATGGCAATGGTCTCGGCAGTCGATGTCTTGCCGACTCCCGGCGGGCCTGGTTATTGTAAGCAGGGGGGCGAGGCACAGAAGGTGGCAGGCAGAAGGTGGCAGACAGAAGGTGGCAGACAGGTGGCAGACAGAAGATGGCAGACAGAAGATGGCAAACAGAAGAAGGAAACTACCATAAAGCAGAATGACCAGGCCCTTGCCCTTGCCGGGGATGATGTCGTCGACCTCCAGGCTGTCTTCGACCTTCTCGTCGGACCTCTCAACGCTGGACGAGATGTGGCTGCGCACGAGGTCAAAGAGGAGGTCCTTGGTGGACTGGCTCTCGGAGCCCTTCTTCCCCTTCTTCCGCTTGTCCGGCGCCGTGTCGTCGGCCAGCTTGAGCCGCGAGTTCCAGGCGTCCATGCTGTCTTCCTCGGCCGAGAGCCTGTGCAGCAGGTTGACCTGGAGCTGGGCCCACTGCTTCTGGTCGAGGATGTATCCCAGCACGCGGGGCGCGCACAGCAGGTACTGCTCGTCTTCCCACTCCTTGGCGTTGGCGAACCTGGGCTCGTCGAAGCGCGTGCGGTACCTGCGCGCGAGCTCGAGGTTGTTGGCGCAGTCGGTGCAGCTGCAGCCCGGGCCCATCTCATCCGACCTCAGCGGCCCGTTGCGCACGTCGGCCTGTCCGTACTGCGAGTACGACTCGTAGTCGACCATGACCCGGCTGTTGATCTCGGACGATCTGACGGCGGCGGGAGCAGCTTCGGCAGCTCGCCTCGCGTTGAGCGCCATGATGTTTTGGTACTCGTGGCTGTCAAACGACATGTTCGATCTCAAGTCCACCTCGGAATCCTAGAGAACACGATGAGTATTTAGCACGCCCGAACCCCTGTCCAGCACGTCTGGACGTGGGGATTTCCAGAACGTGGGAGAATAGGACGTGGGAGAATAGAACGTGGGAGAGGAGCACCAACGTCGTTTTTCATGCCGGCCAGGCCCTTCCTTTCCGAAATGGCCTTGCCCTTGTACTCAAATAGACGCCAGCCCTGCTTCGCCTCGCAGACGCTGCGGAAAATCTTGCCCCGCTCAATCAGTTTGGCACTGATGGCGTCGTGGTCCGGGTGCAGCTCAAAGGGATAGTAGGGCAGCGAGAGGAGCGGGAGGTGGCCGTCAAAGTGGTCAAAGACGAGGGTGAAGTCGGAGCGTGCAAAGGAGCCATCTTTCCAGTCATACGACCAGGCGTCCAGCCTCCAGGGGGAGTAGCCACGCCCGTCTCGCTCTCGCTGCCATGGCCAGGTCGCTTTGTTGTCCCTTACGACAAAGACCTGGGGTTCGCCCTGGAAGGGTGTCCCGAAAACGAGCTGGCCGGGCGGGAAGATGGTCCAGAGATCCTCAAACTGGATTGTCTCGGGCTGCTGGGATTTGTACTTTGGCCGCATCTTGAAGTACTTGTCGAGCTTCTCGTCGCCCGAGGACCCGCCCTTGATGGTTCCAAGGAGCAGCTTCAGGTCTTCGCGCGCCCGCTTGTCTTTGTCATCCTTCGGAGCCTCGTCGGCCGCGGCTTCCAGCTCGTCGAATTGGAACACTATGGCCTCGTAGGGCGAGTCGAGAGTGGTGGGCGCATCGCGGTAGATGTGATAGGGGTAGTAGCCCAGGTGCTTTTTGAGCAGGTCCCACAGGTCCGGGTTCGTAATGTCGATCTCGGAGTTGTTGGGCGTCGAGTTGACGGAGAAATCGTTGCCAAAGATGTTCTTGCGCAGGACGAAGGCGCACTGCTCGCGGTCCACCTCTCCGTCCTTGGGCTGGGGGAGTTTGGCGTCCTCCTCGATGGCCTCGCCTGTGTCGGGGTCCTTCCTGCTGACAACAACCTTGACTCGGGACTCGGGCACCTTATCCTTGTCGTCCTTGGCGTCGCCTGGAGCGGCATCAATCGCCCCGGGTCCACCCGGCTTGTTTTCGGCCTCCTTCTTGGCGAGTGCGGCCTCTGCTGGCGGAGCGCAGTGGCACTTGCAGGCGAGCTCGAGCACGGCCAACCTCTGCTCGATGGCTGCCAGCTTTTCCTCGAGGGACTACATGCGTTCGTGTTAATCGCAGCACCATACGAGAACAGCTTGACCATCCAACGTACAGTCACCGGGGGAGCAGCCGCCACGTCGGCCATGGCGGGTGTTGTTGCTCGTGTGATTAAATGGCGTCGAGATTATTTATACCCCAACCACGCGTCGAGAGTATTTATATTCCAACCACGCGTCGGGAGTATTTATATTCCAACCAGTGAATCAGGCGCGGTTGCGAGCTGCCGAAGCTCGGTGGTGAGTATGAAGAGAGACAGGAGAGTGCTGCTGGTCGAGGCTCCAGCCAAGCCCTATCCTATCCCCTCTTTCTACCGAGGGACCCCGGGTACCGACCCCATTATTCGGCGAAATAGTGCGTCTCAGGACTTAACCGTGGCCAATCACGCAATCGATCCATCTAGCTCAGCCTTGATCCTGTTCCTTGGCCCCTTAATTAGACGACTGCGCCACTGCAGGTTTCGCAGTTCGGCGGGCCTGGTTTTTCAACTTCCGGCCGCTGCGTGTCCTTGGCAACCAACGCGCACTTTATGCATCCAATCAGCGCCGTGGCGTGATCCTACATCCTTGGCCAGGCCCACTAAGGCCAGGCCCACTAAGACGCTACTATATTATAAGGCTGGTAGCACTGAGCTGCAGACTCGGGACAGGAACGAATTGGAGGCTGCTGACTGCGCCTCTGTGGCCCCTACACAGTAGCATGTACATGTACATACTACAGCACGACATCCCAAAGCAGTTCTAGTGCGTGTGGCATCAATACGCGGATTGACGCAGGAGTGTGCTTACCAAGCAATATGCGTGCCCAACAAAAGTCGTCTCCACAAAGTCGCCGTCTCCCACAAAATCGTCTCCACAAAGTCGTCTCCCACAAAGTCGTCTCCCACAAAGTCGTCTCCCACGCTCAGCCTTATCGTCGAGTGCTCGCCTCCTGTCCTGTCATATTTCCTCCAGAGTCTGGCCCATGATCCGATCCATGGATAGGAAGCATGTCTCGGGTGGGGACCACGTATCCGCAAAACGGGACCACCGAGCGCAAGAAGACGTTCAGTGAGAGGAATAGGTATTTATCCCAATCATCGATCGCCATGTCGGCTGTCCCAACTGATGTGCCCCAGTGAAAAGGTCAAGAAATGCGAGGAGAAGCAGGAGCGCCTGCGCACCTGGGCCGGGAAATCCCGAAAATTCACCCCCAAAGAGCAGTCGGCCCTGCACATCGACAGTAAGGAGGCTTTCAAGGAGTTCTGGGAGGTTTCGCTCGACGCAAAAGACAACTTCGACATTGAGCATGACGACAGGCCCGGGCGGCTTGGTCAGGGGGCGACCCACCTAGCCTCTTCGGCCTATGACATTCTGCAAAATGTCAGCCCAATGGTGTCCATAGTCAAGGACTTCGGGGCGCCCTACGGCAGCATGGCCATCGGAACCATCTGCTTCCTGTTTGCGGTAATTACGCACCTCAACCGTCGTGGGTGATGAAGCTCCGACCAAGTAACGTGCTCACAAGTCGAAAAGGTTGCCAAAAACCGGACCACGATGGAGAAAAAGATACTGGCGACGCTCGTAGACATACAAGACCGCCTGCCGGGTGTCAGAATGTACCAGCACATCTACAACGACGACCACGAGCTTGACCAGCAGCTGCAAACCAAGATCGTCGACGCCTACGACAGCTTCATCGACTTTTCTATTTCGGCATCGGACTTTTACAGCTGTGGAACTCTTCGTACGCATTCCTCACTCTATCAGAGCGCAGCAGGTTCACGCAAGATCCAGTACATGACCTAACAGCTTACCTCATTAGGCCGGTGGATTCGGGCGATACAAGGCACTGCAGAGGTCGATGCGCTAGCTGAACGGGTGCAAAAGACCGTCGTCGACGTGCGGCTGGTGTGCGAGGAGCTGCTGAGCAAGAACGTCAACGCGGTCAAGGAGAACCTGCGCGAGGTGAAGCAGCAGAACGTCGAGCTCAAGGGCGAGATCGGCGGGCTCAAGAGCCAGATCTCCGATATGCAGAACGACCACGATATCGAGGTCGTCCGCAAGCTGCTCGGACTCGAGGCCGTGTCGGACGCCGCCCAGCTCGCCCAGCTCGAGCGCCACCGCCGCAACGTCGCCGCTGAGTTCCAGGAGAGCAACTGGTACGCCGAGACGACCCCCGAGCACAGCCTGCAGGAAATCGAGAAGGGATCGGACTTCCAGGACTGGTCCCAACCGAAGCGTTCGGGCTTGCTCGTCCTATCCGGCCGTAACGAGGTCGTCGAGGCCAGCCACTGCTGGGTCTCGCCTCTCGCGTTGAACCTGGCCGCCAAGCTGGCTTCCGAGAACGCGGACTCGGACCCGTGTGTGTTCTATCTCCTCGGCCACCTCTCGACCGACGACACGACGGTCGACGTCCTCTCCTCCCTCATCCTCCAACTCCTAAGCCTCAACAAGGAAGCGCTACGCGTCAACCGGGCGCGGTTCGCCGAACTGCGGGCCGAGCTCGAAGACTACGCGCACGCGGCGCAGTCTCCTCGCCCCCGGGCCAACGATTTGAAGCACAAGCTGCAGAGCATCGCGCTGCGGGCCGTGGGCCTGTTCGACAGCAACAAAACCGTCTGGATCGTCCTCGACCGCGTCGACCAGTGCCGGGCCATGCTGTCCGAGTCGACCCGCAACCCGCACAGGCGAGACGGCCGCAGCCTGCTGCAGGCCATGGTGCACCTCGTCGAGAAGGCCGCCGTCACGGTAAAAGTGCTGGCTGTCGTCAACAGGGTCGACTGGCACGTCGAGGGCGACGAGCTGGGCGCTGAGCGCGAGGAGAGTGTGGTTGTGCGCGAGGTTAGCCAGAATGAGGATAACTAGCTAGACCTGGGTATATGAGTTCCTGGAACGTGCTTTATGATATTCATATCTAGACTACGTGCTCGAAGTAGCGCACTGACAGCTGGCACGAGAGACGCGTGTCCGTTCAGGGTTCGCTTCTTATGACGTTTATATGTCTGTCTATCTATCTATCTATTGATTGCTGTGCCACTGTGGAAAGGTCCAGCAAATCCTTTTTCAACCGAGATGTATTGTCTACTGTGTCTCCTGTGTCTAATGTGGGGAATTAGCCAGGACCTCCAAGTGCACCTCTGAGGTCGCGGAAACAGAATCACAATTACCGCTAACGTAAGAGCCATAACTAGTGCACAGGGGGCCAGCCCTTGAACTTGTTAATACGAATTAGAAGGCCTTGTTCAACACGTTGGGCTTCCAGTTGTCCCAACGACATGGTACGGCTATTGTTCCCTATACTGACCGTCCTGCAAAGCCGATCCCAAGTCGATGCTGTGAATCTAGGCGCTATCAAGAGTGCAAAGTCCTCGATGCTGACGAGTTGGCATTTACGCACTAATCCAAGTAGCTCTGAGCTATCTAAGCTATCATGCTCAGATTCAAACTGGAATACTGTGTGATCTCGATGATCGGTTATGCTTGGTTGCTCCCGGAACGTCAAGCCCAGTACCTTGGCCGACCTAGATTTGCTGACATTCTTGGCGAGTATCTGGAATTCCTGCATTCTGGGTGACTTGGACATCTCCCCATTCGCCTCGAGAGCCTGCAAGTATAAATTGAGGAGAAACGCCAAGTCCACCTCGAGGATAACACGATTGCTGTTCAGCTGGAGGTCGACCTGATCGCACCAAGCAATGTTGAATACGAGTGGATCGCCATTGTGCATCAAAACTAGGATGGTCCGTTGCCTGAGGGTTGCCCCGAGCTTGCTGGTTTGACGGCAAAGATCCGCAACCGCTGGCCTCGTCGCCGTCGAGTCACACACAAACGCCATTTAGGTTCCTTGATCTTCAAGGATGAACTTCATAAGTGTGCTTTTTCCAGAGCCAGGCTCGTCATTGACCCAGAAAAGAGGTTTTCCTCGACGCAAGCCAGTGAAGAAAGGCATTCTCGCTACCCTCTGCAAAGATCCAATGGAATGAATCAGGGTCGGAGTTTCGCACGGCATTGGCGCGGTTGTTCATTCCGGGGTATTTGAGACTGGAAAGAAGCTGCTGCAGTCTCTGCTTAGACTTTTGTTCGTGGAACCGATTGTCGGTATGAAGTCGCCCCGGTTTATGCGCCTCCATCTGCTGCTTCAGTTGAGTTTCGACATGGTCCTGGAGATACTCTTTTCAATCAGGGTTATAAACGAGCCACTCTCCATGACAAGGCGTGATAGCTTACCCTCCGCTCTGGAGAATTCCGTGAGGAATCTTTTCAGGTCGTTGTAAAGACGACCAAAGCCCGCGCTAAGCTGGATGGCCACGGCATCGGCCGTTGTCCTGCACAGAGAGAACGGCGCAGGTCAGCAAGATAAAAGGTCAATATCCACGTGTATCGGAGTCTTACATGATATGTATCAGGTTGCAGTGCTGAAGATTCTCTAGTACCGCCGTAAAGTCTTTTTCGCATTGAGCGATCCTCCTATACCATAGTTTGTCTGAAAGAACGCCCCAAGTATTCTTTTACCATCTGCCGCTATAGGCGTCATCAATAGCGGCTCGCAAGGCTAAAGAGACAGCCAAAGTCTTTTTAGCGACATCGTACAAGTCTTGTACGTCTTGGCGGTTTGGTCCAGCCGAGGCCGGCAGCTTGCTCTTCAGACCTTTGGAGATTTTTTCCAGAATCTCTGCCCGCTTCTTGAGGCTTTGGTCTGAAGGCTTGATGTTGGTGACCGTTTGGTAATCTGCGATGATCTGGCTAGCAAAGCCGATCACCTGCATGATATCGGAAACGAGACCTAAAGCAGTGGGAGCCGATTTCTAGGCGCGGGTAGCCGTAGCTTCCCGAAAAATGGCACGCGATAGAAAGGCTTGCATGTAATTGTACAGGCAGCGTTTTGATGGAGTCGGGTGCGTTGGGTGAAGGAGAGTGTGTTGTGTGAAGGAGAGTGTACTGTGTGAAGGAGATTGTGCTGTGTGAAGGAGAGTGCGCTGTGTGAAGGAGAGTGCGCTGTGTGAAGGAGGGTGCGCTGTGTGAAGGAGAATGTGTTGTGTGAAGGAGCAGGAAAAGGAATTGCCTCAGATCAGAAATTAAGGTCTAGGCTTTGGCCCGTGCGCGGTTCAGCTGGATTGCCTGTAGTTCCTTCTAGATTAGGTGTAGAGATGTGGCGGAAGGTGGCTGCCCAGGTGGGAGACGACGTAATCAGCCCAGTCCTACTCCTTACCTTACCTCACCGCTTCTTTTCAGATCGAATTGCGCAAATACCAGATGGCTGGAAGGAAGCGGTAAGCCCTCTCTCTTGGTAGGTACCTAACTTGATGTGCCCGCACCTTTCTTCTTCCCCACTTGGATCAAGGTTCCGAGAAGATAGCGGGGTCTTTCACAGCTGTCTAGTGATAGGGAATGAGCAGGAAAGGGGTAAGCGGTTGGGACGAAAAATCAAAGGGGCAACGCAACATACAAGGACGCCACACAGTAGCACCATGGCAGTAGCAGTGGCAAGTACCAGCACGCATGGCAGGTACCGCACGCATGGCAGGTACCGGCACGCAGATTTATCCCCAGCAGAACCCGGAGCAGCACACGCCGGTTAAATCTACCCTAGACGCTCACCTACACCCGCAGATAAACCCGTCTCGAATCGATTGAATTACGACCCAAATCTCTGCTCTCGCCTCTCGAAACAGACCGCCAATAACCTCAAACAAACCGTCACGAACTTACAAACCTCCCCACAGCCGATCCGATGCTCCCTCAAACAATTGCCAGTCTGGCGTTTGAGATGCTCGCCCGCCCGTCTTCGGCGCGCGTTCTTCACCGACAATCGAGATCCTGCGCGCTGCCCAGCTGGACGCTCGAGTCGCTGCGCGTGACGTATAGCGACGACACGTACACGCCGGGGACGGCGCAGCTCAACATCACCAGCTCGGCTACCAACCGGACCGAGGCCGTGTCGTGCGACCTGCAATTCAACAGCCTGTGCCAGATATTCGGCACGGCGGCCGATGCCGCCCTGCAGATCTACCTGCAGGTGAACCTCGACGCTGCAGTTATCTCGTTCAACGAGTCCTGGACGGGCTGCAGCCCTAATGGTCAGCCCGGGGTTCCGGTGCTGTAGGTTTTTCTTCTGTCTTCGTCTTTTTCTTTGGGGGGAGGGGGGGTTTGAGAGATAATTGCGCAGCTGCTGACACGCGCCAGACCGTCTTTTGCCGTAGGCTCCAGCGAATTCGAGGTCGTCTGTCCAGCTCAGATCGAAGACACCATGTCGTGTACGGGCCCGGTTGGGGGCCCACTGTTGGTCAACACCAGCATTGTCGCGTCCACGCCTGAAACAGACATCTAAAATGAGTAAAGAATTAGATTGGTACGGATTTATACTGGGGGAAATATCATGGTTTGATATACTGGGGGAATGTCATGGTCTGATATACTGGGGGAAATATCATGATCTGATATACTGGGGGAAATATCATGGTCTGAAAAATCAGTCTATGAACTCAGGAGGCACGAAGGTCGTTGATGACGGAATATGTATTTCTACGAACCAAGACTCAGCGCTTAAGAGTTCATGTTACAGACCCACAGCAGCTTCTATTTTCGCTTTTGCTTTGCGCAACTGTAATAACTCCACAACACCACCGCCCTCACAACACCACCGCCCTCCCCACAACACCACCGCCCTCCTCACAACACCACTACCACCCGACGTCCTGGCCGAGTATCGCCGGCGGCAGGCCCAACCCACAGTTCTCCTGCGCGCAAGCCGTAATCGTATGCACGTACCTTATCTTGCCACCCTCGACGCGAAACTCATGGCTATCTGGCTGGCCGTTGGGGCCGCCAAAGCGCAGAAACACATCAACCACACCCAGGGTCTCATCAATCACATACCGGCGGTCGGCCAGGTCGACGCCGCTGGGCACGCCGCTGTTGCACGTGTCGCCGGGCGCCGTGTACAGCCCGCCCTCGAGGCGGCGGCAGTTGTCGGCCCACGGCACGGCGACGCTGCCGGTGCCGTTGCGGAACAGGTCCAGGTACGCGTCGCCGGCGGCCTGGATCACGGCGCGCGAGTCGCGCTTGGACGCGTCGATGGGCGACCAATCTTCGAGCAGTGCGTAGTGCAGCGTGTGCTGCGCGTTGAACAGCCAGTCGCCGGCGTCGGTGACGACGGATTCGACGCGCGCGATCCTGTTGTTACTCAGGCGTAGCTGCGTGCCGATCACGTACGGGTGTTTTGGGTCTGTGACGATGAGTTCTGTGTACGCTGCGCAGGCTGCCGTGTCGTAGATGCTACGCGTGTGGTCGATCTTGAGCGGCGTGCCGAGGATGCCCGATGTGATGTTGGTGGCGACCGCGTTCTCCGTGTACGTGGCGTTGGCGCCGAGTGAGGTCAGGTACTGGATCTGCCCGGCGCTCTGCGCGGCGATGTAGCGGCTGGCGGTTTCGACTAGCGTCGACCGCTCGCACGCCGCTGCGCTCGCCCACGCCGGCGCGGCTGCGAGGAGGTAGATGAGAGCGTACATGGCGTTCTAGGATAGCGATGAGATGGCTCGTCAGGCAAGATACATGGCGTTTTAGGATAGCGATGAGATGGCTCGTCAGGCAGGATGCAGAGCGTGGGTTGGGTTTTGCATATTCTACCAGGGGAGAAGCTGGGTGGCTTCAAGGCGTCACGGCTCGGGAGCCGCGGATGGTGCTCCGCTGTCCAGCCGGGAGCACTGCGACTGGTAGGCTGGGATAACCCGATAGGCTGGGATAGCCCGACACTGATCAACCGCCGAGGCCAAGACTTCCCGCCGGGGTGTTGCACATATGTTCCTGCATTCTGCCAATGCACAAGCTGGCGGTGCAGACTGGGCACTCGCGGCCGTTGCCGGTAGTTGCTCGAATCCACCCACAGCAGCAGTTCAAGGTGGAATCATCCGTCAATGAGATGCCGCCAGCACGCAGATATTAGCCTCGGGTGCAGCAGCCATCCCCGCGCGAGACGACGGTGCAGCATGGCACTATGGAGAATGATATATTAGCAGGCCAATCACTGCGGGCGCAGGCGTGGCCGCAAGCCGGGAGCTCGCTCGACCCGCCAGGCAATTAGGCACGGGGGCTATAGGCACGGAGGCTATAATCAGGGCTGGTTCCCCGTCCCGGTTCCTGGCCGAGGCCTGGGGCCATCTCTCGGGACAGGCAATAAAAATGCGTCTTCAACTGTTGACTCTGAGCTGGGCATTGGTAATGTTCGCTGTCCAGGGCCGGTCCATGTACGGTCATCTCTTTTCTATCCCCGCAACGATCTGTCCCAATAGGTGAGACTAATGAGAGTGACAGCCCCCTCGCCGCGCGGCAGGACCCCGACTACGGCTGGGTGCTCGTGGGGTACGGCGAGCCCGACTGCAAGGGCGCCGTGGTGGCCAACTGGCGGGGGTCCAGCTACGTGCCGCAGTGCATCGCCATCAACGCCACGCAGTCGGTGGCAGGCGGGTCCGGCGCCGGCACCAACGTGAACCTGTGGGAGGACGACCGCTGCACCGCCCCGGCCTCGTCCTTCAAGGCCAGCGGCGAGGACCCCAGCGGCTATCCCTGCTACAACACCGTCGTGCGCTCGTTTACTGTCGACAAGTGAGCCGAGGGCAGGTCAATGGGTCGGCGGCGAGTGGTGGGGAGGATGGGTTACATTCAAAGTCGAGCCCTGGATTTCCCACGTCTGGTCCGAACAGAACGTCGCTCTGTAGATCGACAAACAAAAAGTTGTTTTCAGTTTCAATCGAGCGATTTCCACAGTTAGATCTAGCACCGAAGTGAAACGGCTTGCACTCTATGCCACAGACACGCTAAATGACCACAATCAAGGTAAAGCTTATCTACTTGGGTAGTCGGTCGCTTAAAAGAACAGGGCCTCATCTAGAGATGGTTAGATTAAAATCAGGCTCGCTTTGGCTCAGTCCAGGCTTACTAGTACTATTGTTATGACCCACACCTAAAGGGTTGAGAAAGATCGCAAGGCAGCACGCCTAAGAGTTGGTAGCGATCAGGAGACTGGATGTCGAAGCAAGTCCTCACAGACGGGTATAGTGGCACTACAGAGCTCGTCGACATACTCTAGCGTGTGCCAAAGGGATGCGTGAAACAGGAAGGATCCAATGCCGAGCCCGAGGAGAGAGATGGACATGAAATCCAGCTTGGGCGCGAGAATTCTGCGGCTTCCCGGCCTGTACATTCAGCGCAAGGCGAGGATAACTGCAAGCCTGCGTCAACCAGTCGTCTTGCCAGGAAAGCCTACAGCAGGACCGGCGGTGGAATGGCAACCTACTGCATGCGAAATTCGTCAATGAGTTGACGAGCTCAGCAACGCAGAATGAAATGGTGTAATCTTCTTCACAGAAACTAAGCTACCATACCCCAGCCCCAACGGATCACTCTAGCAGTGGATCAACCATTTACACCAAAACAATACCTTTTTGAAGAACAATAACGTAGTCAATTGTGAAGCTATTCGCAAGTAGACAACTGAGCTATTCGCAAGTAGACAATTGAGCTATTCGTAAGTAGACAATTGAGCTAGTTATGTAATTGCATCTAGTTTAATCTTAGTATGGACTTATCAGCCTAAAGCCCTATGTTTTTTTTTTTGCTACATTATCGCAGAATAGCTCCAAATTAACTCCAAATTAGATTTCTAATATTCTTCTCCCCCTACTTCTGAGTGTAAATTTCGTCTTGTACTACCACAATGTCTGAACAAAGTGACGATAATAGGGTCAATACGTACCTAGACATCACAGACAATAAGATTTCTATTCGTCAATCGGCTCAAAAGCTGGAGTTTCTTATGCAACGTTGAACCGACGACTCAATGGAGCCCCCCCCCCCCAAAGACGAGGTCCTCCAAACACAACGCAAGCTCACAGAGCTTCAAGGAAAGCGGCTCATTAAGTGGATCATCAAGCAGGAAAGACTCGACTTTGCTCCTAGTTACTCAACAGTATCTAGCATTGCTACAAGGCTCTGGAAAGAAGCAGGGCAAAAAGACCGTAAAGAGAAAACTGGATTTCTAGCCTCAAAGCTGGAAACCCCGACATTTGAGCCAAAGTAGGCAAGAAAATGGAAGCCTCTCGCTTCAACGGGGTTACTTACAAAGCCGTCATCTGGTGCTTCAATATAAGGGAGAAAGAATACGACTGAATCAAGCCTGAGCTTACCTTCAACGTCGATAAGGCCGGCATTATGGCGGGCTTTGGTAAGTAAATAATGCCTAGTTATATTATCTATTACTTATATTATATATGGCTTGATTCATTAGTTCTAGGGACATCAGAGACGAAGAAAGCCTATCTAAAAAGCGACCAAGGTTGAGGCTGGTCCACCATTATCGAATGTATTAGTGCCGGGGGCGACGGCGGCGACGTGCAATTGCGGTAAAGCTGCATTGCCAACGCTTGGAGCGGGGCAGCTAGCGAACGCGGTAATTTTGGCTGTAAAATGTGATATTTTCCTGGGCGATGGGCCGTAACGCTTGGGCGCCTTTGTACTTACAGTGCATGGCGACGATTTAACAGTGGAGGGTTACGCTCTCATTTTTAAAGGAAAAGGCGGGGTTTGAAGAGGAAATGCAGAAAATCTGTAACTAGCCCTTCGTTACTATAGAAAAGGGCTAGACTGACAACTAAATAGCGATCAGCTGGCTTGAGGATATTTTTATTCCACAAACCGACAGGCTCCTGGACTAAGACCGACAGGCTCCTAGACTACGACAAAGAGGCTCGGCTGCTTATTCTTGATGGCCACGGTAGCTACATAACTGTAAGAGATAAGTCCCGTACGCTCTTTCATCCAGTAATTTCATAATATATATATATGACGACTTCTTGACGACATACGGCCTGAATGATATATATCTTTGCTTCCTGCCGGCTCACAACTCTCCGGTTTACAGCCACTTGATAACGAGCCTTTCAACGCTATCAAGGCTCTCTTAGACGTGAGTTAGCCAAGTTGGCTAGACTAACCGAAAAGTCTTCATGGGGGACCTAGATATAAAGGGACTCATGCAAGAAGTTCTGAATGGTAAAATATCATCTCCAGCTTGGCTAGGGACTCGTGGGCGTGGTTTGGACTACAAAGCTGTCCAGATCGAGGGCAATCTAGTCGACGTGCTTTGCAAAACCCAAGGACTGCAAAACCCAAGGAGTGCAAAAGGGAACGGCTGGCTTTCTTCAACAAGAAGCCTCTACTCTTATCGACTACGGTAATTTATTGCCTAGCTACATACTGAGCCACACGACATGCTATTCGTACCACCGCGACTATTGCGCTTTGCAAGAGCTTTTTCGCCTAGGAGCAAACCCCAGCCCGAGAAGATTACGGGTCATGGTACTTCAAATCTCGGTTTACCGGAGAGACCTAAAGGGTGTCAAGAGTCTCTTGGCAGCTGGGGCAGATCCGAATAACACAGGGGACCCGCACGGAACTATAGGGCACGATCCAAACTTGCTCTTTCCTGAACTCCACGACGTCGCGCCAGTTGATATTCTGTATCAATTTGAGACGCCGCTTTACCATAGAATGTGAGACCGCGAGGAGCAAGATATTGCGACATTTGAGATTAGAGAGCTATTGCAGGCTTAGAGCTTCACCACCCGAGGGAGGGTGGCGGTAGGACAGCAACGGGGGGAGCCAAGATGCCGAGAATCGATCACAATGGGCGTTCGTCGCTAGGGTTAACTGGCTAGAAGAGACAACAGTCGTCAGGTTCAACAATTAGGGTAGGCACTAGTCGCTAATCCTTTGACTCGACACCTGTCGGTCTATTGCCTTGTAAAGCTTGTGTGAGTTCTCGGCCGTGGTTTCGAAATTGAACTTGTCATTTTACTATGCGGTGCAAGTCCCGTCACAGGCCCTACAAGCACAGACCGTTCCGATCATTTAGAGTCTTCCAAACAATCACCGCCCGACCAGCATGAAAGTATTTAGAACGAGACATCGGGATAGGTGGTCTTTGAGGTTGCAACCGCCCAAGCCGTTTCGATAGAGATCGACGAGGTGCTCCTGCACCGGGCGCACCATGGCCTTCGCAAGCACCATGCCCAGCTCGAAAGAGACCAACGCCGAGATCACCATCTTCCACACCGTGTGCGCGTGCTCGGGCTCAAACACGACCAGCTAGCCCTCACCCACCGCGACGCTGGCGCACCTTCATCGAGAGAGAAGTGTAGGGCTTTCAAGTCTTGGCATGCATGGGCACTGCATTTTTAGCCCTCACGGGGAGAGTGGTTGGGGTGACTAAAGAGGTAGTCGGGATCTAAAACAGAATTCTCTTAGCGTCCGAGGACGGTTAGACAAGAAACAGCCTCGCTTCAGCCCGGATCACCTTCGGCTCACCCCGGCTCAGCCTACGCTCACCATGTCACGCAATTATCAACTTTAAGCGACTCTCTCGGGGACGAGTTCTGGGCCTCGCTCTCCTAATGGCCTAAAAGAGGGCCCAGTAAGCAGGACCCATTCTATCTACCTCGCCTTAGCAACAACCTTTCAAACGGAGGCCCAGAAATGGTCCCGAGAGTATAGCGTATTCACTCTCCGTTTTGAAATGCTCTAGTTATCGTAATCTTATCATACACTGAGTAACCTATAGATGAGGAGGCAATTTTGCTCTGTCCTACTACCTACCGCGCGACTGTTCCTTCCCCAAATAGATAAAAGACGCAGTTCCGCTCCTACCACCTACTACACGACTATTCTTTTCCATCCCACTAAATAAAGAGGCAGCTCGTTCTGTCCCTACCTACTACGCGACAATTCTCTCGTATTCCTTATATCCGTTGTGTTCCTACCTTCTTTCAAGCCAAACCTTCTTCTCCCATATTTCTCGTATACCTTATACCATTTCTGCTCGTACCTTTTACTTCAACCTATACTATACATGCCTCCATAATGCCGCGGAAGAAGAGTCCTACGGACTTCTTTCGGCGGGGAAAGGAGAATGGTTCCGGAAATTACACTGAGGGAACCAACGGTACTATAGTGTAAGGAAAGGACACCCCAAACACCAGCCGCGCGCACAGGGTGCGCGCTCACCACCTGTTACCAACTAGCCGGAACACTGCCAGTTGGCACAAGCCACTACGCCACGCCATGGCACCCCGGGCCTGAGCCCCTGAGCACGTATATAAACAGTGGCCCTCGCCCACCTTCCTTTGCGAGGGCCAGGTTGAAGTCTCACACCAATACTACTCGTTGCTCACCAACCTTCTTACCTGCATTGTGACCACCTTGATCCGGCGTACCTGCCTTCTCTTACATATAGTTCATAAGAAGCCAACTGAGAAAACACTAAAAGACTACCGTCGTATGCTGGACCTATAGAACCGGTAAGAACCTTGAGTTATCGTCAAAGAAAGGGTAGCATTATGATCTAACTTTCCTATAGATATATTGAAGACCATCCCAATACCAACGCCTACGATCTCATATCCTTAAAGGACTTTATAAAAGATGTGTCACGGCAGGTGCAGACAGCTGACTAGATTTGGATAGTGGTCCGTGCACACCATAACCGCGTGACCCACACCACAACCCACTTCCCCCGCGCTCCGCCCAGGCCTCGGAAGCTTTCTTTCCTTTTTCCTCCTTTAGCTTTAGATTCTACGAATACAGCAACCACATTACAGCCCTGCCTCTCTACAGTTGACTGTGCGGTGACAAGATTATTACAAACCACTCGACTGTTAGGGTCGTCTGTCTGTAAGGGAGCACGGGCTCCACAGAATGCCGGGGTTGGTAATTATGAAGATAAAACAAAGGGCAAGCTCCTATCGCACGGGTAATACAGTCAAATCGGAATGCCACTCAAAGTGTATGAGTGCAGTGAATGTGTATTGCTTGCTTGAAGAACCAAGCAAGAACTATCCAAGACCGTGGATACGGTCATCGTATTTATTTAATCATGGCGGGCCAGTAAGAGCGCAGCTCTTACTTGCCCGACAGGAAGGAGCTGCCTGGCGCCGGGCACTGCTAGCGTGCCGGGCCATTTGCCTGGTGCCAAGACCCTTCTTGGCACCGGGCCACCCCTGATTCGCCGTCCTTCCGTTTGCCTGGTGCCAAGAGCCCTCTTAGCACCGGGCACCTGTGAGGACCCGTCCACCAAACTGGCCCTGAAGCAGCCAGAGCCGCCCAGAACCCACGGGCCTATCAGAAGCCTCCTCGAGGCCCCACCTACCCCACTGATAGATGCAAACTTATTCGCGAGCACGCGACGCGTTGTCGGACTTTTCCTTCTTTCCCTCCTCAGTTTAGAATCTTCGTCGATAGCACCCAATGGACTGAGTTCACCTCAATGCCTTGCCCTGGTCGTGACAGCACCGTCTGATTGGCTCTAGACAAGCGAGGCCCCCAGTCTTGCCTGAGAGGCGCCTGCCTTCTGCAGCTGGTCCAGTACGAACTAGGTTCGTCACAAAGATGTTACATTCGGTATCGACGATGCTGAAGACGACCCTGATCCAGGGCAAGGGACGGTAATAGTATATTGGAAGCAGTTCACGGCTGGTTGGCGTCGCGAAAATAATACTATTCCGGGAGATATTACAGTCTCGGTTACAAATGTACGTACTATCTCTTGGACCTGAGCAAATTTAACTAACTTGGTGGTAGTTTATTAAATATGAGCTGCCCGAAATACTTAAAAGAGAGGGTAAAAGGATGGTACAAAATAAGAGGACAAGAAGGTTTGGTACGAAAAGCCACTTTCTTTATTTAGGAAGGTAGCTACGGAATGATTGGGTGGTATACGATAAGCCCGCAACGAGGGTGTACGACTGGGCCGATATGCTTATTATCGTATGCTCTTCTGCGCGTATCGGCGAGTACACGATACGAAGAGTATTATAAAACTCTATCTGGCCGCAAGCGCAAACCGACAGAGAAAGTTAAAGCTGCTGGGGGTTGGAAGAAGCTTCACATCAGCACACGACCGCAAGCGGCGAATAGGATGTCTTCTCGCCGCCGTCGAGGCATTAAGAAGCCACGTACTCGCCCCTTTCTATACTCTCCTACTCAAGGGACTAATACCTGTTTACTAACATCAGCTTAGGAAGATTAAGGTCGCAAGTATCCGTTCAAAACCAGTTCTTAGATAATGATGGCTACGTCGAATTCCCGGATTTACAGCGATTGTTTGGTTTGAGGGCAACAGAGGAGAGAGAATTGGACGAAGCGATTCACCTCAGCAAATAAAGGGACCCATCAAAATTGTCAGGAGTCTAGTGGCCCTTGCTCGAACGTATATTACCGGCCCGACACAACTAACTAGATCACAATTATTGAGCGTAGCATAGCAGGAGGCAAGTGGTTGCACACCGGTAGTAATCTTCACAGGAGAGAACCTTCAAGGCCAGCAAGCATGGAGAATAGGACAAATAAAGGTTAAGTACCACCCGCTAACGGTGTGGGCTCGAGAGTCACCAACCCTGGTTGTCGTCGGTGTCTACCTAGCGCTCGGTTATCCTTCGTCGGGGCCACCGGCCTCCTCTATTGGTGTATAATTACCGTATGATACTTTCTGGCCGTATGCTGTGTTCGGTCGAGCTACCCTTGCCTCTAATCCTGGATTCTTGCAAATTCGACCAATTCTCATCTGTGTTTGTCCCCCTGAGAACATGACTCGTAGCGATCCGGCCACTTCTGCGTCACATATCTCTATAGGTTGTGCTGCTCAAGAAAGTTGGCGGTGTCGGTTCCCCGATGTGGACTGTGTAACAGTGTGGTGATTCGATGGGTTGACTTGCTGGAATACGAGCCCTGAGGTGTCCACAGCTGTCCGACTTGAGCAGAGGGAGTTGCTAAACGCCAAGAAGCAGCTTACATTAAAATATTTTTCAGGCGCCACGCTTCTTGGGGAGCTTAGGGGGAGGGCGGTCTGCTCTCGCTCACAAACGACATAGACAGCCTTGTCCCGTTCAAAGCTTTTCTCCCCGTTTGCCAAGGCCCTAGAACTGAAGATGTCGTTTGCCAAACTCTGTAGCCTGAAGCAATTACAGCGCGACAAAGACTATGTAGTAGGAGGGCAGGGCTACCCCGAGCAGCGTCCGCCAGCAGTCCCACTTCAAGGGTTGACTACCATTGTTTCATTTCTTTACTAGCGGCACCGCCTTGCCGAGGACCGCAACGTTGTCGACGTAGTTGTACACTCTCTCGCCGTCGCAGACCTTGGCTACGTAGAGCGACAGGAGGACTGGGGACGGAGGTGAGCCTAGGGGGAGGCAGTGAAAGGACCTTGCTTCGGCGGGTTTAAACGACGGGCGCCGGGGACGTACGGAGGGAAAGGCTTGCGTGACATCTTTCGTCAACCGAAACCGTGCGGTCAACCCACCTAGCAGCGTCGATGTCGTGGAGAAGAGCAGCGAGGAGGTCAGTGGCGGACCTGCTGCGCACAGAGCCAGCCTGCGCGTCCCGCAGCGTCCCGTTAAGAACAGCCGCTTCCTATGCCTTCCCGAGACTTACTCACAATGCAATTAGTAAAATCCCGGTGCGGGTGTCTTCTGTCAAGAAATTTCTTAGTCTCCATGGCACGGCCTGCGTATCAATGCAAGTTATTTATTGTGCTATACTTCTGAAAAGAGTGACGGTAACATGTTACTTTACAAGCCAAAAATAGTAAAGGAGCGTTATTCTCTAGTGTTTCCAATTAGGCTCCACGACTGAGTATAAACCGGTCCTTCCGTGATATAGGTACGGAATGACGTGTAGGTCGTCTAGTTGGCACCATCCTCCGTCTTCCACTCAACCAATCGTGCGCCTCCATGGCTATCGTACGCTTCGCACGACAACCACGCCAAGGTACGTCCATCTGCAGCAATCCTAGCGTCTCGCGAGCGACCAAAGATCTCTGTCTCATTCTGTGGGCTGATGACTCGCCAGTGAACGTCTTGGGGATCTTGGACGTGTGTCCATCTCTCAATGAGGTCAGAGTTACGGTCAAGTCGTGGGCGATATCGGCATACGACATAATTACCACGCGCATCTTTTTGGGTCTGATGCGTTCCATCAGGGTTTATGGCCCACTCTCCAGAATCCAATTTTCTAAAGACAGGGGCCAGTTCGTCACCATCTAGCAGAAAAATATCCTATCGTCGATGTACTTTGGGAGACCGTCCACCGTCTTCCGCTCAATTGAGGACACGCCTGCCAAAGCCCAGCCAAGCCCAAAAACACCATTTCCACCGCCGAGTCGTACTTTAGAGCCAGGTCGGGCGTACCCCATCGTATGCATAGGGAGATGGGAATCGGAATCTTCAACGATGCGGTTCCACTAGCGATATCCACGTCAAAGGCTTCGTTCATGCCCCTGATCGCGCCAACCCCGGTCGGAGCTGTCACCGAAGGAAGTAGATTGTTGTCTGCACTGCTTCTGCCCTGTGCCTCGATGGCGCCCTGGGGTGCATTGTAGACGGAGAGCTCGGCAGCCTGGATACTCCGCGGGCCGCTGCTGCTGCCTGACTGACGCGTCGGCCTGTTGGTGGCAGTGCCTTCCTTCCCTAACCATACGCTGGCCTCTAGAAAAGAGTGCAAGCATTGACCTCCTTCTTTGGTTTGGGCTCTGTTGCTTTCTGTTTTGTCGGGTTATTGAGAAGCTTTTGGTCGAGGGTTAAGCCTTCTCGTCTGTCCCGTGAAACAACTCGCCGGGTTATTTTGGATGACTTCTGCACGGCTTCGAACGGCAAGGTGAGGTCCTGACATGACGCAAATGACGTCGTTCGGTTGGGGTAGTCAAGGTTCGCGCCGTATCGTGCGAGGAAGCTGGTGCCCAACGGCATGTTTAGCTTGAGATTCGTGGTCAATAGGGCTCCGACTGGGAATTTTCCTGTGACCTCTACGCCTTTGACGATTCCTGGCAGGTAGAGATCAAATTTTATGGGGCTGCAGTCGCCGTCAACCTGTGTCTTGTCGACATCAATCTCCTCTTCCTAATTGGTGTCCTTCGTGATCTCAGCAGGTGCGGCCTCGAGTATACTTCTTAGTACCTAGTGAGGTTTCGATCTCCTTTGCCTTGCCCTCAAGTGCTTGGAAGTCTCTCTTAATGACCTCAGAGGCTTTGTCGGTAATTAGGCCAAACGTGAGTGCCTGTAAATCTTTGAAGTTCCATTTATTATCTCCTAGGTACAATTATTTACCAATTCTTTGGCCTAGGATCATCTTGAGCAACCCAAGGTTCGTTTGACCGATCGTCTGCCCCCACAGTCAACCAAACGACCTTTTTATCATTAACCTCAAAAGGAGTGCGAGAAGGAGCTGCGCGTATACGCCCAGTTACTTATTAGATCTCGAACACTATCACTATCGCGCATATACTTCAAGATCACGGCTCGGTAGTTATTGCACATGGATAACACGGAAAGATTGAGGCCTAAGATTCGAGAAATTACCACGTCCACACCCCTATATCCACAGCCTCAAGGGAATGAAAACGCGATCAGACTTATCAGCAGGGCCTCTGTGCTAGCCTACAAACATCTCATCATGCATCAAAAGAAAAAACGAACCCTCGATCTTTATCAATTAGAGGGATGGGACCGCCGCATCAAGGGCAGCATTAACGTCGTCAAAGGAGATATAAGCGGCCCTAATTGGCTCCTTGACGCCCTGGTCGAACTTGACCGTGGCCGTCAGCTTGGCAAGTGTGGTAGCTGATGCCGGTGCCGATGAATTGAGAACTTGGCGATGGGGATGTGATGGCTTATTAGGTGGAATGGTGGATGAGGGGAGAGTCTTAAGTACCTATTGGAAAAAGGATGCGGAGGAGGAGCTTATGCCTCAGCCTTGTAAGAGTACCTTGGAATGTAACTTTATAAACTTTCGTTGTGCAAACTGATTCTTGTTCATGCCCAAGACAACTCACGGCTTGAGTTTCAACAGACAGCGACTCTGAACACACAGAGCGGTACACCACAAAACGTCGATCAACCAGCCTAGGTACCAGTCACTTCACTTTCAAAGTCACCATGTCTTGATAAATACACCTGTTGGAATTTGTCAAGCAGAAGGGCCTCGAAGGTTCTAGATAGAGACTTCGCCACCCACTTCGCCACCACAATAGTAGTATAAGAACGGGCTTTCTGGCACTGCCAGAAAGCTAGAGAGAGAAGAACAGACATCTACAATCCATCACTTGAACCACCAGTTTTCGGCGTGCAGCCACGCCCTGTTGAGTCCAGTACCGGTACCCTGGTGAATCCAACACTGATCAGTGGTTAACTCACCACTGTTGGGACAACAGTCCTCCGCCACAGATCAGCAAGGAGCAACAGAAGAGACAGCGCCGTAGAGAACGGTCGGACCCGAAGGCCGGCCCTCTCTACGAACCTGTGCTAAGGAAGGCATCCCCAACTACGGAAGAGATGGTATAACGGAGCATTCGTGCCTCGAATCTCAACCGCAGCCCAAGGACCTTCGAATCTACGGAAGAAGTGGCCGTGACCGTCTCCCTGGCGTCACCTAGCCGTAGAGCGTCTACCACGCAACAAACCCTGAAAGACGACCTTCCAGGCCAACAACGACCTACGTGTTGAATCATCATTCTTTTACCTTCATTCATTCTTTTCGACCTTCAACCATTCCATTCTACCATAATCCATCCGGCTTCAATTCTTCGGTCTTTTCAACATTCCTTCATTTTTCGGCCCTTCTCAACATTCTTTCGCATTCTCTCGCTTTCCAGCACTTTCCTTCGACTCCCAGCTTTCCAGGCCAGTCAACAGCCCATCCCTACGTTCCAGGCCAGCCAACGGCTCGTTCGTACACGCCTAAGATGGCCACGGGCACAGAGAACGACGTTATTACGTCCCCGACCCCTACGCCTAGCCAACCAGCGCGCTCAGAACCCCTCAGCAGCCCTACCCCCGGACCCTCGGTCCCTCCCGACCTTCAAGGGGAGGTAGACCCTCTAACCTGGGGCCGGCTAAGCGCGTTCGATCGACTCCCGTCGCCAACAAATGAGCAGATCAATGGGCACATCCACTTCCTGCTACGCTCCTGGCAGAAAAACCCCCTAAAAGGAAGATACGCATGGGTACAGTTTACTGAGGAATTCGAGCACTGGGATAAAGCCGCCTGGGCGAAGATCCCGGGTCGAACACAGACTACCCTACGTAACTGGCTCCGGGGTAACGGAGTCTTCGTTACTATGGATGGTGACAGGATCCACAATAACCTCCAACGAGCAGCAACAGCGAAGGAGTTCCACAGATGGTCTGACGCGGACGTCAAGTACGAGAAAGGACGGAACAAGGCCTTCAAACTAAATACCCTAGACCCTGACTTCCTTCGGGAGATCCAAGAGCCCGACGACGATATAGAGGAGCCCGAAAAACCTCCTACGGCATTTTCACCTCGGGAACCACCTCAAGGACCCCAGTACCCCCAGCAACGCAGTCCTACAAACGGCCCTCACCAAGGACCCCAGTACCCCCAGCAACGCAGTCCTACAGATGGCCCTCACCAGGACTTCCAGTACCCTCGATCTAGACTCCAGTTCGAGTACCCACCCGTACCACAAGGGCCCCCGAACGCGAAGCAGCTTACAGACCTGGCTAAGCTCTACAACGACGAGATGAAATACGGCGGCGATACATACGATGTATTCGCTTCTAAGCTAGTGATCTTCCAGGACTGCTGCCAACGACTGGGTATTACCCAGGGCCAGTACGACGTAGCCTTCCCCGCTATGCTCAAGAGCCGCGCCCTGACCTACTACTACGACCGGCTCTGTGGGCGTAAATACGACTTCGCTACGTTGATCGCCCAGACTAAGGCCCAATTCGAAAGCGAAGAAAGCAACCAGCTACGCCTACTAGAGTGGGGCAACACAACGCTACGTAAGGTCATCGACGAGAACCCAGGGAAACCAAGGACCGAGTGCCTCGAACTCTTACTCAATAAGCTTACCAAGCTTCAACGTACCCTCCCGACCATCAATCAGTCAGAAGAACTACTCCGCATACAAGTCCTCAACGCCTGCCGTGGGATCCCTGAATGTACACTCTGTCTGTACAACCCGGCTGCAACCTACGAAGGCGTACGCAGCCAGCTCCGGTCGGCAGTTAGTATTGCAGCTGAAGCCCATAACCAACAGTTCAACACCTACGCCCCTGAGGAAGCCCGGCAGCACTGGACTGACCGGACATTCAAAGGCAACGGCCGAGAGGCTCGCTTCGGGCGTAAGGACCAGGAAAAACCACGACGTACCTTCCCGGCCCGAGGACCCTCGCCCGGTAAAAAGTGCTACGTATGCGGCAAGCCCGGCTGCTGGTCGACAACCCACACGACGGAAGAAAGGCGCCAGGCCTACGACCGCTTCAAGGGCAACAAGCATATACAGAGTAGCCAACCGTCGGCTACATATGCCCAATTCCTAGCCTGGTACGAAGGAACCCAAAGCTTTGACGATAACGACGAAGACGACAACGTCTCGCAGTTCCTACAGGCCCACGAAGACGACCAGTCCGAAGGTAGTGAGGAAGAGGGATTCCAAAGTACCTTCTTTAACGATTCCATGCCAACCGACGGCAACGCCATCGTTACCTTACTTGCCGATAGGTCAGTCCGCCACGGCCTAACCAAAGAAGACCCATTCCTACAGGCCGAGGATCAGGACCACCAACCCGCTTCAATCTTCACCCTCGAAGGCCGTTACTCAGCTACGGAGTTCCACGGCATCATGCCCGACACAGGGGCGTCCGGTTTTTCAACGGCCGGGCACCCACAGTTCCGTGCCCTACAAAGGGAGCTACCGTCACTACGGCTCGGACCGCCAACTACGGAGGCCGCGATCAAATTCGGCCAGGGCGGCACCCTCACCCCCTTGGGCACTATCACCGTACCTACCCCCTTCGGCTCGGTTGACTTCCACGTAGTCCCCGCAAACACACCGTTCCTGCTATGCCTTCAGGATATGGATCGCTTGGGCTTGAAATTCGACAACCTGCATAACCAACTACGGCAGGGCAACCTAACCATCCCCGTCGTACGGAAGTGGGGGCACCCCTGGCTCCAACTAACCAAAGAGAAGACCCTCGCATATAACTACCTTACCGACACAGAGCTACGCCGGCTCCACCGCCGATTCGGCCACCCGTCGGTCGCCCGCCTACATAAAGTCTTGAAGACGGCCGGGCACCCTGTGGAAATCGGAGCCCTTGAGTTCCTTAGCCGGGTATGCCACCAGTGCCAAATGAACGCTGGCCGCCCAGCCCGGTTCAAATTCACCCTCCACGACGACTGCGAGTTCAACTACGAGGTTATCGTCGATATACTATATATCGATAGCCGTCCTGTCCTCCACATCGTCGATACGGCTACGGCCTTCTCAGCGGCCTGCTTCCTCAAGGATATATCGTCAAAGACCGTATGGGAAGCCCTCTGCCTCTGCTGGATCAATGTATACCAAGGACCCCCCGACTGGCTAGTTACCGATGCCGGCACTTCGTTCCGATCTACCGAGTTCCGGCAGTCGGCTAAGGAGATGGGGATCTCGATCAAAGAAATACCCGTTGAAGCCCACAACAGTATCGGCAAGGTTGAACGATACCACACACCACTACGCCGGGCATATAATATCTTCAGGGCCGAGGACCCCGAAGCAAGCCCGGAAGCTTCGTTACAAATGGCCGTCAAAGCAGTCAACGATACGGCCGGCCCGGACGGCCTTATACCTACGCTCCTAGTCTTCGGCGCCTACCCCCGGCTGACCGAAGATTCGGCACCCTCGCCTACGATAAAACAACGTGCCCTAGCAGTCAAGAAAGCCACTGACGCAGTCAAACGGCTACAGGCCGTACGACAAGTCAACGGCGCCCTCGCAACGCGCAACGGCCCAAACACCGTACGAACCACTCAACTACCGGTTAACTCCCTAGTCCGTGTATGGCGCGAAAAAGCCGGTTGGCAAGGACCCTTCAAACTGATTGCAGTTGACGGAGAAACCTGTACCCTGGAAATGAATAACGGCCCGCGCATCTTCCGATCAACCGTAGTTAAGCCCTACTACGAAGACCCGACGGCCGTACCAACTTCACCAGCTACACCGACCGCAACAGCTTCGCAGGCTATACCGGTTATACCAACCACAACGGCATCGGAAGCTGGCCTAGCCCCGGAAAGCGAAGCAGAGGACATGATCATCGTCAGACCACGACGCCGCGGTCGACCCCGTAAAGCCTCCCCCCAAGACACCTTCCTTCAGGAAACCGGAACCCCTGAGAGCTTTATAACAAACAAGGAACAGGCCGACGCCGTACTAGCGGTACGACTACGTACCGAGGGCAAGATCACCACGCCAGGCGCACCATTCGAAGAGTCTACCCAATACGAGATCGACAGTCTAATCGCTCGGGGAGTATTCGAATTCGTCAAGGAAGGCCACAACCGAGGCCTACGCATCTTCAAGTCCCGCATCGTTAACGAAGTCAAGGGCAAGAATACCACAACGCCCTACGAAAAATCCCGCCTCGTTATCCAAGGCTACGCAGACGACGGGAAGGAGTCTATTCTAACCCAGTCGCCAACGATCCAACGGGCTAGCCAACGCCTTATACTGGCACTAGCTCCTTCGCTCATGCAACGCAGTATGGTTATCTGGCTACGGGACATTACGCAGGCCTACGTTCAATCAGGAACCAACCTCAACCGCGAAATCCTAGCCTACCTACCTAAGCAGATTCAGGACCAGTACCCCGAAGGCACCGTAATGCGAGTAATCAAGCCGTTATACGGCCTGGCTGAGGCAGGGACCCACTGGTGGGCTACCTACCATAAGCATCACTTAGAAAGGCTCCAGATGATGACATCTACGTACGACCCCTGCTTGTTAATTTCCAATACGGAGAACCCGGAATTTGCCTGCATCGGGATGCAAACCGACGATACGATCGGCCTGTCAACTAAGGCTTTTTCCCGTGTTGAGGAAGAACAGCTGAAAGAGGCCGCATTCAGTGCAAAGCCTAAGCAGATCCTGACTTCAAAGGAACCACTAGCATTCAACGGAGGGATCGCTACGCTTACCAACGATACGATCACCCTACGGCAGAAAGGCCAGGCCGGTAGGCTACGATCTATTAACTACAATGCAGTTGACGCCAAGCAACAATACGTCGAGCAGCGAGCCCGCGGCGCGTATATTGCTTCCATCTGTCAACCTGAAGCCTGCTTCGACCTATCAACCGCAGCGCAACACCAAGAGCCTACGCTAGATGACTTTAAAGCCCTCAACCAACGTATTAAGTGGCAGGTTGATAACCAGGACCGAGGTCTAGCATTTATCCCCCTAGACCTACCTAACGCAAAGCTCTTCGTCTTCGTCGACGGATCCTTCGCTAATAACCGTGACCTCACATCACAACTCGGCTTCGTAATCATTCTAGCCAACGAGACCACAATCGATACTCAATTCACCATTCGTGGTAATATCATCCACTTCTCCAGTACTAAGAGCAAGCGAGTCACACGTAGTATACTCGCTTCCGAAGTCTACGGCATGGTGGCAGGCGTGGATATGGCCTACGCACTAGCTTCTACGATTCAAGTCGTCACTACGCACCTCAATCTACCAACAGTCCCTACGGTCGTCTGTACAGACTCATACTCGCTATACGAATGCCTTGTCAAGCTAGGGACAACGAAAGAGAAGAGGCTAATGATCGACATTATGGCCCTACGGCAGTCGTACGAGCGCCGTGAGCTACACGAGGTCAGGTGGATCCACGGCGACGATAACCCCGCCGACGCCCTGACCAAGGCCGTACCGAACCGGGCCCTAGAACGGTTCATCGACGGTAATAGCCTTACGGTCCGTATGGAAGGGTGGGTCTCCCGGTAAGGAAGACCCGGGTGGAAGCAGTGATCCCGGGGGTGTAGATAGTGGCAGTTATATAAGGGCAGCTTTCCAGCCTCAAAAGAGAAAACTGCCAGTGTTGGAATTTGTCAAGCAGAAGGGCCTCGAAGGTTCTAGATAGAGACTTCGCCACCCACTTCGCCACCACAATAGTAGTATAAGAACGGGCTTTCTGGCACTGCCAGAAAGCTAGAGAGAGAAGAACAGACATCTACAATCCATCACTTGAACCACCAGTTTTCGGCGTGCAGCCACGCCCTGTTGAGTCCAGTACCGGTACCCTGGTGAATCCAACAACACCGCATCCCCGCCTGTTTGCTTATTTATTTTCAACTCCCTCCTTCTTCCTTCCTCCCTCGCTCCATCCCGGTTCCGGGCCGTACCACAGCCAATAAGACACTCTGAAAACGCAAGCAGCCAGCGTGGCTGCGTGTCGCCACCCTGGACCTGTTTCTAATGGCCTTCCCTCGTTGCGATGTCTCAGGCCCGCTGGGGCACAACCCCTGGCACACACGCAAGCGCTGCACACCTCCAATCCTCAGTAGGTTGGCGGGAAGCCGAACTTAGGGCAATTCACACTTGCGGCGATGAATGCCACGAACCTGGCTTAAAAGCTACAATGTTACGATCCTGACTCAGGTGTGCAGGAGGTGCTCCGTAGGGACTGGTCGCCAAGGCCAGACAGAGCACGCGGAGCACCGTTCTCTACGGCGCTCTGAGTGATCTATGGGACAGATCACTCGTGGCAGATCACTCTAAGAGGACTCTGATTAAGTCATTCATAGTTCTATATAGGTAGCGCTGAGAAACTCTCTCTGGGAGAAGGTTCCTCAGCTATCAATTTATATGACTTATCATTCATTGGTAATATGATTGGGATACTGCTCCCGCAATCTGTGCACTTGTGTTGCTCCTTATGCTTCTTAAGCCCTATGTGCTTCACCTAGCTTAGCTCGCTAACCAGTACGACACTGCTCTGTTTAGGGCACTGAGGGAAGCAGGTTGACTGCCACATGTCTGTAGGACTCTGCTACAGGCCTGCCACAGGCCTGCCACAAGCCGGCCACTTAGACTGCGAGGACTCTGCTCGGCAGTCTACCTCGGAGGCTGCAGGGGACTCTGCCCTGTAGTCAGGGTCGACGACATCCTGGATGAGGGCCTCAGCCTTATGAGCGCGTGTCAGCTATCCGGATTTCGGCACGTGGAAGGGTCGCTGTAGGAAGTATCAGTTTGGCACTGCGTTGAGGTGGCCCGGTCTGTGTTCTCAAACCTTGGGGGGGCTGCAGGGGGCGGGCGCGGGTGTGGTACTTTGATTGCGGGCAGGTGTGAATAGACTTCGGCGACAGGAAACCGGTAGGACGGCCAAACATGCGAACAGCCTAGCAACTGAGACAAAGCAGATGAGCACTAGTCGGGAGGTAATATGCCAGGAATCGGATAATAACACTCTGCCAGACACGGAGCTTTAGGAACTAAGAGTCGACGATGCCGCTAATAACAATACAGGCTCGGAAAAGGCCGGTAGGGGCGAGGGAGGGAGAGTCTGCTGACATTGATGGGTCATCGTGGGCAGGGGTTGATCCGAGGCTCTGGGCGGCTTATATTCACTTTGGGCCGTGAGAATCCGACGTATTAATGGACGAAAGCAGAAAATCGAATCTTTCAGCGAGCCCCGGCCACAGGTTGTCTGATATTTAGCCCGCATTGCTTTTACATATATTTAACTAGAAGTTGCCGTGGGCAGCCTCGTCGAAGAATGGTATAGGTATTACCGTTTTCATCTTAGTCCAAGCATTTCGGTCTTCCTGACTATGCTGTATCTAGATACGTGGCCAAAGCCGCAATCCATTTGACGAGGTTAATAGCCATCTTGTGACGGCCCGCCTTACGCAGTAGGGATGTCAATGGTTGAAGGCAGTAATGAATGTGGATTTAAAGCTAAGGAAGAGAAAGGAATCTATCGCCGGGTCCGCGCAGGGCGCGGAGAAATAGGTAGTGGTGCTCAGTGCGCACAGGCCACACCCTAAGCACAATGCAGCCAATAGAATCAATCCTGTCACATGAGCCCTGTGGCGACCGTGACACATCTACACCGATTCTGCTGGCCTTTTCGAGGGCCAACCATCTAGGCCAACGAGACACTCCCACCGACCCCGAGCTCCGATCCGACACCGCTAATCCAAATCATGCTAATCAGGACGTAGAAGACTAATGCCTTACACCATGTTACACCGCGCTCCTTGCTAAGACATGCTCATATCTAGATCTCAACTTCATTAGAGCCTGAATTGAATGGCGGATTCCAGCCCGTCAGCTCCGCCAGCTCGGAACGATACGCGCTTCTCGTAGAATTTCGTCTTTTCTTAAAAAGAATATAAGTAAGTTTATATATATGTACTAAATTCTTATTTGAAGTACAAAATGTGGGTCTAGTTGGTTTAATAACAGCAATTAAAAGCGCCCGTGAGGAAAAAAACGAAAGTTATAGGTTGTTATCCTAAAACTAGGGATTAGGGAGTTTAGACACAGCAAGTATAGCTGGACATCCCTGGGCTCACCTCGGCTTAGGGCGATGCTTAGTGCGCCTCAGCTCCTGCTCAGGTTCTAAGCCTGATACGGATTTAACCAAGGGACGTTGTCGGGGGTGACTGTCGAGGCAGGTGGAAAGACGGGCGTAAGGGAGTTCAAAACTGAACCTATAGAGTGATAGTCTGTATTATATAGCACCTAGCTAGCGAGATGGTGGTAGGAAACTAAGGCGATCACGGCCCAGGAGAGGAGCGCTTTGCGCGACTATTGGCTTCAGGGGGATTTGGCTCGGTTTCTTCCGGCGTCCCGCTCCTTGCACGCTTGCTGGCTTCGGGAGCGCTCAGCTCCTTTTCCTGGCCAAACCCAGAGCCAGGCTTATGACCTCGGCTACCATCGCCCTGGAAGCTCGCACCGGGTCTACCCGGCCCACTTCCGGGAGCCCGGGGGGGTGTGGCAACCTCACGATCGTAGAGGCCAGGACGTGTCATACTATCCGATACCCTCTGGAGAGACTCGTCACTCATGTAGCCCCCGAGCTGCCTAGGCCGCTCCCCATACCCTCGATTCTGACCACGTATCGGCTTGTCATTTGTAGAGACCAGGAACTGAATAGCGTCGTCACCCGTCGCGAAGTTGTCAATGACGCTGATGTTCTCGTTCAAATTGGTATTCGATTGAGAGCAGAGCTGCAGGGATTTCCGAACCGACTCCCACTCTGCTTGCAGTTGGGAAAGCATCACCGATTCCTCCTCGTCCGGCATAGCTGTCTTCGACTTTCTCACCAGTCGGTCGATCAAAGCGCTCATATTGTTGTCTATCGCTGCGGTCACGCTGTTAACAGTGTCCCTGCATCTGTTAGTCTCCAGAAACATGAGTATGAACCAGATTTCCGGTCCCTCGACCGCTGGTAGACATCTGAGCTCGAGGTTGACTTCGTCGTTTTTCTTGGCTCACATTGCTTCCTGAAGCTCCTCTCAGCTGCCGTATTCCTAAAAGAAAAGAAAAGAAAAGCAAAATATAATTGCTTTTAAAGCGGATAGGGGCCGCGGTTGGCGACGACTCGTCATCCTGTGGTCGCGTAAGTACAACGTGTGTACTTCCTCGAACGCCAATGGCATAATAAGGCCTTTTATCCTCTTTTCGAGATCTCCCCCAAGTCTCCTTGGAGGATCAGACTTCTGGCGGGTATTACTTGTTCTGACAATATTACTTCTTCCTTTGCCAACCTAAATAACGTATTTTATAAGCGAACGGATAATTTTGCACCACCCCACTACAACTACCCTCAATTACACAACCACAACACTAGGAAATAACAATAACTGAATTAGAAATAGATGAATCAGATGATTCTGCAGCCTCCTTGCACGTGCGTGCATTATGGCCAGGCTTGCCGCACACGCCACAGCACCGAATCTTCGTTCGAGACCCCCCTACATCACCACTACTTTGTCGTATTTCCTGGGTTAACTGCTCACCCACAGCCTTCTGATCTAGTAGATCCTGTGCCTCTTGTACTGTAAGTGACCCTCCAAGCCGTATACGTGTTTTTTTTAGCTCTCCGTCTCTTACTAAGCCCCTCATTGGCCTTACGTAGTGCCGAGACCTCAGTACGTAGAAGAGCTACCTCGTGCATCACAGCCATTGTACCTTTGGCTAATCGATCCACAGCAGTTAGTATTGGGGTTGGAGAGCTGCCCTGATGGTTGGAAATTCGAGTTTTAATAAACGCTGACTGTGAGGTGGTTTCTCGAGGGTTGTGTGGCGTTTGGGAGACCCAAGGTAGTGTAGTGGTTAGGCTTGAGGCTGGGGGTGTTGGGGTTCGAATGCGCACATCCAGCTTAGATATCACCCTTTCTGGGTCGTACGGCACAAGGCCAGCTCCGGCGAAGGCTCCTTAGATGTTCTTGTCGATAAAAGCCGTAAAAAATGCCTCTTTAAACGCACAAAGGAAATCCAACTTAGTGAAATGTGTAATGTACATGCGCATCAACTCCTCGATTTGATCACCATAAGCCTTCTTCAACGGCCCAAAACAACCAACATCTAATGGCTGGACTAGATGCGAGGAATGAGGAGGCATACAGAGTGTAATAATGTTATGCTTCTTGCAATAGTCTCGAAATCGTCGGAATGGTGGCTTTCGTGGCCGTCAAGGACTAAGAGCCGGTATTTTCCCTTCGTACGAGATGCTGAATGAAGATCAAAGTGCTTGATGAAATCGAGGCCTTTCTCATTGGTAGTCCAGCCGTTATCGGTCGTCCCGATATACCAGGTAGCTGGAAGACCGCAATCTCGGTACCAACCCTCCTGGTGGTATTTTCCTTTTAAGAGGATGAATGGTGGGATAGCCCAGCCTTGAGCATTTACCCCCTGGATAACTGTAGCCCATTCACGATTACCAGGTTGGACCTTTTTAGCTTTCCCATAGCCATCAGAAGTAGTAACAACCATCCCAGTAGTAATCATACCCATCGCAAACCCAGTCTCATCAAAGTTGTACGTATCTTCGTCAAGGATACCGTACTTGGCTTTAGTATTATACACAAGGGCAAACCACTCGCGAATAATCTTTGGATCTTCGCATTTAGCCCTCTAGTAGTCATATTTACGCGAAAAACGCGTCCGGAGTTCTGGTTGGCGTGTGACGAAGTTGTGAGCCTAGAGCTTGCCGACAGGGGGCGCGTCGCGTTCGCGTAACAGTCGGTTGGCCATATCTTCCACAAAACGAAGCCGAGGAGGAAACGCGCGTGCACATAGCTCAGATATATACTGAATAATTGTATGCTCCTCTAGATCTGTGAGTTTTCGTGAATTGGCTGGAATATCGCGTCGTGAAGGCCGACCGACGCGTCGGTTGTAGAGAGTAGTGTAAGGAACAGAATAGATCTTTGCTGCAGCTGAAAGACGGAGTTTTGGGTCTTTTCTAAGAGCTTCAAGGGCTAAGTTTAATTGTGCTTCCTTTGAAGGTAGTGCCATATTGTGTGGTGGAGGAAAACGTTGCGAAAGGTCGAGAGGGTGGGGTGGTGTAAAATTATCCGTTCGCTTATATTATCCGTTCGCTTATAAAATACGTTAGCTATATATCATCCCAGGGCATGAACCATGACTCTCGCGGGAGGACGACAGCGTAAGGGTAGTGAAAAGCGCTACGAGGTCTTCGTTAACTTTGTGTTGCTGCGTATCTCTGCTAGTGTATTTATACTCCTTATAAGGCAGAAGATTACTAGGCAGGCAAGGGCTGCTCGGTTCCTTTGCACGCGAACTTTAACATAAGTAGCAAGGAGAGCTAGGACTACAACAAGGGAAGTTTCTAGGGAAAGGGTGAAAATTAAAGACAAATCACCAGGACAGTTCCACGACCGGCTCCGCTCTCACCGCGGCACTTCTGGCAAATTACTTAAAAATATGACCTCCGTCCATCCCAGAACTCATCTCTTTCGCCATATGAGGTCCACAGATTGGAAGAAACTTTTGGTCCGTTTTTTGGAAGATGCAGGTCATTTCTGGCTCTGCTATTTGAAGCGCCAAACCCAGGGCGCAACGTCTAATTATGTTTCCGTGGCTGAGAGAGTCTTTGTAACTTGGTTTCGGATTATCCTCCGTCACGCTGTGATACAAGAGTCGGGACCTCAGCGCTCGTTTTCCGTTGATCATTACACACTTGAGACTATACTTGACATTTTGTCTCACAGATTATCGTGGCCGGAACCTCGCTGCAGCCACGTTGGTTCTCGATACGTCTGCCCAGCAAAAAGCGAGCGGAACTCCGGAGAGAGAAGACTTGGGAAGTGGACGCTCCACAACAGGTATCGGCGACTCGGCACCACCGACCGCCGATGTTGCCACGGGCCGGTTCAGCCACACGCCAAGGCGGGCGGTACCAAACCTGGAAGGGAAGGGATCGCCAGAGCTGTGGCAAATGCTTGCTTGCACAGCCACATAACCCAACCGAACTTGTTTCCCGCGTTGGCAGCACACAGTAGCAGCAAACAGAAACAGGGAAGTTACTATTTTATTAGAGAATTCGCTCAGAGGGCTCTCCCCGAGAAGACATACTCCGCAGCAGCATGATATCGTGTCTAGGGTAAAACAGTGGTGCATCTCGCTTGACGTGGGGTTCTTAAATGTGCAAGGGATGTATTCGTACGACCCTAGCCGTATTTTCCAGAAAAGAAAGAGGACACGGGAGAAATAATTTCCCTGTGCCGCTTCAAATTTTGGGTTTAGGTTTGGCCCAGGCCTCGCTTGGAAGGCGCAGCACATGGACAGTGAGCGAGAGACCCGTATTCCATGGATGCGGCGGCGGATTTCTGCATCATCACAGATCCCGCCGTTCTGGAGCAGACGAAAAAGCTGCGGCTCTTTCTCCCAGCTGCGGGAAGGCCTGCAGAATGGGATCTTGGAGCTGATCGGAGTGAACGGATTCAAGGGCTGTGCTCTGCTATCGTATAGCTTGTGATCGGGGGCAATGCTAGACTGCGAGGTTTGCTTGCTGTTCAAATGCTTGGCCGAGGTTTGGTGGGCAAAACAGCCCGTTCAAACCTTGATCGCCTGCGAGGGAGATCAGCACGGCATCAAAGTTAATCAGGCCTCTCTTGTGGCGATCGCCCAGCCCAGACCAGACGGCTCTCTCTGGCTTTGCATTTCAATCGTCATTTTCTGCCCGAGGTATAAGGCTGCCCGCCGGGAGGCCTCTCACTGAGCGAGACCCGAAACATTAGACGGTCCATGCTGATTCCACCACTGTGGAAGGCGCTTCCATGCGTCCCTGGCGGGGTTCGCCAGTGGGTTCGAGCCCCAAGCAGCGCCCCTGAAAGCCTGAAACCACCTCACCTAGCTTTGCCCAGTTCTATTTTTGCAATCCCCGTCGTAGGCTCGCAGGTTCATCCTGGGAGCTTAGGGCTTCCATGCCGCTAAGTTTCGGGCGATCATGCGGCGGATGGTACGGGCGTCGAATTTCATTTGGATGGGGATTTCATATTCCACTGCGGACGCGTTGGTGGATGAGCCCCCCGCCAGCGGGTCTTTCCAATGCCCGACTCGCCGGTTCGTTGTCTTGGCACTCGTCTAATGACGGGAATCCCGGAGGTTGCCCGTCTTCCCGGCCTGCCGATGGGACAGAAAAGCCAACGGCCCTGTCGTCGACACTGCCATGCCGCTCTCCATGTCGTTCTACTGCGTTCCGAATTTCGTTCTCGCCGCGCCTGAATGTCCTGGATGTAGTATGCACAATCTGGAGGCCATCCTCTTCGCTGGCCGCCAGACTCTGTACGTGTCGTTGTGCAGGTAGCCAAAGTTCCCGCTAGAGTCTCAAAACCAGTGCTGCGGGGCAGTGCATCGAGTCCTTCCTTGCCCAAAGCCTCATGGCGGAGAGCTCGTTTCAACGTGGGCTGAGAAGCGCTTGACGACTGTAGAGTAGAAACAACCGTCGCATGAATTAACCCCCACAAGGCCGGTGAATCGTGCAATCGGTTTTACGACGAAAAGGGGTAGTTAATGAAGTCTCATAGTGATCTGTTGCAGCTGGGTGTTATTGGGCTAGAGCACGGCGATGCGGAGCAGGCTCAAGGCAGGTTTCAAGGTCCCCAAACGCCCTCGCTCTCGCATTCGCCATTGCACCCCAATTGGGGCTGTGTTGGAGCCAACAGCACCACCCCAATCTCTGGCGTAAAGTAGCGAGTACCGCGGCGCGCTAGCAGTGCATAATCCGACAGCAGCCATCGATAGCTCAACGAGGTTCTGATGACCTCCCTCCTGTCCAAAACATTCCCTAGCCACCCATCGGCTTCTAGCCGAGTGCACCGACATTCCAAATGTGCGCGTTATTCCCGTAGACTCATCAGCACCCCTCACAAAGTGGACAGATGTTCCCCCTCAGTGCACAGTTGTGCAAAACAACGCGCCGTGCAAAGATCTTGTACAAGTCGGAATCGAGAGTCGTCAACGACGCTGTATCGCTGCCGAACTGTTGTTAGCAATCACTAGACAGCCGCGACATCAAGGCACCTTTTCATCACCGCCTTCATCGCTGGCGTGGGCTTCTTCCCCGAAAGAGGAAGCTGCTTCGTCATCCTCAGGCCGCAGGCGCAGGGAGAAGATACGCTGAGGTTGTCAGGCCAGGCCGCGAGAAGGCTCGAGGTACTTGGGGTTCGCAGCGATTGCCGGGCCACGACAAAGTACAGCCCACGCCAGTGCAACCATTGCGCCGTAACGCCGCGAACAGGCTATTTCCCGCAAGGGACGGTGCTGATTGGCTCGGGCGTCGCCCAGTTGTCGCTTTGGCTCCAGATTGCGGGCTCTTTGGGCCAGAGGAGCCAAGAGAGCAGAATTGGGTGATCGGTGGCCCTCGCATTGGATTACGCGTCCCCCCCCCTCCAACCGACCGGATCCCTGTCAGCCTGCATGGGGCCCGCCCAACCAGGCCCAGTCAAGACACGGGGTTCCAAGCGCTCCGACACCCAAACCACCGTCTTTTCCAGGCACCCATAGACTGAAAATCCCCCAGGCTCGCTTCCTCCAGCACTTCCTTCCGCTCAACTCGATTTCCTCGCCCCTTCCGAGCAAACGTACTCTTTGGCATCAACACCGATTACACATTGCACGCACGCACGCACGCAGATTCGGCGACACTAAAAGCCATTCGCACCGGCCTGATCGTCAATCGAGAAGGGGATCCCACGAGGGAAAGCATGTCGGGATCCATGTCAACGAGCCCGGCTGCCACGCAGCCCGGCCTCATTGACCACTCGCTCGTCGACTCGCTCATCGACTTCTCCGACTACGACAACGTCGCATATCAATCCCCATCGCTCTCGCCCACCGGCTCGAGCAAGGCGCCATTCACGCGGCCCGTCAAGACCGAGGCCACCCCGACGTCGCTGCTCTCCACCACCCAGCCGCTGAGCGGTCCAAGCCATCAGTACGACCTCTACAAGCAACAGACGGGCATCGTTCCCGGCGCCTTGGCGAGCACTCTTGCCATCAACCAAAACAACACGCAGATCCCGGCATATACGGACTTCAGCATTGACTACTTAGGTATGGGTAACACGGACGAGATCTTCGACTTCAACACGGCCCCGTCGCTGGACTCGGCCAACACGCCCGACATGGACATGGAGTATGATTCGCCGTCGTCGGACCCCAACTTCTTCTTTGAGTCGACAGTCAACCCCAACTCCATCGGTGGACAGGAGCCTGGTACCTTGCCGTCGCCGTCGGCCGTACCAAGCCAGACCAGCAACGTCGGTCGTCTCTGGCCTGGCATGCATCAACAGCAGGCCGCGGCCAAAGCCCAGGCCCAAGCTCAAGCCCAGCAACAACAAAGGCAGAGACAGAGGATGCAGAGCCAGCAACCCGCCAAGCAACCCCAGAGGCCCAAGTCATCGCAACCCAACGATCCGCTGGTCGAGCAGAAGATCACCCAGCTGCTCAACTCGATGCGGGCAAAGTCTGGCGAATCCGATGGCTCGCAGGGCTCGCCTCAGATGAATCTGCCCCGGATGAGGAAGGACGAGGATGACATGGACGAGGACGAGAAGCTCTTGGCAAGCGAAGAGGGCAAGAAGCTCAGCAGCAAGGAACGCCGGCAGCTAAGAAACAAGGTGTCGGCCCGCGCATTCCGCTCCAGAAGAAAGGGTAAGCACAAGACGAGAGGCAATTAGCGCATCAACCTACTAACATGCCTCAATAGAATACATTACGCAACTCGAGGCCGAGATTGCAAACAAGGTCACCGAGAATGGAGACCTGCGCGCCCAGAACCGCGCATTGGTGGACGAGAACAAGCGCCTGTCAGACCTGACACGGATGCTTCTATCGTCGTCGTCCTTCTCCAACTTCCTCGACCAGCTCAGCTCCAACCCCCAACAGACCCCTCAGGCACAACCGCAACAGCAGCAGCAGCCACAGCAAACCCAGCAGCAGCAAGAGGCCCGCCCGCTGCCCAAGGATGTCAACCCGTACGCTGCCCAACAACAGATGCAACACCAGCAGATCGGCCTGGTGATGATCCCTGAGCAGACCATGGACTTCTCCATGCTCAACATGGATCACTCGGAAGGCTTCACGTACCAGCCGCAGGTGTTTACTGTCCTCGAGACTCCGGAGCTGACCATCGACGCGTCCCTGCTTTCGGGCAAGACGACCAACTTTGTCGGCCAACAGTTTGACACCGAGGAGGAGAAGATTGAGATGCCCGTCATCGAACGCCCGGCTATTGTCGAGAAGGAGCAAGCGCCGGCACCGGCACCGGTGGACGAGGAGTTCGAGAACGACCCAATGTTCGCCCTCTACCACGACTCGCCCGTCGCCGAGACGATAAAACCCGTCGAGCTTGACACCGAGGGCTTCTCAGATGTCGACATCTTTGGTGGCATCGAGCTCGAGAAGGCATTCGCACGGTACGAGTTCGTCAACACCACCGAGGACGAGGTGACTGTCACCTTTTCCATGGCAAGAGTACAACGCATCAGCGCGAATCTCGACAGTGTCATGTCGAGGTTAGAGTTGTTGACAGTCGGCCTATAATATCGATTCCTTTATGCCTGGTTTCTTTTTTGTTTATCGTTTTCCTATCACATCGGCCACCAACAGCTGCCCTTCTGGGTAAGTGATCTCTTCTTTTCGTATGTGCATATGTCAGAGCCCTGAATATTACTCATGGGCATTAAGGCGTTGGGTGAGGCTCCACTAGGGGGCTGTCTTGGATATCAATGTTGTTTCAAAATGGCGGGGTGTTTCGTTTTCTCTTTCGCTTCTCAACTGTCTAACAGAAAGAGGTGGGCAGGATTATGATTGAATGATATCGGTCTATGCTGAAGGGTTTTTCTAGTGAGCTCAGGAAGACGCGGTACACATGGAGCAGAGAGGATGTCAAAGTGTGGCGACACATGGAGCAGAGAGGATGTCAAAGTGTGGCGACACATGGAACGACAATGGCTGGGGCATGCGATGCGGGCTTTTGCTCTTTCTCTTGAGTTTTACCTCTACTTGATTTTATTACCGAACTCCCATGGATACATTCAATCTGGAACCTGCCGACTCTGGGTTCCCTGTAGCTGGCTTGCCCTACTCAATATATACAAACAAATCTGTAAAATGCATCTTCCTTCGTGACGTCCACTGATAAATATTACCATGTTACTAATGACCAGCCTAGCCGTTTGGCCCTGCACATGCTCGACAACTCAAGACCAACTCATCGCTGGACCGTCTCCTTTCCATGTTTCCGAGCATCCACCAAAATGTCCTCCTAATTCCATCTATCCGCGCGTCGAATCATGGACCTGAATCTGAAGCATCCAGTCCCCGTGGGAAGACAGGGAAACGGTAGCAAACAATTGCCATTCTACACGCGCACATCGAGCAGGTCATTTGCAATTTATTTAAGCCCACCACTGGCCCTGCCCTCGTATCTCTGGATCTACTCACTGCTGGCATCGTCTTCCCCGAGCAACACTATCCTGGCCAGCTTCAATTATTCGCACCTCACGTACGCATCTCAATTAGATAGCATGACCGAGCCCAAAAAAGCCCAGCCCGGGACGGGCCGCCCTGGAAAAAGCTCTATCAAGAAGTCAAGCAAGCTGTCAACTGGGCAGTCACGGCAACCTGAGCTAGTTTCCGACCGCAAGCCGAACTGCAGTTAGTAACAAGTTAGTAGAGATGCGGACAATCTTGCTCAAGTTAACCCGCAAATGATCCTGGCCAGCCGCCCGACAGCACAGCCCGCGCCATCACGATTTCTCGATAGCAACAACGCGACCAATATTCCTGCTCGGTCATAGCCAGTCCCAAAACTGGGAAGGAGGTGGGCGTCGACGCTCGCCAGCAACTAAACACCCCAGCACAGGAAGGCCCTGGCGCCCCCATCCCAGACAGCGACAGCAAGCCGAATAACGTGAAGTGCTACAACGAGCTGCTCAAACGAGTCGTGTTGAGCGCAGGCGAAAGCTTCTCTGACTAGGTAGAACAAGAAAACCCAAAGATAAACCACCTAGCGTGTCCGTTTTACCGCTTCAACTTGGAGAAATATTGGTCGTGCCTATTGCTGCGCTGGGCCTCGAATACGCCCCCAGCTCTCACGGGACTCAAGAACATCCCGGACGTGGTCAACCACCCGAAGCTTCACCACACAGCGCCAATCTCCAACGACGGCGTCAACCCCGCCATGGTGGTCGAATTGGACTCGCTCGTCAAGAGTTTGGCCGCCTCGGCAACTAGCAGCAGGACGACGAAGAAGACGTGGCACAATATTTTTAGAATCGTGATCCCCGACTCCGACCCCGCCAAAGACCCGTTCATCGTCGGCAAAATAAAGTTGTCCATGCCGCACTTTCTCGACTTGGACTTGGGCCAGGAGGTATCTCTCCACGCAAGTGGTGGGCAGGACACGCCCGCGGGTATCAAAGCCTATTTGAACCATTTGCTGGACAAGCCTGGGGAAAGCGAGAAAGCAGCGGCTTCGTGTTGGGAAAAGTTGTCGCTAGCGGGTCGCGCGAGCCTGAGGCGCCAAATATGCGATTTTGTCTTTGAGCAGTTGATGGAGGAGATCGTAAGGACGGGTCGGGAGTGAGCGGGCAAGCGTCGTGATACTGCACTTGATGCCTGCCACTGGCTGAATGGGCGCCAACGCTGCTGGTTGCCTCATGCCTGGGCTTGTAGTGCAAATGCTTTACTTTTCTATTTCTTTTTCTTTCGACATTTTCGAGGATACAAGCGCATATCCAGTTGCGAGGGTGGATATCGCCAGATATTTATAGTTGGTATCAATTCATTCTTCCCTTTCGTTTCTTCATTACAGGCACGCTGATGCGGGAAACCTCATTCGCCTGCACCCCGCCAAGACTGGCTGAGTGCCCCGCACCTGCAGTAGGCACGTGCCTGCACCCACCTGTATATTACGTAATATAAATTAGTCATAGGTGGTGTCAGAAGCGGTGTGAGCAGGCAGTATCGCTATACTGTCCCCGAGGGTATTACCCCACGGTCGCACACACCACTCTTCCACCAACTTGAGCTTTCTACCTACTTACATTTTAATACATTACTTTGGTAAAACCACCATTTCCCCATCACACGCCCAAGCCCCCCAACCGGGTGATCAACCAGTTTGGGCTACCTAATTCAAGTCTTGATAAGAAAGTCTTACGTTGACGTAAATTCAGGAATTGGAGTGTAGTTTCTGCGACGCCGTTTGCATCCTTCATGGCGTGGCTCTGGGCGTCGATGCCAGCTGCTGGTGCCACGCAATGTGCTCTCTCTCGGCGGGCCAGTACGGCTCCAGTCTTTCGCACCCGTGTTGTCAGCCTCGTTGAATTACTGCCGATGGTTCGCAAGACTGGGCTGGGAGGAAAGAAGTTTGGACAAAGCTTACTCGTTGATCACGTTTTCTTTGAAGCGGATAATGTCGTCCGGATGGAACCCCTCTTGGCGTTCCCTGTCATACCAAAAGCAGTACCTAACTGCCCTCTCGAACGGCAGGTCTCGCGCCATTCGCACCTTGCCCAGCAACTCGTTAGCCGAAATTGGGGGGTTGTGGCCTAGGGCGAAGCGTGGAATCCCGTTGGGCGATGTGAGGGCGATTGTCAATAGCCTTCGGATGGCAATCTCTGCGAGCGACGTGCCTAAGAGCAGGGCCTTCCTTGGTATATGTTTTCCGCGATCCTTATAACAGCGTGTTTTTGTGATGATAGTCGCTAAATGGTTTGGATCATGTTGGCCCGGTTGAAGTGTAGCCGTAGACCTAGAAGTGTCAACCGACACGAAGCGGATGCAGCAGCTGCAGAGGCTTTGCGTCCATGGCGTGTTCCAGAGAAGGAAAGCCCAGTTGGTGAGACCAAGTGCGGCCCCCGTAAGCCGCAGCCTCGAATCTAGGTGGGATGGAAAACGGAACGTATCCGCCAGGTACATGTGGTGGGTTTGTATGTTTGGAGCCGAACGAAGCATCTCTCTGTCGCACCATGCTCCAATTGTGTCGTCGACAGACTCCAACTCGACCACAAATAACGACGGCTCAAACATCAGGAGGCTGACATCGCCTGTTTCTTGGGCGTTTCGTATACTGTTTCTGGATGCGAGGAAGTTGACGAGTACCGATCCCGTGTCCAAAGAAAGCGGGCCGCCGTTGGCATCGGGAGATCTGAGGACGACGGCCCAAATCCCCCACCTGTTCATCTCGATGGCGCGGTGTAGTCGAGTTAAGGCTTTGAAATTGTGATGGATAAGATCTCGGCGATCTAGCATCTGCGTAAGGTAGCGGTTGGTGATATCCGGCTGGGCTTCGATCTGAAAATGGGCGGCCCACACTAGCTGCCTCGACAATCCGGCCAGGTTCCCGGCCGACTCCTTCAACTCGTCGGCGCACTGCTTCAGGCGGGCCGTGCCAACCAATGCGGAGGCGATTCGTCCCAACCATCCGACCTGTGGATTGAAGCCAGCTTGGAGATCTCTCAGTTCGCTCTCCCACTTTTGGACTTGGATCTGGGTGAGGGCCATTGGCTGGGTGGGGCGAGTGAAGTCTGGACTGGAATACAAAAGTAGTGCAAGCTCGGCCATGCTATCTTCCATCATGGAGACAATGCGCCGGACCTCATCATAGCCTTCCTGGCCCCAGAAGTAAACATAATCGTCGTCGGTAAAGTGGCGTGGTCCGTTACACCATGTCTCTTTCCAGGATCGATAATTCATCTTTCCCATTACTAGCTGGGTTTGGGCGGAACCAAGGGCCCTGTGCGCATTTTGGAAGTCCCGACGGAATTGGTCCGACTTCTGGATTGTCGATACGAAAAAGGTGAAGGTCGACATGGGCAGTCCAATGACACCAATAGCGATGGAGAAGGGTTCAGGCATCTTGGCGCTAATTAATAATTCAGGTACCTTAGTTTCGCTGCTTGGGCGTGTGCCTAGGTAGAGTCAGACGTAGAATCTGCGATAGATCATGGACAGTAGAACATAAAACATGAGAAGGCGCGACCTGGCGCTTAACCGCAGCTGCGGGCATCGGGTGTCAAGCCATCAGACAGACAACGACTCACGTGACCAAGTTGACGGGTTGCTCTGGCCTGCGGGGTACATCGCTGGTTCTGAGCAGGCAGCTAGCACTTGACCACTACATCAATCTTCAACGAATCCGTACGGGCTGTGCCAGTGACTGTGCCCAAAAGTGGGGAAGGGTCAGGTCGGCCGGTCCCGTCTCACGTCGGCGGCTCAACTTCTTTCCGTCGAACACTTTTCTCATCCCCCATCCGAAGCTTGCCCTCGCAATCGCAACACGACCACCATGTCTGCGGATGGTGATGCAAGTCTTGCCACGCAACCCCTCGAGTCCATCTACGACAGAGCCGTCGCTGAGCTCGAAGCGCTCTTCGAAACGGGAATTTTAGCAAAACTCGCGCCAGGGTCGGATATTAGGAAGGCCGCAGATGACACCCTCTTCAGGCTGCGATTGTGGGGAAAGGGGTTGCAAGCTACACCAGATTGGGGAAACACTCTCACGGCCCATTATCCCGACGAGGCGCCCGGTCTCCAGTTCCTGCTCGGAAACACCGTATCGGCTGTCAGGCAAATAGCAACCAGCAGCAGCAGGAGCTCATCGGTCGAGTACGCGCAACACTCATCCCCGGGTGGCAGAGAACTGCGGCTAACACCGAGCCAATAGCTTGGAGGAGATGGTCGCAGACCTCAAGTCGTCAGTCGACAACCTTTCCGAGGTTTCTGGCTCAATACACACGCTCCTGGGTCTTGCGACCGGAAGAGGCACAGCATATACCGTTCGAACATCGATAAATCAGAGAGGGAGAGGAATTTCATCCACTATCCCTGGCGGCGCCTTCTTCCCTAGCGAAATACTCACCCGTAATCCAGTGGCACAAGTGCCGAGGCCGCCGTCAGTGGTTGATGATTTCAGTTTCTCCGGTAGCTCCAGCGAGGCAGAACAGAGCTCCTTCTTTGTCTCCGCCAAGGGCTATACGGAGACGAATCCTTGGAGCTTTCCAGAACATGAGACCGAAGAAGTTACCTTGGCTACAGATAATGGCGAAGAATCTAATAAATCGCTCGAAGAGAGAATCTACTCGGAGCTTCGCGGCGCATATAGAGAAAAAAAGGGCTTCTTACCACTCAATCGACTAGACGCCATCATCAGTGAAGATGCAGTCATCAGGGAGCTGGAAACGGACGACGTTTTGCGCTTCACAGCGGAGCAAAGGGCTGCTTTGGCACGGAGCATATGTCGGGTGCGAACGATTCACGAGCGACTCCCGAACATGACAACCACATCTTTTCGGAAAATATTCGCCATTCTTGTCCTCATCTACCAAGTTGACAAGATCACCCATTTCTGGAAAATGTCAATGATTCTGACCTACCTCTGGTAATGTACAGTGACAACAAACCGGAGGGCCAATTCACGCTGCGTCGGAGGGAGAGTTCCGGCCGCCCCCTGCAATGCTTCGGCGGGTGGAGGTTCGGCTACATTAGGCAGTTTGAGGAGTGGCAGTGGTCGATGGTGGCGCCACTCTTTTCAGAAGGACAACCCGGTCATGTTTCGTTCTACACGCTCAATGACAAGACTGTACTTCCTTTCATATACGACTCGAGTCGTCAAGAATCGCACAACGACCAAGACGTCCATCAGGGAGGTTTCAGCGATGTGTTTCGGGTTCAGATACATCCCAGCCACCACAATTTCCGTGGCCTCGACGTAAGCACACACTCTGATGATACCCCCCTCTCCCCGAAAAAAAAAGGAAGACTGGGAATTTAACAAAGAACTAGGGTCCGCTCCAAGAATTTGCAGTGAAGCGGCTGTATTCCAAGAGCCGGGACGAATTTGGGAGGGAATTCGAAATGCTCAAGAGATTTAGCGGCACGGTCTCTGACTCAGGATCACACGTGATATCTCTACTTGCAACATACGAGCAGTCTGCAAGTTTCTATCTCATCTTCCCCTGGGCCCAAGCCGATCTCTCCAAGTATTGGATGGTCAACAACCCGTCGCCAAACTTCGACGAATACGTTTACTGGGTGGCAGATCAGTGCTTGGGCTTAGCCAATGGCCTACGACTCATCCACAGTTACGGAATTACCGAGGGCCCAGAGGAATCCTTGTCAAGCAACGCAGACACGAGAAAATTATCTGACGCGGTCTCTACTCCGTTTCGTGTCAATCGAGGCTCAGTGCAGCAACTAATAATTAATGAAAGTGCAAGAAACCCGTACCGGGGCCGCCACGGTGATATCAAACCGGAAAATATCCTTTGGTTTATTGACCCTTCGGACCCCAATGACCAAGGAACGCTCAAGATATCCGACTTTGGAGTTTCCGAGCTAGAAACCCGACTATTAGCCACTACGACCAACACCGTCCCATTCACGCCGGCGTACCAGCCTCCAGAGATGGACGTGAAGGGTACAGCAATCGGACAAGCTGCCGATATTTGGAGCTTAGGCTGTGTTTATCTCGAATTCGTGAGCTGGCTTCTGGGCGGGTTTTCATACGTGCAGGAGTTTGCGAAACGCAAGAGCGCCAGGGGAGGCTTGGACGCGAGCGCGTTCTTTGAGATCAACGAGATTACGTCCACCGAAGGCAGCAAAGGATATGCACTGGTCAAACTAGCAGTGATTGAGGTCAGTTAGAATTTTTCCTTTGTGTACTTCTCTTTTAATTTCTTCCCGAGTTCCTTTTCTATTCGACTTCTCCTTGTTCTCGCTCATCCAGGAAAACCCAAAGAGTCGTTCCGTACTACCAAAGCTGACCCTTATTCTCAGTGGATCGACCACCTTCACTCCGACCCTGCCTGCACGGGGTTCGTGCACAGCTTTCTTGACGTTATTCGGTTTAGATTGCTTGTTGTAGACAGTACTAGGCGGGCAACATCATCGGCCGTTTGTGACCGGCTGTAGAAGATGGCAGAACGATGCTACACCGATGCGAACTACGCTCTAGAACCCACGTTGGTGGATAGTGACGACGACGCCGCGCCCAAACCAGAGGCAATGGAGGTCGAAGGTGTGAGAGCCCACCAGCTGCGAGTGTACACTGGCCAGATTGCGCGGAGAAGCCAGCACCGCACCTTGACAAAGGCCGAGGTAGCGAGTTGGTGGGATCAGGTCAAGCCCCCGGAGAATGAATAGAGTCAAGATTAGAACACCAAACCTCGTATTCAGTTCTTATGGACCCGGTAATGGACAGGACGTCAATGCTAAATACGTCCTTTTGTGGGGTTCTTGAATTGTTGGGAGCTTTAAGGGACTTGGAGTCTACCCCTTATCCGGTCTCTGCTGCATACGTCATTGTGCAAGGGGCAGACGGCAAGGCAGTGGTATCCACCTGCACCTAGCGCCAACATTTCAGCGACCTCTCGTCGTTCTTGCCTTGCAGATGCAAGGTGAGTGACTGGGGCCTTGTCCTGGGAAAGTGGGAACATGCACGCAATCGGTTGACAGAACCAAGTTCTGCACCATGCCACCAAGTTTTTCGGGTCCATTCCCGAAGGCTGTCGAATCAATGCTGCGATCAATTGTCGCTCGAAAGCACCGGTTCCCTGCTTGGCGGCGCTACCGAGCAAACCTAGTGGATAGATGCAGATAAGCTTGTTGGTAGCGCATTGAGGGAGGGGTTGTTGGATGTGGGCAATGACTCGGCAAGCTCCTATCCCCCCTTCCCATTTTCTGCCCGGATTGAGTCCTCTTGCCAATGCTCGAACTCGTGGCCGGTCGGACATTGCTTGCTCTTTCCACTCGAACCTCTTTCCCCCCAAAAATAAGATTTCTTGTGCAAATAATCACCTTTTCTTAGAAACCAGATCTGAAACCAGACCCAGCGCTGCTGACCTACTAGCCCCGTCAAGTTGCCGAGATGGGCGAAAACAACCATGCGCAGGAGCCAACGGCCGAGAACATGACCATGATGCAGGGGTTCGAGTGGTATGTGCCTGCCGATCAGGAGCACTGGGTGCGTCTGGAGAAGCAGGTGCGCCAGCTGAAGCAGTGGGGCATCGATAACATCTGGCTACCTCCCGGGTGGGTTCCTTCCTTTTCTGTCTCTCACGTCGATCAGCGGTGAGAAGCACTTTGTGAAATGCAGTACTGGAACTGAAATTACCAGATGCAAGGGATCGTCCAAGGACGGCAACGGCTACGACATCTACGACCTCTACGACCTGGGCGAGTTCGACCAGAAGGGGTCCGTGGCCACCAAATGGGGCACCAAGGACGAGCTCCTGAAGCTATCGCGCACCGCAAAGGCCGCCAGCGTCGGCCTGTACTGGGATGCCGTCCTCAACCACAAGTTTGCCGCCGACCACCGCGAAAAGTGCCAGGCCATCGAGGTCGACCCCGAGGACAGAAACAAGGAGGTGAGCGGCCGCTACGAAATCGACGCCTGGGTCGGCTTCGACTTTCCCGGCCGCAAGAATAAGTACAGCGGCATGAAGTACCACTGGTACCATTTCAGGTGAGTGACTCCCTAATTAGTTGAGATGTCAGGCAATTGCTCCGTGTTCTAATTGCAACTCACCAAATGGAAGCGGCGTCGACTTCAATGCTGCCAACGACAAGACGGCTATCTACAAGATTGTTGGCGAACAACCAATGGAGTGGGCTGCGACTCCGGACGTGGATGGGGAAAAGGGCAACTAGTAAGTCCAGTTGGATGAATGCAGCCAAATTGGCTCTCGGAAACCTTCAGGTGTTGTTGTCCTTGTTTTGAGCTGATACCCCCCAGCGACTACCTCATGGGGTCCGATCTCGACTACTCGCACCCCGAGGTGGAACAGGACGTTCTCAACTGGGGCAAGTGGCTAGCTGCCGAGATTCCCCTTAAGGGCATCCGCTTTGACGCCATCAAGCACTACAGCGCGGAGTTCTTGGAGAAGTTCGTCGTGGAACTCGACGAGACGTACGGCGCGGGCTGGTTTTTTGTCGGCGAGTTCTGGAAGGACTCGCTCAGCGACATGGTGAGTCTCTCTTCCAACCCCTTGTTTGGCCAACCAAAATATGAGAGAGGATTGAAGCTCAACCTGTAAAGTAGACCGGCTATCTCGACCGCATGGGGCATAAATTCTCCCTGTTCGACGCGCCGCTGGTCTACAACTTTAGCGAGATCAGTCGGGGTCAGGGGGCCGACCTTCGCAAGGTCTTTGACGGCACGCTGGTGCAAACCGCCCCCATCTCGGCAGTGGTATGGTCCTCACTTACCTCTGTGCTCTAGCTCAACAAACTAACCAAGGCCTACTTCGGGCAGACTCTGGTCATGAACCACGATACGCAACCGTACCAGGCACTAGAGGCACCCATCGAGGGATGGTTTAAACCACTCGCATACGCGCTAATCCTTCTACGCGACGCCGGATATCCATGCGTATGGTACGGTGATCTGTATGGGATCAAGGGCGAGCACCCGTTCCCACCGTCGTGCGGCGGCGCGCTGTCCAAGCTGGTGCTGGCGCGCAAGATGTACGCGTACGGCACGCAGGCCGACTACTTTGACTACGAGACGTGCCTCGGCTGGGTGCGCTACGGCACGTGGGACCGCCGCTTCGGCTGCGCCACGGTCCTCAGCAACGCCGGCCCCGGAACTAAGCGCATGCACGTCGGCGAGATGCACGCCGGCGAGCGCTGGACCGATGTGCTGGGCTGGTCGTCGGGCGAGGTCGTCATTAGTGACGACGGCTTTGCCGACTTCACATGCAGCCAGACCAGCGTGAGCATATGGGTCAACAAGGATGCCGAGGGCCGCGATAAGTTTGCCAGCGAGTTGTGAGTGGTGATTTTTAACGTGTGTAAATGATAACGAGCTGACAGCCGGTGCAGTGAAAGCAATATTTACGACGAATGAATGGTCGGTCTGGGTAAGCATGGCGGTGATAGGGTGAAGTCTTTTTGAGAAAGTTTTTGTGAAAGACACGACAGAAGAGAGGTCGACTGCAAGAAGCACGATTTGCAGAAGAAAAACGTAAATACCCCTATCTATGCGTATCATCATAACTTTGCCCTCACACACGGCAATGCCAATCATGTCCGCCCTTATGCGACACCTTCCTGCCTGGGAGCAATCCACCTACCTAGAAATCGCTACAAGACTTCCGATGCTGTGACCGGAGAGTATTGAATCACTGCATATTAGTAGTAATAGTATACTAGGACATTTTCTACTGGAGCTCAATTTCAATTTCCTCCCTTTCCATCGTCTCCAACGTAGACTTTTTGGCACGGCAAATCCCTAAGTTGAAGGTGTCGGGCCCGTCACGTCGGATAGCAATGACATTGTAGAACTCATTTACCGCTCCGCCGCGGACATTCTGGTCGGAACCACTCATCGATGCTTACCGTTCCGTCTCTTGATCCAGAACTGACCCAGCCGATAGCTCGATCAGCTCGTGTTCATTGAACGGCTTCTTGGATCTCCTACTAAGGTGGTATCGTAACGCCCTGCCCAGCCACCCCTCTCGTCGACAAGGTCAACGCAGAGACACGTACCTGTCCACTTGTTGCGGAACTTATCCCATACCTTGAGAATACCACGGTGGGTATGGCACCACATCCTCGAGGCTCGCACGTGTGGTGGGGGAGGTGAGTTTACGTCGGGGAGTGGAACAGGATACGAGAATTCTTGCGGGTCGTCATTATCGCAAGAGAAGAAGATTCTTCCTCTTCGCAGAGCGACTCGGCGGAGCTGCTTCCGCCAGTAAAGAATTCCCAGGCGTCAGCTCTTCCTTGACGCAGTTTAGGAGGGCCAAGAATGTCTTCAGACTGCAACGATGAAGTGTCCGAGCCGTCCCGAGAAATGGGGGATCGAATAATTAGGCTGCTGCAAGTAACTTTCATATTAATAAGCTCCATCCTCTTTTGGCCGCGACCACGTCCAAAACTGGCTTGGTTCGGTACTCCCACCCTTGTCTGTTCCCGGAGATGTTACGGGCTTCTCCTCTTTCCGCCGGGTAGTCAAAAGATTTATTACTGGACAAGTCCCCTCTCAGCCTCGCGGAAGGTTTGGAGAAGTAGCGTCTCCCTGTCACCCAACGATTCCCCCAGCGATTCCCACCAGCGATTCCCACCAGCGATTCCCACCAGCGGCTGAGACGCGATGCCTATCGCAGTTTCATTTGGGTTGTCGACGTAGGGAAGGAAGGGTTTGAGGCGATCGCGCAGCCTCTGTGCCAGAAAATGATTAGGTCAATACAGGTGCCGGTAAACAGATAACAACTGAAATCATTCTCATACCAGGGGGGGCTTAATTGCATTGGTCAGTATTTTGGCAGAGTATGGTTAATTATGCAAGCCGTGGGACAATTGGGATGCCGCTCTTCTGAGCCAGGGGGGCGAGTCATCGTCGCTGTCATCATCTCGCGCTGGGGCGGTATTATTTCCAGCGTTTGGCGTTCCTGTGGATGGCTGAGGCTGGGTGGTCGGGCGCTTGGGTTGTATCCTACGCAGCCTGAGAAGCCACGCTGCTGGGAAGCACATTCTCGTGAGCCGCAAAATGCAATGATGGATGAATGAATGATGGCATGAAACACCAAGTGGTTAGAGAACTTGCTGAATTGACCAGGCAAGATTGAGGCCATTACCAGCCACCCACCCTCTCACGCAAAAATGTTACGCATCGTTCGTCCGATAAGCCATCGTTCGTCCGATGAGCGCCGATTGGTGAATGTGCTGGCGTGTGGCAACCAGTCACGCTGAGAAGTCATTTTTCACTATTCTCACTATTTTTATGGCATTGGCGCTAGTCTCGATGGTAGAAAGGAGGAAAGCACGCCTAAATGATGCGAGCACTTGCGGTTAATGGTACAGGCAGGAATGGAATCGCCACGATGTAGTGCTTGGCCTAGCTGAGAGCTGAAGAACAAATAGCCTACTTATAGTGTATATGTACGAAGAGCAGTTTTGGCTAGGTGCTTGCAGTACTCATTTTCTTTCGAGTACAGCCGATATTATGACCCTGTCCAGCTGAATCGATGAATGCTTTCTCTCCTTCAATTGGGTGGCCTAACCTCGCATGACTGAACAAGAACCTCACATGACTGAACAAGAACCACAACAGCGCGAAGAGCGGCGATAGCTGTCCTCGGGCCCGTATCGCCCGTAGTCGCTGGTCGGATAGCTAGTCGAGTAGCCAGTGGAATACAACCCCTGCGGCTGCTGCGGTCGCTGCTGGCTAGGCGACGAGTAGGCCGAGTAGTATCCCCCTGCCTCCTGTGTCTGCATATGCGCCTGCGCCGGCTGGTGCAGCACCATGGCATTGCTCGCCCCCATGCCCGCCGTTCCAGCACCGTAGTAATACCCCTGGCCACCACCACCGCCACCACCACCACCACCACCACTCTGCTGATAATAATACGCCGCCTGCGGCGCCTGCACCGGCACGGATGGCATGGGCATGGGCGCCGAGGACCCAATGTCGCGCGTGAAGCCGCACGCGCCGACGGCGCACGAGAAGAACTCGCGCCGCCCGCGGTCGCTGTTGGCGCCGCGCCGGCTGTAGAATGCCACGGGCCGGCACCAGCACACCGGGTTCGCGGCGCTGACGCCGACCGCGTCGTCGAACGCCCCGAAGTGCGTCTCGCCCGTCGCGTGCAGCGACACGTTGCGGCACACCCAGTACGGCCGCCCCGCGTTGCCCCACGCGTTGTTCGGTTTGGTTATGTCGTGCGTGCACGGCTGTCCGCACTGCGGGCAGCGCGGCGGCCAGCTGAGCGGGAAGACGGGGTACATGGTGAGGGTGCTGAGATGGTCGTGGTTGGGTGGGCGGATGATGGGATTAGTGTTGTCGAGCGCCGCTCGTTGGTAGCCAAAAGGTGTGGGCTACCTATCACCCACGATACAGATTGAATGTGGAAAACTCGCCATGTGTGCAAGAAGTTCTTCCCACCAGCTGATGAGGGGCGGTGGTCTGTCTCCCGTGGGGGCGGCTGCAGTCAGGTATCATCCGACTCTACCCCTGTCCACCAAGGCCGACAGATCCGCGGTCGTCCGGGATGGGCCTTCGCGTTGTCGGTACTGCACGTCAAATATTGGGAAATTGGAAAGGGGTGCTGCGTGAGGGGGAGCGTGGCAGCTGCGAGCGGCCGTAGGGATTGGTCCACAGCCCGTGCACGGCATGGTCTGCTCGGAAATAAATCCGCTGTTGCTTGCTTACTACTGTTCGGTTCTTCTACTTAAGGTTGGGCCTGGGTCATCTTCTATTCGTGGCGTTATCGAATATTTGTTTCACGATCGGTACAACACAGCGTTGCTTCACCGCCAATCGCTACAGAGATGATTAGCCGCGTGTTGAGCTTGGCTGCTGGTTTGCTTGGCTGCTGGTTTGCGTGGCTTGAGGCTTGAATGTTGTTTCTTTCGGGCGCTTGAACGAGCTTTCACTCGCCGAGACACGCGTGCAGGCCTTAACCCTATGGCCCTCAATACCTGCCAAGGCGTCCGCTTTTAGCCCTGCAAAAACGCGCCAGATCCGATTTTCGAAAGGCGTTCAGCCACGTGATGAAGCCGTATTTGCATTTTTCTATTACGATAGGGATCGTCGCCTCGGCGACGCTTTTTTCTTCTAGGCCGAGCTTACCTATGTTAATTAGTTATGTTAATTAGTTAATTGCATATCGAATGACGAGCTAATGCCTGGCGCAACTCCAAGTCTCTCGGCGCAACTCCAAGACTCTCCTATAATAAGGCTGCTCGATAGAAAATTGTGAGGAGCAATGGCTGCTCACAGTCTTACGCGCGGGATAAGAGGCGACGCGCAATTTGTCTTGCAGCACTCCGAGCTGAGAACCTAGCCCCTGTTTCTGCCTGGGTTGCAGCACGGTGGCGTCTTCGTTCTAGCCTGTGGGTGTGCCTGGAGCCTAGCTTACTGGACTGATATTCCGAATGTGCGTGCATCCAATGAAAATTGCATGATGGCGGCAAGCAAAAGGCATTAAAGCGCGCGCCGGCCGACCTGGAACCCCGCCTTTGATCCATCCTCTGTCAACTGCCAATTGAGATGGTTGGTCAATTATCACGGCACTTCAATTCAGCGCATCGGCCTCGGCCGTGTTCGACTCTAAGGCCCAGGAGAGCAGAACATTCACGCAGCGTGACGCGAGTTTGTTTACCACCAGAAGCGCGTACTGATTGCTATGGCTGATCCTCTGTGGGTTTCCGACTTCCTCCTTGTCAGGTCATCATCAGTTTAGAAACTCGGCCGAACTAACTAACTGCCTGATGAACCGCGATTGTCTGCCACCAGATCCACCGTGGCCGGCCTCGTTGAGCTAGTATCAGCCATCGACCGTCTCACAGTCACCCTCAATAGAGTCGTGCGCGACGTGCGTGATGCATGGGCCGACGTGCTTGAAGTCTTGCGGGACCTGAGTTCGCTCAAATCTGTGCTCGAGCTGATGGATGCTGAGTGGTCGGCTTGGAGCGAGAACGTAGTCATCCCCGATATGCTCCTGAGCCAGATCCAGTCCGCCATCGACAACTGCTCCGCAGCAGTTTATCAAATTCAGACATATTTCGACGAATACCACGAAGAAGGCGGCCTACCGATCGAGGGGACCAAAGTGCAAAGATTTCAGTCGACCCTCGCCGCACACGTTGCCACATTTAACATGGCCCTTGCGCTACTAAACATGTGAGTTCACCTAACGCCTCAACAAACATTTCCTGCCTTGGCCGCACCTACTGACGTTTCGGCATTCCGTTTCAGGACGACCATGAAAGACTCCCGAGAATATGAGGTGCACTCCGAGGACATCGGACGCAACGCAGACCAAATTCTTCAGGAGATTGAAAATCTTAAGGCGATGGTGAGAGGAAAGGCAGGCGAATCGCCGCAAGACTTCATACTAGAGCGTTATCTAGAAGAGCTTTCCAGTTACGCCGAGACCGTTGACGACGTACCTAGTCCTGACTCGTCTGCCACATTGGTTGGCTCCTCTGCGTCGGCGAATATTGTCGCGGCTGCCGCAGCCGAGCATTTCGCTTACATATTTATGGAGCAGCCACTAATCGGAGGCCTTTGCACAGACGCCCTGGAATCCGGCACCATTGGTCCAGAAAAGCTCGGCCGGAAATTGAGGGAGCTGTTGAGACGTTTTGGGGGCGAACTAAAAGCCGAGGCGAGCAATGCTGGTGATGTTGTCGCCGCCAAACTGGTACGGTCCCGAGCATCCCAAATCTCACACGCCATTCAGGAGAGATCTGGACAGCTGTCTGGACAGCTTTCTGTCCCGAAAACATCGACGCAGCTGCGTGGAGACTTTCTTCAACCACTTGACAGAATGAAGGTCGACAACCTGCGACTCGTCGAAGACTTCCTACAAAAGCTCGAGCCGAGCCCGGCCGGCGCGGATGAGGCTGTCGAAGGAGACGAGACGGACAAGGCCTCTTCCGAGGACGAGCTAGACAGCGAGGACGAGAACTGGGATGCAAACAAGGATGAACTGCCGGCCTTGGCAGCAATGAAGCAGTTCATTTTGAGGGGCATCGCTTTCCAAAATCTTCAAACTCGGCTCCACGATCTCCTCTCTCCCACATTTCCATCCGAGGTTCGGAAGCTGGTTCAGAACGAGGTCTCGAAAGCTCTAGCGACCGCCTCACCCTACCGAGAGGCTCGGCTCCTCTACCTCAAGGAACTGGAGCTGGACCTGGGCATGGACGATATCGTCGCTGTTGAGCTACATGTCCACAAGACATCGAGCTATTTGGACACGGCGAAACGAGCTGTCGAACGGGCTACCAAGGAAAAATGGGACTGGTGGCCTCTAAAAGACCCCCACCCCTCGGCAAACGCCCAAAAGGCTTGCATCCATTGGACTTGCGTAAGACCCCAATTACCAGTTACCGTGCCGCCAATCAAGGGACTAACATGCCGACACAGGTCTGTGGGGAGAAGAGGTTCCGTGAAGTCCCCACCAACCTTGCTATACCGCTCAAGCGTCTCGTTACCAGGTTCGGAACTGTAAGAGGCGGCGGCACATTCAACACCCGGCCTCCCAACGACTCGACACCGACGGCACCACAAGGCTCGCGTCTCCGTCCGCCACCACCTGCACACAATAGACACGCCCAAGGGTTTACTTCACCACCTCTACCGGGCGCTATCCAAGGAAGCTCGGCCGGCCAGACACAACCGCAGCCCACGGGGTCCGTGTCGGGGATCTCGGCACCTCCGCCTAAAAGTTCTCTATGGGTCTTTCTCACCGTGGAAGTACGCGGGGACTACCAGCTTGCGCAAATTCCGGTAACTAACATTAGCGACGATGCCTTCTTCCAGACCTTGCGAGCTAAATACTGCGAGATGCGAGGGTTGTTTCGCCGCCTGTTCAGTTTCCGCGTGTATCACCACTGCGAGTTTGCTCACGTAGGTACCTCTACCAAACTTACGAGCGAGTAAGGAAGAAAGAAAGGGGGAAGGAAGGAAGAGACATGGAACTTCCCGAATGTAATATATCTATAATACTAACAGGAACACCTCTCAGGTCGACCGGATCGGCGTCGACGCCTACGCCCCCGGCGACCTCCGACCATCCTTTCCGGACCCGGGCGACGCGGCCTACGCCTTCGCGCCCAAGCCTCCAAAACCAATCCCGCCGATCAACGCGCACGAGTTCAACCGGCGCTTCTACGCGTGCCCGCGCACCGACCCCCACACCCATTTCCTGCCCGGCGGCGGCAGCAGGCACGCCTGCGCGCGGTACGCGGGCGTGCGCGGCGCGCTGGACCGCATCCCCAAGCGCCGGTCGCTGCTTAGCACGCGCGCGCTCGACCGCGAGGTCGTCTGGGGGCTGGTCGCCGTCGAGCGCCCGTCGTTGGCCAGGGTGTTTGCGTACCACGTGCTGGCGCTGGCCGGGCCGTTTGCGTTCTGGGTCCTGTGGCAGACGAAGCTGGGGCACAGCGACGACTGGCAGAATGCGTCGATCCCGTTCGCGGTCGTCTGTGTCTTGCTGTCCATGTTCTGGTTTCCGCTGTTGCAGAAGGCTTAGGGAGGACGGTGATTAGACACAGCGTGCTTTATTTTGGGGCGTTATTGTGTCTCAGGGCGCTGGGACGTCTTGCTAAATGCTCCTTGGCTTTGTCCAAGGGTCCCGAGACTCGTCAATAGGAATTCAGGCGTATCTACGGCTATTCTACTCCCAGGATAGGTGGAAGGTATTGCTAAAGTCGTGCCAGGTCTGATTTGGAAAAATAAACCATTGTTTTCTTAAGCTGAACTTGTCTAGGCCGTAAGCGGCCATCCTCGTGGCAACCTCGGCTTACCTACTTTGTTCCTCCGAGGGACTGCCTGCTGCTGCCCAGTCTGGTCGAGGAAGGCGGTGTCACGTTTCGAGGGAGCCAATGTTGATGCCTAGTACCTTTAGAAGAGGTACTCGTCTATTTCTTGTCAAGGGCTCTCCACAACGTCAAGACCACGACTATTTTACTCGCCTTACGACTGCATATTTCAGGGGGGGGGGGGGAAGGGAAGTGAAATTTCGGCCAAGTCTGACTCTTGCGGTAACTGCTGTGGCATTCTGAAAAATCTCGCCGTGCTCCTTGAACCAGAGTAGGGACTTACGAGAGATAGATTGGGGTATCGGGAGCAGACTTCTCATTAAAGCATCGGCCAAGAGCTGCCAGTTATGCCGCAGCATCTACGAGCACGTTGCTGGTCGACACAGCGAAAGTTATGATGCGCCAGACGCCCAGGACCAGGACAGCACGTACAGCAGGACCACCATGACTTTTACGAATATGAGTGGAATGGCAGGCGAGGAGGGCCAATTATCGCAGACTGAGTTGACATGGTGACGAGGTCGCGATTCCCATTATGGGATATTGTGTCTCGACGCGTGGGCTGACGAAGGTACCTGAATTGATAGAACATTGCTGGGGTGAACCAACGCACCAGCCCCTGCGTACGACGCGGAGTAAACTGGTCGACCGTCTCGCCCGCATCCCTCTCGGGCTTCTGCCGCCGACCTTCCGCGACGCTGTTGCTCTGACCGTAGCTGGACATTGTCTATCTGTGGATAGATTTCCTCTGCATTATCTAGGACGACCCCGACGACTGGCGTTCGGGAGAACATGGGAGCCCTGTATACACGAGCCACCTTCGTTATTGCCGCCTCGGGCGCAAAAAACTCGTTAGAGGGCCTCTACGTGGCCAAACGTCTAGAACCGCACGCATTCCGTGTTCCGTATTACCCCGAGGGGAACAGCCCTGCCCAAGGCACTGTCAACGTTGCCGTCCAGCCAGACCTGGAGCACGATATGCTAGACGGGCCGTTGGGGAAACGAGCCTGGGCGTTGCAGGAGTGGTATCTCGCCATCGCCCGTGCCGCATTGCTGCGCGCAGACTCACCGAGCACGGCGCCCACAGACAGGAGGCGACCAGAAGGACGGCCGCCACTGCATTGAGCGAGAGATGCTCGCAGGCACACTTGCAGAGTCGCCACAGCGCCTTCCGGGAGACTACGCAGACACTTTTCTCGTGCTTGATGTCTCCGACGCCAGCAACATGCGCGGCTTGGCAGTCTTTGATGAGCTGTGCCACTCGTCGGAAGTGTTTTGTCTCATTCTGGGCCAAGTTTTGAGGGGCATCACGATCCTGGTCTTCCCACCTTACACGACATTATGTATCTCTTGTCGAGACTAAAGCTGCTGTGAGGCGATGCATGGCCGACGGCAGCATTTGAGAGGTGGGCAAGCGTGATAAGAGCGTAAGCTATGAAGAGTGAGTACTGCATTGTGAACTGAGTTTGTTTGCATGAGAAAGAAAAGTCAGCTGAATGGGAATTCCCGGTCTTTTGGATCTGATGGGTTGTACATACTTTGTGTGGATGGTGGCGTTGCATAGTAAACTGCAGCCAATTTTGATTTGAAGGGGAATACCTCGGCACTTTTCAACAGCGGAAAGCTGGCGATAGTGTGCTGTGGCTTGGTTTCTTTGGTCTCGAAGACCCTTTTATCAGCGTAGCACATGATTGGTATTGTCCCAGTACGAGAACTTGGAAACGGCTGAGCTTGGTAGGGGTTGAGCTTGGTAGGGGTTGAGCTTGATAAGGGTTGAGCTTGGTAGGCGTTAAGCTTGGAGTTGGACAGGCGTTACACACACCCATTGTCTTCCTTTTCGAAACACGAGAGTTTCGCTGTATTGGCCCACCGTTTCCTAGGTATTTTAGCTTAGTCATTTCAATATGCATGTCGGCAAAGGAGGCGGTACCTTCCGTTGACATGAACCTCTGTGCGGGGTTGCCATCAGCTCCGTTCCAATCCTCGAGAGGCGTGCCACGCTACCGCGCTTGATTCCCAACTGAAAAAAAGAATTGGCGCGCGCAATGAGTTCGGCAAAAACAGAGCCAAGGGCTAAGAAATACGCATATCAAGGGACCGGGCAGCACGGAGTAAAACTCGGAACAGGCGACGAGGTAAGAAAGTCATCGAAATGCCTCTTCTTCTATAGCTAACACTGACCGGCCAGACCAACTCGACCACCGTCCAAAACGATGCTACAGTCCACCTGCCACGCGCGGTCCAAGTCGAAGAAGACAACGCGCAATTGATCGTGGCCGGGAGTGTAATGAAGAGCGTCATCGGCCAGAGAATCCACACAGAAGGCGCGGCGGTTGTGATGGAGACTCAGGGGCAGCCTGGCTGGGACCTGGTTTTGTTTGGGAGGACCGGGCCGGAAAACCTATTCCGGAGGATCTTGGCACCCTTTGCAAATAAAGCAAAGCGGGCATCACGTAAAGCAAAGAGAGCCTCGAATTTAACAAATAAAGGAAACCTGGTCGTTCCTTTATTTGCTTTGCTTTATTGGCATCGCTGCTTACAGACAGACGACCCCAACAGTCGAGTGGTTTGTGATAAGCGATCTATACCCTAGGGTTGAGCTTCTACTTCTTGTTCTTCTTCCCTTTGACATCGCGGGTCATAGCACAGGCCCTGCAGCCATAAGCTCTAAGGTGCGCTTAGTCCGGCTTCCGGACCAGCTCGGGAATGCCGTCTTCCGGACCAGCCCGGGAATGCCGTCCCTGCCAGCGAGGTAGGTATAGAGGACTTCGTATGGTGACATGAAGCCTACGTTGGCTGCCCTCGGGGTCCGGTTGTGTAGATACACAGCGCCGTAGTAGACTTCTTTCCACAGGAAGGCAGGAAGACGTGCCTTGACCCTCATTGCGATCGCCTTCATCTTGATGACGCGGTTTGCCCCTCTACGCCGCCATTCTGAGCCTGCGTGTCGGCCGCTGAGGGCCTTATGCCGATGAAGCGGGCCTTAAGAAGCTCCAGGTTCATCAGCGTGGTATCGATTTCGTTATCAAACTCAAAGACCTTTAGTTTGATGCCAAATTAGTGTTCCATCGTCCCTAGGAAGTATTTGAACGCCTCCAAGATATCTGCGGCCTTCTTTCATTGCGATGATGAAGATGTACCCTGAGGCTCTCTCGGTGAACAACATCGCCCTCACACTCTACCATTGAGGGACCCTCGGACTTCGTCATCGTCAGCTTCACCCCCGTAGAGCGGTTAGGCAGTTGCTTCGGTGCTCCCGGGCCAGGGTGCCCGAGGCGTAGATGCCAGAGTTCTCGTAGAAGCCTTCCGGGGCTTCCTCCGGGAAGACATAGAAGCATGGGGCGAGTTCGTGGCTGATGGTACCTGCCTCGCACCGGGGCCGCTTGCTCGTGTCGGTGTTGCTACGGGCTCGCTTGGAGTCCCGGGATGTGCTCCGGAGCTGCCGTGCCTTCTTTCCGGGGCTGCCGCGCCTTCTTTCCCCGGCCTCTAGCCGGTCGGTTTAGCGTGTGGGCGCGCCGCGAACCCGATGTGGGCGTGCGGCCCTCTTCCTTTTCTTCCTCCGATCCTCCGAGGACCCTTGCTTGTCATCCGCCTTCTTTCCGTTCAATGTGTTGGCGAAAGACGCTTCGAAGCGGCCTTTCTTCCCTGAGATACGAGCCTGCATAGCGATGTGCTTCCTCAGCTCCGTTGTGAGGGTGCCGTAGGTTATCTTTCCTCCGACCACATCGGCACGGCGGTTCATGTGCGTGTTGGTGGCCCAGACCTCTGTTGTGGCTACCCTCGAGAGGGCCGCGATGAAGTCTTCGAACCATGTTGTCATCGTGACAGCCTCAGGGACCTTCGCTTCGGTAGCCCTCGTCATGAGGATCCCCCACTCTTGAGCCCAGGTCCCCATCTTCCTTGTGTATTCCTTGACCCTCTCGTAATGCTTCCGAAGGTCGATTTGAGCTTCCCGGGAAAACAGGCCTAGGTACGGTTCGCAGCTGGCCTTGATGCTGGAGTATCACCCCCTTACCGACTTGCCTGCCGGGCACTGAGCTTCCCTTGTGTTTCTATCGACATGCTCCCGGACCCAGACTTCCAGCTTTCCAATGCCCTGGTCGTATTGCTCGTAGGCTTTGACACCCTCTCGGTAGACTGTGAGCTCTGTCGTGTACCTTGCGTAGTGCTCCGCCGATAGGCCGCGAAGGTTCCGGGCCAGCTGGCGACCGGTACCGCCTTCACGGGGGTATGTGGTGACATCGGGGAGGGTCACGGCAGTCGGGGCTGCGGGTGGCTCTGCAACTGCAGGGTCGACGTACATCCAGACCCCGAAGGCCCACGCCTGGGTCCTGAAGGCCTTGGACCAGTCCTTCCAGTCGCGCGGGCCCGAAAAGGTCGTGTGGTTTGTTGACATGGTGAGGTTCTTTCGAGTGGCCTCACTTGTGGAGTACTGCGAATGCGTGGTGGATTTAGTTGTACGTGGTGGATTTAGTTGTACGTGGTGGATTTAGTTGTACGTGGTGGATTTGGTTCGTTAATGCGCGAATGCGGTGAATCAGACTGTTAATTGTTACGCGTAATATAGTCAAAAATAGGTGTGTCCAATTGATGGGTCCGGAAGGAAGAAAACCTCTCTGCGGGCCTTCTTGCTGTGGAAAATAGCTCCCTTTTGCATGTAAGCACTAGACCTCCTTAGGCGTAGATCCTCGCTTAGAAAACATGCGGCCAATTGGGCCTAGTCGCGTGACACGTTCTCGCTCCGCTTTGCAAGTTCTGTTACGCACAATGCAACTTAATTGAAGTGTGTCCAGGTCTGATCTAATTAGTGCGACGATAGGTTGGTAGTCGAAACAAAAACCAGTTCAAATCGAAATCAATAATTCGATCTTCCGGCTAATAGAATTAATGCTACGGTTGATGAAAAGGTGGGAGAAAAGGACAGGTTGCCGAATCTAACGAAAGCTTGTATAGGGAATAGAATCTGCGTGCGCTGCGGAAGGCTTTCGAAAAATGAAGTCAATCTGGCCTACGGGTGTAAAAACTCGGCGCCAAATCGAGCTCAATTGTATGGTATTGCGGTCGCTACGATCGGAAAATCGCAGCTACTATTGTAATGTGTCGTCTGGAATTGACACACTTTTCATGGAGTTGGTTGACATGCCTCTGAACTTCCTTCATTCTTTGTTATTTCCTTCGTTCTTGGCTCGGAATGTCCTCATTTCATTCGGAATGCCCTCTTTCGGGCTGATTACAACGCTTCCCTTACCCTCTCTGAACGAGTATAAGGAAGCGTTCTTTTCTGTACTTTTAGACCTATTTGGCTAGACAATCCAATGCGCTGTGAACTTCAACCGCGTGCAACATGATGCATAGTACGTGCCTCGAAGGAGAAGTGGAAGAAGGATAGATTTATCCAAAGCTAGTGGTGCCTACGCTATGTAGGCTAATGCACGAGCCACCTTCCTTACTTATAAGCATAAAACTTACGTTCTTGACTCCGATTGACTTGTTGGTCAACCGTTATGCACAAATGGAAGGAGAAGCTGCGCGTACTGTCGTTTATCACAGCCTATCGCATGTCAAGGCAGCGACAGGCAGCCACGCAACTGCCCAACGGTTCGCATAAGATTTAGCTGCAACTAGACCGGTCATACTTTCTTCTCTGGAACAGCCAACAGACCAACCAATTCGCGGATGAAGTTCAGAGCGCCGTGACAAACTATTCCATCCACCTGCCCTCGGACATTAGAAATCACGAACTGACGACAAGCAAAAGCGAGCACATAAAGTTGTATATTATCCGTGATTATATCGGCAGTGGACCGGCCGTGACTTCATTGTGGTGGTCCACCACCAACCTCCCCTTGGAATAATCAACTGGGGGGGCCATGCAACGGAGTATGGTGCTACATGTCGTGCAGAGCAGGTTTGTTTGTCTCAGCTCAAGCCGTCCGTCCCGCTAATGATGATCATCAACTGTCACCAAGCAGTGTTACTCGCCGTGCAATCAAGCGCTGTCGCCTTCCAAGTCGCCGATGTTGGACGGACGTGACCCGCCCCCTGATCTGGAGTTAAGGGGTTTTCGCTCCCTCGGCCTTTCATTCGTTCCATCTCCCCCCTCTCCCAACTACCCCCTTTCACCTATTGGAATCCAATTTCTCACGATATTGGGCTGGGAAAACGTTGAAAAAACCAAGAGATAATGGCGAATCAACTTATCCTAGTCATTCTTGCTTCCTTTTTGGCCCAGCAGCGGGCGGCTGCCGAGGTCTACCTCAACAGCCTCGCAAAGGGCGCGTACGGTCTGCCCGACGAATGCATTGGAGTGCTGAATCAGGCCGCCAACTGCGACCAATCCCTTGTTAACCCTAACAAGGTTGGGGCATTCTACCGGGAAGATATCCTGAGCGCTTTGTGCACACCCACTTGTCGAGACTCGCATTCATCATACCTTGCCCGCATCTGATCGGCTTGCGGTAGCTGCCGATACGACGGCACTGATGGTGCAAGCTACCTCGCGGGCTACGATGTCGAGCTCCTCGTCGAAAGGATCGGCGTGGTGCGTTGCGCTACAGACAAGCCAGCGGGCGAGTGGCAAGTCCACAAGGGCGGCGGGAATCTAGACGATGCGTCTTACGTTGGCCGGCGGAGTGGATGTGCCTCAGTGTTGAGGACGTATTCATCCAGGCTGATAGTGTCGGGAGGCGAGAAAATCAAGTAAAAGTACTTAAGCGTCTCGGAGAACCAGAAGCTCTGCATCTCACCAGTTAGTAGTCACTTCATAAAAACACATATAAATAACAGGAGGTAACCCTCACCTCCATGGAATCCGTCTTGGTCGTCTCGCCGCTCGCCGTCACGTCGGCAATGGCCGAAAAACCCAGCGGCGTGTGCGTCGCCCTGACAACCGCCTCGAACATGCGCCACGCAACGTCGCGCAAGTCCGCCTTGCCCGTCATGCGATACAGCAGAAACACGCTCTCGATGGCCTCGGGCCGCAGCAAGTACCTGGGATCGCGAGCCCCGGCGAAGCCACGGCTCAGCTTCTTATCGCCGTCCTTGTCCCAGCGCGCGTCGTCCCACGCGCACGGCCCGTCGCGCCACGAGCCGGCGCAGGGCACGAGCCTGAACAGCTCGGGCATGACGCCCGTCGGGAACGCGCCGTACGCCCACGCGCACCCGCGCGCCAGGGCCTCGCCGATGGCCACGTGCTCCGGGACGTCGAACAGTTTGCCGCCGAGCGCGAACATGCCCCCCGCGAAGCACGACAGGTGCTGCCCGTCGGGCGCCAGGTCCGCGTGGCCCCCAACGTGCACGTACGCGTCGCCTGCGAACAAGACGGCAGCCCGGTCGGGCTCGTCTGCCGGCAGCATGGGCCGGAAGAGTAGCTCGTCGGCGGCGACCGCCACAGCGGCGCGGTGCATCTTTTCGAATTTAGGATCGCGCCCTCCCAGCAAGGCCGCCATCTTCGGCAGGTACTCGTACATGGAGTCGGCCAGCGCGCCGAGCGTGAAGCCAGGCTCTTCGTCGACCTTCTCGTCGCGGAAGTTGATCAGCTTGGGCCACATGCCCGGCAGTTTGGATTTGCTCTGGGTTCTGTCGAGGAATTCGGCCACGCGGCTCACGGCGTCGTAGAACTTAGACTCGCCCGTCAGCTGGGCCAGGCGGGTGAACTCGAGGGCGAGGGAGCAGGGGCCGGCGGCGGGGTCGTTGGAGCCGGCCTCCTGGAGGCCCTTTTTGGCTCTGTCAAAGTCGAACCAGAACCCCGGCAGCCGGTTCGGCGTGTCGAAGGCCATGTACAGCATGTTCCCCAGCTCTATGGCTTTGGCCAGCAGCGCGGGCTCGCCGCTCAGGTCGTACGCGCCCAGCAGGCCGCCGAGGTGCCGGATGGTGGTCTCGAACAAGTTGAGGCTCGTGGCCGTCGTGTTGGCCCAGTCCAGCTGGGCGGCGGCAGCGGCGGCGGCGCGGAAGTCGTCGTCGAGGCCCATGATCCAGAGCGTGTCGAGCGAGTCGACTAGGGTGGCCGCCAGCCCCCCGAAGGTCGTCTTGCCCTCGCCCGTCACCGGGGCTAGCTCATCCCGCAGCCACGCACGCTCTTTGTAGCTGCGCCAGCTCCGCACAAAGGCGGCCCGGACTGCGTCCTGGCGGCTCTTGGTCGTGGCGTCGTGCACGTAGCCGGAGAAGTCGTGCTGGACGCGGTGCAGCCGAGTCGGGGGGCCGGTGGGCAGTTGGTGGGCCGTCGATACGGGGTGCGTCTGGGGGACCGAGGTCCAGTCAAAGGTGCTGGGCCGGAAACGGACTCGGTGGTCGGTCGGCGGTGGCGTCTGCTGTCCGGACGGGAACGGCACCTGCGGTCCACGAGGGCGAATGAGGAACACGACGAGCAAGGCGATGCCGGCGACCAGGGCGAGCCGTGATATTCGACGATCAACCGCCATTTTACGGATGGCTATGAGGATGGTTGGGATTCATTGTGCACCAAAGTTTTGGGAAAGAGGCCAGGTCCGCGTCGACAGGAGAAGGAGAAGTCGAGGTAGCAAGAGTCGGCCATCCCATGCCTGTCATGCCTGTAATAAGCTGCGGCACGACGGTGGAGTTGCGGGGCCAAAGACCGAGCTTGGGGGGCACAACTCGAAGTATGAACTAGCGGATACGAAGTAGTTAGGGGGTCATGGCTATCAGATTTGCGTGAGAGTTGGATAACAGCTTGTTAGTGCACAAACTGCGGCCCCCGAGATGTGTTTAGGAAATCTCACCTACTATGCTACCTGTCAGCAAAGCAAATGCAACCCTTGCCGCCTCAGCCTACAGGAGGAAAATTGTGGACCTGACTGCCCTGACTGCCCTGATTTGTGAGAAGCTAAGCCCTAAACAACAGCCAACGAGTGCACTGCCAAATAGTTACAACAAGGTCTGTGGACGCACAACCAGTTCAACTTTTCCCAAGGTTATAGAGTAGTTAACCAGAGCGGCCTCCACGCGACCTCCACCAACCCAACTCCCACTCCCCGGGGCACGCAGGCGGCCACCCATTCGTTCATTGACTACCAGTGTTCTGTTCCGGAACCGGCTGCTCTTGCTGGACAAAGATGATCTCGGCGAGAGCGTGAAAAGGCTGCTCGCTCGCGCTCTCAGAAAGCCACTGCTCCATGGCCGGCGACAGGTTGCCTTTGTCGATGTTGCGGGCGTATGGGTTGTTGTCGTCGACGCGAGGGACGGCGACAGTGAAGTCTGAACACATGGCGGGTTAGTACATGACTTGAGGAGAACTGGAATATGTGTTTTGGCTTTCCTTGCCGGTAGCTGCGCCGCTAGCAGTATTGGTGTTCATTTTGGCTTTAGTGAGGCGGTAAATGTCTAGAGAGGGTAAGGGGGTAAAGGGGGGTGGGGAGAGATCGGTAGAGAGTTGGTTGGTAAAGGATGAAGCGGTGTGATGCTTGTTCTGGGCTGGGTTTTAAGAGGATTGATTTGGATTATGAGAGGCAGGTTGGCGAAGTGGATTTTAGTGAAATGATGTTGTCGAGGTTGGCCTGGTAAGAGACAGATGATCAGGAATCGAGGTGGCTCTGATACTCTTTAAAATAAAAATCGTGCACTCTTAATACTATTAATTGTTAGTTCCCCCAGAGCCCTGACAGGCTCTGGTCACAATGCAAAAGTTGCGCTGCAAAATGCGTGGAAAATGCACGGGGCAAAACTTTTGCTGCAATAGAGGTGATAATTCAAAAGCTTCTCAACAATAAATGTATTTCATGAAAAAGGCTTCTTCCTACAAAAGTTGTGTATCTTCTAGCAATTTGTCACCAATTGCTTTTGCAAGGATTAATTTGCCGGCAATCCAAAGCCAATGTAACCCGGTCTGATTTCTAGCTACACTGAATATTCGTTCTGTACTTTGAAAAACAAAGACTCTGAATCTTCGATATTTTGGACAGGTTGAGTACTAAGAGCCCACAATCTCGGGCACCAGGCGCTTGAATCAAAAGATTTCCGTGTTTGGGGAATGAGTTGATCGAGTGTTAGAGTTGTAGGTAATCAAGCAGCTGGTCCATGACGAGTGTCAGTCTCGAAGTCCTCGCAGGAGATACCTCTCCGGTGTCGATTGTCTTAGCTTTAATGTCCATGAACATGATGTTGCAACTACTGTCGTAGTGAATTTCAGTTGAAATATCACAAGGCAGCATTGATATCACTTTCGGGAGCTGTGTTGGGAGATCTTTCTTGCGCAACTAGTTCTGAAACGTACACGTTGGAACTAGTTTAAGCAACCCAGTAAACAAATGCGTGGAAGGAAACAGGCTGATACTCGGTAGTATTTATGAAACTGCAGAAAGCGCTTGAGCGGTACGCGAAATGAGGAAATATAATCTAAAAGGAAAAGAGTGAGACGCGGTTGGTGTAGTTCGACCACGAAAAGAAGGCTTCCCACGAAAAGAAGGCTTCCCACGTCATCGAATCGAAATAAACTCGCAGTCACGATCAACCTCCAATTACCGCAGAGGCACCGTTCTCCAGTAGGAATTCGACAATGGCATCGTGTCCACCCTGCGAAGCAAGCCATAGCGGCGACACCTTGACCTCGTCCTCTTCGCGGTCTGTCTTACAGTCAACCTCGGAGCCGTACTTGACCAGCAGCTTGACCATGTTGAGATGGCCGTTCTGCGCTGCCTGGTGGATTGGCTGCCTCCCGCTCGACGAGCGCCCGGTAGCCGTAAGCCTGTTTTGGAGCAGCATTTCGGCTATCTTGACATGTCCCTGCTGCGCGGCTATCCATAGGGGCGTGCCCCCCTTTTGCTCCCCAAGGTTAATGTCCGCGCCCTTAGCAACCAAGAGGTTGGCCATGTCTTCACTGCCCTGCCGTGCGGTCGGCATGAGCGGCGGCCAGCCGTCCTCCTCGACCGCGTTCACGTTGGCGCCGGACGCGAGGAGAGCGGTGGCCACATCAACATGGCCGTTCTGCGTTCTGCGCAGCCTGGTGCACGGGAGAGCGAGACTACTTGATGATGTGCGAGTTAAGATTTGCCTGTCGGGCCAACAGGATGTTGACAATGTCGATAAAGCCCTGCTGACTGGCTAACCACAAAGGTGTCGCGCCGTCACTCTCACCAGCGTCAAGGTCGGCACCATGGTCACGAAGGAGCCCGACAACCTTCAGGTGGCCGTTCTGCACAGCTTGATGGATGGGTCGACGCCGGCTGCCGAATCTGGGCTTGTTCACATCAGCGCCGTGACTGATCAGCAGCCCCACGGCTTCTCCATGGCCGTCCTGACAGGCAACCCAAAGGGCGGAGGCGTCGTCCTCCTCGCCTTGGTCAATAATAGCTCTAGCCTCGATGACGGTGGAAAGGTGGTTTCCCTGCGCGGCTTGGTGGATGGGCCGGCGATAGTGCTCGCATTGACGTCGATGCTCGGCTCAGGGGAGCGGAGGAATCGAGCAACCTCCTCAAACCCTCCGCTGCAGGTCAACAAGAAGGGTGTGGCGCCCTTGGAGTCTGGCTCATTGGGACGGGCGCCAGCGGCGAGGAGAAAACGGACACACTCAAGGTGACCACCCTGGGCGGCTTGGTGGATGGCATGTCTCCCGTTGTTCGACGCCGCCGCCGCCGCAGCAGCAGACAAGGGCCCAGTCACTTACACTGATACTCATCTTACACTAATACTCATCTTACACTAATACTCATCTTCTCGACGAGGAGTCAGGGGCACGGAGGATGATAACGATGGAGCACCTGCTGTGCGCAAAGAACGATATCCGGCCAGCCACTTCTAAGGAGGGGTTGGTAGCCATTCGGGATTTTCACAGCAAATTTAGGAACATAGCCAAGCTAAATTAAATTCAGGGGTTACGAGTTTCTCACGTTGTGTTCTTCTGATGAAGGGGTGTTTGAATTGTATTTTTTCCTTTTTTTTCCTTCCCTCTTTCTCTGTAGGTACATTATTTGGACATGTTATAGGCACTTACCGTTTGAGATTCCCTTTATAGATAGTCAAAACCTTCTTCATAGATAGTCAAACCTTTCATAGATAGTCAAACCCTCTTTATAGATAGTGAAACATCTTGTGTCCTGGCAAAACATGAAACCGCAGTAAAGCTATGGCAGTGGCTACAAAAGGAAGCCAATTCAATCCCGCCCGCTGTAGTTTTCGACAAGGCTGTCATGACGTGGCAATCAACGTCAACATCAACGTCAACATCATCAACATCAACATCAACCTCATACCGGAACATTTACCTCCTCCAAGTGCGCAACATCAGCGGCCTTGTCCCTGCCCCTGGACGTGTACCGACCAAAGAGTTGGATTCTTGCCCAGATCCCGGCGCCGCCATCTTTCTCCCTGCTATCACTCCGTTTCTGCGGACGATCAGCTAGGCGAACATGCGCAGCAGTTGCCGTGCTGCCACCACCACTACTACCACTGAACGCCTTCTGCTGCAGGCCGTCGAGCAGCGCGGCAATACGGTCGAGGTTCCAAGTCGCGGCGTACGTGGCGAGCGCGAGAACGGGCATGGTGGCGGCAAACGCGGCGATGCTAAACGTCTGGTCGCTGATACTCCAGAGGGACTAGACGGGCTAATCAGTACGCAAACAAGCCCTGGGAATGTTGCAGCCAGCTTACCGTGCAGAACGACAGCGGGAGAAAAAAGATGCTGATCAGCGTCAGCAGCTTGATGTTCTCGCCGAGCTTGGTCGATGTGCGGCTTTCCATGACGGCGCTGGCGTTGAAGAGCTGCGCAATCAACAGTCAGCAGCCCTCCACGACGATGAATGGTTAAGATAAACTCACCCCGTCGCGTAGCGCAACCGCCTCCTCCCGCCGCTGCACAAACCGCGCGCGCAGCGCCTCTAGCCTAGCTAGCATGGCCTCGTGCCTCGCCAGACGGCGCCGCGCATCATCTCCACCCTCCGCCCCGTCACCGCCCTGCAGCGAGTCGCGGAACAGCGCCAGGAACCTCTCGGCCTGGCGGATGTTGTCAGCCACGCTGGCCTCGACCTCTTTGAGGAACTCGATGGCCCAGAAGTAGCGCCGCGACCGCGACAGCGTCCAGTCGTCGGTCAGCAGCGTGTCGTGGCGGTCCGGGTCGAGCAGCGCCTTCTTCTCGCCGAGCAGCCCGTCAAAGTACGCCGCCAGCTCGTCCCAGCGGCCGACTACAGCGCCCACACACTCGTGCACCGTGTCGGCGACTTCGTCGGCCATGGCGCGCGTCCGCCCGCCTTGCGCCAGGTCGCCGCCCGTCTCGTAGTAGTGCGGGTACGGGAACCCGTGCGGTCGCAGTATGATCATGGTCCAGAAGATGGCGCGCGTCTTGGGACCTGGCAGGTCCGCGCTGGGTACTGCGATGATCTGCGACAGCGTCAGTGATTAGCGTGACATCAGCGATGAGGTGGAATATATGCTGCAACACACGGTCAGCGCGCTCTCGCGGACTCGGGGCCGCTTGCCACCACCACTGCCGCCGCTATAAGTGTGATGCCCATCGCTATGCAGCTCACCGTGGGGCCACAGCTCAACCATGTTTTCAGATGAGTGCGCGCCGAGCATCTCGTAGAAGGTGACGTGGAACAGCAGGCCGCCCTTGGTGAGCAGCTCGGCGTGGTGGGCAGCGGTGGCGCGGCGGCAGCGCAGGTGGCAGCGCACGGCGCCCCAGATCATTCTGTTGAGCGGCCGCTGGAACGGGTCCTCCTCGGCCTCGGCCAGCAGCACCGGGCACAGGTCGTCGTCGCCCAGCTTGTCCGCGTCGACGTCGCTGCTGCTGCCAATGTCGAGCGTCGTCAGCCCTTGCATGTGGCTGCTGCGCGTTAGCTGGCGCGTCTTCGTCTGGGGTTCGTCTGGGGTAGAGTCGAAAACTCACATCACGCGGCGCCACGGCGCGATGAGCGGCGATATGCGCGGGGCGCTTTCTGTCTTGTCTTCCTCGCCACGGATTGCGGCCTCGGGGGCGTGGTCCAGCGCCGGCATCGGGGACATCTTGTCGGGGTGCCAGTAGCGGGACGTGCCCGAGTCGAACCAGTCCCAGACGTTGAGGCAGTCGCCGTTGGGGGCGCCTCTGGCCTGCGTGTTATGGAAGTGGGTGACAAAGTTGCGCACGCGCAGGGCCGTCGTGATGTCGGACGGCGGCGCCAGGAAGCACAGGCTGACGCGGTTGTCGTTAGGGATGCACCAAAAGTCGCCGACCACGGACGGCCAGTCGAACCGCGTGCTGGAGCCTTGCTGGGGTACCTGGATCGTCGGCCGGTGAGACGTGTGCGTGCCGTAGTGGGCGTTCCACCGCGGGAGGCTGTTGGCGTTGTAGCGCTGCACCGCTTCTTCGAGCAGCGGGCCGCGCCTTGCCTCGGCGGAAAAAGGAGGCAAGGCCCATTCGTTTGTTGGCGCTCGTTTCTGGTGGCGTCAGCTTCGCGCCGGTCTGGGCCTTTGACACACGCTTCGGACTCACCTGCGTGAACGAAGCATTTTTTCTAGGCTGCAGAATCCGATCGCCTTGTCCAGACAGTCGCTGGTTCAAGCCCTTGATCTCCAGCAGAATCGATGCCAACAGGTCCCTTGTCTCGATCGTGTCAATCGATTCCTCTGTGGTTGGCTTCATGCTGCAACTCTCTTGTTGTTGGCCACATCGGCGATGCGATGTTGCCCGCTGGTTTCTCCTGCAACGTCAATCAATGGCTGTAATTTCGCTGCTCGGACTCTGAGGTAGGAGCAGGAGGCCTGGAGGCTGCAGTGCTGCGCCTCATCCTACCCCAATACCACCCCAATACCACCCCTTGGGGTCCCCTCGCAGTCTGACCAGGCACGGAAGATGCCAGGCTCCCTGAGTAACCAAAAAGAACTAATAGTGCTTTCGATTCGCTGCTCAAAATATACATAAACGCAGCTTGGATAATACTCGGGGTCCGAGACAGCATCATACCACCAACATCTCGAAGACCTTTGCCACCGAATAACCAATGCTAATGCTAATCAAGTAGTAAAGAATTAAGTTAGGTGAAGCGGTCAGTTCCTGCCACAAAAACGATAGCCGAGGCTGAACAAAGAACTTCAACGCCCGAAGAGACGACATCAGCCCTTTCAGGAAGAAGAACGAAAACAAAACAATCAAAACAGCACTCGCCGTCCCGTTGTCGGCACGATGTGCAAACTCCTTCAGTTGGTCGACACCCTAAGCGGACCCCGCTAATTCGTCGGCACTCGCAGCAGATTCCGCTAATTCGTCGGTATCCTATTCAGACTTCTTCGGTAGCGGTCGGACGCTCTGCGGGTTGTGAAAGACGTCGTTGGGGTCCCACCGGGTCTTGATAGCCTCGAGGGCGGGCAAGTTGCTCATCCAGTACTCCTGCTGCCCGTTGGCGAGATATGGGTCGACGTAGCCTGGGTAGGTGCCGTGTAGCTCGTCGGCGGGCAGGTAGCTTAGCAGCTTCTGGTGGAAGTGGTCCAAGAAGGCCTTGGTCCTACTAGAGACCTTCAGCACGTTGATGGCGTACGACTGGTAGAAGAAGCTCTTGTCGCGGTGGGCGTAGGCGGTCGCGTTGGTGGCCACGTCGGCCACCTTGCCGCCCGACGCGTCGAATATGATGAACCACGCGAGGGTCCCCTTGGGCGCGCTGTCAACCCACTGGAATAGCTCCTTGGTCTGTGCCCGGGAGAGCAGGTCGCGGCGCGTGAAGCCGAGGCTCCGGGCGTAGAAGGGGTTGGGGATGTCGCCCAGCTTGAGTGCCTCCTTCTGCGCCGCCTTGTACAGGTGTCCGATCCACGTGTCCTCCCTAATGGCGATGCTATCGTTGCCGCTGGGCAGGCGGTCAAAGATGCCCGACTTCTTGAATTCGGCCTCGGTTCCGTACCATGTTGCCGACACGCGCGCCCCCAGCGGATGCAGCGTGAACTCGGTCCCCAGCCGGCGGTCGAGGTTTGGGTCGGCCACAAGATTCTGCCACCCGATGAAGAAGTCGACCATCTCGTCCAGGTGGCTATACTGGAAGTTGTAGATGTAGTCGACCACCTGCACCGGCTCTGGGTGTGTTTTCATGACAAACTTGGTGATAATGCCGAAGCTCGCTCCGGCTCCCCTGAGAGCCTGCACAAACGGCGTCAGTAATGGTTCTCGTGGCGTCGAATGATGGAAAGACGACCCAGTTCATACCCAGAAGAGATCCGAATTCTGCGTGTTGCTTGCGCGGAGGATCCTACCGTCCGCCGTGACGACTTCGACTTCTTCAACATGGTCGAGACACGATCCCCACATGCGCGACATGGGACCAAGGCCACCCTAGACTCTTGTCAGCCACTTGCGAAGCAAAGCCATAGATGCGCCATAGTGATTACAATAGTCGCATGGCCGCCGATGCCCACACCGGGGCAGATGCCATGGGCAAAGGCCCGCTTGTGGGGCGCCAGCTTCTCGTCAATGTCGCCCAGCTTCCCACCAGCCCCGATGTGCGCCTGCCACGAGCTCGCCGACGTGTTGACCCAGACGTCCTGGAAGTTGCGCAGGTCGACCGATATCGAGCCGTCCTGTCCCCCGAGGCCGTAGTTGCTGCAATGCTGTCAGTTAAAGTCGCCTTGCTGGTGTGGTTGTTCTCTGTTCTCACCCGTAAGAGTGACCCCCTGATTTTGCCTGCACCTTGACGCCTGCCTGGGCGGCGCATTTCACGACGGCCGATACTTCTGCGGCGGTTTTGGGCCGTACCACCGCGGTGGGCGTGAACAGGTAGGCGAGGTTGAGCGGGCGCAGCCACTGCGTGAAGTATTCCAGCGAGCTGTGGCCGTCGAAGTGGACGCAGTCGTTGCGGCCCGAGCAGACCTTGCTGAGACAGTCTTGGAGGGCTGGTGTGGCCGGCGCCACGGGTTGCTGCGAGGTTGCGGAGGGATGCACGAGGAAGTAATGTGAAACAGCTGCTGTCGAAATGATGCCCATGATGACCAAGCTTTTCAACCACGATTTCTTCCGTTCCATGGCCAGCTCGCGGACCAGCCGCGCCTCTCTCTCGCTTCCGATCCCGACTTTGTCCGGGTCGGTTGGCGCCATCTCTGTGTGCTGGGGTCGTCGGCTTGTCTAGCAATGCTTGTTGTTTGTGGTGGTCTGGTGTAGAGTTGCTGAGATGCGAGGTCCAAAGCACAGTCCAAGCCCTGGTTTTAATTTCCAAAACCAAGGTCTGGACGCTTCGGTGGCGGGTTCCTAGTTAGTTCCTTCCAAATTGGAAGGAGACGAGATGAGGAAAAAGCCACGATGGGGACCTTCAGGCCGAGACGTGTTTAAATGGAATCCTGCGCGTCAGTCGTGCTTGCCGCATGCGCCAGCTCATGCCGGACTTATGTGTGACGGCGGGTTTCGAACGGGATTTGCACCCCCGGTTGGGCCTGGGTGTCTGGCCAATTAGAGATGGTGGTTTTCTCGTTGCCAGCGATCAGCATGCGATGCAACGAATGTCTGTTGGGATCGCGCAGGCTGGAGTGCGGCCTAGCCTAGGCTTTCAGGCGATGGACCCTACAGGGCCACGTACTAGCTGCAGGTGACGCCTATCATGGCAGGCGCGAGGCAAAGCCATTAGAACCTCGTGGTGAGCTGATTATGCGGGACTACTGCACCTCCAGAGGCTTGCCACTTGGCAGGCTAAACTCCAAGTATTTACGCCAGCTTGCGCCCGGTCCCCCGCCATGTGCATTCCGAGCTTGCCAGAAAATGTCTCGCCGACGATGCAAATGTGCCCGAGATTTCAAGAGGCTAGCGCCTTGTGACTGTCGGAGTGCCACTTCATGCCATTGTGGACTGGGCGTCAGACACGGATGCGACGCTGCGCCGCCTCTCCCAGGCGCGATACATGGTCATGAGCCACAGAAGGAGCGGCTTGGATATTACGCAGCCTTTTTGACACAAATGGTCGTTACTCCACGTTTGTAGTCAAAGTTGAAAAGTGAGCTTGCCCGCTCTCGATTCCGGCATCAAGCCAGCTGACACTCGAATCTGCGGGCGCAAAATCTGTCCACAAGCTATTTAGCTCACGTTACACGTGCAGTTCACCTTGGCCAATCTATACGCGGATGGCGCGTGTGTGCAAACCCAAGTTCGACGACAATCGTCTTGCGATAGAACACTGCCCAGCCTGCCAACCAAACAGCGACTCGACTTTGCCCGAATCGACCGGCACTGCCAAGCCCTTTAATTTTTGAAGCCGCCTAGAAAGTTTGAAGCCCGAAAATCTCGAGGTCGCTCCCGAGCCTGGTGCATAGCCGCTCAGCCATCTCGCTCCAGCTCTTCTTGGGTGTCAAAAAACTCTTCGTCCAAATCGCCATCGCCAGATATCTCTGTTGTATCTGTTGTGGGTTGGGTTCGACGAGAATCTCTCGGCCATTCATCGAAAGGCCTTCATCCCCCAGACTCGCCAGCAAACGGTCAAACGCACGATGCAGCTCCGCCGTCGGTTTTCTTTCATCAAACCAGTATTCTAGCAATTCTTTACCGTGTTTAAGTTCGAGCCTTGCGTTAATGCCCCGTATCTTATGTGCGGTAAATATATCTATTGTCCCGCAGTCCGCCGTAGCGGCGACCGCGTACAGCAGTCTGCTTGTATTGTATTTGGCGACGAGATCAGTCACGGCACCGCGCTGAAGCAGCAGCTCGATGATTAAATGGTGGCTATGGGCAATGGCAATCTCGAGCGGGCTGAAGCCTTCTGGGTTTATGTCAGAGCCGTAGGAACTTGACGGCCTCCATCGACTCCACTTGGACCGCTGAAATCAACGGCGCAGTGCCCTCGCGACTGGCGTAATTGACATCCGCGCCGTACTTCACCAATATCGACCAAAGCTCTTTGGGGTTGTCTCCTTCCCTCCGTCCAACAGCCTCCTGAAGTGCCGTCGTGCCAAAGTTGTCTTGCTCGTTGACACTGGCGCCTGTCTCGAGGAGGAGGAACCGAGCCACCTCGAAATGGCCAAATCGACATGCCCAGCCAAGGGCGGTGACTCCCGCTGTCGATTTCGTATCTATGTTGGCTCCTGCTCCGACCAAAATCTTGACGGCATTCGAGTCGCCTCGTATAGCCGCTATGCAAAGCGGCGTCATCCCATCTCCGGCCCTCCTGTCGATCTCTGTCAGATGCCATGGCTGACGAACAGCCGAAGCAAGGTCGAAATGGAGAAGCCCCGCCGTGCCGAGATGCAATGCTGAATAGCTTTTATCTTCAAAGTAGTTGGTAACTGGAAACAGACTGGCGATCTCTTTCTCCACCGTGCGGTTTGAAAGTGAAAAGGTGACAGCTTCCAACATGGGGGATACGCCACTTGACGGCATCATGTGGTGCGGATCGGCACCTGCCTGAAGTAGCGCCCTGACGATTTCCGTCTTCCGCAGAACCATCGCAACCCACAGAGGGGTGTAAATCCCATCGTTCCAAACATCATGGACCGAAGCCCGGCCCTCGACTAGCATCTGTTTGAGGGCATCGGCATTCCCCGTTACGACGGGGATCATGATGCGACTCGAAAGGGGTACTTGAAAAGACAAAAGGTGGTTAGATACTCGCAAGGCAAAGTAGGGCCTCCCATTAAGGTCGATCGACAGAAAGGCTAACAAGGAAATTCGGACCAGCCAGCTCGGGAAGTGGGAGACGAGCCGCATTTCTCGGGACGCGACCCGGTGACAACGGCGTCGACAGATGTCGCGTTGGCAGAGGCTTTGAGTCAGACGGCGAAAGGAATACACAACACTTATGGAGCCCATAACTGGCTGAAGCAGAGTCGCTGCCCTGCACCAACTCCTGGCGCCAAAATGACACTGGCAGTGACAGATCTCATCACAAAACTGGACCGGGCGTCAGAGGAAGTAGCGTAGCAGGCGAAGGACGGCCAAGTCGCAAAATTGGACTTGCCTGCTGGCGGACCTGCCTGGCGACTGTTGTCCAAGGCCTTGTGTCGGTAGAGTGCCATCTCGTCAGCGACAGACGCCTAACAGCCGCAGCCAAATTGCGCTCGAGATGTTCAACCCGTGATTCCATGTGCTGAATTGCCTCACCAATCTGAGAGACGACTGAGCCCCCAGATGCCTAGATTGCGCGCTCAGTGTGCGATGTTATTCGTTCCAAAGTTGCCTGCAATCTTCTGTCAAGTTGTGAGTGGAAATCATTCTGCCACGTCTGGAAAAGGCCGCTGGTCTCTGTGGACACTCGCCTGCCCGATAACGATAATTATTTGTTAGAAGTTCGGTTCGGTAAGGTAACTGAGCCTGGAGGTATTGACTCACACATTCTGGACAAGCAACAAGTTGCAGATCCAGAATACAACTTCACGCAGTTCCTTCCTCAGAGTGGCAATTTTGCTTGCGCTTCTTATCCAAATCATCTGTCTTCTCGTTCCAAGCTCCTGCGGCTCGCCATGACTCGGTGCATCTCCACCGCTCACTTTGTCAACGATTGTCTGGATATGCTTTAAGACGGCGAGGCCCTGACTTAGCGACTTGTGCATGGCCGGGGCAGACGTATCTATTTGAGACCCATGAACCATTTGGTCGGCGATGATCTCCCGGACCTCGGTAAAGAACTGTTGCGTCAGCGTGATGTCGTCACGCAGCCGGTGAAGGCTCTCTGGCGCATCTCGCCATGCGTTAGACAGTTCCAAAGCTTCGAGCTAGTTCGCAGGGCGACGTCCGCAACACCAACGACGGCACCGAGTGCTTCCATTGCTCGCTGATTGATTCACGCTTCCCGCGACCTGTGCCGTGCAGGGACTAATACAAGCTCGGAAGCATCGAGAAGGGCGTTCGTGTCGGCCAAGGCAAGGTAATAACTTTTTTCCAAGTCAACTTTGTCGCCACGGATGTGAATAATTGATGCGTTATCTGACAGCCAAAGGGATTCCACGTCGCCTGTAGCCATAGTGTTAGCGTGAGTGCATGATTGGGGTTCCCAAACATTACGCATTGGTTAAATGGAAAAATGCTCTGGTGAGTCACCACTTTGTCCACCATCTGCGATTGTGAAAAGAATGCACCGATGGTCTGTGCTTCCCGTCCAGGATTCTTCAATGGCATGCTGTGATAACGAACTTTGACCCTACCGGTCAGTTGTCACAGGCGGTAATAGTAGTAGAGACTGTTATTAATTCCCGGCTAAAATAGCAAGCATGTTTCTTCCGATTTGTGCAAATTATATTGGATGCTACCTACGTAACGGGAAGATGCAGGTGAGTTAATTTTCATGCCTCGGAACCTACCTCGCAGTGGACTTTGGGCATTGAGATTTTGGTGTTTAATTCCCCAAATTGCTGCGAGCCTGCCTAACTAGGAGGGCGGTATGTTGATTAGCTGGTAGTGATTCGCCGGACTATTCAGTAGTAGTCTGGAAGAACGTCTAGAAAGCTTTCACTCAATGAATCTACAGTGGCACAGGGCTGATGCTCCCGGTATCAAAAGGTAAGGTGCTCCCCTGAAGCAGACCGGGAGGATAATGAGGGACTGTCAGAAAAAAGGGGGGGTTCTAGAAGGTGCTGGAATCATGGATTTGTCACTATCAGAAAGAAGGGAGATTCTAGAAGGTGCTAGAATCATGAATTTGTCACTATTAGCCACAGACGCGCAATAACCTCGCCACCTGGCCATGGCTATAAGAAATGCTCTCTGGCAGAGCCAGAGAGCCTAGAAAAAAGGGGAATACAATCAAGCAATTACAACCCCATCAATTCCACAAGATCCAGTGTGCAGTGTTTCTGACAGGGACTTCCGCAATTAGATTTATCACAAAAGTGAAATGGCTTATACCCATCATCACGTACATATTAATGGTTAATATACGTATCTGTAGCGATACAGCAAAAAGTCAAACAATTTAACGGCACCGACAGAGTTATACCGAAACCTTACCACCGCCATGTACGATCAAAGGAAACTTATATGTACATGGATTCTAGATGACTCACAATAACCTAAAGTCGTCGAATCTCATCCACAGGACCTTGTTGCCATCTTCGTCCAAAATTAGGCGCTTGGGGTCTTTAATTAAGAAAAAGGTCTAGTTCCAGTCCTTGGCTTTCTACCCTTTTCTCCCCGAGCAGATTGTCCTATTTCAAGAGCTTTACTCGGTGCATGGACTCGAGAGAATGAGTAACGTAACGAGTGTGATGTTATCGTACCAAGCATTGCCCAGACTTGGCAGACAGCCCAGAATAGAAAGCTCCGGCGGTTCCGCGTTCTGGAACTCTGGTGCATAGAGTCCTTGTTACCTAAGCCCGGGCTTTTCTTCGTCCCATGTAAAAACGCTAAGTTTCCAAGAGAGCTACGAGACGCGGTCAAAATCTTATTTTCTCGTGTTCCTCCCGCTCTATCCAAAACTCAGTTACTGCGTTTCTGCTTCTTTCTCTTTCTTCCACGTCCAACTTCCTCAACCGCCGCTCTCGAAAGTTCAGGAACCATGGTGACACATTGCGCTGGACCCGCACATGAGGACGCAGAATTCCGTATCCTCCTCGACACCTTCATGGACAAGACTATCAGCCGACCATCGGCGCGTGATCACCTCTGGCGCGTTCTTTAAGGCCTCCCATACGACATTCGGAGCACCTCCTTCTCCTACTTTCTCAACAAAGCGACCCGCTAAAATTCGAGTCCCGGACCGGAAAGGCTAAGCGAAACGAGTCACAGGCGGACGGGCGGAAGGAACTCGACGACTACCGATGCATTCCCACCAAACAGCAGTTCCCGAAATCCTGCCACATTGTTGGTTACGCGGTCAACAACACGGAAGACAATAGGACGAGCCTCGATCCATTCCTGGGGTTGGTACAAATATTTCGGCATGCTCATGAACAGAGCGCTTTGGCAATGCAGGAAGATGAAGACACTAGAGAGAGTGAATAACAGAAAAGACCAGGGAGAGTGAATGACGGAAAAGACCAGGGAGAGTGAATTACAGAAAAGGAAGTACTAAAAGCTTACTCAATATTGTTTAATATTGTAAAAATACCGGGTTTAAAATTCCGGTATAGGTCGTCGTCGATTTCAGACTGAAACATAAACACTCTAATCTAAGCATTCATTGGTGTGGTACTTGGGCCGAAGAAATGATATTCTTGGAAATTAGAACGACGGGTAAGGAAAAGCCTTTGATAGATGCTTTGGGCAGGAGATGGGCCTCTAGGACCCAAAACCGGATTCTAATACCTCTTACCTCCCTCAGCAGAAAACCTTATCGACGAGCTGTAAAGTACTAAGGCCTTTCAAATCTTGGAAAATCTCCAAATCTCCCGCTTAAAACATCATGCCGCCTGGAATTGACCCACTTTTCATGAAATTGAACCACATTTTCCAGGCCCCGGTTAGCATGCCTCTGTACTTCCTTCATTCTTTATTTATCCTTCATTCTTGGCCTCGGAATGCCCTCATTTCATTCGGAATGCCCTCTTTTCGGGCTGATTACAACACTTCCCTTGCCCTCTCTCAATGAGTGAGTATAAGGAAGCGTTCCTTTCTGTAATCTTAGACCTATTCGGCCAGACAATTCAATGCGCTGTCAACTTCGATCACGTACAAGAAATTATGCGGGCGCTAGGTAATCTCAAAAGCAGAAGCGGTGAAAGTAGGATTCTCGACAGCTTCTTCACTCATGAATACATAGATATATGATTATGCCATGCTAACTAACCCAAAACTATCACGGCACAAACTCTGACGGTCCCTACAAGCCCGCCCGGGTGGGCTGCTCCTCGTTGACCAGCGTGTAGCGGTACCTGGGCACGCCTGCCTCCATCTCGAGGATGGCCTTGTTGGCGTCTTTCATGGGCACCTCGGTGACCCAAGGCTTGACGTTCTTCTCGGCCGCCAGCTGCAGCATCTCGCGGATGCCGTTGGGCGAGCCGATCATGGACCCGGTGAGCTTGAGGCGGCGGTAGAGTATGTCCCACGGCAGGAAGCCGGGCAGGCCGTCTTCGGGGGCGCCGACCTGCACAAACGTGCCGTCGAAGCGCAGCAGGCTCATGTACTCCTGCAGCGGCATGTCGGCCGACGACACGGTGCAGATGATGATGTCGAGCGTGGCCGCATGCTTCTTGGCCCACCCTTCGTCCTCGCCCGTCGCGATGAAGTCGGTGGCGCCCATCTTGGCCGCGTCGGCCGCCTTGCCGCGCGACCGCGACACCACCACCACCTTGTCGGCGCCCAACGCGCTCGCCCACATGACGCCGAAGTGGCCGAGCCCGCCCAGGCCGATGATGCCGACGGCCTTGCCGGGCCCGGCGCCGTAGTGCTTGAGCGGCGTGTACGTGGTGATGCCGCCGCACAGCATGGGCGCGGCCTCGGCTGACGCGATGGCGTCGGGGATCTTGACGACGAAGCGCGACGGCGCGCGGTTGTACGTCGCGTAACCGCCGTAGGATTTGCCGCCATTCATGTACCTGCCGTTGTACGTGCCCACGTGCTTGACCTGGCAGTAGTTCTCCATGCCCGCCGCGCACGCCGCGCACTTGGTGCCGGTGCGGTTCTGGCACGAGTCGCTCTGCGCCCCTACGCCCACCCGGTCGCCCACCTTGATCTCCCCGACCGCCTGCGAGCCGACGCGCACCGCGATGCCGACGATCTCGTGGCCCACGCAGCACGGGTAGATGGTCGGCCCCTAGATGTAGGTTAGTAATCGTGTCTGTCTGTTCCTCGCAGTTGCCTGGCTGGTAATTAGCTCTTACCCATCCGCTGCGCAACGTGTGCAAGTCACTGCCGCAGATGCCGCAGTGTGTGACCTTGATGTCGATGTCTGTCTCCTCCCACGGCTTGGGCTCGAACTCGCCCCACGTCATTTTCCCCTCGGCTGCCGAGGCGTCATGGGCCAGCCACCCCTCGAACTTGTATGTGGTTCCCGACATGTTGCTGGGGCGCTCGGGCTGAGGGTGCGGCGTTTGTTCGAGTATGGTGAGTGGTCTGTAGGAAGATCCGTAGTTGCTGAGAGGTCGTAGCTAACGGTGCCAAAGTCGAAGACAGACGATGGAGACGGCGCGACTCGGCTCTTATAGCGGCGCAGCCCGCCACCGCGGCGGCCCAGCACGACATGGCTTGCCCATGGGCTCGCCAGCGGCGACTCAATCTCGGCGAGAACCAGACCCACTAGCTTTCTTCTATCGACTTCTCCGGGCCCACACTTGTGGGGATCGAGAACGAATCTGCGGCGAGATTTCGGACTTTGTCATCAAACTGCAAAGTCCGCTGTCAACGGCAGAACAAACAGACAGTTGGATGCGCCAAGGACAGCAGTGGTTGGATTCTAGATGTTTCCTGGCACACTGGTACACGGTAGGTTCTCGTTGTTCCGTGGAATCGTTCGATGTGTGGTAGTCTTGTCGTCATGATCGAGGCTTACCAATCCAGTTGGCGTAGTCGGTGGCGGAGAACGAGTCAGGCTAGGGCTGGGGACAGGGACTTCCCGTCCTAGCCATGAAGAAATAACAACCGCTTCCTTGCACACCCGGCATGCTTGCACACCCGGCATGAATCGCGATGCGCACGGCACAGAGAGTCACAGCCATCGGATCACAGCCATCGGACGTCACTGTTGCGTGGCCATGACTGGCCGCGGTACGTCCACGGCCCCGTCGGCCCGGGCGCCGTCGGGGAGCGGATGTCTTCGGGGCAGCAGTTCGCTGCGAACACGTTGTAGTACGTGCCGTTGCAAGTGCGCTGGTACATCCACGGCCCTTCTGCGAACTTGGGCCGAAGGCTTGCTGGGTGTTCGGCACCGACACGATGCCGCCGCTGTACGACACCTGTTCCTTGTTGAGCTTGACGTAGTAGAACCCCGGGTTGCCCCAGTACAGGTACGCCTGGCCGGTGTCGTGGTCGCCGTCGATCTACATCGTCGGGTCGATGTTGCCGTTGGTGACCAGCGGCTTGACCAGCGCGTCCCGGTACGCCCGGGAATAGAATCGCTGTACCCCGACGCCGATGCCATACGACACGCCGGTGCGCGTCATGGACGCATAGAAGTAGAACTTGCCGCTGCGCTGCATTCGACGAAAACAGCCGCCAGTCCCGCATCGTGTACGTCGTCGACCCCGGCTTGTCGTGGTCCGCAAACAGCCACACCGTGTCAGTCCACACGTACGGCGCCGGGTCCGCCGCGTAGATGGTCTGGATGATGGGGTTGTCGGCCTGCGCGACACAGATCAGGCTGCCGAGGGCGATGTCGACCATGGCGGCCACCTTGCTCGTCAACATTCTTTTGGCGATGGTCGACTGCTCGTGTACCTACCTACCTATGTTAGAAATGCTGGACCTGAGGCGCCGAGGCAGCCAAGTTGGTTCTCTATCTATCTATTTATCTATTACACACCTTACTCTCTTGTCTCCGGGTCGCCTAGGTAAACTCGCAAGGCACCTTTTCCCGCCGGGGCCTAGGCGACCACGATGCAGGTCCAACGGAGACACGGGACTGGAGCGCATGTCGGATGCCGGGATTGCGACCCGGAACCAATGTACCGGTGCGCATGCATGCAAACTTACTTGCGCGAATCACACGAGTTGGGCTACTCACTGGGAATGCAACAATATAACCCTCTACCACTCAATGATGTCGAGGGGCCTAATAACTAATTAGCACAAGCCCAGCTGCGGGGAATAATTAGACCCAGGAGATAGATTTAATGAACGTGTTGAGTGACTATTCAACGCAGGCAACTCATGCCTCAAATCCCACCTTTCTTGGTTCTCGGCGTATCGCTATTACCCACGAGCGTATCGCTGCCGCAAGGGTGGAATGTTTAGCTGGTTTCAGCCTCAGGCCGCCTGTCGATGATGTAGTCGCACAACCGGAGATCGGGCCGCGACCAGGGCCGGTGGGGCAACCGTGCATTACCACTTCCTTTTTCTTTCATGGGCGGTTCGTAGTTTACGTCCTTCTCTCGTTGGGCGGATGCTTTGCAACTGATGATTCGGCGATTGAGATGCGATGCTGCTATCGTGAGCGAGAGATTCGACATGCAATGAGCCTTGGAAGCGAGAGAGGTCGCTCGCCGAGGTCGTGAAGTGGGAGGGGCAGGTAGGCCGTGATCGTGGCCACTTGCCACAAAATCGTCGCATCTGTCTGAGGCAGAGCCGCTTAGGTCGGCCGGCCAGGGCCAAAACGTGGCAGCGGCCTTGGCATGGATCCGTCGGAAGCAGGAGGGTTGTAAACGCATAGTCTTGGAATCTCACCCAATTGAATGGTAACTGTAAGCTCCACAATCCAAGTCCCATTGACCTGATTGGTGGATCTTGCAAACTTTTCAGAAAGTAAAATGTCTCGGACTCTGTGAATAAGACAATGGACATTTACGGCCAACATTGCAGCCAAAATTCGTCCAGTCTCCACACGGCCTGTTCGGCTCGTCCCATCTACCCTCGATCTTACTGCAGGTCCAATCCGTGTCATCACCGGGGCTAAGGTCCACATGTTCACGGTCCACAGGAAGCTGTCCTGGCCAAGACCCGCTCAGGTCTTCACCACGTGTATCCCAACCCAAACCCAGAACCTTTCTGTTACTGAACAAGTATTCCGTCTCACATCGACATTTGATCCGACCCAAAATAACTGTTCGAAATCAGCCCCCACCAAATTAACTGTTCGAAATCAACCCCCACCAAATTAACTGTTCGAAATCAACCCCCACCAAAAAAACCGCACCGCCAAATGAACAACAGCACTGGGCCCCTGATAGCCCTGCTCGCCCGAAATGTCCAGCTGATGCAGGAGCCCGCCGACGTGCGCCTCGAGCTGCCCGGCGGGAGTGGCGTCGTGGCAGCACACCGCGGCGTGCTCGGCCGCGTGTCGCACTTTTTCGCCACCAAATTCGCGCCCGAGGGCACGTGGGCGGGCGCGTCGTCGGCGGCCATCCAGCTCGACAACACCCTAAACCTCGACCCCGTGGCGCTGTGCCGCGCTCTCGTCTGGTGCTACAACCCCGCCGCGTCGTCGCCCGTGATTCCCGGCGCAAAGCGCGTCGGCGGCGGCGGCGAGCAGCCCCCCGCGCTGCTGCGTGCCAGGATGCGCTGCCACCCCACCGCCCTCGGCGAGACGCTGCAGCTGTACCTCGCTGCGCACCAGTTGGGGATTCCCACGCTCAAGGAGGCCATCTTGGGCGACTGGCGCCGCGAGAAGCGGTGCTTGGTATTTGATGATTGGCAGGTTTTGGACTTGGGCGCGCTGGCGGTCATGACGGCCGTGCTGCCGCGGGAGGATCCCGTCTGGGCGGAGATTGAGAGAGGCGGGCGGGAAGTGTTTAAGAAGCCGGTCGAGTTTACGAGGGAGATGTCGGCTTTGAGGCCCGAGACTAGTGTGTAGGAATTCATGTGTTATGTAGCTTAGGTATCTAGGTATGCTGCTGGACAGCTTGTACGCCTAGGTATGCTGCTGGACAGCTTGTATGTCTAGGATTGTTTAATTAAAAGCTTTAAGCAACTGCATGCTCGTGCGACAGAACAGTTCTTTGTCGACAATGGCCGCGAGATGGTGCCACCGTTCTCCTGCTGGCCCCCTTTCGGTCGTCTCAGAGGTTCACAGGAACGAGCAGCCCCCTATATACGTCATCTACCCTTGGGCCCCCGGCGCACCCCCTTCTTCCTTTGGTAGAGCCTCATCGGGAGCGAAAAGTCCGCCTGAATCTAATTCTGTCTGATACTCTGGTTTCACCGCATTGGATGCCTCGGGGGGGGGGTGGGGGGGGGGTGCTGACGTGCGTATGGTGGGCCAATCAGAAAGAGTGAAATCCGGGAGCTGCCTCGCCACTGATGCCTACCAAATCTCGGACTGTGACTCGATGCGTGGCGGCGAGGGGGAGCATGCGTCGTGGAATTAAATGTGACTGCCAATCAGAGAGCCGCCAACGGCACCCCCCACGCGCCCTTCTTCCGAGAAGATGTGCTGTCGCAATGGAAAGATAACGATTAATGTGCAAAGCTGCGTGGACGATACCAAACGAAAATTACCTAGGAATAATACTCATTTACACAGTCAAGTAGAGACTAGAGCGCAGATCACAACCACCTCACAACCACCTCACAACCACACTGCCACCTCACAACCACCTCAACTCACTCCCTAGAAACGCCTTGAGCTCCGCAATTATCGTATTTTCGTCGGTATAATCCAAGATGCCGAGTTCCGAATCGAGCTAAAACGAGAGAAGTTTGCCCTGGGTCGCATCCATTGCGTCTTCAAGTACAGTGTAGGTGCAGTCTCTTGTTGAACCTCGACCTGGGGGGTCTGATTCACTCGTTCATCTGAACTGGAAGATGCCGCATGCTCTTCTTCACGACGCCCCCCACCAAGATTGGAAGCTCCCAAGACCAGGTCAGTTTGCCGTCCCGGCTCTGGGGGCCGGTATTGGCAATAGAAGGGCACGTTGGCATGCCTTCCACCGAGTAGAGTAACCGGACAGTTGGGCGCATGAACTCCAACGACATATTCTCAGCGAGAGGCAACCTCTCCTCGAACCCCGTGCGGGTCCAGAAGTGGCGGCGAGGCTTTCGAGGCCTAGATCCAGCTCTTTGGTAATACCAGACCATAGAATCCAGATTAGGGCGGATTTTCACCACATCAGGGGCAGACACCTAGTCAGCAGGCCGAGTCGGGGAGGCAAGCGCATCCGTCTCCGTTGGGAGTAACTATGAACATGGGCTTACGGTATTCGGCAGCCGCCGTGAGGCTAGGCTTTAGAGACCAGCTCGACTTGGATGGGTGGGGCTTCCAGAAAGCCTCATATTTGAACTTGACAAAGGGGGCGAGCTTGGAGATCATCCAGGCAAGGGCAAATTGTGCGAGGCATTCTTCCTTGTTGCCGCTTCCGATGTCGGCGTGGTAGCCCAGGAATCAGCACTGGTTCATCTGGCCGCCATGTGCCACCCGTTCCCACACCAGGGGAAGAAAAGGCTGGCGGTGCTCGTGAAGGGCCAGTGCTTGGAAAGCATTCTGAACCGCGTCGCATGGTGCCGAGTTGACAAATGAGAAGCGCTTCGGGCGCAGGCTCGGAAAGCCGATCGAGGCCACCGTGTCCCACAGACCGCAGGCGATGATGCCGACCTTTGGGTGGCGCATCCTCTTTTGGTGCAGAACGGCGGCTGTGAATTCTTTGGCAAGCGGGCCTCGTTCGCCTTCCGGCCTGGGTGAAGCTTCTGCAACTTGCGCCTCTGGAGTGGGCTTTCTGGTAATTCTTCTGGAGCGGGCTTGAACGTAGTCGCTCGCCCTCTCAGCGAGATGGCTGAGTTGGTGCTTGAGCAGCTGCGGCAGTGAGGCAGTGGGCTTTTGGACAACTGGGACTTCGCTGCCGTTCTCGGCCGGCGTGCCCGGAGGTTCTGGTCCATCACGCCGTGGGTCCGCCCCTGTAGACCATTGCGTGTAGAGACCATTGAGAAAATGGAGGGCGATTTTGGTAAGAAGGCTGAACTTGCTGATGAGATCGGCCACGCACCGCGCGGTAGAGGCACCCCTGAAAAAGCCGACGAGGATGATCTGGTCATCCTGAGCGTAGTTGGCACATATAAACCTATACGCCTGCTTGATTCTCGTTTCGATGCCTACGGTACTCGGACACCCCAGTCGTCAGCCAATGAACTACCTGCGTACCTTGGGTACTTGGCCGCAACCGCAGCACGGTAACGTCCGGGGCCGTGTCACCTTTCCCAAATCCCTGGTGCGGGTGCTTCAAGAAGTCGCCTTCGTCGGTGCCAATGCCGCTAATATACAAGGCGACCTGATCAGTGCCAGAGGGTGTTCCGCCTTGACGTACGTCTCGAAACGCGAGACGTTCGTCAGCGGGCTCCTGTTGATATCTCGGAAGTGGTTTTTTCCAGTGCCATCGAAGCACACGATGATGCGCTTTTTGACATGATGTTCCATCGTCAATTACTAGCGTCAACAGTCTTGACTAGACCCTCGCGTGTAGTTCGATTTCCCGTGGCCCAGGCATGGAAAGGAGGGTGATAGGCAGGCACCTCACTTTATATTCCCGCTCAACGTCATGCACCAGCCATCCGCGGATTTCCGTGCTAGCCGTTTCCTTCATATTGCGTTTCTGTTTGCGCATTCTATCAAGGAATTGCCGGGTCCATTCCCCTGCCTTTCAACAAGTCCTTTAGGAACAGGTCAACCAATTAAAGGCAGCCTTCAAATAATGGCAAAAGGCTTTATAGCCCAAAAAGGCTTTATAGCCCAAACTTGTTCTAATTCCTAGTCTGTTTCTTTCCTAGTCTGTTTCTTTCCTGGTCTGTTTCTTTCCTGGTCTCTTTCTTTCCTAGTCTGTTTTTTTCCTACCTGAACAACTCTGACAATGATCCAAGACTTCTGTATTGAAATCAAATACGCACGAATCCATATTACCTAGGTACCTACCTTGCACCGTCGTGAAAACCTGAATGGGTAGTGCCAGAAGCGCAGCAACGCAGCAAAGACCACCTCAGAACAAGGTCCTAAGGCGTTACAATTGTGGCCGTGGGGGAGCTGGGGCCGGCAGCTTAGTGCGCTTAGTTTGCACCTGGCACCTGCCTTGGTAGCCTTATCTAGGTACCTTACCTTACTTTAGGAGAGTACCTTAGGTAATTGCAAGACAGCCCGATCGCACGCGGGGCAACAGGTGTCCTTGAGCTCGGGCCAAAAATGCTTCCCATAAATAGATAAGGTGCTCGCCCCAGCTGCAGCCTCGCCTTTTACCTTCTTCCCCAAAACTACGCACATCCATCGCCAGTTGATTAGGCCAGGTAATAACACAGCTAGTTAGTCGCCCATCTCCCAGCCAGACACGCGACGCTCATTCCAATATGGGCGAGGGTAAAACAGCGGTGGGTTCAGTACCACTACCACTACCTGGCAAGGGAACAATGACGTCGGAAACCACGCATGTAATCCTCGTGTCTGATTACGCCGACAAGGATCCGGACTCCAGACGTGAAATTGTCGACTAACTTGCCAGCCGCATTCCTGCCGACGCATTTGCCGACTCCTTCAAGACGACGACGGCTAAAATCTCGATCGAGTGCATCCAGGACGATGCTAGAGCGTTGCTGGATTAGGCCAGGCTTGTCACGCCCTTTTACGCCCCTGCCCCGCGCGTCGTCTTGTTCGGCTACGGCTACGGCGGCTTGGTCTGCGAACAGGCCGTCCTTCTTTTGCGCCAGAGGCTATTTGGCAAGCCGTACCTTCGCCATCGCGTGACAGGCCTTGTTCTTCTCGACACGCCCCACTTCCACGTAGCACTGGCACAGTGGATCCGTTGGAGACCGACACCCACGCCTGATGACGCCATCGTCGGCATCGCCAGTATGCAGGTGTCGTTCAAGGACCAATTAGGTCCCCATCTGCCAGTTGCCTGCTGCTTTACCACTCCTGCCGACAGAAAGAAGCCCGTATGTCATGCACGGCCCAATGGATTACCTTTCAGTCATTTACTTGCCAGCCAGCCGCTAATCTCAGAGCCAGTATTTGCGTTCCGAGTGGGCCATCCTCCCCCGGGTCAGAGTCGTGGCGTTCAATGAAAGCCCCGCCGACCCGCCGAAGCCTACCGCCGACCCACCGAAGCCTAAGTCTAGCCGTTGGGCTATCTTCTCCCGGACCAGAGTCGTGGCGTTCGCACCAAGCTCCGCCGCCGCCCCGCCGAAGCCCGTGTCCAGGCGTGATACCTCTGGTGTCGAGACGCTCTCCAAGTGGCTTACACAGGTACTCGACATCAGCCGCGGCTCTGCACCGCCTAGGCCGTTAGATAAGTCGCTGGCATCTTTGTTCCAAGAGGCGTCGCTCCAAAACGACCCAGCCCCGCTCGCCAGGCTTGTCCGACTCTACCAGGAGACGAGCAGCTTCAACGGCGAATACTACGTCCCCCAGGACGCCTTGGACAAGCTCGTCACTCGCAGTCAAGTCCTCCGCGAGCTCAAACAATATGGCGTAGCGGGCGACGACTCCACCGTCGACTTTATCCTCAACAAGGCAAAGAAGGTGTTTGCCATTCTTGCCATGGCCAATCTCATCCCGGCCGTCGTGGACGTGAAGGATTCCGGCTTCACCGACGAATACTTACCTGTCGGCCAGAGAGGCTGCCAAATCGTGTCCCTAGAGCCGCGTTCGTATCAGCTCGGGACGGACGCATTTGAGGTTTTCGAGACTGGGAACATGAGCAAAGAGCGCACGAGATTCATCCGCCTTCAGTGGAGCTTCCTCGCCCCCGTCTTCGAACTAACGAGAGTAGCACGGCATCATCAGAATATCGTTCTGCCGTTCAAGGAGTACGAGAGCGCCGATATCTACAAATACCTCGGCTTGTTTCCAGCGAGAGAGGAAAGCGAACAGCTTCGACCGGGATATTACACCTCGCCGACAACACAACAGGCTTCCGCAGGGCCGTCTTGCACCCCGCCTATGACGGCGGCGTGACACCGTACATGGTGAGTTCATGCAAACCTGCAATCCGAAAAAAGAAAAGAAAAAAAGGAACCTCACCAGAAAGATTCATGCACTAACCAGTACCAACAATGAATAGCAAGGAAACCCCGGCCGCGTAGTTGCGGTCTGCGAAGTGACGGCGGATGCGTGGCCGCGAAGCCACGAACTCGCCAGCGCCTTCACCCACAAGCATCTCGCAGCCTTTGCTAGCGGCTGGCAGGGGGTGGGGGTGGATCTCGAGTACTCGAGTGGCCTGATGTGGGAGTGGGCCGATGGCGGGAGTCTCGAGTGCCTCTGGCAGGACACGACGGCCCGCGTGCCGGGTAAGCAGCTGGTCAAGTGGAGTCTCAACTAGATGTCCGGGCTCGCGGATGCGCTTGTGTGTCTTTTGAAGGAAGAGAAGAAGAAGACGGAGAATGGCGGAGAAGGGGGAGGCTTGCAGCAGCCCTGGTACGACGGCGACCGCGAGACGGTGATGCCGTGGCCTGGCACCGTCTCTTTATACCGCCACTCGGAGGATGGCAGCATGTTGCTCAAGTTCAACGGCATCCCGACCGACGGAATGGGGCTTTCGAAGGCCGCGTCGTCGTGCTACCATGACAACTCTAGTCTCCCCTAGAAGGATTCTTCTTCTGTCATACAACAACAGCAGCATCCGAACCTCCCTCCCGGCAACAAACGCGACGACTGCATTCTGTATTTCTACTGGGTCGTCTTCAACTTTGCCGTGTAGATCCGCTTCGGCACGGCCGCCATGGCCGACTTAAGGCGCGATCTCGGCAGCGTCATCAAGGAAGCAACCCCGGCAGCGCTGCACCAGTGGCTCGCTTGTCGTGCAGAGAAGACGACGGCCGACCTGCAGGCCGAGGAGAGCAGCAGCACCGACTTGCCTCGGGATGTTGACCTGGCGCTGGCGCGGCTGTTCGAGATAGGCATTGACAGCTGCGCGCTGTATCTGGGGAAGCGTGGACGTTATTTGGATGGCAAGAAGGCTTCGCTTGTGGAGATGCAGAAGAATATCTTGAAGGCGCTGCGCTGCCTGGGCAAGTAGGGGGGGATGGCATTGGATGTTTACATCGCGTCGCCAGCTGGGTGCAGCAACCGGTATGCTCCAGCAGGCGCGAGGATGCTCAACGTCTAATTTTTGGGGACTGGGGATTTTTTGGGCCAAATTTCGTTGGCAAAACCTACCGCCTGTGCAACGACTCCATGATGCGATGGTTACCAGGCCAAGGGATGGGCTGAAGATGGCTAGGTAGATAGACAGTACAACTCTTGGTAGGCATCCATCAGGATATCACACGAGGAGACAGGCACAGGCAACTGTAACAAAGAAAGCACAATCATCATAACCACTCTATGGTTCTTGGAATACTGCGTCTCTGCGCTGGCTCTGGCCCCCGCTGGGGGGCGCAGGTTCCCAGGCGGCACCGCGTGGAGGTGCAGAGTCCGACTTCGCCGCCCTCCCCACTCTTCCTGTAAGCCCTTTTTTCCTCTCATCACTGATTTTTGTTGTGTCTCAGTTGCCCTGGTGTTTTCTGGTCCACCTTGGTGTTTGTATGAGCCGCCTCGGTGTTTGTCTTGTCTGTCTTGTCTGTCTTGTCTGTCTTGTCTGTCTTGTCTGTCTTGTCTGTCTGCTCGACACTGCTGGCTGGCGACGCATTGCTTGGCTGGCTTGGCTGACGGGTTGCGGAGGGAGATTCTTCTCAACGCAGAAACTGGCGGGGGCGCGGCGGCAGCGGCGTCGGCTCGTAGCGCTGGCGTTTGACGAGCTTCTCGTGCCCGAGGATGAATTGGACGGTGATTGGCGGTAGTGCCTGTTTGGCGCCAGGGATGCGGCGCTCGAGGCGCTCGATGAGGCGTTTCTGCTTCGCCGGGTCGTTGAGAATGCCGTCAATGGCGGCGACCGCCTTGTCTTCGGCGGCTTTTTTGGCGGCGGCTGGGTCTAGCGGCTGCATGAGCGAGTAGTGCACGAGGTATGTGGTGCCGTCGCGGGATTTTCCGGCGGCGGCGGCTTGGCTGGGGCCCTTTGTGAGTATGACAGTGACTTGGTCTGAACCCGCTGAGATGACCTGGGTGGCTTGGATGGAACCCATTGTGATGATGTGGACAGCGTAACGCTGGTGTCTGATGCCTGATGTTTGGTAACTGGTGACTGTGACTGGTGACTGATGTGCGTAGCGCTGGCGATGTTGATGATGGTCAAGAGGGCCGAAAGACACGAGCAGAATGTGTTTGTGACAGTGTCTGAAGACGAGAAGACTTTTGCAATGCCTGGATGCTAGAATGCGAGTGTGCCTGGGAGAAGAAGGGAGGGCAGTCCTCGGGGGAGGAGGCCTTTACTTATACCTCCAAGAGACAGGTCGGAAACGATGTCAAGTAGCCGGACTCCACGTATGGTTAGGCCACGTTGATGGAGAATACCGGCTTCGCCGTTGAGAACTTTAACCAAATCGAGTCACCGGTTGCCACACAGTCATAGCATGTGAAGTGTAAGTTGAGTTACAATTGGCTGGGTCTCTTCGAAGCCAGTTCTCCACAATCACTCAACTCCTGACACTCAATGGACTGGTTTCCAGAGCCGGCAGCTTAACTTCTCCTTTGAGAACCTACGTAAATGGAAATCGAGTCTAAACTGACCGGCTATGTCAATGCCGCAGTATTACAAACCGGGAGGAATGGTGGCACATGAAGAGTGAGTGTCATCAACTCCGCGAATTCTACATCACAATAATTAAACCGATAATTAACGCCCAACGGAACATGTCAAAATTACACCATGCGTGTCTCAAATTTAGACTTTTCAACCCTTCTTTCTGTCTTGGCCCATAGAATAGAACCAACCTACTTGACCCACACACAGCGCTACAACAGGACAACTCTCGCTCGATCACACATGAAGGTTTCTGTCCCCAGATCGTGAGTCACAAACTTCAACCTTGCTCCCCGAAAACTTAAAGGCCCTACCCACTCAGCACCTCGACGTCCCATCAGAATCACCTGCAGAATCACATGCCGAACTCCAGCCCGCACGTGTCCACAGCCAGTTAGGCGGGGGTCGGCATGGCCATCGCCGGGAGACAGGCGGTACAGATAGCGTTGGCGACAGACCCGACGACGGGGGCGAGGGCGCCGCAGGCCGAGGCGACGCACGGCATGACGGCCGCCTGCATGGCCGCGGCGTGCTGGCACTGGCAGCCAAAGTCGAAGGCGGCGGTGCAGCCGATGCCGATGGCCGCCGACGTGATGCACGGGATCTGGGGGTGTGATTGTTAGCAGTCTGGTGTTTGTCTGTCGGTAGGATGGGTACTTACGCCGCAGCTGGGCATTGCCGAGGCTACGGAGCACGGCAGGGCCGGCGGCGCCGTGATCTGCGATGGGATGTCGGTCGTCACCTGCGGCCGGGCAGAGGCCAGCGCGGCGAAGGCGGCCATCAGCAGGGTCTTGGGGAGCATCTTAGCGGTTCTTGGCTTTGAGTCCCGGTTGGTCCTAGGTAGTATAACTGGCGTGCTCAAAGACAGCGGGCGAGATGTTGCGATTGGGATTCGGGATAGCGCAATGGGTCGGGCTCACTAGGGAGCGGGCCGCTCTTTAATACTCGCATCCCGCTGGGCTTCTTATTTTAGAAACCGCAGCTTCGGCGCTTTCCTTCGCGGTAGCTCGCCCTTGGGCATTGCTGCCCGGCGCTGGGCTCGTGGCTCCGCGGTCCCGAGCTCCATGGTCGAGTCCGCCAGGTCCGGACCCGCTGAGCTTGTCGGGCATATGCACGAGGTGCGGAGTGCACTTGTCCCTGAGATTAAATGAGAAATAAATTTGTCTCTATATGTGGTGCCTGAAGGTCGCTTGTCCCCGAGTCTCGATTTGGGTGGTCGGAGTGCTTGTCCACTTTAGCCGCCGCCGCCGAAAGGGGGTCTGATGTCATGGCCTCCTCCACGCCTCGCCTGGGATGCCGTTTTTGCCGAGCCGCTGCCTTTTTTTTTGTCAGTGGTAATAATAGCTGCGCTGTCAAGCACTCGCCGTGTCCGGGTAATATGATATGCCTCGGAGCCTCACTAGCGGCGCCCGTCACTTGCGCACCGAGGTGTAATTACATCCACAGGCGTGTCAGACAGCCATCGCTGGCGAAGTCCGCAGAGCTAGCCTGTTTTGTCCTTCTCTCTGCGTCGGTTCCTAAATCGGGTCGGCTCCAACATTTTCCGCGCGTCTTTGACTTCAAGTCTAGCATTCCAGGCGATGTGATCCTCCAGAAAAGGATAGCCACCTTGCTTCCAAGGCGCAAGCAACACATACCGCTCTACTGCCTATAAGACGGTCTCTAAATTCCAGAAATCTATACATCCCGTTTTGTGCTCCTTTTTGCATATCCCTAACTAGCGCCGATACCATCCCTAATATTTTGTTATTATAATCCCGCGTTTGTCCCTCAATTTTGCACATGTCTGCGATATGACGTCCACGCCCGAGAAATAATTGCAATGTGGTGGCCGGCTCCGCGTATATCTCTAGCCGTCGTTAGAACATACCAGCGGCTCCTCCTCCTCCTCGTCGGACTCGTCCTGGACCACCAAAAAGCCCTATTATTACAAACCACTCGACTGTTAGGGTCGTCCGTCTGTAAGGGAGCACGGGCTCCACAGGATGCTGGGGTTGGTAATTATGAAGATAGAACAAAGGGCAAGCTCCTATCGCACGGGTAATACAGTCAAATCGGAATGCCACTCAAAGTATATGAGTGCAGTGAATGTGTATTGCTTGCTTGAAGAACCAAGCAAGAACTATCTAAGACCGTGGTCACGGTCGTCGTATATATCTATCTACGTAACCAATAACAGTGGTTCCGTTGTCCCGTGGTCCCGCGTCCGGGTCACCGCCCGACCGGAACCGTCCCGCGTCCCCGAGCTCCAGAGCTCGGAACCCTGGAACGCTCCTGATTGGCCCGCGCCAAAAAGAGCATGCCCCACCTTTGTGCATATCCACAGGGAATCCATAGGGATTCGTGACAGCTGTGCACCATCCCGTTGACTGGTAGTTCCCACAAGATAGATAAATAGTCACAAGACCGAATAGTAGTTTTATAAGTCGATACTTTTTAGCTCCGGTTCAATACGGGTACCTAATAGTATTGATGCGGTAAAACCGAAAGGGATGCAAAAAGGTGTAAAAAGTGATGATTCTCTTTAAGCTTGGTGGGCGCGAGGCATTTCCCAAAAGTTGGAAACCCCAGACCCCGCTAGTGCCAGCATGGCCCGTGCGCTAGCGCGAGTCTAACCCGATGCGTCCGGCTAGCGCCAAACGCCATTAGTGCGGCTCTAACCAGCGCTCTACGAAATGAAGCTATCTACACTTTTCGTGCATCAAGTATCTGTTACGAATCCCTATTCGTACTGGCTCAGCGGCAGGCCAGGGGCGGCAGGGCCGCCTCGGCGAATCCCATTGAAGGAGGGGCACGGCCCCACAGTTGCTCCGCAAGGTGGAGCACAGAGCAGACGTGCCCCACAGTTGCTCTGTAAGGTGGAGCACAGAGCAGACGTGCCCTACAGTTGCTCTGTAAGGTGGAGCACAGAGCAATGTGCTCTGTTGCTCTGCGATGAGAGCAACAGAGCAGTTCTCTCATTGGTTACACAGTTAGATATATACGATGACCGTACCCACGGTCTTAGATAGTTCTTGCTTGGTTCTTCAAGCAAGCAATACACATTCACTCACTCATACACTTTGAGTGGTATTCCAATTTGACTGTATTACCCGTGCGATAGGAGCTTGCCCTTTCTTCTATCTCCATAATTACCAACCCCAGCATCCTGTGAAGCCCGTGCTCCCTTACAGACAGACGACCCTAACAGTCTAGTGGTTTGTAATAGGTAGGCGAGGAAATTCGACGCGGGGTTGAAGGGCAATTCGCGTAGTCACGTGCGCAAGCCCACCATTACGCACGCCCCACCACGCCAGAAAGCATTTAAACGCTTATATCTCAGCCAATTTCTCTTATAATACGAATCGGGCTTTAGATTCAAAATTTCCGTAGAGTTATACACATAATGATACCGGTTGCATCAATTTTGGAAAGTGTGCTGACCGAATGGCAGATAGGCACGTGATAGGGGCTACCCATATTGATGTGACTGAGAAATCGGGTCCACTTTTCCACGGAAGTTAGCCAATCCGGAAAGGCGATGAGGCGTCTTATCAATTTCACATAACGTGGTTTATCACCGAGCGGGCCACCCCACCGAGCGGGCCACTTTTCCTCGACTCCATGACTTCTAGACTCAACTACAACCGCACCACAATAAAAATTCAATCGGAATCCATCTCGTTGTCTTCACCCGATAGTTCTTCATCCACGGGACAGGTTCGTACATTATGCCCAGGCTTTCCGCATCGTCCACAGCACCGAATAGTCGCCGGCCCTGCCTGCGACGGACCCCTATCCTCGTCCTCTTTGCTCTTTTTCTGGCGACTAGAATCTATTTTGGCTATCAAACCGCGCGCATCTTCTACAGAAAGTGCACCGCCTTCTTGGAGTCTCGTGCGCTTGGCCCGCCGGCGCTTTGCAAGGGCCTGATTGGCCTTCTGAGTCGTACGGAGCTCTGCCCGCAAGAGTGTCATCTCGTACGCGATTGCCTCCGTACCCTTTGCTAACTGCTTAATAGCGTTAAACATTGAAGTCGGCGAGCTCCCTTGATGGTCGCTAATCCTCTTCCGTACGAATTGGGATTGCGAAACAGCCTCGGCCGCCGTACGTGGCGTCTGGGAGGTCCAAGGGCTGGCGTCGGCGGAGGGGGGGCCAGTCGGTGTTGGCGTCCGAAGCTTAATATCTAGCTTCGATAAGACGGCTTCTGGGTCGAATGGCACTAATCCAGCACCGCGGAATTCAGCTATAATGTTATTAGGCGTTATAGTGTCGTAGTGGGCGGCGATAAAGGCGATCAAGAACTCGGGCTTAGTAATATGGTTGATATGAGCTCTAATGAAGTCTTTAAGTTGCTTGCCGTACGACCGTTTCAAGGCGCTAAAACAACCAATATCGAGAGGCTGGGTAAGGTGCGAGGAATGTGCCAGGAGACAGAGAGTAATGATGTTCTTCTCCTTGCAGTATTGCTCAAACTCGTACGAAAGATGGCTTTCATGACTGTCCAAAATAATCATGCGATAACCACCCTTCCGCCGGGAAGTAGTATGCTTATCAAAGTGCCGAATCCAATCCATAGCCGTTTTATTATCAATCCAGTCGTTAGAGGAGGGCTTGATAACCCAGGAGGCTGGGAGATCGGTGTCTTCGTACCATGACTTGAGGTGGTTTTTGCCTTGTACGATGAGAAATGGCGGTACCACAAAGCCGTCGCTACTCACGCACTCAATTGCTGTCGCCCATTCTCGATGACCTGGCTGTAGTTGCTTGCCTCGTCCGCGACGGTCTGCACGTGTAACGACCATTGCAGCGCAAATAACGCCCATCATAAAGCCAGTCTCGTCGAAGTTGTAGAAATCGCAGTCTTGGATACCGTACTTCGTACGCATATTCTTTACCAGCTCGAACCACTTCCTGATAAGGTCTGGATCCTCGCAGAGGGCCCTCTGGAAGTCGTAGGCGCGAGAAAAACGCGTCTTTAGCTCTTGACGGCGTCGTACGAAGCGGTATGCCCAGTTCTTGCCGACGCGTTTCGCGCTACGCGTCGTACGAAAGAGATTCGCCATTTCCTCAACACCCTCGATCCGGGGTGGAAATCCTCGCGAATCTAGGTCGAGAACATATCGGACATTCGTTTCTTCTTCGACTTCGGTCAATTGATGGGCGGCGTTACGCGCTTCGCGTTTCATAACGCGGCCAGTCATTCTGACCTGAAGAGTAGTTCTGGGTACGTCGTACATCTGTGCAGCGCGTCGGATTGACATTTTCTTAGATGTACGGATAGCCTCGATAGCAAGGATGATTTTGGCTTCTTGGGTTTGATTAGACATTGTATTGGTTGTGGTGTGCGATAGTTTGAAGTGTGGAGGTTATGGAGCCGTGGAAAAGTGGCCCGCTCGGTGGGGTGGCCCGCTCGGTGATAAACCACGTTAGTAGTTTTTTCAGAGTTTCGCAGTAATATTGTCCTCCGGAAAGGATTAACTTGTGCTTTTCGTATTAGAAGCGAATATTTTATTAGCTGTCCAATCTACTTGTCCTCGACCGTCTCCGACAGCTTTTCGCGCAGCGCCAGCTCCGGGAACACGTTCTCCTTGGACAGGTCGACCCACATCTTGGTGATCTTGCCGAACACGCTGAGGTACGACCGCAGTGGTACGGCCGCGCCGAAGACTTGCTGTTGTTTGTTGCTGCGGTGGTTAGTTACCTAGACCTAATTGGAGCGTGAGATGGGGCGAGTCGTTGTTTGTAACCAACTCACCGAGCGCTGAAAGTCGGTCAGGGTGCTTTCGGCATAGTCTAGGGAGCACGGGCAGCGTCATTATGTTAGCTTCTGTTACATATATTGAATGGGTAACTAGAAACAAACAGAACAAGGCTTAACATTGGGCCATGACATACTAGACAGAACGAGACGAGCAAATAGAAGAAACAGCTTGGTTGTCTGAGGCGAGTCTGGGCCCACGAAATTCTTTTTTCGTTTGCAGTCCTGAGCTGGGGTGAGTTGTCGCTGATTTGGCCTGAGCTTTCCCTGATTCTTCCCTGAGCTAATAGGGTGATCCAGACGCTGCTGCTGCACAGCCTCAGAGGCCTGCTTTCAGTGTATTCGGCTAAAGTTTCCTTGTCATGTGCCCCGCCGTGTCCGCGTTTCTAGCATATACTGGTACATGTTGGGGGGTGGTAGGTAGCATCCTAGTACTAAAACTGGGATGGTATTTAGTTAGTAGTTTTACTAGTATATTATATAACCATGGTGCATAGCATATCATGCTAACACTTGGAATATACCAGTACATAATGTCCTGGCCTAGAGTATGCTAGCACACCCAGGTTCGCTTCGCCTTTAAGACCGTTAGCCAGCTTGGTGTCGCCTCGCACGACGCATACCCGCGACGCGTCGAAAATGGTGTAATAATTAGAGTCAACGAGCGTCCGACAGACGAGGCCTACGAAGATGCCCAAAAGCTTCACGCTGTCAAGTACTTCCGCCTTGACACGAACAACACAACACAGAAGATCACTTTAGACCGAAAAAACTCATCGGCAGCTGACAACAGCTCTACATTTCACGCCAAAGTTGCCCTCAAAACATGTCCATATCTTTGTGTGGCCTCGAGCTGCCCTGTTCCGGGTGGGCGGAGCGTCGATGGCACCGTCATGGCGAACAAGGCGTGGAGGGCAGGTTACCAACAGCGGCCACAAGCCAGAGCTCTACTTAACCCGATACGTTCCGCCTTACCATACGTTGGAACAATAGACATTAAGCGCGATAACAGGACTTGCGGGGCTTGTAGGAGATAGATTCTACGAGTATTGTATGGGTAGCGGGGATGAAATCATGGCAACTGGAGCCTTAAGAATAAGAACGCCAGATGCTCTGGAAATGATCGAGATATGTCATCGAGAGCCCTAGGCGCACTGGGGAGGTCAGCTCTAGCCTCCCCGCCCCCTCCCCCCTCTCAGAATCCAAATGCGTGTAAAAGCAGTCAAGGATAGATGCAAGGAAGAAGAAAAGGCCTGCGCTCACAGGTCGTGGATCTGTGTTAACCCTGTGGAAAAGGTAGTCCAATCAGCTGCCCTATGCGGACCCAGTTATGAACCTCCGACACTTCCAAAATCCTCCTCTTCAAAAGTGTAATTTTAGAACTATTAGTCGTTCCGTTGTCTTCATTCCCTACCCACTAAGTTATAGCGTGCGGTGGCAACGGCGATTCGTCCTTTTCAGGAGTATATGCAGTACCCAGCATGATTCGCAGGAGAACAAAGGATGTTTCTCGATAGGTTCGTATTGTATTCATTGGAACTTGATCATTTTCCAATACAAGGAGTACAGCACTCGTCTCTCCAGACATTCAGCACCGCTAAATGTCGGCTTTAGCTAGTACGAACCAGCAGACTGTGCAGTCTAGAAGTTGAAGAGCACATCAATCAAGAGCTGACTTGTAGCCTTTGCAGCGAGATAGATGTGGATCAAGAAGAGGGGGGAGTTGAGTTTACCTCGCGAAATCTGGGGGCGGCGGGGTTCCAGAAGCTTGCCTGCGGAAAGTCGTTGGGACCCACATTTTGCCCCACGACAGTTCGCCGGCAATAGCCTACAGCTCTTGGTTGCCTTGGGGAAGCTAGCCGCCCGCTTCATAGTGTCGGACGAGGGCTTCCAGGTTGACGCGCTGTTAGGGGGCCGTGTTCCTTTCGATTTCGCGGCGCAGGTAGAAGACCCTGCGGGCCCTCAATTGGTCTTCCAGGTCAGGAGGGGGCAGTAATTCAGTTGTGGTGACTAGGCCGTCTGGCGCTGGATATATGCGATAGCTGAGGACCTTCTCGCCCGGAATTTGCGTGATGGGGAGGGGGTCATCTGGTGCGATGCCAAGCGTGTTGATATTGAACGTTGCATGTGGCACCTCGACTAGCGTGCAATTTATGGGAAATACGTAATTGGCCGCGGTGCCAGTCGCTGTCGTTAGTGTCGTGAACCCTGCTGCAGTGCCTGCAGGGACCGGAGGGGGCGGCGAGGTCGAACTTGGGGTGGGCCAACCACCTGAAGTGGAACGTGGTGTGGACACTTCGATTAGCTAGTTGGGGCCGCCATTCCTTGTGCTGGCCATTTTGATCAGAGAGTCTTGTTGGTGGTTCTTTCCCAGGTTACAGGTTGCTTTGTAGTAAAGCAAGAAACGGGGAAACGGATGTTTGAGGGGAGGGAAAGAACGATTTCAGTCAGAGAACACAGTGGGGTTACTTGGAGCCGGAAGGCTTAAATATTACCCTAACCCTGAGCAAAGAAAGTCGTGCGAAGGTCAAAATGCTGCAAATCTTTTTTGGCCCTTGTTAATTACAAACCAAGGCATTCAATTGTACCCGACAGCAACTCTAATGAACATATCTGAACCCCACCGCCCTCTTGTCGCCATTCGCTGGCCTCGAAATCTCGCCGTGTCTATTCTCGGCTAGCTCGGCCTCGGCATCCTCGAGCTTTCTGTTGGCGCGCTTGTGCACGAAGCGCATAAGCAGGGCAAGGACGCCAACCAGTACGCACACAATCGTGTTCGTCGCCCCGCCGGGCGTGTACTGGGGCGCGTTTGAGGCAGGATACATGTACGAGCCGTAGATGCTGGCCGTATTGCCGATCATGTTGGCGATGGCGACCGAAGCCGAACGCTTGACTAGCGGCCGCGGGAACGAATTGGCCACCCACGACACGATGATTTGGTCTGTCAATTCGTGCTTCGTCAGTAAGCTTCATATTGAAGAGCATGGCACACCGGAACACCTACACGCTGAGACAGCCCCCATGGGCATCAAGAACATGGCAAAGAAGCGGGCACCAAGTGCTGTCGAGCCCGTCGCAATGGCATTGCCAACAGCAGCCAACATCATTAGGCAGAAGATGTGGATGGAGCGGTCCTGTGTCCGCGCCGATGTCCACGTCACGCAGACCGAGATGAGAAACGTTGCAAACCACACGGGCGCCGTCAGCCACAGCGTCTCGATCTTGCCGTAGCCTAGTGTGCCCACGATGCCGGGGAAGAAGTACTGGAACGTCTGGCTGAGCAGGCTGAGGTGCTGCAGCAGCACAAACAGATACAGCCGGGGGTCCGTCGCGGCCAGCTTGACCCCCTCCCAGACCGTCCGAGCCTTTTGCGCGTCGCTCTCGTTGATGTCGGCTAGCAGCCGCCACGCCGCAAACGCCCGCTCCTCTTCCGTCAGCCACCGCGTTGTGCTGGGGTAGTCGGGCAGCACAAACGCCGCCGCAACCGCCACGGCGATGGTGATGACTCCCTCCTGTTGTTCAGCCCAGTCAGCAGTCTGCAACGCATCCACGGCTAATAGACCCCAGTCGCACGCACAATGATAAATAACCACTGCCACCCGGCGATGCCCCGCGCTCCCTCGAGGTTTCCCAGCACGGCCGCGCCGATGATGCCGCCAAACATGTTGGCGAGGGCGTTACCCGATTAAAAGTAGGCCATGCGGCGCGTCAGCTCGGCGCGCGTGTACCACGAGCTCATGAGGAAGACAGCGCCGGGGAAGAAGGGCGCCTCGACAAAGCCGAGCAGGAAGCGCACGGCGATGAGCTGGCCAAAGTTGCGCGTGGCCGCCGTGCACGCCGACACGCCGCCCCATAGCACCATGGCCGCCGACAGATACAGCGACGGCCTCACCCTCGTGATGAGCATGTTGGACGGCAGCTGCATCAGCAGGTATGCCACGAAGAATATGGACGTGGCCAGGTTGAAGTCAGTGCCCGTCATTCCCAGGTCCTTCTCGAACGTGCCCTGCCGCGCCTGCGCCAGGTTCGACCGGTCCAAGAAGTTGAGCAGGTACATGACCACCAGGAACGGCAGCAGGTGCGTGTCTATCTTGCGCAGCAGCTTCTTTTCCGTGGCATCGCGCCATTCTGGCGTTTGGCCCTTAAAGTGCACTACATGCGTGTTCCCCTCAGAGTTGGTCGTGTCGGTCTTTTCCTGCACGGCCGCGTTGTTGACATGCGATGTCTCGCCGTCCGTGCTCCGTTTTTCGTCCATGTGAGACACCTGCGTGCGGAGAGGTGATGCAACTGGGGTCTAGGGTAAATGGCCGGGCGTTGTAAGGTTCTTCTTCGAGACTCGCTAAAGAACGGCGGGAGGGACGAGACCAATCGCCCACGACGAGGACACGACGAAGAGGAGCTATCCTTATATGCATTGCACCTTCCATCTGCGCCGGCTTATCTCCTCCTTCATCCTATCTCCCTCTCGTCATACCTTCCTGACTAGGCCAGCCGGGTTTCCTTGCTCAAGTGCCGTACACCAGGTTTCCCCAGCTTTTGGATCGGATGATCAGGTTTTCTAGGTTGGGCGAGCGGAGCGCCGATCCCTTCCCCGCTCCTCCCGAGAGTCGCTCTGACAGCCGCATCCCCGGATCCAGTGGCAGGTTGAGGCTCTAGTGTGCTCTTGGCTGCAGATTGTCCTCGTGCCTTGTCCTCGCAAGGCTTGATGGCAACAGCTAGCGCGGTGCCGGGTCTGCATATCCTATCTCTGCCTTGCTGTTGTTGCAGCCAACCCCCTAGCCTAGCGCTCTTTGGCCGCGTGCCTTGATGTGGTCGGGTGAATGTGCTCGGCTTGCACCTGCAGCTACAAACGTGGGGCTAGCTCGGTGAAGGATAAGCCCGGCGTTTGGGTCGAATCGCGTTACGACCTTTACCACTTTCTTGTTTGTCGTGGGCAGCTGATTGCCGTCTCCTCGCAAACAATTGCACAGTTGACAACATAGACTCACAGGCTACGAGCAGTTGCACAGTTGACGATATAGACTCACAGGGTACGAGCAGTCAAGCCACGTAGGACCACAGAACCCTTTGCATCTGTCGCAAACTACACAACAATGCTTTCTAATTACTGACACGCTACTCTACTGCTAATCATGTCCAGTAGCGGAAACGGGGGTGCTTGTTGCCCAGCCGCTCCTGCTGGTCCTCGGTTAGGCCTTCGAGTCGGTGGTCTCTCTTGCCCGCAGCCCGGGCGCGGTTCTCATACGTGCAGTAGAGGATGCCAAAGACGGACAGGAACACGACGGCGAGGTTGCCGGCCAGATTGATGGTGTGTCCCGTGCGGTACTTTGGTGCATCGAGAAACGTGTACGTCCACCTGCCCTGCTGTCAGCATGTTCTCTGCAGATATAACTTGAAGAAAATAATACGTACGTCGCAACGATGCCACCCATGGTCCCCAGCATTACCACGTATCCAGTCGTTACGGCGCGCACCGAAGGCCCCGCGGAATCTACGCCCAAGTCAGTTTCATGCAGTTCGATAACAGTCCCGCATCAGCACTCACTGTTCATAGCCCAGCTCAAGAAGCCCGGGCCGCCTGGAAAGGCGCCGACGGTGACGAAGAAGACGGCCATGTAGCGCACGTTTGCATTCTCGGCCCAGCGCAGAATGGCAAAACCGACGACAGCAAGACACGAAAAGGCGGCCAGCCAGATACCACGCTGCTGGGTGCGGTCGCTGGCGTAGGCGACGGCCACAGCGACGAAGCAGGCGCACACGTAGGGCGGGACCGAGTACAGTTGGGCCTGCGTGTTGGTCCAGCCCAGGTCGTTGAGGATGGTGGGCAGGAAGACGGACAGGCCCTGAACGGTGATATTGATGAGGAAGAAGCCCAGTGCACACGTGTAGTTGTGCAGCGTCAAGAAGGCCTGCTTGGCGTCGGCCCAAGTCACCTTCTCGTTGGGGTTGGCCTTGTGCTCACGCGCCAGCCGCTCCGCCGCGATCAACCGCTCGCGCGGGCTCAGGAAGTAGGCGTCGGACGGCGTATTGGGCATCCAGATGGGCGACAGCAGCCCAACCAGGATGGTGATGACGCCCTCGAAGAAGAAGATATTGCGCCACATGGCGATGCGCATGCTAGCTACACCCCACGCCGGTATGCGCGACAGGCCTGCCGCCAGCAGCCCGCCGAAGGCGCCAGCGATGGACGCGGCCGACACGTAGATGCCGATGCGGAACAACAGCTCGTTGCGCTTATAGAAGCAGCTGAGGAAGAAGGCCATTCCCGGCATGGCGCCGCCCTCGAAGACGCCCAGGATGGCGCGCGCGCCCAGCAGGCCCTCGAAGGTCGTCACGAAGGCCGTGCACATGGACACGAAGCCAAAGGCGCACACCAGCAGCGGCAAGTAGTAGCGCGGGCCAATGTGCTTGAGTAGCACGTTGCTCGGCACCTCGACGAGCAGGTAAATGATGTAGAAGATGGACAGGGCCCAGTTGATCTTGAAGCCGCCCAGGTCCAGGTCGACGGCCATGCCCTGGATGCGCGCGTTGCCGATGTTGACGCGGTCCAGGAAGCACAGCATGTATAGCAGCGTCACCAGCGGCACCGTGTGCCAGTCGATCTTGCGCCGGATCGCCCGCTCCTCCTCCTCGGTCCACACCAGCTCCGGCAGGCTGCCGTCCGACGACGCCCCATCCTTGGACAAGGGGCCGAGCTGATGCTCGACCTGCGAAGCTGCATAATTACCGTCAGCGGCGACACCAGGGGTCTAGGGCCAAGACAAAGCAAGCTTACCAATATCCTTTTCGCTGTCCATCGTCTCGGCTAGGTCGCACAACGATATGTCTTGCTACGCGTCTAACAGATAGGCAGGGGCCACTAGGAACAGGCGAACCGCAACAGTGGGAATGGAACAGGGCGCAGAAGTGAGGACGCAGCGGGCGGGATATAGTATTTCTACTCCTTGGCTAGCCTGACAGCAGATCCACCCCCCCATACCAGTCCCCTTCGCCCAGCCCGTCGAGCAGACATTGGCGCGGCCACCGGCCGGTTGAGAATAACCGGAACGGCAACGTCTTGCGGCAGGGTTTATTGCCCAGGTGGAAAGGTGGGAGGGGGAGGGAAACGCTCGCCCACGGGCAAGAGTCGACGACTGGTCGAGACAAGGGGAGTCGGACTCTTGGCACGAGGGAACAGGCGAGAAGTCATGTCGCGGCAGGCACGACAGGGCTCCTTTCGGCAGATGCAGTTGGCCGCCGTTTTTGCGGGGGAAAGCCCGTTTTTACCAGCCAAGACAGCGCCAAGCCCGGGATGGAGATGGGTTCGCCATGGGTCGTTGAGTGGCAACACACGGGCATGCGGGGAGATGAGGCTTGGCAGTGCACCAAGATTCACTATATGCCCTCCCTGGCTCTGTATCTGGCTCGCTACTCCGAAACGATGGGCAAAATCGAGACGGACAACGCTGTTGTGGCGACTAACAGGGCGCGACGGGGACAAAGGCGGACACTACACCTAAAGAAAATGAACTCTCCGCCGCCCACGGCCACGGTAAGCAGTCGCTGAGCAGGAGCCGCACTGGAGACCCGGCGGGACACGTGCTCTGCCGCGGCCGACCACAGCTAATACCGGAGGGATTGAGGCTAGACCGGGCAAAGACGCGGGCTACCGAATAATTAATGGGTCTGTCAGACTTAATAGTCGATTCCACCCAGCTGGGCCCCCGCCCTGCCGGTCCATCACGTTCCAGCCAACGCTTGTCGTGTTCATGGTTGGGAATTTGGAGAACGACACGGACCTGTTCAACTCCAATGCCCGCACTATTGTACCGCTTGGCGTTAAGACCAGATTGAGGGCAACAACGGGATGCCGCGCTGACCTGGCGGCGAGACGCGCAAACATCTCTCGCCATCTCTCGACTTCTTCCTAGCCCTCCTCTATTGCGCGCAACTCTCCAAGACTAGATAGACCAAGAAGAAGCATCCACCTCCCCCTCAGCTCAGTGGGTCGGACTTTGCTGCTAACCCGCGTAGTGGCCCGCTAGCCCTCCGAGGCCGTGGGGTACCGCAATCAGCCTGTTCTCGCGGGAGGATCGCTTCTCCCATATTGGCTGCACTCTGGCGCTCCCGCTTGGGAAGTTCCAGTGCCACGATTAATATATTGGTCGTATACCTTGGCATTGCATGGCAAGCCACCCACTTCGCGCGAGACCTGCGGCGCCGGCCAGGGCTCGGCGGTATTATATGCTTAAAGCAACTGACAGTCTGGTAGCCTGCGTGCGGGCTAGACGGTAGCGGCCGCGCCGCTGCTGTTGCTGCTGTGCATCCTTCCCACACTGTCGGCAACCTACCTGGGTGAGAGGGTGCTCTGTGGGTAGCACAAACCTGGTGTTAAGGTGGCATGTCACATGAGGCTCGCTAGCCAACTAGGAGACTTATTGTCAACGGAGGTTAAATAAACGAGCGAGACACTGTTTCGGGCCCAGACGCAGTACTACATCACTTGACTGGCTGCTGCTTTTTTTCGCTGCGCTAGCCCATAACCGTCGCGAGCTGCCGGCTCCGTCGTCTTCCTCTCTTGCTCCTCTCGCGAGCTCACGTGAGGGGGCAAAGTAGGCAAAAAAGTCAGACGTTGTGGCGATGGAATGATATATGGGATTTCCTCGTGTCGCTTCCGCTTTGCTCTTTGGCTTTGCTCTTTGGCTTTGCTGCTGGACTGAAGCCATGGAGTCTGAGGCCCGCCGCTGACTGGCTGATCATTCGATGAAAAAGGACGTTGCTCACAGTCCGGTGAATGCGATAGGGTGCTTCTCTCGGAAAATCCCGTCGAGGCCAAACACGTGGTTCACTTAGTGTTGACAAGGCCTCCCCTCCGGATCTGCCACTTGCGATGACACAAGCCTCTGGTGTCATATACCGACACCTGTTAGCCGGGCCCTGACTTCCCTGGGGTAAGTGTTAGCGTTTCCATCTCGAAGACGTGCTCCTTGTTCTGCAGACTGGAGTGTATGTCTGGGTGATGTCAGAGATCTAGCCAAGGGGGGCCTAGTGAAAGTACTGCGGACGGATTGGATCAACCTCTTTCCGCGTATAACGGACCGGATTCTTCGCTGCGGAATGCAACGACGTCGGATTTCGGGGTCCTTCATCAGCACGAGACGGAGTTGACTTCACTTTTACGATTTCACCCCAAATAGCAATTTCCAGGTTCGTTCTGCCAGCGATACTCAGACTGCGCGTGTTGCACAGACAGCCTGGTCAGCTCTTTGGATGCGCGGATGCGCTGAGACGTACTGCGGACGAGCTTCTGCCTTGTGGCTCTACTGCCGGTCTCCCTTCGGCTCGTTAGCTCATGGCGCCCCTCGAGTCTAAGGGTGTCAAGAACACCATGAGTGTTTTCTCCATTTTCCCTTACCTCACCTCATTATTGACTTAGGCTGACTTGGGACAATAGGACACAATAATTGCTCGCATAGCTTGGTCGCCATCTCCTGGATCCGGAACAGACGAGCATTGGATCGATCGCTTCTTCAGGTGCAAATGAAGTTTTGCAGCCCCCCAAAGCGAGGATAACGATAAAGACGATGATGACATACTTGCACTGCCGCACACGCTGGGTCGCGTACACAAAAAAGCTCCTTAATGACTGGGACGGACCGGTGGATTGAGACTTGACCCGGCTTACATTTTGGACCAGCGTGCCCCTTTTTGTCGATACGCGTGGCCTCACAACAGCGTCAACCACAGCCAATCCCAGCGCTGAAACATTGCCAGCTGCCAGCGATACTCCCGTCGCATGAGGTGCAAGGTGAATATTTCGGGACAGCAATTCGTGCAAAGTTCGCAATAATCGCCGTCGCCGCCAAGGTCTGCTGTCACACCGCCGAAAGGATATTGACCGGCTGGTGGTCGTCCCTGTCACTGGTCGCGAACCCAGGATGGCACGTTGTGATGTGCGATGGGTTCATGGCCTTCGGCAATTGCCCAGTAACCCTCGGGACTCGTCAAAACTCGCCGAAAGCTAATTTGCGTATTCTCTGGACGAGACTCAGGACAGCGCAAGATCCTGGGCGATTTCACTACAATTTTCCGCCGGTCGGGTTCGCGATTCGGACACATTGATACATGACACACAGGACTGCTAGCGGTGACTCGCTATCGCAACTCTGTTCTTTCTTTGACTCTCACTAGCTGCGCAGCGGCCACTTCTCGCGGCCATGGCAACCTGCAGGTCCAGCGAGACTCCGGATAACACGACACGACGTTACTCTGGCCCACGACCCGCCACGGCACAACGGCACGCACGTGTACACCTGAAACCGCCCAGCGGTGCGATCTCGCTGTCTGGAATCCGCGATACAATGTCCATGGAAAGGACGCGGATAATACCCGACAGCTCCAAAGCCGCTCAAAGTCCGCTCCAGGCTGGCAATAATACCCGCCCGTCACAATCCGCCGCTCTGGGGAACCGAAAAGCTCCCCTCGCAACCCCCGCGGAAGCGCCACCGCAACACGGCATTGCAGAAATACAAAAACATGTTACAGCGACGATGCTGTACAACCAATGTCTGACCTTCTGACGCTGGCCAAGTGCCTAGTGGGGGACAGCCGGCTAGGCTAGATTTGACAGCATGCGTGACGCACGAGCGGAATGGGCCTATGAGGGGCCGGCGGCCGGGGGCTCTGTGGCCTGCCGATGCGCATCGGTGGCAACCGCGTGTTGCATGGTCGCATGTTCGAGCGGAGACATGGGGAGGTTGAGACTTAGAGAAAAAAGACGACAAAGAGAAAAAAAGAAGAGCTACAGACAAACCCGTGTCGGGGATTTTGCGGCTACTAAGGGGCCCACTGGCGATGGGGGTGATGGGGGTGGTGGTGGGTGTTGTGGTGGGTGTTGTGGTTCCTGGCCCTCCCATGCAGTGCTCGGTGGCTGCCCAACCGGGGCCCAACCCACACACGGTCCCCAGTTTCTTTGTTTTTTTTTTCTACTTTCCTGCCTGCCTGCCCTCGATCGAAAGGGGGGTGAGGGGGGCCAGCCATGCATTGGCCAGGCGCTTACCAATGTCCAGTGTCCCAATGTCCAATCCGCGTCTACCTGTCACTGTTCCCCGGGGGGGGGCCGGGTGTTCCTTCGATTCTCCTTCTCTCTCCCCTCTCCTCTCTCTCTCTCTCTCTCTCGCGTCAGCCATGGCAGCCGACCAAACACAATCGAGTCCTGCTAGGGCTTTTTCGTCAGCTCCAAACCCGTCAAACCAGCGTCGAGCCAGCGTGCTGCAGCGCTGCAGAGTGCAGAGACTCCGCTGGCCCGTCCCGGCCCCCCTCCCTTAACCCCCCTAATTATTCCTTCACATCCTTCGGCCCTCACTAGATCGAACTGCAGGATAAGCTTGATTTCGTTCCTGTTGGTGGCCATATTATTAGATCGCCCAGTGTCTTATTACCGCCCCCCGGCCCCCTCCCTCCCCCCCCCCTTTTTGTCTCCCCCTTTTTTCCCCTTTCCCACCACCCCTGTTTGTTGTCGGTTTCGCTCGTTGCTGGCCATGGCCACGCGGTCCGTGGCCGGGCTCGCGGCTCTGGTGCAGGGGCTGGGCGTCGTCGTCGGAGAGGAGGAGGAGGAGGAGGCGGTGCTGACGGGTTTTGCCACGCCTGACGTACTCCTCCACCAACCCCTGGCCATCTACCGCGCACACCTTTCGCGGACGCTCGGCAGGCTCGTCGGCTGCGGCCTCGAGCAGGCCTACGACGCGATCCAGCCGGCCAGCTCGGCGGGGAACGGGGACTTGGACTTTGTGCTACCCAAGCTGAAACTGCCCGACGGCACCAAGCTGCAGGACCTGGCGGCCGACGTAGTCAAGAAGGTGTGTGCCAGTGTGGAGAACGTGTGGCTCAGCTTTCGTTTCTTTTTTTTCTTTTTTGCCGTAATTTGTTTTCCTTTTCTTTTGACCGCCCGGACTGCCACTGACGGAACAGCACTCACTGCCGTCTGGCTCGTGGCTTGGCTCGGGGCGCCTGATTGACCACGCGTGCTCTCTAGTTTCCGCGTCCCCATCCGCTCTTCCTGCCGCCCTTCAAAGACGGCGTCCACGTCCGCTTCTTTTTGTCCCCCGAGTCGCTGACCCGCATCCTCATACCCTACATTCTCGACCGCCGGGGCAAGTATGGCGTCCTGGGCGCCAGCGCCGGCGCCGCTCCCGCCCATCGCCGGCGGGACGACAGGGGCGGAGACTCCAGCGCGGCGGCACCAGAAATGGCACCAACAACACCACCGCCGGCGCCGCCAGCGCAGAAGAAGGCGCTCGTCGAGTTCTCGTCGCCCAACCTCGGGCAGGACTTCCGGACGGACCACCTGCGCAGCACGATCCTCGGGGCCTTCGTAGCCAACATGTACGAGGCCATGGGGTGGCACGTGGTGCGCATCAACTACCTCGGCGACTGGGGCAAGCAGATCGGGCTGCTGGGGCTGGGCTGGATCAAGTACGGGTCCGACGACGTGCTGGCCAAGCACGCCGACCCGTTCCGCTACATCCACGGAATCGCAGCACGCATCGACGCCGAGTTCCGCCCGCGCCTCGAGGCCACGCGCCGGCAACAGCAGCAGCAGCAGCAGCAGCAGCAGACGCGAAGGGGGGAAGGTCAAGGGGCCGCGACAGCAGCAGCAGCGGATGGTTGTGACGACGACGACGACGGCAGCGACACGGACATGTTCGCCGAGCGCGACGCCACGTTCAAGCGGCTTGAGGACGGCGAGGCGCAGGCGGTGGAGCTGTGGGAGAAGATGCGCGACATCAGCATCGCCTACTACGCCAGCACGTACGCGCGGCTGGGCGTGGCCTTTGACGACTACTCGGGCGAGTCGCTGGTGTGCCGCAACCCCGAGGCGCTGGCCCGCGTCGAGGCGGTGCTGCGGGCCGAGGGCATCGCCGAGCAGCGCGGCGACGGCTCGTGGGTCGTCGACTTTGCCAAGCACAGCCCTGCGGCTGCGCGGCTCGGCGTGGCCGTGGTGCGGGCGCGCGACGGCACCACGACGTACTTCCTGCGCGACGTGGCCACGGTGCTGGACCGGCTCGAGGACTACAGCTTCGACAAGATGGTTTACGTGGTGGGCGAGCAGGACGCGCACTTCCGGCAGGTGTTCGAGACGGCCCGGCTGCTGGGCCAGGGCGACGTGGCCGGGCGGCTGCACCACCTGAGCTTCACGCGCGGGCCGGCGCAGTGGGGCGGCGACGCGCGGCTGCTGGGCGACATCCTCGACCGCTGCGAGGAGTACGTGCGGCGGGCGGCGGCCAGCACGTGGCCCGACGACGTGCCGGCCCATCTGCGCCGCACTGCCGTCGCCGGCCAGGTCGCCATCAGCTCGCTCGTCGTGCACGAGCTCAACATCCGCAACCGCTCCCACACCATCGGCCTCGACGTCGAGCTGCTGACCGCCACCGACGGCGAGACCGGGCCCGCACTGCAGCTGGCCTACGCCCGCCTGCGCCAGACCCTGAGCCAGCTCAAGGCCGCCGCCGCCGCCGCCGCCGCCAAGGACCCCGCGACAGGTACCAGCACAGGAGCGGCCGCCGACTACTCGTCGCTGTGGGACGCGCCGTGGATCGAGCTGCTGCGGTTGCTGGCGCGCTTCCCCAACGTCGCCACCGCCGCCTTCGACTCGCTCGAGCCCGAGACCATCCTGTCGTACCTGTTTCTGGTCGTCGACGAGCTGAGCTGCTGCCTCGACGTGGTCGACGACGACGAGAGCGGCGAGACGGAAGAGGACGCCGCGCGCCAGAGTGTCGCCAGGGCGCGCCTGTACCAGGCCACGCGCCAGGTGCTGGAGAACGGCATGCGTCTGCTGAATATTACGCCCGCGGCGAGGTGAGGGGTGTTGGTGGGAATGAGGGGTGTTGGCGCGAATGAGGGTGTTGGCGCGAATGAGGGGTGTTGGCGCGAATGAGGGGTGTTGGCGCGAATGAGGGAGGATGGATTAATTACTTACAGAGGAGAACGGGGATGGGTTGCTAGGCTGCAGGGATAATTAGTGTTGAGGCCAGATTGAATGAAGCCTGATATGCTACCGTGATGCTTCCGTAGCGATTGTCTCTGCGGATTTCGCTTTGTAGTGCTGTAGTGCGTGTGTCTCTGTGGATTTCGTTTTATAGTGCTGTGGCACGTGTCTCTGTGGATTTCGCTTTGCAGTGCTGTGGTGCGTGATGTCAATAGAGGTTATCGGTTATCCTTAAGCGAAGTCAAGGAACTGGCTCGGACCTCCAGTAAGCCTCGGATTCTCGGCAAAATCTGCAATTAAAGGATTTTGGGCCTAGGTAGAAAGACGAGATAACGCGTTGAACCCGTTCTGCAACTTGTTGCAGTATGTAATCGAAGTGCTATGTTATCCAAGGCCAACACAAGTTGACGAGTGCTGACTAGTGGGCGTATTCACCAATGTTCAATTGTTCTTTCACAATATGCTAGGGTTATATACCGGATCCGCTGAACGAACTGATTCTCCCCTGGTTTATAGCTAGGTACGGATGCTCGGACAAAAGAAAGGGTCACCCTTCACCGTTGCCAAGTTTCAGACTCCCACAGTATCGACTATCTTGCCAGAGGAGGGTGACGTAACCCTTCATTTTTGCCCGAGCCTCTGTCTCCATCTCTTTCAGTCACACATTCATTCAATCACACATTCATTCAATCACACATTCATTCGATCACATATTCATCGCCTTCCCGCGCAAAGCTGCAGCCCTTGACAGCCGTGGAGGTCAGGTAGGTGCTAGGTACCTAGGTATTTTCTTTTGGCTATATGAAAATAAGCTACCTGACCAGTTAGGAAGGGGTCAGCTGAACGGATGCCTCCGGCGGCGCCTGCCGCGGGCTGTCCTCGCTTCGCTCGAGGGAAAGGGTGGCTGGGCCATTTTACTAAGAAATCAGTAAGGACAACCCCGCTTTGTGCCGTAACTCGTAGCCAAAGGCTGACTCAATTGTGTCAACTGTGTTCAAAGTAAAAAACACAGGAGAGTCATCACAACGTAAACATCATTGTGTTAAGGCAGAAAAAGTCGATTCTGCTATCGAGGCTACACCCGGAACCAACACCTCGCCGGCGTCAACACGGCGCTAGTAATCCGCCGCACGCAAGGGACTTGTAACGTCATACTCGTCCATCTTGACAAGCAGGACAAGGGAGCCTCGCGGCGAGGGTCTTCCATGTCGGCAGCCCAAGCGATATCATAAAACTTCGGAAGTAAGGACTCTACCCAGCTGAACTTCGGGATAACGGATTTACAGCTATTCTAGCCCCTCAATACCAGAACAAATTCTCAAGATAATTCCATGTTTCGATGTTCATGGTCTAATTGTCGGATTTCTAGGGGGCAAGCCCCCTAGGGCCCCTAGTGCCTGCGGCGCTCTTGGCCTGCGGCGCTTTCCTTATACAGCTTACGCGTTATATCTACTAATTGGGAAATTGCTCCTTCCTGACACGCACACCCACGACACAGCAAAGCGGATTTCACGGCTTAACCTGTCCGAGGTTCATCCGATCGACCAATTCCCACCTCCCACCCATTTTGACACGGACGTAACCTGACCAATTCCCATTCGAGAAACATTCGGCACCCTCACGGTAATATAGAATGCAGCCTCTCTACGCCGCCTCCGGCTCGCAAGCTCGCCTACGGTGGCCCCTTCCAGCTGAATTAATTACTCAGCCGCTGTCAAAGAACAGCGGATCCCCAGTCATTAAATCTTACACGTCGCCGGGCCTGATTCTTACACATCGCCAGGCCTGATTCCTCTCCTGTGTGCTCGCAAGACATCCAAGAACGTCGTGTTCCTTGCAGGCTGCGCATACGGCTCTTCCATCTCAGGAACCGGTTCCGTGGACTCTGCAGGCTCTTCTGCCCGCGCCAGCGAGACTGCCTCTGCCACGTCCCCGTCGGGCTCCTTGGCATCCTTCTCCTCGTCCGCTGCATCCTCTGGCACCGTCGCCCCGTTGTCTCGTTTATCTATGACTTCCCATCCGGCAAAGCGTTCTCGCAGCACCCCAATCTCCTTGTGCTTGGCAGCCGACAGCCTGGCCACAAAGTCCGGGTCGCTCGTTCGTCCGCGGTCCTTGGGAGCCTTGTCGATGTCCGCCTCGAGCTCGTCGAGAACCTGTCCGACGGGCGGCGCCGTCAGCGCCGCACCGTACGTGACCCTGTCCAGCTTTTCCGCCAGCGCTTCACGCAAGTCCACGACCCACGCGGCGAGCGCGGCCTCGACGGACTGGCACGTGGCGGCGATACGCCTGCGCTCGGCCTCGCGCCGGCTCGCGCCCGCCTTCTCGTCCTCGTCCCAGAGGTCGACGTCGCCGCCGCCGCCGCTGTCGAACCGGCCCGGCGAGCCTACGAGTAAGAACACCATGCACAGCGAGCTCCACAGCCCGTAGCACACGTCGCGCGCCACGTACGTGGTCTGCAGGTCGGCCGGCGCGCGGTCGAGCTGCCCGACGATGACCACCTCGCAGAAGGACCGCAGGAACAGCGCCACGGCCGCGCCGTTGAAGGCGAATTTGACCTGCCACGCTCTGTCAGCATGGGACCGACCAGTAGTTTATGCCGTGAACTTGTGAAGGAAGGAATAAGCACATACGTCTGCAAGCTTGCTGGCCAGCGGCGCCGAGTCGGACGGGGCCAGTTCCGGCGTCGGCACGGTCGGCTCGTCAGACGCGACAATGGCCAGCGCCGGGACGCCGAGGAAGTAGACGGCGGCATAGGCAACATCAAAACCGCTGCGGGCGGCGGCGATGGCGTCGATGGACCCGACGTCAGAGAAGCCGAGCCAGGCGAAGCACAGCGACAGGTTGAGGCCGACCTGGTACATCCCCAGGACCCAGAGCACGGCGGTGGCGGCCACGACAAACCCGAGCCCCTCGGCTGCCGCCACGTCGGGCGTGTGGCAGCGCAGCAGGCCGAGCCCGAGGCCCGCGAACAGTAACAGGTCTGATAGCGTGCGCAGGATGTTGTACACGGCCGGGAAAACGATGTAGCCGTACGTGACCGCGGCCTGCCGCTGGTGGATCAGCTGGTCGATGACGTGCAGACAGAACCAGCTACACGCATATCGCATATATTAGCCACTGATTTCCTAGTCACGAGAAACGGAGACAGAGACGTCACGAGAAACGGAGACAGAGACGTCACGAGAAACAGAGACAGAGACGTCACGAGAAACAGAGACAGAACGTCGCGAGAAACAGAGACAGAGACGTACATGGCGAGAAGGAGCATGCCGGCGTGCATGGGCTTGAGGGCGTGCCAGTGGCGGGACCGGGTGCCGAGCGGCACGCACCCGGCCACGGCGAGCCAGATCATGAGCAGGATGTTCCACACGGGCAGCCCCCAGCCCGGGTCGAAGCCGCCGGGCGGGAGGGCCCGCGTCGCCACGGTCCAGAGGCCCTGCATGGCCGGCTCGGTCGAGTAGTCGGTGTCGAGTGTTGTCGTCAGTCGTGAGACACAGGCAGGAGACAGATTCCCATCCCATGCGCGGCCATTAATTGCTACGGAATTAATAGGATGCAAATCGAGGTACAGCACGACAGCGCCGAAAGACGGCTGGACAAGTGTTTGTGGGTGCCCCTCCCCCGAATTCGCGCCGCCAAGATAGCTACCCACCGGGGGGGGGCCCTGGAACGAGGCCAAGTGCGGCGGTTGGCCGATGGGCGGCGCCTTTTTGTGGCCAATCGTAGGGGGTCGCAAGGTTGAATTTCGGAATTTCAATTTCCCCTTTCTGACAGTCTTATCGGCGGCGTGCAGGCGCCATGGCCAGCCAACCCCGCGGCCTGCCCGGGTACCGGTACTTTCTCGTCAGTTATGTATTTACACCATGTCTCGACATTCCGAATGTCAAGAATGTGCCCCTGCCTTGGCGTTGGCGGCGTTGGCCGTGTGAAGCCATCTCGACCCGTTACACGCATACTTGACAACAGGAACAAAAACAAGACGATAGATAGTATTATGGGTACAGTAATCACAGCTCCTCGCCAGCAAAGATCTCGCACGGCACAATGGTGCGCTTGCGGGCGAGCTCGGTGCGGCCGTCGCCGACGCGCTGCAGGCCGGGCGACACAACCAGATCAACACGGGCGCGGGTGCCGCGGTGCTCGTCGGCGTCCTCGCAGTCGTGGAAGTCGGGACCGATGACGACGGCCTCGCCGGGCTCGACGGCCAGCAGCGCCAGGTTGGCCTGGTTGACGCCGAACTGCAGCGCCACCTCGAACGCCAGCCGCACCAGGCTGCGCACCTCGTCCCCGAGGTCGGCGTATAGCGGCTCCGCCGAGATGGTCGACAGCTCTGTGAGAAAGCCCATGACCTGCTGCACGCACCGCTCCACGTTGGCCTCGCCCAGTTGTGCTACGACGCCCGTCCCCGGCATCCCGTCGCCGCCGGCGCCGCCGCCGTCGCCCAGCGCCGCGATGCCCAGGCTCTGGAATGTCACCGAGCGCCACTTGTTGCTCAGCGCCGACTGCCGGAACAGGTCGAATGTTGTACTGTTGGTCGGGTCTGCAATCATCATACCGAGTCAGTAAATACACAGGTCAACAAGTCAAAGGAAAAGGAAAAGGAAAAGGAAAGGAGCAGGCATCCCGCCAAAACACACCCATGTCCGTGTACCCGTCGAGCCGCAGGCGCCACGCGCCGTAGATGCCCATCAGCTCGTCGACGGCCGCACCCGGCCCAAAGGCGCCAAACCCGAACGGCAGACTGAAGAAAGCGGCCTGTAGCATGGCCCACAGCTTGGCGCGCAGCCAGAAGTGGGTGCGGCCGTCGACGCGGGCGAGGGCCTGGGCGGGGTCGATGCGGACGGGCAGGCCGGCGGGGTCGCGGGGGACGACGTTGTCGACGGCGAGGCGGGCCGTGGCGTTGTCGACCAGCCGGCGCACCTCGTTGACGCGCAGCTTGAGCTTCTCGTCGGGCCACGCCAGGTTCTTGTCGTGGCTGACCAGCAGCTGGCTCTGCAGCTTGCGCGCCTCGTGGTCGCGGCGCGCAAGGTCCTCGGCGTGGTGCGCGCGCAGCGACCGGACCGCGCGCTCGTTGGTCAGCCGCGCGTCCGCCGCCGCCCGCTCGTGCTGCTGCCGCGCTTCCGCCAGCCGCCGCTCCTGCTGCTGCTGCATCTCGGCCAGCTGCCGCCCGTGCGTGTGCGTCATCTGGCCGAGCGTCGTGCGGTGCTGGTCCTCGAGCGCGACCCGCTCCGCGCGCGCCTGCTCGACTTGGGCTCGCACCTCGGCTATCTGCCGGTTCAGCGACAGGTTCTGCGCGTCGCCGTCCGTCACGCGCCGCTCCGTGGCCGCCAGCCGCGCCTCGGTCCGGCGCACTTGCTCCTCGAGCGCCGCCTCGCGGGTCTTCAGGGCGGCCTTCTCGCGCAGCTGCACGCGGCCCCACGCCAGGAGCTCCGGCAGCCGGTCGCCGGACCGGAACTTGTACTCGTTGGGCACCACGAGCGATTCGTCGCGGCCGGTGCGCTCGAACTTTGCGGCGCCAGACAGGAAGCTGGTCACGCCATCGGCGTACTGCTGGCGCAGTGCGATGAGCTGTAGCGCGCTGAAGATGCCCATGGTGTTGTTGGTGGTCGCCGGTGGTGGTGATATTCAACGAGAGGGGGGGGATCTAGTCTGGTCGACTTTGGATAAGGTCTCTAGGTAGCCACGTCCCCGGCCCAGGGCGTGCGTGCACGACAGAGTCGGAAGAGAAGGCTCTCGAGATGGAGCTGGCAGACCCTGTCCAGTTATGCACATGCATGCCACATCCAGACGCGAGCGCGCATGCCACATCCAGACGCAGCGCGCATGCCACATCTAGACGTAGCGCGCATGTATGCTTGTAACGGGGCGGCCGAGAGACCAAACACACCACCAGCAAGCCGTGGGGGCTGTGTGCTGCGCTGCGCTGCAATGTCTCTCGGGGCTGCAGGGGTGCCGGACACCCACACCACAAAGGCAGTCAGTCACACCTGGGGCAGCTCATGGACGGTCATGCAAATTGCACGCACATTGCACACAAGATTGTCGACTATCCAGAGCCTTGCCCGCACACTGCCACTGCGACACCGGCCGCTGCACCTGGTTGACGGACGCCAACGGTCAGGTCAACAACCCAAGATTCCTAGCTTGTGAGGGTACCTAGGCAAGTATCGCATGAAGATTGGCCCAGCGCCGAACGCAACAAACACAAATGGCATCGCGGCGCCAGGCATCGCGGGCGGAAAGGATGCCTGTGCCGAGAGAACGGCGACAGGACTCTGACGCCGTGTCGTCGATGAGCGGCGAGACGGCGCGCCCGGGCTACACGCAGGACGGCCGTGGGGTGTCAGAGCCCGGGTCCAGCGTCGACGCCAACGCCAACGCCAACGCCAACGCCAACGCCATGCCGTCGCCCGCGAGCGACTACGACTACGGGGCCATGTCCAACGGGCCGTGGGTGCCGTCGGTGCAGCTGACGCTGCCGACCAACCACAGCGCGTCGGCCCGCGACGGCCCCGGCGCCCGCCCCGGCGTTGCCAGTGGGAGCGGGAGCGGCGGGCTGATGTCGGAATCCGAGTCCGGGCCCAAGGAGGCGCGGGTGGTGCTCGGGCTCGACTACGGCACCACGCACACGGGTATGTGCATGTGGCTACCCGAGGGGAGTCTCGCAGCACCGCTGACTGGCTGTATGCAGGGCTCGCGTTCATGCACCAGACGATGGAGCGGGTGCCGCTGTTCAGCGACCTGGTGGTGTTTGACAGCTGGGGCGAGGGCGGCAGCAACGGCGGCAAGATCCGGTCGGCCATGTCGTACTCGCGCACGCCGCACGGGCGGCGGCAGTGGGGCAACGACATCGACGAGAAGAACTCGTTGGTCTTGCAGTGGACCAAGCTGGAGCTGCAGGCGCGGCCGCCGCTGGACGAGCTCAAGTCGCTGCTGCAGTCGCTCAACGGGCTGCACCTGCTCGAGGGACTCAGAGGGAACGACATGGCCGCCGTCGAGCACGCCATCCCCGAGCACATCACGCGCGGGCCCGTCGAGGTCGTCGAGGAGTTTCTGTCGAGGGTCGCCCGCCAGTACTACATGTGGATGCTCGACCAGAACGAGTTCATCTTCAAGGACGGCAACGTGCCCATGGACATGGTCATCACCCACCCCGTCGAGTGGAGCTACGAGGCCCTCAACAATACGTACCGCGCCGTCACGGGTGCCTTCAACAAGCACATGTTCTCGACACGCCGCAACGTCTACTTCGTCCCCGAGCCCGAGGCCTGCGCCGTCTACACGGTCCAGCAGATGATCTCCGAGGCGCAGGGGCGCTCGCTGGTTCCGGCAAGTGGAATCTATCTGAATCTATCCAAACCTGGTGCAGGGGGGCCGCTAACAGACATGAAATAGGGCGAGTGCTTTGTTGTCTGCGATGCTGGCGGAGGAACAGTGGTGCGTGTCTGGCCCTCGCTCCCCCGCTCCCCCCCCTCTCCCCTCCCCCCTCTATCGATGACACGTCTGGTTGTTTACTGTACTGTTTCCGCAGGACCTGGTCACGTACCTCATCAAGAAGGTCGAGCCGCTGGAGCTGGAGAAGATTGGCGTCATCACCGGTACGGCATGATTTCCCTCCCCCCCCCAAAAAATAAAAATAAAAATGAATAAAATCAAACAGTAGCACTGCGGCTAAGATCGAGCAACCTAGGCGGTCTGTGCGGCGCCATCTTCATTGACCAGGCCTTCATCCGCTGGATTGAGGCGCGGACGACGGGCATCACGGCGCGGTCCGACGAGATCGGCACCGGGGGGCACTACGTGTTGGACCCCAAGGGCAGCACCGTCTTCAACCGCTTCGAGATCATGAAGCGCAAGTTCACCGGCACCGAGGCCAACACGCTAACGCTGCCGCGCGGCGTCGCCGTTAACCCCAGCGCTGCCAACAGCGTCCCGGGGCTACTACAGATCTCAGCGTACGTCCTCGACATCGAATAGTTATTTTGACTCCACACTGACGGAACTGTGACCAGCGACGACATGAAGAGCTTCTTCGAGTTCTCCGTCATCAAGACCATCGACCTTATCGGCCGCCAGATCGCCAGCGCCGCCAACAAGCGCCACCGAGTCATGGTAAGCCGCCAGCAAGCATGTCCTCGTAGGCGTGACCTAGTTACACAACAGCACTAACATGACATGACACACCACAGCACATCTTCATGTCCGGCGGCATGTCGCAAAACAACTACGTGCTCAACCGCGTGCGCGAGTGGGCACGCACGCTCAACGGCGAGATGTCGGTGCAGCGGCCCGAGAACGGGTGGACGGCCGTCGTGCAGGGCGCCGTGCTCGCGGGCATGGGCATCGGGTCGCGCAACGCCGTGCTCACCCGGCCGTGCAAACGCCACTTCGGCATCATGGGCGCCGAGGCGCTCAGCGCGGCCAAGCACCGCGACGCGGCCATCCGCATCGTCGCCGACGAGGTGCACGGCGCCAACATGGCCCTCGACCAGGTCGCCTGGCTCGTCCGCAAGCACGACGTCGTGTTCCCCGACCGGCCCGTCACCGCGACGGCGCGCGTCGCGTGCACCTTCTTGCCCGCGCACGTCAATAATGGGTCGGTCGCGCGCGTCGTGTTTTGCGCTACGGCCATGGACGACCCGCCGTCGCATAGCCTGCCGCGCGATGCCGGCGAGGTCGCGGCCGTCGATGTGCGCCTGGACAAGATACCCTCGTCGGCGTTTCGCGGTCTTGTCGCCCCTGACGGGCGTGGTGGGTACGTCGAGGCCCGCTTGACGGTCGAGATTTCGGTGTACTACAATGCATCCTACCTGGTGCGTGTCCTGTGCCAGGGCCAGGAGCTGGGTGTTTATCCCAAGAGACACGAGGCTGCGTAAGCACTCCTTTTCGAGAAACTCGAGTTGAATGATTTTGGTCTGATTTAACTGTTCGTGTGTCTAGGCAACCTACGTCACCCCTGAGGTCGCCCGTTGACTACGCCAGACCGCAGGGCGGCGGCAGGGGCACGCCGTGGGTTAGGGGCGCGGGCTACGGCTGAGCGCGACACCACTGTGTAAATTGGATTGTGTTTCTATGCTAGGTCTGGCCCGTGATCAAAGTTGACAGTGGCTTGAAGGGTCTTGAATTGTCTGTCTGAATCCCATCTCATAATACAGGAGAAAGGCCTTTTATGTTTCCAAGAAAAGGACAAAGGAAACCTGGTTCAACAGTCTGTTCAGTCGTACTACGTAAAGGACTCAGCCGTAGCAAGGGAGAAAAAAAGAGGGCATTCGGAAGTCCGGGAGCCCGAAAAAGGGATCAGGGCTGAAAGTAACGAATGAAGGGATATGCAGGGATGTAACTTGACAATGTAGCTCAAAAGTGGCTCAAAAGTGGGCGACACTATGGTTTCTATGCTATGAATAATACCCCCCTGATGTCATCGCACCATTTAAGCCAAGCCAAGCCAAGACAGCCAAAGCCCCGTTGAAAGCCCCACCACAGGATTATCCTCAGGGTTAGGGTTTATCCCACACCTGGAATCGCGCTTCATAGCTGGCGGCCTTCGGCCTGAGTTTTTAGACAGGACAACCCATTCCACACCGTTCTTTTCACCGTGTCCCTTTCTATCACCGACGACCATCAATGCACCCGCCACACCACGCTTGAAATTGCATGTGATTTTTTCAGATCGAGCGTGTGTGTACTACTTGCTGTGTAGGCAGACTCATCAGCCGGTCGAGTCAAGTAATAAATGCCGCGCTGACACGTCGACGTGCAGAATGCGAGCGTTGCAAGAACAAATCGAAACAAGCAGGGGTCTGCGGGGGCACACCTCTCCCACAACCAGCAGCACACCTCTCCACAACCACAGCACACCTCTCCCACAACACCTCCCACAACCAGCACCGCCATGTACCGGTACATGAACATGGAATTGGGGGGGCATGGGCAGCGGCGGCAGCGCTGCGGCAGAGGTGTGGCGGCCGCTGCCGCTGGTTGGCCGCTGGCTGCTCCACCCGCGCGACTCCGCAGTCTTGGTCTGCGTCAACCCCTGCCCAGCTTCCAGACGGGCGCGAGGCTCTCGCTGTCGTTCAGTCGTCGTCTGGCCTGGACCCGGCCGCTCTGCTCACAGCCTCGTCGTGACAAACGGGGTCTGCCTACGCTAATGCAGCTCGTGCAGACGGGGGGGGGGGGGGGGGGTGGGGGGGGGGGTTCGTCCAGCCAATTTTTGCGCAGGCTGCATTTCAGCTTCTCGTTTTGCCTTTCGTTGTTGCATATTCACGTAAAGGTGCATGCATGGCCTGCAGTCCGTCAGTCCATGGCATGCGCTGGTCTGCCCCAACGTCACGCTCACACGTACCTCTTCTCACTCTCCACCACCGCCGCATCGCACATGGAGGCGTGGAAGTCTGGCGACCCCGACCTCAAGAAGCACCCCGTCGCGGCCCTCAGCGCGGCCGCCCTGCGATGGGGCCTTGACCGCTTCCCGCTGAACCTCGTCGCCCCCGACTACGACACCAACGGGTGGTCCAACGGCACCAACGGGTGGTCCGACGGCACCAGTCTCTACTACCCGTGCGACTACAACAGCGACCAGCTGTGCACCACCACCACCACGTTCGCCTGCAACACCACCGCCTCCAACTGCACCTTCGTCACCGTCGACAGCGCCGGGCGCAGCTCCACCGGGCCCGCCGGCTCGAGCATCGTCGGTCTCGCGCACGGCATCACGTGCCTGGCCCTGATCCTCGCGACAGCGGGGCTGGCCATGTGCATCGAGAGCATGGGGCTCTTCCGCCGCAGGCCGAAACCCGACGCGGCACCGGCGCCCGAAGTGCGGCACCCGCCGCCGCCGCCACCGCACGACCGCGTCGACGTCGAGCTGACGCGACACTACATCCCGCCGACCCGCCGCGCCGACCGCGCCGTCGAGCTCAACGGCCTGCTGTACACGGACCGCGCGGGCGAGGTGGCGCGCGCCGCGGCGCTGCTGCGCGCCATGTTCGTGCTCGACATTGACGTGTGGAACAATGCGGCCGCCGTCCAGCGCGCCGACCTGCGCAAGCGTGACGAGGACATGGCCGAGAGCAATGCGCTGTTTGCGGAGCTGCGCAGGACCGTGCAGGACTGGGCCGACCGCGCGTACGAGATTAGGTGGACGGACGAGGAGCGGGCGCAGGTCGAACAGATACGGGATGTCGTTTTGAGCTTTCCGGCCGAGAGGCATGTTTTGGGTTGAGATGCACGATAGCGGTTGACAGTGGATGTCCTATTGATATTAATTGGGTAGATGGGGAGTCGCGCTGGTTCCTAGATACCATGAGAGGAACATACCATGAGAGGAACATACTATGAGAGGAACATAATCCGCCGGGCTGCTCAGTGACGAATTCCATCAAGAGATTGCCAGCTTCGAGCAGCCTGAATAACTAGGGACAGGAAATTGGAAAGAGTGTAGAAATGTCAAATACAAAAAATAAACTCTGAAAGGGGTTTGGTGAAACGTCTTAATCGCTTGTTTTAGCTAGATGTCCCGTAAAAACTTGTCTTGCACCGATGTTGGGGCATTATCAATTCAAGGCCGCTTTGCGTTTATATCTGGACCCTAATATGCTCCTTGAAGTCGGATGCTTGACATTGAAGGGGCTAGTCGTGTCACAGGCTTTGGCTGAGTCCCCTCGTATTGAAGTCCACCGCCACAGTCGACTTGATAGCTGCCTTTGACTTGTTTTGGAACAACTAGATGGATTACATTCGGCGGGCAAGAGCAAATTCATTACCAGGGTCACAAACGAGACTTGCGTCGACAGGGCAAATGGTCCCCCTGGTGGTAGTAATAATAACGATGCCTGTAGCAACAACGATCGCAACGAGGTCTAGACTAGAGTTGGGCTGCTGGATTCGTGGGAGCGGAAATACCTCGTGGCAGCGGAAATATCCCGTTGAGGATTACCCGACTTTTGACCCCTGCGCAAGCCACCCTGCGCAAGCCACCATGCACTTACATGAAATCCTGCTCCGCTACTTTCCCTATCTACTACCACCAGCTACCACCAGCATACCGCTACAACTCTCGCGCTAGCACGAGCCCTGCCCTCTACTTGCTCGATCCGAATCCAGTTTTCCCAAACAGGGACGCCCCAGATGCGCCTGTTCCACCGCCTGCGCTGCTTCCTTGCTTGTGGCCCTGGCTGTAATCTGCCAAGCGGAGTTCCTCGCCGGACCACCCCTTATATGCGTCCATGAACAGGTTGTTTTGGAAACTGATGCTGTGGTACGGATCGCCAACTTCCTTATCTGTCGTCGGGGTGAACGCGGGGGAGGCGGTGCCGGGGGGGCCGCCAACAGCCGCGGCATTCGTCGTGCCGCCGAATGGGGTACCAGTTGTCGTGCTCCTGCTGACCCCGAAAATGCTCCAGGCGCCGGTTGTGTTGCTGGCGGCTGTGCTGCTGGCGGTTGTGTTGTCCTCCTTCTCGGCCGTCGGCTCGGGTACGGGCGCGGGTTCGGGCTCGGGTTCGGATTCGACAGCGCCCTTCTTGCTCTTCTTCTTCTTGTCCTTCTTGTCCTTCTTGCTCTTCTTGGCTGTTGTAAAGTCCCACACAATATCCTCCTGCTGGGAGGGCTCTGGTATTAACGCATGTCCGTCGTCCGGCACGGGTCCGACCTCTGGCTCGGGTTCAGCTTCTGGAGCTGGTCCGGCATACGGCTCGGGCTCCGGTTCCATGGCATACCTCGCCTTCTTGTCCTTGTTGGCCGTTTCGAGACCCCACGTGTTTTCTTCATCCCGGGGGGGCACCGGTACAGGTTTCTCCAGCGTGACGGGCATGTTCTTGACGGCTAGCGCTTCCACCATCTCGCGATAGATCTCTACAGCGCCCCTAAGGAGGATTCTTGCAGTGGGAATACCGTCTTCGCGCTCGTTTTCGGATGCTTCGGACTTTGGAAGTGCCTCTGAGCCCTCGAATGCCGTCTTGACAACCGCCTTCATGTAAGTCGGAAACCATGTGTCCTTGTTGGTCGACGTGGGGTACGCCTCGCTAACCACGTTGAGGATGGTAAAGGGGTCGACCTCCTTGCTGAGGAGCGAGATCTGCTCCTTGGCGAGCTCTTCCAGCCGATCGAGCTCGAACTGGCGTGCGGTGGCGTAGACTTCGAAGCCCGTCCTGAGCTTGGCAATCGCCTCGTCGTGAACAGTTGTAGGGCCCGTCCAATCCAGCGTCCGGTAGGAGTCGGTATAGAGGTAGTGGACGAGAACGTGGCCTGCGCCGCGCGAGATGTGGCTTAGGGATGGAGGTTTAGGGAATGACCAGCTGTTCTGCTTTGAAGTATCGAGCAGAGCTAGCTTCGGATTTCGGTAGAGGATGGCCGGGTGGACGTTCAGGAGGTCGCCTTGTTTGAAACGGAGTGTAACCATAGACGTTGAAGTAAAAGGTCTTCGCCGGAGCGTCAGCCAGTCCAGGCCTCACAATTACTGTTGCTCTGCTGTACTTACGATTTACCGAAGCAAGCATCCTCCTTTGTCTCAGCGGCCGTGGGAGCCCTCTCTGCCATGGTGCTGTTTTTCGGTGCCATTTTCCCCGACGGTACCTGGTAGTATGTGTCGTTGTAGACCTTGGGGAAACCAACGCTAGGTTTGTTGGGAGAGCGAATGACCAATGGGTGCCTTTGGAGGTATAGTTGCGGGCAGTAAAGAAATGTTTTGGGAAGGGTGGTCTCGTGTCTTTGACCACGCCGCCGGCGAGGTGAGGCGGCTTGATTGATGCCTAAAAGTGCTGCCTGCTGCAAGTGCGTGTCAGTGCGTTTGCGTGCGCCCAATAGCTGACCGGCAACATTGCATTGGAAAGGTGGTGCAACGGTGGCCGGAACAGGCATCCAATCGCAGTCTTTGAGCACATTCCAACATTTGCAGGCAGCAGTAGGGCCCCTTTGCATCAAAAATTTACCAGACACCGCGAATCAAAGGCGGCAACATCTCTAGTAGCCATACTCGCCAAGTCGCGGCCCCGGCCATCATCCGTGGCCATCATCCGTGGCAAGCGCATCACTTCGGATGGGCCCGAACGGACGCTGTCACGAAACAAAGCAGACTGATAAGCGAAAGACTTTGATAACACGAATAAGTGGCGTTTACTCATACATTCTTTCATTGTGCAGTATTCTTAAGATAAAGTAGGGGCTAATATTGGGACTAATTATTCCTAGTGTTGGAATAGCGATGTTGGTGACCGTACTCTGCGCTGGAAGGGAGGCGGTGCGATGCACGTGCGCCGCACGGCCCTCGCACGGCCACGTACAAAGCCAAGAACCCCCACCATAGATTTCTAGAACAGAACATGAATCAGAACAACTTTACACCCCCCCCCGGTAGTACTACCACTTTTGACCCGTTGGAACACCTACGTGGTTGGAATACCACGAACACCTAGGCCTCCGTCTTGAAGATTGTTGCTGTTGGCGAGGTAGATAAGAATAGGTTTTGCTAACTGGGCCCTCAGATCATAGACAGGGTGACCCACCTTTGCAATCGCCCCACTTTGCAATTTTTCCCCCACACCGCCAACTTCCTACTCTCTACCTTCCACCACCAACAACTTCCTCAATACTGGTCGGAATAGGCTCAAAATACGATGGTTCGACGCGTACGAGAGCGGCTAATAGCCGAGGCTATTGAGGCTATTGATCAGGGCGCTCAGCAGAAGGAAGTAGCGCGCCTATATAGGATCCCTGAATCCACCCTCAGCAGACGACGCCGTGGACAACAGGATCCACGACAAGCCCAAAAAAACACCCAGAAGTTAACTGACGGCCAGGAAGCCTTCGTCGCCGAGTGGGCTCTTGAGGAGGAAGCTGCAGGGCGTGCCCCAAGTCGTGCACAGCTAAGACGATTCGCACAAGCGATCCTGAACGAAGCCGGGCTCCCTGGGCGAGTTGGTGAGCGCTGGGTAGATCGGTTTTTTACCCGCAACCCCAGGGTAAAGGCCAAGTTAGGTACCTTATTAGAACGGTCTCGAGTCAAAGGATCTACCCGTGAGAGATTCCAGCATTTTTTTGATCGTTTGGAAGCTGTAATTAAGGACAAGAAGCTGTAATTAAGGACAAGAAGCTGGTACCTGCGAATATCGCCAATATGGACGAATATCACGGCTCAGTCAACGTAAAGAGACAGGGCTGCAGTAATCATCGCTGAATTCGTAGAATCTAAAGATGAAGAAGGAAGCTATGACGGGGACCGCGCAGGGCGCGGGGAAATGGGTAGTTGTGGGCCACGTGATACGTCAGGCACAGACCACACTCTAAACAGGAGCCTGTCCAGGCCATGCCGTGACAACGAACATGGCATGCAAGAGACGGAAACTACGGTTGGGAAGTGATTGGCGATGCCCTCACATCTCGGGCAGTCCTGACTGGCCCTGATCCAACGACCTGGGTCAGTATTATCAAGTGTGGTACCGCTGAGGGCAAGCGATTGACGCCCGTAGTGATCTTTACGGGTGAAAATCTACAAGGCCAACACTTCCCGGATAACTTCAAGGAACTACCAGTCCTCAAGACCTGGAAGTACGACTGTACGCCCACAGGCTGGAGCAATAGCAAAATAGCTCTTATGTGGCTCAAGGAAGTATATCTTCCTCAACAAAGCCCCAAAGGAAGGACGATTGGCGCCTATTAATCCTCGACGAACACGCTACTCATATCGACGAAGACTTTATGCTTCTAGCTAAAAGAAACCGCGTACACCTACTATACTTGCCTTCACACACTTCTCACAAGACCCAGCCACTCGACCGGTCTATCTTTTCGGCTTTGAAGTCCTATTTTCGCCAAAGAACCCTCGAATTGGCTTCCTTCACAGCCTCAGCACCTATCAACAAGCAACGCTTCCTTTTTTGCTACCGGGACGCCTCAGCGCAGGGTATGTCAGCCCGGAATATCATATCCGGCTTCCGGAAGACTGGAATCTGGCCTTTCCAACCCGCTCGTATACTTGACGACCCCGAGGCGGTCCGGGACGAAGCTGCAAAACCAGTCCCCCCATCCACACCACCCCGGAAGACCCGGGCAACCCGGAACGACCTCTTCAATACACCTCAAGGTAGTCACGACGTCCGCAGGCAACAGGGCTTAGCCAAGACGGCCACTAGTCCCCGAGGTAGGGTCGTCAGGACTATGTTGACGAAGGTAGGGAGGGCACTTGATCAGAAGAATACGGAAATCGCTGCTTTGAAGGCAAAAAACGACTTCTTAGCCAACGAGTTGGAATCCAAAAAACCCTATTCACGTAAAAGGGTCAAAATAGACGCCAACGACAGATTTGCTACTATTGACGAAATTGACGAGGCTCAAAAAGCTAGTCAAAAGCCTCCCAAGAAGAGATCCAAGAAGACCAAGTCCAGGCCTGCACACTTGGTCCAGGAAGCTGAAGAAATTATCGCCCGTGGGCTTGAGCAATATAGGGCGATTGACGAGGACTAGAATGTACTTTTTTCTATAGAATTTGGCCTACAATTGAGTATTTTGACGATTCTTGTGGTGGGCGGTGATGGTGGTGGGCGATTGCAAAGGGGGGCGATTGCATAAGTGGGTCGCCCTGTCTAGGGGTTGACGCCCAAAACTCGTCTCCTGATTAGAGAGTTGCATAGAGTTGGCAATTTCTCGATATGGTGAGCGTAGGCTGAGTCGGGGTGAGCCGAAGGTAAGTATTACAAACCACTCGACTGTTAGGGTCGTCTGTCTGTAAGGGAGCACGGGCTCCACAAGATGCTAGGGTTGGTAATTATGAAGATAGAACAAAGGGCAAGCTCCTATCGCACGGGTAATACAGTCAAATTGGAATGCCACTCAAAGTATATGAGTGCAGTGAATGTGAATTGCTTGCTTGCAGAACCAAGAAGAACTATCTAAGACCGTGGGTACGGTCATCGTATATATCTAACTGTGTAACCAATAATAATAGTCCCACTGACCCGTGGTCCCGAGACTTGCGGTCTCGGGACGCCGGGCGCGCGGGACACCGTCCCGCGTCCCCGACCTTAAGTGGTCCCGAACCTCGGGACTGTCACGGCACAGCGCATTTCGGGTTCCTTATCGCATTGCCGTGTGACGTCACTTCCCGATAAGCTCAGTTAGGTCTAGCGCATTGGTCACGTGGTTGCGAGCTACCCCGCCGACAACCTTTTCTACTGATCGCACAATTCGCGATTCTTCTTCTTTTTCCTTTTTTCTTCCTTAGCTTAGTTTTACACTAAATCAATACGGTATATTGTTGGCAACAGTCCTTCAAAACCTATTAACCGTGACAGATAAAGAGCTCTTCTCCAAGTCTTGATCGACAAGATTACGGCGAACTTAGGTCTTAGTTGCCAGGTTCTTCGTGGGCTTATTGCGCGGAAGCAAGGCTTAGTTATTACAAACCACTCGACTGTCAGGGTCGTCTGTCTGTAAGGGAGCACGGGCTCCACAGAATGCTGGGTTGGTAATTATGAAGATAGAACAAAGGGCAAGCTCCTATCGCACGGGTAATACAGTCAAATCGGAATGCCACTCAAAGTGTATGAGTGCAGTGAATGTGTATTGCTTGCTTGAAGAACCAAGCAAGAACTATCTAAGACCGTGGCTACGGTCGTCGTATATATCTATCTAAGGCGGACCAATCAGAGTCCTTGGTGTCTGCGCTCCGCGGGTCCAGGGCGCTCTGCTCGCAGAGCGCAGGGGCCCCACAGAGCGCCCGCTCCGTCCGCTCTGCTGGTCTTGGCAGCTAATCAGGCAGAGCGCTTCCTGGTTGGCCGCACCCACACGGGGTGGGGTCTGTCCGTCTCCACCACGTCACCCAATCACAGGGCGGAAGCAGGGCGCCTCATGCACCCTGAACCAGGATCGTAACATTAGTTTCTAGCTTTTTCGATAGCTTGTTGTATGGAAGGAAGGATTCTGGTGCGTAAGGCCTCTTTTTTATCCTCGAATACTAGGAAGTATATACAAGTAATACTTACTTTCAAGTATCAAATTTCACGTGGTAGTGTTGAGTTATTGAGTTACGGCCGTGAGCCACGGCGAGGCTAGGAGCCCGCTCGTCAAACCTTGTTCGAATGGACGAGTCGTTGACCGAGCTAGTTCCGTGCTAGAGGTGGCTATATGAAGGGCGTTGTTTTGAAGCTAGGGCAAATGTCTCGTAGTGTAATACTTGTACGTGATAGTGGGTATGGTGTTACGATCCTGGTTCAAAGGTGCAGAGGGCGCTGCCCGCCTTCTCTGGATTGGCTGGAACAGCATTTAAGGTGGGGGGCTCTCGCTCAAGGGTGCATCCAATGAGGGAGTGCTCAGTGGGGCCATTGCCGAGACCCACTGAGCGCACTAAGCGGGGAGCTCAGTAGGATCAGTGCCGAGACCCACTGAGCGCACTGAGCGGGGAGCTCAGTAGGGATCAGTGCGTCTAGGACTGAGCACGACTGAGCATGTGAGTCAGGAACTCTGATTGGTCCTCCTTAGATAGATATATACGACGACCGTAGCCACGGTCCTAGATAGTTCTTGCTTGGTTCTTCAAGCAAGCAATACACATTCACTGCACTCATACACTTTGAGTGGCATTCCGATTTGACTGTATTACCCGTGCGATAGGAGCTTGCCCTTTGTTCTATCTTCATAATTACCAACCCCAGCATTCTGTGGAGCCCGTGCTCCCTTACAGACAGACGACCCTGACAGTCGAGTGGTTTGTAATATATGGCCGTTACACAGCCGTGTTCTGTGTTACCTTGTTTCCGTGGCCTTTTTTTTCCCTCGCCCGTATTTTACAGCGACCTTAGACATAAACGAGCTAGTTAGAGGCCGTTATATAAAGAGCTAGAGTGTAGGCTAATAGGGCCTACGTAATAGCAGGGAACATGGCCTAGTATAAGTAGAATAGAACGTTGGGGATTCTGGAACCAGGGATATTAGGTTGGGCAAGCATAGTAAGGAGACCGAAGTTGCTCAGATTAACAATGTAGGCGTTGCTACTCGTGTAGGAGAAGGCGAGCGAGAAGCCCCAGAAGAACCATTGGAAGCCGGCAACCACTATCGACATCATCAATAGCCAGATCAGCGCCAAGGCCGACTTGCGGCGCGCCAGCCCGCCATAGAAGAAGCCGACACCAGGAATCATGAGCAGCACCAGGCCTGACGCGGTCATGATCCACGCAAAATCACCGGCTTGGATGGCAATTGGGCTATGTTAGCACATGTCAAGGCACGCTGCGCGAGAGCGAGCTTGCGGGCTTGCGACCAGACTCTGGAGTTGAGCATACCGAGTAGTAGATGTTGAGGTCCTCGTCGAGGGAGTTGCCGCCGGCGTCGGCGACGCCAAGCGTGCCCTCATAGGGGATGGGCTGGAGGGCAGACATAGTGAAAGGAGTTTCGACTCGATCGCGGCCGTGATGTGGTGCTGGTCTTGTCTTCCAGTTTCCGAGTGTCTCACCCACACGAGAGACAAGGGGACTGTTGGACCAAAGTTGGACCAACGGCTGAGCGAGGGGATTGGCAGGGGAAAATACACCTTTGAGTCCTACAGCTTGGTTGATGGGAGCTCAATATGCACGGTCCCGGTGCCTGCTGCGCAGTAGCCGACCACGGGGCGTGCAGCCCGACTCTGCTGATAACGTAGCCGGCTCTTGGGTACACTGCACAAGTGGTATCAGGTGTGGAGACTCCTGAGATCCCGGCTCAATCCTGCCAAGACCGCCTGCTGGGGAATGGGCGGTGGGCTAGAAAGATAAGGAATGGATCCCTAGGCTTGATGGTCCGTTCGTCTGTGGAAAACGGGGTGGGGGGTTCCCGTCTCTTATGCCTGACCTGGCGATGCTTCACTGCAATCCAGTCACCTCTGCGGTCCGGGCCCAACCACGATTCCCAGTGGAGGCCTGTCTCGCTTGGGTCTTGGGATCCACGGCTCGTCCGCCTTGCTGGAATCGGACAATCGAGCGGCTCCTCAAGGACGTCAGCTTCGCGATAGACCGTCGGCATCCCGGTCCCGTCTGTGCTATGGCCGTGTCCGTACACCTGTCGTCTGAAGACGGGATGTTTGGATGTGCTCTCGGAGCGTGGAACTTTTGTTGCCCCTCATGTCTCAAGTGCCCCGCGGGCAGAATTCACAAGCCCGTCCGATGCAGACGGGGAAATTAAAGGCAGACGGCCAATCTTCACACAGCATTCAGTCGTCCGGCCGCGGGGCAGCCACGACCGAAGCATAGCATCTCGACCAGGTCCACAACTCGCCTAGACACAGCCTTGACGAACACAGGAAACCAAGGCGCAGCTGAGTACCAAACAGCTTCTTCAAACCGCAGTTTAGGTTTGCCCACGTTGGCTGCGGGGCCGCGTGACGATGCAGCAGCCATGGGCACCCTGTGTAAGCTTTTTGCGCCGTTCTGTGCCGCCTGCAGTCGCGGACGGGTGCGCCGTCGCATCAAATCTTTGTGTTGGATTCACCAGGGTACCGGTACTGGACTCAACAGGGCGTGGCTGCACGCCGAAAACTGGTGGTTCAAGTGATGGATTGTAGATGTCTGTTCTTCTCTCTAGCTTTCTGGCAGTGCCAGAAAGCCCGTTCTTATACTACTATTGTGGTGGCGAAGTTGGTGGCAAAGTCTCTATCTAGAACCTTCGAGGCCCTTCTGCTTGACAAATTCCAACACTTTGGATCCCCGCCCGCAGTTGCCAGCGCTCCCTGCTGGTCCTTCGCGGGCACGCCGATGACAGAATTGATTAATATTTGTTGCGTAACTGCAGGTTACAAGGCAGCCGAGGAACGATGGAAGCGGAAAGAGCAATCTGGCCAGGTGAGCCGTTGTGATTCAAACAACCAACACCCACCCTGTACCACACTCCTTTGCCCACCAAGCCGCCCAATCGCCCGATCAAGGTCGTCGGCCTTCTCGTCCAGCTGAAACTGAGGCCACGGGAACTCCAGCGCACCGGATTAGCCAGCCTTCCCGAACTGCATGGCATGACACTATTTCCTTGGTCAGCCTAACTGCGTCCCTCTCCCCCCCCTGCACGGCGCAAAGAAACAGGAGGATCATCTTCTTATCGGACCAACCAACGACCATATCTCACCCTCCAAAGACGCATGGTCAACCTTCTAGAAACCTTCGATGCCGCATCTTCGTGCAAAATATTGCTGCAGTGAGCGACAGCTGCGCTAGCGCCTTGGACTGGGGTGCCGCCTTGGCTCCATCTTCGTGTTTTTCACCAGGTCTCGTCTGTGGCTCATTTTAGCTGATAAGGAAAGAATACGAAAAAGGCGCAAAACCGGAACAGGATCATTGGAGGCCATACTGTAGAGCTCTTTTTATTTCCGTTTTGGTCTTACACAACTACTGATGAGCGCACTCACTTCATGACTCTCTCTGGCTGGTGAAAGGGAAAAAGCAGCGAGAAACAGGTATGGACGTTTCTTTCCACGCTGAGCATTTACACTACAGTACACATGACCCCAGAAAAGTTCCCACATCGGGGTAAGGGCATTCGTGACGACTTTTCGGCACAAACGACGACCAGGGTCTTTTTTTACTCTCACTCAATTTGCAACGGCGTCGGATTGCATCCCCAAACTTCGCTCTTCCCGGGATCCCCTATCTGCTGGTCTCCACTCTCACCCATGTTTCTGGGGCTGAACGTGGGGAGCGGGACACCCCAGGTAAGGTAAGGCAAAAGTGTGCGCACGCCGCCTAGGGACATCGTTTGTATCTGGACCTCATCTGGCTCAGCTGTGCCACTCTCTGCCCAGTTCACGGGTAACAAGTTTGGAGGAAGTAGAATAACTCCATATGCGCACCGACAATGCCTTGCCCAATACCTGCGACACGCGTTCCCAAACTTCAAGCTCATAATTCCACGCCAATGTCCACACCACACATGCAGCCAAGCATGTAGACCTGACTGTCATTTTCTCCAAGTATTAGAACCCCTAACCTCTTAGCATGTACGGCAAACCATTCGCTGCCCCAGAGGCGCCCCTTCCTTATCACGGCAACGCGGGCGCGGGGGGACAACACATGCCGGAATTCGGCACAGGCTGACTGAGACGTGGGGGAGCAGGAGTCATTCTTCGCTCTCCTGAAAGGCCCTGGCAAGCTCCAAACTATCGACCTGATGACTGAGCCGACAAGAAATGAGGGCCGCCAGTGGCTTAGTCGCATCTGCAGGTCATGAATTATGCAGTATGCATGTACGTCTTCTACTAGTATGAGTGAGGATAGCAACATCTCAATCCATCGTCACGCTGCGCGGCCGGAGGTGCTGATCTTGACACTCTGCAGCTGGAAGCAAGCTGGAAGCCTAAGACGTTATTCGCTATTGCAATCCCTTGCTTTGTTGAGTCTGTTAGCAGTAAGTCTAGACCTTGTTTTCCACCATCCCTCGTATCGACAATATCACAAGATCCGTGACCTATGTCTTATAATCTGCCTGTACCGAGCCCATCCTCTTCTCCCTGGAACTTAAGCGCGAATTTCATCGAAACTGACTCCATCCCAAGAACCAAGTCATAGTGCACAGAGGTAACTGGTAGCTGCAAGGCGTCAGCATCAGAGTCAAGGCCCTTGGGACAAAATTCAACGTACTAAGAAATAATTACCCTCCAATTTAACACACTCCCTAGAATTACCCTTCGTGAGAGACTGCGAGTCGCAGGTGAGCATGCAATTAACGTTGATCTTCCTCCCCGTGATGGTTGTCGTCGAGCAATCATAACGCCGTGGTAAGACACCAGAATCAAGTTAGTTGGGACTTTCGAGGCAGGTGAACGGGGAGCATAGGACTCAAAGAATTCAACTAAGATATCGGTGAAAATGAAGTTCTCAGGGTTGTTGCTCATGCTACAGAAACCGGATTTCTTAGCCCCGGAGTCAATTCTCGCCAATTCCGGTAAACTGCTGCGCGCCGCCGCGAGCGCTCATGAGTACGCGCGGCGGGGCGATCTCCCCGCTCGAATGTCCAACGACAGGCTCTGAGAAGTAGCTCGACGAGGGCGGTTTTTATAACGGTACACAGCGGCTGGCTTAGAACGGTGTCGCTGGCACGCATAGCAGAGGATCATCTGGCGGAACAATCTCACTGGCTTAACATTATGTATGTGCGATGCCCATGGCTGCTAATCTCGTACGATGTCGTGGCTCTCACATCGAAGCTGCAGCTCAAACAACTCGTATCCTGGACAGCAAGCGTAGCCGGCTACTTGTAACTGGAATAGGGGTTCTTGGAGACTGAGGAATCTGACCGAGGATGAATAATTTGAAGTCTAAAAACTAGACCCTTTTAACATGCTGAGAGGTCTTTAGTCGAGGTATCATGGAGACATGCAGCGCAGGCCCCGATGATGAAAGCCTTATTCACGTTGCTATGGCTAGCTTGGATCAAGGTCCGAATAACGGTCTGGAGTTTAGTTTGTGCAAGAAGACGCGGAAAAAAAGCTAGATATTGCCTCTTGATGAGCGTGATCACCGACTGCCTTAATGCCTCTTCCGCAAAGCCGAAAGTATAAGTCAAGACCAAGCGTCCTGGCGTCTGAGTTACCTTGTGCGCCAGCGTTAACGGTTAACCGCGTTACGGAGGCGTCCAACGCATGCTGCTGCAAAGGCATCCGCCCGGTCGGCAAGTTTGGAGGCAGCCAATATGTCCAAGTCCCCAGCATGTGTCAGCAGTGAGCACTCGAATGTCTAGCCAGGTGTTCAGCCCAATGACGCGAGGGCCGCTAGCGCGAAGTAGAGTAAAGCCGCACATGCCTGCCTGCCCCCATAACACGCCGCGAGTTGAGCATGTCCTGGTTATTCACACGGAAGCCGCTTTGAGTTCACATCCCAGAAAGCACCAGCTGTCTCTGTCTCATCAAAAACACTGCGGTGTCAGCGGATGGTATATCAAAGAAAAAGAAAAAAGAAGAAAAAAAGAACGTTCGAGATGGCGGGCTCACCGAGACCGTAGACACGGTGCAGCAGCACAATCCAAGTCAAGCATTGGTTCAATACGTATTACCCATTTAACGAGGTAAAGGGAATATATTTCGCGCGAATAACATGATGAAAGAAAATATACGTAATTGCATAGCGAGCGCGCATGTATAGCGAGCGCGTACTTTTCCCACCCCAATTGAACTATCGCAAAACATTGTAAATTTCTCCACGATAAAACATGCCCGCCGTACGAAATGAAGCACAAATACAGCTTGCCCTTCAAGCTATGCAACGCGATAAGAATCTTCGCCTTGCAACTGCTGCAGCCCGATATTCCGTACCCCGAAGAACACTTGAGCGGCGTTCGAACGGAATCCTCCCTCGAGCAGAAATTATTGCCAATTCGCGGAATTTTGACCCCCTTGAAGAGCAGGTTATCATACGAAGGGCTCTCGACCTGTACGAGCAAGGATTTTCGCCAGGATACGGTATAATAGAAGATATGGCCAATTTGCTACGCGCGACGCGTAACGCGTCACGCGTCGGACCACGCTGGGCTGCAAACTTCGTACGACGACAACCAGAGCTCAAGATGCGTTGGACGCGTCCGTACGACTACCAAAGAGCTAAATGCGAAGATCCAAAGATAATTGGCGCGTGGTTTGACCGTGTTCGTAATACAATTGCGAAATATGGGATTCTCGAGTCGGATATCTGGAACTTTGACGAGACTGGGTTTACGATGGGCCAGATCTTGTCAACACTTGTTGTTACCTCGTCCGACGGCCGTGCGAAGGTGAAGAAGATCCAGCCTGGTAATCGGGAATGGGCTACCGTGATTCAGGCCGTACGGTCGGGTGGTGATACTATCCCTCCGTATATAGTGGCTGCGGGCAAAGTCCACCTTGAGAGTTGGTATCGCGATAGCCCTTTCCCATCCGACTGGGTAGTGGATCTCTCAGAAACTGGTTGGACGAATAACCAGATTGGTCTTGATTGGATTAAACACTTTGACCAACACTCTTGCCGCCGTACGATACGTGGAAAGCGACTCCTAATCCTTGACGGGCATGAGAGCCACCATTCGGCCGAATTTGAGGACTATTGCAAAGAAAATAACATCATTACGCTTTGTATGCCTCCGCACTCATCACATCTACTTCAGCCTCTTGATATCGGGTGTTTTAGTGTATTGAAGCGGTCGTACGGCAAGGAAATTGAGAAGTTGATGCGCAACCATATTCACCACATCACTAAGCCCGACTTCTTTCTCGCCTTCTTCAACGCATTCCACGCGACATTTGAACCCGAAAACGTACAAGGAGGTTTTCGAGGGGCAGGCCTTATTCCATTCGACCCAGAGAAGGTCATTTCCGGGCTAGATATCAAGCTTCGTACGCCAACACCTACTGGGCCCCCCGAGGCCTCGTACGATAGTTGGGTCTCTCAAACGCCACAAAATGCTACCGAAGCCTCTCTACAGTCAATACACATCAAGGATCGTATTGCTAGACATCAAGGCAGTTCACCCACCCCGATTATTGAGGCCCTTAATCAGATTGTAAAGGGTACGACGAAGGTTATGCACGAGATGGTATTGATGAAGGCGCGCGTGCGAGAGCTTGAGGAAGCAAATGCAGCATTGAGCAAACGCCGGAAAGCTGAAAAAAGTCGTATCCGGGCAGGAGGACCATTAACTATGGAAGAAGCGAGTGATATTTTGGCCCAAAGGGATGCGCATGCATTGGTAGAGAAGGAAAAGCGATCGAGGGGTGGTCGTACGAGGAGCAACGCAACAGGTTTACGACACTGTAGTAATTGCGGCAAAATAGGACACAACTCTCGTACATGCAAGGAGGACGCGAAAATGGATGAGTAATTAGATTCTGAGTAGTTTCTATTAATTTTTTTCCTTTGTGGTGTTGGTATTTCGTATTATAGTTCAATTGGGGTAGGAAAAGTGCGCGCTCGCTATACATGCGCGCTCGCTATACAATCACGTTATACGGCAAGCCTTTCATAAGATCCGCATACACTCGGGAGAGGAGGACCTTACGACTTTTCGGACGAGATACGGCGCCTATAAGTATAGGGTCCTACCCTTTCGCCTCACTAACGGCTTAGCAACTTTTCAGCGCTATATCAACGAACTCTTCCTAGGATACTTAGACGACTTCTGCAGCGTATATATTGATGACATCCGCACCGATCTTACGGCACTTCTCTTATGACCTGCCTACCCGGATGGAGACAGATGCGTCAGGAGGCGTGTGCGCAGGAGTACTGTCACAACTCCAACCAGACGACGGAGAATGGCACCCCGTAGTGTTCTATTCGGAGACAATGCACGGTGCGGAGCTCAACTATCCTATCCATGATAGGGAGCTGATGGCGGTGGTCGGGGGACTGATGGTGTGGAGAGCCGAGCTGGTAGGCCTGAGAGACCAGCCATTTACAATCATTACCGACCACAGGGCGCTAGAGTACTTCGGAACGAAGAGACTCCTCAACTCCTGGCAAGCCGGATGGGCAGACCTCATGTCTCAATACCATTTCCAGATCACCTATCGCCCTGGAACAGAGAACGCCGCCGCCGACGCGCTATCAAGGAAGTCGGAGGACGTCAGAACCCAGAAGGAAAAACAGGAGCTGCAACGAACTATGCAAATGTTCAAGCTTACGGGAGCGGTATCCTCCGTGACGACGGAAGCCCCCGTAGCCCTCTCCGTCATCGACGAGGACGTGGAGCCCCCGTCGTTATCGGGTTACGAGATGATCGATACCCTATTGCGTTGCAATCAGAACGACCCGGAGCTCGACGTCTATAGAGAGAAGGCCCGCCAGGGACTATATGGCTTCTCCATGTTGGAAGACCGCATTTTGCTATACAAAGGAAGACTGGTCGTACCCTCCGGGGGGGAGCTAAACCTGAGAACTAAGGTCATCCATGAGGTGCATTCACGGATGCCCTCCGCCCACCCCGGGAGAAATAAAACCCGCAGAATGGTCTCTAAGTCATATTGGTGGCCCAGATTAACGAGTTTCGTTGACCGCTTTGTTGACAACTGTCTATGTCAATCAAGCAAGAAGCCCCGTGGCAAGACTCCGGGACTCTTGAAGCCACTGCCAATACCGTTGAGGGGATGGCGTTCCTTAGCCGTGGACTTCTGTAAGATGCCTGAGGACAAGTACGACAAGAATAACGCCTTCATCTTGATAGACAGGTTCCGTAAGGCAGCTTGGACTATACCCTGCCGGGATTCGGGTACGGCCAAAGATGCGGCCTTGATGTACTACGAAGGGCCGTTCCGTCTAATGGGACTACCAGACGAGGTCGTTAGCGACCGAGGACCCCAAGTTCATCGCGGACTTCACGGACGAGGTTTCTAAGATCCTCGGCGTCAAGTGGAAACTAGCATCTTCAGGGCATTCTCAGACGGCCGGCCAGGTCGAGATCATGAACCAGTACTTGGAGCAGAGACTAAGACCTTTCGTCAACCACCACCAAGACAATTGGTCACGAGCGATCTCGGCTATGGAATTTGCTCAGAATAGTCTGCCACACGCCAGCACCGGACTTGAACCACGCTAGAGAGCTAATTCGCAAAGCCCAACAAATCTAAACTGACTAAGCAAACTGCTATTGGTGAGAGCTGGACTTCGGCGTGGGTGATCGAGTCTTCATCATTAAGAGGAACTGGTCCAGCGACCGACCTGGCGATAAGTTGGATTTCCCCCTGACACGACAGCATTACCGCATTGTGGAGATGGCTGAGCACTCCTACAGACTGGAAGTCCCAGACGACTGGAAGGGTTGTTATAAGCCGAGCCACTGGCCGGAATTTGCACATCCCATTTTTGTACATAATCACCCTTAGTCTAGAAAGAGGCCAATATCGACTCTACATCGGTCAGTTTAGATCTAGTTGTTGCATCCATGTCTGCCATAAGCCATCCAACTGAAATCTGCCTCAGGCCACTTCTGTCCCTTCGCCCATCGGGTCAACATTGTGCAGCACCTACTCGGCCTGCAGGAAGACAGGCCTGTCACGGTGGCCAAGCCGTATCCCAAGGGGGATGAGGATGGATGGCCCGGCTGGGCCTTCCCTTCGTCTGACTAAGAATACCCTGGCGCGACCTTAGAGCCCTTGTTTCACTCCAAGCACCTGCACGAACTCTACTTCCGCGCGGACCCCGAGTACAAGGGACGATATTCGGTGCCCGTGCTTTGGGACACCGAGACTAGCACTATCGTCAACAACGAGTCGGCCGAGCTCATGCGCGATTTGCCCTCTGCCGGCTTCGCGTACGACGTCACGAAGATCGATTTGTACCTAGCAGCCCTGTGCGCCCAGATCAATACCATCACGCCCTGGATGCAGCGCTGCCTAAATTCCGGCGTGTACCGCGCCGGCTTTGCCAAGACGTAGGCCGACTACGACGCGGCGGTGCCGTACGTCTTCGTCGCGCTCAACGCGCTCGAGCGCCTGCTACAAGCACGCGGCGGGCCCTTCCTGCTCGGAGGAGCGCTTACGTGCGCGCCTACGCGACCATCGTGCGCTTCGACGCCGTCTATGTTCAGCACTTCAAGTGAAACCTCGGCACCATCCGTCACGACTACCCTCAGCTGCGCAACTGGCTCGCATATCTGTACAGGGAGCTGCCGGCGTTTCGAGACATGACGGATTTCCGCCATATCAAGGAGAAACTACACGAAATCACACTACGATATCAACCCGCGCGGGATCACGTCCATGGGCCCTTGGCCAGACGTTGAGGTGGATGGCTACGAGGAGGATCTGCCCAATGTCTGCACGAGAGGGGGGGGCGCGTTAGAATGCCACAAGTACTGGAATTGGAGAAGGAACTCGACCTCGGTTTGTGATGTGGCAAGGGACGAGAATTGATTCTCTCCATGTACAATCTCGTCTGATGTGTAGTCTATAGAGTCATGGAGCCCAGGATCAGAGGGGAACTGATGCACGAAAAGTGTAAATAGCTTCATTACGTGAAGCGCTGGTGGGAGCCCCACTAATAGCGTTCGGCGCTAGCATGTGACATAGCGGGGTCTGGGGATTTCCTACCTTAGGGAAATCCGCCGCGCCCACCTAGCCTTAGAAAAAGCATCACCTTTTACACTTTTTTGCTTCCTTCTCGGTTTTACCGCTTCAGGAACCTAGATTCGCTTGACTTGGGTTGGTATTATGATATGTGTCAGTCTTCTGGTCGGACCTTCTAATGACAATGTCGTCAGCAAGACGGTACCGAGACGGCACCATATTTTTTTAGGCGCAACGTGCCACCGACTGTAGCCGCATCCAAGTCTACAGTTTAAAGTAATTAAGATGCGGTCGATTCGACCTGACCCTAGACTACACTTGGCATGCAAGCATTGGCAGCTCCGGGCTACGTGAGTCATTTCCGGGAGCGTACAATATAAACCGAATCTGGGGTACCTTGGTCTCACATCCAATGGGATTGATAACTTGCAGAGCTTCAACAACTTCCCCGGCCTCAGAGTAGTCGTCCTTCCAGCATTTTTCAATAATAATCCCAGCTGCCCCAAGAGACGCGATCTGGGGAAATTGGCCATTTAGATACAGAGAAGGGATCTCCGCGTCAATCAATCCTTCGTAAAGGGGGTGGCCGGTCATGATCTCGTACAACACAGAGCTCAGGGCGAACAGGTCGGTCCGGACGGACAAGATCGGTCCTGGAAACTCATGACTCTCGGTGATGAGTACCAAGAGCGGAGAATCGTCTATTGACGATCCGGCAAAATCAGCGCCTTCGCATTGAGGCCAGCATCCAGGAAGATATGCACAGGTCAAGTCCCCATGAATGACCCTAGAATCATGAACAGATCTGATCGCCTCGGCAACCTGAGCAGCCTAGCGCAGCCGCAGCGCAAAACCGACGGCAGTGTCTCTGACGTGTAATCGAAGGTTCTGTCTCGGAGCATATTCCAGACGAATTCCCGACTCGAAGACGCCGTGGTAAACAAGGAGCCCCGCGTGACCGCCGCGCTGGGCGAAGCGTTCATACACCTCTCGCGCTCTCGCTGCATGCGGAGAAAACACTCCGCGGCTGTCGGGATCGAAGGGGGGCCTTGATGACTATGTCGAAGGCATTATCGAGCACAACCAGGCTGGTTGTTCCCCAGCTGACGAGGTCACGCAGACAAAATCCCGTGGGATATTGGACGTCGTCTGACATTTATATTGGCTACCAGTCGTAGAGATCTAAATGCGGCGCGACGTGAGAAAAAAACTACCCGAATCACACAATTTGAGCAGTCGGCGTCTTGGTTGATTTTGGACGATCGTAGCTTGGTGGCGCTACTAATGATTAGTCGTCGGCGGCTCTGCTCCACCATGCTGTGCAGGCAAGTGGGGGGACAAAATAAACGAGATACCAGCCAAATGAAGGCCAATTGCTACAGGAACTACACCAAATGGAAGCTCATCAATCTACTGAAATATTGCCCTCTAAATCTATGATGTATTGTTTTTTATTGTTTTGGTCTACAGTTGATTGAGAGGTGGCTTCTTGATTGAAGGTATTAAGGTATTTACTGTGGCGGTAACATCCTTAGTGTCTCGTTTATTTTGTCCCCCACTTGGCAGGGTAGGTTAGACCCAGTCAACCGGCATCCGCCTGTCGACACCCGCAAATTCAGTCTCAGAAATTCCAGGGCCAGCTACCCGTGCTCCGCCCCACAGTTCTGGCACTCTCGCCCCCATTCTGGGGGCTCAAGCACCAGCACCGCTGGTGCTCAACAGCAATATAACCAGACAATCAAGGTAACCACTCTTTGAGGGCATCGCCAAAACTCGCTCAATTTGTACCGTAATTGAAGCTTTTGAATAGCTAGAAATAGAAGAACAAATCCAGGAAGACATCGCTTTAATTCGTGTTAATCCGGACTTGAAAATCGCACGTGGTTATTTTGATGGTCTAGCTATATTGCTGTTGAGCACCACCAATGTTGGGGCGTGGCGCGGGTAAATGATTGGTCATGAAATCTTCTGACAGTTTTCCTGCATGCGCCAAAATTTTCAAAGTCATAACACCCAATCAATCTGGAAGGCTCGGTGCGAGGGGCAATCCATTTTGACTCAGCGGCCAGCTGTCCGCCCCCATTTTCCGACATTGGCAGGCCGGAAACAGCAGGCCTGCTCCCACCTACCAGCTACTTATGAGTCTTCTTGGGGGCGCTTGCACCGAACAATCGTCAATTTGAGGTGGTGGCAAGAGTCCATGGGAATTCTGGTGGCCCCTGGCAGTTTTCCAACAGCACTGCAAACAAACTCCTTGGCCAATCGCTTTTCGTAGTTGCGTTCCCCGTGTCAACGATAATTCGCGTCTTCCCGGGCATAGGCCGCTCCTGTGCCTGCAGAAAATCCTCCGTGGTCGGGTAATCTAGGGTGTCACGCACATCCCTTCTCCGGATGTCTGGCGCATCCAGCGGGAGCGGCTTCCGCTCCCATGGGTCGCGATAGATACCGGTACTGCCGATTGGCTCCTCTGGGTCAAAACGCTGCGTGTTGTTCTCGTCACCTCTTCTCGTTCCAATGTCCCGTCCACCGACAGACCCTCCCAGCCACCGCCGGCAGTACATACCCGACTACTAACCCAAATCCGAACAGGGAAAATCGGGCTACGCGGCTTTTTCTTCCAACGCCGCGTACGAGATATCGCTAGCCCGCTCTGCAGCTACGGCAACGAGTCGGAAACGCCCGATCATCTAATCTTACGATGCCCAGAGACAGAGCCGGCCAGGGAGGATCTGAGCAGCAGATTACAGCAACCCATATACCCACGACGGGACATTGCCGCGGCCGAGGACCCGGGCAAGGCGCGGGTTCTATTCAGGTGGTTTCTTAGGCTAAATCGATTACCGGAATATAGGGTAGCCGCACAGCTTTGGAATGAACAGGAAAAAGAAGCGGAAGAGGGCGGCGAGCCCAGAGATGACTAGCCCGGTTGGTGAGAACCCGAGTGAGTAACGAGGAACCTTGGATTTCTTTACTATACGCAGCGTACGGGTTTGTCGCCTACGAGGTTTTTACCGTGCGAAAGTAGACTCGCAGAGGGACTGCATGCCTAGGTAGGTAGGTAGTACAGTGTAAGATCAATAATATCAAATACACAAGCGAACTAGGATTTCGTTACGGCAGGTCCCTCTTCGATTGTCTCAAAGGCACCGGCATTGGCATTGCATCCATCGCTATTGCGACGGATCAATACATCGGATCATCCCCCCAGCCTTCTCGAGGCGCCCCTGTGATTTAATGTGTGTAGAGTGGCAAATATTCATCACCTCAACTCAAAACACCACCCAAAACTTCTTAGTATAGAGGACCCTGCCATACAGAACAATGGCCGATCCAGCGAGGCACATGACACCCCCGAAAATCTTCACGTGAAGCCAGCCATCCGCCGAATTCTGCAGAATTTGTCCGCCGATAGGCGCCATGGTGAGGGCGGGAAGCGAGATGAAGAGCATGACGACGCCCATCCGGTAACCGATCTCGGGCACGGGGGATACTGACGCCGGCAGGGTTGCGAAAAGCCCGATGAAGGCACCTGATACGAAGCCGTACATGACGGCGAAGCCGATGACGGCGGACTCATAGGTAGCCGGGATCCATAGAGCCAGCTCGGTGATTCCCGAGAGCGCACAGGCGATGATAAACACATTCCATCGACCAGCGAAGTCGGCCCAGTATCCTGCGCCCAGACGGCCGAAAAGACTTGATGAAAGTGGCCATCCGTCAGCAATCCCAGCGTTCCATGTGGGGAGGGGTGCGGTGGCTTCTAGCTTGATGCGAACGTACCTCGCGGCATTGAAGATGGACACCAAGTAGAGTGACATATCTGCCGGCACATGGGCCTCCAAAAAACCCTGCAAGGCCAAGTAGTTGACCGGGATGAATATGCCGTACGTCAAGACGGAGATTCCCAGCACCATTGTGAGGAACGGCAACTCCTTGAAGGGAGCAGCCAGGGCTCCGGCCGGCATTCTCTTGGGCACTAGCTTAGATCTCGGCCGGATGGTGAGTATGGCAACGATTTGTAAGGCCAAGACGAGAAAGGCGGCTATCCGTATAGCCCAGGGATACCCAGTGCTCGGATTCTGGACCAATCGATTGAGCATGATGGGGAAGATGACGCCACCTACGGACGAGCCTGTCACCATAATGCCCATCGCGACACCCCGCTTCTGAGAAAACCAGGTTGAAATGCACGCGAGCGCTTCGCAGCATCGGACTTGGTCAGTATGGACGACCGGGTAACAAGGCGGCGCCTTGGGTAAGGAATGGATGAAGACTTACCAGGTGGGTATAAGAAGGCAAGGCCGACAGCACTACAGACGCCCTGGGACAGAAGGAACTGGTAGTACGTCGTTGCCAGGGAAGCCATCATCAGCCCAAAAACATGGAAAAATGTGCCGACAATGATGAGCGGTCTCGGTCCATATTTGTCAAACAAGATGCCGACAACAGGCCCCAGGAAAAAAAGGAAAAAGAGCTCAAGCGACGGGATCCAGGAAATGGTGCTGCTGTCGTAGTCCTCGAGGGGCCCATTTTCGTAATACTGCTGAAAGACGCCCACGCCTAACAAAGGAGCCTTGTGGTTAGGTTGTCTGTTCATGACATGCAGTTTCGAATTCCCCGAGGGAGAACATCAGCATTCGGGATGGCTTACTGTTCATCCAGCCCATGCTGTTGAAGGAGCAGCACCACCCACCGAGAACGACGAGCCAGGCTGCGGCGCCGCCATCAGGGGGAGTATCGTCTTCCAGCTGTGCGTCTTCCAGCTGTGCGTCTTCGTCTGACTTGTTGCCGGGTCCATGAGACACCTGCGATTCGTCCGGTGACCGCTGAACCTCGCCACCGACATCGTTGCCAGTTGGCGCAGCTTTCTCGAAAGACATCTTCCGTTTATGCAGGGCACTCAAGTGAATGACAAAGGCGTAATGTTCACTGTGCTAGCCAGGGGCAAGGAACCGGGAAAGCTAACGGGCAAGTCTTAACAATTCGGACAGTAACGACGTCGACTGGTTCCTGGGAATACAGCAAAGTAGGAGCCGGATAACGGCACTTTGAAAGAGAAAACGCTGGGTTAAGAACACGATGCAGGGCGTGGAGCAGTCAGATCTATCTAAACAAACTACCGAGAGCTTGGCGAACTTCGCGACGGGATCCGTCAAAAGGCCGGCTCCAAAATCCATCGATGCGTTGCCTGCACCTCCTATTGGCTGGCCAGCTTACCATGGGGGTCGACGTCGGTCGTAAAACAGCAGAAGCAAAACCCGACTCCGCACGGCTGACTAAAGCTCCCGGGTTTAAAAACGCGCCATCGTCGACCGAACAGATCCGGCCAGTCTCATCACATCTTCGATTCGGGGATACAGCTGTCGAAGCGTAAAAGACAGCTCCGCAAATATTTTCCAAGGGGCCCGCAGAATATGGAGCCCGAACCGAAAGACACCGGGGCCGACGGGAATCCGGGTCGCGAGCAAGAGTCAAACCAGGAAGAGAAGCAAGAGGCGGCCTCGGTGACCGGACAATCCGAGGCTGATCGCTGGGTTCCTCGTTCCTGTCACGCTTGTAATAGCAAAAGGATCAAGTGCGACAAGAAGGACCCATGCTCCGCCTGTACGCGAGCTGGGAGGCCTTGCGCCTTCCCCTCTCCCGGCCCGCGGAAACGACGGACGAGGAAAGCCATCATGGCGGATATGGCTTCTCGGATCTCCAGCTTGGAGAAATCCCTGACAAAAGCAAGAGATGAAGCGGCTGCTGCGAGGAACCCATTGGGCAACACGGACAAAGAGACGACGTCGACTCAACTGAGAACAGCTTCGCCGGAAGGCACTGCAGGCGGGTTGGCGGGAGCGGACGTCCTTGTCCACAATGGATCTTCGAGCGAGTATTTCAACGAAGTCATATTTTCCAAATTCATTCAAGAAGTACGTGTATTCCTTTCTTTCTATCGGCTTCTAACGCTAAAGACTGGCGCAGGAGTGCAACTTTGAGCCTGCCCCAACGCCTCCGACGACCACGTCCCTCTGCGCCGCCGCATGCTCTCCTTTCAACGCCCTGGGTATTCTCTCCTCACCCTCATTGGCCATGGTTCCCAGCAGCCTTCATCCAAAACAAACTATCGCTGTAAAATTATGGAACATCTACGTCGACAACGTAGAGAGCTGCGCCGGGCTGAAGCTCTTACATATCCCAACGGACCAGGCTCGAGTGTATTCTGTGATCGACAACCCAACCGCTGTGTCCTTAGACAACCTCGCGCTCTGCTTTGCCATCTACTACGCATCGGCCATCTCCCTGGACAACTTACAAGCCCAGGTGATTCTAGGAGAAGACAAGCTCAGCAGTCTGCTGCGTTTCAAGACTGGGCTAGAGCAAGCCTTGGCCCACGGGGACTTTCTCGACTGCCCAACATTGACGGGACTCCATGCTTTGGCGGTGTATCTGGTATGGCCCTTCCAATCGTCTCATTGCCCTCATGGCCGCTGCTCTGCTATTTCATCCTGACGGTCCGTAGTCGGCGCTCCGCGTACACAATCGAGGGAAGGGGGTGTGGATCTTGAATGGCTTGGCCGTTCGTATCGCGCAAGCATTGGGTCTTCATCGCGACGGCGAACGGCTCGGGCTCTCTCCCTTTCAGTCCGAAATGCGCCGCCGTCTCTGGTGGCACCTCCTTACGCGCAAGCGTCGCGGAGGCGAGGACCACGGCCTGGAGATTACGGACAGCATGCTTCTAGTCTCCGACGTACGTCTGCCAGCCAATGTGGACGACGCGGATCTTTACCCAGACATGGAGCGACTCCCAGAGCCGAGAAAGTGCTGGACCCCCATGACTTTTTCTCTCATCACTATCGAGCTTTCAAAAGCTATGCAGCAGCTCGACGACATGATCGCATCCTCCTCCTCTTCTAAAGTCCCTCGTGAAGAGGCGAGACTGCGGGTTATGGAAGAGGCGAGGGCACGAATTGAAAAGTGGCTAGAGTACTGCAACCCTGTGATTCCTCAACAACGCATCACCATCTGCTGCTCTCGCTTCCTCCTCCAGAAGCTCAACTTCATCACAAGACTCCGCTGGTCGTTGCTGCAGCGTTCCGGCCCGCAGGGCGGCTTCTTCACAGAGGAGAACCTAGACGAGGCACTGCAGATCTTAAATCTCAAGCTGCACAGCGAGGATGGGCTTCTAGCGCAGTTCGCCTGGGTTCGGAAAGCATATCCTCAATACCACATCGCCATGTATGTTCTGTGGCACCTATGCACCCAGCCCAAAGGCCCTAACATCGACAGCGCCTGGGAAGCGATAGAGAAATTGTTCGCCCAGGAACTATGCGACGAGTCTCCGACGGATCATGGATCAAAGTGGGCCGTCATGGCGGCTCTCAAGGCCAAGGCTCTTTCGGCGAGAGAAAGGGCACGAAGGAGTGACCAAGAGGGCGGAGCAGCTCCCATTGTGTGCTGCGACTCGCTCTCGGCGTCTAGCCTCAGCTTGTCGGACGGCAATGCACCCTGGGCATCCTTGCCTGGAGATATGCCTGGAAGCCAACTTGATCTTGGTAGTGGGGAGTGTGACTGGGCCGACTGGGAGATGCTAACCCATATGTTACAGTCTAATAGTACCAGTGGATTTGAGCAGTAAAATTGCGAGTCAAAGAAGGGGCCAACCAATTGGACGGTGGCGACTGCTTCGAATAAGCTTGTTCAATTAGCATACGTTAGATAGAAGCTAAGTAGATTGCTAAATAGATAATGTCCCTAACACTATAGCTACGAGGCACTTAGTGCAGTAAGCGTAAGTATCTGCTTGGCATCTGCTTAATAGATACGGATAGATTATTGTCGGTTGTCTTATTAAGTCATAATTTTCGGCGCATATACTTGGCATAACTGTGCTTAAATGCTCGGATAGATAAGAGATTGGGGTAATCTACTATAGTCATGGGATGGCTCTACGTCATCAGCAGATTGAGAGGTCAGGTCAGGAATTAAAGTGACTGAGTAGGATTGTCTGTCTATGTGTATCCGTCTGTGTCTGAAAGAGTTACTGTTCTTCTGTATGGAAATTGTAATGACATCATCACGTCTGCTGCCCTGCTCTCTACACGGTTAGAGTTGGAGACACAAGGCTTTCTTTGGGTGCTTGTCCCGCCGATAATTGCTGCAGGTCCCAATGAACAGACGAACACGATACCGACACATCTTTAAGGTGACGAAATACGTCAAGCCTACACAGCCAGGCCAAAGCTTCGACTAGCCTGCGACAAATGGGACGTAAGCCGAGCCCCCCGCCTTGGGGTGCAGATCGCAGCTGCCTGCCACATTGCTGGCCACTGTAAAGCAGACTGTTATCACCCTTGGTGCCTTGACATTTAACTCACCCTCTGTCTCGAAGTCCGGTGCATGGGAACATTCGGTGAAGAAGTTGTGCCTCGTGGGATTTAGGAGGTGCTGTTTTCTGGCGGAATGGGAGCCGAAGCGTTTCCGACATTGCGATACGTCATAGGCGTGCGATACGTCATAGGCGTGCTGCTGCGAAATCCGGAGATGCTGCTGCCGCGACCCCGTAGTCGGAAAGTACCGATTACATGGCTTACAATATTCCATGTTGGAAGCCGATCTAGTCCTTGGCTACCAGGGACCAAGTGCATACAGTGTTGTAGGTGTTTCTGAGCCCGGTCACCGAGATGACGACCAATCGAGACGGAATCATCCAGGTCATCCGGAACATGAAGTGGTATTAGAGCTTGTCGAAACTCCTTCTCGGCGTGATCTCCAGCGATGACTAGTCCGATTACGGCGATCTCGACGATGGCTCTGGCAGTGTTGCTAGTGTCGGTGTCGGTATGTGCTTTAACCCTTCATATCCGCCGCCTCGTTAAGCTAACGCATCTGAGTAGCCGAGGTCAATACCGTATCTTCCGTTGGCGAGGGCGGCACAAGGGAGCTGCCAGCTGTCGAAGTAGCCGAGCCGGTCGATGAGTCTGTATCGAGCCCACAACAGAAGACGGATGGCCCGGTGCGCTTCACAGCGCCGGCGTCTGCCCCGTCCATCGATGACTAGGCAGATCTCGGTGTGGAGACCCAATCAGACCAAGAGGAGGAGATACATGATCCGGGGCCTTCTCCGATACCGCCGTCTGCCCTGGCATTGTCGCGACAATAACTAGCATCTGAAGCCCTACAGGCGGAGCCGAACCGGTCGGTGTCTCCCGGTAATGCCTCGGAGGCTGGGCAGGAATCCGATCTCGAGGACGCCTCCTACGGTAACGCCAAGTGTCAAGAAAGCGCGTCATGCCATGATTTGGCCAGTGAAGGCAACGGCCATGACGATATCGAGCCGCCTCAGGCCAAGTCGAAGTCGAGTCGAAAGAGAACTACGCGTCGTTGCGGGATCCGTCGATCCCACGACATATCCCTTGATATTGATGAAGAAGACGGCATTGAAGCTAGACAGCAAACCGAGGGCCAAGGCAAGTCTCAACATCTAGGCCGACGTCAGCACGACAGTGCGGAGGTCGACGATGACGGCATGTCTCATCCTGCTGAAGACAGTGCAGGAGAGCAGGCCGAGGAAGACGACGATACCATTCGTCCATCACCACGCAAGCGGCGCAAGGCGGATTCCCCTACTCGTTCGGCCCTTCCCCGGTCGACCATCGGACTGCATATTCGTTCAGATGATGACGTCCCCCCGCTCGGAGAAGCCCGAACATCACCTCCAGGCGAAGTCGGAGGGCGGATGGTATTGGACGCTCCGCAGCGCCGCCGTCTACACCGTCAGCCGCGCCGAGGATTGAGGTGCAACCTGCCCATGATCTAGGCCGTCTTTCCAGACCTTTCTATCTGCGGCACCGCACCGACAACCATCGAGAAAGTGCATCCTACCATGAGGTGTCGAACGGAGACGATGGCAATGATGACGATGAACCGTCTCGGACTAAGCCTAAGTCCGGTCAGAGGAAAGCCGCGGTTCATTCCGGGACCCGTCCATCCCGCGAGGTATCCAACATCGACTCTGACGAGATCAACGCTGAAGCCGTGCGGCGAACCGACGGCCAAGACAAGTCTCGATATCGTCTGGGCCGTCGTCGGTCTAATAGGGCGGAAGTCGATGACGAGGATTCCTTCCATCCTTCTGGAGACAGTGACGGAGGGCAGGACGAGGAAGACGGTGACACCTGCCCACCGCCGTATAAGCGTCATAAACTGCGCTCCCGTACCCGTTCGACCCTTGCTAGAGCGGCCGCCAGAGGGCAGATTCGCTCAGATGGAGGCCTCTCTCGGGCCCGACAAGGCAAGACATCATCCCTAGGTCCGAGGCACTCGATTCGGTAGGGCATCCCCAGCCCGTCATCCTCCCAATGCTCTAGCGGTGAAGAAGGGGATCAGTACGTTCCGACGGCCAAGTTCGAGGAATGGCCTCTTCAGAATGCAGCTCTCAAACGCGCAGTGGTAAAGGGCATGCCGACTTTCCAACTACAGTTCACTTGGGGCTCTTACGCGGAACACGAGGACAAGGGGCATGCAACTAGAAACCCGCAACACAAGTTGCCGGCCGAGAGCCACCTTCATAGGAAGCGGAGTTATGGATCGAGACTTAGCTTCACGCCTGAAGAGGATGGCCTTCTTGTCGACCTGAAGAAGCAGAAGCTGTCGTGTGGAAGGAAATCCATCAGCAGTTCTCGGACGCCGTTCTACGGCAAAGCAGGGCTGTGGGGACTCTACAGGCGCGCTGCACCAAGCTAAAGGCCGGACAGGCTGGCTAAGGTTGGCACTTGCGGCCGACCTCGCGGGACTAGTGTCTCGTTAGGTGTCGCGCAGGTTCATTGGTCTTCCGCCTGACAGTCTGCGCACCTCAGGAACCCTTGACCGGGACAGAGCGTCCAGCCGCCGAGCCGAGTATTTTACCCCCCTTCTGCCCTCTCTCTTCCCCTCCTCCTCGTTCGTCCTCTTTCATCCATCGATCCTCGATAAGCCCACTACGCGACACAGCACGCTCAACAACCGATATATGACCCACCCTACAAAGGGGATACAATCGCCATGGCCTCCGAAGCTTTGCCATACTTTCAGCTTGACAGTGTCGACCTCAGGCGCGTGTGGCTTCAGGTCCTCATCGAGAACGGCCAACGACCCCTGGCTCATCCCTGAGCACCTCATCGCCCTCATGGCCCTTATTTACTATGTATGTATTGTAGGGATTGCAGAACCTTCGACCGGACGCAAGCACTCCCAGCCAGAGTGGGCGAAATATTATCGCTGGGGCAACGATAAATATCGCTTATCGCCGATAATCGTGCGATATCGTCGATAAATATCAATAACATTGATAATGCTTAGTCAGCTATCAGTCTATCTCCGCCTCAACCTCCACAAATTGTTCTCGAATACATCCTAGCTCTCCCGTAAGCCCTGACCTAATCCAATGCTTCAAGCATTCAAGCATTTCAACTGTACTTTCTTCTAGTCGCATTCTTTCCCACGTTATCGTACGACGAGCCCCAGAAAAGACCCTTTCCGGCTCAGCACTCATTGCCGGGATTGATAGGATGTTGATTGCCAATTGAGATAGCTTCGGCCAGCGTCTTCGTTGCTCTGCACGGAGACACCAAGAGAGAGATGATCCTTCGATTTGACGAGGTGGCTCTGACAAGTACTCTTCAAGTTCATCTTTGCTTGGTGGCCTTGGAAAGTTCTCAAGACCTCGCATTAAGGTATCCAAATCATCATTCGGGTTTGGATTCTGATCTTGGCTCCTCTCCTTCTCAATCAGAAGAACTGCCTGTAGTTTATTTCCTGTTCCTTTGAAGTTGATCCAGAGCGTTTTGACCGCTTGGATTGCTGGGCTTGACCCATTTTTTCTCCCAATTATACTTGAGATATTCAGTCTTCCTCGAAGGATGGAAAAGAATCGCAGCAGCATAATACGGACTATCTTCCGTTTTGGCATAGTATTTGTCGAAAGTCTGCCAGCTCTTTTGGATTCGTTGAGAGATAAAGGGGTTGGATTTGAAGGTTTCCTGGCTCCTCTTATAATGCTGAACCAACGCATCCATAACAAGAAAAACTCGGTCAATTGTTGCTTGATCTCCCTCAGTAGTTTTTGTTGCTGAATAAAACGGCTTAAGGAAGGATTGGATGAATCGAATAATCTCCCAATCTTGCGGAGAAAGAAAGTCAGACTTCAGCTCTTCGTACCAAGCTTTCGAATAGGTATCAAGGGCTGATTCCTTTTCTAGTGCAACTCTTAACATCTCGTACGAGCTATTCCACCTTGTGCTATTATCGAGAGGAATATTCCGGCCGGCAAGAGTTTTAAACTGATTCGTACGAGAGACTGAACCACGGATGTGGATGACGATATTATGAAGCTTTCCAAGGGGGCCGATATTGCGAAAGAAGCCCGATTCGAAATCTTCTTCTTCTTCATCCTTTTGGAAAAGAAAAGCTTGGACTGCCAGGTTGATAATATGCCCCGTACATCTGATTCGATTCTCTGACGCCTTCCATTAGAGGCCTTCTTCTTCAAACTTCGAATCGAGAAGTAAACAAAGTTTGTCATTGGAGGTAGCATTATCACTGATAAATGCCCCAATCTTGTGATAGATTCCGAAATCCTGGAGAGTTTTGAAGAGAATATCGTGCTGGACCTCAGAGTGGTGTGAAGGAATAGAAGATAGAGCGATTAGGGCCTTAACTAATTCCTCAGTTTCTGTTGGAATTTGTCAAGCAGAAGGGCCTCGAAGGTTCTAGATAGAGACTTTGCCACCAACTCCGCCACCACAATAGTAGTATAAGAACGGGCTTTCTGGCACTACCAGAAAGCTAGAGAGAAGAACAGACATCTACAATCCATCACTTGAACCACCAGTTTTCGGCGTGCAGCCACGCCCTGTTGAGTCCAGTACCGGTACCCTGGTGAACCCAACAGTTTCGAAATCCACAAATTGAGCACAAATCCCTAGGAATAGCTTGTGATTGTCACGGCCGGCTTGGAATGAGGGCGGAACTCCTCTATTGGGCGCTATAGACGAAGATTCTAAACTAAAGGGAAAAGGGAAAAGAAGCTCAAAAGCCTCCCCTCGCGAGATTCTTCCAGGGCGTCTCAAGGTGGGGCTCTGGCCGAGCTTCCATTAGTCAGTTGGGTGGATCCCTCTGGCTGGTCGGGTGGATCCACCCGGCTGGCGTCTGATTAGTCAGAGCGTCTGGGAGGCCTGGAGGACCAGGCCTTCACAGTTAACCTGTAGCTGAGTCCTATATGTCACGGCCTAGCTAATGTAGATGGCGGAACTCATCTATTAGGCGCTATCGACGAAGATTCTACTCTGAGGAGAGAAAAAGAGAAAGGGAAGAAAAGAGAACTGAGAGTATACAATTGTAGAATGTGTCCTCGCACGGGTATTCGGCCACACATTTGGTAGGGACCCTTGCCCCTCCAGTAGTTAGCTAGCCAATGCACTTTTTCCACACATTGCCTCGCCCACAGTTTGCGGAGGGCGCAGGAGCCGCGCAGCCGCGATCTACGAGCCAAGTCAATACACTCCACGAAAAACCTCGTATTTCAACAGAGTCAATCTCGCAATAAATAAGCGAGAGTGGCCAGTGCTAAAGCACTGGCCATCGCACCGGCTATAATAACAAAGGCTCTCGCTTTGCAAGATAGAAAACAATCAAGCACTTTGCTAGCTTACCCTTCGCAGGTGCCGAGTGGTTGACTAAGGCTGGCCTGTGGGGTGTGTTCGAGGGCACACGCCTTTACAAGGGCTGGTTCACAGGTAGTGACGGCGACATGATTTATACCATTGCGCTGACTGCTGCGTCAGGAGCGATGTCCAGTGGGGGTGAAAGTATGACGAGCGAAGAGCAATGGAAAAATAGGAATATTCGCGGCGGCGAGTCACCACTGGACTCCCTTGGAGGGGATACTCCTGTCGACAAGTAGTGGATGGGGGTTAGGAGATAACAATTCCAAATAATGAGACGGCCATACTCGTGTAGCTAATAGGCATTCAACAATTCGCAATAGCCCGGACACTCCTCTTCATCTTCTTCTGACGTTGGTTGTGGTTTTGCGTCGGCGCACTCTCGAGGCCTACAACGACCAATAAATTATAATCATTCCGCAACCGAGGACATTGACGGCGAAGAATGACGGGCGGTGTACAGATGACCTGGAATATTTGAATGCCTGGTTATGAGCCTGGATTGGAGCTCAAATTAGCTACTCCTTTTGTTAACACTCATCTTGCACGCGTAAACTTCCTTGTGACGGCTGAACTGGAAGGCGATATTATTAGGCAGAGCAGGCTTCCCACCTCTGCTTGTTATACTAACAATGTCGAGGAATAGAGTTTCTGGCCAGCAAGAGTCATTCTTTTAGTTACGTGGTCAGACCGACGTCGGCGTTCGGCGTCGAACTTTGTTGCTGGCGTGATTCACGCCGCGTAGATGCCATCGCAAAGATCGAAGCCAGGTTGTGACAAGTTAGCACATGTGATCGAAGTCGGAAAAGACAACCAAAGTTACTCCTTTTAACAGCTCTCAATCAACGCGCGCAGCCGCAGAGCCCAAGATACAACTAGAGCGGGTCGGTAGTGGCTGGAGGAGCCGCGGGATTATGGCAGTGCAACCCCGTGGTCTAGGTCAAGGGCGCATCGAGAGGAGCGCCAGGCCTGGCAGAACGCAACGCCAAGCCGGGGGGCTGGGATCCTCCAAGCTTCTCCTTATGGAGTCAAGGCAACCAAGGATCGCTGCCTAGACTACTGTCTACGTTAGCTTTACTTCGCGTTAGTCAAGTGGTAACTTAAGATCAACGAATTGCAAATGTCACTTCTTAGACGCAAAGAACAATAAGATTTTGTTTGCAGAAAATATGTCTGATGATTTTGAGATAGTTGACTACGCCGAGACGACGCTGAGCGCCGCTGAGGTCCGCGAGTGGCTGCAGCCTACCGACTTCAACGCCGAGTCGGGCGAGTTCCGCCGCCATCTGTCCTTGCCGGTTCCCGACACAGGACTCTGGATCTGCGATACGCAAGAATATCGGGCATGGCATGATTCCGACAACCATGGAAGCCTTTGGATCAAAGGTATTCCCGGCGCTGGCAAAGTCGGTCATCGCCGCATCACTTGTCCGCCACCTCAGCACCACGGAGCAGTGCCCCGTGCTCTTCTTCTTCTTTCGTAACATTTTCACGTCCAACTTCTCATCGGGTGCCCTCATCCGAGACTGGCATGTCCAGCTGCTACCCCATTCCCCCAAACTGCAGTTCATCTTGCATGCCCGACCAGAAAAGAGGGCTAAGTTGGCAGAGACTTCCGAACATGACCTCTTCCAAGACTTCCTCGACCAGCTGAACCGCTTGGCGACGTACCGACCTGCCTTACTAAAGCTGCTCATGACGAGCAGGCCAAAACGCCATCTCCAGAGCGCTCTGCGAGATTCCTCCATCGTGCATATTAGCCTCTAGTAGCAACTTGTTAATATCAATATCCATTCGTATTTGCGCCACCGTTTAGCCAATACTTCGCTCGCCCAGCTTTCTCAAGACGAGAATGTCTGGAGGCAGGTCATTGATATGGTTGCGACAAGGCCAAGTGGTCTCTTCCTCTACGCAAAGCTCACCATGAACCAAGTTGAAAGCGCTCTTGCCAATAGCGCCTCTCGAATCGATATCAAGGTACTCGGGGCATCCGCAGCTCAGAGTACCGGGCGGTCTGAAGGCTCTGGTTTCAAGCTGCTGTGGCTCCCTTGTTGAATTACTCGAGGATAAGACTTTGCAAGTGATACACTACTCCTTCGCCGAATTTCTTCGCAGCGACACTCGCAACACACCACAAGCTACCGATGGGGCCCCCGCCTTTCCTATAATTAGCTCAGATCTAGCACACAAGCACATGGCTTGCCTTCGATACCTCCAGGCTGGCTCGCTGCTAACTCTTCAACTACCGTGATGCCCGCCTCCTGCACCCATTTTTCGCATACGCCGTCGAAAACTGGACGTACCACGCCAGTCACTACGACGTGCACGATGAAGAGTTCTTCGCGACCGTTGCGTCATTTTCCAAGCCGGGAAGCCTTGCTTTCTTGAGGTGGCTTGTGCTCCAATGGGGAGCCACGTCGGCAGGCAGAGAGTCCACTGAAGGCATCCCAAGAGCCATACACATTGCCGCCTTCGCCGGCCTGTCCAAGTTCATGCTAGCCTTGTTGACTCAAGACCATGCTTGCATCTCGTCTCCCGATGCCTAGGGACGCACTCCAATACACCGGGCAGTAGCAAACGGCCACGCTAAAACTGCCTTGCTGCTTGGCAGCAACCCAAATCCCGCACGCATGTAGACTGAAGCCGATACACCTAGCAGCGCGGAAGAACCATGCACCCGTCGTCACTGTCCTTCTCGAGGCTGGTGTTGAGCCGGACACTATCAAGACGAAGGAAAACCACGCGGGTTACCTCTTGGGAGGTGAGACTATTACCACAGGGCAATGTGCCATTTTTTACGCTAGCACAGGCGGCCACACAGAGACCATAAAGGCAATGATCCCGTGCTTGACGCCGGGTTAGCTCGCCGTTTAGGGTCAAGAGAATCTTCGACGGCCTCTCGAACAACGAAATCGTTAGATGTGGTATCCGGAAGCACTCGATGAGGTTAATGACAAACTTTCCGAGCGGCTGTCACGATACAGAGGGCGGAAAACGAAGTAGTCAACTGTCGAGAAATGTGGGGTGGAAATGGCCTTATGCAAGCCAACCCAATAAATCGGACCCGTTCCAACGCCTGGAATGATTCAAATAGAAGGCCAATTAAAGAGAGGTGACCTCAACAAAGCAACCAAATCTCCGGATATATAAAGGTCACTCACACCTCGATGTCTTTCTAGAGAGCAGACAATTCCACACATTGGTAGCCATGCCTACCTTTCTTGCACTGGCCAACTGCTAGCTTCTAACTTGGTGTCGTGTTTTGGGAGCTTCGGAAGTAGTACATTCCAAGGTGGGAAGAATGCCCTTAATTCTACAGTGGAAGTGACTGAAAGAGCCAGTATTTAAGCTCTAGGATTACCGCACCCATTGGCATTCTCTTTCCAAAGAGGCATGCCACCGCAAAACACCACCCATCCTTGGCACTCTCTTTCTAAGGAGGTATCCGCTGACAAATGCCGATCCTCCCTGGCATTCCCTTTCCAAGGGGGCATTCCGCTGACACATGCCAATCCTCCCTGACATTCCCTTTCCAAGCGGGTATCCGTTCAGGGAGATGCGATCAGTTACACGTGCCCTGTGCGCATACTGGTGGTTCTTGGCTCGTAGGGTGAGCTTGGTGGGTAGAGCGCCCCCGCGTATGTCGCTTACGAGGTGGGGCATGCCATGGAGCGACTTGGAGACCCCGCAGTCACGTGACAAGCAGGTCCTGGCAGTAGCGCATGCAGGGCAACCTTCTGGGCCTCCCGTCCCCAGGACTTACCCCAAGACTTTACACACAATCAGACTGTCGCATTGAACCAATTTTGGGCCTACTTTGGGGCCAGCTTTCCAACACGCCGCTTTAGCTTGCATTCTTTACTCCATCCTGGGAAGTCACGAGACCTCGAAGCAGGCCGCCTCCATTCCTCTCAGCGACAAGAGGAGTGCTTCGTCCCTTCCTCCTCAGCATCACCACTGCCCCCAAGTCTGCATCGGCTTCCTGTGAACCCCCCCCCCCCCGAGGCAATCATGGAGGCAAAGGTTCGCTCGTTCAACAACCTCCCAAGGTCGAAGAAGGTACCCAGCGGCTTGCTGCCCAACCACTGGGTTTTTGGCGTCTGCCATGTCGACATGCATCCACCCGGCGACCTTGTTCTAGCCATCAACCCACAGAGTGAGTATCTTAATCAGGCCGGACCGGCTCAGATCCTTTCATTGCCAACGACACGCGAGAAAGCCGAAGCCACCATCCCCTACCTTCTGGATGCCTTCGCCAACCCCACGGCCATCGACCCTTCGAATCCAACCTTCGCACCTTGGACCTGGTCCACCCTGGATCCCGACATGGCACAGGCGATCGAGGACGGCCTCAAAAGGCACGACGTGAAGCCCGCGCTTTGCAAAGTGGGTGTTTGCACCGCTGAAGAGCGGGACATCTTGGAGACGGCCCGAGCCAGGCTCCTCAGCACGTTGACTGGGGTTTTGGAGGATATCGAGCCAGACGCAGTTAGTCTAGGCGATTCCGCGAAGTGCCATGGCTGCGGTATGAGCCGCGAGTGCTTCTTCCAGCCGCTCAAGAGGTGTGCGCGATGCGGCGAGGCCTTTTATCACTCGAGGGAGTGTCAGAAGAAGCACTGGAAGCACCATAAGCCAATGTGCTGCACACCTGGTGCCTCCCCTAGCCTCAATGCTCATAACTACTACAACACGAAGGCGCCTACCGACCCGGAGGCTCAGGCTTTGATGAGCGCGCTTCGCCTTGAGGGGCATCCAAACCGTGGAGGAACAGCGTGAGCCTCCCCCTCCTAGATGGAAACATGGTAGCTGACACAGTCTCTAGCCTACCTCTACATCGCCTAATTCTCACCGGCCAAGACACGCCGGAGAAAATGCGGCTACTATTTGGCCCACAATATGAAAGCACCCTCACGGAGGATCATGAAAATGCCCGTGTCGGATACCTACTCGACCCACCCCCTGGTTCTCCATGGCATGTTCTGAACGCCTTTATGAATGATCCTTCCCTTGTTCGATCTCTGCGGCCAGCAACCGAGGCCGAGAAGCAGAAAGTCGAGGAAGTCAGAGAGATACAAGCTTTGATCCGACTGAGAGTGGGCGCTGGAAAATCCCCTTCTTCAGCGGACATGCAGGCCATCCTGAAGACCTTTGGACCGAACTGGTCTACAAAGTTGCCGACCTACACTCTGGCGGCGAATACCATGGACCAAGGCGTTCCGGCTGGTGGATACCGTAGTTTCTAGCAGACTACTTCTACTTGTCGATGGTGTTATGACGGGGTTAGAGGCTGGCGTTGCCGCCTCGTTTCGCAGCGGCCCGCTTGTCTTGACCGCGGGGTCGTGACACAGGTGTATCTATCTTCGCATCAAAATTCTCAGCCAACTCCTAGCACGAGACCATGGAGGCTTTTCCAGTGATGAATGTACTCCTAAGTTGAAGGTAAAACACTAAAAATCTCAACAATATGGTATGGCATACATAGTACAGCGTTGATGCCAACTACGAAAATCCTCTGTTCCTCTGTCATCGCGGCCTTCTGAGGCGAGTTGAGCATAGAGCTGTTGTCAAGCTCCTCCCGCAGCAGGATCTTACCGTATTAAGAGGAACCCAGAGATTGACGCGGGGGACCTAATGAGCTTTGGGCTGATGAAGACATCTGTCGTGTTTGGGAGCTTCGGAAGTAGAACATTCCAAGGTGGAAGTGGCTGTAGGTATCCTCTGGATAGCTGGCCCCTTTACACTCCCTTTCCTAGGGGTTCCGCTACTGCAAAATGCCGATGGAATGCGCGCTCCCTGCGCGCGGGCCACGTGGCTGCGTGTGCCGCACCACCTGGAGCGACATGGTCGCTCCAGAAAACACCACAACATCCTATAATAGAACAGCCATGGAGAACTTCAGGAACCCGCGTAATTCCCGTCCTCGACCCTTTCACGCAGAGTACTCAACGCAGACTCGTTGAAATTATTGAGCTGAGTTAGTTAGCGTATGCCTGAACAGGTCCTCTGAATAGGGCCCCATTGGGAGAGTTCCATTCCGGGTAGGATTAGTTGGGCTGCTATTAGGTTTCTGTTGGAAAGCTGGCTCCAAAGTCGGCCAAAAATTGGTTCAATGCAACAGTCTGATTGTGTGTAAAGTCTTGGGGTAAGTCCTGGGGACCTCCCAGCTGGGGACCCCGTTTTACCCTGAAAAAGGAGGGGTTTTTCTGGGCTAGGCCCAGAAGGTTGCCCTGCATGCGCCTGCAGGCCAGACTGCCGGCGAATTCCGGGCTTGGTCAGGACCTCGAAAATCCAACAGTTTCACCCCGCAGAACCCGAAAACTTGCAACAGCTTCTCTTGAGTTATTCTTCCAATGTCCTTAGTACTCTTATTCTGAATCCTTCATTATTGAGAGACCTTGGCCGCAAACTAGGTGGCAGTCTCTTCTTCTGCCGAAGACGCGAGAAAGCGAGGTAATGAGCTCTACAAAAAGGGTCGTCTTGGTGTTGGTGAATGAGTCGTCATTCGCCAAAAGATCCGGCATCTGACAGGAAACGTGTTCAGCTGAAGTGGAATACAAGGCGGCAGCAGACCTTGCACCAGATGACCCAAGTCCTCTTGCTAATCTGTCCAGCGTTAAATTTGAACTGGGCCAGTACAGCAGTGCTATTGTGTACATTCTCAAGGCCCTTGAACTGGCAGGCAGGCTCGAATCTGAGGGGGATCGGATCCGCAACAAAAAGACGCTTTACGAGCGTCTGATCAAATGCTACATGCATGAACTGCAACTTGACGAGGCTCGAATGACGCTGGATGATATATCCGATGAGACGCTTGAAATTTCTATTCGCCATACACTAGATTCCTGTCAGAAACACTGCACCCGATTGTGTGTGACATTGATGGGGATTGCAAGTGTGTGAATTGTATTGCATTTGTGTCCTCTCACTCTCTGCTAGAGGCAGAGATATCCAGATGGTGATGCACGATTATCAAGACGTATTATTTGAGACGGTCCTGATAGGAGGTTGGTTGAGGCTATGATGGGGATGGGGGCAGACTACTTCAACTAGGACCGCCCGTAGTTCTGGGAATATCTTTAGCGTCTCTGGGAGAACCTAGACTATGATGAATCACACGTTTCAATCAAATTGTGACGCATTAGTCACATCAACCGGCTCTTCTACTCTTCTACTACGCCGGCCTCGAATTGGTGTAGTGTGGAATTAAGATACTCGCTTCGCCCCCTAAACTACGGACACCGTCATCTTGTCAGGACTCACACAAGCAGTCATACGTCTTATGAAAGGAGAGGTTGAGAGGTTTGATGCGGCCAAGTCGATAGACAGAAGCAGCTTCAGATGTCGGCTACTCTTCCATAGCTTTTCGGTAAGCGCTAAGCCATTCATGTTGCGCACAATGCAGCTTGAAATTGAAGTGTCTCCCCTCTTCTGTCTTGCAGGAAAAAGAGAGAAGACAAGGATCTATTTATCTGTAAGGAAAGAGCACTCCAGGCACCCGGTATACGCTTACCCTGTTTGCGCCCGCCACCTGTAACTAACTAGTCCAGGCGCCCGGCCTAGGCGCCACCAACTGGCCTAAACACCCGGCCAGATTGAACTACCGTCAGCAGGGCATTATTACGTAACAATTCATCCACCGCGGTGTGAAGAGCCAGAAAAACAGCGGACCGCTAGCTATATTCCGTGTCTGCGATATTGCTGACAATGGGCAGAAAGATTTCCGACACAATAGCTATGACGTGATTGTAACACTGATTTTTTTCTTTCTCCATGTAATGCACCGGTGTGCGCGACGGACTGGCAGTGCATAAGAGTAAGAGAGATTTTTGTGGGCTAAAGCTGCTCCATTGGAATTGTCTGTGGTTCTCCGACCTCTCAGGAGCCGAAAACATGTGTGTGTGTGCGGGTGGAAAACTCTTCCCGCATCCCTGGCCGCCAAGAGGAGCTAAGGCTGGCCCAGCAACTACCACAACAGAGATCGATACTAGGAAACTGCTAGAGGCGGAGCTATGTGACTAATAAACGAGCGACACCATAACATTATCGTAACCCTGTGCTTACGTAACCACCACTTGGTGCTGTGTAACCCGAATCAGGCTGCTGGGCGGCGTTCGTCACAGGATGCAGATTTTGCACGCCATTTGCCTCACGGACGGCGCTCCATCCAACACATCAGGTTTCATGCGCCATTTACCATCGCATTCATTCCACGTCGCGTACCAGGAATGATATCTGCGGCCGTGACATAACACTAAGCGTCCTCGATCCAAATGAGACGGGGTGCGTTATCCAGACCACGCCAGAGATGGATCGCTGGCGCCCGGATCCGCCAGGCACTATCAATCCAGCAAAGCTGCTGCCGGGAGCCGCAGTAGGCCCTGATGCCTTTGAAAGCGTTGACATCTTAGAGCGCCGTGCGTCTCTTCCTTCTCTAGCACAGGCGAGTTCCGAAGATGCCGATCAAAGCATTCCACTCCCCACTGCGCATACTCCGCCGAGGCCTCGCAGGCATATTCCTCTTTCCCGTATATCTTCAGATTGGGACGACAAGCGTGAAATGGCGGCCTGTCGCACCTCCTGGCAAGATCATGAGAAGTACCGGGCCGAATTTGAGAAACTTCAAGTCCTTAAACCCCCTACAAGGATAAGACTTACCACACACCACGGCAGCTTTCGAGAGCAAACAGGGCACTGGGCGAGAACACGGATTTCGCCTGACCCGGGAGCCAGCCCCGATGGTTCCGTCGTAATAGATACGCACACATCGTCGATATATGACGCCTATCTCTTATGTGCCGACGTCATGAGGAGTATAAATAACTTTCATAGGCACCAGGTACGACATTTTGCTGTTGCAGAAATCCCGCTGCCTCTTGTTAATCTGTACGATGCTTAACAGATCGTATATGATTCCGAGTCCAAAGTGTACACTCTCTGGACCCGAGAGGGTCGCGTGGGGCTTGCAGGAGTACCTAGACAAGTAATGCATTCGACCGACCTTAAGGCAGTGGCCACTAGGTTTCGCAAGATATTCCGTGACAGGACAGGCGTAACCTGGCAAAGAAGATTCGAAGCGCCGCCCTCTGGCCGGGAGGGGCACTTCACCTTTGTTGCTCTTGACTATCGCATTGCCAGTCTTCGTTCCTATCGACTCCCCGACTACTCTGTGGTTAGCAGCAACGTCAACGAGGAAGTTCGTGATCTGATGGAATTCATGCTCTACGGCGGTCCCATACAGCAAGAAAAGAACCACGGCCTCACCACCAGCACACTAGCGCCGCTGTCGCCATCGAAATTCAGCGCCCCTTACGAACAGCTCAGCAGCTGGAGCACCTTCCTCGCCTTCAAAATCCTCGACGGCATCTGCAAAATTGTCGACTCAAGCCAGCAGATCCACTGGAAAGCCATCCTGCGCGCCACGTCCCGCTACCGAAGCCAGATTCCTTTCTGTGCAGGCGCAGCCGGCCGGTGCCCTACCATCTCCAGTTACCACGCCATCTTCCTTGAGCTCAAGCTCCTCCACTCGCTCTGGCCACGCCCGGAAACGGCCGCTCTGCTCACCGAGATACACTGCCGCGGCAACGCGCAGCTCAGCGCGCACAAATCGCTCGCGCAGCCGCTTTACCGGGCCTACTCCTCTCTCCGCCACGGATTCAGACGCCTGACGGATTCTGGCGAGTTCCGGGGAATACGGGCCTATCTTGACAACTCATGTCACGCGAGTCACAACTTGAAGATAGAACTCCAGGATATCTACCGCGTCTTTGTCAAGAATAACCTGCCCAACCCGTACCGGGATTGGATTGAAGCCGTTCCGCCCGTGGTAAAACAAGCAGAAGGAGAGATGGAGCGTTTGCTGTTGTGGCATGGAACGCCAGCAGATAGTCTCGTGGGAATTCTGGACACGGGACTGCAGATACGGAGGCCCGGGGCGACGTTTACAGGAACCATGTTTGGGAACGGGATCTATCTAGCTGACGTGGCGAGCAAATCGGCGGGATACTGTAGACATCGGATTTGGAATGGGGAAGCGGTGTTGTTGCTTTGTGAGGCAGATGTCGGCACTAGCAGAATGAGGAGTCGGGTGAGTATTCCGAATGGCCACCAGGTTGTGGAGATGTCTGCTGGGAAGCACAGGTGTATTGAAGGTGTGGGGACGATCGTGCCGAGCGGCTGGATGCGAATCTGGTGGGATATGGAAGGACCGCCATATAGTGGTGGCGGGTCGGTTTCTATGGTATGTTTTCCTTCTTTCGGTCGTGAACAGCTGACTTTACTAATCGCTCTAGATAGCCCAATATTGCGGCTCCTTACACCAACACTTTTACACCCGGCGGGCTAATCTTTAACGAGTATGTAATTTACAGCCCCTCCCATCTGCTCATTCGTTATCTCTTGCGGGTCAAGATCAAGGGCAGCTAGAGCTGGGCTAGGCTAGTGGGACTCTCAATTAAAGAGTCACACGGCGTGAGGAGTGAGCGTTTAGTGCTGTTAAACATGGCTTGCTATCTCCTCTATGAAATTAAATAAGCGGTTCTCAGCCCCACCGATGATGGTGCGAGGTTTCTGCTGGAATGCGGGGCACAGTGACGGGTGAGCAGTTTGTCATATGCTGCTAGCAGAGTGGGATAATGAGAACCACAACACACAGAACGCGCAGGCTGGTAAAATATCCAAACCAATCACAACCGGGGCAAAGGCTTACCTACCTAAAACCGGAAGATACAATATGTTGAACTGCGGGCTCCTGGCAGGTCTGTAGTACAGCACTTGCACAAGGTTGCTACCGTGGGCTCGGTACGGTAGCAGGGCGAAGCGGAAGCGGTGGCGCTGACTGACTGCCTCAGGGATCGAGTGCAGGGTAGGTCGACGGTTGACTGTAGGAAACTCTGCCCTGTGGTCAAGTACAATAGTGGTCTGCGTGAGCCACTGAGGGAAGTAGGTTGACTATCACGGCTCAGTCAACGTAAGGAGACAGGGTTGCAGTAATCATTGCTGAATTCGTAGAATCTAAAGATGAAGAAGGAAGCTATGGCAGAGACCGCGCAGGACGCAGGGAAATAGGTGGTTGTGGGCCACGTGCCATGTCATGCACGGGCCATGCCGTGACAATTTGACGGACTGTCTGAGATTCGTTGGAAACCGTGAGAGGAGAAATAAGCAAAAGGGGGGTCGAGGGCTGGGGGTCATTCGGTTGACAACTTTTTAAGGACTGCGGGGTAAATTTGTGGCTTGTGTGGTTTTGCAGGATGCACTTGTAGCCGTGAGGTACCGAGGGGGCAATAACTACCTAACACAGCTAGAACTGGCCCAGCTGACTTATAACGCTGCCTGACCGGCCGCCTTCACCAAAGCCTTCAGTCTCACCCGCCCCGCTGCAATACGGAAGGCTCAGTCCAGCGGACTACATGGTAATTCCCCTCTCGGCGAACAAGAATCGAGAACCTGCCCACGAGGGTGGTCAGCTGTCGTGAAAATTAAGAATATGGGTTTCCGCGGCCCGCGCTTCGAACCCAGATAGCTGCAGCGACGTTTGCACGCTTGTGGAGTGGGCGAAGCGGTGGTCCTCACTGCCCCACCCATTCAACAACATCGAGCATTTGCTGCGCGTCGCACGCTGCAGTGAAAACTTCAGCAAATCAGAGAGGCCCTCTACCCCGCTTGAGGGGGGCTTTGTCTCAAATCTAGTGGTGCTGAGTGGACGCCATGGCGCTAAGCTAGCGTGGAGCAGCTTTGTGGCTGTTAGGCAGCAGTTGGGAAACTGTGCTCCTAAAGAGGGCCTCCAGGTGTTTTCACCTTCCCCAAGCACCCGTGGCAAAGGGCCTCGGCACACCTCGCACTGGGAGACAAGACGAGAGCTTATACGGAGAGACGAAAGTTTAGAGCGACAACCGAGCAGGACCTGATGGAACGATCCTCAGCAAAGACCTTCCTGCGGCGCCCGGCCACGCGCCGCGACTTTGAGATCGCCCTCATTTGCGCGCTCCCCCTCGAGGCCGACGCCGTCGACGCCCTCTTTCGACCACCACGACGTTGACTGCATTTGTTGAGCGGTTGCCTATTGACGGGTTGGAGAGTGCCAATCGCGCCTTGCGCATCTTCAGCCCGTCGCAGATTGGCGGAAATGCCCTTGCCCTATCGAACGAATACGCGCATTCCTGCATTACTCGCCGTCATTAACCTAGCGCCAATTGCTGCCTAATGTCCCGAGACTAGAATTTCCCCGGAATTCCCTCGCCACAACCCAACCCATTTCACCCACCCACCTACTCCTGCCCACGCAAACCGAACCTGGGGTATCCCCTACCGGCGCTCGCCTCCCTGCAACAGCCGGAAGTTTAAGGGCAAGACCTTATGCCAGCCGAGTTAGCCATATCAAGCTATCGCCAAGGCATCTAAGAGGAAGAGACAGGCCTGCACTTCGGTTGACAGGGCAGGGAGTAGAATACGCACTTTACCCGCAGCGATTCAAGGTGAACCAAAATCTGGGCAGCACGGATGCCCCAACATGTAAGCTAACATCTTTCAGGAGTTGTCCGGAACAAATGCTCCGCCGTGTAAGTAGAGGAGCGCCCACTTGATAAGAAGATGTAATCGAGGTTCGTCCTGGCCGGGAAGGCGCAATTCTCCCGGTTCTCGACCCGACATCCATTTTTCAGACAGTCGGCCGCAGTTCACCGCCCACCATGAGCATCAACACCAACCAGCTTGACCCGTGCCACCATCCGCTGCAGGCAGTGGCCACGGCCATTGGCGCTGTCGCCGGCGAGCAGCGCGGACCCCGCGTCAGCCACATGCAGAGTGCCAACGAGGGCCCAGCCGACATCATCGCTAAGGTCTCGGGGGCAGGCCCGGCGGCAAGCGGGAGGACGACGGCCTGTACTTTACTAACAACGAGGGCATCCCCTTCTCGGGCCCATAGATTTGTCGTGGGAGGCCTGGTGAATAACGGGTAGCTGACAGACGTGCAAACAGGTGTCACAGTAAGACTGTTGGCGGAATCCCCGTGGCCAGCGACGTCTTTCTGTTCCAGTATGTAGCATACTCATTGACGACATCTTGTATCTGTGCTAGGGTTCTCACAAATAAAACAGCCATTACACCATCCCAAAACCCACAAAGAGAATTTCTATTTCGCCCTTCGGAGCTGAGCGGCTGCCACTTCAAGCCAAGCTAGGCTAAGAAAGCAGCAGTGCAGCATTTTTTTTTTAAAAAAAAAAAAATTAGGCAAAGCCCCCCTGTGGCTGCTTTTTTTGCAACATGTTATATGCAGCACGCAGGAGCGGGAATCTTCGGCCGAGGTGGTGCGACTTGAGGTAAGGAATAACGCAGGCTTCGAACACAAAAAAATTCAAGACACTACCTAAGTTCTCTAGTAAGGGACAGGATGGATTCTTGCTAACGGCTCGTCGCCAGATTATACCACTGCGCGAGTCCCTTATCCTCCACGGATATATGAGAGCACCCTGAAGGCCATTTCAATCTGTCAAGAGAGGAGCACGGACAAGAGCATGGCACTTCCACTCTCAGTGCGCATTGAGACAATAGAAGTGCGCATGCGTCTCGCCGCAAAGCCAGCCCAAACTAAACTTTTTGTCGTTCTTGGGCGCCAGCAGCTCGTCCTCGAGCGCGAGGATATTTGCGTCCACGTCATACTCAAAGAGGTGCTGACACCGCAAGCAACGAGGTTTGAAGAAGAATTCGGGGCTGGTGAAGGGGATGGCATACTCGGTGGAGTGATCGCAGTACTGGCTCTTCGTTTTCTTCCAGTTCGCTATCTCAGCCTTGCGCGCAGCATAGAGGGTGATTGCCTTGCCCTTGTCTTCCTTGGCAGCCAAGTAGGCGTTCTTGGCTTTGACGCTGTAACCCTCAACGTCGAATCCGGGCGTCCAGCGGTGATTGTGTTCCCACTTGAAAAAATCATTGACATCCGGGCACCACTCATAGTGGTCAGTCGAGGTGGTAATGACAAGGGGCCCGCTAGGTGGGGCGTTTGTCGATGGCCTCTTACCGGCACAGATAAAGATAGACGAGGGCGCAATCGTCGCGTGCTCCCGGTATCTAGCCCACACGTCTTGGGCGAGCCCGTACAGGTTCAGCTTCTTGAGGCTCTCTTGAATCTTGTCTATTGTTTGGGGTGGTCAAGGTTAGGTTCGATACCTTCACATCAAGCATCAGAGTTCAGACATACCTGCGCTTATCACGGACCAGTCATAAGCCACGACTCGTAGGAGCAGTTCCAAGAGCCCGAGCCGCGGGACCCCAACTACCTTTTCATTCTTCTTCAAGTTGGCCCAAGCAGTTACTGTGACTTCAATCGATTTCCCCATGTTCGGATTCAGCTTCTCAATCGAGGCTTTTGCCGTATGCCAGGCTTGGAAGTTTGCATCATACGCCGCGGTATGATAACCGAGTGCATTTCTAGCCGCGTCTAGGTCCTTTTGTGATATGGCGTTGAAGTCGGTGAGCAGACTCCCAAGGCTCAAAGGGAGAGCCTTGAGCGCATCGCTCAGAACCGCCATGCGTTCCTTGTCGGTCTTGGTGGCCTGAACTTTTTGCTTGAGATTGTCCGCCAGGCGCTGGACTTGGTCGGCCATCTCATGATCGGCCGTAGAGAAACCACCGGTGTTGACACCCAAATCAGCAGCAGCCTTCTCGAGAGATCCCACAACGCTGGTTATGGCTCCCTTGGCGTCGGTTTCCTTTGGCGGTAGTTTGTACGCCGCGATTGACTGGCTGCACGTGGTGAGGAGGCCGCGTACTTGCTTGATCCAGGCCTCGTTGGTGGCTACCACGCCCTCGCACCTGGCCCCGAAAACTCGGAAGACAAAGATGTCAACATAGGCACTCAGCAGGAGGAAGTCATGGGCATCAGGAAGGGCGGCCTCAAAAGCCGTCTTCTCGCCATCGCTTCTGTCGGTACGCGTCAAGCTGCCGCTCAGATCCTCAAGCATGGCTGCGATAACCCGCATGCCTTCTCGAGACAAGGGACCACGGGTCCAGAAGTCTGTGATACCAATTTGCCCTTTTCCAGGCGCCCCGTCGGTGTAGAGGCGGTGATTTTCCTGGAAAACGTGCATGGTGACGACAGGGGCTCTATAGATGCTCTGGGACCATCGTCAGTGAAGCACTTCTAAACAAAGACAGGACACGCATACTGAGAAGTATGGACATTGATCCTGGGGATGATTATACTAACCGCTCGGTTGAAGATTGGAAGTCCTTGGAATTGTTGATCAAGACTGGATTGCAGACCAAATCCAAGTGGCAGATGAAAAGAACAAAGATGTTTTGCATGTGGAGCAAAGAACGAGGGCTGGAGGGAGATGGCGGCCGTGGCGGTTGTTTATGAAGACGGCCGGAAAGGCAATGCACAGTTGATTTTTGAATGTTACCATTGTCGGTTCACATGTTCATCGATGAGGCGGTTCTTGCGGCCATCGTCTACCAAGCCCCTGTATCCCGACCATGATTCAGCTCAGCCAGCCAGAGGCTCGGCACATCCGTAGCTCGGTTACATCACGCGACGCGATAAGCTGATTGTGCTGTTTTTGGCGATCTACTGCCTGTTGATCATGCGGCATAAGATTGAACGAAGGATACTCAGCCTTCCAAGAATGTTACTCGTGAACCGTTTTGGGACCGCATAGACGAGCAAGGTGAACTTTGGTGAGCTGAATAGCCCCTTAGCGTGTTGAGTGCAGGTGTAGCCCGGGTAATCCGTAATTAACTTGCGGTAAGCGGGGAACCCTGGGACCTCCTGCAGAGTCAAGCCATGCTGTCTTGCAGCGACTAGACCTAATGCGAGCTTAAGGAGGTTTAGGGCGGGCTGAGGAAAGTCTGTGGCGAGCTGAACTTTTTTTTTGTTTGGAGCCGACCCCAAAATGGCGTTGTATTCACTGTCAAGTCACCCTGCGGCTTACGGGCTGAATTAGGCGGTCGTGGCGAGATTTGGTCAATCTGCTGATGGGATGCCCATTCATCCTGGCAGAACGTGGCTGGCTGAGCAGGCAGTCGCGACAGCAGCTCTCCCTAGTGGTCACAGCCACTGTGCGGAGAACTTGGACCAAGACAACCTAGACCCTTCCCTTTGGCCAGGCCGGTACAGACTCAAATCTCATTCTAGACGCTTTGCAGCGATCCGCAGTCAATTATCAAGTTAGCCCGAACTCAACGTTTATCCGAGTCCTCAAGCTCTTAGTTTGCTTCCCTCGTTCGACTTGCTTTATTTAAAGCCGCTGTGCTTCACCCCAATAGTTGCGCTGATAGTCCACCATAACCGCATCAAACCAACACAGAGCCTTTTTTTTGTTTTACCAGAACTACTCGCACCATCATGCCACAAGAGGTAGACTACCCGGCGCTCAACAAGGCCGTTGAACAGAACGGTAAGAGCATTCTGAAGAACCCTGCTTGTTCTTTGTACTGCGACGCCAACTAACACGGTCTTGCCCCCACAAAGGCGGACTCTTCGCCTCTATTGCCCTCATCGAAAAAACGACCAACGGCAATGTCAAGGGCTATATGAACTGGCGTGCAAGCCAGAACGTGGCCGCCATGAAGCCTACGACCCCGGCGGACGCCAAGACGCTGGCCAAGACGCTGCAAACCATCGACTTCCGTAACCGAGGCGCCCTGTTCGCAGAACTCCAAACGCTGCGGGAGTTCTCGCCATACCAGCTGGCGACGGACCAGACCCGGGCACTGCTCCTCGTGCCCGCTAGGAGCTCGCTGGTGACTCCGGTCGACCCTGCGCCCGCCCCGCCAAGCACGACCGACGACGACGACCTGCACCCGTTCTACCTCGGTCTGTCGTCCCAGGTTGCGGCAGGCGCCCCAGCCCCCACTGTGCGCGTCCCGCGTGTCGTGCTGCCTCTAGGCCGCCTCGTCTGGCAGGACACCAAGACACCGGGCGGCAGCTCGCGGCAGGCGCCCGACTCCGGGGATACAAACTACATCCTGGTCGTCGACGTGCTAAGCAAAGGCTTCCCCGTCTGGCTCATCTACGACCGCATGCCCTATGACCGCGACCTGGATGACCGCGTCACTATCGATCCGGCAACGCAGCCGCCGGTCTTTGATCCCAGCATTCCCAATGCAGACAGCGTGTGTCTCTGGGACAGCATCGCGACCTCGTGGCCCACGACGCCCACGACGCTGCGGCAGCTGACGGCTAACTTTGGCAAGGGCGGCAGGGAACCGGTCAGGGTTGCTAAGCTCACGAAGCGGGAGGTCGCGACCGCCCTTGCGTCAGTCTCGTAGTTGAATGGTAGTCGGATGTCCTGGCCTTTAAGGAGCTTAGTGCATGGGTGGTTTGAGTGATCTCTCTGTGGGGCATAATGACTTGGTCTTGGCGCTGCCGCTCCAGCTACGCGTATTCCGTTCCAATATGATCTTGAGCTTGAGCCAGTCACAGAACCGGGTTGAAAGTGTGTCATTACCCCGTGAAAGCTTTCCATGGCGGCGTATTACGTCTTTAGCTTGTTGGTGAGCGAGGCTGGCTGGATCAAACTATAAATCTGAAGAAGTGACTCGCTGTCTTTCAAAGAACTGACTCATTGCTCAGCCCAATATATGCATAATGTCCCACCGACTTGGTATTTTCTGCCCGACTAGCCTACTGCGTATAGATTCATACTCCGCTTAACATGTCGCGACTAGGCACTGTCAAAAACAGACAGAGCCTCCAACGCCTCTGATAAGAAAATCCCGCGTTTTGGATCACCCATTTACATCTCTGTCGAGACATCATAGGTAGCACAGACATGTACAATGGCGTCATAATCTGCGGGTGCTAGCAGAAATGGGTTTTTGGCGTGGTGGAGTGCGGGTCGGTGAGACAATCGCCTTGTCGCGGGCGGCCCTCCCTAGCAAGTGTGATAATGGTCCATCTTTGCCTACAGGCGAACTCGAGGTGTCGGTGACTGTCATCCACACCAACTTGTGTCATTGCCACCGACAAGAGCACACCTTGACGGGCACAGCAAAATCGTCTTATCTCTTGGGGCTTGGAGCGGTCTAGCGTCGTCACTGCCGCTCTTGCCTTGTTATCGCAAGTTTGTACTGTGCATTAAAATGCCTTCGTGTCGGAGGGCTATCTCGATCCTTCCTCTTCTTTTCACAATGTGTCACAGACTGCGCCTGTCATAGCCCTCACTTGCATTGGTTATTTTATTCCTGAGAGCTTACTGTTATCCTCATCCTTTTATTGCAACTTCGCCCATTGTCTGCGAAACTCCGGGCAGAGACATCGCAGAATGCTCTTCCGAGTCCGATGGCGAGGCCCATGCAGGGCACACAACCTCCGATTCCGAGCCAGAGTCAAACTGGCCCGCCGAGACAATAGATCCGAAGCTGGCCTTTCACCCCAATAGCGTCGCTTATGGCTATGGCTACTCTATGGTCCCTCTCTAAGGACTCGACCGACTCGTTCCTAATCCACGAGAGGTAGAGAAATCACTCCAGGCCGAGCTCGAGCTACTTCGTAACAACAACCCTATCTCATCGTCTTCCTAATCTAGGGCACGATATGGTAGTCTTACGGGACGTGTTCTGGAGCAGGTATTAAGCTTAAGGGATCATAATCATGAGCCAATCCCGTCTAGCGGTGTAGTCGAGACAACGCCGCTTTTGCCCAACGGTTACTCAAGCGACGATGAGCTGCCAACGCCGCTTCTCGACGTGATCCACGAGCGATGAGAGGAAGCCGTCGCTGCCCATTGCCTCAAGACCAGTTAGCAGCGTAAGGCAAAGACTCTCGTGCAGTACGCGGCGCCTTTAATCGTTACCTTTTTGCTACGCTGAGCCCCTGTGAAGGCCCCAGCAACCCATTTGCCGTTGGAGTGGGCCCTGAGCGTGACCTCGGCGGAGGAGGCTTGGGAGTTCCTGCGGTACGAGGCCGGCGCTGTGTGCCAGGACGTTCTGCAAATACGAAGATAGTTCAAATTGATCCAAGCTCACCTCTGTTGGTATGCTTGTGATTGTGATGACTTGCATAATCGGTCGATGACTGGCATCAATTGCTTTAGGCAAGTATATTCATAACGACTCGACTACGAACTACAGGGGTTAATAGTAGTCACTTGTGCTTCACCTAGCTAAAGTAAATTTTAGGATAGTCAGGGTTATTATAAAAGTAGCAAAGTTCTAAATCGCCTCAATTCGCTCTAGCAATTATCGCCCCTTTCGTCTCCTCTCCCAGCATCTGAACGTGCTGTTCTGCTTCCGGGCCTGTAAGCCCATAGCCTAGCCGGACCAACTCGTATGTGAGCTCCTCCCCGTGCCATGAAAGACGCCAATCTTTTCAGTCAAGCCATAGATCCTAGATGCCTTTCCACCAAGAACTTTAGCAACTGAGTAGTGCAGTGGATTGGACATTATTGGGGAGTTCCTAGTGTTTATTCCCAGAAGGCTCTTCCACAAGAGACTTTAGGCGTTCATCGCCCTCATTCCGGCTCGAATTCATCGCGCGTTTCCATCTTCGCGCTGTGGTATGTAAGTTCATCCAGCTCATCCCTCCGCATACGTGTTCAGAGTCATTGTATGGTTGTGACTCACTGCGCCTGGTCGGCTATCTGTTGGTCTTGGTCGCGGAATATTAGTATATCCGCCCGGCCCCTGTGCTGTCATCCAACCAGTTAACGACTTTACCGGAAGCGACGACAAAGAACTCGTCGCTCCACCGCGGGTTCATGAATGCCCTGCAGCTGCTTCTACAGTCACGCACAGCCTGCCGGAACGACGCATCCTTACCGGCATCATGGGCGACATAGACGAGGACCTACTCGCGACTACATCTTGGGAATCTGGGCTACCTTGAAATGCCAAGGCGTTTGTCCGCGATTATGGGGTCTGAGTCTGTCGGTTACAAGTCACGATCATACATGCATGTCGGCAGGCGACCGCGGCACACTGCTGAGGCAGTTCATTTGTCGCCCTGACCCACCATAGATATTGAAGCCACCTCGCCGAAGGAAAAACAGGGGGCGTGAGTTCTTGGCTGAATCGGATGGCCGTCTTGTGGCCCTACAGATACACTATCCTGAGGAGCCAAAAGAAAAGAGGCGAAAAGACAGATAATAACGAGAAAGGGGTTGAGGGCGAGAGCGAGGTTCCTATTGATCCGCGTCTTTACACTACATAGGCATGATTGTTTCAGACGGGTGTATAGTCGAAGGACAGCGATAAAATGATAGCCATCCAACTTTTGGGAAAGTCCAGTTACCTCTAAGAACCTCCCCAATCTAGTCTCGTACGCTGCGCATCCATAGACCCCGGGTCTCACTTTTCGTTATTGCCCTCATCTCTCCAACGTAATATCCTAGCATTTATAACGCCCCGCCAGTCTATAGTCGCGGCGTTTCTCTCCGTCAGCCGTAGTAGAAGATGCCCGTCGACATCCCAGGAAGAATTCCCTGGCCCTACTTTCGGGTGCTAATCAGGTTCAAGTGTCGACGCAGCTAAGAACCGAAGGAGTAAGAAAAGCACGCCTTATTCGACATCCTCCTCCTCCCAAGACGAGCCAAATTCCTCTTCTATCCTTCGTTTTCTGGGACCGAGGTAGCTTGACACCCTTCAGTCGCTCCTCGGCACTCCTGCCCGTACATCGGTCGAAGAGTCGACGCACATCACTCCAGGACATATTTGCCGTTTCGAGGAGGTTGTCGGTAGCCGCCGGGCAGGCGACCCTGTCAGAGTCCCAGAAACCATATGCCATTTCTCTCAGAGGAGCTTTCCTGAGCCCGTCATGCCTGATGCCTAAGTAGCGGTCGTACTTGGAGGGCATGAACAAGTAATATCCTGAATTTGGATGGGAGGGTCATCGGCGATCTCGGCTGGTACGGCTGTCGGAGGAGAAATGGTACGGGCCATTTCCAACGCTTCCGGGAGAAAGTCTCGATCAATAGACATATTCTCCCGGATGATATCCTTGCGCTGAAGTTCATCGGCAAGAACAAGTTGATGGGTGAAGGCCAAACCCAAAGATGCTAGGTAGCTGACGTAACCTGGTGACCGGTGCCTACCGTCTTCGGAAAATATGTTGAGGTCTGTCAGGTCGAGCTGATGGAAAGGGACCAGCTTGTCATCGGCAGGGCTCTGCCCAGCAGCAGACTGGCTCTGCTTATGGGCCTCTCTCTGCTTGTCGTCCGCCTCGGTCTGGCTGACGATCGAATACTGGGGGGGTGGGATTATATACCCATCCACCAGCTGTTTTAATTGGGGGATACCGTCCACACGTAGGCGGATCTGGGGATGAAGCGACAACCGAGCCAGGCGGACGGCGCACACCAGGAGCGGTAAGAACGGCATCCACGACCAGGTCTTCCAGATCGTCGACAAGCCCCCCCATGAGAGTCGTGAAGTAAGTGTGGATGCAGCTCATCTCCTCAGCCTCCCAAGGCACGATTCGAGCCAGGAATTGAGTGAACTGCTCTGTGGCCGGCACGAGCGAACCGTGAGGTTCAGCGGCACGCTTGGCAGGGAATACTCGAGAATAGAGCTCATACCGATAGAACGCTCTCTGGAGCCTTGCGCGCTCTGTGCGTGATATGGGCGGCGAAATGGTCGGAGCCCGCCCAACATCAGGTTCGGTGACCAAGGTTCGCATCGCCCGGGAAGAATAGTCATCCACTGTTGGAATAGCGATACTGGTGACCGCACACTAGCAGGGAGGAAGCAGAGATCGCGCGAGTACGCACGTGCAAGTAGGCACGTGCGGCGCGCGGACCTCACACACACACAAAAACCCCGGTCGCACGCAGAACCTACCTTAGTTCCGCAGAGAGAGGGAGGGAGAATAGACACAAGATTACCCCCGGTAGATCTACCAACCCTTCGACCTGTAGGATCCCTACGTAGTTTGAGTACCACGAACATTCACACTCTTGAGGTGGGATTAGATCCCACGAAGCTGGTGAGCCTAAAAGATGATCAATTACATGTTGCAATTACAAGTCCTCAACCAATGCCAAGAAATGGTGGGTAATTTTTACCTTAAAACTTGATAGGACGGTAATACTGACTGACGATTATAACTGAATACCTGTGGAAGTCCTTCCTTACGCAGGTCTTATTGAACCAGAGGTGTACCTTTTCGAAGTAGAGGCGGATTATCTTGGTCCGTTTCATAATCGTTATCAGGAATACGGCAAAGAAGGCAGTGGTGGTGTGCCACCCAGCAACCACGGCCGTCGCAAGGAGCTCGAGATGAGGAGCTTGTTCTGGAAATAATCCCCGATTACAATGACCCTAGGTTCCTTTCCTTCCTTTTTCCCTCCATAACCCTCCCCCGCTGCCGCTCTGACGACGGCCCGCCCGCCGTCTTCGCGCTTAATATCCCGCTGTTACTTATTTCCCCTTCTCGTATAAGTCCCTGGGAATTTTGAAAGCCAAGATTGACTATTGGGCCGATCCGTCGGCGTGATCAGCAATCCCGACTCCCGAGTGCAAACCCCCAATATCTACATATATAATTAGAGCATTTTCTATTTCCCCGATTCAGGGCACCAATGCCGCGCGTTGACGCAGCCCGAAGCAAGCATGCAAGACGTGACAAAAACCGAGGCGGTAACCGCAGTCGCTTTTGTCTGGCTATCGACATGGATTGCTGTTCTACTTGGAGCATGTCATCACCAAGCTAGATGTGGTAGAATTCCTGCCGGCCCAACGACTGCTGTGCTAACAGAACCTGGTTACCAGTGTGTATTATACACCGCCTGGTTTGTACAGCTGGTATTGGGGGCATCGCCTACACTTTTTCTCATCCCACTTTGGATCGGGGTTGGTCCCAAATCGCTGTGGCGTAATGTGGATTGGACGGTATGCATTTTTTACCTTCGGGTTATTTGCACTTAACTTTACAATTGTAAGTCCTGGCTGGTCTCTATACCCCATCTTGGGCTAAAATTATACAGCGAATTCACTGGGCGCGTTCGTGGCTTCTGAAGCGTGTTCGGCAGAAGTTTAGTATTTCGCTTCTTTTTATTGTTGGATCTCTTATTTGTCTCTTATTTACGCTAGAGCTTCCGTTATGGCCCGAGCCAAATGCCGCCCTGCGCTGTATTCTTTTGGGGGGGGGGGGGGGGGGACATGTTTGTGACGACTTTTTGGTCGGGCTGGGAAGAGACCGTTGACCTACGCCGCCGACCGGAGGTATCCTACTGGCTTAAGAATGGAGGTTTGAAGAGGGCATCGAGACTCTTCGCATACGCTATTCAGTTGATCCTCACGTCAATTATGTTGGGATTGGGTGTCTCTTATTTCCCGGTATTTTTACGAGTAAGTGGTGTGTAATCCATTTCATGGCCCCTAATCTGACATTCCCAGTTTCCCTTCTACGGCTTCGTGACCACAGTCCCTATTATATGCTGACCTTAGCGCCTCGCGCCGAAAGGGCTATCGGAATCCACCGCATCTACAACGTCACTACCCCATATTGGTGGAGCAGGACATGAGATCGGAGCCTCGTAGGACTCACTATTATTGCCATTGGAGGGTCTGGAAGAGTCGGTTTAGCTTATTACCAATGCGTTTGGGGGATCTTCTTTCTCCAGAGGCTAAATGGGTTGGTGATGATGACTTTCTCGCCATCCTTATCTTCGTCTAGCGGCACGCTGAGGCCGTATCTCACACAAGATGGCTTATCGACTAGTTCCATGGCAACGCCAAGGAGCCAATTGTCAAGCCATTGCCCTGGACGAAGCCTCTCGAGCGATTCGCGAGTCAATTCGACTGCATCGCCAACCACAAACGTTCCTCTTCTGGCAGGTCCTCGTCCTGTCGCCAAGGATGTCGGCAAGGACTTGTTGCTCTGGCAGGCTGTGCGTGACCTGTCGTGTCACCACGGGTTTGTGGATGTGGATACAAAGCTACACAGACTAAAAGGAAGGAATCTGGGTTCCTGCAGGCAGGAAAAGGATATGGCTGTGGGTATGTGGAGCGCCATCACCAGATAGAATCCATCTAAAATTATTAGGCCTGATCATTCAAGGTCCGGGCTTTTCGCATTCGGGAAGTGTTGTCAACTGCCACTTAAGTCCCCTTCTTTCCCGTTTCCATCCAGATACCGTCCCTCTGTGGGCTTGACATAAACGACCCGAGGTGGTCGCCGCGTGTAATGAATGCTGGCATCTGTGCTCGGAAATAGGGCTGCGGCACAGAACTTCCGCTGGTGACGTCGATGATTTGAGATGTCTGGAGGCGCATGAGAGGAAGATGGAAGCCAGAAAAAAATCCCGGAAGGAATACAAGATTGCACCTGGAGATATCAACGAGAGAAACGCTCGACCAGAGGAGAGTAAAGGAAGGATGGATAATGGGGGGCGCAGGCCGCCTCATGCAAGCCATACATTGAGGCGAGCCAGGCACGCGGGAGCGCTAATCCTTAGGTAACCCGCCTGCGCCCGCTTGCCCAGCTGCCAACCTGGAAAGCATTGCCGCCACTTGCTTCAGGATACGCTGAGCTGCTGAAGACAAAAACACCTGTGCTGGTGGTCGACTCACGCAACTTCTTCCCGCCTACAGACTTGCTAATAAGGTCTCGTCCCTCCCCTCAATCTCGACCCCCTTCTCCTCTATCTCCCCGGCGGTGCTGAGACCCCTCGAAGAGTGGAGATCAACTCCCCTGCACTCTGATGGACGCTCTAAAGCGGTCGTGGGGTGGCATGTACTTGTCGGCCGGTGTCAAAGATGCCCTGGAGCCTTCCATATTTTTCAGAAGGCACCACAACAGAGCTAAGCATATCCAACAGGCCTGAACCACAGGAGAGGGAGCTACCCGGGAACCTGAAGAGACCTGTCGATGCTATGAGCCTAGAGCCGAACCTGGCACTTGAATCCAGGGCCTTACCAAATAACTCTAGTTAATTACACTATAAGCAAAGGCGGTTGTAATAAATGGATGCAAATAACACCTTTATTTCTTTTCTTTATCCTCATCACGAAACCCAAATTGATCCAGGTGTTCGCTATGATGTCTCAAATCGGAGGCCTGGTCACCTCCCTGAGGAGGAGGCGGAGGAGTGCTATCTTTGGGAGGGTCGTCTTTAGGAGGGTAGACATCCTGTTTATCGCCGTCTTGCATAATTGCGAATAACTAGTACTCCGAGGTGGTTATATGAGGTAGGTTATCTATAAGAGACGTTGTGTATAAGAGAGGTCGTCCATGGGAGGGAGGCTATCAGTGAGGACGCTGTCTATGAGCAAGTGATTGAGATAGCATGAAATGGTGATTGAACTCGGGAGGAAGTAGGCCTCAAATATATATCGATCCGGGAGTACCTCTGCTATTCTGGTAATGTATACCTGCCTGGTGTGGTCAGCAGCACATACTCTCTGATCGCCGTGTTACTATAACCTCTATCCCATCTGCATCCGCGGGGGGCTTGTTCGTCGTCCAGAACTGAGAGTCGAAGCGTTGTGGTTGTGCATCGTGCTAGTTTAGCGAAGTGGGGGGGATGTGACATTTCGGAATGAACATGGACAGCAGAGAGGGATGTCGTCGAATTGGTGGAGCGTCCCTAAACCAGCAAGGTCTTGGAGCAATTGGGGGCCAAATCGTCAGCCGCAAGGATGGTTGGTACGTAAATTTGGGGCAAAAATCCAAAGGTACGTACTGTGCCGGAATTTGGGCCGCAATGACGTACGTTTTGGAATTTTTCCCCAAAAGTACATACCTGCCATTAGTTAGTACGAATACAAGACGCACACACTTCCGAACCGCAACCAACGATACGAAGATGGCTGAACGGCTACGGACTTTACAGTCGAGTATCAAGTCAAGTCTCGATGGCCTTTGGCTCAATCGAGAGAATGTCTCTAAGCCACCTAAGCCAGAAAGCGCCTACGAACGTTTAATCTCCAAGGTCGCCGGTCCCGGGCCCGCCTTGCTCGTGATATCGGCGGTAAAGGGGAAGCAACTGGAGAAGTTGCGGCTTGCACAACTACGGACCTACTTCAATGGCTTGTAGAGAATCAGCTGGCTCTTTCGTCCAAATTCCTTACCGAAAAAGTCCAAAGCGAATGGGGGAAATCGGACTTGGACAGGCCGCAGCGTTCCGTCTTCCTAGAAGCAAATTCCAGGCTTGTAGAGTGGACGAACCCAGCGCTAAAGACTTTGCCGAGAGCTGAACTTGAACTACTCACTCTCGAGTGCAAGTACGCATCTCACTTGCTTGAGGACTACCAAGCTACCTCAGGATCTAACGAGAAGGCCTCTTCACAAGAGAGAGGCGTCGCGACACCGGCATGCAATACCAGCTTTTTAAGTAGCACCGCTCGGAAGGGTGCTGAGTCGCCGGATTGTACTCGGTGGCCTCTCCAGGGCGATATCTCCGCCAGCATCGCTCAACAACAACAACGAATCAACGATTATGATTGCGCCGCTCAAATTGGCCAAATGGGTTATCTGGCTGATTTTTTCAGTGGTGTGCGCGAGCCAATACCACGAGTAGTGTTCGAGCGCGTACGACGTTTGAAGGACGCTCAACTTCAGCTCCCCGAGTTGCTCTTCGGCGAAGAGTCCCAACTTCTTGACTCTCTTCAGAGGGTCGGGGAAATCACCCGGGATAGCCACCAATGGGCTTGGGCGGCAGATGAGCGCTTAATATCGCAGCGGCAAGGATGGGACACTCTCCTTTTGATGCTGCTCTGCGTCATCTTCCCCTGCGATAATCCAAGCAAGTGTTCCGCAAAGACGCGAATTTCAGAGACTAAAGGTTCCTTCCAGCTTCTATTCTGACGGGCGGTTACCCCTGCCTCTACTGTATCCCCTTCTAGGCAGAGAAACACTACAGACCGTCCCGCCTTCTTTCCATAAAACGATTGCACGGGTGTCACTGGTGGCCGCAGACCTGGATGGAGGCAAAGCGGCCAAGAAGCTCCGCGAGACTGTACCAATACGCGAGTTTGTGCTAGAATACTTCCACTATCGCCGGAAGTAGTTGGAAAGAATGTGTGACAGCCAAGAGCGAGACATCATGAGAGCTATAGAGTAGCTGTCAAAACGTCCCCTACTAGCACTACACTCGGACGCAGCATGGTCAAAACCCCTGCATTTTGAGATGTGGAAGGAGAAGGGGGGAGGGTTTGACTGCAAAGACGAGATTGTGAACGATATCAATGAATTCTTCAAAAGGTAAGTCTGGTATTCTGATAGAGGCATACCTTATCGCAGAGGTTACCTATTCCACGGCCCGCCTGGGACCGGAAAGACATCATTTGCAGTCGCCATTGCTTCACAATTCTATCTCCCAATATATACCTATAACCTCAAGGATTCGGGCCTCACCGACGAGAAACTCGGTAAGCTCATTAGGAGGTCGCCGTCGCGGTGTCTCATTGTGTTTGACGATATCGACGTTATCGGTGACAAACCAGGCGTTTCACTCCCGGGCCTCCTTACCGCCATTGACGGCCCATCCTCGCACGAAGGCCATATCCTTATTATGACTACCAATATACCTGATGGACTCAACGATGCGCTGGTCAGACCCGAACGAATCGATCGAAAGGTCTAGTTTAACAACGCAACGTCTAAAAGGTAGGCAAACAAGGTAGGCAGACAAGACGGGCAAACAAGGCGGGCAAACAAGGTAGATAAACAAGGTAGGCAAACAAGGTAGGCAGAAAAGACGGGCAGACAAGGTGGGTAGATAAGGCGGACAAATAAGGCCGCGCTCAGGAGGCGCGGAGAGCCGGCCTGCAAGCGAAGAAGGACGAGCAGCTGGCAAATACGACGAGGAGCTACGCTTCGAAGCAGCGCGAGTGGAGGGCATGGTGCAGTACGCCGCGTGCAGGGCCGCATGGAACCCTCTTTACCTGGCCAGACGGCAAGCCTGTTACGCCGCGTCAAGGTGCCTAAGAAGCGCCGTGGCCATGGCCACAATCCTACCGAACCACCGCTCCAGGCCGACGAGCAGGCCGCTCTCCGTGAGGCTGAAGCTCTCGCCGCAACGTTGGCGGTGCCAGTTGCCGAGGCGGCTCGAATCCTCGCCGACGACCGTGAGAGCTATATACCGCTTAGGCGTGACGAGAAATAGCGTAGCGAGGTACGAAATGCGTAACCCGATCCTGTATCGCCGCGTCAAATATGACAGTCCACCTTACCCGCCCACCTTGCCTGCGCCCCGTGGTTAGGGATCTCGGAGATGGGCCACCTTGGCTGCCCACCTTGGCTGCCCACCTTATTTTACGAACTCTAGGCTACCAAAGAGTAGACCTCGGTGTTTTAGTTTTGTATCCCGGTGAGGATATCTAGTGATAGGGAGAAATCTCCCTGCGCCGATAAATAAGACATACTGAGTACGGATAGTGGCCCCCTTTACCCTACTTACCCCGCCTACCCGGCTCAGCCCTTCATCTCTCAGGGGTAGTGAAAGGAGGATGGATTCTCGATACGGGTCTCTGAGATTTCGTCGGTCTGCTATTCGCATTCACGCTGAAGGCAGACAATGTACGTATGACGGAGAGATCAAGTAGTTCAACAATACAGTCTCTTCTAACTCCCTACTACTAAGCACCTAACAGCCGAGGATCTATCACTATTGGAGCGATGCCCAAATGCATTTGCCGGTCCTGGTCTGCTTGTTGCTCTGACGCCGCGCTAGCGAGCCTTCCTTTCTCCACCCCCCTCTTCCTCTTCCCCAGAACTCCCGCCTGCTCGGGAATCTCGGCCATCGTCTGTCCATCGCGTTTATGTACATCCGCGGCATGGTCTATCTAAGCTGCCCGGCTCTCGATTATAGCCTTTCGTCTTTGTCTCCCACATTCGAAGCATGCGAAGGGCTCCTGAAAAATACTCCCATGATCTTTGTTGAGGTGTCGCGAGTGGCTGCTTCATTCAAAGAAGATGTTTTCACAGAAGAAGCAACGCGCGGACCTTTCTTTAGCGGACTTTCGCTCGGCTGGTCTGACCTCCTTCTTGTGCCGTGGCGGCATCGGCGTGTACTTACGACCGTGGCACGTCTCCACATGGTTGCTCCACTGCTCTGCCCCATCCACGACGTGCGTCTTTCCTTGACGGCCGCACTCGCCACACGGAAAGGGACGGTCGAAGGTACCTTTACTGAAATGGTCGTTCTCGTTGTGCCTTGTCAAGCCGCCGCGGAAGGTAAAAGATTTTAGACAGAATAGGCATTGCCAGCGCTCGGTCTGTTTGGCGACGTCCTGCGTCTTATTATCTCCCAACGAGCTCATGATGGTCTCCACCTCAGCGCCCCGGTTTCCCAGGTACGCAAGAAGTAGCTGTGAAAGACCCGGGCTCGCCGGTATCCTCCCAGATCTTTCTCGCGAAGGAAGCGGCCAATATACACAGCGACCTTATCGGCAGCCGCGGTCCGAGTTGGCGGCTTATGTAGCTTTACCGTTGGCGTTAGCGTGGATAAATCGTTAGTTGATTGCCCAAGGGCACTTCGTCTATCCACCTCTTTGAAGTACTTCTGTCACTTATCCTGGACTGTAAGCTGTATAAGTTCCTTTCGACGGTTCACGTACGTTCTGGTAAGGAGAGCTTGATTGCTATATTATAAGCCCCCCTCCTCGTCGTCCACAGAAATCTGCTGACGCTCGTACGTTTGACGTATTAGATCAATGGCGCCCTTCCTCTATTCCACCCAAATAACGTGAACAGGGCCTCTGATTACACCTGTATTGTCTTCGTTTTCGTCTACTCGCTTGGGTACAGCATAGGTTTTGGCCCGGCAGCCTGGGTCTATGGATCTGAGGTCAGAGCAGCACGCGTACAACTGACGATTGGAACTCCGACTAACCAAGCGATTCATATCTTTCCCACGGCCGTCCGTGCTCGTGGGCTCAGCTTTGCTGCCTCAGCCGGCGCCATCGGCTCCATTATGGTTGCACAAATTTGGTAAGTGTCCAATTGTCTCATACGTTTGACTTCCGCCCCTTTCCAGCATAAATTCAGGCGTGGGTTCCAAATCATACAGATCCAGTAGTTCTCTGTGGTGCTGCGTTGAAATCGTGGAACGGGAGCTAACCACACTGCGAAGGCCCGTTGGCATTGCCAACATCGGCTCCAAAATCTATTTCTTCTTTATGGCCATAAACCTGATATGCGTGCCAATCATCTACCTTCTGTACCCCGAAACAAACGGGCGTCGACTTGAAGATATGGACGTCCTATTTGGTGGAAACCCTGCCGTCATTCCTACCCACCTTCTTGAGCAAGACGTCGACGATACTCGCGGCCTCGTGCCAAAAACATCTCTAGCCAATCGCCCGGATCTAGAGCCTGACCAGACTATATGATTTTAAAGTTGGATACTCGAATAGCAGCTCGAACCTTTCTACTCGGGCTCGCTGCTAGCTACCTACCTGGTTAATTGGTTAGGTGGTTCTGGAGTCTAGCTTTTCTGATGGCAAGAGAAGATAGACCAACGCCTATCACGCAGGAATTCCCCATGCATTTAAACGCTCAATTGCGGCATTGTTACGCCTGATTTGAAAATTATTAGGTTCCAGGAAGAATTATTTAAAAGACTTTGCCCAAACACAGTCGCCTCATTGCTATTTATTATTTCAGAAAATTAATATGTCATTCAGGAACTTAAAGAGGCCCTGGGCTTAACCTCTCCGCGTTAAACAGCAGCCACAAACTCAGCTGCCGACGGATCTCCTCCCCCAGCTTCTGCTGCAGAGGCGGGTTGGTGTAGAGTGGGCCGGCGACGATGCAGAGGGAAGAGGAACGGCGCGTGTTTCCGCGGGTGCACGGCCGTCTCGCTCGGGCCTAGCGTGACTAAGGGGAAACGCGGGATGAAGTTTTGTTTGAAGGCGGTGATCAGGTATTCTGCTTCGTCCATGGTGACCCAGCCTCGGTCGATAATGTCGGCGTGGCCATGGTTGAGCGGGTGTCGAAGACTCGACCCGGACCCGGTGGACAAAACTCGGCTGTTTGCAACGCTTTCTACTGCGGCAGGGGAGCTTGATTGCGATGTTGAGCCGAACGTGTTGCTTTGCTGCTCTAGGACAGCGATTTCAGCGGAAAGAGAATCGAGTTTATTTTCCAGGGCCTGAACATTGCTGGCTTGACCAGTCGGGCACTCTACCCGTGCACTTTGCGGGCGTCGTCGGCGCTCGGGAAGATGGAGGAAGACGCAGTGCTTCCCTAGGCGGTGGTATCGGTCGCAGATGAGATGTGACGTGGCATGTGGCGAGCACTTTGCCTTGCTTGGTGCAGGCAACGCAAGCGCGTCGCTTGAGCGAGGAGAGAGCGGGATTTGGGTCCATTGGGCCGACGTTCGGGAGGGTTGGAATGGGAATGGTAACGGGAGCGGGAAACGGACCGGCCGATGGGGTGGGGCGGGATGGGCTCTTACGAGTGCTTTGGCGCTGACAAATGGCACACTTCCGGCACCTTCTCTCTCGGTCCATCAGCTGCGCGGAAGCGCCAGTAAATAAAGGAGGCACTGATTCATCCCCATCGCGCCTTCGTGGCCACGACTTTCTGTATATGCCGAAGGTTTCAAAGCGATCTTCCCATTTTGTCAGCACCACGTCACGTCTGTTCACAAGTTCTATGATCATCGAGCGTATAAATGAAGTTTCAATCCCCTGAAGTCAAGAAATAAATCCTAGACAACTCACGGTAGCTTATCATCTTCTACACAGCCTCCCATTACTATCTCTCTCCTAAACCTTCAAACGACAACCATGCCTTCCTACGCCGTCACCGGCACCTCGCGGGGCCTGGGTCTCGAGTTCGTAAAGCAGCTCTCCCAAAACGCCAACAACACCGTCTTCGCCATCGTCCGCAACCCCGACTCGGCAACCAACCTCCAAACACTTGCGAAGCAACGCCCCAACGTCCACATCGTCAAGGCCGACATCACCGACCCGCAGTCTCTCGTCTCCGCGGCAGCCGAGATCTCCAAAGAAACCAACGGCATCCTCGACGTGCTTATCAACAACGCCGTCTCCACCAACCCGGCCGCGGGGGCAGTGCCGCCCTCGCAGATCCCGCTCGACGTGGCGGCCACGCGCGACTTCTTCAAAGCAGCGTACGAGTCATCCCTTTACGGCGCCATCTGGACGACCAACGCCTTTCTCCCGATGATCGAGAGCGGGAAGGAAAAAAAGATCATCCACATCTCCACCGGCATCGCCGACGCGCGTGTGATCAAGGGCACTGGCGTTACTGCCGCGGTGGACTACGCGGTTGCCAAGGGTGCGGTGAATATCCTTGTCGCCAAGTATGCCGCCGAGCTGGAGCCCAAGGGCATCAAGGTTGTTGCGCTTTCGCCCGGGTGGGTTGACACCTACGCGGGGCCGAGTGAGTTGACCTCTGTTTGTTGATTTTAGTGCGCCTTGACTAACCGACTATAGCACCGAAACCGGCCGAAATTCTAGGTGTTGAGGCATACGTTCTTCAGAGCTTCCAGAAGATCTGGCCGAACCTCAAGGGGCAGATCCAGCCGGAAGAAAGCATCAAGATGGTCCTGAACGTCATTGAGAATCTGACCACCGAGCAGTCCGGACTGATGATCAGCCACCATGGGAATGAGGAGTGGATCTAGACTGGGTTTTCCTAAAGAGTTCCTTATCCAAAAGAGATAGTCAAGACACGCTCCAATAACTCACCGCTTCCCAAAATGGTCATAATATCTTTCTTGCTACAGGCACTCGCAACATCCGATGCACTTCTCCATCTCTTATCCCCTTTGGCCATCAGCGCCCTAAACAGCCCTTCGTCGTGACCCGAAGCCGCGCGATACGACGGCCCCCGCCTCGCAACCAAGTGCAGCGCCGTCTCGCCCTCCTTGTTCACCGCAAAAACATTGACGCCACTATCGGCCAGGAACGGCACGTCGTAGTAGGCGAGATGGCAGCGGTTCGCCGTCGATTTTTGCGTTTGACTCTTTTCCGGCGCCAACAAGAAGAAGTGCAGCGGCGTGTTTCCGCCACTGTCCGCTGCGTTGATGGAGCCGCCTTCGAGTAGAAACATCTTCCAAAAGGCCACACATTGTCAAAATACTCCTCCGACAGGTCAACCGACAATCGTTCCGGATTTTCGAGGCGTCCGCTCGGTTACATGCTATTGCGTCGTGATATAGTGTAGAGCCATAAAGCCATTCGTCGACCAGGTTCAAGGAGGTTGGCGCTCTTGGAAAGCAGAAGCTCACAAATTTCCGGTCGCAGGCTTCGTAAAGCGTAGCGGAATGGCGTGTGTTGTCCTTCATCATTAACGTGGGCGCAATTGCTGGATGGTTGTTAAAATCCCGACGGACCTCATCGGGCGTGCCGGGGTTGTCCAACAGATGATGGAGTGCCGTCTTTCCCTCCTCATTGACCAACGTGGTATCGGCTCCCCGCCCTGAGTCGAGGATCCGAAGCGCCGGCCCTGGCACCTTGGCAACCCAATGCCGGTGCGAATAGCCGCGGATGGCATCGTGAAAGTTGCAGGCAGCTATCAACACCGTCCTCCTGTGCTGATCACGACGATCAAAGTCAATTTTTTCGATGCACGGCTCTTGCAACAGTGTATCGATAACTTCATGCTTGTGGAAACTGAAAGAGGAAATGGATCATCGTCTCGTCGTCATTCAGCGGCAGATACAAGTCGGCGCCGCGGGTTACGAGGGCACGGAGGAGTGGCATCGACGACGAGACGCTCGAATTGAGCTCCTCCGCAAACGCCGTGCACAAGAGTGCGTAGACCTTGCGAGAGTCGATTAGGATGTAGTCCACACCTCGACTGTGCCGTTTCTCGTCGAGCGAATCAACACTAACGCCGTTATCCAGAAGCAAGCACCTCCAGCGTCTCACGATTTTAGTCAAAAGAGGCCGAATGTCGACGGCGCGAAGATTTCGTACATCCGCGGCGGACGGAAGGGGAAATTCAAAACGTCGTAGTAGTCTTGGCGGACCACCAGCATCATGGCAAAGACAAGATAAGCTCCCCTGGAATGGTGTTTGGGAACGCTCTCCAGGATTCTGGCAAAGAACTGGTCTAGGTCCTGTGGTGTTGTCTCGACAAGGCGCTGGAGCGCTGGGAACGACGATCCAATCGCGAGTTCCTCTTCCACTAGCTTTAGCAGGAGAACAAACCACATATAGACACCTTCGGCATTGTGGACTATCAACGACTGGAACGTCGAGCTTGATATGCCAGTGGGATCTGACTGCGCAAGGGTTTGGAAATGCGGGTTCAATTCGAGTCTGTTACGGACGAGCGCCATGACATCTGGACGGGTCAATGTATGGAGAGTGACGCGACGGGCTGAAAGGAACGCTTTCATTATCGGTGGCTCTTCGCGACTCGAGACGCAGAGCTTAACATTGTCGCACTTGGCCCAGTTGTGCAGTTTACTGGAGACCCCCAGAGAGATTCTGCCGGCTCGTCAAACTCGTCAAGTCCGTGGATGAAAAGGCAGATCTTGAAGCGGGCGAGTCTCTCCGCACTGCTCAGAGCCTATCAAAGGCAGCCTTGACTTGGCTGTCGGAAATGCTGAGTCCTGGAATTTGAGCCGGAAGTGGCGAGGCATACCGGTTTGGGGCCCAGTGCTCCGGAAAAACAACATGTGCTACCTCGGGGTTTCCCCTCAGGACGTCGTAGAGGATCCCCCTGACCAGACCGCGCATCGTCTTTTGCTCATCGGTTCCCAGTTTCCAGAAGAAGAAGCAAGAAAAATGAGCTGCTTCCCATCAATGCTCGACCATCGCGTCAAGAGGGATCGAGATGTGTCGTGCGCGGCCAAGTACTTCATTAAAGTCGATTTTCCCGACCCCGGCTTTCCTACAATGTGAAACACACCAGAGCCTAAATTCAGCCATTCCATAAACTCCAACGAGAGCTCGGACCTAAGTGCACACTCCCTCTCCTCCCGGATTTTGGTCCAGAGCAACGCTGGGTTAGCGAATAAAGACTCGGAGTCTATAACAGAATGATTCTCCGTCTTGCCGTCGCCAAGGATCCAGGAAAAGGTATCGGCATCTGGATCATTGATCGTTTATCGACGGTAGCTGGGCGTAGCGCTGCGAGGATTGCAGCGTAATTCATCGCCTTCAAGGAATCTTCGGCCAGGACAATTGCTTCTTTAATCGTTTCGATCAATTTCAGGCTCTCGTCAAGCTTGGGGAACTCGTCGCTGATCGCGTTCAGTTTGATGGCCAGGTGTTGCTGGCTTGTGTTTGAGACGTCCAGGAGCTGCGCTATTCGTGCCACGTCGGTCCTCGTTGCGATTGCCAATGAAGTCTTCAGCTGTGACGTTGCCGATTCGAGGTAGCCTGCAACTCCTCGAGCTTTGACTTGTGTTTGGTAGACACATACAAGCTCTTCATGGCGGTACGGACTGAAGACTGTTTGGCGGCCCTGCTTTGATCGATAAGAGTTTTCAGTGCTTGAATCGTGTCTCTGCATTGCTTAGCGGCCGTTGCTTCGTCGGTTCCCGAGATCTGCGCAGTGGCAGGCTGGGGGTTTACGGAATTGAGACCAGCGAGCGCCTTCTCGAATTGGTCGGTGGCCTGGATGAGCTCTTGAGATACTCTGGTAAAGCCCGAAGTCGACTTGTACAACTCGCTGAGTGTCTTCCCTGTCCTGACGGCCATGTCAACCAAGGTGAGGACGTTGACGGCCAGGGAAAAGGTGGAGATGGGATCCATGACGTCGATTTGGTGATGAGAGAGGAAGAAAAACGGTAATTAGGTAGACATAGAAGTTCAACAGAAAGGTGTGACCAGAGCGCGGGAATCGATTGACAGACAGATCGTGGCCAAGCGTAGTGGAACAGTCAAGAGGTGTAAAGTGAAAACTCGCGGCAGCCTCATTCCCCGCACAGAAATGAGGCCCAAGCAACTCAGGCAGCTACCTGCCCGCATGACCTTGTTGCCTGCCGGGGGTGGTTGGCTGAGTGCGATCCATGGTGGCTGGCTTGAGCGCACAGCCGCCTAACAAATGCTCTCTACACTCCGGCCCCCAAGGCTTGTTAGCGTGGTACCAAGGTAAATACACAGAGAGAAAGACAATAGTAAATATACTGGCTTAAAACGCCTTCTAGAGGTATTTTGAGAATAGTAAAAAGCCTCTAAGATTCTATATCATGGATCCTAATTACGATTACCTCCCTCAGGGAGAAAACTTCAGAGCGAGCCGTGAGTCAGCAGGGCCTCTCAAGTCTGGGAAGTCTCCCATTAACATATAGGCATTAGATTATCACACGGGAACTTTTCACTCTATCTAACTAAGGCGGACACGAGCAAAGGTTCAAGTTCAGTGGCGGCTTACAAAGAGCTGAAGCGACGGAAGTTAGGAGATCCAATTCGTAATTCTATTCAACCTCAACTATTAATAGTTAGAACCAGGTCATGAACCCACTCAAGAGAGAATCTAGTCATACATCGTTACATTTTGCAGAACCCCCATTTCTTGAGTAGCAAGGCATGATAAAACAAAAGATCTCTAAAGAAGAAGGCACCAAAGTAATCACCTACCCCGCAGCTGATTCATAGCAATGTTTATCTGCAATGCATTTTGAACGCTGTTCTTGAACCCTCGCCGTTCCCGTTCTCGTTCTCGGGGTATCATGTCCGCGTCACTGTCAGTGGGCTCGGCGGGTCTGCGACGCGCTCGGCCGCGCCGCCGGCGACGACGAGCCGGTAGTATGCCGCCAGGAACGCGAACGTGCTGACGGCGCGCGCGAACATGTAATCCAGCGTCACGAGCACCCAGCATAGGTAGCCCACCTTGCTCGCGCCCGCCAGCCGTGATCGCCACGTGTTGTTGTTGTTGTTGTTGTTGTTGTTGTTGTTGCCGCGGGTGGATGCTGGCCGCGGCGGGCTGTAGTGATTGTAGCTGTAGCTGTAGTCGTAGTCGCGGTGGTGGTTGCTTACTCGACCGTCGTCCTTGCTATCGGCAGCTAGCAGCAGCGTCATAGCAACGCCACCTATCGAGATGCTTGAATGTTTGAAACATTGGATCAGGTCAGGCCTTACAACGGAGGCGGGATTTGCTGACGAGGTCAATATTGTGGATGACTAAGCAGTATTTTGATGAGTCAGCAGTATTGAATCAATATTGATCGATAATCGATCGATGAGGCCGATAAGCGATATGGATTGATCCCTGTATTGAAAATATTTCGCCCACCCTGGGTAGCACTTATGCACGTTGCATGCCCGCCAAGGCGTTCACCGTTACCGTCACCTCTTCCAGCACCGAGGCTGCAGAATCATCTGATTCATCGGTTTCTGGTTTAGTTATTATAGTTTCTTAGTGTTATGGTCGGGTAATTAAGGATTATTGTAGTGGGTTGGTAGAAAGTGCGGCGCTCGCTTGTATGCGGCACTCGCTTATAATATACGTTAATCGCAGAGCAGACTCGTGATGACCATCATCAACGAGGCCTAACGCAACCGGACCCATCTCGCCATCGAAGCGGCGACGAACCATGCGCGCCGTGAGGTCGACAACGCAAAAGCCCTCGACGAAGCCCGCACGCCGGGCACACAGCCGCGGCCGTCACTCGACGAGTACGTTGGCGATTACGTCGGGCTCGGCGGTCTTTCAAGCTCCAGGTCCGCAGGCGACGCGATGTCAGGGGCGAGCTGGAAGTGCTTTTCCAGGGCTTGGAGTCCCAAGCGTGGCCGCTTGCGCACTACGAGCACGACACATTTAGCTGGCTCCAATCCCTCAACGAGCAAGCCCGGCGTGCTAGGTTTAATCTTGCCGGCCCGGACATATTCAAGCTAAAGTTTATGGCCGGCGAGGGGAACTGAGGTGGACCGACCGGCGCAATCGACAGGGTCTGCTGGATGCAAGAGCCCGGCCTCGCGGAGAAGCAATGCCTTTTCCGGACTACAACAGGAGTAACGTCGCAGTTGCGACTTTAGTACGCAACGGATGAATAAGAAATTAGAGATTATCGATTTTCTTACCTAAATTCTCCTATATAGTCGATTCAGAAAACTTTGTCCTCTTACCCCTCTCTTTTTGACATTTTCTCGTCGCTCCAGCCTTTGTCCCTAGAGCGGTTCCTATTAGCCGGCGAACTAAGGAAGATGACTAATGTCTAGAAGGCTAGAATAGGATGCTGTATGGAATGTCGGTTTGGTATTAGTATGGACATAGTTACTTGTTAAGTATTAAATGATTATGGTAATGTGTGTGTGTGTGTGCGTGTGTGTGTGTGCGTGTGTGTGCGTGTGTGTGTGTGCGTGCGTGTGTGTGTGTGGTTTGATATTCAACAGCCCACGGGCGAGTAATGGTTCTATACTGCTGTGTTCATCTTCTTTTTCCATTATCCTCGGTTTGCTAAGCAATAACAACCCTGTACCTTAGCATGACAACCTAGAGCCAAAGTAGAGTATAAAGCTCTATTGCTCTACCCGAGAGTAAGAGAGTATAAAGTTCTATTATTTTATTTAAGAGTAGTAGAGTAACTACTTAATTAGTCTACTATTAGCCCATGAGAACCTTCGTTCTAGTTCTAAACATCAGACATCTAGCAAGCAGCTCTTTCAATGCCCCTAAAGCATCTTTTCCTTCACATATCCCGGCGCTCACACTCCCGTCCCCCTCTCTCACACCCTTCCGCACCTCCATCGGCTCGAAATATACCCACGAAATTGTTAGCAACCCAACATCATCCAACACAACTCCTCATCAACCATCACACACCCTTCTTCTTCTGCCACTCGTCCATCCACGCCCTAACAAATCTCCTCTCCTCGCCCTGCACCCTCTCCACCTCACGCGGCGGCAGCACCCCCAGCACCGTCTCATTTGCAAACACGCCATTTTCGTCCCAGTGATGCACCCCGCCGCGAACTAGCAAGAACGGCTCGCTCGTCGTACTCTTGCGAGCCGGCAGGCCAAGCGCGTGCGGCGTGGCGGCGCGCTAGGGGTTGTCAGATCCATCAACGATAGCAAGTCGCGGGAATCTGATACAGAACCCGCCATGGCGGTTCACTTCAGTTGTGTTCGGCGGAGCGGTGACACCAAACGCCATACAGCAGATGGTGGACGTGTATTCAAGGTCGATCTAGCGAGAGATGAGGTAGCTATGTAGGCGGGAGGCCGGAACCAGTTTGCAGGTAGCCCCATCTACAACTGTCAGTTATCTAATATCCGTGTAAAGATCTAGGGGGGGAAGGGGTCGCGAAAGGACTTACTCAGTGGAGTACTAATACGGCCAAGCTCTCCACGTCTGGGTTGAGGACGTCTGGGTCGATGTCACACGGCAGGCGGCGAGGGTTGCTGATTGTTGCTCTAGTGCGGCGGCTTGGTCGCGCCAGGCTTGGATGGAGAAGCGCGTAGAGGGGGCGCTACTGGTTCTGGCGAGGCATAGGGTTGCTAGGCCGCCGAGGAGGGCGGATGGGAAGATGACCCATAGTGGTGTATGCCTCGTCAGCCGGTTCCGGGGGATGAATGGGACTCACCTTGCGAGACTCGGGACCTGGGGGATGGGCAGGACTAAGTAGGTATTTTACTCACCTCTCGCCTAAAATTCATCATAGCGGTGAGCACGGCTGATCTGGCGTCATCCGAGTGTGCCATCTGCTTGTGCTGCAAAAGAGCCATGCCTTGGAAGGGAAGGATTTCCTAACTTTACCTCCTATCGGTTGGAAGCCTAACGGAGCCTAGGCTAATGGGGAAGGTCGGGCCCTTACACCTGCCAATATGCCAATTGAGCTTCCTTTTGTGGCGTTCTGTACACGTGTGGCGATGGGGTCTATCGCGTCCTGCAGGGTTGGGTGTTACGACGCGATGTTTGTTGGGTAGAAGTGCGGTCAGAATATGCCTGTTAAGTAGCTTGGCAGATCAGGGCTGCCTCCCGAGCCCGCCAGCAGCGCAAAGTTACAAGGGTTGAACAGTGCTTGGACTTGATGAAGGCCTTCAGAGACGTTATTTGGAGTAACTGTATTATTTGACAACACATTACATATTCTATTGGCTATTATAATTCCAACTGATCACAGAGGAAGACACGCGATAAACCTCGTAGCGACAACCAGTAAGACATGCGTAGGCTTGGCAACGGCTTGACATGAGCCAAGCTTACCCCAGTCTGTCGTCAGGGCCCATACTGGCTCCAGTCGATACCCGCAACATCGTCATAGCAGCGCTCCGTCACGGCAAACTCGTGGCTGGCATACGCATCAGGCGGCAGCTCGTTCAGCGTCGTGCACTGCGGCAGCAGCGCAATGGGCGCGCATCCCTCGGGAATGTTGGCGTTGTACTGGTACCCGCCGTCGGGACCCTCGAAGGTGGCGTAGGCGTAATTGATCGTGATGAATTTGTACCCGTAGTAAGGGATCGTGTTGTTGCACGCCACGAAAGTGCCCACGCCCAGATTGTTCTGGAGGATGGCATACGGGTTGGGGAACCGGGTGATGGACGCCGGCGTTCCTGGCCCCCCGTTGATGAAGACATCGTGCTCGGTCGGGTAGAGCGTGTCGAATTCAGTCGGGCTTTGCGTGAAGATGCCATAGGGCGAGGGCGGCGTTGCGCCATCGGTGATGACGGTGCTCTGGCCGTACCGCACCCGCTCGTCGGTGCCGTTCTCGTAGAAGATGCGGCCGGGCGCCGAGGCTCCCGGTGACTGCAACACGGCTGCGTTGAACGGTGGGCCAATGTGCGCCGTCTGGACAACCCAGCCATTGACTGAGGGCGACAGGTCTTTGGTTGGGTCTGTCACGTTGGCAATCAGGAGAAAGCCTTTGGACAACGAAGTTGCAGGGTAATGTGGAGTGTCTCGTTTGGCTGGAGCTGCTGCTGCCAGCGCCGCGAGTCCGAGGGCTAGGATGGTCTGCATCGTGGTTGATGACGAGTATTTGCTAAAGATGCGGCCGGTGATGATGTGATGATATTGTGAGAGATCAAAGACTGGAAAAGTACGTCTCTTTATACTTGATCGACAGCGATTGTTGCCAGAGTTTGGAAATCGAAGGAAAATGTGGAGTTGAACGGGAATAGCGAGAAGGATCAGCTCCATATTGGAGTTTAGGTGGCCAAACCCGTCATCATCATGAATACGAGGTCCGAAGTCTCGTGAGCGCCGATCATAAGCGGGTACCACCTAATCGCGGCTGAGTTGATGCGGTTTCTGCAGTCGCTAGGACAGACCGACATCGTTTAGTTCCTAAGCTGCTTTGAGGACTATGCCACCAAAAGTGGGTATAATGGATCACATCAATGTAAGTTTCCGCCGTCAACATGCCTCGAAACTTCATCAGTGGTGGAGTTGATAAAAAGCGATAGATAAAGATGCAAAGATATTTTTACCATGCTAAGAAAGAGGGACCTATTAAGCTACCTACTTATTCAGCTTGTCCTACGGGCAGGCACGACACGATTTGCCACGCTAATGGTGCCATTTCTCGCCTCGTCAAAGGCTCAGTAATCACACGAACTTTTGCGACGCTCGCCATTCCGAGTGTAACTATGCATGCAGGCGACGAGAAATAGCAAAAGACAGGCGGTAAGGCTTGATTGTGAGGCTAACGTAACGTTGCCGGTCAACTGAACACGAATCACATCAGCATGACAAACACGAGAGCTCGTCGACGGTCGCATCCCCACATGAGCGCACAGTTCATACTCGTAGCTGAATATGCATGAGGGCCCGGCTTTTCCCTGACACGCAAGCACAGCAGAGCAACACACGCCGTGATGATTCCAAACTCCAAACTCCGCCAAGTCTACAAAGATCAAATGTAGCAGGCACCTGCTGGGTATAAAAGGACTATTTGGCAGGCTAGAGCCATCGTGTGAGGGGATTTCTTGGCTTGTCGACCTAGGTATTGACGATTCTGGATGCGAAAGGTATCATCAGTCTCCCTTTTGAAGAGTCTAGTGGATTGACCTGTGAAAGCCTCCTACGATAGACAGGACTTTGACCATGACACGGAGTCACCCAGCGACTCTAGACATGCAAGTGTTGGGATATCCTACGAGGTAGCTGTTATAGGTCGCGGCTGCAACCCGGGCTTTTGGCGAGAATTAGTGGAAGGTGTGGCCAACCCCCTAGCTGAAAAGGGCATTTGGGGAGGAGCTGGGCCTGCAGCTTTTTTTCCTCTTGCAATTATTCTACCAACCTAAAACCATCTTTGAAACAACCTATCAACAAGGCCCATTTGCAATTCTTTCTTTCGTACTGGCTCTTCAGTCCTTCAGATTGTTAGCCAATGTCATTTGAATAGGCCTTGGCGTGGTTGGCCTGCCACGCCGCAAGCAGGTGCCGTAGTGAAGGGGGGCCGGTGGCAGTATTGAAGGGTTGTCTGCACCGCTGAACATTCACTTGCGAGGCTGCAAGCTCCACGGTCAAATCTCCTGGCTGTCAAGTGAGGCCTGCTCCTCTTTCCATTCTTTCGTTCCTCACCTCATTTCTGAACGTTCTCTCCGGCTGCCGGGCTTCTTCGTTCTTCAGGGCAAGCATGCGGTTCACCAACGCCGTTTGGGCTTTGGCGGCCAGCTTTGGATTCGCACACGGGGTCCACTCCGGCAACCTTCGCGATTTGCCCGGGCGCCTTCGAAGCAGAGACAAGGAGGGCAAACAGCAGAGCCAGTTACAGCCCTTTCAGTCTGCGGCCGTCCTAGATACGCCTTCGCCTTTCGAGAATGCCAACACGACGAGTCAGCAAATCCATTACTCCTAGTCCTGCAGTTCGCATCTGACCTCCCACAGAGCTCTCCGTCAATGGCACCGGTCTACCCGAAGTCGAATTCGATATTGGAGAGTCGTACGCCGGACAGCTCCCCATTGGTGGCGACAGCGACGGCAATTTGTTCTTCTGGTTCTTCCCAACCACTAACAAAGACCGCCCAAAGGAGATTCTGATCTTTCTGAACGGCGGCGTAAGTCTTCCCTTGTTTTCCCAAATCGGGAAATGCCTCATAGTCTAACGCAAAAGCAAACTTTTTGTTCCCATAGCCTGGATGCTCCTCCATGACTGGGTTCATGCAGGAGAACTGCCCCTTTCAGTGGCACGAGTGCATGGTCGAGGCCGCTAAGAATCCCTGGAGCTGGCATCACGCGACCAATGTCGTCTGGATCGATTAGCCCATAGGCACCGGGTTCGCGACTGGCACCGTCACAATCAAGGACGAGGACGACCTCGCGCAGCAGTTCATGGGCTTCTGGAAGAACTTTGTCGACACATTTGGACTGCACCACTACGAGGTGTACGTGACGGGAGAGTCGCACGCGTGAGTTCCACGATTCTATTTCATCTCCCACAGAACAAATCGCAACAACTAGCCCTCCGAGACAGCGGCATGTTCGCACCCTACATCGCCAAGCACTTCCTCGACGCCAACGCTTCCACCCCAGGCTACTTCGGCGTGCGCGGCATGCTGCTCTACAACCCCTTCATCGCGCCCATGGTCGTTCATCAACAAATCCCCGCGGTCGCACTGGTCAACACCTTCCGCACCATCTTCTCCTCCACCGACAAGACACTCGCAATCCTCCGCAATGCCAGCCAAGCCTGTGGCTACGATGCCTTCATTGCCAAGCACCTAGCCTTCCCTCCCCCCGAAAGCTCCAGATTGCCGAACCCCTCATCCCGTCCCACAGCACCACCGACGGAATCTGGCTCGACGTTCGCCATTGCGACACGCACTTCTTCGCCCTCTCAAACTACGCCCTCTCCGACCCAGGCTTCAGCATCTACCAACTAACCCAACTCGTCCCCGTGCCCTACAACCCACTCGCGTCATGCCTCAACCGCCCTGATGTCAAATCCGCAATTCACACCCCAACATAACCTGGAACCAATGCAGCTCGAGACCACCCTTCGCCTCCCCAAACGGCGAGGACCTCTCTGCCCCCTTCGCCGTCTCTGCCCTGTCCAGCGTAATCGACCGCACCCACAACGGCATCTTCACCCACAGCGTCCAAGACGCCGAGCTCCCCGCCGTTAGCCTGCTACTCGCCATTCAAAACATGACGTAGGGCAGCCAGCGCGGGTTTCAGCGTCGCCCCTCGAACAAGTTCTTTGTGCCAGGCCATCCTAGCTAAGTATGCGAATGAGTGCCACCTGTCCGAGTTATCTTAGTTGAGCAGCTCCGCGCGCCAGTAGATTTTCTCGAACACCATACCGACGTGATTGTTCAACTGCATGTCAGAAGTAACGTAGGACGTCTGATTCGGTCACATGCGTCCCGGTTATTACCACCCCCTCCCATTCACTTCATAAATACTGTGTGCTGTTCGTCTTTGTTGACATCCAGGGCGACTGAGGTTATGTAGTCACTCCGGGTAGTACGGTTTGGAGTGGAAGACAAGATCGCCACGGGGGAAGCTTGTATTGACCGTCCGAGCGCTGCCGAATGTATCTCGACACCTTTCCGTCATCCAATCTGAATTTCTTGTCTCGGGAGCAAGGACTAGAACTGCCTGTATGTTTCTATATTCTTGAGCCGACTCCGCTGCATGGCCTGGGTACGGTCCGCAATCCCCGCTCCTATCCACAACATCACCTTTTGTTCCGAGCCACCGACAGCTTTTGTCTTATCCAGAGTAGCATTCAGAAGCCTCCCAGCAGGCCGCATCTCGGTGTATCTCGATAGATGCAAGCTGATTGGATACCGGCTCATAGAGTTCAAAGAGTTCAGAAATTGCTCGCACAAGCCACCTCCGTTCTAGTGACAGAATATCCCTCCAACGTGAAACTCGATACAGTACGTAAGGGCTCGGTCTTAGTGTCTCGGATGCACAGAATCACTACTTGACCGGATGCAGGCTCTAACCTTGGGTGACATAACTGGCTGCTAGCCTCCGATGTTAGCTCGCTGACCACAATTCATTAGAGCAGCGTCGAAGGGGGGAATGGTTAAGATAGATGTCCTGCTCGCCAATGATTCGGAAAGATCCGGACGCATCTCCTTGACACGGTGCGGTCCCACTACGGGACTGTATCACATGCCATCGCCTTGCCGCCCATTTCTTGTCAAGCCCTTCTGTGCAGGGATGGCTAGTTCGGGCCTATGAAGGCAGCCCAGTACAGATTGATCAAACCCGGTAGCCTTCTTATCGTTCCATGTCCAGCTACCCCAATGTGGTCAATCTCGGCCAGTCGAGGAAGGCTCACGTCATCCTACTCCCTAAGATCCCAATTCGTTTCTACGATGGTCGAGGGTAAATGCAGCACGTCTCATCAACAATCTACTCCAGTATCCTTTTCAAGGCATTAGGTGAGGGGTTGCACGCTGCAGTGTCATGTGCACTTCATCCCATACCCGAACAGTGTCCTGGTCATAATACGGATACCGGGTCATATGCACCACACAAGATACCGCATACCGTGCGCACGTCTGCCCCTCCCATAAGTAGCTAGGGTTAGGGGAACAAGTCCGCCTTTGGCGAGAATGTGTGTGATGAGCAGTTGCGACTTTGGACAGTGGAAAATTGATGCACGAGATTGGGCGGTGGACCGGCAGGGAGCTCGTTCCGGCACATCTGATTTGGTAACTAAGACACCACTGGCCGCTCGATCTGCTGAACGGCGGGATGAGGCGGTCTGTGGTGGCAGAAGCCGCAGAAGCCCTGCTTGCGCGCTTGTATGCAGGAGACGACTTGGAGATGATGGGAGGGAGAGAAGTGTCACAGTTGAGGATATACGGTCTCAATACCAGAAGTTGGATTCACATAATGCAAGTGTGTATTGAAAGGTTAATGTGGCAGTCGTAGAGTATCGACGTATGGTAATTGGAGTTTCGGGCGGTTAACGGGACAAGCACTACTAGGCAGCTGGAAGATATGTCAAAGCTATCGAGAAGTATAAGGAGACGTTTAACTTCGCTCTTCGAGGACTTTGGGCCCTACGAGACGCTCAGGACTTAACTGACGTCAGCTTGGCAAGGACGCCCTTGGTTGGCTCGCAAATTGAAGGGGAAGAGATTACCTTACATTTCAGAGCGGTAAAGTTGTTACAGTGACCGCAGGAGATTGAGTCCCAAATTTTCGTCTAGTATTACTTCCCTTAGTACCTAACCAAAAAATTTCTCCTTGCCTTCAATGCAGATGACCACGTCGTTGAAGAAAGCCGAACACAGTCGTCAATCTCTCCGGGATTTCTTCCACAACCTGCTCCACAAGTGCACGAAATTGTCCCTCATACCAATCAGCTCGCCATCATTTCTAGCCTGGACAATACCCTTCCCAAGAATTTCAAGCGTCTTGCTCGGCAGTCGCAAGCTCGGGGGTCCCCTAGTACGCAACACCGTCGCCGTAGCCGGGGCATCAGCGCCTCCACCGACGCGATGGTGCTCCTGCAGACTCGGGATCCATGCCCAAGAGGAGACAGCCCCCAGCGCCATGACAAAACCGTAGGTAATAAACACCCAGCCGAGGCCGTTACTATTCGGGTCCGACACGTGGACGCCGTTAACGGTCCACGAAGGCAAAGTCGACTGGACGAGGACGGAGCCGAGTTTCCCAGCCGCGGCCGCAATGCCATGGCATGTAGCCCGGTACCGGGTCGGGAAAATTTCGGCGGGGATGACAAACGTGAGCGTGTTGGGGCCTAGGTTGAAGGAAAAGTAGCACAGTGCGACGAGTACGATGCTGACGGCGTGGAAGTCATTGTGGAAGACGGAGAAGAAGGAGCCGCCGCAGATGAAGAAGAGCACCGCCATCCAGACGAAGGAGTATGTCAGGAACTCTTTGCGCGGTATGTAGTCGATGATGAGGAGTAGTAGCAGGCACCCGGTCATGGACCCCACGCACACGGTAACGAGGTTCTGGATTGCGTTGTCTCGCAGGGCTTCAAAAATGCTGGACTGAGGTTTCGCGGCGTTGGGATTCCAGCTTGGAACGTCGGTGAGAGTCGTGCCTTCTGGCACGTAGGCCCAGAGTTTTGCGAGGGAACCTGGGTTGCTCAAGCCGAGACCATAGAATGCTCTGTTGTTCTGGTTAGCAGGAGATGCCGATCTAATTTGAATGGGCACGTCATCCAGCACTTACATGTCTAGGAGAAGCCAGCACATGGATGTCCCAGCCAGACTGCGCCAGTTTCCCTGGGTGATAAAGTAATCTTTGAGGTCCTTCCTCGAAAATTGCTCTGGTAGTTCCTCTTCTGGTTCGTGGTGGACAGCGGCGCCGTTCATATGGTGCCCGTCATGCATGATATCGCCGCTCATTTCGATCGACTCCCCATCGTTCTCAGAGTCCGGTATCTGTGTTGACATTCGGCGATAGCCATAAAGCGTCATCGTGTTCTGCACAGCCCGCGTGCCCTCGTCCTTCACATCGAGGTCATAGAGACCCGGGTCGTTGATCTGGAAACGGAAAATGATGGCGATTAGGGCGGGGATAGCACCAACACCGGCCACCCAGCGCCATATCATGTCAACAATCTTGCCACAATCGCCCTCGCTGGGCGCACGGCAGGACTGGAGGTTGTATGTCTTGTTGTAGCCTAGCAGGACGCCATATGCCACAAGCTGGGATATGAGTTGTCCAAGGGGCTGCATGAGAAAAACAGCGACCATCATCTTGGCCCTGGCACTTGTTGAAGCCCACTCGGTACATATGGAAGCTGACAGGGGATACTTTAAATGGTGTTAATTTTGCGCAAAGGTTCTGCTTAGGTAGATCGACGAGACTTACCTCGGCGCCAATGCCCACACCCATCAAGAAACGCATTGAAGCAATCCAAGGCAAGACAGCAATGGAGCCGTTTACGCCAGTCGAGGATGCAGATAAAGCAATGGTTGTGAACAAGACGATGACTAGTTCAATACCGTACAGTCGGGTCCGCCCGTATTCTATAGGACTATAGCGTTAGGACATATCATTGCACCGGAGCCAAGATCGTGATACAGCTCAGAGATCTGAAAAGAAAAGAGGCATACTGTCGGCAAGGTAACCAAACAACAGCTGGCCAACAGCTGAGCCGCCCAGGGTCATGCAGTTGATGAGGGACTCGCGCCATCCGCTCGTCTCTTCTGGCCAGTACACAAATGCCAGCGAGGGCAGGATAGCGTTGGTGGCGAACAAATTCCATGAATCAGTTAGGAAACCGCTCGCTGCAACGGCATACACCAGCCATCGAAAGCCGTGGGCATCGATGGCGCGGCGGATGAAACGCCTTTTTTGCAGTCGCGTCTGTGAGGAGGGGCGAAGCGAGAGGTCAGATCTCTGCGAAATAACACTGATGAATCTCGACATTTAGGAACTGCTTACCGTCAGGCTCTCTGGAATCTCAGGTCTGGAAACTGTTGCTCCCATGGTTGCTGGTTGAGGACGTTGACCGAGGACGGATGAACATGCCATTCGGCTGCCTGAGAATTGCGAGAGTGAGAAGAAAAAACATACTTAATTTAATCGTCGAAGGGAAAAGAGCACGCGAAATAAAGAGGTGGTTCAGTGCATGGCTCGCCAAATTACAGCTGCCGTAAGCGAGGAGAGACGAGGCTGCGCTTTGGACAGCCCAACTCACCGCATATCGATAGTCTGTGATACCGCCACGACACCGACTAGCGCAGCCCTGGAGGCCCATTCTAGCCCTTCCCGGGACCTTTGCGTAATTCGTGACAAGGCGCAGCTAGATCTGGGAGAAGGCGGGATGCGCGGGCGTGGGCGCACCTGCCTCTTGAATCAGCCAGCAAAGGCGGTCGTGCGTACCTACGCAGCCCGACCCGAGCTTGGGGGGTGCCTTACCGAAGTCAGGAGACGTGCCGATCAGTCACAGAGGTAGTGGAGGGCAATTTCTGGCTTCAGCCGTAATGCGTGGCCCCAAGCGTGTCGCTTCTGCAAAACCCCTTGCCCATTACCAGGTTTTGTCCCTGCACATCCAGGCGGCAGCCGACACGTGCTGCAATACCGGCCTCTCCTTCGCCGCCGAGAAGCCCCCGCACTGACCTCCCCCCCCGCTCCCGTCGCTCCCCGCACCGTTCTCCCACAAGAAACCCACAACTCGGAACGCCTCCCAGGTTTAGCATCTCAGAGCCTTTGTCAGTGCATGCTATGGTGCTTGCACGTGGCTTTAGCTGCCCCGAGTTCATTCCACGTTGCCGCTGGCAAAACCATCCTGTCGGGAATCCATGCTTCTGCCAATCCCAAGTCTAAATCCACTTCCAAGACACTGACCTTCTTTTGCTTGAGTGTCGAGAGTTTACGGTTCCGTCATGAACCCTCCTGGAGTTGGCATCAACGATATCATCGCCGTCATCAAGAAGTGCAGAGACATCTACACGAGTTTCACCCACGAGTACGAGAGCGCACCCGCCCGCGTCCAGGAACTCGTCGACACGTGCCGCTATCTTACCAACCTGTTCGGCGATGTCACAGCTGTCGACGGCGGCCGCTTTCCTGCCGAGTTGCATCGCACATTCACGCGCAAGCTCCAGGAGTGTAACGATTTCTTAGCCAAATACCACACTCTCAAGACCGAGTACCAGGCCGAGCATGCTACTGCCACTGGAACCGACCGCCTGCGGGATAGCTGGCTTGCGGCATGGCAAACTACCCGCTATGCGTTCGCTGAACAGAGCGTCAGGGAGTTGCGAGATGCCCTAGAGCTAGAGACAGTGAAGCTGTTGGCTTTTATCGTGACGTCTATGAGGTACGTGGCGCCTTATTCCTGGGTGCCCCCCAATGTCCTGGTCCAGTACCGATAACACTCGTATCGCCAATCAGAAACCGCGCGACCAACTCGACGTCACTCAGTACGTCGTGGCAGAGCGACGCCATTTCACAGAGCCCGCCGGGCTACGACCCAAGATGGATCGAGGAGATGTTTAAACGCTTGCGGTCCATCAGCAACCGGTACGAACGCGAGACGAGCGCATCAGCCCAACTCCTCCTAGCAGGAACGACAACTGCGCGTCAGCTAGACCTCTCGGCAATATACGGCGACATGTCGAGCGTCTGGAACGAATTCTGCGCCCGCGCGGGCTTGCCCGAGTCCTCGCGTCCACCCCTGCTAGTCGACCGTCTGCTGATGGCCCCTACAAGTACAAGAAACGACGCTATCATTGAAGCCACTCGGCCATCTGTCCACGCGTCTGCCTTTGCACCGCTCCGGAACCTGCAAGGGTGTGAGTACAGCGTGTTTCCGCCCGGACGCGCCAACACTCTGGCCTCAGAATCAGGCTGGGTACCACCATCCGCGAGCGTCTCGGCTCGAACAGACATCTCTTCTTCTAGTACCATCAGCCTTTCTCTTCCGAGCGCGTCTAACGCCACAACGCCGTCTATACCAGCAAGCGCCAGCCTGCCGTTCATTCCGCATTTCAGCCTGCATTCCCACAGCAGCTCGCAATCTTCATTCATCCCTATTTCTCCTGCAGTGTTTCACATCGCCCCTGTCTACGTCACGCTGCCCACAGATAAAATCACGTTGAAGGAATGGCGTGTGGATCGTCTGAGCCTTAGACCTAAAATAATCTGGACAGCGGCGAAGCCGCCTGGAGTCCTAGAGCATTCCCGTACGTGCAGCCACTCTAAGACTAAGGGCGTTATTATGTCCTGTGTCACTCCGTGCTGATATAAAACGATGGCTACAGTCCCACACAACGTTTTCCCCAACACGCTACACAGTTCCCAGAACAAGAGGCTCCATGTCGGCTTTCCCTCTCCTCGAGGCCGAGATGATGAACACCACCTGACGTGGAGAAGAGACGACGGCGTCGGTAACAGTGAGTACCGTGACATCGTACCCGAGTACTTGTTCAGGTCACCCGAGGCGCATCGAGATTTCCAAAGCGACGTGCGCGATAAAGATCTCATCAAGGACGGTACTTTTGACACGGACGTAATCTGGACTGATCGAACCGAGTCCCGTCACGACAGACGTGAATCATACGCACAGGACTTGAAGCTATGGCGTGGGCGGGCGGGCCAAGCAGGAAGTTTGTCGTTCAATGTAACAAACGGTATATACAAGGACCGCCATGTCGAATGCGAGTTGCGACGCCTTGCCCCTGCGGCCCGGCTGGGGAGCAATGACCTTGTTTATCTAGATTTCATTGACGGCGACAGGAACAGCCATGGAACCGCCGTGTCCGTCTCCGACGAGCCAGGCAGTCCAACAGGGCCACCATCACTGAAAAGGAAGCGCTTCTCGGGCATCTTTTCAAGAGGGACAGAGGGAGGGAAACTTAACAAGAGATCATCGAGCACGTCCCAAAAGTCGGTCCAGCTGCATTTGGGAGACCCGGACTTCTTCGATGACGTGCAATATCTTGCCATCAAGTTTAGCAACACCGAGAACCGTGATGGTCGCGTCGTCGAAGTGGCATCGCAAGGTAGGTGCTTTTTTATCGACCAAAGGGAGGAAAGCCTCCCTCGCTTGTTCCATCAGATCCCTTATTCTTTCGCAGAAGTTTAGTACCGTGTACTGACATGGCGAATATGCATTCTGTGCAGTGGCTGGACGGTTCAAGAAGCTCTTTGACAAACATCGCAAAGAAGACACGGAGAGACCCTCTCCAGTCTTACCCAATCTCCCTTTCACCACCCCAATGTTTGGCATGGAAGCTCGAACGGCTAGTCCGAGCCGCGAACCTCAAAGTTCTAGCCGAGATGTGTCACCTACATCACTTCCGCCGCCCGACAATCGAGACACGCCGGGCGTCAGGGCCAAAACGCCATCGGACCTATTGCTTCCACATCGCTGAAGCCGGAACTCTTTCTGCTGATCCAAGAGTCCCAGTTATCCGCTACTGGCGACACTTGTCACACCTCGGGCCCCGAGTAAGCCGGGTGCGACACACTCTAGTTCGTGATACACGGCCGATATCGAGTAACACCTTGTGGTGAGAGAGACTAGGAATAGATACCGCCATCTAATCCTCATTTGTCTCGTGCAAGGAAGGCTGCTCACCCAGCAACCAAAGGTGGAGTGAATCACAGTGTCTCGGCCAGTCCAGAAATTCTTATTGTCCCAATACAAGCATACTAGCCTTGCAAACTACAAGCAGTGCGGGCCATCCCAGGTAAGGACCTCTCCGTTATTCACTGCTTTGACAAACCTTTGTCACTTCGACCATGCTAAGTTGTCAAAAGAAGCTACTTTGCGGCATCTCAGCACAGCATGCACACGTGGGCAAGATCCCGCCAAATGGCAGCGAACTCTAATAGAATGCAACAAACCAGAAGATTCAAGAATTCTGAACAGCGACCAGGGGGGGGTATTCGGTCTTGGACGAGAATATAATCTATGATACATAGTCACGCGCGGACCAGCGCGTTTTTCTAAATACACTCTAGCCAACTCGGTTGTTCTTCAGGTAGGGTCCAAGTCCGAAAATATTGTCCAAGGACTGCCAACGGGCATTCCGGACACTCCGCATTTACCGCGTGCCAGTAGTACCGTTCCTTGCTCGGTTCTCAAATGAATCTTCCTTTGGGCTGCGGGATGGTATTTGTACGGATACAGTCCTATTGAAGTGGGTCATGCGCTTGAAAAGCTGGGCGATGGGTCGGTCGTTCGTGTTCCATTGGAACTGCTGTTGGCCTTCGGCGATGATGGGAACGCTTAGAGATGCGTACTCAACAAAACTAGCGGCTTCAACACCAGTAAGGAATAAGGCGTCGACTAGGCCGCGACTCCTGTCGGTGTTAGGCGGTCTTGTGTTTCCGAGCATACCCTGTACCAAATTGGCGGTTTGTTTGCCATGCGAGTTTGGTGGTAAAGTTATGCGTTTTAGTTCAGTTAAAACCCGCTTCCGGTAGGCCTCATCAGCCTCCTGGTCATGCAAGAGCTCGGTTCTATGCCCAAGACGGGAGGGAATTGGGATGGATCTTCCAGCCGCTATCTCTTGAAAGGCCGACTGATGTCAGGTAGCGAGGTCGTCCGAAGATGGGCAGAAGGATCGGCCGGAGTTGTGGCCTGCTACGGGGCAGGACCCTTAGTCCAGACTTTGTCAAAAAGGAGCTGGGTGTGATGATAGCAGAGTTCATGGCGGATACTGGAGAAATCCTCTGCGCTGAAGATAGTGGTATTATCGGGAGCCCCTAGCAGGGTCGGCGACACAGGATAACATAACAATGCTGGAGCTTTGGGAGCGGCAGAGGCCTTGAAATAGATCGGGTAGAGCCGCGGTTTCGGGTCTCTTTCCAGTCAGCCTGTGTGGGTCAGCGGAGCGACCTTCTAGTTAGTAGTGTGAGTAAGTTTGCCTCGAGAGGGTCAGCAGGCGGTTCGGAAGGCTCTGCGTAGTCGGTTCTAGGCAGATCTGATGGATCCAAGTCACTGGCAGTGTTGGAGAGCTTAGTTGGTACGGACTCGACAGGCGGCTTGGCGCTGCAAGTACTGGGGGGTCGGGAAACAGCAAATTGCTCGACAACGACAATGCCAAATTTGTCCAAGCCAAAGCTGGTAGGTAATGCACTCTCTCGAATTTTGGATATAGGAAACACCCCCAGTTCCCGGAGATCGGCCTGCATAATAGGGTCTCGGGACTGGACGATGCAGGCACGCTTGATGTTGTTATGTCGTTGACACATGATGATAGTCAATGCCCGGGCAGTATCATTCCACTCCGGGAGCTTCAATGCACTAGCACGAAGCAGATTGTAAAACTTCTCACCCCTAGACTCCCATTCATAGTGCAGGGTGACTTCGCGGCCCCAGCGCTTGGCCACGGCCTTCAGGGCGGCGAGGCACTTGGACTTGACCTGGGCCGCCGAGGTAGCGATACCAAAGTAGCACTCCCATTCGTCGCGCTCGAGGTTATTGTCGAGCTTCTTGTGGCGACCAGTCGGTCGTAACGTCCCCTTGCTGGCCGTCTCTCGCTTTTTGTTTTCGTATCCGTGACAAGCAGCCGACATGACATCGTCATAAGTGGCGACCAGAATTTGCAGTTCAGTATTATGGCGGAGTAGTTCATTGCGCTTTTCCGCACATAGCTCGAGCTTCTCGGCATCGTCGGTTTTGTTAAGCAGCCGGTTACGAAAATCCTCAACTTGCTGGAGTTGATCGCGTGTCAGCACCAAGGCGTTATCTCCAAGAGAGTCGTCCTCGTCATCCATCTCCTGGAGCGTTCGACGCGCTAACGTGTCTGACAGAAATGGTCGGCATAGCGCTAAGTTCTACCATGCTATTGAGGATGATAACGTCGCTGGATGTAGTTAGAGAGTGGTCTTTCGCCATCGTTTTGTCCAGGTTGTTTTTATGAGCGGTCAAGAGGAACTATGATGAAGCCACCACGTGTCGCTAAGCCGACCCACTTTTGGTGGTAAGAAGTTACCACCAAAAGTGGGTCTCCAACCACTAAAAAGCAGGTAATCGCGCCTGTATGAGATATATGTCTAACTTAATCACAAAACACGAGAGAGAATTGTCACGAATCCCTATGGATTCCCTGTGGATATGCACAAAGGTGGGGCATGCTCTTTTTGGCGCGGGCCAATCAGGAGCGTTCCAGGGTTCCGAGCTCTGGAGCTCGGGGACGCGGGACAGTTCCGGTCGGGCGGTGACCCGGACGCGGGACCACGGGACAACGGAACCACTGTTATTGGTTACGTAGATAGATATATACGACGACCGTGACCACGGTCTTAGATAGTTCTTGCTTGGTTCTTCAAACAAGCAATACACATTCAGTGCACTCAAATACTTTGAGTGGCATTCCGATTTGACTGTATTACCCGTGCGATAGGAGCTTGCCCTTTGTTCTATCTTATAATTACCAACCCCAGCATCCTGTGGAGCCCGTGCCCCCTTACAGACAGACGACCCTAACAGTCGAGTGGTTTGTAATACTTGCCTCTATACGGATCGGCGCCGGTCCGTGTCTCCGACTCATTACCGGTCTCATTGTAGAGTGTAAGAGAAGGCAGGTACGCCTGATCAAGGTGGTCACAATAGGAGCAACAAGCAGGGCGAGCAATGACTGGTATTGGCGTAAGACTTCAACCTGGCCTGAGCTAAAGAGGTGTGCGAAGGCCATGGTCTATATACACGTGAAAGGGGTTACGAGTCATCCTTGCGTAGCTAGGGTGGTAGTGGCGATAGTGCGTGGCCCTGTTAGCGGTGGCGATAGTGGCGATGGTGGCGAGGGTGGCCCTGGTGGCGGTGGCCATGGTGGTTACGAGGGTGGTTTCCTTACATAGAGCCTAGGTCGTCGTTGTTATTCTATACCCTACGCTACGAACCTCAAGGGTCAAGCTCCAGCTTAATCGCCATAAGCTCCGCTACTTTCCCACCTCGGCCTTTCCCAAGCTTTCATCAAAAGACGCAAGTAAAGGCCAGGTAGAGGGTTACCCCCACGCTCATCTGCATGAAGGCCACCGAATAAGCATATTATATATAATCCTCAGTACTCTGATTTCTTATCTGCCGGAAGCTAAGTGGCTTAAGTATATACGACACTCTATGGAGCAGATTCAACCTAAGCTGTTCTTTTCACTATACCTGAAGAATTGTCAACCCGACAAATGGCTGCCGAAACCACCCCGCTTCTCAACGGATATCACCGACGGTAACGCTTGCCTCTATTTGAGTAGAGGCACTGCAGATCTCTACTCGCGTTTATCTTCTGCCTTGCCCTCTCGGTCAGCCATCTCTATATCCAGACGAATGTCCTTCCTCCATTTCTCCAGACTATCCCAGACAATCTAGTATTACAAACCACTCGACTGTTAGGGTCGTCTGTCTGTAAGGGAGCACGGGCTCCACAGAATGCTGGGGTTGGTAATTATGAAGATAAAACAAAGGGCAAGCTCCTATCGCACGGGTAATACAGTCAAATCGGAATGCCACTCAAAGTGTATGAGTGCAGTGAATGTGTATTGCTTGCTTGAAGAACCAAGCAAGAACTATCTGAGACCGTGGCTACGGTCGTCGTATATATCTATCTAAGGCGGACCAATCAGAGCGTTGGTCCTAGGTGATCAGTGCGGTCAGTGTGCTCAGTTCCCTCACTGATCGCCCTGACCATGCTGATCGTACTGACCGCCCCGTTATTGGCTGCACTTGAGAGAAGCGGGGAACCACTCCACTTCCTTGCGTTAGCCAATAGCGGGAGGCTCCGTGCAGCCTCCTGCGCGCCTGAACCAGGATCGTAACATCTAGGCCTCTTAATTAGCACCCTTAGTTTAGATATTATTGGAAATATAGCCGAATAGGTCTGGGTCTTCATTATAAACGAGGATGATAGCTACTTTCACGATGCGTTGATTGGAGCTAGACTGGATAGCAAATAGCGAGATATACTGCGGAAGGTTGAGTCATTGGACACAGCCCTCTAAGTTAGGTGGGGGAGTAAGCGAACGCCACTGATCCAGAACATTCTAGATAAGCGAGGAACACAACCAACCCTCTTATATAAAAAGCCCATAACTCAACCAATTCTTTTCCAATTCTCTTCATCTTCAATTCGTTTTATTCTTCTCTTGACAATGGTTTCATATACAGAAGAAGACCTCCGCAAGGCTTGCGAGGAAGCCGTCAGAACACATCGATTACGCAAAGTCGCGCGAAAATGGAACGTTCCACCCTCCACCCTTTATGGCCGTCTACATGGCTCCCTACCTCGAAATGTTGCTCATCAAGATGAGCAAAGGCTTACACAGACCTAAGAGGATCGTTTAGTCGAATGGATTCTTCTTCAACAAGATTTAGGATTGCCCCCTACACATGCACAGATCAGGGAGCTTGCACGCCGTATTCTAGCTGAAAGGGGGGACTCCTTACCACTTGGAAAGGGGTGGTGCCGTGCCTTTCTTAACCGCAATCGAATTTTGAAGACTCAGAGGGCCAAGAGAGTCGATTCGGTCCGCGTCAACTGCGCTACAGAGTCAACAATTCGACCTTGGTTCAACCATTTCCAAACACCAGCTATCAAGGCGATTAAGCCAGAGAATCGCTGGAACAAGGACGAATCTGGTATTATGGAAGGCAGAGGAACCAACGGCCTTGTCATTGGAAGCCGTGCCTTTAAGGCGCTTCAAAAAAAACAGCCTGGAACCCGCACTTGGACCACTTTTGTCGAATGCATCTCAGCAGCTGGCCGTTGCCTTCCTCCTTTGGTCATTTTTAAGGGGAAAAGCGTTCAACAACAATGGTTTCCTTTGGATATGAAGCCATTTCAGGATTGGTTCTTTACAGCAACTGAGAAAGGATGGACTACCGATGAGACAAGCCTCAAATGGTTAAAAAATGTGTTCATTCCTCTCACCAAGCCAGCAAACTCCTCTGAGAAACGACTCCTTATTATTGATGGCCATGGCAGCCACACAACTGCCGATTATATGTGGGAGGCATACACAAACAATATTCACATTATTTATCTGCCTCCCCATACTTCCCATGTCCTCCAACCCCTAGATTTGGCCATATTTGGCCCCCTAAAACGACTTTATCGCAGACGGCTTGAGGACCTTCTTGCTAACGCCTTTGACGACTCTTCTGTAGCCGGAAAACGTGCGTTTCTGGAATGCTACCAGATTTCACGCACAGAGGCAATTACTAAGAGTAATGCTAAGTCAGGATAGAAGGCATCAGGCCTTTGGCCCTTGAATGTCAACAAACCGCTAAGAAGCCCACTCCTCCTCAAGAATTCTAATACTTCACGCCCCTTAAGAACTACTATAGTTACCCCAGAGGTTCGCACACTCCGTATGCCAATCCTGGAGGATTATGGAGACGATCGGGTGCAGTGGAGGACTCCTAGAAAGGCACGTGATTACGTTGAGCAGGCAAAGAAGTTCGCACGCATCATCAAAGCAATGCCAGCGGATAAGCTCTTCCTCAGAAAGATTGGTAAGGCTTTGGATGAACAGGCCTTTGAACTGGCTATTAGGAAGCGAAAGATTGAAGGTCTAGAACACACTCTCGAATCAATAAGAGCCAGAAAGAAGAAGAAGGTTGAAGAAGATCCAAATACCACCTTTGCGAATATTCAGACTATTCGTGAGGCCCAGAGGGCTGTAGGGCGTGCAGCAGAGGTTTTAGAAGATGCGGAAGAAGCGGATGATTCAGAGGATATCAAAGATTGTATTGAAGTTTTGTAAATAAAAAGATCACCCTTTCTTTTGTTGGAGGGTTAGTTGGGACTCCTGCTTATACAGAATGTTCTAAATCAGTAGTGTTCGCTTACCCCCCCACCTAACTTATATCGGTACTACCAAGATCTTGGTTATTGCGGGTTCTTTGGTGCAGGCCTATTCACAAACTACGGGACTTCCTCTAGCTATAATCTTCTACGTCGGATTAATTAGACGCAATGTTTGCTCCACGTGGTTGAGTGGTCAGTTCAAAGCTATAGAAAAGAACTGGGAAGACGTGGTTGAAAGGAACCATTCTTGTTACGACCCTGGCTCAAAAGTGCAGGAGGCGCCATGAGCCTGCTGCAGATTGGCTAGAGCAACCAGAAGAGCGGAGCTCTCCCCAGGGTCGGTGCGGCCAATCAGGGAGCGCTCAGTGCGCTCAGTCTGTCAAGACCGAGGTGAGCACCCTAAGCAGGGCGCTCAGTGCGCTCAGTCTGCCAAGACCAAGGTGAGCACCCTGAGCAGGGCGCTCAGTGCACACTTGAGTGCTCAGTCCTACTGAGCACCCAGTGGAGCACTGAGCATGTAAGGGAAGGACTCTGATTGGTTGTTCATAGTTCTATATAGGAGCTGGCAGTACGCTCTCTGGGAGAACGGTTCTGCAGCTATCAATGCATATGGTTAAGCATACATTGGTTGTGTGTTGAAAGCTTGCCTTTCGAAATCCGTGCACGATACTCCTTGCCTCCTAGCACCTCCTCCCCATCGTCCCGGTTCCCACAATCCTAGGCCGGGCCTAGCTCCGTGGACACCCCGTTGTCCAGATTGTAACAATTCTTTATATGTACTTTCGCCTACAAGTTCTTAGATTACTCCTAATAAACTTTAGTAATATTTCAGATAGACCAGCCTATGAAATTTCGAAAGGGAGATTACGACGGTCCCGATTACTTAGAGTATCTAGTAATAAGATACGGGCAATTGCTTGGACATGTGGTCTCGGACTTATCTGTTTTATTGTCGGTGGACGACTTCCACCCGGTATATACGGCAAGATCCTCAAAGATATATTATCTCTTGACGTCCATATAGAGAAGCTTTTGAAGAGTTGTGTACCCACCAGAACGCTACTTCAGATCTACAGAGAAACAAGCGATTCGAGATCAGAGCGCGGGTATGCTGGTGGACTCGAAGGCAGTCAACCGGACCTTGGGCTTAGGAGAGCGGGGGCTCGCAAAAGGGTGGTCAGAGCGGGAGAGGTGCTGGACTAATTCTCGCCCACGCTGATTTAATAACAAGGACAAATTCTGTTGTCCTAGAACTAGTTTTTTGGCGGCTAGGTAGCGTCAGAGATTCGGGAAAGCTGAGATTCCATCTGGGAATGCCTCCAGTGGGGTATTAATAATGAATATAAGGTGTCTCTCGAATTCTGGAACTATCAACGCTCCCTAGCGATCTGCTGCGGATGGAATACATGTATATGCCATAACTTTCCTCAATAGACGGATCCTTGGGTCGCCGCCATAGACCGCGGGGAACGGAGCTAGTCCGTAACACAACCCCAGGAAGGAACCCCCTGGCGTTAGCCCTCCCCACGGAACCCGAACGCTGGGTGGGTTAGTTAAAAATTGCGAAACCCCACTTACATATCATGCTATAATAAGAAATTGCCGAGAGGTGCTATGAGAGACATGGAAGGTCTCTAAGAGATGTGTGATCTTAAGGCGCTCGGGGGTGAGCCAGGGGCAGGATGTCCGGACACCCTGGAAGGAGAATTTGGCGAAGCCATACGACCTCTTTCTCCCCTTCGCCCGCATTGGAGATTTTTTCGCAAATTATAATGCTTTCTCTACTTCTTTAATCAGTACAACAACTCCGACGATTAGCCCCAGACGGTCGGGAGTTAACGGAGAAACAGCAACCAGTAATCCCCTACGTAAGTCCATACACCTCCCCCCAAGCCTCAGCTTTCGTTCCTTCAAACTCCCTCCATTTTCTAATAATAAGCACAGTATTAGCAGAAATGTCCCTTAGCCCCTCTCTCCCGCGAAACATTATTACGGATTAACACCATAAAGCACTTTGGCCCCAACCGACAATAATGGAAGCAAATAAGCCGCGTCGCGTAGAAGCGCTCGAACACCTAACTACGAGCGTGCCCGAGCAGATTGAACCTCGACTGGGCCTCCTTTCCGATCTCGATACTATTACGGAAGAATAATTGACACGATACACCTGGACCCCTAATGGCGCTACCGGTTTCCTTAGCGTGGACAGTTTCCTGGTAACCATCGAGAATTTACAAGAATGGCGATCGCGTACTTCCTATCTTACGAAGATTGGGTTGTGATGGTCAGCGAAGACAGCCTCGCCGATGGAAAGAAATCGATTGTAGCCTTCGCCGTATGGGACATCTCACATAAAAACAAAAGAAAAAATCCCGGACGCGAGACTCAAAACCGTAAGCCTTTCGTCTTGTTAACACTCCTCAATTAAACTATATAAAAAGATTAGCTAAATAGGTAGACAGCCAGGGATGGGTTGAGAAGCAGGGAGGCGTGCCCGTAAGGATACTAACACGAGCGTGTCGAGGCCTTCCAGAAATGTCAGGCAGGAATCAATGAGAAATGCTTTGGATATCTGGGTTATGAGCGGATCCACCTTCAGATCCTCGCCACTCTGCCCAGCTTCTAGAGACGTAGCCACGGGTTGTCACTTTGCTCGTGGGGCATAGGAGAAATTACCAAGGACAGCCTGAAGGCTATAACAACCATGGCTAGTCCTATGGGATTCCACCTGTACAAGAAGCTAGGCTTTGTGGAAATCGGCGAGGGTGACATCTAGGTCCCTGGCGAGAAGGAGAAGGTCATTGTGAACGCGATGGTGTATGGTGTTTTGCCATGCCACGTGTTCTCATATATTAGAGCGGAGCGTGGCTAGATCAAGACTTACTAAATGGCGGTTTCTATCGCACTAGGCGTGCTCTCGCCTCCGCTTCGTGATTTCTATACAACCTTGCCGGGATTGGGGTCAAGGAAATTCGGTGTCGCTTTTTAGAAGGTTTGCCACAGACCAATAACACAACTACCGGTCCACACTAAGGAAGGAGCTAAAGACTGGAAAACGAAAAACATACGACGCGGACGAACTCAAAGGCCAAACTTAGGAGATGAACGTTCGAGATCACAGTGAGAGGCCCTAGCACCAGGTATGGTACAGGATATGTTACACAGCCAAGGCAAGCGGAGTATTAGCGCAAGGCGCATGAATGTCCGGATACGGTGACCTTGACTTAGCGAGTACTCCTAGTGACTTCGGTCACGAAATGTACGACGCAGCAACCCAACGAATTCATGGAACACCTCGATCCCCCCGAAGCAAAGACATAGGTTTCTTCTTGATATTCTATGCTAGCTTTCGGCCCGTTTTAGTTAAACTTTGGGCATCCTGACAAACTGCACATCCAGGTATGCCCCGGTAAAGTCTGCATTCACGTAATGCCAGCCACTCTCTGGGCCCCAATGAGAAATGACCCTCAACCCCACGTTAGAGCCCTGTCCAAGAAAGATGTTGCTCTCGGTCCCAGCAATTCCCAGCAGTGGAGCTGCCCATTCCAAGGTTGTCGTGAGACACAGCCCCTTGTTCTCGTTGCCGAAGCTTGCAAAGTTGGTATACATATCCGTTCGACTCTCAAACGTGCTCCAAGTGGTCGTTTTGGCCCGGAGCTGTAACTTCTTGCCGCTAGCCCAGCCATCCGACTCAATGTAAAACAGAGAGCCGGATCCGGCGGGACCGGCAGTCAGCCGATAGTTATCGGCCAAAGTCTTATCGCTCCAGTCCTTGGCGTACATCCCGAGCTCGGAGCCCCCGACCCGGATGCGGATCTTGTAGTCGTAGCCCTTGGTGACGAGCCATCCGCTCGAGTCGCACAGCACGTCGGGCTAAGAGCACGGTATCAGTAGAGTGAATCATGATGGAGTCGAGAGCAATTCACCATTTCAGCTTCTGTAGAGAACAAACTTTTGATAAGACCGAGTTTTGCGTTGGTTGCCGTGTCGGGAGGCGTAGAATGAAGGAGAAGGAGGATGAAAGAAGTACACTTTGCCCACTTCCGTATCTCCCTACTTATAGATCAACTTTAGCTCCATCACATACCGGCCCTGGTCAGCATCGAGTTGTTAGATACCCCTCTTTAACATGCAGACTCGTACGACCATGGTTCTGCCTAAAAAATGCTCAGCATATCTACACTCCTCTCCTTTTGTGCCCTTATCCAATACGGTCGTCTGAGGTTCGAACACATGTGTAGCCTCGTCCATGTGGTTGGCTGAAGGTGGACATCTGGCACGGTAGTATTAATGACTCGTGCATGAAGATCAGGAAGCAATTATCTTAGTGAGGAGCTAGGTAATATGCAGAGCTTACGCGTACACCTCGCTGATAGCCCATCGGGACATGAAGATCAGGAAGCAATTACATTACTTATACAGTGAGGAGCTAGGTAATATGCAGAACTTACTCGTACACCTCGCTGATAGCCCATCGGGGCATGAAGACTGTAACAGACGTATATGGGCAGAATTGCCGGTGGGAAGTGGATACGATGGGCGGTCACCGGGGCCGAAGAGAGGATAGACCACCTTGTATGTACTCTTCGCAAGGGCCAACAACCGCTCGTAGAAATTTCCCAAATTTCCCTATTGTCGGCCATAAGACCTTCCCATTGTTTTAGAACTCATCCATCCAAAGCGAGAGCAGGCAAAAGCCTTAAGCCGCACAGCACGATGCAGGGTTTTTTCGGAATCCTTCACTACTGGCGTATGCGGAGGGAGAGCCATTCGTACTCGTTCTGAGCGGCAAGACCTCTAGGGAAGGCGTCCCCTTTGTGACATGCTGGAACGGTACTACATGTGTTGTGGCGAGTGCTCTCTTTTTTTTTGTGATGCTTGGAGGCTTTCTGGGTAGTTATCCTTATTAATTCTCCGGTATTCTCTTGCAATTAGCCATATGACTTCATGTTCGCTCTCGAGACTTGAATTGCCCGGTGAACTGAACAATCCTAATGCTGCAGCAGAGGTTCAGTAGAGTGCTGGGGCATTTGTCAGAGGGGAAGAAGCAAGAAGATGCTAGACCTTCAAATAGGGTGTATTAGTTACGAGCCAAGTCGTCTTGCCGCGATCACTGGACATCTTGGTTGCAAGAGACCCCTTTTACCAAGCAAGCGCGCATGCAACGTTACCTACAAACGGCCCTCGCTCAGGCTCCACTCTCTAGTCTAGGTACCGCGTGAACTAGATAAAACGTCTGCTATTGGGCTCTTTTCCCAGAGAGAATGTTAACCGGCCCAGTTACCTACAAGTTTCAGGGTCTGATCCTGTGTGTAGCATCAACGCTTATCGATCAAGCGTCTAATTAAATCAGTTACGGCCCAACGCTTTCTTGGTTCTAGAGTCACAAGCATGAGAAATTTCTCAAAGACAAGCGTATACCTGAAGAGGGTAATTCTCAACTACCCATCTAGAGTATAAAACAAATCGGCACTTGTCAGAGACAAGGCTTGGTAACTGGCTATGTTATTATTTATTCCCGCTTGACTCCGTCCTATTATAAAAACCGTTTACGTATACTCGGGCTTCTGGTCTGCCCATCCTTTAAGCCCCTTCCTACGCCTGATCAAGGTGGTCACAATGCAGGCAAGAATGCAGGGGAGCAATGACTGGTATTGGAAGACTTCAACCTGGCCCTCGCAAAGGAAGGTGGGCGAGGGCCACTGTTTATATATATGCTTAGTGTAAGAAAGAAACCCCAACCCTCACACATAACCCACTCACTCCTTTGTTAAAGGCCCGCCTTATACTCTGTCATGTATATAAACAGAAGCCCTCGCCCTTTTCCTTTACGAGGGCTAGGTTGAAGTCTCTTGCTAATACCAGTCATTGCTCTCTTACTTCAGTACCTTCATTGTGACCACCTTGATCAGGCGTACCTGCCTTCCCTTACACTTAAGGGCTCCGCCAAAGCTGTGGGGGTGTGGCGCTATGGTGTGGCTTAGTGGCTTGTGCCAACTGGCAGTGTTCTGGCCAGTTGGTGACAGGTGGTGGGCGCGCACACTTTGTGCGCGCGTTGTCATGTGCTCATGTGCTCGGGGTGCTCCTTCCTTACAACGCAATAGTTTCCAAGTAGTGGGGTTCCTTTAGCCGGACTTATGCCGTACTACCCTTGAGTTCTAGTAATAAGGGGAGTAAATGGTTTTTTGGGGGTTTTTTTATTTTTTTTAGGAAAAGGAAAAGGAAAGTATTTCAGAAAGGCTTCATTTGCTTCAACAGCTGTATAATAAATAGCTGTAGTATTGACTGAAGGTCCTGTTGTGAAGACGAGGTAGTATGACTCTTTGTCATAATGGGGCGGGCGTATCTGTTGCTTGTGCGTATGTGTGGCCTGGTAGCCGGGGTTGTGACTGTGATATTGGCTGTGACCATGGCTGCGTTTGTTGTTGTTGTTTTGGTTGTTGTTGTTGTGATTGTGGCTGGCTAGGGCATTTGACAGCCCAGGCTTGGTGGCAGCCGTTACAGTTGATGCAGTTTGGTGGCTTCTTTGCTTCTTTACTCGGGCAGAAGGAGCTAGTGTAACTATCTAGGCTGCAAAACCCACACACTACTGCTTCAAACAGTGGTTGGCAATGTGGCCAAAGCTAAAGCACCGGTAGCAGTGAACAACGCCAAGTCTTTCCTTTCCAACTGCTTGCGTTTTCCCTGGTACAGTGGCTGCTAGTTTAGCCAGCCATGTAGCTGGCTGTATGGCTGGCTGTGTGATTGGTTGTGAGGTTGTCTGTGTGGCTTTCAAGAGTTCTTCGTAGGGCCGTGTTGTAGATGTTATCTTTCGGATGATAATGAATAGATAATTCACGACTTCAAGGTTGACAATTTTCTGGCCATTTTGCTTTGTGTAGATCGCTGCATCTTCCGGGAGGGGGTGTTCCGGCCAGGTCTTATCAAAATAATCCCAAATATCTTCTAGAATCCATTTCCAACCTTATACTCTTCATCATCGCTGAGGCAAGATATAGGGCTGTCTATGGAGCTGACAAAAGGGCTAGAGCCGGGTGCTGGATTGGCTGGCGTGAATGGCCGTGGTGGTGGTGTGGCTGGCTGTGGCTGGCTATGGAGCTGGCTGTGTGTTTAAAGTGGGTTGGCTACTGGGTCTGTGCGAGGCGGTGTGTGCTGGCATTTCGGCAATATTTTCGAGTTCGTCAGGTGCGAGGGAGCCGCCTGCTGGAATTTTCAACTGCTGCTTGCGACCGCGCAGCCCCTTGCGCGTGCCGGCCATGGTGGTAGGCTTTGAGAACCGTGTGCGGCGAGTTGAAAAATATTTATTTCGGCCGTTTTGCCGGCATTGCGCGCAAGATGCGCGGCAAGTATTGCTATTAGTTTACTTGATGCCCTCTGCGGAGCTAAAAATTGCAGTGCAGGAGCAGGGCAAGCGATGGTGACTGCCCGCAGATGCAGGACTGCTGTTTCCGTCGCCTTGGACCCAGAGAACGGCGTGGCGTCAATGTGGAGCAGCAGCGCCCCGCTCGGAAGCTCTTGCACTCGCACGGTATTGGCGACGAGGTCGTCGCGTGGCATTCGGCTAGCCGCAGCTAAAACCTATGGGATGGGTCGATCTTGGACGACGGGACTAATATTGGCAATCTTTAAGGAAGCGAGTCCGGGGCGAGCGGGGGTGGGGAAGCCGTTGAGTTTTGACCCCTCCCAGCCTTGAATGTGTGGGCTAGCACCTCGCTTGACGTTATCGTTATCGCCGTCTCTCCACCAACGCGCCCCAAAAACATTTGAGCATCGCGTTGCACCTGCAGTGGCCAGCGTCGGAATTTCCGCAGTTTCGCCATTGAACATCGCCGTCGTCCTTGAAGCACATCATCGTGGCGCCACCTCGGTCGCCGCGCGAGGCGGCATTCTGGCGCCTCCTCGACTTTTTCAATACCAACTCTTTGCCGGCATCGCCTACCGAGTGCGTCGAATTCGCGCCCATCAACAAAGACGTGCCGGGCCTCGTCTTTACGCCAGCTACGAGTAAAGTCAGTCTGTTAAAGAACACAACAGTTATCTGGTGTTTCATCATTTGTCGTCAAGTCAAAGCACTCACTTCCTGACCACCCCTGTCCTTTAATGTTCAGTCAGAGTGAAGGCGGTCAACCGAGGTAGAACAAACAAACCAGCCCCGCGTGCGAAAGGCCTGCCGCGCAAGGCGAAGGGCAGGAATTACGGTTCATGCATTCTCTGACGTGATATTATGTCTGACTCGGTGGCCCCACCCAGTCATGTTCTGGGAAATGAGCTCGTTCTCTTCTAATTATTGAGCGATATGACGATTACTCCTATTGATAATCCGTGTATGTGCGATTAGGTTTAGTACCTTTCATTTATGAAAACTAGACGCGGTTCCCACTTCGATACTCTAGAACTCGACTAAATTGTGTTGAATAGAAATGGGATAGCTCGAAGTTTTGAAGTGAAGTGCACACAGCCTAGCCAAAGAACTGGCCGTTCAAGTCTGCCTTTGAAGTTCCAATCTGCAACTGGTATACAAATGTGTTCACCTCGACATCTTCACCGCGATACGCACCGACCTTAGGATCACTCCGCCCAGGGAACATGTTTCCCTTCAGTGTCGTCGACTTCGTCGTCGTGAAGGTGACGGGCTCCCCATTCAACCAAACTCGAGCATGGCCGTCGGTGCTCTTGGCCAGGATCTCGATACCAATAGTGTAAACGGTGTTAACCTTTGCCGGGGTAGACCACTGCGTAGTACGACCATCGGTAGAGCTAGCTGACCACCGGAAGCACAAGTTGCCGTTGCGGATCTCCAACGCAAGCGGAATGTTGGCGCCGCCATCCTCGTCGTTGTTGGCAACGTACTCCTTCCACTGCCAAACCATGAGCGCGTGTGGCGTAGCACCCATAGCAAACTGGTAGCCGAGGAAGTATGTCTCGCCTGCCGTCGTCTTCTTATCCAGAGCGTGATACTCGGCCCTATTATTCTTTGTGAGAACGGCTACTTTGTATGCCGTCGGGTGGGAAATAGTCGCGCAAGCACTTACCGAATGTTCCCAACTTCGCGGTGGAAGTGGGCAGCTTTCTCACCTCGCCAGTCTTGGTCGCTTTTGATGTAGAGATCTGGGCTGTTTGAAGACCGACTTTCTCCTCGAGCCCCCTCGAGATTGATGTGCCCCATCTTTGAAGGATCATCGCCTCGGGCTGCATTGAAGTCGATCAGAAGCTTTGAAGCTACCAGAAGAGGCAGAGCGAGGCCATGAAGCGCACGAAGCGATATATACATCATGGGTAGACTTGGTATAACTTTCACAGTGTGAGAGTACGATAGAGTTTGAACTATGAGTGGCGCAACAGCCGGACTGTGGATGGGAAAGTGATGGGTTGGATTGCTTGCTTAGAAGGAATCTAGCTATCCGGGCAACAGCGAGATATATATGTGAAGATGATGGCCTGCGCTTGTGGAGCCCAGGCCCACATATGTTTCACATCAGGCCGATTGGACTAACCTAGCCGATACGAGCCACACGGACTATATAAGACTCGAGACAAGAGACCAAGTCACCGACTTCATAGAACTTGAACTTTAGCTCGGAGGTAACATGAAGTGAGTACCTAGTCCTCACCAAATCTTTACAAGCCACCAAGGGTTCCAAGAAATTATTGTAACTTTCCTTTTAGGTAACATCTTGCGATATGATATTGTGCAGATCTGCATTTAATTAAGCTTACACGGTGTTGCATAATAGTCGGGCCGACTGTCGCTGATCTGACATGCATGCGCATATGAGTGCAGAAGGCGTATAAAGAGAAAAAGTGGACTCTTCACAAGGCAGAAGCGATAACACGGCTGCGGTAGGCTGAGAGAAAAAGTGGACTCCTCACAAAGCAGAAAGCGATACACGGCTGCGGCGGGCTGTCTTTTAACTAGAGAGTCAGCACGGTTGCGAGCAGAATACCTTCCTTGTCTACCTTAACCAGGCTCCTTTGGCAGTCTGAACATGCCGCGTCAGGCGAGATTACAAGTCTCCGTCACTGTCCGTCATGGGGGCCGTGTCAAGAATACTCGGATCGACTACGGCTGTGACGGCGTTTAGCAACACCCACTACCGCTGCACCACACCTTCCAAAAGGATGCCAGAATTGCAAGCCGTCAGGCTGCAATTATATAGTGGGACATTGTGAAGGCAGGCATGTACGAGAGTCAAGGTTGCAAGTAAAGAATGGCTGTATTCGTAAGATAACTAAGCTAAGGAAAGGAAAAGGAAAAGAAGAGGCCTGCGGTTCCTGCAGGCTGTGGTTTTGCAGTCGGGAGAGTGGGGCTGCAGGGTGGGGCCTGCAGCCAGGACATGGTTGCGGCACCACGGACCATAGTTCGGCCGTGCCGTAACAGATATAATCAACTTCTCGGGCGTAGCAACCTTGTGAGCAAAGGTAGGTAGGGCCACACTTGGAGTGCGACTTCGACTTGCAGCATCTGCCCAGAATAGCCTCGAAGCCAAGGCTGACGCGACAGCCGCATCCTCGATTTGGTGAGATATGTGTTCAACATGATACCTGTGCCTTTCTTTACAAGGCTGCTAAATCTGACAACATTGATTTCAGATGGGTCCGATTGGCCTAGAGTAAGACACAGACTTCCCCTGCCAAGCCTATATCGGCCGCCATTTATGGCACCCCGCCAGCGCCTCGCTGCAGCTGTGCCTTGATTACTGGCCTCCAGCTGCGAATCATCAGGAGCCAGGGCTGAAATTCTGATCTCAGCAGACCTTAAAAATCCAAAAGATATCCGCACTTGCCCCCCCCCCCCCCTCTCATGGTAACAAATTGCCACGTCTGAGACTGAAACGTGGCAGCCTGACACAGAGTAACACTAGTCTGGAATGGAGGTGGGGAGATGTCGTTGGCGACTTTGACGTTGGTGCTAAGGGGCCACCAAAGCCGTGGCAACTTGATCACTTAGTAAGGTGCGGCGTGGCGGAACCCTTCCTTGGTGGAACTCGGGGCTGAACTGCAGTGAGAGATGCCGGTCCTGGCGATGGTCTTCCATTGACTGCTGCAAGCTCGAGAGTGGTTTTTTGCGGCAACGTCAGCCCTCGCCCCTCTCACTTTGGTTGCTTGCCCTGGCGCTCAAGGTTGAATGGCCCATGCTCCCGAATGTTTGATTGTGTGGTAGTTACGAAGGAGGAAGATACAATAGCAAGTAAATAGGCCAGAAAATCTTATATCATATGCTTTCAGAGAAGATATATGTCTATAGGATTCTAAGATACCTAGGCATCACAATAACTATTACCTCCCTCAGCGAAAAGTTTTTTCGGCGAGCCGTAAGGTGCTGAGGCCCTTCAGATCTCAGAAAGTCAGTCAGCGGTTGGACTGCCCGTATAAGGGCGTATGGAGGCGCTTTATTTCGTTCCCCGTTAAGCTTATACGTAAACTGCATTGCAGGGCACGGTTGCCAATTCTAACCTATCCAATGTGACTGGCAAACTGTCAGAAGCACTGCACACTGCACTGCACACTAAATTCGGTGGAAAAGATGGAGTTCCAAGTAATTCATTGAGATTCCTCCTCCTCCCGTGCTCTTTGGCTCAGTCAGAGAACCTCTATTATAGTTATGAATGGTGGCAAATAGTAGTCGTTGCTAGCTGAACTGACTACGTAAAGTTCAGCTTACATGAGCCCTTTTTCAGCTCGCATGAGCTCTTTTTCAGCTTGGTTGACCACACTACTTGGTGTTCTGGCACTGCGTGCCAGAACCCCCTTCTTTCTGACACAAACGACATGAACGCTGACAAGGTTGCGTTGCTTATGAGTAATCACGGCGTCAAGGCAGCTCACGTAAGGGTGGGGTAATCAAGACATCATCTCGGTGTCCGCAGCCTTCTCTTATTGGCCTGAGCCTCAATACGGATTACATACATTGGGCGGCGAGGTCTCCCCTCCCAACTCATTCCCAGCGCAAAATATTGGGCTCCCGGAGGTAACGTCACAGTATGAAATTGTTGGAACAACGCGCATTCCAGCCACATAGAGGTGGCTGTAGCAACGCATTCATCAGCCAGACAGGCGGCGGTGGAGGCGTAGGGGCCCCAGATTCCATATAAGTGGCCTACGGCCACCTCTTTCTTCTAGATACACATAGACAACAATAACCATCACTTGAACCACCAGCTTTCGGCGTGCAGCACGCCCTATTATTTCCAGTACCGGTACCTAGTGATTCCAACAGAAATACTTGTAAAATACCATACTACCTTAGTGAGAGACGAATACGTAGTGCGCTGCAAGCCCTGTAGTAAGACTTGTGCCCACTGCCCGTTTGTAGGTAGTTAACCCTTCCAGAGGCTGTCCAAGACATGAAGCCGGCTTGCAAGCAATCGGCTTACATGCAACAAACTTGTAGGCAACTGGCTTGCAATTGACAAGTTAACTTTGCTTGACGGCTTAACTGGCCTCAAGTGACTTGCCGCTGATAGATTTGCTGCTTTTCCAATGCAACTAGCTTCTAATCGAACCAATTACCTTACTTACGTATCAGGTTCGTTATAAGAACCGAATAGTTAGCTGTATTGCAGCCTTGTGTCTTTGCCCAGAACCCATAACTGGCCCGGGCAGCCAACCCATCAATTGCAAGCGAGTTGCCTGACCAGGATTATAGTCACCAGCTAGGTTTAAATCTGCCATGCAAATCGGCATAAGACTCGGATATATACCTAGTTTAAGAAGCCCTCTCATACAAATCCTCACACCGATCAACTGAAGTGGTGACCAAGATCTGAGACGACAAGTGTCAAGTGAACGCTGAGCACGAGAGAAAACACGGCACTGCCGTTGGTTTCTACTACCATCTATCCGAGTAAGGTACCTAAGGTCATTAGGCTGCTGATGCACTCAAGCTCCCGATCCCGATGTCCTTTTTCAAGCCAAAGTCAAACATCTGCCAGGCCAGCAACACGTATCCAACCAATTGTCCACACACGCACACACAACCGAAACCGCGAGAATTATATCTTGCATCGTTTATTTCGCGACCTCCTCAAGGTTCCTGACCACGTTCAATGGCACGGCCCGCCATGCCTTGAAGATTTGGAGGCGCCTCTCAGACTAGAACCCCGGGGCTTGCCTCGTCAGGGGAAAAAACTATGGGCCTGCCTTTTTTCCCTTTCCCCTAGTGACGGCGGGGCGAGGTGGGGACAAGGTCCATTGGCAGCAGACAGACAACCTCGCGCACTTGCCCAGCCCACACAAGTCTCAGGTCATGCACGCATGTTCCACGGGTCTAATTACTTTCCCGGGCTGGAAGCTCTCTTGTCCGCTGCGCGAGCGGTGTTCAATATGTCCAGAGCCTCTTTCAAGGTGAGCATGGAAAACTTGAAGTGGTCGGTGAGCGCCGAGTTGAGGTGGCCGACGACCTCGTTCCACGCCATTTCACTACAGCCGGCCTGCATCCACTCGAGGAGCTTCTTCCTATCTCGCAGGACGGCAAAGGTCATGTTCGGCTTGACTTCGTCGAGCAAGCTGCACGCCTCCACCTCGTCGGTGGGCATCTTCACCAGAAGGCATCTGCCGTGCTCGTCATACCCGACGTAGTAGTGGACGGGAACCTTGTTGAAGGTCACTTGGCTGTGGATGAGAAAGAGCTTGTTGGGTGGCGGATGGGGTTCACTCCCACCCAAGGAAGTCACTGACGAAGCGGTCAAGGTAGACATGTGCGTGGTCGAGGACTTGTCGGCTGAGCTGGCGCTGTCGCTCTGGCCTGAAGAGCCGTCCGACTTGGCTGGTGAAATTGTCTGCGGTCTAGGTAGAGACTCCTTGCGCTGTTGCTCGCGTCCTACGTGGACGGTGGCGGGGAGGTTCGACGTGGTGGATCCGGGAGAAGATTTGACGCTCCCCGGAGCCGAACTAGTATGTTTGACCAAATACCAGTAGGAATGGACGTCATCGGATGTTATGCCCTTGCCGAATTTATAATCCTCGACATATTCGGAAGGGAGGGCTCGACAAGGCACCAGATCGAATTGTTTCTGGTTCTTTCTGACGAAGACTGTGCTAGTGTAGTCTTCGTCGAGATTGTCATAGTGCTTAAGCCAGCCGTCCTCGAATGCGTCCTTCAGCACCTGAGAAAGAGCTTTTGTTCCTGCTCCCAAGCAATGGACAGATTGTTAGCCATGATTGCACATTCGGTCATGAGTAGATTGAAGCCTCTTACCAGAAGCCGAACTCGACATGGTCAATTGTTGTATGAGTTATAATTAACGACGGAGACTGAGAAAATAAACGGCCGAGTTGAAGCAAGAGACGTCGTTGGTCGCCAGGTGCTAGGCTTTGACAGTGCTCGCGGAGAAAGGGCAGAGTCGGGTGATCAAATGTGAAATGGAGCGGAGTGAGGTGTGAGTGCTTGGGGAGTTGATGGGTTTACGGGTCCTACATGGTTAGGAAGACGAGGACCGAGAATATATATCCGATTAAAGGGTTGTGGTAAAATCCAAAAGATTAAAAGTCAATTCATTTGTCTTCCAAGACAGCGCGGCTCAAAAGAGAGAGACACAAAAGAGACACAAATTGAACGTTCCTAAGGTCAGGAGGTAAGGTCGCACCCTGTCATGACGGGACGGTTGATTACAGCACGCCACCTTGATGCAGAATACTCCCTACCGAAGGTACCTATCAACTGCCTGCCTCCAAAAATGTGGTGTGCAGCCTGGTCAAGGCCCCTGTTGCGGCTTTTCCACGGCGGCTTGCTTACACCCTGGACACCATTTTAGAGGCAGTTACTATAATTAAATGGACACGCAACGCATGGATGTTCATGTCATGTCATTTCATGTCAACTAGCGCCACTGGGTCGAAACAAAACTACGCCCGCCGCACAGCTCGGTGATTTTTGGGGGCCGACACGTCTCCAATTTGACCTGAGGTGATGTCTTTGCCGCAGACCCCGCCATGCCATGCCTTCGTTCGTTGGCTCGTTCGTTCCTGTTGGCACTCTGCAGGCGGCCACAGATGCCCAATCACCCACCCAAGTGATTCCTGTTGTGACTGCTTTCTGTCTGTCTGACTGGATGCTCGGATCTCTGAGACGGACGAAACGTGGTGGGTATTACCAACGGTGCTGACATGTGTTTGGGCATGCTTATGTCTCCGAGGACAAGGCTGCTGCTCCAGGTCAAATCTCCAAGGAACACACGCCAGTCACCAGCCCACCCACCCTCCCCCCGTAGTCAGAGACCCTCATCCTGTGGTCAGAGTAGATGTCATGACGCCGAAACAGCCAGGTACGCAGCTTAGAAAGCTGACGTGTGCGGACCGGCGAGAAACGAGCAACACCGATGTACCACGTGGGACAGTGGAGGGAACTCGTTCCCGTGGCTTTGTTGAAGTATTAATTCGATCATGCCGTCCACTGATCCTTTCCTTTCAAATTCTTCTCCAACGCACGTCTCGAACCTCCTCCGAAAACTACCACATGCCCCCCCCTTCCACATCACCGTCTTTGAAACCTCTCTTTTCCTTGCCCTTATCCGTTTGATAGTGTAACACCTGCAATTCCACATCGCAATTCTACATCGCAATTCCAATTACATCGCAAATCTCGAACTTTGTGCCATTAACCAACCACCCTCGCGGCCCCGGCTCAAACTCGAGTTGCTTTGCGTAAACTACGGGTTGTCAAAGAGAAGAAAAGAACGGATTACATAACGAGTCCCACACGTGGCAGCTCGATATGTAAGTACTCATCATTGCTGAAAGCCTTGAACTCCGACATGGTGGGCTAAAAGCAGGCACCCGATAACTGCCCCAGTTAGCCATGGCTAATCTCCAAATTCACCTGATTCCAGGTCTCAGCCAATTGGACGTGTTGTTCAGGAGCCCATCCGCCTCTATGGCAATGGCGTCGCCGCGACCGACATAGAGCCCGATATGGAGCAACTAGCTGCAATGGCAGGTAACTGTTTAGCGTTCGAAAAGACGGTAAAGAACCTGGGAAAATTAGTGGCTGTGGTGCAAACACACCTCCCCAACCTACACTCACAGACGGTCGGGCAAGGTAAATATCAAGCAGCCTTGTTGGACGCGAATGACTTTGTCCGCACGGCGATCTATTTTGCCAGAGTCCCATTAGGATTCATGAACACCATGGCAGTGAAAAAGGTGGAGGTGCATAAAGCCAGAAAGAGCTTTATTACTAGGATTGGAGATGTCATGCTTGGTAAAAACTTTGACAACAAGTCAATCAGAACCAGGATCGACGACGCATCCCGTGCCGCTTTTGGTTCCCCCGCACCGTCTCAAGAAGCCATACATGCCGAAAATGCAAGTCTCGACATCACCCTGAGAGAGGTTAAAGCCATACAAGACCTCCTTAGGAAGTGCGGGAGAAGTACGGAGGGGGGTATCGCCGACGGACTTGAGCCGGCAATAGCAGCAGCACAGCACCTAAAGGGCATATTCAAAGACAAGAAGTTCGGCCCAACGCACAAGAGCGACTTCGATTTGTTTGACGCTCGGTTCAGAACGGAAGTAGAAGATAAAGTGGCCGACTGGAAAGAGTTGCTGACACAAGGCAGTCAAGGCAATTCGGCCTATGCCGCCTACACCAGAAGCATGAAGGACGCTGACTTCGACACGAAACTCAAAGAAATCTTCCTTGAACACCTAAAAGGTGGTCTAACAAACGAGATGGTCCGGGGATTTCATGTCGAAAAGGTGAACGAGGAAACCCTCAAAGACCATTCGCATGAATCCATTTCACTTCTGGGCTTTGTGGAGATGGTCGCACGAATTATAGCCCAATCGTGTGACACTTTGGGTAAGTCACGGATAGGAGACACCCCCTCCCAGGTGGCAACATGTCTGAGTCATTATTACCTTCGATACTCATCCAGCTAACGATACGCGTTACTAGATGCATTGGCTAGGGAGATAAAAACCGAACTGGCGGGCAGCTTGTCCGCCGGCTATCCATCTGTATTGTTCATTTGCAGTGGTAAGAAGCCTGCGGATCCGTTTGCCATCGCATCATCGAAAGATATGCACAAGCCGTCGAAATTGCTCGATCAGATGGTCGAGCGTTTCCGCACAACAGAGCGGCAAAAGCACCTGCCCCTCAAACATGACGAAGACGCGGTAAAGATGTCGGAGAAGGCCCACGTTCTTTTCGTCGAAGCCGAGGCAGAAGTCGCCGCGAAAATGAGCAGCGACGCGTACAAAAGCCTGAGCGACGAGAAAAAGGGGGACGAAAAGGAGAGCGTGAGGACGGCCAAGCTGAAAAGCTTCCACGACGCGCACGCACGCTCCATCTTCAACCGCCACTGCGAGACCGGGCTCGCGCTCAGCGTCCCGGGCTTCACGCCGCTGGCGCGTTGCCCGCGCTGCATGTTCGTGTCCAACTACGGCGCAACCGCCGAAGGCGCGCGGGAAGAGAAGGCCAATCTGCGCAAGGACAAGTGGGGGAAGTGGAACGAGGGCATGGCTTGTGCAGAGACCATCGTGCCTTTCTACTGTGGCCGCGGGGGCCATGGTGGCGCCGTTGCCACTTGATTAATTAGGCAAGGTACCTAGTTAGGTACCCAGGTAGGTAACCAAGCGAGGGCCACCCCAGGCTTTCCGGCAGGCTTTCAACCGGACGGACGAACAAAGAAGGGGGGACGAAAAGAGATCTCAGTCTGAGCAGGCGCGTGAGAGCGGCTGGCACCGCCTTCTCACCATCTCAGAAGAGGAAAGAGGCGAGGCAGTGCCAGCGAAAAGAAAAAGAAAATGGATTTGGAAAATTAGACAAGAGGTTTGAGTCCCACGGTCTATTTGAGGCGAAGGGGGCGCGACGCTTGCGCCCGCTCACCAGTCATTTTAGGTAGCTGTGGCACTGGCTGGCACATATGGCAAGGCTAGGGGGATTCTTGCTTTAACGCTGGGCGTTCGTGGGAGATGTTTGTACCTATTAATTAACGCTGGTTAGATTGCTGTAGGTACAACACTTCAAGGGCATAGCTTTTATCTCTCTCTTACCTACGATTCTTGTAACTCAAGTAGGTAGGTAGATACGGAAAAAATGAAGGAAGCGCCGTACGGCTATATAAGAAGATCTTATTACAAACCACTCGACTGTTAGGGTCGTCTGTCTGTAAGGGAGCACGGGCTCCACAGAATGCTGGGGTTGGTAATTATGAAGATAGAACAAAGGGCAAGCTCCTATCGCACGGGTAATACAGTCAAATCGGAATGCCACTCAAAGTGTATGAGTGCAGTGAATGTGTATTGCTTGCTTGAAGAACCAAGCAAGAACTATCTAAGACCGTGGGTACGGTCATCGTATTTATCTAATTGCGCAACCAATCAGGGTTCTCCCTTACAGTGCTCAGTGCCTCCGGGGCGCTCAGTCTTCAAGGACGACTGAGCTCTCAATGGTAACTGAGCACTTTCCTAATTGGCTGTTCTTCCTGCTCAGTGGGTCTTCCCAGTCTTGGCAGCCGAACGCACTGAGCGCCGCCTGACTGGCCGCACCGAGCTCATGTGGGGCCCGTCCTGCCCGCCAGTGCTGCCCAATCAGCAGTCGGCTTCCAGCGCCTCCTGCAGACTTGAGCCAGGATCGTAACATCTCTGGATCACTATACAGCGCAGTACGTAGCTGGGTATCACACGAGGCTTTGAGAAAGGTTGAAGAGCAGCGAAAACTCCTTACCAAAAAGGACCCACCCCTATCACCAGCCTGTTCAGGTTCTTTCTCTCGATCTATAGGGCTACCGTGTGCTCATACATTGAAAGTTTTGCTCGACCAGAACTTAGTCCTTCGGCTTGAGCATTTGTCTCTACACTAGCATTTGAAACGCGAAGGTGCTCCCCAGTTGCTGCTGGAGCCTCGTCAACGTATCGATCAAATTAGTGCCAATTCGACTATACCACAATCAAGCACTAGGCGAGAGCCTAGCAGGTTTGAGGTTGTCGAGGTAATAACACATCCAACAGCATTACCCAGATGCAGCAAATGCCATACATTAGGTCGTATAATGACGTCAAAGTCATATCCTCAGAGGCATATAGAGCTATTCCAGTTAGCTTTAGCTCCAGAACCAACTTTACAAGCAGCGGCAACTGCAACACCATCAACCCAGCTCATCACGGAAGACACATCACCACTACCCACACCACCTACTCGTACATCACCGCCTACTCGTGCACTACCGCCACCTACACTACCGCCGGCTTACACATTAGCACCTTCGTCAAGTCCATCTTCAGCCTCACTAAACTACTGGGACCCACGGGCAATCTATCAGAGATATACAAAGGCAAGAGACGCTTGGTATAAAGCCCAACCACTCGGGAGCATCAAAACCAACCCGCAATACCGGAAAGCAATGGGTCTACCTCTGCGACACAGCAAGGCAAGCTATGAGTGGTGCCTTGACTATAGACAGATGACGAAACAGTGTGCTACCTCAACAGGCTTAAGGGGCTGGATGAAGGAGGAGATGATGGCCTACTTAGATTAGAACAGATCAGAAGATGACCGGATTGAAGCTCTGGTAGCTCAGGAGAAGGAAGACGAACCATTGGATACCGGGAGAAGAGGTGTAGGCGAGATCTGGAGGAGGATGGACAGAGATATTGAAGTGCAGCAAGCTTTGTATTCGTCCAAAGTGGCGGAAGAGGGGTGTATTTTTGTTGGGACAGAGTAGTAGTGAGGTAAGCCCCTTGAAGTGTCAAGAAAGCAGTGATCATAGAGGCGTTGGTGGGGCAAGGGTGGATTGAGCTCGTCAGCCCTGGGAGTTATCGTGAGCCAAAGGCTCCTCTTCTCTTCTTTTACCTTGTCCTTTCTTTTGCCTTGTCTTTTCTTTTGCCTTGTTTTTTCTTTGCTTGTGTTGACAGCCCCGGGCAGTCAGTTCAGGTGCCACGCATCTGCCAGACCTCGCCCACTTTTCCTAGTTTAGCTCCTTTCGAGGGTCAGGTTTTTCCTCCTGATTCCTCAAGCAGGTTCACGCAGAATACAGCCCCGATTGCTTCTATGCGCTGCTCCCGGCCCCTACGCGAGCTGTATCACCTTGTCTTAAAAGTTTACAATATTGGCCCAAATCAAATTGCGGAAATCGAGACTTGTAATGCCTATATGTGCAGGGATGGAAGGCTTACCTAATATCCGCGGGCCCCGCGAAAATTTAAATTCGCGGGACCCGCGAACCTATTGGGCCCCGGGTTCAAGTTTCTTCTCATTCAAGTTAGCACGATGCAGTTTTCCATGACCAACAACGCCAAATACACACAATCCCCCCGAAACGAGTAAAACACTACCAATATGAATGAAATCAAGATATCACAAGGCATAATTAAGTCATAAGTAAGTAAATCCTCAAGGAACTGGCACGCGAGGCTTGCAGAACTGGGTCTGGTCATGCCCAGTTCTGGAAATGGTTAATGGAACCGAAACACCTCAACTCGTTAACCAAGTGCCACGAGATTCCGGCTTTTGCAAGTATATACCGAAATCTCCTGGTCGAGAAGTGAATATTAAACTGTTCTTTACTAGTTGGTCTAGCTTTTGAGGACATTGTGAAAAAAATAGGACAATGTTTAAGTGAGAGGAGGTACAATACATTGGGCATTATCTGGGAGAGTAATAGACCAAAAGATGGATAAGAAGTTCCAATAAAGGCATGAAATTAAGAAACAACGGCACTGCCATTGGTTTCTATCAAAATTCTTCTGACCTGCGGTAGTGAAGTGCCCAGCTTTCTATTTCCCCTATGGCGTGGTCTTTAAAGTCCTCTTTTAAAAAGAAGGCTACAAAGACTAAAAATCTATCAGACTAGCTAACTAATAAGCTCTCGAACACATATAGCGAACTAGGAACGCTCCTTGCGCCTTCCCAGCCTCCAGCGCTTTTAGTGTTCTCGCCCCACCCCGGTAACACGGCCTGCCATGTCTTGAAGTCGGGAGAGCACTTTGGCGTCAGCAGCTCCCAAGTCTTGTCTCCGCAATGAAAGAAAAAGAAAGAAAAAGAAATGAAGAACAACCGGGGAAAGCTCCCCATCTGCCGCCGGTGAAGCCAGTCTTTGCGACGGAAACATGGACATTGTGCCAGACAAGTCGCAGCCGCGGGGCACGTTCAGTTTTATGACCAGCCGCCGTCGCTGTCGGCCCCATACAGCTTGACCTTGGCCTGGTGGAGGATTGTGGAAACATTGGTTTCCGCAATCCTGGAAAAGCTTATGGTGCCGTGTTCCCCCTTCAGAAGCGAGGCGGAAAACGCCTCCCACGGAATCACGGGGCACTTCTCCTTGACCCATTTCTCGGCTTCATTGTCGTACTCGTCGCTGCCCATGTAAAGGCTGGTCCCGGTGAGGTGGCCGTAGATGAGGAAGAGCTTGCCAAACGACGGCAGTTCCACCGACTGCCCCGAAGATAGCGACGTGCCAGACGTGTCCGTGGCAGTCGAGTTAGCCTAGGAGCGCTCGCTCGAAGGGTGAGAGCCGCTCGACTCATCGCTGTTGGCCGGCGACACGGACGTCTTTCTCGGCGGACCCCCGGCAGCTGTCGCTGGGGTCGGTTTTTCGTTGGAGCTGGCGCCTTCACCGCATCTTTTGCTGGCTGAGCGTCTTTTGCCGGCTGGGCGACAATGGGGTTGATACGAATCTTGTAGTAATAGCCATCTGGGCGGTGATCTTTGTCATCACTGGGGTTCTTCCAAGCACCAGTAGGAGCATAATGTGCCGGAATAGTGCGATGTTGCTGAATCTGGAGTGGGTGAGACTTGGCGCCATGTTGGGTAATCGTGTGTGGTGCGTAGGCGGTGTTGAGACTCATATTATCCCGAGAGTAGAGTTTGAGGCCGACATTACCTTCCAAGACCGTATGAAGCTGTGGTCTAGCGAGATTTAACATGAGGTTCGCTCGCGAAGAGTGCCTGATCACTGAAGGATGGCAACGAAAACGGAAACGCGAAAAGACGAGGCGGCGGTGAGGCAATTCAAGTACCTTGGGTACGTTAAGTAGACTGTGGAAGAAGGAGGAAGGTGATGATGAAACAGTAAAATTGGATGTCAGGCTCTGAGTCCAGTGCTCAAGTGTCTGCTGTGGCCGGTTTGAGATTTCTGCAGGCAGAGTGCAGTCGATATATATATACCTTAGGTAGTAGGTATAGTTAGATATAACGAGAGGAAGCTTAGGGGGCTCCAAGCGAAACCAGGTAACCAACCACGTTTGGCCTTGTATGCCGTCACCCATGACTTTTACTGGATCAATGAGCCCGGCGGGGTTGCCATCGCCCCGCGTGGGCGGAAGCTTGATCTGGTCGAATTGGCGGGACATCTGGATGCAGATCTGGAGACATTTCTGCGTGCTCAGCCGTTCGTCCTTGATTTGCCGCAGCTCAACTGCGTCCTCGTCAGAGTCCACCACGGTGCGTTGGAATATCGAGTCGAGTTTATCGTCGATTGCCGTAAGGCGGTCTTCAAACGTCAAAACAGCGACCTGGACCATGTTTCGGTGCTCCTCAAATTTTTGAGCACTGACGGAGGAGGTACGACTAAAGACCTATGCAGCAGGAAAAGGTCAGCAAATGCCATCGTCCGCCCCATCGCTCCCATCCTAGGAAGTGCGATAGAGCGGAAGCGGGTATCAAGGGGAGAGCGTACAAAGTTGCATCGGTGAGGTTGATAATAATAGTGGATTTGTATCCAGCCAGCGTCCGCCGAAAGCCGTCGACATCTTCACCCAGGTACCTCAGCTTAGCCCAGCCCCGGAAGTTTGCCCGTGTGCTGCCGGATTGTGACACGCATTTAAGAAGTTTCTCCTCCAATTCGCGACATGCATTTCAGCATCGCAGTAGCGGGATATTGAGTGCGGAAAGGTCGGCATTGTCACGGTAGGTGCCGTGGTGGTGTCAATGACGTATACTGCGCCCTGATTGGGTGCATCCTTTTTAGAATGTGGTCTGTGCGCACTCGGCTTCCTTACGTCAGCCCTGCAGCCCACACCTATTTCCCCGCGCCCTGCGCCCGCGAATTGCTTCCTTCCTCTTTTCCTTCCTTAGCTTTAGATTCCACAATACAGGTTACGGTTATATTGAGCGTTATGCAGTCGAATCCTCTCCTTCGTGACAGGCATCCACCGCGTCATCGACTGTCTTTGTGAGCGAGGTGAGGGCGGCCTGCAAGGCCTCAACCTCCTTGATGAGGTCGAGGACCGTCTCGGAATGATGCCCCAAACCGTGGACCGTTTGACAGAGCTTAGTGACGGACTTCAGCGCAAAAGTAGCCAGCGCTATCAGCCTAGAAGCCAGGCCAATGACTTTAGCCATGATATCGACGGCGCTGAGACGTGAACGGCAAAAGGATGTCAAGCTGGGTAGGGATGCGATGAGGATCATCATAGTCGGCCATCATGGCCGGCCATCATGGTTCAAAAGAGAAGGGGCTGTCAAGTGCGGGCACCAATCGGACGCCTCGTATAACTGCCGGCTCGAGGCACGGGACCGCGAACAGCTGCGGGATCCGTCACTGGGCGCCTGAGAAGTCGGGAAATCCAGCGTCACTAAGTCTGGAAGGGTGGTGGAGCCGAGAAAGCAGGGCCCGGACTCCCCATGACGGGATGCAGTATTTCGACGAGGCGGCATAGCGGCTCGAGTAGCATGGCGAGCGGATCCGGCAGCTTCTCTGGGAGATAGTGGAAGCCGAGGCGCCACATGCGCCACGTCTGCTCCGTGTCTTCCACCAGCAATTGGAGACCACCAGCAGCTGGAGACGGGTTGCATTGATCCAATTTTGGGTCTTTCTGGTGCAGGTTTTCCAATAGGATCCTTCAACGATTATGCCGGTCCTATCGGTTTTTCAGCGGTCCACGCGCACTAACCTGGCCCAGACACTAGTTGGGCTGTTTAGATACGTCAGCATGGAAGCCTTTGAGAAGGGCCACCTGGGATCTCCCAACCTTGCGGAGGGGATTGAGCTATTTACCAAAGAGGCGGTGTTTACGAAGATGCCGGATACGACTTGGTTCCCTGAGGAAGACCTCGGCGGTAGCTTCTCCCGGTGAAGGCGGCAGGTTGCTAAAAGATTGACAGCTAGGAGTCAGTGGCACATATTATAGGCAATTACTAATCAGTGGTTGTTGCTAGATAAAGCGATCCAATCAATTCCATTCAAATGCAGCGGAATCGGGGTCAATCCTCCCTGATTGAGTATGGTCAACATGCCGGGAAATGGCCTTTTTTACTAGTATGCCCCTTTTCTGGTATGCTCGTTGTGGCTACCCCAAGTGGCACGTGACAGTTACTGATTGCCGAGGAAACGTAGCACTGACCAGACAAGTTCGTAATTACTACGTTACTCTCAGTCCCATTCGATTGGATTTTTTTTTATCACTGTCACGGCTGCAAAGGGCTACTACGCTACGCCGCAGCGAAAGCAAAAGTAGACCGTTGTACCAACTGGAGAACGCTACAAGCTCGCTTTAGCTAAGCTACTAATTAAAATCCCATTTCAAATCTCTACCTACACGCCAGCTATAATTAGAAATGGAACTGCCTACCCCCGAGACATCCGTCCCCGAGACATCAGTCCCCGAGAATGTCAAAGAGCGCCTCGCGGCCTCCTACGACGCCATCGCGGCCTCCTACAACGCCTGGACCGCGCAACACTCAGGCCTTCGCCTCCACTACGTGGAAAAACTGCTCCAGCTTTTGCCCCCTCTGCCTTCTGTCAATGACAGCTCCCCTAGCAGTTGCAGCGGCAGCGGCGGCAGCGGGGGTGGCAACCCGACGGCAGCGTCCGACTCGGCACCGGTACCAATGACTCACCTGGTGGAACTAGGCTGCGGCGCCGGCTTCCCCGTGACGCAGGCGCTGCTCGAGTTTCCCGACACGCCCGCAGGCCGTGGGCGGCGCGTGCACGTCACGGCCAACGACCTGTCGGCGACGCAGGTTGCGCTAGGCAGGGAGGGGGTGCTTCCACGCGCCGGCAGCCACGACCAGATCGAGTGGGTCGCGGGCGACATGATGCACCTGTCGTTCGCAGCGGGCTCGCTAGACGCCGTGGTCGCGCTTTACAGCCTCATCCACCTGCCGCGCGAGGAGCAGGTAGTGCTGCTGGAGCGCGTTGCGCGGTGGCTGAAGCCCGGCGGGCTTGTGCTGGCGAACTTCAGCGTCGAGGACACGCCGGGCGAGGTTATGGATCGCTGGTTGGGCGAGGAAAAGGGGTGGATGTACTGGAGTGGCTTCGGGGTGGATAAGACGCTCGAAGTTGTGACGCGGAAGGCGGGCCTAGAGGTGGTACTAAGCGAAGTTTCGAAGAACGAGGATGGAGTGGATGCCGAGTTCCTGTGGGTGATTGCGCGGGCGCCGGAATCGCTGGATTTGTGATGACGATGACGATGACGAGGGGTGGTGTTGGTGTTGGTGTCTGAAAGGCAATTTTGAGAGCTTGCTGCCGTTAAGTGACGTAGAAAAGAGTGACGTAGAAAAGAAAAAAAAAAGACTGATCCTTGAGCCGCAAATCCGCCGCCCTATACCTGCATGTAACACCTTTCGTGACAACCTCGGTGAGTCCCCGGCGTAAGCCTTATTATAGACGCGCTTTTTCTCGGATAGATTTATACGTGATAAGGGGCATTATGATAAATGCAGAACGGATAGTAGTAGCTATTGTAGGAACAAGAGCATTGTAGTACATTCCGGCATATTCCAGAACGTTCTTAGGGGCAAGGGGTCAACATCCTAGTGGGTCACTAACAGGGGTGACCGTGACTAAGATGTTCATGTATAAGACACCCTCTTCCTGTCCAACGGAGTTCGGAAGAGAGATAGATCAATCAAGAAGTAACCACCAACCGAACCACCTTCTATGTGGCTAAACCAGAACCCAATCGTGACTGTCACTACCAGAATGATATTGCGAATGACCTTGTCATTCCAACAGCGATGTTTCGGCTTGTCGACTGTAGTCTAGGCATAAAGGGCTGAGTCTCGGGGGCGCCTTGAGTTAAAAATTACCATGTTTCATCTATCTTGTTTTTCTTTCTGCTTTCTCATAGCACTGTTTAGTACGTTCAAATCCTTCCTAACGGTGAGTAGTAGTAGTATGAATAGACTGACAAAGCATCAGATGCGCCCTCACGCTTCTTTTATACTCCCGACTCAGTCGACACACACACACACACACACACACCGACCACGACAAAGTATCGAAGTTGGAGCAATGGTCTTTACATCTCTATGAAGATTTAGCACCACACCCTCACGATAGAGCTGCGTATTGCGCCCGAGGAACGTGGTGTCATCATGTCCAAGTCCCCGATGGGGAGCGAATGGCTCAAATCCGCTTCGAAACCTTTAATTCCACTGGCTTTCAAGTCGAAATGGACGCTGTCTTCTGACTATACCACTATGGTCGGACTGCGAAGTGTGACAGGGAGCAGCGAGAGGATCTGTTCGGAAACATCTTCTTGGTAATACTCCATTTCGTCTACTGCCATAAGTAGTCAAAGCCGTTGCCGCCTTCCGCCCCAATCACGCCGGCTCTGTGGGGCTCCTACAGCTCGAGCCAGGATCGTAGTGTTTGGTCTATATAAGACCTGTCTATTACAAACCGCTCGGCTGTTTGGGTCACCTGTCCGTAAGGGTGCACGGGCACCACAAGTATTGCTGGGATGGTATAATGAAGACTGAACAGATATGTTGATTACAGGTATAGGGACGGTGTTGGCGTTGCGGTTTGAGAGTTTAGAGTAGTAGAAGGTGGAGAAGTTGCCCAATCGGCAGCATTCGCATTCCGTATTTGCGCTGACGTCGGGGAATGGAGCGAGCAGAGAGGATAACAATGACTCATTCTAAGGTATAAACCTCACGCGATAATTAAATATTGAGTCAAGTGTAGCGTTTTACTTGCGGTTAATTCTGTATATCTGTTGTTGTGCTAATCTAGCTTGTGGGGTGAGAATTTGCATACTGATCAGGGGCAAGGGGCCCGGCAATCAGGGGTTTATTTACCCCCATACCGAATGTAATCTAGTGCAAATTCTTTTCCTTTTCTCTTGGCCCGCCCACCTCATAAAAGGCGGGCGGCCTGCTCCTTCCTCTGATCAGAGGTCCGGCACGCATCCCTAATTTTTCCTAGCTTTTTCTCCAAGAAACCACGTTCTTTTACAATGAATTGAGATCCCCAGACCAGTGCACGCAGTAGTGCCTTTCTATTAACATATTGTATTACCCGGCTATGGACTCCTGTAGTTGTACCTTGTAAAGCTCACCTGCAGCTCGCCTGCGGCTCGCCTTGGTGGGCGGGTGGGTGGGGCGCCTCTGGCATATTTGCTGACATGACTTGCGTGCGTCGAACATTTTTACACCTAAAGAGCGGAAGGAGAGAAAGCAGGTGCGGCAATGTCAGTTGATGGCAGCGTAGATCTGATTTGGCTCGTGAGAAGCAAATCCGAAAACGCCCGTCACTTTAAACTTACTTGGACATCACACAAAAACAGACATCCATCTTAGTCGCCGAGTCACTTCCAGGTTGCTATCACACTACCGCAACCGAAGCCTCCTGACTCTGTCCTAAAATAACTCGTCCACTTCTGCCTCTCCCGTTTTTTAGTGCAATTTGGATCACATTACCCAAATATTTGACGGTGCGGGGTCGTAGCTGTCTTTGTCTGCTCCCATCTTTCACGTGCTCTCGCGTCTCGGGCGTGTCAGCCAAGATGCAGCCTCCTTACATCCTGGGCCATCATTCGCGAAACAGAAGCCGTGCACACGCGCCAATGCAAGCCACATCACCAGGCGGGTCACCCCACACCCCGCATCAAAACTGAGAGAGACAAAGTGAGTCATTTCCTGATCTCCCGTCACGTTTTGTGTGGCATAATACAGGGGCTTCCTTCCACACTCTCGTCGCGTTTCTCCTGTTCTATTGCAGCTCTTACTCACTCTAGAGAATATCAACGTCACCAAGCAAAAATTCCGTTCCAAATTTCAAGTTCAAATCTTACGTAATGGCAGACTGGAAGGCACCCAAGTTCGGCTCGCCAGTGTGGCTGGGCATCTCGGCTACCGAGATCACTCGAGATAAGCGCTGGACTCATTAATTTTTATGTTTCTGCCCCTCATAGCTATTGAAACAGCCCATGAATTCTACTCGGCCGTCTTCAACTGGAAGTTCAAAGACACCCCCGGCGACCCCAAGAAGGCCGAGGAAGTCCGCCAGTTCGACTTCAACCCCGACGTGTTCTTGAGCGGCGGTATCCAGCTGTGCCTGAGCCGACCGGCACCCTTGCAACCGGTCGTGGCGGCGTCTGTGTCTACTGGCTCGTCAAAGACGTTGAGCAGATCGGAGATGCCATTGAGAAAGCCGGCGGTAAGATGCTTAGCTCCACTGAGAAGGAAGGTGAGAGCGGTTTGTATCGGTTCTTCGAGGACACGGAGGGAAACTTGGGCGGCGTGTACCAGTTCCTGGGCTGAGAGATACGATCAGTGCCTTGTAGTTTGGGCACGTAATTCGTCTGTTTCGACTTGTGTAGCAGTTATCTACGTTGGTTACTTGCAATACTCGAAGCAACAGCCCTCGGCTGGAATGTGACCGGTCGCATAATTCCATCTCTTCGATCTAAGAAATACCCATCTCTTCAATCTAAGAAATACCCATCTCTTCAATCTGAGAAATACCCATCTCTTTATCTGAGAAATACAGGGACATTTAAAATATCTCAATAATCACTGCAGTACGTTGATGTGATAAGCTAAAAAGAGACCCCTCTGTACCCCCTTACAACCTGCTCTGTTCCAACTTTCATCACATGATGTCAGGCGGTTGGTATGTGTCGAGCGCATGCCGTCGCGGAAAGTCGTGAGGCAGTGTAAAAACACGGGGAGGTGTTTGATATCATCGACTTCCGCTCTCCGCTCTTCAAGTTGCCTTGGCGTCTCCTGCGTCGGCCTGGAGTAAGGTGACTTCTCCAGCGGGGCTTTGGTGATTCCTTCTCGATGTCAAATGGTGCTCGAGGACAGGATATCGGAGACGTGTTGGCTGTGTCGATGCTCAAACTGAGGGTGCGCTCTGGGAGTGTCTCGGAAATTTTGCGGTGTTCGATGATATTATGTCTTGTAAGACCCGCCTTCGCCTCACTTGTCAGATCTGTCTCAGGCCTGTCTGGAATTGTATCTGTCTCATAAACGTCGGTTTCGAGCGAAAGTATTTCGATCTTTTCTTCTTCGATCTCGATGCTATCTGATGATGCAATCCCCGACCACCCGGTATCAAAACATCTCATCGCATCTTCGGTCATGGGGTGTGTACTGTTGAAGGTCGTACCTATAGGGAGACTCTCTCTCGAGGTCGGCGGCGTGAATTGAGCACCAAGAGTTGGAGAGTCGCAGGACGCAGGGTAATCGAGATAATCTGAATTTGATGTTGAGGACGCCGTCGATCTGTGTTGAAATATTGGCCGGGTCCAGGGGTCAGACAGCGGCAATTCGACTGGGAGAGACGTATTGTGAAGTTCAACAGGGGCAACGTAGTTGGCGACAGGATCGTCACGACCCAGGGGAGTGCTATCAAGTTCGACAGGGGCCGCAATGTCGGCGGAAGAATTGCCATGATTCTTGCCGTGGGCCCTAGGGTCGACCAAGGCATCAACGTATCGGGAGGCCACAAGATTCCAAACATGCTGGACTGGCTCGCCCGTTGATTGAGAATCTTCAGGAGCTAACACTGCCATGGTTGAAAATCTGTCCATGCTCAGTGAGGCATATGATTGGGGAGTAGGTGCTAGTGGTTCAACCATGCGCTGTCTTACTCCCTGCTCTATCAACTGCCTTGTGCGAGGACCTAGATTAGTTGCAGTTTGTTGAAACCCCGTCCTCTTCTTTTGTAGCTTCCGGTGATTTGATGCTTGCCAGGTCATGTGACGCATTCCTTCTGGCACGATCCTCGACAACCACCGTCTCCTGGTCTCCGTTTGTCTCGCTTGGAGTGCATATGTGCTAGATGTACCCGCGAGGTCTAGCGAATTCAAGCCGAGCGACGCTCGCCTTTCCGGTGTATCACGTGCCCTGGTGTTTTCCCCTGTAAGCACCTGCGTCCACCGTGTCCTACCCGACAGGCCCTTCTGGCCATCTCGTATTGGGTATGGGTCAATTCCAGTGCGCTGATTCTCAACGCGGGTGTTCGAATTAGCGTCCCAGAGGTTGATAGGGGCGGGCGGATCCGAGTCCTTCTCGAAGAGCGGTATGGGTCGAGACGAGTCCTCGAGTTCTGGTGGGGGTATAGAGGGCCTCGGAACGCCGGTATTCCAAAGCTCGACAACCGGCAATCTTAGGCCATCAGATTCTAGCGCAGTTGCCCAGGGGGTAGCATCGGTGCCAAAAACGCCATCAAGAAGTCCCGGGTGGTTTGTGATGAAGTCAAGGACATCGGGCGGGTGACTCTTGCACTCGAAGGACGTGGGGATGAAGTTTCTGAGAATCTCGCCATACATTGGTTCCACCTCCAATTCATAGGCGGTGGCTAGAAGTTCCATCGTTTGATAGTACTCGGCGTGGTCGGACCCAATCAGCCGTTTCTTCATGTTCAGGGACTGTCTGCACAACTTTATTGCTCTTCGGGAAGAGGACTGCGTCAGGTGTGTCAAGGCGAGGGCGTGCAGCAAATTTGGGATGGCCAAGTCCGGCGTGCGGTTCGAGCGTGCCATTTCCTCAATGAGCGGCTCTGCTTGAGGCCATTTCCCCAGAAACAAATAGCACATAGCCAGTTGAATCCGCAGTCGCTCAAACGCCACCCTGTCACCATTGCGTTTTGCATGGCGGTCCAGTGCCATTTTCAACAGCGTCTCAGCTTTGGAGAAGTCCTTCAATCGAACACTCTCTCTAGCTCGCTTCTCCAGCCCAGTCAGGAATAGCAGCTCCAAGTCGGCGTCGGCATCCGGCTCATGCTCTTCTTGTGTAGGAATTGCTATTTGTGTCGCCAGGGTTGGCGAGGACGTCATTATATCTTCACTTTCCCATGATGGCTTGTCCGCTTGCTGCAGGGAGGCCGCGTCGAGGGGTTGCGGCGCCGAAATCCAGTCAGGGGACCTCGCATGGCGATGGACCGGTGACATTGGAGTTGCCTCTATGTACTCTCTGATGCGCTCTATCCTGTGCGATGGAATGTGGCCTGTCGTGCTCCCCACTGCTTCTGGGAACGAGGACTGGAAATGCATTGAATAGCCACGGACTGTGCTTGCCGTCGAGGTCGCCGCTGAGTGGAAGTTTCTAGCGGCAAGAGCAAAGTTCTGCAAGTTGCGTGCGACGCGAGCCTCGGACGATTGTCTGAGAGCGCGCGAAAAGCCGGCAGTTGAGCCGATAGCAGCACGGAAGGAACTCCGGATGTACTCGTCGAGATGGGTCAGCTGGATGGCGATCATGTCGTGATAATCATTGGATCGAAGCGACAACGACCTTTAGCCGAGAAATGGGATCTTAGCCATCATTCGCCTACGAAACTAATAGTATTATTTCTAATGTATAAAGTTGCAGAATATTCGATGAGGAACTTACACATTGAACACAGACAACATGGTTTGCAAGGCCGAATTTGACTTGTACATCTTGTTTTGCAAGCCTTCAATATCGGTGGCATGGCGACTGAGGACCATAGCCATCCTCGTCGAGCGCCACAAGCGTGTGGGCCCAATGTTGATCTTCTTTATCAGATCCTGCAGTTGACCAAGAGACGTGTGACAGTCCTTCAAGACCGAAACACCATGTCGACAGAGATCCTCGTCAATCGGGGACAGGAGGTTATTGTGGCGCTGGCATTGGTCCAATGTACCGTCGACCGCAGTGAGCAATACAGCGAGCCTGTTGAGTTCCCCACTCAGTTCTGACAGCCTCGCGTCGACGTGACGGATTGACTCGATGAACTTGTTTAGAGATGGCGTAGCCTATATCAGAAAGCATTTATATCAGCGAGATACGCGAGAGCTCAAGAGCCCATTCGAGTCGATGGGCCGTAGAAATGGGGAGGGGGACCTGGGACGCACGAATCCAGCAGCTTGGATCACAGTCACCACCGAGGCGGCGATGGAGAGCGGATCCATCTTGAAGTCAGAGTACAGAGCCAAAAGACTTAATAAGTACGTGAGCGCAGGCTATCTGACTGGCCAACAATAGATTATCCTGCCGTTACAGTTCACCTCTGGGTTGATAGATTTCGAGCTTGTCTTGGAATATGATTAAAACGAGAGCCCGAGGCAACAGGGGATACCATTAACCTTTCTCTTCTGCCCGCCGGACCAACTCCTGCGGTGTGGTCGATGCTTTAGAGAAGAGTATGCAAGGCCACCAATGATAGATTGTTATTATCTTTGTGATGGCTGCAATACAATTCTGCCAAGCCATTGCCTTGACTGAAAGTGCCTTGCGGCCTCCAGTTCTGTGCCTCCCGGACGCACATGCAGCTGTTTCTTCTACATGACGGCCCGTTCTAGCCTGTTTGGACCCCAGAGAAGGCAACACAGAGAGGCGAGAGTCAGTCCCCACACCCCACCGAATCCAGGGGTAATGTATACCCCGCCCAATACGTACTTATTAAGGCGGCCTAAACTGCTGCAACTTGCGGCTACGTACCCGCCAAAAACAGCAGTCTACAACCCTAACGCGACCGTCGCCGACGTGCTGAGCCACCGTACGGGGCTCGACCGCCGACGCGTTGTGGGCGTAGGCCGCGAACAACATGCTCATCCGCCCGGACTAGGTAATGTAGACCGTGTCGCAGCTGCGCGCCGTGAACCCCTCCCGCACCGCGTTCTGCTATAATAACTGGGGGGACGAGGTCGCGGGGCGGCTCGTCGAAGCGGTGACCGGGGAAACGTACGCGGCGTTCGTGGCCGAGCGCACCTTCGGCCTCCTGGGCATGGCCTGCATGAGCAACGATGTCGCCGACACGGCGAGCCGCGACGGTAATGTCGCGCGCGGGTACATGTGTCTTGACGACGGCACGCCGTGCGCTGCCCGGCGCCGCGCTTCGCGCAGGGAACGGCCATGAACGCCGGCGGGGTGGATCCAGAGCAGCGTGCGTGACTTGCTGCGGTATTATACAGGCTTTGCGGCGGCACTCAACGACCAGGACGCAACGGGCAGGACCGCAACGCCCGGCTCGCCGCTAAAGCAGCTCGTGGCGATTGCCAGCGGCACTATCAGCACGGCGGCCAGCCTGCGCGATCAGAGCTAGGCTGGGGTGGGCGCGGGCGCAGCTGCTGGGGCAGCTGGGGGCGACGGTCCCGGTAGTGGGGCAGCTGGGGGCGACGGTCCCGATAGTGGGGCAGCTGGGGGCGACGGTCCCGGTAGTGGGGGGCGGCGGTCCCGGTAGTGGGCGACGCGGCGCGCCCGCGGCTGGCGCTGTACCACGGCGGCATGGTGGTGGGGTTCTCGAGCGCCGTGTACGTGTTCCCCGAGACGGAGACGGCGGCGCTGCTGCTGGCGAACGGCGTGGGGCTCAACGACGGGCTGACGTGGATCAGGCAGCTGCTGATGTAGACGGTGTTTGACGACGCGCTCAAGCACGACTATGTGGCGCTTGCGCGGGCGTCGGTGGTGGACGGGCTGGGCACGTACGAGCGGGTTGAGAGGGAGTTGCAGGCTGAGGTGTTGGCTGCGAGGAGGGGCGAGGCGGCTGCCAGCGCGCCGAAAGCGCTCAGCGCGTATGTCGGCAGGTACTACACTATAGCCAGGACGTTTTTTATTGATGTTTCCGTCAGGGGAGACGGCGAGCTGTGGATGAACTTCCTAGGGAACAAGGACGAGGACTACCGCCTCAAGCACTACCTCAGCGAGGAGTTCAGCTGACACATGCCGCGCGACGAGCAGGTCAGGCGGGGAAGGTACCCCGTCGAGTACATGGAAGATCAGGTCCGACTGTGGAGGCGGCGACACGGCTCAGGGGATCTTCTGGGTCATTGAGCAGGACTTGCCGAGGGGATGGAACTGACCGAGACGTTTTTTGGGTAGGCGGGGCTGTAAGTCAGTGCAAGGAGAGGCCAGTCACAGATAAAAGGAAACAGGATAACATACCCGCTACGCACGGAATGGGAAGGCACGGAATGGACACTGCAGAATTGAACTTTGAACACAAGAATGTTGTGTCATTGATGCTCGAACGGAGAATAAAACTAGGAATACGAACACTCTCATGGCGGGGCGTCGTTTCTTCTCCTGCCGCCGTTCTTGCTCCTGGCTACGTGTTGCCTGAGCGCTTTAGTCGTGTCTGTCAGACTCCTCTTGGTCTTCGCTCTGGCCTTGCCGACCGTCATGAGGAAGTTCTTCTTGCGCGCCTTCTCCTTGTTGGTGCTGCTCTTGCCTTCGGCCTCCTTCTTGGACTTGCGGATGGCCTGCGTCGACTTGTGCTCGTCGCGGCCAGGCTTGCCGTCCTTGGCGAGCGCAACCCGCTCCTCCTTGGTCGACTTCTTACCCAGCGTCGCCGGGAGCTCAATGTCCTCGGCCGTCACACCCTCGTCGATGTGGCGGTCAATAAGCTCCTTCTTGCGCTTGGAGCGGTTGCCCAGCGCCTGGTCAACCCTGGCCTCTCGCCGCAGCTCCTGGAGCTTAAGCAGATCGGCCGGCGTCAGAATGGACGTCATGGCGAGCGTCGAGATGCCGTTGGCTTCAGCAACCACGTTCTCCTTGTCTCCATCCACGAGCTGCGGTGCCTCAGAACCCGTCTTCTGCCGCTTCTTGGCAGGAACATCGTCCTCCCCGTCGCTCTCGACGTCAATCCAGCCTCCTGAAGACTCGCTGTCGGTGGAACCGACCTCCCACTCGTCCGAGTGGAAGCCGTCGTCATCCTCGTCGTCCAGCTTCTTCTTCCCTTCATCTCCCTCGGGCAGGCCCTCTTGCTCGGCAAGCTTCTTGGCCTTCTGCTCCTCCTTGTACTGCTCCAGGAGCTCAATGCCTTCGATGCCTCCCACGTCCTCCTCGCCAAACTTGCGTTGCCTAGTCTCGCCCGAGCGGAGACCCATGGTGGCCTCCTTGCCGCGGTACTTCTTCTGGAGCAGTTCGGGGTACACCTCACGGTAGAGCGACTGCAGGCCCTTGGCGGCCATGACAACGCCCTTGTCTTTACTCCGCTGGTAGAGAACCAGGTCCTGAAGCAGCGTCTCGGTCATGCAGAGCGGCTGGCGGATGGCAATCTCGCGGATCGAATTGATGCCGGCGGCCGCAACCTCGGAAGCCGACGCTTCCGAGACAAACTCGTTGGCAATCTTGACTACCAGCGGCTCAATGGCATCTGGAGGCACGAGGTCGTGCGTCGCCTGGGCAAGCGAGGCAAGGAACGACGTGACTTGGGCTTGCTTGGGCGTCAGGAAGCGAACGAACCAAGAGTACAGGGAGATGATCGTCAGTTTGTGCAGGCCGACCAGACGGGTTACAAGCTGCAAAATCAGCAGCTTGTTATCGAGGCTGAACTTGTTCTTTGTGTTCTGCAGGTGCTTTTGGAACAGCTGCTCGGCAAACCCCTGGGGGTCGTGAAGCAGATGCAGGGCTGAGAAGTTCAACGGATGCGGTGCACTCTTTTTGCGATCTTGTCTGTTTGCATTATTAGCAATGGCCTAGCCCCCCCCCCAATACTGCGCCCGTGCATCGTAAGCCCGTGTGAGGCGACGTACTTTTTAACTTTGTCAATGGCCTTCTCGTATGCCTTTTGGCGCTTCTTTGACTTCTTGTTGATACCGGATTGATGCTTGACCCGTTTAAGATCGACATCGTCGCCGCTGGACTCGTCTTCGAATTCCTCTCGCGACTTGTCTCCGCCCAGGAAGAATTTGACACCGCCCACAACCACCTTCTCGTTGTCACCCAGGCAAGCCTCCTTCATGACGTCGCAGGGTTTCGCATCCGACCAGACCTGGCGGCGCCAGAGCTCGCGCGTGATGCGCGTGGCCCACATGCCCTTTGTGGAAGTGCGATCCGACGTTACTAGGTTGTGCAGCACGGTCTGTATCGTCCGGTTGAGGCGGTGATTTGTCGACTTGGAGTTGGACTCCCGGAGGTCGCTGATGATCTTGGCGTACAAGAGCGATCGCAGCGTCTTGCTGGGAGTCTATTTTAGCGCAGGTTAGCGATCCGCCTCCCTAATTAGACGCAAAGAAGCGCGTACCGAGATGAGGATAGGGAAAAGGGTAGTGAGCAGACTGGTCGAGTCGATCACATCCTTTCTACGGAGCAGCACGAGACTGCCCACCACCTTCTCCCTCAGTTCCGGGTGCAGAACAGCATGGTGCTGGTTCAACAGCTCCTTGAGGTGGTCGGGGTAGGCGCCGGTGAGGTCGGGGTAGAGGTCGGCGACGTGGGCGATCAGGTCGACGAGGTCGTGGAACTTCTTGAGGTCGTCGGTCGAGGCCGTCGAAGGAGACGAAATGAAGATTTGCCGCTGTGCATCGTAGGCAAGCCACTATTCTCGCAATAGTCAGTCTCTTGCGCCAGTCTCGCCAGTCTCGCCCGACGTGCGCCAGAGGGCGGCTTTACTGACCTGGTCGTAAAACTCTTGGGCATATGATCTGCGCGCGGCCTTGCTGTTAGCCTTGGGTCCGGCGCGGTTAGGGCATTAGACAGCAAAGCTCACTTGGGATCTCTCCTAATCTTGTATTGAAGGCTGACCAGGTCTGCATCAACCTTTTCGAGCGCGGCGAGCTTGCGTTTGCCCATCTTGTCGTCTTTCTGTCGATTGCTGGTCGGTTGGGGCTTCGGGGCTCGCTTGGCTGGTGATTTTTTCCCCAGCCATCCACCACAATCCTTATCGCTTATCGGACTTTTTTTTTTCAGCGGGGCCTCTGGTTTGGTGGGGCAGACGTTTGACGAGTCTTGGCATTTACAGCTGAACCCTGCAGCTTCGTCCTCATTTCTACGGACTCCAGCGGGCAGAAATCCACGAGAACCACGCCAATTGGTGAGATCTCCCGCGCAAACGCTGCTCCGTTTCTCTCTTTCATTTCTTTTGGGACTTGCCAATTAAATACATGTTTTCGTGCCGAGGCGGTTTCACGCACAAAGATCGACTAAAATCCCAAAAAGGAGGAGGAGGCAGGCATTCCTTTCAGTCGTGGACTGGTCTCTCCCGTCACTTATTACTCAGTCACAAGCAACGTTTCCATGTCTCTCTACGTATTAAGATTCTGCTCCACGCCAGCCAGTCTGATGACACAGTTGTTCTTTTTCATCTTTCAGTTTCTTTCAGTGCCCCGGCGGTTCATGTCCTCGACTTTTCGACCGTAATTTAAATTATTTCGCCAAGCCTTTGGGCATGCGGAATCCTAGCTATGCCGAAGTTCCTGGCCCGACTTGTCACCAAGGCCGAACATTGCAGAGAGCCTGGCGGTGCTTCATCGCCCTAATGCAAGCTATTTCTCTAATAAGCTCAGCGCTACCAATGTCAAGCCACAGCACGCAGCACGAGAGAGAACAATCTCGCGGCTGCATTGTCCGGGGGAGCGTCGTCGAATCCATGGCCTAAGATCTTCAGCCACACCTGTTGGCTGTGCAGCTAGCCGCCTGCGAGATGACTCGCACTGCATACCGGGGCCATGATTTTTGGGGAGTTACTTGATGGTTGGCTTCTCGACATGCACGGAACTGGCACTCAAGGTTGTCCCGTGCCTTGTTGAATATAATTAAATGCCCGGGGAAGAGGCTCGTCATCTTCGAGAGGCCGAGCCAGGAATATCCAGCCTGCCGTCGTCCTTGGTGCAGCCATTGCCCTCCGGCACAAATGCCCCAGATATAAGAACCTGAGTGTTGTCCTCTGTCTGAATCTGCTTTCCTAACATCACGCAACGTCCTTCTGAACCACTAGTCATTGTCCGGTCTGTTCACATCTATCTTCCAGAGCCGACTCAACCAGGCAGCTACCACGCCTAGCCATAGGAACAATGCACCTCTCACTACTCCTCCCACTCGCCACCTTCCTCGCCGCCACCACCGTCTCCGCAGCTCCCACAACAAACCCTCTCTGCTCTCCCCGAGACGCACAATCCAATCTCAAGCGCACCTGCGGCGGCGTGCAATACCCAGCTCTGCGCACCAGCCCTTCGCAGGGGATCCCCTTCTCCGTCGCCCTGTCCAGCAGCTCATCCCTGTCGTCATCGCCGAGCCCGGTAGAAATCGGCTTCACCATCCCGTCCGACGCCGTCGGGCCGTGCTCGCTGATGCTCAACCTCCCGGCGGGCGTCGCGCAGGTCAGCGGCAGCGTTCAAGTCAACGTAGTCGCGCTGGACGGGCCGTCGGCGGGTTCGCTCGTCGGCACCACCACGTTCGCCGACGGCGCCGTCGCCACCATCAACAGCTTCGCCTGCCGCCCGCAGATGTGTTACTCGCTTGAGATTGCGCAGGACGATGGGAGTGGTGCCGCCGCCGCGGTGCAGTTTGTTGAGATGCAGGGCGCTGGTTTGACTATGACTTATGATTGCTGAGACCCGAGAGACCTGGGTGTTCGACTTAGGTGTTCGACTTGGGTGTATGCGTGTATTTGTGTCTGCCTATTCATTTCAAATATTGGGTTAATTAATAAATATTTAAGGGTTAACAGATTCTTAGGCCATATTCACCTATATACCTACTCTTTCCACATACGATACGTCTCCCTCATATCAGTGTGACCCGTTCCCATCCCGCGTTATAGAAAAACCCGACGTGGCCTTTTGGATGATAGATAGTTCCCGACCCAAGCCGTCGATACCGGGGGTCCATATCGGTCCCTTCCTTCGTCACCACCATGCAAAAGTGACAAGACGCATTTGAGAAAAGGTGAAGGAGCAACGAGCTTTCGCGCTCCCCTTCATCTACCCGCTGGTCGAGCAAGATGGTAACTGACAGAAACTCGTCCCAGCGACACTCAAAGTCCAATCTAAGGGGGTTTTTGCCTCTCGGCTGAGGCAGCGGCATGCCGAGCGGCTCCAGCAGGCCCAGGACAACCAGCTGGGAACTGACAAGGCTGGACGTGAATGGCACTCCTTCCCACTCGACATGCTAGCTCACGAGGCTCAGCTTTTGGTGGTAGTCCTCGAGGTTACTGACATTCGTCGCCGAGACTACACAGGTCGAAGGGCGGATAGATAGCCACGACCACGTAGGGATGCTCGGGATGGGTTAGCCGTAAGCCTTCCCAGGGTGGGGAGAACCGCTTACTTCGTTGGAGCGCGGCAGCCGGCGAGGTTCTGGCTGCGGCCGTCGAGTTCGACGTTCCAGCCGAAATCGTACCACAAGGTCTCCTCCCAGCAGCCGAGAACCGGCGTCCCGCCGGTGGTGTCCTGGTAGTACTTGACCAAGCCGGCAATGGCGGCCACCCTGTCCGAAGGAAAGGTCAGGAGACGCGACGAGTACTCTGTCACCTAGGACTACTAGTTCCCGACGGCTCGAGCCGGCGTGCTCATGTCTCGCGTCCCGCTTCCTCGGGACGGGTGGGCTCGGAGACTGGAAATATCCGGGTACCTCACCGTCCCGTCCTCCGACTCCATTCCGACACGGCACTGGTAGTACATTTGATGTTCTGTGAAGTGGACGAGGCGGGCCGAGAGGACCTGCTCCTGAATCACCCATGCTATCTCGCTCAGGGGCGCATTCCAGATCGCTCGGGGCGAGGCGACGGGGTACCTGATCGAGCAGGCCTCGACCCCCTCTTGTTGGGGGCTTCCGTCAAATTTCACGTGGATCAAGGCGTCTGGGTCCGAGCCGTCGAGGGAAAGGCCGCCGTCGCCGCTCAAAGACGAAGTAGCCGCAATGGTGAAGTAGCTTCTTCGGTAGACGCTAGCCATTTTGACGGCCTCTGCTGCCCAGATCGCGTCGTCGTCCTGGATTATGCAGAGCGAATCGATCCACAGGTATCGGATTCCGAGGGCTCTCGTGACTTGGATTGCATCCGTGAAGGTGCGAGAGAGGGCGGCGGTCGGGATTACTTGCATGTGGCTGGCGAGGTTCGCTTTGGTCGTCTTTAACGGTGGCCTGGCCGACGAACCCCAGCAATGGCTGAGGGCCACGTAGCGAATGGGAGAGATCAGCGCCCCTGTTTGGGTCGAACATGCGAGGCTGACGGTGGATTCATCACCATTCGTGCCTAGATCGAGGAACCGGGCAGGGTAGGTTGTTCGGGCTGCGCCGCAGGTCGAGTGCTCCCTGAAGCAGTGCTCGAGTCAGTCGTTGATAACTTGGAACTCTTTCGACAAAAACAGGACACGTCTTGCTCCATACCGCTCTGGTTGCCAAAATATCTTGAATCCATCGTGTCAGCTAATTGGTATCACAGCCGTATTGCTCCATACTAACTCGTGCTGCCGCATATTCCAATCCTGGGGTCGTCGTCGCCGTGGAAAGGCGAGTACCCTGGATCTTCGACCCCTGTGTTTTCCCACAGTTCCAATTCTAGAACCGTCACGAGAGAACGCGCTGCTCTTGTTTCGACAAGCTTGACTGCCCATTGTTGGTAGTTTTGGAGAGCCTTTACTGAGGATAGAATTTGACAAACGCGACAAGCATTCGAGGATGCAATGAGGGCGGTTATGTTGGAGTGATGGTTGGCCGTCTGACTCTTCCCGAGTCTCGATGGACGGCAGAAGGTCGATGCCGAGCTGGCTCTGCCTTGGTGGGATATTGAGCCCCAGAGAGCTACAGATTGGCAGAGATTGCAGACAGACATTCTGGAGCGAGGAATCTGAGGCCAGGTATTGCGGTTTGTTTTGTGGCCTCCCTTTGCTTTCGGGAATTCTCGAGGGTAGGGTACATGTACCTGTTGGACTTTCGGGGTTCTGACCAGGGCTGGGCTGGCATTCGCCCGCCGTTCGACCTGTGGGCGCATGCATGCAAGGTAACCCTTTGGGCTTCCATTCCCTAGGCAGTGTCGTTCAGCCACGAACCCGTTCGTAGCACAGCCCCGCAAGGCACTGACACCGACACACCATATTATATCGTCTTCAACGGCCTGCAACCCATCCCTGGCAGGGCCTCCTCGGCTTCCTCCATCCATCCAAATTATCCAACGCGGGTGTCGCTGATCACCGTTCAACTCCATTATCTGTTAATTAAGGGGATCCCAAGAGAACCTTCAACCTATTTGCCTCAATGGCTGCGTTTTCTACGTGACGGAGAACCTGCGCAGCGCCTTGGCCCGGCTCCGACGGCCAACCGAGGACCGCCGGCTTTGGATCGACGCTATCGCCATCAACCAGCTCGATCTCCCAGAGCGAGGCGCTCAAGTCCAGGTTATGCCATTCATCTACTCGCGCGCGGAGAAAACGCTGGCTTGGCTTGGCGAAGGTGACGAGGAAATCAGCTCTGCCGTCAAACTCCTGACCGAAATCAACGAGAATATGGCGATACACGCATCCACGCAAGTCAGTGATTAAATAGACAGCGTCACACCCGAAGTCGTCATGTGATACTAATACGACGGCATTGGCCACACCTCTCGTATCCTCAAGCATTGAGGCCTACAGTCCCTATCGAGAAAGTCTGAGTGGACAAGCGGAAGCTAAAGTTGGCAAACACTACGGTCCCCACTTCTGGGCTGCCATAACAGACTCCCAGCCCACCAATATCAATCCAGAAAACCTCCCTGTCTCAAATCTTCCAGACAGCAGTAGCCAACACCGTCCGACCCGAAATTAACCAACAGTTCGTCCAAGAAACATGTCTGTCTTTTCATCTTATCCCGTGGGCCCATAGCAGCTAATTAACTCAAGTCCTCTCTCAGACTCAGATACCCGTCTCAACAGTCGACATGGCGAGTAACAACCAGGACCCTCTGCTGTGCAACGGCTGCTACGGCTGGCGTCTATCCAATGGAGATCAACTAAGAGTTAATATGAGAGTCGAGGTCACATCGACGTGGGGGGTGCGTTCTCTCAGTTCAGGATAGCTGTTGCGTCTCAGTGATCTTGCCTGTTTGAACTATTCTAGGCTTTATCATCAGAGACAACATCAAATCCGTGCAACCTGCCACACGTCTTACTTGCCCAACTGAACTCCATCTTAATAAGCTACTATCCCTTTAAATTCAGCACAGACGCAAGCTCGTGTAGATACTTTGACACCCGAATGTCCAAAGCCATGAATATTACACAAAAGGCAACCCGACAGTTACAAGCCTCACCGGTTTACACCTCCGTTGCGAACTACTGGCCCCTCGCGAGCGCGTCCCAGCCAGGCTTGCACCGGGCACACGCATACCACTGGCTGTTGGTGGGCCCGATGGTGGGCCCGCCTCTGTCTGCACCGCACCGATGAGCAACGAACGAGTCAGCGATTTGGTGACGAGGGTCTGAAAAGTGGAGACCAAAAACTACTCACGCAGATCGTAGGCGTCGCACAGGGTATTCCGGGTCCCGGACCCGCCGGGGACGACGCCCCAGGGTGCGTTGGCGGGCATGCGCACCCACGACACAGGCTCGGGGCTCGCCAGACCCAAGTCTTGGCCCAGCCGCGCCGACGGAGGAGGCGCCTGTCCGGCCAGGATGGCATGGCGCTGCTGGGCCACGTCGTTGTCGGGTTTCGGGTGGGCGAAGAGAACCCACGATGCCGGCTGGCGACTGCTACTGCTATGGGTGCTGACATGGCGCGGGCCGAGCCGGTGGTTCCGCAAGAGACTGGCGTTCTGCTGCAGGCAGCTAGGGCAGAAGCTGGCCTCGTCGCCCATGCAGAACATCCAGCCGAGGGCGTATGCTTGGCTGGCTGGTTGGTGGTGCAGAAAGAGGTTAGTGTTGGTAGACTGGGGGGTAGAGGGAGACATTGAAAAAAAAATACCAGTTCTGCTACATTTGCCGCAAGTCAACACCAGCGCAGGGTTCTGCCCGAAGAAGGAGCCTGGCGTCCTGAAAGCGCCCCTGGCTCGGGGCTTGCCGTCGATGATCCGGCCGCTGATGATGCATTGCTGGCAGCAAAAGTTGCATGAGTCGGTTATCTCCCAGCTTTCACCGAAAGGGATGTCTGTGTGTGTGTGTGTTGGGGCTTGTTAGGAGAGCCTTTGTTTGAGGGGTTGGGGAAACGAGCAGGGCTGTGACCGACATCCATTGTGCGAGTGGCAGATAAACGGCGATGGCGGAGAGTCTGCTGCCCTTGTATTGGCCTGGGCTGCTGTTGCGAATCCAGAGGGAGTGGATGTGTTGGATCCCATATTACTTAATGGTCAGTTTGCTGGTTGTTTGTGGAGGCTTGGACCCGATGGAGGCGTTTCTGGTTGAGTGGCTCAGGTGGCTAACTAGACAAGTTGTAAGTACTTACGGGCAGCAGGTTCGGCCTCTTTTTTATACCCGTGCGAGATCCGATGGGTGATGACCAGTGACGTCAGGTATCGACTGTGGCTAGCTGAAATGATGAAATAGAAGCCAAGTATAGAATGGAGGGTGGGGTGACCACTCGGTCGCTGCGCTGGGTCGCTGAGCTGAGTCGCTGAGCTGAGTCGCTGAGCTGAGTCGCTGAGCTGGGTCGCTGAGCTGGGTCGCTGAGCCATCAGGCTCGCTCAGCCTGTTGTGTCGCGCAAAAGTTGCCCTCACCAACCCCCAATCACCCACACCGCCCCTTGCCACCTTGCTCAGGCACTGCAAGGGCTCGGGCAAAAAGGAAAGAGTCACCCTCCCCAGTGCAAGGTTCAGAACGCCACGTCCTAAAAGGGGCTAGATTGACCTCGCCAGCTGCTTGGTCAACAAGCCAATCTCTCACAGTACAAGTTTCAAAGTACCAGACGATAACTGTCCTTGGGGCTGTGACAGGAGGTCCAACAAGCTTGAATAGATACGTAAAGTGCAGGACGGCACCAGGCAGATGAAATCGTACCGTAAGATTTCAAATCCTGGCCACTGTGGAGCGTGGCCTTTTATTTTCTTGCCTGAGCCTTCGTACCTGGGCAGGACATGATCGGGGAACTGCCACTTGGCGGAGTTCCGAAGGTTGAAATGTCAACTTTCATCGAGGGGATAGTTTAAGATTGAGCCATACAACAATCATTTCAAATCGATTCCCGGGACACCGACGATCGGCGAACTCGAGTTGAACCTATTCTCAAGACCCAGAACTAAACATACACGTGGCAGAACGCCCCTCCGTAGCCTCCCAACCCGTCGTGCGCTTCGAGGACGGGAATCACATCGGTTGCGAGCCACTTGAGATCAATTTTCCTGTCCAGGCTCGCGCCGCCGAGGTTTACCTGGGCGTTGATGCGGTTTTCGGGGTCCTGCATCTGCCAGATCCACCACAGGCGGTCCAGCATGGCGTGGTGGAAGTAGAAGATGGGGTCGCCGGGCGAGACCATGGGGTCGCCTCCAGGATCGCCGCCGGCGATGTAGTGGCCCGAGGTGTGGATGCCCCAGTTGTAGGCGTCGCTGTTGTTCCGCGCCGGCGTCAGCAGCGTGTTGTAGAAGTCGTTGATGTTCTTGGACTTGGTGATGAGGTTGTACGACCGGTCTGCCGTCGCGCCGAGCGCCGCGTTGACGTTGACGTCTCGCCGCATGCACCGCGGGTTGTACCCGCCGCCGCTCGACAGGGGGTTCTTGGGTACGTTGTCCATCACTGGCGAACCCGGGCCGACGGAGGCCTTGTAGCTGTCGAGGGGGTTTTAGTTAGTCCGCCTAGTTCTAGGCAAATATTTTCCTTTGCCGAGTTGATTGTGTGAAGTAGTTACGAACTCTTTGAAAGGACCATCCGTGACGCATCCCCCTCCGCCGCCAGACTTGATCAGGCCGCCGCTGGTGCGAAGACCGGTGTACTTGGGATCTGGCGCGCCGTTGCCACCCATACTCGTCGCATTGCCGTTGAACAGGGCCGATTTCGTGGGATCCTTGGTGTAGCGGTCGTAGTTCATGTACTATTGTTTTGTAAAATCGCAGTAAGCAACTTTGTCCCGCAACAAAACGCTATGGGTGGGACGAGGGTCAAGGATAATTTACCGGGTGGTACCCCTTGTAGCCACACTCGTTACGAAGAGCATTCTCGTACGCAAGGAGGAAGTACTTGTGAGCAGGGAACAAGCCAATCGTGTCGTGCAGGGATCCGGCGTTCGTCAGGTGGTATGCCATGAAATCGTCGAACCGGCTCCGAGCCCCTGGGAACTGGTCCTTGGGTGCCTTGGACGGCGCCTTCATGAGGCAGAGCGTGGCGTTGATGAAATCGGCCCGCTGATCGACGGTCATGTCGCCCCTGAATATCAGCGAGTCAGAGACCCATTCCAAGTGATTAGACCGGCAGCATCATGGAGACGGCCAAATATACTCACCACTCCCTCCGCACGCCCGCCCTCTCCAGTGTGCAGCCATTGTTCTTGCCCGCAGCAATCTTCTTGGTCATGTACGCATCAATATTGGTCATCGTCGTGTCCTCCAGCTTGTCGACAACATCCAAGGCATAGAAACCGTTGCGTTGCCTAGTATGACATCCACGAGTTAGCTACCGTTCCCAAAATAGCGACTCGAGTCCTACACACTCACACGTTCACTTTAGCTCTCCAATCCCCCGGCGCCGCGACTCCCGCGAGGACCGAGGGCAGCAGGAAGGAAGCACTCCAGACAATGGACCGCATGTTGGGTAAGTAGCAGTTGCTCTGTGGCAGACTCCTGTCCTTGTTGAGAAAGACGCCAGGGTCTTCGGCAACAATGGAACTTCATAAACATTTCGGGTCCAAGGCGCTTTTGTAGAGGAGACGTACTCTGTCCTGCTTGGATCAAGTAAGTGGCAAGGGTGCCCCCCTCGGCCCCAAATAGCCACATTAAATTTGAAGCCGTGACTGGATTGGTCATCTATGGTTCGCTTAGTGCCCATCCTCAATTATCTTTGTGGGGTATGTTTACAATTAATTAATTGGCTGGTTCTCGTGGGTCGTCCCGGCAGATGAGCTCTGCCGGGCGAGGCTTGTCACCAGCCCAGAATTTAAAATACCCGATAGGTTTAGATACCCTTGCGTGAAATGTCCCAATCATGTGCTAAGTCGGATTGCGGCCGGTACGGTGCAGTCGGCACTCGGCTTCGTCCAGAAGCAAGTGAGAGGGATCCTAAAATGGATGGAACGCGCTTGACGGCCAACACATCAACAAGCGCCAGCATGAGGTGGTTAACAAACTTCATTATGCACTAACACAAAGAATTGGGTTTGACATCGCAGGAGCAATTATAATTGGTGGCAACCTCCTTCCAGCAAAACCTGGCCTATTTAACCCAAATCCGTGCATACCAGAAGACCAGAGCATAGATAGTAGCTCCATCGCTCCCCGTCAAATCTACTTTCGAGAGCCGTCCCTAGCTACCGAGACGGCCATGTCACAATTACTCACGGAGAAGGCAGTCAACCCCAACCCCCGCAGCCTTCACCCAATGACACCAACGACGATTCATTAGGTAAATTGGCGGCATTAGTGGTTCCGTGAGGCCCCTCCAACTTTAGCCGAGAGGCTCGGCAATCCCCTGTCGCGATGATTGCCTTGCCAGGCCCCGGCGACATGAATGCCAGCTATTTCATTCATATAATATGAGAGACTCAACCGCAGTACACACACTGACGCGCGGCAAAGATCAGTTGAGTGAATCCAAGTTTTTGGTCTGATGCTCTCGGTTCCAAGTTCGCGGACAACAAGATGCGCGCAGCCACTTCCCTCCTCGTGGCTCTGCTCTGCCGAGTAAGCCTGGCTCTGGACGGCGGCAACTCTGGGCAATACGTGGCGGCCAACTGCACCGAAAGCTCCCAATCGCCTGCTTATTGGAGGATCGATGACTTTGTTCTGAAGGTTATCAACTGGGACAGCGGCGGATCTGTGGGCTCGTTTGGCTTCAAATCCTACTTCTCGGCCACAAACACGACGGTGGAATGCGCGGTGCAAAACGTCGACCTGGCCAAGCTGGGGGATGCGGGGCTGTGGTCGAAATGCAACAACACGACTGGGACCGAGTTTCAGTTCTCCTTCGCCGATATAAGCCTAACTATGAAGGAAACATGGACATGTTCAGGGTCTCCGGGGTGAGCGATTATATGTTTTTTGAAAGCTCTTGCGCTAACGTCTCTGCGCCCCAATGTGTAGAATCATCTTCAATGCGAATGCGACAGGGAGCATCATGATGCACGGCTGCCTCAATAGCAGCATAGACAAAGGCGTCGAGTCAGATTGCATTCTGATGGAGTTGGAAATGGCGGCCAACGACACCTTGTCAGCGACGACATAGTTGCTTTTATTCAGCAACTGTGGTAGACAGAAGAAAACCACCCGCTCGCCATTACAAGGGCTCTGGAACAACCAGGAGGCGCAAGACTTGGTAACTCAGGATCTCGCACAGACACGGAAGTTGGCGGGGGCAACTTCTGCATGAAACAAGAGGCTGTTATATGTTCAGGACCTGCACACTATTGGCTGAGTTCTCTAACTACGTCTGATTTGTGACTTCAGTTCGTTTCCTAGAATCTATTTGCAACTTTTGCCGTCCCGTCACTAAGATTGCATTTGAACTTGGGTGGCAACTTAACTTTTCTAATTATTTCTACGACTATGCGATCAAAAACCAGCAACTTTGCTTCCTATGCTTCCACGGCATTGCCTTTCCAACTTTGCCATTCTTGCAAAATACCAATAGAATGTATAATCTGAAAAGGCGCCGATCAAATGCTGAAAACCTTTAGTTACCTCGTGGTTACCTCTCCTAGGTTCTTAGTTTCTCCTATTCTTCCCTGTCAACATGTGTTTCCTCTTAAATAAAGATAATTTCAGTAGAAAGAGACCTGTATAAACCTAAAGTTGAGTGGACTATTATTTGCCCACTTCTGTGTCGTGTGTGATGACGGAAGTAATAGTATTCGAGATGCACAGCCCGTCGGAAAGAGTGAACCAACACCCGGTGAAAGAAACAAGAGAGACAAAAAAGGCCGTGCATCGAAAGGGCAAAAATTTCAAAAGATAAGAAAGGTCCTACCGGAATCGAGCCGGGGTTACCGAAAGAATCGCCCATCCGAAGGTGGAAAATCAGAATCCGATGTGATAACCGCTACACTATAGAACCGAGTGGATCAGTGGGTTTTTGATGTTATCTTTAGCCGCTAGTTCTCTCCAACAATGCCGGCGACTGGGCTGATCTACTCAATCAAATCCTTCGATGTGGATGCCTGGCGTTGAATCTACTTGCATGCATGTGGCTCCTCTTGAGAATGACTGTGGAGGAGTAAAACCCCTTATCCTTGAGCCTATCGGGTGGTGTGATGAGTGGTAAGCACTGACTCGGCCCGAGAATCGGGGCAGGCATTCTCGGCTGGATCCCCAGCTTTCGGGAAGATCCATCGGGCTTGGTCCTTGCGTCGGGCACGGTTAGAGGCGTCAACGCCACGGTGATACCAAACATGCCCAGCTGTTCAAAGATTACGCAGTACAGTTGTCACGGATGGAACCCTGCTTGAACTGACGGCAGAGCGCATTCAATGTCGTCACGTGCAACACAGTAAGAATTTCGACGAAGAAGAGACCGGGGTCAAGTCTCACGGGTCTGCGTCGTGCCACCGCACCCGGATCGGGGGGGTGCAACATAAAAACGCAATGCTGCGTGTTACTGATCGACGTGTGTCTTGCGGGTGGGCTGAGTTGGCCAGTAATCGCAGCGCTCGCTCAAGACCACCGCATTAGCGGACGGCCCCGAAACACTTACCCCGTCTAAGCTGGCTAAGCTAGCCGAGAGACAGTAGGTAGTGCGGGAAGCGAAACAATGCTACAAGCAAAGCGAAACAACGCTACAAGCAAAGCGAAACAATGCCACAAGCAAGACAAGTGAATGACTTGTCAGCGCTTCCCTTTTAGCAGCTGTTGGTTCACCGGAAGTGGGTTTCAGAGACTGTCGAGATGCTCCGTTCAGCCGAAGGCAATCACTACGCAAGAACTGGACCTCGTAGGGAATTTTTTGGGGGCGGCTCACTTGCGAAGAGGGTCAACGAGCGAGCCCCGCTCAAGCGAGAATTCCAATTGCTGGATATGGGCTGGTATCCGGATAACTTAAAACACGGCACTCTTGGGCTCTCTAGACGCATTCGTATCTGCAAAGGGACACATGGCTAACTGCAAGCGAGGATGGCTGCAGTTGACGTTGTCCTGACCGTTTGACTCAGGCCACGGCCGGTCTCAAACTGTGCAAAGGCTGGTGTCGTGTGCACACGAAGGAGGAAGCGGCAGCCAAAAACGGCCCAGAGGAGCGCAGAGAAAGACAATACGTGGCGGCTACTGGCGACACCCGCCAGGGCTGATGCCGGCTTGCGGACTCACTTCATTTGGCGCACTCACCACCCATATCCGTCGGCTTACGGAGTTATGGTGCACTGACTCCGTCAGCTGGCCTTGCCTTGCTGCAGGCGCCGGGCGTAAGTTGTCGGTCAACGCATTCAGCAACACAGCAACCGATGAAGCGCTCAACCGATCACTCTCTGTCATAGCGAAACCCAGAAACATATTTCTGGCAGCGACTGCACCGACACATGCAACCAAGTGCCGACGCGAGACCATTCCTCATTTGATTAGCGTCAAATAGGACAATCACCACATTTCTTCTTTGGCGACACAATAATCTCTTGGCGAGTGCACAACCGCGCCGAAGAGCAAGAAGAGATGACGTGTTGCTCCTTTCCAGGGAGCGTCAAAGGCGCACCTTCAGCGGGTCATGCAGGCACTGGACGCTGGGTCATCGTCGCAGCGAATGCCAGTTCTGGAATTTCTGCGTGTCTCGCCGAGTCTGCATGGTCTCGGGTCTTCGGGAGAGCAGAAGAACCTGCGCGGAAGATTAAAAAAATTGAAACATTCAGGCGGCGCTGACACACACGCGCGCCGTGTGTTTCTCGCAAGCGCATGAAGAACGCTGAGGTGACGATCTTTTCGATCGAAACGCCTCGAGGGGCTAGAACAGTCCCTTTGAGCCTGGAGAAAGAAGCACCGTGCAGCTCGCTAAAAATTGGCAATTCGCACCAAGCGAGCGGGGCCGCCCTGGGCAGGCAGGCTTGGGCGAAAAGGGCAAAGCTTGCCCGCCAGTTCGCCGCCGGTCGAGACCCTCACCCTGGATCCTTGCCTGCCCAGCCTGCCCCTCTCAGGTCTGTGGGTTTTCGCTGGGGCCGATTTTAGTGGCTGTCGCCTAAGCTGCCAGGGCTCCAAGGCCTCCGCCACAGTCTTCAACGGCTTAATGACATCACCCCAGGCTTTTTTGGTTCCGACGTGCCTGCCTGGTCTTGTTGGGGCGTGCAGGCGCGGTCCACCAATATTGTCAATCAGGGTCCAGGGAAGGTGAGACCGACGGAAGGCATTATCATTGCAGTCGCAACCCATGCTGGAAATGGGGACTAGGCACCGGGAAATTTCCCATCGACGCACGATTTTTTACAGTGTGGGCGAGTGACGCACCACCCTGCCAACTGGCCCAGTTGTCGGTGAGTTGAGGGCCAGAAGAAACCCCTCCCTCTCCCTCCAGGGTAAGGTGGGTGATGGGTGATGGCGCGGATCGGCAGACGACACCCTGTCAACTTCGATTCTCGAAGGTCCACACCAATCGATAGTGTCCGCATGCGGCCCCGTTGTAGGATGGTGGCTCTGAGCTAGCGATATGGGTGTGGTGCGGTATGCCGATCGGCCGGGCCTTCGAGAGCTAGGTAGGTCCCGCTGGAGGCCATCTTGTCCGCTTCCCGACTCTCACTCACTACCAGAGGAAACAAGAGAAACCGGGATCCCATTCAAAGGCAAGCAGGCAGGCAGAAATGCACAGTTCGAGCTCGCCAATCACAAGGCAGCGAGCCACTTCTCGACGCGGCAGATCTCGTGGACGAACCGGTCATCACACCCGACCTTGCTTAGGAGACAGACCTGGGAGCCTACTAGCTGCTTTAGATTGAGGCATCAATTAATCAGTGTCAAGCACTGTGTATTTCCCGCCGTCGCATGCCACCAATATCTCATCTGCTATAGGTTTCGCATCTGGCCATGCCTGAGCATGGGTCCATCTCCACCTCCAAATTTACGCCAAACGGCAATGCTCATTGCGCACAGCGGGACCAGGCTTGTGGACGCCGGGACAGGGGTGGGCTGTTCAGATCTTGGCGGGCCCTGCAAGAGAGATCACAACGGGGAGCCAGTTCGCAGAGGGTGGCAGAACTCGGGCTCTGATTAGCCACAAATCTGCAAGTCTTTTGTGCGTTGTGAGGGAAAGGCTTCACTTTCGCTCCCCAGGGCAAAAGTAGGCCGCGAATCATTATACCCCGATGGCCTTGTGTGGGTTGTTGTGGCTGGCCCCGTCTGGCACCACCACTTTGCTGTCCGGTCTCCCCCCTTCCGAGTTAATGTGCGCCGGGGCGACCTGGTGATCGTCCAATTACGAAGCCAATCCGCCTGGTGGACGGTGCAGAAATCGCTGGCCGTTTGTTGGGCCACAGAAGCACTGCCTGCGCTTCCAGGGCCCAATTGGTCGATGGGCCAAAGAAGAGAGAACCCACACCCACCACCAAAACCTGCCGGCCTCCAGGGTCCGCAGCCTTTTCGCATCACCGGCTTGTGGGCAAGGGGCGGCAACACCCTCCTTGCAGCACGACAACGGCTAGTCATGTGTTAAATGAGCGACTCCTGGATGATCATTGGCTGACCAGAACAAGCCGGGGATGCAGGGGGGCCACCTACACTGTACTCTGTACTGTCTGCTGCAAGTGCGGGCGTGGATGGCCAGATTCTAGGTTCACGATCCTTTTCGAGGCCTGACGGCCGAGTAGGTAATAAACATGACCATGTTTTGCCAGCAAAGAATGAACCTTCGCTGTCACACACGACAAAATGTAGCAGAGTACAGGTTATTAAAGCTTTAGCGCCCGCAACTTTTTTCTCTGCCATCCTCAACCATTTCAATCTTCCTCGGCTTTTTTCTTGTGTTGTTGGACCCGCATACTGAACGACCAAGATTCCCTGCTTTCGTCCCTTGGGATTACACAGCCTTCTCTCGACCCTCTCGCTACGACTTGCTCGCAGCCTACTTGCCCGAGCGAAACAAACAAAAACCCCCCTTTCCCTCGCAAAAGAAAGCATTTGTCCCCCTCGTACCGTCAAATTATTTTCGAAGCGCGACCGTCGAAATTTCCCGTTATACCGCCACACAATCGGTCGCACCTTGCTCCCGAAACATACCATCCCAGCGGACACTCGGAAGACTGAATCTGTTCACCGTTGCACAACGCACCCACCAGCCTGCTCCCGTCGGCATACCACGCTCACCTTCAACCTCCGCCTACCGTTCAAGAGACCTTTGAAGCACATCACAGCGCACGCAGTGCAGCACAGTTCAGCCACCGCTTCGCGGCCGAAGCGTACTTCGCGTTCCCAACGCCTCTTCTCGGGTGCTAGTCAACCCAGATCGCATCCCATCCCACCGCATCTTCCAGGGCCGCCAAGTTTTTGTTGCGGGATACTGTACCCGCGCCAGCCGCATCGCGTCAGCACCTTGCTTGACAGGGAATTCCCTTGACTAGGGTTTTTTTCCCTCTCGCATTTCGACTTGCTGGAATAATTTCACTGCACAAGTGGGAATTGATTGTAAGTTCTTATTTTGGCATTTTCATCTCAATCACTCCTGTTCTTCCTTTGTGAATATTGGATGGAGGTGGTGCACCGGGTTGCGGGGCCCCCTAGGGCTCGAGCAAGCTTGCACCGCCGTGTCACACCCGCAGGTCCTACGGACCCTTTCACTGACGCTTGAGCAGTTCACGCCGCAGGTCCGCTCCGGGCGTGTGCGGAACAAGGCAGCGGGATGGTAGACAAGAAAATGCGGCCCACCCTGCCCCTGGCACAGGTGATGGACGATCGGACCTACGCGATGCGCAGATTCTTGAACCCTTGGGCGTTCGGCGACGGCCACGGCCACCTGCGGTCCGACTCGAGCTGGACCTTCTGTTGGCTCCAGCCGGGCCCGATTGGTGCTCGCCGGGGGAGGGCGTGGGCCAAATTGCGGGGCGTGGCCCGCATACGCGCCATCATTCAAGAGTTGGAGAAGAGACTGCCACCTCCTTCCTAATCTGGCATTTTCGTGGAGAAATTTTCCTCGACCCCCTGCTGTTCAAGAAAGGCCTCCCAGGCTGACCTGACACAGCTGAAAGTGTGGGGGGTGCAACACCCAATCACGCCGTTTGGGTCGTTCGATGGCGTCTGGAGTTTTTTTCGGTTTTCTTCTCTTGTTTTGGATACTTGTCTTTCCCTGACAGTCCTCGGCGACTCTCTATAGGCATTTTATTGCTGTTGGGCATGATTGCAGCACGATAACACCAATCGGCTCAAATGGGCTTATTGACAAATTCATCCTTCATCTCATGTGCCCAATTCCTCCGAGCTTCCTCGACCCTTTTGGTCTAAGCTTGCAAGTGGCACAGTGCAAAAACATGGCAAACCGCGTGGGGGGCCAAGCCGTAGGGCTGGGCAGTCTGGGTCGCCCCACTGTGGAACCCAAAATAGCGCTGCCGTTCCGTACTGGTGGGGCCGCCGACAGGAAATGTTCCAGGTTAGGAGGGAAGGACTGGAAGGGGTGACAACAGTCGCGCCGCCACAGACCTTCCGTCTGAGAAGCTTCTTTTTTCCTTTGTCGCACTTGGCTAGGGAAGCCGCATTGTAGTCAGCTGACCTGTTTTATTGTTTCTTCAAGCGACCGAGGCAGACACCTGCCAAGACCAGCCATTCGTTGCTAGCCCCGATGCTATTATTATCATCAGATTGAGAATGACGACTTCCGTCCGTAATGGGACTAGCAACGAAGACGCCACGGTTCTAGAAATAGCACTTCTGGCAACAGTAAGGTTTGAGGCCTCAAGATGCCGAGCTGAGGCCAGCTCACGCCTAGGGTCGTGATCGCGATCGAGCCTCATGGACTCGCTGCCGGTCAGCCACCGCCTACCCAACCCCGAACAATAATTGAAGAAAATTTTCAGAGTTGGGCAGGCTCAGTCGGGGCCTGCGGCTACGCGTGTGTTACCACCGCCAAGAGTGTAGTGGCGTAAATCGGGACACTTGTTGGTCATAGGGCTCCGGTGAGACAATTTGAAACACACTATCTCGAAGGAAAGTGAGAAAAAAGATTAGATTGATGCCCTCGCGTCCTGGTTTCCCATATTGCACCGCGGTCTGGAGTTCAATCGACGGCGTGTCTCGTTGCAAATCCGCAAGCCGCGAGCTGGGGGCCCTCGCTTCCGCTTTCGCTCACGAAATTAGACCGGTCTCGACCTGAGCATCCTCACATTCACCGGGTTGCCTGATTGGGGTGCGTTGACATTTGTTTTCCCCACCTACTTAGGAGTCCTGCACACAAGCCCTAAACGGTGTTTGGCTACAGCAGCCACAGCTACAGCTTCAGGTCTTTCCCCCTCGTGGCCAGCGCTGTTGCTGCCCATAACGGTATGTTGCCCCACAACTATCGTAACACCGAATAAATATTAGCACCTCGATAGACTCATCTACAGGTTGCGCTTTGAGAGGATTCAGCCGGGATTCTTAATTCGGCCGGGTGCGCCAGATGTTGAGGTGGGCTGTGAGTTTTTGAGATCACGTTCACCGCTTTGGAATAGAATTACCTTGGTAGGATGAGAGAGAAGACGGGAGTTCGTGTCGACAGCCTCTCTAGTGTGTATCGGATACCCAAATGCCGCCCGCGTGCAACCTGACGCTGTTGTGTCAGTGCCCGTGCCTGGCTAGGCGAAAGCCGACGTTGACGGTTTGACAGGCGCAGAGGACCGTTCCACAGTGCCGTGGTTGTAGTTGCGCCTGTCCCAGTGCCCCACAGAGAATCGTCCGCTAAGTTCCCGCTAAGCCCGGTGTCTCATTAATTCTTCGCAAAGGGTACTTACTGTAAACCTCCGTATTTACGGAGCGTCGGGGAGCACGGACTTAATCACTTCCTCTCTCTCCGTCGTCTTATTAAGCGGTCGGTGTTTACGGAGTAATGTTGCACTTTTGTCACTTTTGTAAGACTAGGACTCGCATTCTTTGGGATTCCAACCATTGTGTGTCTTTGCCTTTTACACGGAGGCCGGCTTCATTTATTGAGGTAATGTCATTGTCCTCTGGAAACCGGGTGGCTGCTGGCGCCCGTCCGACAAGTGACAACTCTAGGAAGTTGCGTGTTTCAGGAACACGACAAGGATGTAGGGTACCGACTTCCCCAGCGGGGTGGTGTCGTTCGTTGCCCCACCGCTAGCTCCGTTCCTAGGGCCTACGTAATTGAGACGGGCGGGAACGCCAATCTTCTTCCTCTGGGCACCCAACCCTTTCTATCTATGTGCGCCGTCGCATGCTCTCGTGAGTTCTTCCTCCACGGTACGACCGAGACAACGCCCGTTTTCATGTAGTGCAATGCGGTTTTGGGGCTCCCAAGGTGAAAAGGGGCTTCAGAGTTCAATAAAGCAGAGCCAAAGGGAGTGGACTGCCGCAGCAGCCCGCCTTGTTACTCTTGTTGGTAATTTTTGGCGTCAAAAAATCGGTTGCATTTCGTCCCCAAGTTCAAGGTACCGCGTTCCTCATTCGTGGGGACCCGGGAATGGCACATGCACATGTGCGCGTCAAGAGGATCGCTGCCAACCACAAACCCACTGGGGAGCTTACCAATGTCTGCCATGTCACAGTTGCCAAGACGTCCTGCAGCCGTCCGGACTCGTCATCGAAGATCAACCGACTAAAAAGATGGAAATCGGGGAATGGGCGTCTTTGAGACGACCGCACTGGCCACAAAATTGCGCTTCCTCTCAACTCGAGAGTTGGTCGTGAGCTGAGATGAGATAACGAGAGGTAACGGGAGCCGGTTGGCAGTTGGCGGAAACCATCTCACCGATTGGTGGGGCTTCCAACCACAATTGGAGGTGACCACATAGGGTGCCTTTTAATGGCTGGTCTGCATTTGGAGGCGCTTTAGCATACACTGTGAACCAACATTTCCCTATTTACTCAGAACAACTCAAAGGACAAGGCAGAAAGCGACGCCGTAGAGTTCTTCATTGAGCTGGAGGCAAGGGTCGACAGAGTCTTAGTGGGCGGCAATGATAAAAGACGAACCAGCTGTTTTCGGACTTGTAAAGAGGAGCTGTGTACAATACGGAAGGGTAGTCTAGATCAAGGTGAAGAAGATGGGCGTTATATTTCTTGGTCTCCAAATCCGCGCACCGTTTCAATCCATCTTGGCCAAACAAGTAAAGCCACAAGGCACAGAGAGCTTGTTACCGTTTACTCTGTATGCCTTGCTCGGTTAAGGCAACTCCAGGCTGCTTTTCTCGAAAAGATGACAGGGGGCATGTGGGAGCCAATGACAGGTACGGAGACTCAAGTGTATCCATGTATGTACTGAGGCGCTTTGCGGAGCACTCGCCCATCCGCCCTCCGCAAATTCGGTAGCGCTCTACATGGAGTGATGTAGCGACTTAGTTTTGACTCCCCTTCCCCGTACGACGGGCTGTAGATGGGACGCATGCCATTTTTGCCTCAGGCGTAAATAATTCCATGTCGGGGTTTCGACCACCAGCGCTCTCAAACATTCGCCGCCAACATCCCCCGTCCTTCCCCGATTAAAACTCCCCCCAGTCTCCCTTTTCTAATCCCATCACCTTTCCTATACATATAAAACAGTCACTCGAGCTACTTCTTTTTCCCTCGCCCAACTTATCACCACTTCTCATATAACACACGGCGAGATCCTCACCTTGAACTACGTTCTCATCTACATACCTCTTCTATCACTGTGGCCAGCAGCCTACCAAAGCTGGGGAAACGACGCTTTCGCTCCATTGAGCTACGCTATTGAATCCCTATCCCCAGCAGACCGAAGATCACGCCCCAACATGGATTCACAAATACTCAATACAAATTTACCACCATCTACAGGGAGCTCAAGGTTAGTCGCTTTCATTCTAATTACTTAATCTGCTATTAAACGTGTAATGCTGTGGTAGCTAACGTATTCTTTTAGCTCATCTGTTACGGTCTTATTAACGCCGTCGAGCTCTGTCCACAGCGATTTGAGATCTTATGCCACACTTCCCTTGTCCCCGCCGCCCAGCGCCGCTGGTAGTAGCGGCTCCAATCCCGCAGACGACGGCAGCAGCAGCAACAGCTGGCCGTCGTCTTCGTCTGTCTCGTGCCAATCCCCAATGCTGCAGCAATACACTGCGCAGCCCGCACTCCAGGACGGCTCAATCTACGGGCGCCTCCAAAACCTGGCTGAGCAGCAGCAGCAGCAGCAGCAGCAGCAGCAGCTCCCTGGGAGAAACGACGAATACAGCCGCATCCCGTTTTACGCAGTGCGCGCTGTGGCCGCCATTGACGGCTTTGATCTGGGTTTCGACCAGAACACAAATTCACCACCACCGCCTGGTACCACAGGCACCGGCGGCGGCAGCGCACCATGAGTGCGATGTATTGAAAGCACCTCTAAAATGAATGAGCCTCTTTTGCACACCGCGCTCCCCAGTCGCTCCACATCTGCCCCATCCGCCGCGTCGTACCCGTCGCACCGCCGCATCGCATCCATAGCACCTTTCGTCGTTCGCCCACCAGGACGCACGCACGCACGCACGCACGCACGCACCCGCATCCTCATACGCCCTGTTGTCATTAACCAGCGAAACAATTCCTCTTTTTGTCGCGCCCTTTATTTTCTTTCGTCTGTCTTCTATGTCCTTCTTAATACGTCTCTTCTTTTCCTTTCGTCTCTTCTTTCTTGCATTTCTGGCGTATTTACGGCTTTACATCTCATCGTCTGAATACGGTTTTAAACTTTGAGCGACACTTTTGTGTTGACGTGTTGCGTGGGATGAACCCCAGACCATTCTGTTTCTGGCTTTCCTCCCCTGTTTTCGCTTCATTTGACAAGCGGACTGCATCTCATCTGCACTCTGCACGTATCCTAGCCAAGCGAGCGTTGGCCCTGTCTGCCGAACTCGTGGCTGGGCATGATCTGCACCTGGCTGGGCACGTCCCGCCGGAGTGGGAAGGAAACGGCGTGGCCCATGCGCCATATCCTTTGGGTTAGGCGTGGTTGCCTTTTTTTTTTTTTGCACCACTGGCCACCTCAGGCCGTAGAAACACCAACTAGCGAACTACGGAGTTCGGGAACAAGCAGGCCTATGGCCATTCAATAGATGGAAAGACGCTTGGATGACTACACATCTGGCCATGGAGTAATGATTCACATATTGCATTCTCAACGAATTGTCCCACACACTGGAGATGCACTCTGCTTTTCCCATCCCCCGACGGTTCGCTGTGATGACGCAAGCTCAAGCCACATGTAGGAGCCGAGCCATATCTTCGATGGCGGGTATTTTGGAAAATCAGACGAGTGACGTGGTCTCGAGCCGCCCGCGGGTGCGCGTGCGCCCTTGAAGGCCATTTGGGCACCGGATTTTGGATGAATCAGCGGCGCAGCATGTGAAAATCGTTCCAGCCGGGTGCCCCGTCTGCGAGGGCAGGCTGGAGGCAAGTGAAATCGGCCGGGGCAAACCCAGCTGAAATGTTGACAGCGGTAACCAACCATTTGAAGGGAATATGCTGTGCATCGTATTCCGTACAATGCGGGAAACTTACTTCCCCGCCTGAAAGCAATGGGCAAATTTCTTTTTTTGTTCACAGAGTCCAATTGGGACATGTCAGCTCGAGCCTCGTGGGAGGCAGTACTGCCGATGCCGCGTGAAATGAACAAAACCGCGTATTCGGCGAGCTGCAGCTGGGTAAATTAGCCCAAATAGGAATACCTTTCCCCCAGGTGAGAAAATCCGAAAGCGAGACGGCGAAAAAGCGGCTCCGTCACGTCCATGCGGCTGTTAGGAAGCACTAGGTAACGCACATGCGCCCCTGTGCACAGAACAGCGGTAGGAAGATTTGTGGCGTAGGGACGAGTACGAGAACAGGTACTACTATGTGAGCCCGCTGTTTGAGCCAAACTGGCAGCCCTGGGCAATGGCCTAGTCTGAGCTTCGATTGAGTAATAATGATGGGGGTTCTCCGTTTCACGCCTTGTGCATGTTGTTTGATGCATGTGCACCACACCAGTTTGATGTAGGTGTACTAAAAAAGAAGGCCCTTTTGAGGAAGAAGTTTAAAAGAACGGGCTGTTAGCTAGAACATACTCCGTATTGGCGGCCGGATAACGTGGTCGGTCTTTTACTAAGTCCGTGGGCCGTTCCAGCCCGGAATGGCCGCCCCTCGTAGGGCGGACATTGCCCCGCGCGTCCGATGTCTCATTAAGCATCTTGCGTGGATGTCATCGCTGGCCCGTAGCGTCCCCGCGTATCATGGCGGCCCCCCCTCCTTAAAACTGCCGTCCCTAAGGTAGCAAAAAAGTATAATTATAAAGCAGGGGTAAGAAATATTACGGATAATACACCAGAGACGCCGTCAAGCTATCTACAATGCGACCAAAATTATCACTTAGCAATGCAAGCGAGGTGGAAGCGGGATGCGGAAGGCTGACAATTAGACTTACGTACTAATAGGTTGCGGATCCAGCTCGGCTTCATCATGGGATCTCTTCTCTAGGGAGAGCATGCCTGCTCACATTTAAAGATGTATCAAGGTACATTACCGGGCTAGGTATACACGCAGTGCGCGAACGCCCAAAAATCATCCCGTCTTACTGCCGCTGTCACTACGGATGAATAGCAGGTACGTGACCGGGATAGGTATACATACAGTGCGCGAACGCCTGATCGTACCATCTGATGCCGCTACTATGTAGGCTCTGGTCTGCTGTGTGTGTGACGTAATAAGTGGGCCCGACAGGCACCCTTACCGTAACCTGTAAATCTGTGAATCCACCAGCCGTTCGCTGGGTCTTGAAACGGAAGCCGTCCATCTCTCGGCCGGGCACAATGTATGGGCTTTGGAAGACAGCCGCCTGCCTCCGTGCTTGGGTAGGGGTATACTTGTGCCGCGCCAACTTTCCCCCCGTCTTGGGGAGCTCGCCAGACGGATCCCTTGCACGCGACAGGAAGTCTGGTTCGTGGCGCCTTAGATGAGAGTAGCGGATTCGGCGCCGGATGACCTTTGTTCTCGGCGGTTCCATATGACCTTTACTGCAGCGTCTATCACGACCAAAGCGGTCTATCCGCAACCATACCTGCGCTTCTGCATGGTAGCATACACATAGTGCACTAAATGGCCTCAAACCGCCGGTGCAGAAGCCTTTCTACTGCATGGAGAGACACGAAGTTTAAGGTGCAAATTACCACACCGGGCAGCCTTGCCCACACTTCCCGCCGATGTGGCATCGTGCCAACTCCGGCCAATAATCGCGGCCCCCTGATATTATTTTGCAGTCATAGGAGCGACATGGCTTTTTGGGGATGTCGCTAGCCAGTAGATCTGGCCGTGTCAAACCCGGGTGCAGGTACGGTCCCTGTTCCGCGCACCCACTTGAGGCTTCGATTAGTCTGGGAACCCCCCACTAAAACAGAAACCGGGGGGGTGGGACAAGAATCCTTCCCCCCACCTTCCAAACGGCGAGCGACGAGGTGCCATGCAGACCGCCAGGAAGGGGTAGGGGAATTGATAGCCGACAAGAATCCTACACCCCCCCTCCAAACTGCGAGCGACGAGGTGCCGTGCAGACCGTCAGGGAGGAGAGTGCAACCTTGCTTCCCTTGTCGTGATACGTATGTATCCGAATGCGCCTTCCTGACGCCAACATCCAGCAGTGTTCATGCCAATATACCGACTAGTCGAGCCGAAAGGAGCGAGCCACCTGCAGTATTTGTTCTCTCGCTCATAGTAGTTGTTGTTGGCGCTGCGCGTAAACGGTTGGTCCTATGTCGTTTTACTGTTCTAAGATATACTACATTGGGCGCAAATGTGAGTGGGACCCGCTCGATCGGATACTATCACCACTGAGCAAAAGCTTGCGCTTGTATTCCGTAGTGGCGTCGTACTGCGTATGCTAACGATGCCAGCCCCGTATCTCCGTCCCTCGCACGGCTCAAGCGAAGAAAAAAAAGTGTCACCCCTCCACATAGCTTAGTTTTGACATCTCACAGTGTTAATTATTTTCATCTAACACTGTGAATGATTTGGCGCCCTCTTACACCTCCGGGGTAATACATGTTAGTGTGGGAAGGTAGCAAAGTTAGTGATTAGCGAGATTTCCCTAGAAGATACTAATAGTGACTAACATACCAAGCTAACATGTATTTCCCCAGTGGAGGTGAAGAAAGTCGAGTCTCATACGCTAATGTAGGGCGGCCCCAGGATGGTGGGTGACCAGGTTAGCCAACGATGCCAGCCCCCCGTCTCCGTGTCCCACACGGCTCGGAGACTAATAGAGGTCATCCCTCCACAGTTGCCCTGGCTAGTCTAGAATCTCACAGTTTCAATTATTTTCTTCTGGCACTATGAAAGATTGGCACTTTTTGGGGTCGCCGTTTCTCATACGCTAGCGTAGGGCGGCCCAGGATGGTGGGTGATATGTCGGCCTATGTCCATTTATGGAATAGCGTACTGCAGCTGATCCTTGGGTGTGCCCCAGTTCCGGTTCGCATCTTGGAGGAATTTAGGTGTGCAAGGGAAATCTGTCGCATCGGGGGGGGCGCTCACTCGAGCTACATTTGTGGTCTAAGCAGTTGCTCAATTTAATTTTCTATAGCATGTAACAAAAAGAGAAGAGAAGCAGGACATAACACCTTCTCCTGTCCCTCTGCAGTGAGTTGTCTCTCCCGTCGTGGTTATAAAGAGAGCCCTCTCCTCGTCCACCCTCGGGACTCTACTCACTCCATAGTTCCTAGTCTAGAGCTGCCTTTAACAAGATCCAATCCAACCCATATCAACGAGACAGTATTGCTTCCTTTCTTTCTCCTCTTATCTATCTTTAGCTGCTAAAATTGTCACTATTCCTCTCCAGAAGTAGGGGGCTCGCCGCCAGCATGTCTCACTCTTCGTTCGCATCTCACAATTAGTTAGTTCATCTTTCTCATCTTCGATGTTGAGTGTACTGCAAATCTTGCAAATCTAAACGCACCTCTCTGACAACAGGAACATATATAGCTACGGCTCTGCTTCGACTGCCATCCCCGCGACCCTCTCGTCCTCCCCATCCATGTCGACAAGCTCCAACTCCAAGACGACCACTCCCACCAGCGGTAGCGGTGAATCCTCGGGCGGTCAGATGGATAGATATCTCTCCCAGTCAGACATGGAAGAGAGCACCATCTATGCCCGAGTTGCCAGCCGGCCCCGGGGCAGAGGACAGCCCGCCTGCATTCCGGCATATTGTGTGAGGGCGGCTCGCGCCATTGAAGTTTTCGAGAACAAGTTTAGGGCAACTAGTGCCGCGGGAAAATAAGCGTTAAGAACCTAACTTTAAAATGGGTTAGGCTTACTGCTTAATTACATGGGTGCGCTAGCGGGACGTTCCGGTGGGGCAGAAAGGGTGTAGTGACTGGGGTCACCGAGAAGGAATAAGGCGGACGGTGTATGCAACTTGCAGCGTGGGGTCTGATTGCAAAGCGAGCTAAGCGTGCCTGGGTTGATCAGGCGTGTCTGGATGCGCCGAGGTACAGTACTGTCCCTCACTACATCGCTCCAGTTTTGGACGAGGCCTTGGGGCAGGGATAATGCGTCTAACATGACATAGCTTGTGGTTCAAAACTTTGAGTAATTCTCTCCTATTTCTAGTAGTATCGCGCTAGCAAGAACTCTACAATGTGATGTGTTTGCTATCACTGTTCAAGAAGCATGTTACGTTTAGCGGGGGGCTCGTTGTGCGACTTGGAGAGGAACGAAATAACACAGGTGTTGCTAATTCCACGTGACGCCGCCAAATCGGGATGCTAGCCAACGTAGATAATACGGAGGTTTTCGAATTCGAACCTAATGAAGGTACCGACACACCGTTTTGTTCTCCGTTAGAGTCTTGGCACAAAGGAGTTCAGAAGCCTCTTCTCCCAATGGTTGGTTGCCTTTCCATGGTTCGCATATTGCGAACAATGGAAAGGCATCTAAAGGAGACAGGCATCGCGCTCCGCTCGCTCGCCTAGGTACACAGAGCTCGTGTAGTGGGCGGAGCTCCTTCCGGTGCTGTTGAAAGACGCCATGGCAGCTGCATGCGGTCGAACTCTAGCAGCGCCCCACTGCCGCCGCAAGCTAGGTACGTACTTTAGTAGCAGAGCGAAATTCGGTGACGACGGTCCCGTCTGGCACCGTCGGTCGGGCTTCCGCCCGCTTCGGCTCCGTGTCTTTTGGAGTTTTACGCTCCCTAGCTATCCGCCCGTCCTTCAAGCCCACCTGCCTTGTTTATGTTGATTCCCAAAAAAAAAACCGACGTTCGAGTAGCAGACATGCTAGTTCCACTATGTGCGTCTACACTACCGAGTGTCTTTTTGTCGGTGCATGGATTGTATCAAAGTCTTTGCTTGCGTGCGCTGTGAACTGTAGGCACTTCCCCGCGTAGAGTATGGAGGACGGGGTCATGGCTTAGATGTAGTGTTTGCGCGATGACAGACCGGAACCGCCGTATGCACAGCTCCGGGGTGCGCAACCCCTATGAGCGTGCTAGGACGAATACAGCAAGGCAACCGCAGATTACGGCAGTCCGCGCACTTTGGGATGTGCCTGACTGGGCTATACTCCGTACACCTGTACAGTAAATTAAAGGAGAGAGCCCCTTCAATCCCGTCCCCACATGCATTCAACTCCACCTATCCCCACCCCTAGCCTAAGAATCGAAGCTCGGGCCGAGTGCTCGGCATATGTGCCATACATATAGAAAAGTCGCTATAAATTCCCGCGGAAGCTTGCTTGCATTGCAGATTCGTCTAATCGGGTCCAAGTACCCCAAGTCTTCGGCAGGATCCTACTGAAGCACTGATTTTGTGTTTCGCGGAGCTGGCAAAAACATCCTCACACCCTCACACCCTAAGGATGAAAGCCAGCTGTCTTCTTACAGGCACGCGCAATGGAGATCTATTTGACAGAGAATGCTTGCTCTGCGAGTATTTTGAGGGGGGAGGGATGGCTGGGTTTTGGAGGGGAGAACTTGGAAGGTTATGAGCTGCTTTGAAGCTCCCGCCTTCACCGCTCTCTAAAGAAAGAAGCACCAGCCTTCCGGCCGTCAGCCTTATTCCAAAACGGTCCTGAGCAAAAAGAGCAAAATGTAAATGAGATGCTCGACACAGGTCGGAAGGTGCGATCAAGGTTTGTTAGCCCATGCTGCCTTGTGCAAGGCAGGGGCGTCTGCTTGAAAGAGCGGACCTTGCGCTGGAAGTACCCCTGCCTGCCTGCCTGCCTTGCCTGTCCATCGTCCACACCCACACGCGGGGCGGGCCCGCAGCGGTAATTGGGTACAACGTATCGGAGCTGCACCACTACCAAATCGGGCTGTGATTAGGGTACTCATTGGGTCTCCGAGAGCCCCTAGCTGAGGTGCACTATGGACCCGGGCTGAGACAGTGTTGGTATTAGTTTGTATATGGGACGAAGATGAAATCGTATTGTTAGTAACTGTTCCCGGCGCTGTATGTCGCTATACAACATTGAGACTTTACCGTACTCTTACTACACGTATATTCGGTGGTCTGGGCCTGCGAACCCGACGGCACCCCCTCCGGTGTTGAATTGCGACCCGGTCCTGGACGAGCCACCAGTGGTCCCAAACTTTCAGGAAAACATAAATATCTCCCTGCCTTCTATCTACAGCAAGGGATGGTTCCCAGTTCCTCTAGTCAATTAGCCTTTTGCCGCCAAACCCTATTATATCTTTCGCCCACTATCAGAGAGCTAAACATAGTCCCTGCCTCAAGATGTCCAGTGACACTGGCACTTCGCTGTAAGCCCCACCCAGAACCCCCCACCAGCCCCAACGGCCCACTAGGTTCTGTCAACGCTTGTGCCCGTAAACTGTCTCCCCCCCCACTGTTTTGCATCCATGGCCCCACGCCCTTTGCACTCTACCAATCCTTATTTTTCTCATCTCAGGTCTTCACTCAAGGTTGAAGCCAGTTCTACGGCTTCAATTCGGACTCTCGGTCGATCCGACGTCTCCCAGGTCGCAAACAGCGAACCAGCCGACACGACAACAACTACAACTGCAGCCCCTAGCCTTGCCCAGCTCGCCATGTTTTTGGAACAAGACGCCGCTGAAGACGGACCTGTCTATGGCCGCGTTCTGGATTTGCCCTCGACCTTCCACTCGAGGCAGCGCCGCACCACTGCCGCCGTCCAAGCCATCGATGGTCGTCCCAATTAACCAGGACCTCTCGCCATCCTGTCTGCGTGCCATCCCCGTCACTGGACTGCATTGCGACGGCCACTGCGACAGGCTCTCGCCCACCCAACCCAAAGACCCATACCCCCCGAGTTACGGGTTGGGGGCCAAATCTCCTCCTTCCGCCAACCCCTGCTCAGCTGTTCCCAACCAGTCGGCAACACTCCAGCCCAAGCACGCAATCCCCTACCAAGCCTGTTTCCCACATCGGGCCGCCCTCGCTAACGTAGCCGATTGGCCACGAGGCGACACCAGTAGATCTCGTCCCAGCCAAGGGTACGAAAGACTCCGTACGGAATACCGTGGATCGGGTTTTCGCACGGATGCCACTTCACAATGATTGGGGGGGACTCATTGACCAACTGCTTTTCCTCCTCCGAGTCCTGCACGCACCCACACTGCGCCGCTCTTTCCCTGTGTGTTCAGTGTCACGCCAGACTTGGGTAGTACGCCCGCCACTTTATTGTCATTGACTTTTCGAGAAAGAAAAAAGACGGCTATGTCCGGGCCGACGCCGCTTATGCGGTCTGGACGCGCAAGCCAGCCAGCCAGCGAATGCGCCCAACCCCGAAGACGTTGCACATCCAATGTCACTTGCCTTCTTTGTTCCCGAATTTCTAACTCGTGTGACCTTGCCTACCCATTCATTTCCCGTTCTTATCCCCTATTCTCCGCATTTTTACCGGTCGGGAGTACACCGCATCGTGTTGGACCCTCTGGAACAGACATATGCAGCACTGAGGCCCCAGGCTGTGGCCCCATTACTTCCGCTTCCCCTTGCCCACTTGTCTCGGCTCCTTTGTCTTGCAGAGTGGGATCGCACCGTGCCACAAATTCCTACGCGAACCGTTTTCACGCGGGGATGTCTCCACTTCTTCAATTCGAACTTTCTTTGTTTTGCTTTTACTTTTGCGGCCCGCCCCGGTGGCACCGTTGGGTTGGTTTATTTTTCTCTCCTAGCTAGGGTCGCCACCGAAACTCTAGTCTAATCGAACTACGTTCCGCCATAGTGGTTGCAGTCGACGTGGACGGGTTTATTAACAACGTTTTTGGGATAAAAGCATGATAATCTACCCACTTTCGCAAAATAAAATAAAACACAAGTTTTGCCTGGCGCACCAACCAGGGAATGGACGTGTTCCTGGCGATTCCTTTGTATATATTTCGATTTCTCATGCACGCCGATCTAGGGAATTACGGGCTTATGATATAAGACTGCTATTTTCACGATGTGCAAAGTCTTTAATTGGGGCATAGAACTCGCCACTCTTGCAAAAATGCCTTGCGTATATTAGCATTCGCTCAATCTCATGCGACGGCTTCAACCAATCATTTGAAGCTTTCAACTGATCTGCCGTGAACACCCAATAGTCAACTCGACATTCGTAGGCGTCTTCTATTAACTCCTGTAATATCAACGCGGCCTGGTCCTCGTCTCGGCACCGTGGGCAATCAACACTTCGCAACACGGAAGTCAATGAACTATTCATTAAATCAGCCGAATGTCTGCACGGGGTGCCGGCAGCCGTCTAATCGTTCTTCCCAGCGCGACGACCTCCTCCACAAAGTGAAACCCAACCATCAGTTGGTGTTACCAAGCCAAGCAGAGCCTCACCCAACATCATAGACGTTTCAGTGGACCACTGGACATTGGATAGGCTAGAAGTGAACGGCTGATCAACTGTATCTAGTCTAGGGCAACCCAAGTAAGCGGGAAGCCGTGGCATCGGAAGTAATTCCCCTTTCATATACCATGACGCAGTAACACACGCCCTTTGTGCAATTCACACATGAATTCCCATATTTGCGGGTCGTCGACTATCACAGCAACTCCGCATAGCATGTCATGGTGCCATCCGGGAATAGGAACAGCCTACTGTATCTTACCGAGCCACGGGGTTTCTGTGCAACCGAATCCGATTTCCTGGATCCTGTGTAATGTTATGGGTGGGGGCGAGGGGTGGGGTGCAACATGAGGTTGGTCACCTTTTTCAGGTGTTCGCATCGTGGATCGCGAATTAAGGTACCCACCTAGCGACAGGTGGGAGAGCCCGCCTTGTTGTGCTTCGAGGCCGACCATGTGGGTGTGTGGGTGTGGGCGCACTGCACATCAACTCCCAAGTCGTGTTACGGTTTTGGGTTTTCGAGTTGCACCTGCATTGAGAGCGTTTTGACATAACGTAGGTACCAAGTACAGCCCAGTCTCTATTGCGATTCAACACTGTAGAGGTTTGCTTCCCGATCAGGAGAAAAATGAAGAAAGAAAGTAGCCAGATGTTGACAGCTTACGGAGTACATTCACGGCGCCAACAATTGCGAAATAGATCCATTAATGAAGAATTGAGTTGTTGTTTTTTACACACCTTCAAAAAATGGCTGTCACAACATGATCATATAACATTGAGAACCGAAACCGATGTGCAAGGAAGGTGCTTCTTAATTAGGCAACTTATCCTATTTTGTCCTCTATCCTACACTCTAGTAGAGGTCTGCCGTGTATTTTGACTCTACAACTCCAGGTTATATAAACAATTTCGCCTGCCAGTTAAAAGGGTTGAGAAAACGGGGGGAGGGGAAGAAGAAGTCAAGGGAGAGAAAAGTCGAAGCAAATCCAGACCCCTCCAATGAAGTAATGTTCACTACGCCAATTCATGGCATCTACAAAGCCAAAGAACAACACCACCAGGAAAACAAACTAAGCCAGACCCTTTTATTTCCCTCAACGCCAAAATCTATCAAGCACCTTTCTCACTCACACCCTCCCCTCCCTCGTCCGCCACTCCAACGACACAGAAGGACTCTGCACGATGCCCCAGTCGCGGCGGCCGGTGAGGAGCACGCGGCAAGCCTCGACACGCGCGTACAGGGCAAAGTCGGCGCGGCCGGCGGCGCGGCTGCAGCAGGTGGCGTCGAGGAGATCGAGGATGCCGCGGCCGTCGACGTCGCGGGCGTGGACGTTGGCACCGTGCTCGAGCAGGGTGGTCAGGGCCGTCTTGCGGCCGAGGCGTGCGGCGACGAGTAGCGCCGTCTCGCCGCGGCGGTTGCGCGCCTCGACGTGGGCGCCCCGTAGCAGCGCCTCGAGGATCGCCAGCAGCGACTTGGCCTTATCGTCCTGGTCGTCGCTGATGTGCGTGATGAAGGCCATCAGCACCGTGTTGCCGTGCTTGTCGTAGTGATCGATATCGACGGGTTGCGCGGCCGCCGACCGCAGCAGGCCTTCGACGTGGCGCAGCCGCGTCGCGAGCGCCCCTTCGCTGTTGGTTTTTGCCGAGGTTGAAGGGGCAGCGGCGGCGGGGCTGCCTCCGCTGGCGAGCTGCAGTGGCCCGGCCGCGCTTTCGGCTTTCCGCTTCAGGGGCCGGCCCGTTGACATGGCAGACCGCTGCTCGTCCATGGTCTGCTGGTTGAGGATGGCTTCGGCGAGGCAGTGCAGACCGTTCCGGCCCTCGGCGTCCTCGGCTCGCGGATGGATGTACGACGACTGAATCGTCTGCACAAGCCGGGCGTGGTAAGCCAGGAACGAGTCTTCGTCGGCGGCTGACGGCCGTGGGCTGTTAGTGCTGTGCCTAGAAAGCATCGGCCCTCGTGTGGCTCCTCCCTCGCTTCCGGCGAGTACTGGAGAGTCCTGTAGATGAGGCGAGTGGGTTCCAGACCGTCTCGGCGGAATATAGGGTCCCTCGCCACCGAGTGCCGTATTGTTCAAGGGGCTGAAGCCAAAGGCATCTCGGCGCAGGGCCCTGGCTGGGTCGAATGGGGACATGACGGCGGCTAGCATCTCGGGATCGCGAACGATGGAGTGGGCGCGATGGAAGAAATTCCGGCCGTAGACATCCGTCTCGTAAACAATATCCGGCGCGGATTCGACTAGAAACGTGAGCAGTTGCTTCAGAGGAGCCGTGGGACTGGTGAGGTCCGAGAACCAATCGAGGTTGAGAACGTGGAGAAAAGTCTGGCGTGCATTGTTCGTCGCCTTGACGTTGGTACTGTTGACAACAAGCCTAAACAGGGCGTCTTGGTACCCATCTAAAGCAGCGAACAAATGAAGCGGGGTGTTACCAAAACCATCCCGCTGGTTGATGTTGGCTGGCGATGAGTTCTCGAGAATACGGTTCGCTCGCTCGCGCAGTTCGCCGTTCGGAAACAGCCACGAATCCTCATGGCTCGACGTCTCTTCGGCAATGGAGCACCAACACTTCCCACCTCCATGCTCTTGCCCCGGAAAGTCGGCGCAGTTTCGCCTGTGTGCGCTTAGAAAGTCCCCAGGTAGCGCAAATCCCGGCTCGGGAAAGGCCTCGAAAACGTCCAAAGCCTCAAAGTCTGGGGTCATGGCCAGCTCTGGCAGCTCGCTCGGGTCAAACGACGGCCGGCGATCAAACGGCGAGTCATCGTCTTCAGAGCCGCTGGATATGGTAAACTCTTCGAGCAAGGTAGATACCTGCTGGGCGTAGTTGGTTGAGCAGTCCGACACCCTTCGTTTCAGGTCCCGAACCGTGGATAAGTGTGCCTCACTGGACTCTGATGTCCTCGGCCTGCCCTGTCCGTAATTCCCCCTAATAGGGATGGAAAACTGGTTTGGGTATGGGTCAGGCCTTGGGATGTGGCCGCTGGTCGGCCAGTCCACCGAGCTTTTTGAGCGCAACGAGTGCGTTTCCTCTGCCTTGCGGCTCGACCCAGAAGCAGATGAGACCTCGATACTTGACAACGTCGCTTCTCTCTGCCAGGGAGAGCGTGTCAGATTCTCGTAGACGATGGCACCAAGATTCGACACTAGGGGCTGACTAACCTCGCCGTGGGCATGTCTGCTGGCGCTGCCGCTAAAATAGGTCACAGACGACGAGCCAGGTCTCCTTGTCCGTCGCCTCGTGGGGGAGCTTGACAGGTTGTTGATGCGCAGGTCCATCTCAACTCGTGATTCGGGGCGTAGGTACCGGGGGTCGTTGTCCAGCATCTTGTGGATGGTCTTCTGGGCAGAGTTCTTGCTATGGACGTGTCAGCTCTGAAAGGCCCGGGCCCTTGCTCCAAGACTTGTTTGTACCGTGGTTTGAAAACATCATCCTCCAACACTCTGATGATCTTCTCGATGGACAAGGTCGTGTATAGATAGAGCCGTGCCAGCTTCCGTGATCGTGATACCGTCCATTGCGGCGGACGTCCGATCCTTGACCCTGATGGAGAGGACCGAGTGGCACTGATGGAGACGGGAGAGGACATGTCGAAGGGGCCGGGGTTGGGCGAGAGGGTGGCTAGGAAAGAAGAGCCCAGAGAACATGCCACGTCGTAGTCTCCGACGTCCAGAGAACCATATAGTAATGGCTCCTGGTGGATGCTGGCTTGCTTGGTCGACCATAGTGGAGCCATGATATTGATGAGCCGATCTCCGTGGGTTGCCGGTAATATGATGATAATCAACACCAAACGAAGCCATGTTTCCTGAAGGGCGATTCCGGGTGTTTTTATTCACAAAAAAGGGCCCCTGATTGCGAGTTTAAATTTTCTTGGGTCCCTAGCTGGCGTCAGTCGTGCCGGGACTTGACAGCTGTGGGGAAGCAGGGCGTGGGTTTAGATTTGAGGCTGCGTCGGTACATAAGCAGCAGCATGCATGCGCATGTAATAAATCATGTAATCATCGTGGGCTAATAGAGAATCTCAGATTTAAAGATTCCATGGCCGCCGCAGGCCCGTGGTGCGACGAAATCAGCCGGCGATGGCCAGTCACCAGCACCCACTGCCTGGCTTCGCAGGTGTGGCAGGTCACTCGATAAGTATAAAAAGTCGGCGCTGGAGGGCTCAGTGCAGCTGCATGCAGGCATGGGTGCATCCATAGCAAGCCCCACATGGGCTGCTGCCCTGCAAGCTAGGGCTGGGATCATGGAATGGCGCCTGGCGGCGGCTATATCAGGCTGTGCAAGCCAATAGAGCCCCCACAGATTGCCCGGCGAGATACGGATACACGACAGCGAGCGAGTGTGGGCCTGGTGTGGCTGCCCTGCGTGCAACGTGGGCAGCAGGAGGAGGGCAGACAGCGCGCGCTTGGGCAGCCAAGAGCCATGGCGGTGGGCGGGCAATAATTAGAAGAAGTCTGGCTGCACTGCGCTGCACTGCATGCATGACGGGACCGAATTGTGGCTGTCGAGCGGTAGGAGAGCCGACCCATATGGAAAAGCGACAGGGTTGCGTGCGTCGCCGTCATGGTGCCGACGGAAAGCTGGGGGCTGCTTCTGCTTCTTGGTGCCATGGGTGGCGATTCTGGAGTCTTCGACCCGGAACACCGTAAGCGCGATCCTAAAAGAGCAACGGGATCCTGGTGGCTGGCCGTCGGGCAGCGCGTTTGGCTACAGGATTTGCTTGGCCTGCATGAAGGATCGTCTTCTCGAAAAGTTCGACGCATGTGCCGCGAGATTGCATGCAAGGGTAGCAGAGGGCCAAAGCACCCTTCTAGAAGCCTTCTTTCATGCCGTGCGCCTTAACAGCCGCCTCTATCGTGTCGGCCAATCTCGAGGCTATTGTGTCGCCATTTATTTGCATCCCGTCTCTGCAACTTGGACGACTAGTGTCGGCGAGGCTGAATTCCGAACTGTTGGCACGACCAAGCAGCGGAATGACCGACGCCATCTTCACCACAAAGTAGCTGGCGGCAAGTCCGACAGCCTCCGCTGCTATCTTGTCCAGCGGCGGGCATGATGGCAAGTTGGCGTTTCAGCATTCTGGCGCGGATGCAGACTCGGCTCCATTCCGGTCGCCAAGCACGACGGAAGAGGTAGGTGCCCATCTGCTCACGATGTATGTGGTGCTAGGTAAAAGGGTAACGGCGGTCCTAATATTGAGCGGTGACAATGGCCTATGAACATGGCGTTGGGGTGTAGGCCACGCACAGGGTACACGTGGGGGTCGCACCTTGGCCTGATAAAGAAATTCAAAGGCCAATGAGTAATCCAAAGCCTCGTGTAATTAGCTCGCCATGGGCCTGATACAGAATTTCAAACCCCTTTTCCACATTATTTTGCCGTCATGGAGATGGCTCCCAAGATTTGATCTCGCTCCCTTGATGTCGCCGCGGTAGGACTGGAATCTCGTGCTCTGGCTTTCAAATTCGAAAAACCGTCGAAGCTTTGGCTTCTTAAAGTTGTATATCGTGTTGGGCTCTGCTGTCCTACCTTCTCGCGGCTATTCAGAAGCAGTTGGCCAAGGAACCGTTGTCGAAAGGGCGCTTAAGCAAATCTCCGGAATCCTTGCACTGGGTGGTCAGTTTGTTACCCAGGTACAGAAGCATGGACGCCAGTTGTCAATGCTTGTCAGGGGCAAGAGATATCCGAGAGCCAATGACATGTTTCCTTCGACACCCACCCAAATGGCGGGGGGGCTTCCCCATGAACGGCCTCCAATCGGGAGGCTATGGTCAAAGTATAAGCAAGTTCTTTAAGCTTCGGCGGGTTTTGGTGAAATAAGCAATCCAGTCGGCTGCTGTGCCTCTGCGATGGCCTGTTTAGCCAACCTCGAGACACGCCAGGGCAAATATCCAATGCTTACGGGTTTCAGAGCGTAGTTCTTCCACTCGCAGGTCCTCAACAGCTAACTAGAACTGGATAGAGACGCGAATAAGGTAGTGAAGTGCAATAGGTCAGTTGATGATGATATTCGCGTGTTCAAGGAGACAAGGACCACTGCTGAGCTTCCCGAGACAGGTAGTTCAATTCACGAATCGGATAGAAAAAGATGTGCCAAACAAAGGCTTGAAACTCTTTCCACAAAGTCCTAGACATACGGGAATCGGGAATGCAAAGCCTCAGTGTCAGCAGCTTCCTGATTGATCGGATAGGCCTCCGCCGTCACGTCAGATCGAGAGCAGTCAGCGGCGCCCCCTTTGCTCATGCGTCGGCCGGCAGGCAAGTGCAAGAGTAATTAACGTCTGACCAATTGGACAAGAGGCCTCGATGGTTCTGGACAAGGCTGCCAATGTTCGAAATAAAACAACTGCAAGAAAACATTGAAGTCGGTCTGAGTCACGGGCCTGGTCGAGGCAGCTGCGTCGGAGACAGACGACGCCGGTCGGCTCAGATGTCACGCGGAAGCCAATGACCGGCAAGCAAGCAATCCCGTCTGGTACAGGTCGCGCAGCGGACAGTCTCCATCCGACATCCAAGTAAGTCGATGGTTTCGTGGATCGTCGGCCGCCGGCAACTTAAAGAGCCCCAAGTGCATCAATGAAACACTGAGATTTTGTCTAACTTATCGGCACCCGCGCGCGTCTAGATCCGGGGCGGCAGACTGGAGAGTGTTGTCCACCGCCCAAGGTAGGTAGGTAGGTTTCAGTGGAAGCTGCGAGTCTGGGGCTGGTTTTTCCTTTTTTTTTTCGCCCAGACACGCAAGGAAAGCGCAGTGAAATAACGCCCAAGACTCTCTCGCACCCCCCTTCCTTCCCAATATGGTAAGCCGGCTTACTACTTCCAGGTTGCTTGAGCCGTTTGCCCAGACCTTTATCGTCTAGTCCCTCCAGCGCCATTGGTCAACCTCCCGCGCTTGCCTTTGCTACAGTACATGCTCAATGCACCTGCTCCGCCCCGTTCTGCCCTCAACAATTGCAGGAGGGCGACCAAGTGTGTGCAGCGCCTTTCCGCTTCCTTCCTAGCGCACCGAATGGACAAGGCAGGAGTGGGTCGCCAGAGGGCCAAGACCGTTGTTCGTGGTAGGGCTGATGACAGGACGGATGACTGATAGCCCTACATGGAGCACGGTTGGGGAATTTGGCCTTGCGGGTGCAGCATCCACTTGGCCCTACGCAAGCCCAAGCAAATCCCGTCCACTTGCTGACCTCGCCAGAAGCTTCCATTCCACAGCCAGGCCACCTCAGACGTTTCTCACCTGTCCGCATTTTGTCTGGTGATCTTTCGTGCGTGCACCGAAACGGCACGGCACTTTGACACTTGGTGCAACGCTGGACTATCATCTTCGGCACCTGGCTTATAGCGTGCTGCACGGCCCAAGGTACGGCGCCTATTAGTGTATTTACGAGTTCGAGATGCCTACCAGAGGTTTAAGCATACCTACCTTCCATAACTTTCTAACCTACCCTGTACTGTAGTCTAGTCTTCCTTTCTCTTTTTTTCCACATCATGACTGCTTCGAGCGCTCCTTCGACATCTAGCCAGAATTTTTCTACGTTTCGCCAACGCCTGCATCTATTAGCCGCTGGCACTAAAATCCCAACTGACAGCAAACGCGCCCTTGCTAGGCAACTTTGACATATAATTAGACTTCTAGGCAAGTACAAGGTAACAAGGTTATGACGCGGCTCTCTCCTCGGTGTCTTAGCTGCACGCTAATCAACACCGGGAGACGCATCCGCAGCTCGGGCCGACTTCAAGCAATCGCGCTCCCCCCAACTCTTTTCCTTTCCTTTCCGTTCTTATTACGCAGCAGCACACGGAGCGAGAGGAACGCTAAGTCGTCGACCCTTAAGTGCGGACCCCGCAAATCCCATCCGAGGGTGGCTCAGCTGAGGATGCCGAAGAACTTCAGCATCAGCTGCTCGTTGACGGGCGCCGTGTGGCCGACCCCCACCCCGAAGAAGCCCTGGAGCTTGGTGCCGTCGCCATAGATCATTTGCGTGTACGCGGCCGACGGCACCCCGGAGACGTTCTTGCCAAAGGGCACGTCGAGTACGGCCGACCACTGCTTGAGCGCCTCGACGGCACACTGCGGCCGCACCAGCGTGTCGGCCAGCCCGTGAAAAATCTGCATGCGGGGCCTACGACCCGTGTACCCGGGGTAAGAGTTGTGGACAAAATTGGCCCTGAAAGAGGTTAGTAACCAGTCAGCATCAGTGCGGCTCTGCAAAAGAAGAAAAAAGGGAAAAATCCCCTGTCATGGATGGTGGATTTCAGCACGGACCATTCCTGCGGCGTGTGTTGGAGCCCCTGGGCGCACGTCTGGTTGGCCCCAAAGGGCGTGGGCTGGCCCTGGGAGCCGGCGAAGCATGCGTGCGCCGTGCCAGAGAAGGCCGCCCCGGCCTCAAACACGTCCGGATACGACCCCGCCATCACGTTAGTCATCATGGCGCCCGACGACGAGCCCATGACGTAGACGTGGTCGCGGTCGGCGCTGTACTTGCTGATGGTGTAGTTGATCATGTTGATGATGCCCAGCGCGTCGCCGCCCTGGCCGTGCGTCAGCGTGGCCGCGCCGTTCACATCCCAGCAGTTGCTATAGTTAGGCGTGCCCGGGTAGATGAGGATGAAGCCGTTGGTGTTGGCGTACGATGGCAGCTTTGTGCCGCTGTACCACGAAGGCGCGCTGCCGCCGCACGGGTGGAGCTACGCGTCGCCAAAGGTCAGCTCAGATTCCCGTTCAGTCAATGGGGTTGGGATGATACGAACTGCGACAATGACGGCTGGCTTGGCGGCAAGTTTGTCAGGCACGTAGATGTACATGTAAATCTTTGTCGGGTTCGCGCCAAAGTCTTTGACCTGTTGCAGCGAAGCGCAGATGCCCGTTGCGGCCGTGGCCACGAGCGCGACAAAGCTTCGGAATAGCATGGTGGGCGATTTCCTTCTGGGTGAGCTGAGATGGGACAAGAGGATGCTAACTGCAGATCACAGTTCTTACCATTTCCAGCAACGTCGGCAATCGCGACTTATATACAGATCCTGTCCGCGCTTGCTCGGGTTGCATCGTCGGTCGTGGATAGGATGACGACGTCTTTCCCCCGGGACGATAAGCGCCGCAACCAGCCATCGAGATAGAACTCGGCAGGTAGAAACGGGGGCAGCAGACGCAGGAACACCGGAGCACAACCAGAGAAGTTTCCAGTTTTGGATTGTTTTCGGGCATGTGGCTAAAGGGCGGGCGGTTAAATGTTTGGGCAATCAAAGCGACACGCTTACGGCTCCCCACACGGCTGAACCGCAGACCTGGTCTAGGGTTGGACACCTATATATTGCGCCAATACGGGCGCCAGGTCCGTTCCTGTCGGCACCTGGGTTCGGCAACCTCTGCAAAGAGCCATCTTCCCCCCAAGCGCACGAATTAGCTATCGCGACCATTCAGCCGTGTCCTCTGGCGAACGGAAAACCAGGGCAGGCGATTCTCGGGGCTCTCATGTCACGGTCCGGACGCCGTTTTAGTTTGGGTGCGCTGCTATTTTGGGCCGAACTCCCCAAAACACCCCCTCTCTCGTGAGCCGTCTCGCGACTCTAGCCTAGCCATGGACAAGCTTGGGGATTCCGGCCTTGCCCTGCGGATACAGTAAAGTGATTTTAGGCGTCAATCAGGCGGCTATGTCCGCACCGTCTGCCTGGGCAACATGGGCCGTCAAGGTCGCCGAATAGTCATACGTGACGCGGTCTCCAGGGTGGTGTGGGCGGCTCCTCAGATTGAATCGCAGGCCGGCAGCATCGCACGGGAATTGTTGGACTCGCCGCGGACCTGACAGGACCGAGACTCGGAACCGGAGACTTGGCAGCTACCGCCAGCGGATTTGAAAGCTGCTCGCTCCGTCGGCCCCAATGTTTGCGGCCAACTGGATGTCGCTCATTCTTGAAACCATGCGGAAGTGTCATCGTGTTTGTCATGAAATGTCCGGATGCCCCTGAGAGTTCTGCTCATATTCACAATGAAAAGCTCGGGCTAGGTCTAGCCATGTCTAGCAGTCCTTAACTGAACACTGAGTTGGCTTTCGCCGACCTGTAGAGTGGCTTGAATTTTCGAGCAGAAATTAGACAACATAATTGCCCAGTTTTGTCAAGGTGGCTCGTGAAACGAATGTGACTGCCTGGGCAACACGAGGCCACAGTGCTTGCAAATCTAATTACTCAATCAAACTCAAAAGCCTCAAGCTTACCGGCGGCCCCCATGCAAGTCACACATGAAACTCTCTCTAAAAGTCGAGGGAGTTTCTAACGGCCCAGCATGAAACCTGAACAGAACAACTCAACTTGCGTGAGAAGTTACTAGTATCGTTCATTATCATACAAGCATCTAATATCATCCAGAGACTGCAAAAGTTCTGTCCCCTTCCAGACTAACTTCTTACAGGCGAGCCTGGGTCTGAAGGCTGTCGGCGAGCTGAGACACTTTCTTGGCGGCATCCTCCTCCGCCTGCACGCGGTCGACGAGGAATCGCATGTTGCTAACAAATCTGCCATGGCGGGTGGTCAACACAGCAGTCCTTTTGGTTAAAGAGTCCGTGTTCAATCGGAGCGGGGAACAGTTCTTACATTTCACGGAGCTTGTGGTCCTGGGGATACAGCGCCGCGAGCAGCACCTGGTTTCTCAGCAGGTAGAGGCTGTTCCGGCTGTCGGCGTCCTCCTCTGGCTCGGAAATCGGAACATGCTTCCAGTACTCCTTCAGGTACGGCTTTCCGAGAGGGTAGCGCGGGTTACGGATGACTCCCAGATCCACTATTTACACGACTACAGGTTAGGAAAGCATCGACACGAGAGCATGCGAAAGGGGTAACCACTCACTCTCGTTGTGGGCCCAGAATATGCACGTGTCAAAAGCGCAGACGGTTTCGCCGTCGGTCCGGTACTTGATGTTGCCCGGCCAGGCATCCCCGTGCACCAGAGCTGGCGTGATGGAGCGCCCACCGGTCTCCAGTGGTCGCAGGTAGCGAGGGATGACCTTCTCAAAGAACAGCGGGCGCAGTCTCGCCAGCTCGGCGTCGGGCACTCCGCGGCCCGCCTCCTCCTTGTCGAGGTAGCGCCTCATCTGCTCGCTCCAGAACTCCTCCCAGGTCGCCTTCCAGCCGTTTTCCTGCTCCATGTTACCGAAGCGCGTGTTGATGGGGAACCCAAACATGCCGTTGGGCGACTTGCCCATGCTGCGAGTGTGGAGGGCAATGAGGCCCGACATATAGCCTTCGGGGCCCGGAATATCATCGTCGATCATCTCGGCGAACTCTGCCAGGTAGAAATGGACGTTTGGGCGCGACTTGTACGTGCCCAGCGTGATCGGTCTCGGGAGGAATTCGGGAATGAACTCGTGCGCAGTGATTTCCGACTTGTAAGCAGCCTCCATCAAATCCCACCCCGTTTCGCCCGCCGACTCCTGTTATCTCACGGGTCAGCCCCAAATCTCGAGTGCGTGGCCGCAGTTCTGCCAGAGGGAAATATCTCAAACCTTTTGAAAAAAGACCTGCGAGCTGCCATCGGGCATTGCCACTTCGACTCGGTACGTGTTGCAGTAATCGCTCATGCCGGAGGGAGTCACAGACATCACCTTGCCGCCCTCGGGGAGCACTGCAATCTCGGTCAGCAACGTTTCTGGATATCTGGAGGCAGACTAGGCTGGCTGGCCAAGATGATAGACTCATGAGGGGGTCCGCATACCGGCCAAGAGGTTCTCGTCGAGCTTCTGCTCCACATCTCGCTCATCGGTTGCCATTGCGGAGTGGACGGTGACAAATTCAATTCAACTCGATTCGATTCGATTCAGTACAATGCAGTGTGGACGAATAAGCTTACACAGAATCAGGACGACGGCGGCCTCGGTGAGTGCATGCGTCAAGTCTTGGGAACGGGGTCGAGGAGCAGCTCGTCTCAAAAAGCGCACGGGGGCGACCGAGAACCAAATACATGCGTCTTCACCATCGCGCGCGGCCTTCCCAGGAGCCCGCAGGCCGATTCCGTGACTCGGGGGGGCCAGATTTGGCTTGTTGCTGGTGCGGCCGTCAGCATCGCGGCCAACTGGTTCGCCTGTTTCGAAAATCCGGTCGTCCATCTCAGTCACCTGTCTTGTTTCACGTATATCCTGCAGCCAACACGCGGAATAAGGCTTGGCCGCCCGGCGCCGACCCGGAAAACGGCGGCCAGTTAAATTGATTTCAGATCTAGGTTAGATTTGTGTTGCGCCGAGAAAAAAATGGGTCGGGAAGGCGGGGTTGGTCTGTTGGTGGCCGTCGGTGAGACAGAACTTGAAATGTTGAGAGGCAGCCATTCGCACCTTCCTCATCGTGCAACAATGTCGGTGTCTGGTCTCCACCTCGACAGAGACTGACTGGTCCTCAATCTGCACTGTAGAACTGATTTTTGGTTTTTCTAGCGCTCGCATTCCCCATTTCCTCCCGTCACCATCGAGTCAGCCATTGGATGCCGTCGGGTGTTTCGCTTGGCCGTCTCGAGCGGCGCAGCAACGTGCCATAGGCCTTCTGACAAAGCCGGCCCGGCAGACGGGCTTCCTGCCGCAGCCGCAGCCACACCCAGCCCGAGACCCACGTCCGAACTTGGAGGCCGTTTCAAGATTTGCATCCTGACACATGACCTAAGCCGCTGCCGCACCTCGACTGGGCCGTTCGGTTATTTGAGAACGGGGAAACGCCCGACCGCCACGCGGATGGATGTGTCGACAGCCCCAGGCAGGCAGGTCCCGCACAATCTGCCGAAACAAGCCCAAACTGAATCGAGATGCGTTCGAGATGCGACGCCAGGGCCGTGGCGATCATTTCGCTGGCAATGCCCCCTTGGGACGCATTTGCAATTCCTTCGGGAAACAGGAAAACAATCGGCCTCTTCCACCAAGCTTCTTCTTTTTGTTCAAGGGCCCCCCGAGCCTTTTTGCAATGCAAAGTTTCACCTTGCTTCTTACGTCAACTTCGTAATAAAAACCGAGTAAATCGCTGTCTTACCCGTCAGCTCGTCTCACTGCGGTCCCAGTGACTCCGAACGAGTGTTGATTGTCCTCCCATGCCTTTCTCCGCGCAAAAGAATCCCCCGCCGCCCCTCGCCGGGAAGCCGAATCCGTCCTCGACAACAACGGGGATTCCCTCCGAATGGAACATAACAATGGAATTCGACCAACCGACGCCGGTGAGGTCCCCAGAGCCGAGCCCCAAGTCCTCTTGTGCCCCGTGCCCCGTGCCCCATGCCCCGTGCCCCGTGCCCAAGTGCCCAGGTGCCCACAGCCGCCTGTGCCCCCTGTGCCGGGAGGTGACCCCCCACAGACCGGAAGCTAACATGGGATCCTCTCAGAACCGGCAGCAGAGCTCGACGTGGAGCTCTGGAGACAAGCAGATAGATCTCACCACTCCCGTAGAGGCGGAACACGTCGGCGGCTTCCGTGGACGGCTCAAGAGCCTGCGGCGAACAACAACTGACAAGTCCAAGACGTCAACCCCGGACAATCTCAGAGGCGCACTGGGGCTGAACTTGCTGCACGAGCCCTCAGAGCCACGTGTCGACTTCGTTTTCGTACGTCCCCGATTCGCGTACCAGCTCCTATCCCGTGCGTGAAACCTTGTGCTCACTGTCTGCATCTTTCAGGTCCACGGACTAAACGGCGGCTCGAGGAGGACGTGGAGCGCGACCTCTGACCCCTCGACGTTCTGGCCCAAGGAATGGCTTCCCTCCGAAGCCGGGTTCAGACATGTCCGCATCTCCAGCTTTGGCTACGACTCGGACTGGACCAAGTCGCAACCCAGCACCCTGACCATCCACGACTACGGCCAAGCTCTACTAGCAGACTTGTACAACTCGCTGAGCCTGCGAAAGAATGGAAATGTGAGTATCTTCTCCCCAAGAGACCTATTTGGTGGCGAGGTCTGACCGGATTTACAGACCCCTATTGTGCTCGTGGCACACAGCATGGGAGGCTTGATTGTGAAAAAGGTAAATTGAACCCCCCGGCTGACCGTGCAGTCGTTTCGGGATCGCTAACATGTTTGCTGCCCAGGCCTACCTGCTCGCTAGAAGAGATCCCATCTATCAGGAGTTTGCGAAGAGAATCCACAGTCTGTACTTCTTAGCGACCCCGCACAGGGGGGCTGACTCGACATCGTTCTTGACCACATTTATTTCCATGTCTCTTGGTTCTTCCGGGTCGAAATCCTTTGTCAAGGAACTTATTCCCGGCTCTGGGACGCTTCAAGTGGGTTTTCCGATGTTACGTGACTCTTTTTCGTCCCGTTGCTGATGCGCAAATCCAAATCCAGGTCATCAATGACGAGTTCCGGCATGTATGTCAGGACGTCCATCTCTGGTCCTTCTTCGAGGGCCTCCCAACCCAGGTTGGTCCAAAGTACTTGACCGTCGTTGAGAAGGAGTCGGCCGTGCTAGGTAAGTCAACACAACTCGTGCTCTTCGCCTCGTGCTCTTCGCCTCGTGCTCTCCGCCTCGTGCTCTTCGCCTCGTGCTCTTGGCCAACTATAGCTGACGACACCGGAAAGGATTGCCTGGTGAGCATACCCAATTCCTGCAAGCAGATCATCGCCATGTCGTCAAGTTCGAAACTGCAGAAGACACAAACTACAACATTTTGCTTCGCTGCTTCAACACGACCATTGCGGAGATTGAGAAGGAGTGTAAGTCAACCCCCTTGGAGCCAGTTGTGGACTTTGCTGACGATAGCAGACATCGCCGACAGGTTTGAGAACCACAAGGCTCAGATGAAGTTGATTGCGGCTGCGTTTGACATACCTGACCGCCCAGATGGCGATTTCAACAGAGTGGTAGACAAGCTCCACGATGGATCCTGCGAATGGCTGACCGAACACGCCTCCTTCCAGGACTGGCTCGTTGAGGACCCATCAGAGGCCGACTCCAACATGAAGGTAACCACGCTCAACCCTTCCAGGCAGGAGCCGGCCGGCTCGGCACCTCGATATCTGTGGCTTAACGGCCCACCGGGTTCTGGAAAATCCGTGGCGTCGACCCACGTTATCAGGCATCTCGAGTCGTACAACCTAGACTGCGCATATTTCTACTTCAAGGCCAACGAGAGGTTCAGCATTTCCCACATGCTCCTTTCGCTCGCCCTCCAGATGGCGGAATCAAACTTCCAGATCCGCCACACATTCTTGGCAATGATCGAGGAAGGCGAAACCATCAACAGCCAGAGTGACCACACGATGGTCTGGAGCAATTTGTTCCTCGGCAGGATCTTCAAAATGACCCTATCCCAGCCCCAGTACTGGGTCATTGACGCCCTCGACGAATGCCCGTCCAAGGCTCTCTCGGTTCTACTCCCCATGTTCGCAAGGATCGATCCGTCCTTCCCTCTCAAAATATTCATGTCCAGTCGCCCCAACGGTCTCGTAGAGCGCCTCCTCAACCAAGAGAAGATCCAGCGAGTCGAGATGCACACCGGCCAGGCTGAGTCGCTCAAGGACATTGAGATCTTTGTGAGGTCAAGACTGTCGCCGAACATCCTCGAGGGCTTTGGCAGCGAGGAGCAGGCTGAAACAAAATTGGTGGCCGAGATCATGGAGAAGTCGAACGGCATCTTCCTCTGGGCGTCGCTGATCATGGACCGCCTCGACGAGGCCCATAGCATCGAGGCCATGCGAGACACTCTCAACCAGGTCCCCACCGAGATGAGCGGGCTGTACCAGGGCATCCTCGCGGACATTAAGGCGTCGCCGAATGCAGAGCTGTCGCTGTGCATTCTCAGGTGGGTAGTCTGTGCGAGAAAGCCTCTCACGACCGAGGAGCTGAGAGAGGTGGTGCGGCTGGACATCAACCAAACGCTGCGGACCTCGGACAGATTCGCACAGATCTGCGGCAACATGATCACGGTCGAGGACAACCAGATCCGCGTCATGCACCAGACGGTCAAAGAGTTCCTGACCGGAGAGCAGTCGGGCTTCTACATCGATAGGTCGTGGTCGCACGCGCGCATCGCAACGCTCTGTCTGCAGCATCTCAACGGGAAGAACTTCCTGCCGCCCCGAGCACACCGGCCCAGTCCTTCCAAGGTGAACGCGGAGGAGACCGTCTTTGACGAATATGCCATCGCAAACTTTTCGTACCACATAGCCCACTGCACCCCGTCGGAAGCGACGCACAACCTGCTGCCGCTGCTCGGCGCCTTTATCTCTTCCAACGTGCTGACGTGGATCGAGAGGGTGGCGACGACGAGCAGGCTGTACATGTTCAGCCGGGCCATCAAGCACCTCAAGTCGTATCTTACCCGCCAGGTTATCACTTGCTCGCCCCTAAACCCCGACTATTCAGTGACGCTGAGGTTCCTCGAAGACTTGACCCGGCTCGGGGCCATCTATGGGCCAAACCTGCTCCTCAACCCGTCCATCATCTACACGCTGATCCCTCTGCTCTGCCCCAAGTCGTCGGTCATCCAGTCCAAGTTCGCCAAGCAGTTCCGCCAGAAGGTGATCTGCTCGTTCAACGAGGAGTGGGACGAACGCCTCACCTCCTTTTCGTACCCCAGCCGGGTTCTCTCCATCGCCTGCTTCGACCCCTACTTTGCCATCGGGCTCTCGGACAGCTCGATCAAGGTCTACCGCAGCACCACGTTTGAGCTCGTGGCCAACCTCCAGCACGGCGAGCCTGTCCGGCGCCTTGCCTCGGGCATGCTCACCAACGTCTTGGTGTCTGGCGGCATCAAGTGGATAAAGATGTGGGGTCCCCGTCAGGAGCCTCTGTGGACGGTGCCCATGCCCGACCACGCGCTGTGGTTCGAGTTTAGTCCCGACGACTCCAAGCTCTACGTGGCGGTCAAGACGGGCGAGGTCTTTGTCTACCGCGTCAAGACGGGACAGCGGCTCGAGGCCCTGCCGGTTCTCGGCGAGGAGCAAACGGACTCGGACTCGGACAATGCAGACCAACACCAGCGCGTGATCACGCCGTCGCTCATGAGGATATGCCCCAAGCTCGGCATTGCGGCCATCGCGTACCGCAGCTCGCACCTGAAGCTGTCGTACTATGACAGTGACGAGAGGGTCGACACGTTTGTCAAGGAGGGATACGAGGACGGGGTGCTGCCGCCGCAGATTCTCGACGTGGCGTTCAACCTGGTGCTCGAGCAGAACCTGATGGCGGTCTCGTACCTAGACGGCGACCTTGTCACGCTCGACCCGTGGAGCTTGCAGCAGAGGAACACGTACCACCTGCACGCCGTCACGCTCGCGGCGTCTCCGGACGGGTCGACGCTGGCGGCGGGAGACAGCGAGTGCGTCATCTCGCTGTTCGCGTTCGATTCGCTGCGGCTCATCTGCCGCATCTCGTCGATGGAGGAGCGCATCATGGGCATCGTGTTCGCGTCCAACAGCCTGCGCTTCTTCGACCTGCGGGGCAGCTCGTGCAACGTGTGGGAGCCGGCGGTGCTCATCAAGAAGAGCATGGCCGACGACAGCTCGAGCGAGGACTCGGACGAGTTCCTGACGCCGGCGTCGAGCCTCGTGTGCAACCGGTCGTTTGAGGGCAGCAACAACATCACGGTGGTGGCGCAGGCCGGAGACCTCAACTACGTGTTTTGCGGGCGCGAGGAGGGCTCCATCACGGTGCACGACACCAACACGGGTAAGGTCTGCGCCGAGTTCAAGTACCACGCGCGCATGGTCGACATCCGCCACCTCGAGTGGAACCCGCAGACCAAGGTGCTCTTCAGCGTCGACGCCTCGCGCCGCTGCTTCGCCACCCGCTTCGCGCCGCCCACCACGGCCGCCCCGGCGTGGAAGCAGCTCGACCACACCCTCGACTTCCGCGCCGCCGACACCGTCTTACAGGTCGTCGTCAGCGCCGACGGCACCATGTGCCTGGTGTCAACTACACGGGGCGAGGAGATCCACGACGCCACCCCCGGTCCCGCTGTCACGGACGGCACCATCCCCGCCCCCACCCCCCTCACCGCTACCTTTCCCACCCCTACTCCCACCACCGCTGCCTTCCCTATCGGGGCTGCCACCACGCTGACCAACTACTCTGGCAAGACGGGCCGGTGGCTGCAGCACCCGACCGACGCGGAGCGCCTGCTGCTCATCGACGGCCACCGCCTTCACGTGTTCCGCTGGAAGAGCCTCGAGCGCGAGACGGACGCGGCGGGCATCGAGCTGACACTGCCGGCCGAGCTGGCGGGCGCTACGGTGGCGGCCGACGACTGGTGCTCGCGCGCGGGCTACGGCACGCTGCACCAGTCGGTGGCCATGTATAAGTCGCCGTCCGAGACGGCGTTCCTGACGGTCGACATACCGGCGGCGCCCGCAGCGGGGGCCGCATGGCCGCGCCAGGTCGACGTGGTGTGCACGGCGCGCCAGCTCGTGTCGGGCACCAAGGGCGCGCTGGGCATCTACAAGTCGAGCCTGTATTTCCTCAGCAGTATGGGCTGGGTGTGCTCCATCAGCCTGAAAGGGCTGCCGGCGTCAAAGTCGTACGTGCGCCACTTCTTCATCCCGTCCGTCTGGCTCAACAGCGGCGCCACCATCGCCCGCGTCGTGTCCAAGACCACGGTCGTCCTCGCCTACCGCGACGAGCTCGTGGTGTTCCAGGGCTTCCTGGACTTTGAGCACAAGACCAACTTTGACGAGATTGTCCAGGAGGGCGCTGTCGTTCCGCTGGAGCCGCGCTCGCCGTGATGATGGACTAGCAGATTGTTTTTTGTCCCAAAAGGTGTATTTGTGCGTGGGTGTAGGTGTGTGTCTAAGTTTGCAAATTGCTGTTGCTGCTGTCTGGCTAGGCAGGGTCAATTCTATAGAATGGCCATACGAAGTGTGTCTCTCGTTCCCCGACTCTCGTTCCCCGACTCTCGTTCCCCGAATCTCGTTCCCCTTCTTTTTCTCTCGTTCTTTACAACCCATTCTAGCCTGTGTCGCCCTGGTGTATGGAGTATTTCTGTCTGATTTCTTTTTTCTGCATTATTTTTTTTTCACCACACCCGTTGAGACGAGCGCGCGTGGTGGGTGTGAGGCCTTGGTGAACTCTTGTGCATCACGGGGCCAGTGGAGGGAGACAATAGGACTTGAGGTACCTAGGTATTACCTAGGGTATCTATCCTCGGGATAGGGGATGGATGATTGGTGGTGTGACCCAAACTGTAGATTTCTCAAAAGCTAGCTTGTCGAAAAAACTGGCAATACTTTACTGTAGAACTATATTCCTTTTCTCAATTTTCTCTAGCGTTTTGTGACGTCCAGTGGCGACAGGAGGTATCTGTGCGTATCCATTTACCAAACGTGGTACGCGACCCCTGCCAGGCGCGTATTGACCAGGGTGGGGAGCAGGCGACGGTCACGTCACGTGCTTTGTTGGCTGCTTCCAATTGATTGATTGACCCGATGCTATGCGACGTCATCCCTTCCCTAGCTCGTGCGCACCTACGGGGAACAACAGAACCCTCTCCCGCCTCAGAGTAATGGGCTGAATTGCTCATGACAACCATGGCGAGGCTTGCGCTGATTACCTGTCGTTTTACACGGTGCGCGCCCGTCGGCGATGCGCGGCGACGGCTGTTTGCGACGGCATCGACTAGCCCAGGCGGAGGCCGCAACGGCAATAGCAACGGCAGCGGCAACGGCAGCGCTGGCGCTGGCCCGACCGCCACCAACTCGCCGCCCCCGCACCTCGACAACCGCGTCAAGATCGTCGAGGTCGGCCCGCGCGACGGCCTCCAGAACGAGAAGAAGTCCATCCCGCTCGCTACAAAGATTGACCTGATTGAGAGGCTCGCGAGGACCGGCCTGTCGAGCATTGAGGCCGGCGCCTTTGTGTCGCCGAAATGGGTGCCCCAGGTCAGTTGCTGCAGTTGCTGCCTCCAGTCACTGACACAGAAGGCAAAGCTGAACTGGCTGGCTGCGTAGATGAGCAATTCGGGCCAGATCCTCCAACACATCCTCCAGCGCGACATCCCCTCCCGAACCCCCCTGACCTTCTCGTTCCTCGCGCCCAACATGACGGGCATGAACGACGCCAGCGCCATCTTCGCCCGCCACCCCACAGCCTTTGAGACGGAGACACAGCGGGCGGCCAGCGCGGCGGCAGGGAAGACGACGGCCGAGACGACGGGGCAGGCCAGCAAGCCGGCGTTCGAAATCGCCGTGTTCGCGGCGGCGACCGAGTCGTTCTCGCAGCGCAACCTCAACTGCGACATAGCCACGGCGCTGGCGCGGTTCGCGCCTGTCATCCAGGCGGCCAAGGACGGCGGCCTGCGCGTGCGCGCCTACATCTCGGTCGTGCTGGGGTGCCCGTTCGAGGGCCGCGACGTGGACCCGCACCGCGTCGCCGAGCTGGCCACGGACCTGCTCGAGATGGGCGCCGACGAGATCGCGCTCGGCGACACCACGGGCATGGGCACGGCGCCCCGCACCCGCGCCCTGCTGGCCTGCCTGCGCAGCGCCGGCGTCCTCCCTGAGGATCTTGCCATGCACTTCCACGACACGTACGGCCAGGCCCTCGTCAACACGGCCGTCGCCCTCGAGCACGGCATCCGCACCTTTGACGCCGCCGTCGGCGGCCTCGGCGGCTGCCCCTACAGCCCTGGCGCCACCGGGAACGTCGCCACCGAGGACATGGTCTACTTCCTCGAGAGCCTCGGCATGCGCACCGGCGTCGACCTCGACGCCGTCGCCGACATTGGCGCCTGGATCACCCGCGAGGTCGGCAAGCCCCACGAGAGCAGCGTCGGGAAAGCTGTGATTGGCGCCCGCTCGAGGGCCGGCAGTCCGGAGACGAACTAATGCATGGAGTGCCTGCGTGGAGTGGATGGTTAATGTTGTACGGTGCGTGGACGCTGGCTGTCTTTGGGACTGGCTGCCTATGGTTCATAGGCTACCAGATCAAATCCTGTGGTGGTGGTGATGGTGTTGGTAGGCAGGTGTGTGTAAATACTATCAGCTGTCCAAGTGTCAAAGGTACGGCCCACTATCTAGGTGTCTGTCTGTCATTGTTTCCTTCTGGGATTGTAGAATTTGGTAATAATTCCCGATCTACTTCCTCCAACCCCCCCCCTTTTGGCTTTGTATGGAAACATTCCCCGTTGCTGCCTCCGCTTTGCAGCCGTCCTTTCGTCCTTTCCCCTATCTTTCTTCCAACCGTTTATAACTCGGCGATGGGCTGATCACTTTGAACAAGACTTGTCTGCCATGGCAAAGGAGATTGCCGGAATGTTGGAGCGGGATGCTCATCTGCAAGTAATTAAACTCGTGTTAACTTGTTGGCACCCGGCTTGCCCACTCTCCACCGAGCTCACTTCATGTTCGGATGGAGCAGAGAAAGAAGCCAATGGCGATGCCGTTCTGCGCCTTTCATCTGTAGGCAGGGCCGAGCCATAATGTCCTATAGCCCCCAGATACATCAGACGGAGAAGTGAACAAATTGTGATGGCCCACGAAGACACCGTAGCCCGAGATCGACCCACCCTTTCCATCTGATCTCGTCGCTTCGCTAGGAACCGCGTCCTAGGTCCGAGAGTCCGAGGCACTGCCTTAATTGCTGCTGCCAGGCCGTCGTCACACTTACTTTCACACGTTGTTAGGATGGACATCCAATCACGAGTTCGGATTCGGCTACCACAGCCAGCGTATATGAGCATGTCTCCCTCATCGCCGAGCCCAAACCCAAACCCAAACCCAAACCTAAACATTCCCGTTTCCAACTGGGTGCGAAAGGCGCTTTCTCGCTTCTGGCGCAGTAACAGCACCATGTTGCCCAAGTACGGTGGCGTCGAAAGCAGCGGCGACATCCTACAGTCGCCCTTCAAACCGAGAACCAACAACAGCGACGCCGGCGCCACGATCAAGATGGATCTCGACGGGCTGCCAGGACAATCAGACGCCGTTTTCGAACGACACAGCAGGCCGCCGCCGCCACGGCAGATACTAGTCACGACAACAATCACAGCTAAGAGCGAGCCAAAAAATCACAGCGCAGCAGTAAAAACGCCAGCCAACTCTTCCCCCACCACCACCACCACCATCACCACCACCCAGCCACGCCACCATCAACGGCGCCCGCTCCCTCCGCTGCCATCAGTCCCGCTGCTGAACCTCGCCGCGCCCTCGCCCGCCCTGCCCGTGCGCTCCGGCCTGCGCCAGCACCAGTACGACTACGTGGCGCGCGTGCGGCAGCAGCGCAACCCGGCGCTAGCGGCGCAGCACGAGCTGCTGGCGCGCAGCCGCCGGTTCGAGAGGCAGTTCTTTGCTGCGGCGGCCACCGCCAATTCGCCTAGAGGCAAACTGTCTCTGCCAGGCACAAAAAGACCAGCTGGTGCCTCTTTTGCGGGGGAAGAAGAAGAGGGACGCATACCGCGCTCGGCTGTTGCTGCTGTGGATCCTCGCAAGAGGCCCCGGACGAGTAATCTCCGGGCCGCCCTGCGCTCGTTTCTCGATGAGGTTGCTGGTGAGCAGACGCAGAACCAAACGCAGGCCCAGACGCAGCGCCACAGGTCGTGGCCTGAACAAGGACAAGGACATGGGCATGTTGAAGCGCCGCGCCGTGTCAATCATGTCAACAGTAATATCACCAGAGCCGCCAGCACCGCCACGGCTGCCCTCCTGCCATCGCCCATGCCCCGTCCTCCTGCCCTGCCCACAACCACTAGGCCCGCTACCATTACTACAAATACCACTACCACGGCTATTACCGCAGCAGCAACTGGCGCCCCCACGACGCCAGCAAGGAGAAAACACAAACGCTCGTTCGCCGTGTTCCTCGGCCGCAGCAGCTCCCGCAACAACGTCGCTACCACTGCTCCTTCAGAGAATAACAACAACGAGGACAGGGACAGGGACAGAGACTCGCGGAACCGCAGGCTCGGCCACCGCCGCGCCGGCGCAAGGACAGGGCCTCCGGGGAGTGAGTTTGGGTTTTATGGGTGGTGATGGGAGTGGAGGTTATAATATGGGCGCTGGTGATGGGGGGTGCGGTTTATTGATTTACGAGGGCCAGGGACAAGAAAGTACAGGGACGGGAAAGTGCGCACGGGGGTTGTGTACACATGGTTATATGGAAGGGGAAAAGGCTGGCTTCATAGATTGGGACGTATTTGCTGTCTTTTCTCTCAGAACAGAGGAGACAATGATACATGTGGTATGGATGGATGGTAGCCGGCCGGTTTGGACCGAGCTGCTTACTTTCTTGCACTCTGCGGTTGTCTTTTCTTTGCAACTTTTTGTTTGTTACCCAGACTGAAAGGGGGAATCGCAGCGGGAAGTAATTTATCACGGGCGAATAACAGGATTATAACAACAAATCTCACATGGACATGCAGGTACGCACGTATTGAGTTCTTGGAGCCGTCTTTCGGCTTGTTCCTGAGAATTCAATTTTATTTATCCAGCCACTCATCAGGCGTAGTCCTCTTTGGCAAACGTGTTTGCTACGATAAATGGGAAGCACGTCGTTGCCTCGGCGTAAACCTTGTTGATTCCCTCGGTTAGCGTCACCAGTAAAAAAAAAAAAAAAAAGGGGGGGGGGGAATACCCAGATAAGAAAAAAAAACTCACCTTGACGGCATCTGCGCCAACCTTGATCTTGCCCCACGACACGGCCTCGTCGGGGCGGGCGCCGGCGTCGCTGCCGTCAAACTCCTGGGCCGTGTTAATGTAGACGGCCGACTCGGCACCGTTGCGCATCAGGCAGGCGTTGGCAATGTGGTGCTTGACGACGCCGCCGCCGAGGATGATGATGCCGGCGCGCTTGGCCCGCACGGCGATGGTGTTGACGCGGCGGATGTCCTCGACGATGTCGATGCGCAGCTGGCTGGGCGAGGCCTTGAATGTGTGGAAGTAGAGCATGTCGCCGAGGCTGCCGTCGGTCAGGGCGGGGCAGAAGACGGGGATGTCGTTCTTGTAGGCCCAGTAGTAGACGGAGCGCTCGTCGTTGATCTCCTTGCCGAGGCGGTGGATGACCTTGGACGGCGTCCAGTGCACCTCGACGTCGGTGCCGCGGCTGGCCTCCTGCTCCTCGAGCATGCGGTCCAGGATGGGCACGACCCAGTCCTCAAAGGCGCAGTAGTTGGAGTTGGGCACCACCAGGTTGCCGATGCGGTTGAGGCCCTTGGCGCGCAGCTCGGCGCCGCGCTCGCTGAAGGACGACATGTACGTGTCGCCTAGGCACTTGATGAAGTCCTCCTCGATGCCGCCCGCCGTGGTCACGATGGCCGACACGTGCTTGTGCTCGACGAGGTACCGGAACACGCCCCGCAGCCCCGACGAGATCATGTTGGACGTGTAGCCTAGGAAGATGGTCGTCTTGTCCCCGGACTCGAGGTCCCTCCACGCGCGCTGTAAAAAGAACACACAGTTAGTTAGTCTGTACACGGCGGCTTGGGGGCATACACAATATCTTTTTTGGACAATAAAAAATAGGCTGCTTGCCCCCCATTTTTTTCCTTGTGGTGAGTTCGCTTTTACAAGACGTCGCTAACCATTTCGTTGATGATCCGGACGGCTTCGCACATGGACGACGCCTGGAAGCCCATGTGCTTCATGCCTTGGAAGAGGTCGTCGACCGTTATAGGCCGGCCCTTGAACTTGTTAAAGTCGAGCTCCTCGACCTTTTGCGCGCCCTCGGGCATCTCGACCGACTTTACCAGCACAGCCTCTTTCGCGGCGGTGGGTGGCTGTGTGGCTGCCATCTTGATGCAGAGAGTCTCTCCCAAAAGGTGCTGGAAGCAGTTGAAGTTCCTTTGTACGAGAAAGAAACTCGGAGCCTGAGCCGTGGCTTATTGGATCAGATCAGATCAGATCAGATCAGACCCACGATTCGATATCGAAACCCTAATCCAGCGGCTGTTTCGCCTTGATTTGGACCCTGAAAGAGTGACGGCCGTTTCCAACGTAAAAAAGACTCCCTGCGTTTATGGGGTGGAAATGCCGAATTTTTTAGACGTCGATGAATGTCTCTGTTGGGTCACAGATTCGACCACGAACGGTTGGTTGATGAGGTGAGGGGCATTTCTGCTGCTCATCCCTTCCACAGGTTCCGAGTCGGGTGCGTGCCCCGTACGTACGGTACGGAGTACAAAGGTCAGTACGGAGAAGGCAGACGACAGGCAGCAGTGCCGCTCCACAATTCCATCCCATGAAAAACGAGGAGATGAAATTTTCACCGTCTGATAATTGGGGCGTTTACGGTGTTTGGATACAAGGCGCATCGATTTTATTTACTCGGCTTCGGACAGTGCTTGGCCTGTAACCGTCTTCAATCGGTGCAGATACCCAACAGGCGCCGCCGCAAATACACCCTGAACCGCCTGATGCGGCCGCGATTCTGGAACGCTGGCCAAAAATCGGGGCGGGATGAGAAGAAGGTGCAGCCTGGATGCACTAACATTTAAATTTTGCGTCTTTAACCGACTGCCCAATCACGAGCCGTAGGCCACAAGCTCCAAGGACAGGGCCCAGTCTTGCATTGAGCACACCTGATCGGGAAGGGACTAGCGCAACGCCGCCTTTCCAACCCGTGGTGGGTTTTAAGTGGGTGGCTTGTTCGAGACACCGGGCCCACTCCGAGCAGGCACTTAGGTGCCAAACAAGGCACGTACCATGGAAGTACCGTAGCGCATGTGGACGCACGCTTCGGGACAAACGAGAACAATCCTTCATTTCGACTGCTTGGCCTTGGCCTCTGGTGCCCGTGCCCAGCACACACAGCACAGGGGGCGTGGAATGGGTCCGGCGGCCAGGCGACACCAGTCAATTCGAGATCTCCACCTCGATCCAATCTTCGGCCATCACCAGCCCTTTCTCCTCCAAAACACACCGCACACTCCATCCAATTACCCTTTGTTTGCCGACGCCCAGCACGCCCGGAACAGCACGACGCTGCGCCCCGACGACAGCGATACTCTGCAATACGGATTTCACTCGATAGCCTTCGAGCTGCAGCCGCGGGGCCAACGCCAAAGCTTGCTTGCTTGCGTCGACGACTCACTCCCGTCAGCCTCTAAACCTTGGCGCCAAACCTCCACCCCGGACGGCGTGCCACCTCCACCGCGACCAAGCGTTACCAAAAGCAAGTTGCTGTCCTCAAACGGTGGCAACAACTAAATTCAATCAACACCGCCCACGTCGCTCATCTTTGCGGAGAGGTAAACCTCGATTATGCGCATGCTAGATTGGCTCTCCCGAGACAACTAGAGGGCCGGAGCCCTCATTGCGATGTATGTTTTGACTTTCTTCCCTCTCAGTACAAATGTATTTTGCGGATACTCCCAGTCCCTATAGGAGAATTGTAGATGTTTTGTCGCGTGTGGACGACGTGTCGGAGCCCATGTATCCATCCTATCGCGGCCATCCAGAAGAATACCTTCGCGGACGCCATAAGCGCCGTGATACACGTCCTCGTTCTCGTACCCGCAGCCCCCGCAATCGCCGTGACTACCCTTCTCTGGCTTACCATGGCGATGCTTACAGGTCACGGTACACTGGCAGCCGATACGACGGCGGCGGCGAACGGCGCTCCCGGTCGCCTCGGGACCGTTCTCCTCCACAATACAGCGACAGGGGCGGCGGCGCGGATCGGGGTTCGCAATACGGCGACGGCGACCGCAGGCGCCAGTCGGCCGAGTCGCGTGCTAACGCCGCTAACTTTCAGTCAAACCGGGACGCCTTCCATAGTCCGCTCAACGGCCGCGAGCCGCCCCGGGGTCCCAAGGCTTTGCTTCTTGATCCCCCAAGCGGGCCACGTGGCGGAGGCTTCGCCGGCGACTTTCGGGGCAGGGGCCGGGGAAGCGGCCGTGGCCGAGGGTGGCGCGACGATAGTAGAGATCGTGACCGGGGCCGCGAGCAAGACTACCGGGACCGCCCCCATTTCCGAGACGAGCGAAGCCGCGAGCGCGAGCGCGAGCAACGTCTCGAGCGTGACAGAGACTGGCGCGAGAGAGACCGCGACGCTTTCCCTCCCCGCGGCCGAAGACCTTCCCCGCAAGGAAGGGGTCGGTCGCCTATTGGACGCGATTTCAGAGACGCGAGGGATGCCCCTCTCGGCGTGGATGCGGAAAGGGCAAGACGTGGCTCAAGAGACGGACCGCTGTCGGCAGGCTCCTCGTCTTCTGACCCACCATTCGGATCCTCGTCCTTCCGCGGCAGCGGCTTTCCTCGTGGCGGGCGAGGATCCCGGGGGCGCGGAGAGTGGCCGCCGGAGCGCGGTGGCCGCGGCAGAGGCGGACAATACGACGAGCAGCAAAAGGACCGCTATGGCCCGCGAAGCCGGTCCCAGGAGGGCCGGTGGGGACGTGACCAAGAGGACCGCAGAGACTCGTCGAGGTACTTGGATCCCGCCCGAGATATTCGCGATGATCGCGATGCACGTGGAGACAGAGAGCGCGGCGAGCTTGGTCGCCCAAAAGCTGAGCGCGTATCCCACGAGCCGCCCCCCTCCCAGCCCAAGGATGTCAAGGATGTCTCGCCACCGCCCCTTGCCCCCTCCGCCCCTGCGTTCGGCACAGTTCCGCGTCAGCCCTCGACTTCGGAAACGGGCTTGGGGATCCAGTCTCTTACCGGCAAGGTCCCGCCTACAGGCCCCAGAGCATTCACCGAGGAACGACCTGATTCGGCAGGCCACTCGGCCACGACCGAAAGACCGCCGCCGACCGGCCCTTCGAAGCCCGCCCTGGATGGAAGCCCCTCGATACCTGTAGGACCTCGGGCACAGGTAGTAAAGCAGCAACGCTCTAGTAAACAATGGATTAACCCGGCCTTGGCCAATAAGAAAGGCCCAGACTCACCCAAGACAGCGAGATCTCAAAGCTTTGTATCGCAACAGTCCAGGCCGCCGTTCGGCAACTACCGACCCGAATCCGCCCACTCGGACTACCATGGCGACTTCGAGAGGCGTCCTCGGAGCTCGGACGCGCAATCAGAGCCTCATACGTCTAATAGTGACGGGCAGTTTCGAGGCCTGCATGACAGGGGACCGAACGACATTGCAGTCAAATCCGAGAGGGGCACCCAGTCGGCGCGAGCGTCAATCGACCGGGATATACGGGGTAGATTTGTCGATGTGCAGCTGTGTGGCATGGACACGGCCGACGTAGCCCGTAAGGAGTCCGATCCTGACCCGTCTCGTACCCCATTGGTTAGCCCCGTGGCTGCAAAACCCGCCAGCGTCAACGGCGAATCGCCGGAAAAGGTTGGACGGCCTGGGACTGCGACTACCGGCAAGAAACGCACCACCCTCTCTGTTCCATCCTCCCGAGTTCAACTGCCCATCAGACAGCCGGCTATATCCGTTGAGGATGAGTCGGACTCGGATGGTGACGAGCTAGACAACTACTTTGAGCAAGAGACATCAAAAGTCGAGGCTGAGCTTCACAAACTAGAGGCCGCCGAGGACGCTGTTCCCATTCGAATTGTTGCACGATATGCCAGCGTGGTTCACGACGCTATGCTGAAGGTGCTGTCAGGTGGCGACAAGCTAATGGATATGATCGGAGACATCCCCGACGGCTTTGCCTTCCCTCGCCCCAAGCCTACAACTCAGAATATGAACAATAAATCCCCCGAGCCCGAGCCTGAAGATCACCCCATGCCCCCTGCTCCCCGGGAGCCCTCGGCAATACCCACGGTTGAAAATGGCGACGACAACATGGCTCAACTTGCAGACCTACAGCCAAAGGTCGAAGAGATGGATACGGAGGGCTCGGGCCTTCCGCCGCTTCCCACCGTCGAAGAGTCAAAAGGTCCCACCGAAGACGTTGACATGCACGACGTCTCGGAAGCCCAGGACGCACTTGGCCCGCTGCGTGAAAATATCCCGATAAACGGGATTCCAGCCGAGGGGGACGGTATCCCAATCTTCCCATTGCCGTCTGGCCAGTTGGTCTCGGCAAGGAGCAGTGCATCTGCGATGGACGAAGACAGTGAGGATAGAACCGAGGACGACGGCAGCATCTATGGCAGCATCGAGGCTGTGCGCGAATACTCGATGACTCCACCGACCGAGGAGCTTCCAACCTTCACCTCGAGGCCATGGTACAAGAGCAAACGACTCCGCAAGCTGTCAGAGCAAATGCCAGACTTCGATGTCTTCATCTTCGACCAAATCCGAGACAAGACGACAGCGGCGACAAGCGAGCAAGACGAAATGCGGCGGGAATACCGTACAAGGTATGAGGAGTACCTCGAGTTCACCAGGTCGGACGATCCGGCTGCTGCAAAAAGCCGCGACTACTTCTCTAGCACTTCGGTGCCCCTGGGGACAACTGGCAAGGCCGTGACAGCACCCGATAACAAGCCTGAAGGGGGCCGGCGGGCAGGGCGGTTTGCCACCGAGCTGGACGTCGAGTATGCGATTCAGCAATCGATGCGAGAGCACCAGGAGAAGCAGGAAAGAGAAGCCAGGGCCCTGAAGGAGAAACAGCGCAGCGATAAGGAAGCTGTCATCCCCGGCATGTTCTGGACGCCCGAGGACAAGGACTGCGGGCTCTTTTTCGACACGGCCGGACTGCTCCCGCTCGAGAAGCTCGTTGCCACATGGCAGGTGGTGCCGTGGCATGTCAACTTCACCGAAGAGGAGGCCGAAAAGTTTGAGAAGGCCTATCTCGAGAGCCCGAAACAGTGGGGCAAGATCGCCAAGGACATTCAGTCGCGCGACTTTGGGGCCTGCATTCAGTATTACTACGCCAAGAAGCGGGAGCTGAATCTCAAGGAAAAGCTTAAGAAGCAGCCTAGGAGGCGGAAGAAGGGCCGTGGCGCCAAGCAGCGCTCCAGCGCGCTGGTGTCGGAGCTGGGCAATCCGGAAAACGAGACGGAGGAGCCTGCGCAGGAGAACGGCGACAACCCGCAGCCGCGCCGCCCGCGCCGCGCCGCTGCTCCGACGTTTGGCTACGAGGCGACGCCAAATGCCGACTCGGACGGCACAACTGCCGCCGCGACGCCTGGCCGCAGGAGGGCTGGAACGGCTGCAGAGCAAAAGAACGACAGTGGTGCCGAGAAGACTGAGGGCAAGAAGGGCCGCAGAGCCCGTCAGCCTAAAGCGGATAAGGAGGCAAAAGCACTCAAGCCTGTGCAGCCTCTGGCGCCCACTCCACCCGCCGCCACCGCAGCGGCGGCGGCAGCGGCAGCAGCGGCAGCCAAGGCTAACCGGTCGCGCTCCAACTCGAGGGTCCAGGGTCCCGACTGGGCATCCCCGCAGACGCCTGCAGACATTGCTGCTCGCCACCCGCAGCCGTTCGAGGTGTCGCCCGGTGGCATGCAGCCGCCGCTGGTGCCCGTCCAGCAACAGCAGCAGCAGCAGCAGCCGCCGACTCTGGCCAGCCCTGAGCGAACAGCACCGGCGGTAATGCCGTCTGTCATCTCCGAGGTCATGGCGCCGCCTCAGCTGCGACCCGAACCTCCCCCGCCCCTGGCGTCCATGCCCACTTTTGACATCAATCCTTCCTCTGGGTCGGACCGCATGCGCAGCCAGCAGCAGGCATCCAGCTACTGGAGTGTCTCCGAGTCTACCGACTTTCCCAACCTGCTGCGGTCCTTTGGCACTGACTGGAGCTCGATTGCCGCCCACATGCAGACAAAGACGGCCGTAATGGTAAGCAGCCCGTGTCCCTCTGCGCAGCAGCTCTCCTATCCCTCGACCGAGTACCCTAGGTTAACCAGTCCGTCCCCGCAGGTTAAGAACTATTTCGTCCGCCAAAAAGAGGGTGGCAAGCCGGAATGGGACGCGATCGCGAACGAAGCCGACGCTAAGCGGCAGCGAGGAGAAAAGCGGCCTGCTCCGCCGACTCCGTCAACCGGACCGAGGAAGAGATATGACTTGCCGTCGACAGGGCACCGGCCACTGGCTGCTGCCGAGTCCGACGAGACGACTCCCACCAAGGTCGAGCCGTCGCCGTCAAGCCAGCCCTTCACGCGTTTCCAAGTCCCGATTGCCCAGGCTTCTCCTGTTGCGCATCCCCTCGCACCAGCACAGGCACAGGTGCAGTCACAGACGCAGGCACAGGCTCAAGCACAGGCTCAGGCACAGGTACAGGCACAGGCACAGGCACAGGCACAGGCACAGGCACAGGCACAGGCACAGGCTCAAGCACAGGCACAGGCACAGGCTCAAGCACAGGCTCAAGCACAGGCTCAAGCACAGGCACAGGCTCAAGCACAGGCACAGGCACAGGCACAGGCACAGGCACAGGCACAGGCACAGGCACAGGTACAGGCACAGGCAGCACCTGCGGTTACGGTGCCGGTCCTTTCACCGCCGCCGCCACCTCCCCCACCGGCGGCAGCTACTCCCACAGCAAGTGGACCGCCGGTCTCGCAGGCCATGTCGCCCAGCAACCACCCGCTTAGGCCACCCGGTCCTCCCTTCCCCTACCCCGAGAGAGAGAGCGATCTGGTCCCGCCGCCACAGCCTCTAGTACAACAAGCCCCACCACAGCCGGTTCGAATCTCGCAGAAGCCCGCGCCCACCTCGGTTCCTGTCACCCCTGTCAACGAATCTGCGCCACGCCCGACGGCAATGTGGGCCATCGATTTCAGCCAGCAAATGGCGCCACTAGGGCAACCACCGCAGCAAAAGGAGGCCCGAGAAGCGCGGGATCGTTCAGTCAGAGTGGGAATCTCGCGAGAGCCGCCCAAGCCTGTTGAGCGGCCACCGGTTCGCATGAAGCAGGAGCCGGAGCAGCCGCTCCACCACCCAGAGCCCTTCCCGTTCGCGCAACCCCAGCGTGCTGTACAGCCGAGGACGGAGCCGGTGCCCCTGTCGAGACAACCCGAACCGCCCCGTGCCGTGGCGCTAGCGCCGCCGCCATACACGCAGCCCATCCAGGCACAGCCCATGCGGCACTCGCATGCCGACCATGTGGCTGCGCCGCAACCCCCTCCGCAGGGTGGCCCGGCGGCCGAGAGACCGCTTTCCGGCATTCAGCGAGGCTTGCCGGCGTCAATGCAGGAGCAGTACGGAGCGCCCGTCATCGCCCCGCCTGCTCCGCCGCCTCCTGTCGCGCCTCCGGCACCTAGTCCTGCTCAACGTAAGACTAGCAGTCTCTTCGCTTTACTGAACGACGACCCTCCAGCACCACCTGTGTCGCGAGTTAGCGACATCTCGTTGGGGATAAAGTCGAGCTCGACGCCGCCTCCTCAGGCATTGTCGGGGCGTCCCCCTCCGCCTACTTCTGCTGCGCCGCGGCAGGATGTCGAGACGGCAAGATATCCCTTCAATCGCCCCGCTCAGCAGCCTTCACAGTCGGCTATCCCACCTTTGAAGCCGTACCACACGCAGTCTCCCCAACCGCAGCACATGGGGGCGCCTGGCCCAGGGGCTGCAGCGGATCGCGAGTATTACCCGCCCCGCCACCCCTTCCAAGCTCAGCACCAGACGAGCGCGTCAAATTCACCCCAGTCACACCAAACCAATCATTACCCCCCTCCTGGACCACACGGGCAGCAGGCTCAGGTCCAGGCTCAAGCTCAGGCCCAAGCCCAAGCTCAGGCTCAGGCCCAGGCTCAAGCCCAGATGCAATATCAATCTCAGCAACCTTATCAGCCTTATCAAGCCCCACAGCCGCACGCGGTTTCCCCAACCCCTCAGTATGCTTCACACCCATCTCATGGGGTCGGACCTCGGCGTGATGGCCCAGGATCCGGCCGTGAGGCTTGGCCTCAGCCTCAGCAACCTACATCAGCCGCCATGCAGCAGCAGCAGCAGCAGCAGCAGGCTCAGCAACAGGCTCAGCAGCAAGCCCAGCATCAACAACACCAACAGCAGCTCCAACAGCACCAGCAACTCCAACAGCAGGGGCCCTGGCCGCCTCATCAAGGACCTCCCAAGTCGAACCAGCCTGTTCCTACGCAGTCTGCCTGGGGTGCCCAGCATGGGGTGCAGGCGAAACCCCAGGTCAGCAACTCGATGACACCACAGCAGCATTCATGGGCGTCGTCCGGGCCTCCTCAGCAGCCGCACCCGCTCAACCTGCGGGATTCGCGTGGTCCCGTCTATCCAGGCCACGACTTGCAGAGCCCCACGGCGGGTATCATGCAGCATCAGCATCAGCATAACACGTCTTTAGACGGAGGCCGATATACGCAAGCCGCCGATTTACGGAGGGGCGAGCCAGCTCCACCCCCTGGCCAGCCATATGTACGATATTCAAACACGCCCGGTCCCGGACAAGGCAGGGAGCTTGGGCCGGCTCGGAGCTATACGCCAGTAGGTTTCGATCACCGCGGCCCCCCTGGGCCGCCCTACGCGGGTCAGGAGCCGATGCGGGACATGCAGCGGCGCGACCGCGAGTCTCTGCACGATGCCCAGCTCCGCGAGGCTCATATGCAGTCTCAGCGCGAGGCACACATACGCGAGGCCCAGATGGCGAGGGATCCGCAGCAACTCCGCGAGGCGCAACTGCGTGAGCTGGTGAGGAGCGACCCGCAGCAGTTTCGCGACGGCCGCGAGTTGGGGAGAGACCCACGCGAGATGGCCAGGGACCCGAGGGACGGGGCGGTGTCGGCCGCCCAACACCAGAGCATTCTCACGAGACAGCTGAGGCCTCACGACACGTATGAGAGGCCGCCTGAGAGGCGGTACTGATTTTTCTACTGTCTAGGCAAAGATAGAAGAAGAAGAAAAAGAAACGTGGAGCGACAGAAACCTCGTAAAAAAAATAGGGTACACACATGAAAATGATGTGATCGGGCTTTGTCTTTCTAGGTTTTAGGGCCAGGTATATATAACCATGTCGTATTTATTTTGGGGAGTGATAGGGGCTCTTTGAATGTAGGGGGTTTATGGGGAAGAGAAGGGGTAGAGAATCGGCTATCGTGCGAATGTACATGTACACATCATCCAATGTTTGGGTCTTTTATTCGGAATCGATGTCTCTCAAGTATTTTTCGGCGAAATCGCATTATAGATACGACGGAAATTCTACGCTTTGACTAATGACATTACGAACGAGCTTGTGATGACTGAACGGCAGGAGGAAGATGGCTCCTCAACAACTCCCACAGTGAGTTCTGGTCTAACAGCGGGCTCAGAGCCTCGAGTACAGGGCCTCCTCGAACGCTTGGATCAGTGGCCGCACCACAGGATCGGCCGGCGGCAAGACCTGCGACCCAAAGACGCCGAACGCGCCGGCGGCTCTGTCGATGAACTGTTGAGCGTGTCAGTTAGTTTCAAAAGAGGGAAAGGGGCAAGCCAGAGACAAAGATGGGAGGGAAAGACAACCCACCCAAAACAAGTTCCACGCCCCGCCCCACTTCAAGAAGCCCCTTTTCCGGTGCTGGTGGTTTTCTGCAAGGCCATCGTCGTCGAGAAGCAGCCCGCCGGCGCCACAGTCATACTCGACACCGTGCGGCACGGTGCCGACGATCCACTCGGGGTGCACGAGCGTCTTCTCGTTGAGCCACGCGCGCGCCGCCGGGTCCAGCAGCGGCTTGAACAGCAGCTCGGCCGTCGCTGGCGCCAGCAGCTTGCCGTCATCAACCAGCAGCGACCGCAGCACCTTGGCATATGCGCTCAGGTCCGCGTACCCGCCCTCGCCGCCGTACGCCGACCGGTCCGCCGGCAGCGCCGTCGGCCGCGGGAACACGGCCCCCCCGTGGCCCACGCGCCCCGTCGCAACGTCCCGCACCGTCATGTCCGCCACGCGCGCCAGCACTCCCTCCCCGCGCCGCTCCGGGAAGAAGGTGATGACACCGCTGCTGCTGTCAGAGGTGATCCCCAGCGGCCCCAGCACGTACGCCTGCAGGTGCGCGTCCAGCGTCGCCCCGCCTGCCGCCTCCACCAGCGCCCCCGCCCAGTCCGACGAGCACCCGTACCCCCAGGCCGTGCCGGGCTCGAACAGCAGCGGCCACGCGTAGCGTTCCGCGACGGACCCGTGCACGGGCGACGACGCCGCCCCGGGCCCCCCGAGCCCCTGCTGCTCCAGCCACTTGCCGAGCTTCGGGTCCGCGAACCCGTACCCGCACCCCGAGCTGTGCGTCAGCAGGTGCCGCACCAGGATCGGTTTCGTGCGCGCCGTGTACTGCGGCGCGTCGCCCTCAGAAAACCCCGTCAGGATGGGCTGCGCGGCGAGCCCCGGCAGATACGGCGCCACGTCCGTGTCCAGGCTGAGCACGCCGCGCTCGACCAGCTGCAGCACGGCGACTGAGGTGAGGAGTTTCGTCATGGACGCCAGCGCGAAGATGCTGTCGAGCTGCATGTCGGTGTTGGCCGCGGCGGAGGGGTCTAGTGTCGCCTTGCCGATCGCTCGAGCGTAGTTGAAGTTGCCTGTAGGTAGGTAAGTAGGTGTAAGTGGGTGTACGTGGGTGTAAGTGGGTGAGGATGAGGAAATACACGCACCGGTCGTGTCGCCTGCAAGTAGTACTGCTCCCCCTATGATGCCGTCGTCGACGGCCTTGGCGAGCTCGGCATCAAACGCCGGCTTGAGGCTGCTGGATGCCATCTTGCTGTTTGTGGGTTCGTATGTCGGCTCTCTCACTCTTGTCTAGGCAGCTATGGTGTGGTCTACGTAGGTAATAATCAGCTGCGTTCTGGTCAATCTCATATCATGATTTATCTGAGAGGGGTGTGCCAGCGGGGCAAAGACAAAGACGTTGACATACATACGTAAGTAGTTTCGCAAGCAAAGGGGAGAACAGAAAGTGGGCACACGGTTAGGCTGGGGGGCGCACCAAATCGGCTGAGCCCACTTATATATACTAGACCACTGTCTGTTTCCTCCCTAATACATAACATTCCTCCCAACAAAAGAGAGCAGGGTAGGACAACCAGGCGGCTTCGTTCATTAATCTACCCCCCGGCCGGGCGGGCTCCCCTCAGCTGTCCCGCGAGGTGGGATGCTCCAGTCCTTTCCATGACATTTAACAAAAAAAGAAACCTCTTTCGTCACTTTTTTTGCCAAGGTTCCCTTCAAAGCAGCCTGCATTACATACATAACCGAATCAAGACTCCCAAAAGCAAATCATCAGCTCTCCCAATCCGTTTCTGTCGATCCATCCTCAGTGGGAAAGTCGGGTGAGTGGAGGGGGGGAAGCTGCTCGGCAAGGGAGGTGAGGGATGCGGGGTTGCGCGATGTGATGTAATGAGAGAGAGAGAGTTGCACGAACGACGACGGGGCCGCTCGCAGTTTTCGACACTTGGAGATTGGGGGTAGCGGCAGATGATAGCCGTCCCGTCCCGTCCCCACCCGTCCATCCGTCTGTCTAAAGACTGTGGGAGTAGACTCGAGATGTGAAAGCAAAGATGGACAGAGGGCGAGACTTGTCACGCCATCTACTTAACGAAAGAGGGGCGACAATACATTCGTTCGTCTCGTACCATTTATTTCTCGTATAATGCACACACTGGAAACTACTAATTACCACCTCCCAAGGTAGCTCTAGTGCTTTAACTACCCTCGGGATGTACAGTTCACGATCAAATAGATGCCATTCATGTCCCCAATCTTCCGCCAAGCATTGGGAGGATATGGGCTGACTGAAGCAATGGATGCAGGGATAAGTTCGGAGTACGGATAAGATAAGCAAACAAGAAAGAAAAACCCCCCCATTTCGCTCCGTCCACCCCTAAATGTGTTGTGACAGCGAAAACAGGGCCATTTCCCACGCGACCAATTATTAACTATCATCCGTAATGTAGTACAAAAAAAGATAAAAGTAAAAGTAAAAAAACTCGAAAACGTAAACGCGGCTTAACGTGGCATGGAGGGCCAATAAAAAAGGGACTGGGGAGTAAAAGAGAACAAGAAAAGGAACAGGGGGAGGAGTGGCAGCAAAAATGACATGTCAAAAGCCAAAGTAAGAAAAAGGGGGTTTGTTTTGGTGGTAGCGTGCAGCTATATTGATTCGCCTCTCCTGTCATTTATGTTCATCATCACCATCACCATCACCATCACCTTCATCTTCATCTTGTTAGTACTAGATCTTTAATATAATATCCCATCTTTGAACCAGATAAGATACCCTACCCTACCCTGCCCTACTCATTTGATTTCCTTGCTCCTCCTCCCATCCGTTCACCCCATCGTTGTTTGCTTGCTTGGTTCGAGAACAAAACACCCTTGACCTGCTATCCATCTGCATCCATATCCATATCCGTATCCCTCTCGCAGTTATACAGAACAGACAGAACAGACACGCCCAGCCAGTCGGGCCTGCTTTGCACACGATAGACGGACCATACAACAACAAGAACAACAACAAAAACAGACCATCGCCACCCCTATACTGCAACACAGACACAATGTTTTTTTGCATCTGTTTCAATCATACAGAGACACACGCACGCACAACGCGCCGCCTACCTATCCTAGCCTAACAAAGAAAGAACAAAACAAAAAAAAAATTTAAAAGGCTTAACAAGGTCCATTACGCACCACAATGCCGCCCCACATCATTCACCCCCCTTCAATCACACTACGGGCAGCCCGTCCCCGTCATCGGCCCCTGCTTCTCCCGAGGGCGGGTCGGCCGAGACGATGCCGTTCTGCCTCTCCCAGACCTCCCTACGGATGCGGTCGTCCTTTGCCTTGCGGGCGCGCTCGACCTCCTCGAAGCCGCCCGACTTTTTGAGCTTGCCCTCGCCGACAAAGTTTGTGAGCTCCATGGTGAGGGGGTTGTCGCGGCGGCTCTCGAGCTCCTTGTGGCGGAGCTTCTCGGCGCGCTCGATGGCCTCGAGCCGGTCTTCGTGGTTTGGCTGGAGGGCGCGGACCTCGCCGAGGACGCCCTCCTTTGCGGCGCCGGGGTCCGCGAGGCTGGCCGACTTGCTGACGAGGCTGTTGAGGCCCTTGCTGAACTGGCGGAGGCTGACGGTGGGCGCCGAGCCGTCGGCACCAGCGTCCTTCATCTGCTCCTTGGTGGCCTGCTCGACGAGGGCGAACGTCTCGGACGCCTTTTCGAGGTCGTCGCGCAGGTCCACCATGAGGTCCTCCATCACGCGAAGCTCGTCGCGGCCCTGGCACACGTCCTCGAGCTCCTTCTCCCAGATCTTGGTCCACAGCGGCTTCTCCTGCTTCATGTAGTCCTCCATCGTCTTGAGCTCCTTGCTGAGCAGCGTAATGTCCTTGGTGACGTCCTCGAGCTGCCTAGGAAGGGGCCGCACGCCCCGGTGCACCACGTCCTTGCGGAGGTCTTCGACCAGGTCCTGTAGGTCGTCCACCTTGTTGACCAACCGGTCGCTGTCCACGTTCAGCTGCTTGCGGCCCTTGATGACGTAGGCCTGACCCGAGGCGCCCTCGACGCCCGGCACCGCCGCCTTGGCAGCCGCCTTCTTGACATTGTTGGCCTTGTTTCGGAGCGCCGACATGGAGCCCTCCACCTCGGACTGGAAGTTGGAGTAGGTCTGGCGGAGCACCGCCAGGTCTCGCCGCAGGTTCTGGATTTCCGACACCTGGCCAGGGTTGAACTTGCGCATCGTGGCAGGCCCGGCTGACCTCGGCGAGTCGGCAGGCGGCGTTAGGATCGAAGGAGGCGCCGCCGCTAGTCGCGCCACATCCTTGGCCGTCTCCTGCTGGCGCTCGGATACTCTCTGGATGGCAGCACCGTGCTCGTCAATGTTCTGCTTGACCTGCTGCACAATCTTGGTGAGCGAGCCAAGCCCCTCGTCGATGTGCTTCTTCACCTCGTCCAGCGGCTCGACATTGAGCACCAGGACGGTACGGTCTTTGATGTCTGACAGGTCTTCGAGCTCGTGGCGCACGCCCGACACAGGATCTTGGATGTATATATCGGGCAGGTCAGCCCCGTTCTGCTGAGTATTCCACGAGAACTTCTCGATAAAGGCGAGCTGCAAGCGGCCTATCGACAGCTCCTCGTAGCCTTCTGGAAGCACAAACTTCTTGACTTTTGATTTATACTGTAAGAAGAGGGTCAACTCTTTGGTCGTCGGGGGTGGCGAGTTTTCCAGCATGAACGAGCTCGGGAGCTGCTTATCGGGTGTTTCTGCACGTGCGGGAGGCGCTGCAGCCTTTGGTGCGGCAGCCTTTGGTGGCCTTGTGGTCTCTTCCAAGTCGCCCAGATTAATCATCGGTATAGGTTCAAGTGTTGGGGGCCCCTTTAGAGTCGCGGTCGGCTTGAAGTAGCTTTCTTCTGGCGACTCTATCGTGGGCGTCTGGCCAGAGGCAGGAAGCTCGGCGGGACCCTCTTCAGGCTCCTCTGAGACTCGACTGGGGACTCGCACGGGCGAGGAATCTCCAGCGGTCTTGGACTGGCTCGAGACGTTGCGTTTGTGGCGAACATTTTCCCTTGTCTGCATCGCGCGCATGGATTCTCTGACTTCGCCTCGCCCGCGGTTGGGTATTGGCGTTGTCTGCGGCGGGAGCATAGGTATAGGGGCACCCTGCGCCCCCAGGTGCTTGGATATCTGGTAGGCCGAGTATCTTCGGGACGCCCGTCTTTCCAGATCTCCGCCGCGTTGGAGAGCCGCCAGTGCGCTCTGTTGCGACTTTGGCGGCGGGGGCGGTGGAGGAAAGTTGTCGAGGTCGCCGTTCACCGGGCCGTTCGGCATCAAGGTCTCGTCGCCTGGATATGGGGGGAGCACGGGTATGTTTTGCATCGTCGTACTGGAGATACTGGACTGCTCCGAGTTGACAGAGCCACGCGACTGTTCCCGCTGAGCCTGAAAGCGCCTTGTCGGCGAGGCATTTGCAGTACTGTTCCGCGCGTCATCCCTTACCGCGTCGGCCCGGTACCCGTTTTCCAGGCCTTCGTTTAACAGATTTGTGAGTCCCGAATTAACACTCCCCATGGTGCTGGTGCTCGTCGTCCGGCTGGGGCCAGCAGCACTGCTGCTGGCGGCAGCGTTCGCTGGGACTTGATCAGGGACCCCATTCTCCTTGTCTCTCGCCTGCTTTTGCCTGAGTTTTTGTTGTTTCCTTTTCAGCCCATGCAACAGACTTATTATGATGTCGCGTATTTTGGGGAGGTATTTCTCGAGGCTCTCGACACTGGCTTCCTGGCTCAGTGTAGACTCTAGGATGTTCCTCAGCAGCTCCGGCACGTTGCCCAAGTCGGACGTGTCGACGTTGATGGCGGCGAAGGCGCGGCATGCCATGTTGAACTCATAGCCCAGGCGGACGTAGACGTCGGACACCTGGGTGTCGGTCGCGTTGCCGCGCGACCATTGCGTGAGCGTCTCGAGCAGCTGCTTAGTGGCGACGAGGAGGTGCGTTACGCTCTTTTCGATCTGCGAGAGCGGGACAGCAGAGCCGCCCGAAGACTTTTTAGACGAAACCATGGTCAGCATGTAGTGGGGGAGGGGATCGCAAGCGGTGCCCCGGGGAGCAGGATTTGGCAGCAAGGAAAGCAAGAAGAGGGCGAGGTGTGGCAGTCGTCTGTGGGCAGATGATGCGCGGCAGGTAGTCGACGCATGAAGCAGCCCGCCTAATCGGGACGTGCATCAAGGTGGCAGCGAAACAGGCACGGAAACGGAAACAAGGCATTGGCGACGTGGGAAACCGGAAGATATCCACCAAGTGCAGCTGGTGCTTTCTGAGTGGAGGGCAGCAAAGTCAGACTCACGTTGGTCCGCCGCGTGTTGGCGCTCCCGCCGGCGCCTCCTCCGCTCGCGACTGGCTGGGCCGATCTTGTCGAGGGCGCCGACGAGCGAGGCCCTGGAACGTTGGTGCCGACGCCGACGCCGACGGCGGGCGACATGGACCGCGGTGGAATGTTGGGCGGTGGGCCGGGTTCGGCTCCCGGCGAGCGTCGTTGTATGGATCGAGATGGGCCCGGCGGGGCATTCATGTCGGGCGACGACAACCGCGACGGGGGGCTTTCGAGCCTCGATGGGTCGATAGCTGTATACGGGTAGCCAGAGGTGGAAGGAAAGGTGCGCCCGGCTTGTTCGAATACGGCAAACCTCAGCTAGAAAAGGTAGATACCGTAGCTAAGGTCGGGTACCACTATAGAGGGATTTCGTTGTGGCTTGTTGGGGGGAAATGGCCTAGCGGCCTCGGTCGGGCGCCGTGCAAGGTCAAGTGTCGATGCTGGGGCGTCGGGGTGGCGTGCGGGACCCGGGCTCGCGGTGATGTGATGTGATGCTTGTGACGAAGCGCCGACTCTTGACGATGCAGATTGCAGATGGCAATTCTCTGGCGTCGAAGCGCCTCGAGTTGGGTGACCCGGTCGGGTGCGAACGAAGTGTCACCATTCGTCCATGCCGCAAAGTCTCCACTTCGAGTTGCTTCCCAGCCAGCTGCTGCCAGCCCCGACCAGAGAGTCCCAAAAAGTCACAGGCCGCGCTAAACCGTAACTGTCAGGCCGTTCTGCAAGGACAGGGGCTGGACACGGGCCTAGCGTGTCCTAATTGAAAGTCGCAAGAGTTCCTGAACTCGACAACTTGACGTGAATCTCTTCAATTTTTCCATACTCGATCAACTACGGTCGCTTTTGTCTGACGACAGCAGTGGCTCAGTTGCCCCAGCGCCGAATCCTAGCATCTCACTACGTGTCCAAGGTACCTTGGTCACCAGGTGCGCATTTGCCATTGGCGTTACTCCGTATTCGGTCAAGTTACCAAAAGACCTTCGCAGCCTTTTCTCATCAACAGGTGCATCTATGGTGCGAGCAGCCTGCGGATTGAAAAAGGTGAGATAGGTAAAGTAATCCACAGAGAACGACCCTATTGGGTGTTTCGAAACGGCCTCTGAGCTCCAACAAGCGCGATTCCACAATGTCATCGTCTCCTTTTCTTGGGCGTGCGACGAGAGTGGAGTTTTGAGAAGCTTGTCATGCTGTGCCGGGAAACAATGAGACTGAGACACGAGCGTTGGAGGGTTTCGAGAACCAACAACACCCGCCCATTTCGCTGGCTGTGTATCACGGGTTTCATGGAATTGAGCGAATACGCAGATCAATGCCGCCCGGTTCCTAGGCAAAAATTAAGAGATTTGAGATTTCATAGTCTGTCGCAATCCAGCCGCCTTTCAGGCTGCAAATCGACGTTTCAAAGACTGAACCTAGTACTTTAGGATACTAATAAGCTGTCCTGGCCACGAGAAAGTCAAAGATAAGGCAAGTAAAATGTATGGACCTTAGTGCCCGTGGGAAGGAAAGGTCATCGTTGGCTATCATCGCTGCTCGTAGTTTCAGGAGTTGCCAGTCGAACACTGAGGAATCTATTGGTAAGTATGGCATTCAGCAGAGAACTAGAAATGCCAGAGACTCTTGTCCGCAGCAGCAAAGAAAACAACACTCTCAATCGGCCACTCTGTCGAAACATGAAGATGGGATGTCGCAATCGTCAATAGCTTGGCGGGAGGAGCGAGCAACAGCAGAGCCCCAGTCCAATGGCTCAGCTCAGCTCAGCTCCAGCTTCGTCCATCCATCCATCCATCCATCCATGCCATTTGATTTAAGCATTCCTTTTTAATGGGGAGATTTGCAGCAAGCCACGGCCCACCCCGATGCCTCACCCGCAAAAGCACGTTGCCGTCGCTGCGGCCAATCGCCTGGACGGAAGCTCGGGGGGGCAAGCAGGTGCGGCTTGCCGTAGCGGCTTAGCGTGGGGTCGTGAACTGTGTGACGGATCTATGGCCTGCAGCGCGGCAGTACCTCAGTGCGCTGAAGCTCTGAACCTCTGTGCGTCCCACTGTGCGGCCAGGGGCCTAGGCCGAAGCGCGAGTCCCGCCGCCCACGCGCCCGCAGCGCTCCTAATTCCGCGGGCCATGCTCCGGGTCGTGATTCGGGTCCCTGCTGAAAGAGAAAACCACAGGAAGAGATTACGTGTCGACGCCACAGACAAGGCTTTTTTTTTTTTCCCTCGCCCGCGTCCCCACGTGCGACAATACTGTAATGTGCAAGGCAAATTATTGTCCCCCGGGAGACGAGCGGTGCCGTCCCCGGCGGCTTTTTCTTTAAAGGGGAAGACTTCTCGCGTTTTCTCTCGTGTTTTGGCTCGTCTCTGTCATTCCGTATCACTCCAAAGCTTCCAAAAAGACTCATCTGCAACAAGTAACTACCCTCGCCAATACAATACCCCCCCCCCCCCCCCCCCCCAAAAAAAAAAATTATCCGAAAAGCTCTCGACCTTCAAGATGCAAATCAAGACCTCACTCCTTCTCTCGGCCTTGCTCGGCTTGGGCATGGCCAAGGACGTCGTCAGCACCAGCAGCCTCCCAACAGGAACGGCTACAGCCCTTGCGCTCTCGTCGGCATCATCTTCTGCCTCCACCACTTTTTCCAGGGCTTCCAACTCCACAACCCTGATCAGGAGCGTCTTCAGCAACAGCACCATCACGACTAGGTACAGCAACAGCACCACCACCAGCAGTACGCCGGCCACAATCTCGGTCGGGCCCACCACCACGCCCGCCCTGCCTCCCACCACCACCTCGGCCGCTGCCACAACTACCAGGTCGAGCGGAGCCGGTCGGTCCGACTTCGGAGTCGCTATCCTCGGCCTCGCCATGGCTGCCAACCTAGCCATCTAGGGTGGTCAATTCCAGGTGAAGAAAGGGACGGGGTGGTGTTTGTGCATTGCGAGCCACTGGGCTGCCGGGGGGAACCGAGAATCTTTTCTCCCTCTGGGCGCATTGTTGAACGGGATATAAACATGACATGTTGAATATAGAGATGCCGAGAAGTTGAACTGGCATCCCTCACCTATACATACCAACCAAATAATTAGTAATATCAAGTGGCCAATGCTGCCAAGCAGTATAGCCACTGTCAGAGTTTGATCCAGACCTGGAAATACAAACCCATAATAACAAAGTCAAGGCCCAAAGGCATCTCTCTTCGTGAGGTGTCATGGTTGGCCAGCCATCGATAGGTATGGCGCAGCAGTTGTCATTTGAAGTATCCCATCAAGTCCAGATCCCTCCCCGAGGTGGTGTTGGTTGATTCATGCTCAGATGTTGTAGCGCAGTGGTCCAGGCATCCAATGGAGTCGCTGGTCGAGGTCTGAATTCTGGATAAGCTTCCTAGTGGTCTGCGGTTGTCGCCGGTTGACCCTCGTAAAGTAAGTATGCGTGAGTTTCGGCTCAGCTGTCCCAGACTTGGGCAAATAGATGGACATAGGAATGCCGTCGGCGGCGCCGGCGGACATGCGAGAGCTCTTGGCTCTGGCTGGTAATGTGCGATGTGTCGCAATGCATCACGCGTCGTATATTGGAATTTTGTGAGTAAAGAGGTAAAGGGGCTTATCAGTGAGACGACTGACATTCATGTGGCGATGAATTTTGTGTCGCGGGGATTCTGGTTCTGATTTAGATCCGATAGAAATCTTCGGGTCCTGATAACCCCCGATGTCGACCGTTGTGTTGACCCGTTCTAGGTATTATGTAGGCTATTACTTGGCATTTAATTCCCGGTTTTGGGGCCGATAGGCGTTCGGGCCGGAATGAAACCCACGGAGTACGCTCTTCTTTCGTCGTACAGCGCATTCTTTAGATTCCAGAGCGTACAACCAGCCCTGAGCAAGTCCTTGTCCGGGATATTTGCCGAAACCGGTGCCGATTGCTGACGCAATTCGCTACGTTTGTGTCCAACTTTCGTAAGGCCGAGGCTCAGACCATTTTCTTTGCATCAGACGAGGCGGCCGCCGACCTACCCTCCGGGCATGATTCAAAACCGACAGCCGCTCTGTCCTAGATGGCTTGATAATAACAGGAAAGAGCTCAAGAAGTATAAGATGACTATCGGCGCCATCATCGAGAGGATGGATAGGGACATGACAGTTCGCAGTCAGCGCAGGCATCTTCATCACAACGACACTCACACAAGCTCCTTGTTTCTTAGCCATCTCTTACCAAACATCTATCCGGTTAAAGTCTTGCTTGCCACCTACAATCATGGACAAGACGACAGGAAAGACAACGGAACAGTCCCCTCCTAAAATCGCCATCATCGGGGCTGGACCGGCAGGGTGTATGCTCGCTCGGCTGCTGCACCTGGCAGGAATCCCCGTGACCGTCTTTGAGGGCGAGGCGTCGCCGAACTACCGATCACAGGGCGGCACGCTAGACCTGCACACGCACACGGGCATTGCGGCACTCAAGCAGGCCGGGCTATTCGACAAGTTCCTGGAGAAGGCGCGGTACGACGGAGACTTCTTGCAGATCACGGACAAGAACCTGAAGGTTTTGATCAAGCGAGCCGGGTCGCCGGCACCCAAGGAGTCTTCTGACCCCGAGAAAGACCCCTCGACGCGCCGCCGCCTCGCCGAGCAGCGTCCCGAGATCGACCGCGCTGATCTCCGACGGATTCTTACCGAGAGCTTGCCCGATGGCACGATCAAGTGGGGCTACCACCTGAAGCAGCTGAACCTGGGAAGCGACAGCCGCAGCAACGCCCTAGTCTTTGAAAAGAACAGCGAGATTGAGACAGAGCGAGGGTTCAATCTCGTCATCGGCGCCGACGGAGCCTGGAGCAAGGTTCGCGGAGCGCTCAGCGATCAGCGGCCCGAGTATGCCGGGGTGGGAATGATTGAGATGAGCATCCCGGAGCCAGCTACGCGGGCCCCCGAGCTTTATGCGACGGTGAACCGCGGCAACCTGTTCGGACAGGGCGAGGGGAAGCGGCTAGTGGTCCAGCAGATGGGCGACGGCACCTTGACAGTACACATCGGCTTCGCGACAGCCGACGAGCACTGGACTGACTCGTGCGGTTACGATGCCACGGACCTAGCGCAGACGCAGGCCGCCCTGCTTAGACAGCCTGATGGCCTGTTCGCCGACTGGCATTCCATGTTCCACCAGGCAGTCCTCCGCGCCGAGACCAAGTGCATCCCACGCACGCTGCACAAGCTCCCCGTAGGATTCCGCTGGGGACACCGCCGCGGCGTCACGCTTGTTGGCGATGCCGCCCATTTGATGACGCCCTTCGCCGGCGAGGGAGTCAACGTCGCACTCGAGGACGCCCTACGGCTGGCGCGGGGCATCATCGGTGCTGTTGAGGGAGGTGCCGATGATGGGCTCGACCGCGGCGTTGTCGCCTTTGAAGAAGAGATGTGGGCCCGTGCTGAGAAAGTTGCCCGGCTGACGGACCAGCTGACAAACATTTGGATGTTCTCGAAGGGAGATCCGCGAAGTTTCATCCCCAAGGCGATGGCTCTACACCTCAAGTTCCGGATCCCAGGCTTCTTGCATCCACTGGCCTCTCCTTTCACTCACTCCTATTTCTTTCTCAAGAACAGTTTCCAGCGTTGAGCGGTGTGCTACGGCATAGCAAGCCCTGGTGTGAATTGGAAGTAGAATGGGAGAACGGATGATATTGCAGAGCCAACCTTTTCTGATGTGTAGATTGTGCTTATTCGAGTTAGTAGAGTTAGCCCCCGAATACCCTCCCCTGTGTTTCTTTTAGGATAGCATTTTCCATTCCTTTGCGGAATTAAGTCAAGGTTTCCGTCGATCACGCTCTATCGAGACACCATCTTTGATGCAAGATGTACTTATGCCGATGCAGTGCAGTCGGCAATTTGGCGTCATGCAACTGCAAAACCGGCGGCAGGAACGAGGACCTCGATCCTTCCTGATCGGGTCTTGGCAGATTTTCGGCTATGTGTCGATCTCCCGCTATGCTGGTGGTGGTGGTTCCCGCTGTGCTGGTGGTGGTGGTTCTTGCCTGGGCCAGACTGGGCACACAATGCTCTTTCTCCGCCAACTACCTGCCAGCCTGGCCAAGGCAGGGCATGCACGCTCGCGCGGTGGGAAACCTGCGGACAAAGAGGGATAGCCATGGACCGCTCCCTGTCCACCACATAAAGAGACATAAAACTCTATCAGAGGAGCTGTCGACATGACATCACTGTGAAATAGCCTGCAAATTAGTCAACCCGCCCCTGTAGGCCCATCCCCTTCAAAGAGCTCTAGGTTGAGCTTTGGAGAGCTCTTTCCCCGCCTGCTCAGGGTCCATTCGTTCATCGCCAGATGGTTCACAGTGGAGTGCCGGCGCTGAAGGGCGGGGCACTGTTTGTCACGAGAACCTGAGCCGGCTTTTGGTTCCTAGTGCGGCACAATTCGAGCTGCGGGAAGAAATTCTCCGACTCGCCTTTCCAGGTTCCTGGTTATTACCGTAGGCGGCCGATCCGTTTGCTGCAATGCGGCCGATAGCTTACACTGCAGAGTAGCTGAACAGCCTCAATGTTGCTGACAGACTCAGAGATGACAGCCGTGGGCTAAGGGATGCCTGAGATGCGACTGTGGAGCTATGTCCATCAGGGGAGGGGGCAGCTGGAGTCTGGAGAAGACGAAAATGGGGACCCTTCTTCTTGTTTGCGCTTACGAACCTTGAAGTTTGGCTGTGGTTGCGGACTATTACTCATGCCAGTGGGAGAGCTGCAGCTGCGGGCTTTGAGACTGCAGGCAGCTAAGGTAGCTGCAGGTAAGAGACCTGAGAGTAAGCTATCCAGGTAATTTGTCGCTTCAGCTCATCAGGATATCAAGTTGTGGGGACCTCGTGCATCACCGTCTGCCAGCTTTAAAAACCTGAAACCGCCCCCAGGTATTACCAGGCACCAGGATCCACTGCTTAGCCATGGACCTCCTGGACTAGTGCCGGTGTCTGATGAAGAATGATGCCACCAAGAAGGCAGAGGACCCGGGTCGAGTCGCACCACCAACAATCCGGCAAACCTTTGTGATATCTCTTCAACCATACAGCATTTGGCCTTTCTGGCCCCTCAGACCACTTTCCGCAACGCTGTGTTCATTGCTGGACACAGCAGATTTTGCCCGGTAGAGATTAGAGCAACAGCAAACACACCTCGTTACATCGGCCAGCCCAATTCTGACTTTTACGCCGTTCCATAGCAGTAGAAAACTGTTGAATAATATTTACAAAGGACCCTCAGAAATTTCCGGGGATGGCCCCGACCTAACATGGAACCCTGAGGGCGGCGTTCAGCCCCCTAAAATGCCCTGCAATTGCAAGCAGTCGCAGGGTCGAAGGCATGGAATCGGAAGCTGCACACGCCTTAGGGGAAGTAAATTAAATATAATCAGCTATATATACTATACATAGCACACGCCTACCTTGTTCAGGAACGAGGTGGACAGAATTTAGGCACTCTTTCAATGTATTGTGAACTCGCTAACCAACGTGGAAGCTTCCGCCCTCCCGTCGAGATCTGCGGAGACCTGAATCACAGAGAGGCGACTACGTGGAGTAATAGAGATCCGCAGAACATGGTTTCCAACTGGCAGCCATGCGGACGTTTATACTGCTTCGAAACAATAGCGACCTTACTCTTACTCGGCGTCTTGAATTGAGGGAACACAACAACATGCAACAAGTAGTATTACAGATAGTTGAGTCCCTCCTTTGGCATCAGATCACGTTCCAAGATAAGGTATCGGCGCCTGACATTAGTATGAACAGTCCATCCCGAAATCCAAAATGCATCGGGCTGAGCGAGGTCACGTGCAGAACTGGCGATCCTTGCGCGCCAAGACTGGCTTTGCTAGAATCGGCGCTAGCGGGGGCTGCCCTGCACTTGCCCATTTCCGCGAGACCATATTGTTACCAACAAAAATCTCGACGTCGGTCTCTGGCGAAAGCTCCTGCTTCTGTCGCCGAACCTCCTCCTCCATCAAAGGTTCAGAGGAGCCAGCATTGGTTCGCTAGGGGGCCGTTTTTCGCTGGTTTTTCTTCGTAGCCTCTACGACATTTTCCTCGAGCGACGGGTTTTTTCCCCCCAGTCCACCTCTCCGACCCCCGCGCTGTCTGCCGGTTCGTGCCTCCCTTCTCGACGTTTAGCAGCTGCCCATCGATCTCGCTCTCCTTCCCCGCCCAAAACCCAACCTGCGAGGCCTTCAACCGGAGCTGCGAGAAACAAGGTTCCAAAAAGCAAGCGAAGCCCGACCGGACCTGCTCTTGGTTGCATCGTGTTTGCTGTCGCCTATTGCCAATTCCCTTCCGAATCACCCTGTCCCGCTGGTGGGACCTAATATTCGAGCCCCAAGCGTCCCAAATATCCCGAGCCAGCGACCGAGTCCACGTCAAACTTCCACCTGTGTGTGGATCAAAGAGAAGAAGCAGTCGATGCGCCTTTTTATTACACTTTCGAGCACGGATCCCGTTTATTTCCGTTTGACGAAGCTCCCTGTTACATCTCAGGGTTTTTTGTCTCTTCGGCATCCCGCGCAGCCTCCAGCGGCCAGCGGCGACGAAGCCCAGCCAAAAATCGTAGCGTGGCAGGCCGCTGTTACTGGACCCTCGGGCCTATGCTAGTCGATCTTCTCGCAAGTGCACACCCGCCTCACCCATTCAGTCAGGTCGCACGGCTCGGCGCTCTGATTCGCCCAATTCGTGCAAACACCTTGTCTGCCGCTCCCGCCCTCTCCCGCTCGTAACCCTCTTTCCCCCAAACTTCGCAAAGGTGCGACCAGCGCCACTGGCACCACACAGGAACTATGGAAGACCGACTGTCGAACTCAAAACTCACCGTCTCCTCTCCAACAGGCCAATCTCCCACACCCGACATCAAGTCGCCCACCTCTCGACCCTTGTACAGCAGCAAGCTTGGCGACCAAAGAGGGAGAGCGTCAGAGGCGGCCACGTCTAATCCAACGACGAGGTAAGACACGAGCCACTTTCCATGCATCCCCAAACTTTTTTATCGGAGCCTCACGTCGCCTGCCGACACAAAGAGGCCCTCCTCCCTTTGCTGCTTTTGTTCCCCAGTCTTTTTTCAAGACAGCATTCATTCAGGGCCCTGCGCCATCATTGGACGTCCACAATCGTCCCTAGTCCCTGGTTCCCACCCCGCTGCGTTGCGGAGAAGCTCGTATCAATCCGCTGATGCCCCCATAGACAGCCTCCTGTCCAGCAGAAGGCTTGGACATCCGCCAAGAACCCTATCACGGGTCGATCGCAAACCCCCCAAGCCAATTTCAATTCACAGAACAAGCAGTCGGTGCCAAGCTCTTTCCGCGAGGTATGTCAATTTGGTGTTTCCTTGCTCCTTGCCGTCGTCCACACTATAGGTTCCGGCACGTGCGCTCGCATGGCGCGTGTCTCAGAGCCTCCATTTTGATTGCCGTCGAGGCACCTATTCACATTGGCCGCTTAAATACAAAGACTAAAATTCGTGGCTTCGTCACAGGGCCAGCGAATTAAGATCACGCTTGCTACGGGCGCTGAGTTCGAGGGCAACTTCAGTAGCTCAGACTCAACGACTTATCGACTCACCATGGTGACTCAGAAAAAGATCCCCAACGGAGGTGAAATCGCCAATGGTGCTGGCCGAAAGGAACAGCTCGGTATGACTTTCCAGCGAAAGGAGATAACCGATGCTCGTGTGGTATCTGGCAACACTGGTAAGAGTGACGGGAAAGCTTTCAATGGTATGGTCTAAGTGGGTTTACCTGGTTGAAATTCTTATCTAACATCTTCAAGGCAACCGGTCCTCGTTTCGAACCGATAGCGCAATCTCAAATGTACGGATTGGCAGCACCGATCGAGTCCTAAAGCCATGGGTCCCAGATGCTGGTTCCCAGATTGACGAGAGCCTGGAGAAGTCAGCAACTACCGGAAAGCCATGGAATCAATTCGAGGAGAACGAGCGACTCTTTGGAGTTCACACGGACTACGACGAGTCAATTTATACCTCGGCAATCAATAAGCAACACCCGGAGTACAAGGAGCGAATGGCGATGGCTGATAGGATAACACGCGAAATTCAGCAGACCGCCCCTGCCACATCGCATGTTGCCGAAGAGCGTGTTATGGACTTTTCTGGTGGGGGTGAGGATCAGGGGGACGAGGAAGCAAAGTAAGCCACAGAGTTACGGAGGAAATTTTGGACAAACTAACGCCTCGACAGGTACAGTGGAGTACGACGTCAGGACTTCCCCCCCTTGTCGACCCGAGAAACCAACAAACATATTTACACCCCTCCGGCTCGACGTGCCCCCACTGGCCAAGCGACCGTCAAGGGCGCCCCTGTAGATCCAGCTATCATCTCCTCGCAGTTGAAGATCGCCCCTACCCCGAAGCTGCCAACTCCCAAGGTCGGCGAGACCAATAGTTCCCCCCAGCCTGACAAGACTCGGACCTCGCCAGTTGCACAGAGCACTCCGGTCGAGCCTAAGGCAGAGAAGCAGACCAGCGAGGAAAAGGCTCTCGAGGACAAGAAAGAAGTCAAGCCCTCTGAGCAGGTGCCTGAGAAGCCCCCAACGTCGGCACGTCCATCCGCTGCTACCAGTCGTACTACCACTAAGGACAGCGCCCCGAACGCTACCGCTACCGTTGAGCAAGATGTCTTGGCTTCGTTCAAGTCTTTTGCGACACGTGAAAGAAACATGCAGGAATACAAGCGAATGGGCAAGGCCAGGGCAGACAAAGAGGTAAAACTGATCGAACTGAAGAAATTTTCAACCAGTTTCAAGTTATCAACGCCTGTGCCTAAAGATCTGATCTCGATCATCGCCAAAGATCCCGCCAAGCAGAAGCAAATTCAGGAGAAGGCTCTGCAAAATGCCGAGGAGATGGCGAAGGTGAGGGCTTCTGTCGATACATCCGTCCCGCAGAAGGACACCCCGGCGGCAATAAAGGAAAGCCAGCCCAAGACTACGGCTGAGCAATCGACGCCCTTGGCGGTTCCTGCGTCGGTTGAGTCTCGAACTACTTCGCGTCCAACTGCGCCGCAACATTCGTCCTCGCAACCCGGCGTTCCGAGCCGCCATCCGGGCGGCCGTGCCTCGTACAACAACCAGCCTCACTATCAATACAACAGAAATGGTCGCACCCTGCCGCATATGGCGCCCCAGAACCAACAAACTGGCAATCTTGCCCAACGGCTCCGCACTGTTGAGCAACAGAAGCTGCAACACCCGCACATGGGCCAACATGCTCCTCTCCAAGACATACGGCTTCCTCCCACAGGCCCGGCTAATTCTGTTGACGCGTCATACGGACGCCGGATTAGCGGCGCTCCGTCGTCCTACTTGGGACCAAAACTAAACCCCAACAGCCACGAGTTTAGACCTAACTCGTTTGCGACGTCGACTACATTTAACCCATCAGCTGTCAGCCAGAGCTCTAGCCCTCGCTCCTCGGTGAACAACATTGTCGAGGCTACACTTGCTCCTACTCCGGTTGCTGGCCAGTTAATTCGGCGCAAGACCAAGGCAGTTGATGTGAAGAAATGCTTTATCCTTTCCCATATCCAGACAATCCAGCCTCCTCCGCCGCGTAACTGGGATGATAATGACGGCATCAGACCACCTTACGAGACGATTCCGACTTGGCGTCAGCTACAGGACGAGACGGAGAGTCCCGACTCTACGATGCACCTAACCTACAAGAAATACTTTGAACGGTCAATGTCGAACGCCCCGACGGCTACGCCCAATCCCTCGCACGTTATGCCCCAGATACCGCACCCTCATCACCCCCAAATCCCGTTTCATTTGCAACTCGGCGCGCAGAACTTGGCACCTAGACAGTCGCCCCACATGCCGCCGATGCAGATGCATAATGGCCAGCACGGGCATGTCCACGTTCCTTTCAGCAACTCGGATGATCATAGGATGATGCATTCAAATTCGGCACAGTCGTTTGCCTCGCCCAGGATGACGCAGATTACCATGGCTTATGCACCGGCCTTGAACGCGCCGGCGCAGATTCCCTACAGCCAGCCAGTAATGCAGCCGTACATGAACCCTGGGGCTCCTCAGATGGGCTTCCGCAGCTTCTCTAACAACCCACAATTCCTACCGCAACAGCAGCCCCATCACATGGCGGCTCAGATGATGGTTCAGCCGCAGTATATGACAGCACCGAATGGCATGGTGGCGGCTGGACCTCAAGTTCCAATGTATCCTGGCCCGCCGTTCATGCCTCCTGGCGCCGTCCCGCCACAGTCAATGGCAGGCTCTATGGCAGGCTCGACGGGATTTCCCAGCCCAGGCCGGCCGGCAGCAACCATGATGGTTCATCAAGGCTCCCACCAAGGACAGGCGCCCGTCTATGGAATGAGTCCCGGGATGCAATATCAGCAACCGGCGTACGCGCAGCAACCTCAGGGCAAGTTCTCTGGCCAGCGGCCTCAGTGAGCGAGTGAAGTCGGGGCACTCGCTACGTGTGGCAATGCCGACATTCAACTCTGTTGTGACACCTACTCTTTCAAGCCTGGCCGCGACTTGGAGCTTAGCGAGGTACCCATCATCATCAACTAGATGGTGGAAAAGTCTAAGCAATAGTCATATTGAGCCAAATCAATGGCTCCGCTACGCAGAATGAGAGATAGAGGATAGGGTGGGAGGGTGGAGAGAAAAGCAAAGGTAGGAGGAAATCATTGCTAGCTTTGATGGAAGCTTTACAAACTTTTGACATTATTCCGTAGCCGTCCTGACTACTCGTGTGTCTGACTTGTTCGCCATGTCGGAGCGGTCTGTCGCGCGCGACACGGGTACAAGGGGGATGCTGGGTTAGTGGTTGCGGCGGCCAGGGTAGCAGACGCCAGGGTGGATATGAAGCGAAGGGTTGCAATGAATATGGTAGTATCCATTGATGTCAGATGTAGTTATGAGTGAGATGGAAGGCGGAGGAAGAGCCGGGCGATGAAAGCTGGCTATGGAGGGAAAAATTACAATGTGTCTACCACCCTAGCTAAACGAGTTTCGGCGGGGAACCGTGACTTTGTGGCCGATGGGGAAGCAAGCGATATCACGGTTTGTGGGGATGCATATAGGGGAATCCAACAGCTTTGGAAACATTTTCTTAAAGATTGTGAGCGCGGTTCCCGTTGCAGTCTTCTGTTGATGTTAGTGGACTAGGAGAATAAGGATGAAAGGCGAATTGAGATTCGTCTTGAAAAGCTGTCATCCTTTGCCTTCCTTCATTTCTATCGACCATTGGTATACTAGTATTGGGATAAATTCCATGTGTCTACTTCAGCGTCCTCACCTCACGTGCGAGTGTGAAGGTGTATTTGCCGTAGCCGCTTCCATTCTTCCTCTCTTCCTTTGGTGCGGATACTTGAGTTCTGGCTATTGTAATGATGCACCTTCTTATCTAAATAGGGAAGCCTTATTATAGGAGAACTCAAGGCTTTGCTCTCTTTTTTTTCTTTCGTTGGGCGAGACACTTGTTCGATTTCAGCGGCTCGATTGGGCTGTGGAATCTGGAGATGGTGCTGAGCTGGGGAGCGCGCGTCTAACTTCCATTTTCTCCTTTCATGCATCCCATTCCCGCCCACCCCTCTCTCGTTGGGCGCGGTTGCGGTTGCGGTTATGCTGCAGTGGTTGCCGCTGCGGTTGGACAATGGACGCAGATCTGCTGCACCCCCTTTCTTTTTGTCGTCTTGGATCTACGATCTGCCCAACTTGTTTCTTGGAGGGCGCTTGGAGGTGACAGTTGGAGGCCCACTTTCTCAAACATGTTATTCGTAACTACAACTAGAAGATGTTTTGAGGTGGGATGGGTAAGTACACAGCCTCACCGAGGTTAGTGGTTACGTAGGCGGTCATCGTCACCGTCAACGCTCGGGGTAGCATTGAAGAGTGCACGACTCGAGCTAATTACCTACCGTCTATCGTCCAATGTACGGCAGCGGCGTGCACCGCCCTCTGCTGCGCGCGTCATATCGAATTTCCCAAAGGGGTTTTCCATCATGCTTCGATTCTCACCTTGGCCGCGCGGGAACGACGGGCCTGGCCCTTGGCCTTGGGGCCTCGCGGGTGCAACGCAACTCACAGTTCAGATTCCAAGCATTGCCGGCATTTGGCTGCAAGGGAACCCGCTGCTCAACCCGAATGGAAAGTCAAGCCTCGCCAAGCGCCCTAAACCACAGTGGGAGGACGAGGGTTGGGGCTCACCGCCCAGACCGGGCTACCCTGTCCGGCGTGCTGAGTGGGGTCGTGTATGGAAATCCAACGACAGTCAGAAAGGCTGGCGTTGAATACCAAGAGGAAAAAAGCCTGTGGGAGAGGTCAGGACGGTCAGAATTATGGAGGATTTCTCTAATTCTTTCTTGACAATTTTTTTCTCTCAAGAAAGTGCTCCAAACAAGTATGAAAGGCCCGCATGTCTGTTTGTCCTTAGCGATTGTCCATTGCGTTATTTTGTAGCCTCTTGGCCCGGGAAATGTTGATTCTGAGAGCTCTTGTCAATATTTCAACATATAGGCAGTTCATTATATGGAGCCGCATCTCATCTCTGCAAACGTTGTGGGGGAGAACAATATCTTCCCGCACAAGGCCCGGGATGGATGGACCAGCCGGCTCAGAATTCAGACCGAAAAGACAGACTCCTAAAAGCATGCAGATGACTGTTGAAGGCAAACATTATTTTGTCGAAGCCAAGAAGATCGGTTCGTGTGTGCCTTGCAGCTTGCAGCACGGCTGTTGCAGCCCGCCGTCAGGTCTCTAAGTGCGTGCATCTGTCTTACTCTGACATCTGCGTTGCCGCTTTCTAGATTAGGCTGCACGGATGGATGGGTCTTGTAAATCCGTGACGTTCGGAATACATGCACTTCGAATGTTTGTTAGCGTAGTACTCCGTACTTAAGGGAAGGGAAAGATTCGGCCACGAAAGACCTCTAGTTTTCTAAAATGTGGTGATTGATCCTTTTTGAGGTTACTCTCCATCAAACCTGCTCCCAGACATGGACTACATACAGGAGACTCGTTTGGTAGCTCAAAGCCCGAACGGCGATCGAAAGGGGCTTGGCTAACCCTTGTGGTCGAAGCTGGAGATCCGGAGACGTTGGCGGAGTTGAGAAACGATAGGGATTAGTTCAACGTATCCGATCACCAGGCAAAATTGTTCTTCTCGCAAAGTTCGACCATGTCAAGGATCAGATCTTGGAAGGTCCCTCGCTGACAAACATTGGGATTTGACTGTTCGCACGAACGCACGCACAAACACACACACACACACATACACACACACACATGACATGGGTAACGCGGCTTGTCTTGGTTATATGGCCGGACGGTGGCGTGATGGTTGCGTGCTTAACTCGGTGATGTGTGCATCCATCCATCCCCTTGGGGAGACGGGCTCCCCTGGCCTTTAGTCGCCACTACTAATAAGCATAACTGGGTAGATAGGAGAGAGCGAGGGTTTGGGGCCTTGCCTAGTCCTTTGGCTTGACGAAAAATGCCTGCCTTGCTCTTGTCAGGGCTACGGCCATATCAATGCGACCTAATCACAACGAGGAGAGGTGAAGGGTTCATTCAGAGAGCATGGCGGCTTTCCGGCACAGCGAAAAGGGGGAAGAGGAAGCAAACAAACACGGAGGGTCCGTGGGATGCGTTTCTGCAAGGAGAACGAAAGGTAGTGAGTGGGTCCCGACGAGCAGCAGAGCCAAGACACGGCGGCCACTGGAATGGGCCGTGCAGGGGTCGCTGTGGCACAGTACCGCCCGGAGAGGGGACTTTACGGGGGTTGGGCTTCCAAGTTTTTGTCGCAAGGAGAATTCCAGAACGCGGGAACCCAGGTCGGGCGCTCTCGAATGGACTGTTGCCCAACCCTCAGCTCTCAGCAGAGGCGCAGAGTTGCAGAGCCGAAAAAGGGGTTTGGTGTTTCATGTCGGGACTGGCCCACCCGAAGTCGGTGGCTCGACCAGGTTCCCCCGGATCGCCCCCGTCCCCTCACCAAGCGTGGACCAATCAGCTACTGCCGGGGGTTTGGCAAGAGCCAGGCACGCGCGCCCCTCGATTGGCTGCCCGCGTCTTTAGAGCCCCTGCAGGCCCTACTTTTTTGCTGCATGCAGATCACAAAACGCTTCCATTCCTTTTTTGTTCAATCTATTTGCCTCTTTTTGCTGTGCCTCTCGTTTTTGGGGGTTCCCGGACAGAGAATGGAGAACTGCGATTCGGCAGGCGATCCTGGTAAGGCGCTTGAAATGCAGCCTCACAGAAGACCAAGACCAGCCGACTGCCGACCTCCATCATCTATCTGTCCATGCCGTTCGCTGGCGGCCGCTAGAATGCCGCCGGCCATGTTCTATCCCCGTGCTATTTCATTTTCCATGACCATATCCATTACTGCGTGACCCGGCTAGAGGCAGGTAAGCTGGGGGGTCGGGTGTCGGCCACGTCAATGTCTGTCAACCTGTCTCAGCAATGACTGCCCCTCGCCCAAGAAGGCTGCTATACAGCATTCCAGGCACACCGCGCGGCTCGCTGCCAGCCAGCCAGCCGCCACTCGCAGGTGATTGATTCACTCTTGTCCCTAAAGCTGTCATGGGATTCTGGTACCTGATATGACAAGCAAGTGCCCCGCAGGAGGTACCTGATGAAGTTGGGACGGTGTACTGGAGTGTACAGTACAACACCGATCATCCTAGCAGGCCTTGCATAGCCGCAGGCGATGCACTCGTTGAGAAAGGGGGCAGAGGCTCTGGAGTCCTCAGGGTCGTGGGTTTGCGTGCGTATGCACGATCCACCCGGGTCGCCGCCATCCCCACACCATCACATCCCCGTGCCGTCCATTCACACGGCAGCAAACGGGTCGCGGACGGAGAGGCAATTGCCGGGATGCTGGGGTGCTGTGGTGTTTTGCTGTTGTGCTTGGTGTTTGGTGCTTGGCAGCGAGAGGGAGCACACTCGCCTACCTAGTGGCGTGGCGTTCGAAACATCTCCTCCTCGTCCCCAGCCCTCTCGCGTCCAATGGCCGAGGGATGAACAGGTCGAATAGAAACATAAAGGGAGACGTCCCTCTACCCGTCTGGCACGTCCTGCCTTCTTTTGTCTTGATCTTAACCACCACGCCACGGCTCCTTCCTTTGCCTTTTGTCTCTCCTTCCACCCCGTCAAGGGATTTCTATTGTTTCACCTCTTATTGTTCGTCACCTCGGAAAACCAGCTGTTCAACTTCCGTCATTCAGCCAGGTGCTTCCTATTGTTCGCCCCGCCCCGCTATTGTTAACTCCGGCCTCCTCGAACAATTTTCACCAACCTCAGTGAACAATCATTCCTTCTTCTGGCGCAAGAGCTGTGCTCAACTCTTTTTAAAGGGCGTCAAACAACCAACTTCACTGCTTCTCATCTTCCACTCTCATTTTCGGAAACAGCTGCCTTACCTACGTATCCGGACTTCCTAGCAACAGCACCAGGAACGACGCATCAAAAGACAGGATCTTTTACAAACCATTATCTCACGGGATAATCACCAGCCTCTCAGACCGAACTCACTTTTACAGCTCGGCGCTCCTTCACCAAAAATGCCTTCCAACGCATTCACCACAGGCCTTCTGGCTCTGCTCGTCGCTGGTGGCCAGCTTGCTGCCGCCCACATGGAAATGCAGTTTCCTGCCCCTCTCCGGTCCAAGTACAACCCGAACGCAGTCAACATCGATTACTCCATGACGGCCCCTCTCAGTGGTGACGGCTCCAACTATCCTTGCAAGGGCTACCTATCCGATATTGGTTCCGCGGCAGGCAAGAGCACGGCCACGTTTGCTCCCGGTGGCACATACAACTTCACCATCGTCGGTGGTGCGGCTCACGGTGGCGGCTCCTGCCAGGCGAGTCTGAGTTACGATGGAGGAAAGACGTTCACCGTTGTCCAGTCCATCGTTGGCGGATGCCCACTCTCGTCTAGCTACCCGTTTTCGATTCCATCAGACGCCAAAACCGGCGACGCCATCTTTGCTTGGACCTGGAACAACAACCTCGGAAATCGCGAGATATACATGAACTGCGCCGCCGTCACTATTGGAGGAGGCAGCAGCAAGCGTGAGCCGCTCGCAGAGCGCGCTGTGGCATTCTCGTCCCGCCCTTCCATTTTCCTCGCCAATGTCGGAAACGGCTGCAAGACGGTCGACAGCGCCGATGTCATCTACCCCAACCCTGGACCCGATGTTGTCACTAATAAGGGTGCTACGCAGTCACCGCCAACAGGAACCTGTGGTTCCGCTGCCGCTGCCGGCTCGGGTTCGGACTCTGGATCTGGCTCTAGCTCCGGCTCCGGCTCCGGCTCTGGCTCTGGAGCGGGTTCGAGCTCAAGCGCTGGCGCTGGTGCTGGCGCTAGCACGTCGACTTCTTCGGCGCCGGCTTTCGCTGCACCATCCCCAACCACCACGGCGGTGCCAACAGTGTCTCCTACTTTGCCTGGGTATGTTCCTCTTCCCTCATCATCCGCTGTTTCCTCTAGCTTACAAATGACAACTAGCGGCGTGTTTGTCACCGTCCAAACCAGCTCAGTGGCCTCGGTCACTGTGAACCCCGTTCAGACGACGCCTGTTGCCGCAGTCCCCACGACGCTGCAGACCGCCACCAAGGCCAGCTCCGCTGCTGCCCCCCTTGGCACCGGCACCGGCACCGGCACCAGCACTGGGTCCGGCTCGAGCGCGGCTGGAACCTACTCTCCTGGCACAGCCTGCACCAACGAGGGCGCTTGGAACTGCATCGCCGGCAACGCCTTCCAGCGGTGCGCCAGCGGCAGCTGGTCGGCGGTCATCTCTATGGCCGCCGGCACCAAGTGCACGGCTGGCGTCAGTGACACGTTTGCCATCAGCCGTCGCGGCCTTGGCCGGGCACCGCGCCGCAAAATCAACCTCTACGATTAATCTCGTCTTGAGATTAAGTCGACGACGACGACAATGAAAATAAAAATGAACATTCGCCCTTCTTTGACACTCACTCACTTGACTCTTTCCCAACGCGGGGAAGGGGACCCACATTTTTCTGGGCTGGTCTCACTCTTTCGATTCTTGACATTCGTGAGCATATACCCTTTTTTACAAAACATTTGGGCGACCACTGGCACATTTCCACTCGTTTGGCAGGTGCACACACTCGTGGTGTGTATTCTTGCAAATCTTGTGTTCTTCTCTTCTTTTTTTCAGGCATCAACTAGGGATTTGGCGTTTTGGGCCGGGGCTTTTGCATGTGTGGCATTGTGAGAAAATACAAAAAGGCCGCGACAAAGAGTGGGGGTCAGACAGAGAGACAACGACCCTTGTTTAAGTGACGGCGGGGAATAGAGGACAATAAGGCGACGCTTTTTTATGTGTCATGTCAATCAGCATAAACGCGGTATGGGTGAAACGCGGACACGTTCATGGGCGGGCTGCTAGTCTTGAAAGCAGAAGCTAGCTACTTGGCCAGCCACACGGAGGATGCTATAGAAATAAATACATCCATCATTCACGATGACTTCCTGACTACCTAGTTCTCTTTCTTACCTGAGAAAACACTGTCTCTGTGATATCAAACAACATGGCGTGAAGACTGACTACTTAGAGTGGTAGGTAAAGCCACCTTTAGGTATGGATATTATGTCACGGTTTCGTTTGACCTGGTTGACGCCGTGGCCAACAAAGCTGCAATATTGCTGTTGTATTGTTCTACGGAAGCCTACCTCGTACTTCATCAGGTGGTGGAGTTTTGGTCTGCTGAGGAACACGGAAACCTTTTGTTGCACCCGCAGCAAGCATGCCCAAATGGATGGAGTCTGGCACTCATCCGAATACCCATTATTTACTATCCTTATTTCTATGTACGCTCGAGAGAGCAGGGTAAGTAGTAGGCAGGAAGCTGATTTGACCCCGGATTTCGTTTCGTCTTCGAATTCTAATTCAACTTCAAAATTTAAAATAAATTGCTCGCTTTTTGTATATATCTTTCTCCCCTTCTGGTGGAAGGGAGAAGAAACTATCTCATCGTAGAAGAAAAAAAGAGAAAGGAAAACTCCTGAAAACGCCTTACTTCAAACCTAGCCTTGCTAAGGAACTTGCAAAAAAGGAACCAAGCGGGCATCAATAAAAAAGGACAAATTCCACCACACACACATTTTTGTCCCGCTCAATCACTTGGTGGAAGCTACCTACCTACTTTGTTAGTGAGTTCTTGGATCTATCAAAGAAAAAAAGGCTAGAAATCATCCTGATGCTGCACAGGAGGCGAGATATATTAAGAGTCAGTCCAACCAGACAGCCAGGTTAGATGGCTAACTGCAAGCCGGGACGGAGGGAAGGGGCCGCCGCCACAAATATATATCTCTCTTTCATGCCGCCGCCGCGATTGTCGCCTCGATGGCCTCCTCGAGAATGACTAGGCCCTCCTCGATCTCGCGGTCCGAGATGGTCAGGCTGGGGACGAAGCGCAGGGTGTTGGTGCCGGCGATGATGATGAGCATGCCGCGTTCGCGGGCGGCGGCGACAATAGGGGCGGGGTCCTGGGTGAGCTGCAGGCCGAGGATGAGGCCGCGGCCGCGGACCTCGGCGATGAGGTCGGGGAACCTCTGCTGCAGGCGGGCGAAGCCGCGCTCGAACAGCTGGCCCTTGGCGACGACGGCGGCCTGCAGCGCTGGGTCGGCCAGACGCGACACGATGTAGTGGGCCAGGCGGCAGGCGAGCGGGTTGCCGCCGAACGTGGTGCCGTGGTCGCCGACCTTGATCTTGTCGGCGACGCGCGCGTTGACGATGGTGGCGCCGATGGGGAAGCCGTTGCCAAGCGCCTTGGCCGTCGTGAGGATGTCCGGGTGCGCCTCGCGCGGCAGCCGGCCGTGCGCCCACAGGTCGCCGGTGCGCGACAGGCCGCACTGGATCTCGTCGTACTGCAGCACGGCGTCGACCTCGCGGCAGCGGCGCGCCAGCGCCACCAGGAAGGCGTCGGAGCCGACCTGCACGCCGCCCTCGCCCTGGATGGGCTCGACAATGACGCCGCACGTACGGCCCGTCACGAGGGCGTCGATACCGGCCACGTCGTTGTACGTGCCGACGCGGAAGCCGGGCACCATGGGGGCGAAGGGGGCCTGGTACTTTGGGTTGGGGGTGGCCGACAGGCTGCCCATGGTGCGGCCGTGGAAGGCGTTGGCGAAGGAGACGACCTCGTGCTTGGCGCCCGAGGAGTCGAGGACCTTGCCGACCTTGCGCATGAACTTGATGCCGGCCTCGTTGGCCTCGGAGCCCGAGTTGCACACGAAGACGGCGGCGGCGTCGTGCATGGCGCCCGACTCGACCGTCTTCTCGACCAGCAGCTTGGACAGGGCGCCGGTCCAGGGATTGTAGTACAGGTTGGAAGCGTGGACGAGCGTCTTGGCCTGCTGGGCGATGAGCTCGGCGAACTCCGGGTCGCAGTGGCCGAGCGAGTTGACGGCAATGCCGGCTGTCAGGTCCAGGTACTTGCGGTTCTCGAGGTCCCACAGGTACGAGCCCTCTCCGCGCACGAAGACGGGCGCGGGCCGCGAGTACGTGGTCACCATGAAGGGGGCATGCTCGCGGATGAAGGCGGCGCTGGCCGAGCCGGCGGGCGGATCGGGGTTCGGTATGCTGGCGTCGCGACGGATCTGTGCCGCGCTGGGGGCGCCCGCCGTGCTGCTACTCGACGTCGGCACAGCCGCCGCTTGCGACAGGAACCTCGCGCGACCGCCAGCGGGGAGCGTCTTGGTGGCGAACCGCAGAGATGCTCGGAAGGCCATCGTCCAAGGGAGGGAAGGGCGAGGTCCGAGTGTGCAAGTCGACGGGCGAGCGGGTTGGAGGGATTCGAGGACGAGGGAGAGGAAAGGGCGACGTCAAGCCACCTCTGTCGAGCCGGGTTCCTTGTCAGCAAGTGCTTGCTTGATAGGGAGTGTAATGGCGATGTCACTGGCTGATAGCAATTGGGCCGCAAATGCAAACGATCAAGACAAAAAAAGCAACTGCCGGAAAGGATCTAAAAAAATAACAACTCACATGGAATTTCTACCGCCGTCTTGCTCGGGAAATGGACATTGGTTGTGTATGAACGATATCGCTAGCGAGCAAGCACTGGGCGAAGAGTCATCCCACACACCCACCAGACAAGCAGCCCCAGAATTTTTTTTTTTAAAAAACCCCCCCTCCCCCCCCCCCCCCCCCATTGAGCGATTTCGGCGTTTCAGCGACCCTCAATTGAACCCCGCCATCTGTCAACCGCTAAGCCCAGCCGATCACCGCCACGGTCAACGACCGCATCCCTATCGATAAGGAAAACCTTCCCTGCTAAACAAGAACAGCAGCGGCGACCCCCGGCCTATCAAGGCTCTCACCGTAAACTCACACTGCGAGTCGGCATTCAGTCATTGCAAGGCCTGAAACCGCTGCCGCTGCTGTTGACATGCTGCCGAATTGCCGAACCTAGACCGTTTAATCACCTTGACGTAGAGAGTTTTATTAATACATAGAGCACGAATAACTTATCTTCGTTGTGAAATATGGTGCGTGCATTTAAAAGAACTGTGTAAAACAGAAACCGAGTTAAGAATAGAACTTACTTAGAAGATGTAGAAGAAAAAAGTTCCAAAAAAAAAAACTCCTCAAACTCACGGAACCAAGCCGGTGTAAAGGTTAAGAATATTAAGAACCCAAATCAAAGTGACCGCGGCAGGGATCGAACCTGCGATCCTCTGCGTGTAAAGCAGATGCCTTAACCACTGGGCCACGCAGCCTTCTTTGTTAGGTTGGGTTCCTAGTGGATGAACAGGGCTCGGAGATGGCCATTCATGTGGTCTGGGGGATTAGGAGGAGCCCATTTCATCGAGTGCGGCGGTGCAGGCTGACACACCAGATACAACGACAGACAACCCATCAAAGGAGCATTTGAACATGTGATGAAGACAACTCGCAGTAAATATAAAAACTATAAGAATAACTAACAACAAGTGAAGAAAAAAACTAACTATTAGCAAATTGCCAAAGATGCAATGGAGAATATGCGGCAGCAGCAACCCCCCAGATGGAGAAAAAAAAGACTTCTTTCTTCCCTTATTGACCTCCCGCCGAGAGGATTCCGAGGTATTTTTTCTTCTTTCTTTTGCGTCTTGCGCCCGTGCACAAGCATCACCCTCCGGATAGCCCCCAAGTCTTCCTTCTTCCAACACCAAAAACTCCGCGTATGTGGAAAGAGAAGACCTCCCACCCCCGCTTTACCCAACCAATTGACTAAAATGCGCCGTCTCCTTGCTATTAAATAATAGATATGATCATGAAACCCCGAATGATAATACCCGCCAGTTCCAATGGTTTGGGGCATTTGTCTTGGAAAAGGTAAGAGAAAGTCATCGGCACGAATGACCCACGATGTGATACAGTGAGCCATCGTGCCATCGTGTGTAGTGAGGTGCTTAGCAATCAGTACTTTGTGCTCGAGGAGAACGCAGGAAAGGAAACAAGGCATGACGCATAAAAACAACAAAGCAGAACCTATTCCTCCAACGAAATGGAATCGTTATCATAAGTCCTTCCCGGGTCTGGAAACATCATCAATCGTTGGAGGCCAGAAAATGACACTTGACACGACAGCAGAGAATGCGCAAAGAAACCTGGGTATCCCCACCTCGGCCGTATAAGCCATACCTCCCCTAACCCATATGACCCTGGTTTGAACCCGACATGCCTCCCTCCCACAGACCCAAAACGTTATCGGGTAAAATCTCCAACCACGGCGGCATCATTTCGTTTGGCAGACCCAAAGCATCAAAGCTGATCTCCTGGCTGTCGAAAGTGATGATTTCATTAATGGGGTTAAGGCCAAGATATGAGTATGATCCCGAAGCCAAGCCGCTCTGAGGAAAGTCGCCTTCGTAGCTGCTGTGCCCATGCCCGCCTTGCCCGTGGTGAACACCGTTGTGGCCTTGCTGGTGGTGCATGCCCGAGTCTGTGATAGTGCTAGAGGGCGATCCGCTATGGACGGCAGAAGACTCGTACCCCGAAGAATGTTGCGAAGCCGATCCATATGCATGCGGTGACGGCCCATGACCCCCTTGAGACATACCAAGTCCATGCATCTTCGAGTCATTTGGCGGACTGTTTGAATCCATATCGCCCAAGGGCGGGGTCCCATACTTGAGTAGCGACCTTCCACCAGTCCCGCCCGCAGATGACGTCGAATGACGGCCAGGCTTGGGGGGATGGGCTTGATAACGCACGGCCGAAACGTTTGGTTGGGGATATGCAGGCGGAAACATGGAGCCCGTTTCCGGGAGGCTTTGCCGGATAGGATCATAGATCATATTCCCCGGGGGCGTGGCAGCAGATACTGGGAGCGAGGGCGGAGGAGGCGGCGGATGAGCAGGCGTCGCCGACAGATTATTTTGGTACAGCAGTGTGAGACTAGAGTTGGGCGAGTTCGTAGTGCCAGTGAGCGACCACGCGATAGGAGGAGCATTTGGTGAGGCCGGATTCTCAAAACGCGTCAGACGGCTGAGTGAGCCACGCCGTTGAAACTTAGCACTTTCGTATTCCTCATTCGTGAACGTCTCACAGTCCCATATGCCTTTCGACTTTTGGTCAAGGGCAGTGAGGATGTATCCGACCCCTCCCCAGTACTGCTGAAGTTGCTGAAGCGATTTGTAACAACGTTGGTAGTTCTGGTTCGCGGCTGACGCTAGAAGTAGATGCTTTGCCGATCTTGCTTCCGGGACCGTACCCGTATTTGGCTTCCCGCCAAACGAGCTTCTTTGGGTTTCGACCTTGATTTCCGAGGGCGACGGCTCTCGCGAAGGAGGCTCCGAGTTGTTCGCGACTGACTCCATTAAGAATGCGCATGCGGCGATGTAGATGGGTTGCGACGTAAAAGGATTGCCGATGAAGCTCTTTGGATCCATGAGCTCGGCAAAAGCAAGAATATCGGCGATGGTCTTGGCGCTTGACATTGACAGCTCGCGGCTGTTGGGCGACAGCTTCGTGCGGCTCAGGCTGCCGAACGGCGTCAATAGCGTGGGCTGGTGAAGCACGATGATGAGGGCGTGAAACCAAAAGTGCAGAAGAATAAAAGTGGTACCCTGGCCGGCCTTGACGTATTCTCCAAAGTTGGTGATCCCAAAGTGGAGGCGGGGATCTTGCTTCTGGTAGATTTTAGTTAGGTCGCTCTCCATCTGGGCCAGCTTGGCCAGCTTCTCCTCGGTCAGATCATTAGCGTCTCGAATGTTGTTGAGCACGTCAGACACTCGGCCATACAGATGAATAATCTGAATGAAGTTTGGAAACGGAGCCGGCCAGCCCGTCAACGGATCATTGGTCGGCTGTGGGAAGGCCAACTCGAAGTCATCGTCTCTGAAGGTTACGGGTCTGCCAGTGCCCGATGAGATGACTCTGTCCAGGACGAAGACGGCCCAAAACGTATCGGTACGCTCCTGCTCCACCTCGAGCTGTTCTTCCGCACTGAGGGTTTCTTCACTATCCTGCGAGTCTTCGAGCGTCCCCGAGTCGTCGCTACCTTTTCGGCTCCAGGTTCTCGTGTACCAGGGATCGCGCTCCCCCTGATACTTGATGCCGACCCTCTTTGGGAGCCCCAGATCAACCGCCATTCTGATAGCGAGACCAAGATACATCCATAAGGCGCTGTCTTGGTTCGCCCCAAACCCCTCGTACGCCATAAGCAAGCATGCCTGCACGGCAGCAACAGAGGGGCACGGGAAGGTATCGACGGTGGCCGCTTTGGCCCGCTGGGCAAACACGTGGCCATACTCAGACTTCGTAACTCTAGCATCTTGCTCGTTGGAAAAGATTGGCAAGTCCGAAAACCTGGCCGCCAATGCACACATCGAGTCCACAAGAATGGGCTCGAGCCTCTTCTCCTTAACCATGCGCAGGATCCTCTTTTCTCGCAGAAAGGGATAGTTGCAGCCGAGATAGAGAAAAAAGGTCTTGATGAGGGTAATGATTATGGGGTGAGGCGGACTTATGTCGCTGACGTCGTATACCGGTAGATCCTCCAACGTCTCGAGAACAGTCTCGGGATGCGACGGGTGGTGGTGACCAAGGCTATAGCCAAACAAAGAGCCGGGAGAAGTGGCCGAGAACGAGCTGCCCCGGCTCTTGCGTCGATCTCGATTCACCGACACATTCACCACCATCTGCTTGTAGCCCGGGACGATGGCAGTGGGTCCAAAGTATCTGAAGTAGGGCATGCGATGGCTCTCGGTATGGTGCTCAACAGGCGAGCGGTTATTCGAACTCCGGCCGTCCTCCGAGTAGGAAGAGGTCCGTCCAAAGTTGGTCCGCCTCATCGCCTTTGCCGAGCCCTGCGACTTGTCGTCCTGATCCCAGTCGTTGCCCTGGCCGCAAGGCCGACCCGGCGGGGCCGCGATGCTCGAGACCGAGTCGCGCCTCGGCGCTGCGTCGCGGCCGTTAAAGCTATTCATCCGAGCTTCGGCTTTCCAATGCCGGCGCACGTCCTCATCGCCATCATCCATGTTCTCGTCGTCGAGGTCGTTGCTTAAGTCGGTCGTATCGGTGCGGTCGCCTCTCGATGGCATTGGCCCGGCGCCATCCTCCCTCTTCTTCTCCGCCAGGTCATTGTATCCAAAACAATTGTGTCCGTTTTTAGTGCAAGTCGAGCACACTGGCTTCTCTCCTGCACATCTCGTTTTTCGTTTGCGACACGTCAAGCATCTATGTTGCGTTTTAGAAACCAATCTGTCCACCGTCAAAGCACACCCCAACACCCACCCACAAGGCCTTTCACCGCACAACTCCCAGTGGGGGGTGACACGATATCACACATCGCGATCACGACCCATACAATGGCTAGCGTACACAAAAATACGCACAAGCAACTGGAAAGACGACATGGAGGTCGAAGAGAAGAAATACAAATATTGGGGAATTACTTTTAAATCAAAAATATAATAAAATAAAAGGCAAATCAACCACGAAGTAACACGAACACAAGCGGAAAACATACGCTGCATTTATCCTCCGCCTTTTGGACGGCGGCTGTCCTTGGTTATTCACGAAACGTATTTGTTTGGGTGGCGGCAAGGCTCCATTGATCAGGGTGGTCATTGCGGGTGTCCTTTTATAGCAAAACCATGATGGCTTGCCGTGCAATTATCAGGTGCGCTCGCTCTCGCCGGGTGAAGCTCTAATGGCGGGGTAGGCTTCGACGAAAGCAGCAGTCGGTGAGGTTTTATCGAGTCGCGCGACCCGATCCAGTCAACAGCGACAGGGCCGGGACGAAAGACGTTGAAGTGGGCGATCGAGACACAGCTCGGCGTTGCCAGGTAGGTAGCAAGTAAGGTACTCGGTACTGTATGTACTGTCGGGCGAGCAAGGAGAAGGGGGTGTGGGTGTGGGTGTGCAGGAGCAGCAAGGCCTGGGGCGATCAACATGCGCGCGACAGCATGGTCATACTGCGGACGACTGGCGGAGAGACTTTGAGGAAGTCATTTTTGTTTTTTTGTCTTGTTTTGGAAGAAACGGTGTAGATAAGGTCAAGGGGTGCTAAGAGGAGCCCGGGCCAGACAAGGCCGCAGCGACTTGGTGCGACCAGATTTCAGCTGCGACTGTCTCCTTCTGTCTGTGGAGGAACTGAGGTGGAGGCTAATCCGGGCAAACGAGCCCTTGGGCCGGTCTGGGTCCCGTCAGGTCGTTCTTGCCTGGGGAGCGGGTCGTCCTGGGCCGATACCTTCCTTCTCTACGCGCAGCTTCAGGTTGGGGAGCTCCTGCGTATGCGTTGGCTATGGACAGCACCTCTCTGGGCGTACCCGGAGATTAGGAAGGGTGCTGGCAAAAAAAAAGGGCAGGAAGAGGGAGCAGCTTGTAGCTGTCTGAAAAGCGATGATCTGCAGTGTTTGGAGAGAGCGGAGGGGAAGTTGGGTGCACGAGAGAGGGAAGGGTGGGGATGGGAAAGTCGAGGCGCTGCGAGCGAGCGAGCCGGCGAGGGCCGACAAAAGATGAACCAACCGGGGGACGGGGAAAACAAAAGACGTGCCGGAGGCGTTGTCTGACGGGACTGAGCACTACACTGCACTGCACGGAGAAGAGCAAGTAGTAGGTAGCAAGTAATAACCTGGGAAGCAAGCACCAACCGCACTTTCGCTGCCCTGCACTGAGTTGCGTGCTGCAAAGCAAGCCAGCCGCGACGTGATGCTTCAATAACGGGGTGTCATCGGAGGGCGGGCAAATGAAAGAGCTCACGTCTTTCAAACCGTGCCACAACGGGAACGGGGGCACTTGGACCTAGCTAATGGCAACTTCAATTGGAGTACCAATTGGGGGTGTGGGAGGGAGTGTGAGGCCAGACCCCCGAGTTTGGTGTCGGCTAGGTAGGTAATAAGGTATTCGTTCCTAGCTAGGCCATTCAGAGCAAAGGCGCCAACTTCACACTGATCGCTGTTTAACCCCGAGCACCCCCCTCTGCCCCCCTCAACCTGTATCAGAGAAGAGCTGCTTCGCGGCTGTTTTGGGCACTTGGGCTGTCAATAAGTTTAGTTAGAAATAATATCGCATTGGGCTTCTTGATTGGGGAGGGGTCCCGTCGGGGTTGAGGGGTCGAGAAACGCCATGGATGCTAGGGAAGGGCTCGCTCGCAGCGGGGGGTTGCCACACACGTCTCCGTAGGGATGTACTTTGCCAGCCCAGAGTGCTCCGAGGCCGAGACTCGTGCAGCTTCATCGGCTGCAGCCATCGTGACGGGAGAAACAGCGAGCATGGTCTTATTCTACTCAGGTCTTGGGCTGTCTTCGCATTGCTGCTTCGGCATTTCATGCCTCAGGGCCGGCTTTGCGCGAACAAGCTACCAGAGTCTAAAACGCTGATGGAGCTTTCATCTGTGCACGCACACGCACATGGAAGGGAGAAGTGGATTGCCTGACGGCTCTGATTTCAAAACCCCAACCCGCTCCCGCATTAAGATTCTGCGCTGCAACCAGTCGCGACTGCCCGCTGTAGGAGTGAGTCTTGGAAATTGGAGAGTGCCCAGCAGACTCAGACATCAGACGACAAGGGTGGGTCAGCAAGTGGGTCAGGCATTTCGGTACAGCAATGCAGTAGGCTCAGCGGTTGGCAGTCCGCCATTGACTCGGATGAATGCTTCCCAAATCCGTCCAGTGCAGCCAGCGCAGGGCAGCGCGGGGGCCACCCTCCCACTTCACGCCTTCCTGCAACGTCTGGGAAAGGACCGTTGGAGGTTAGGCAGGTTCAACTGTGCACCTCAGTCCATACTGCCTCGATCCAATGCCTTGCACCTCATCCTTCCAGCGGCGGGCTGGTTATTGCCTTACTAGCGTTGCGAGCCAGTAACAGGTGCAGACAATAGCATCATAGCTGCGACTCCGTCTCGTCCTATTCTATGCCCTCTCGGGCTTAGCGTCACGTCCGCGTCCCTTCTTTTCCACGGATTGGAAGATGCCGACCGGGCCAACCCCGGATTTCCAACGAGACTCGACGCGACCTGGGCCTAACAACGCAAGTCGACGAGATGGGACGGAAGCCCTCCCGCTTCCCCAGATGCCCCCAGATGCTCTTTCCCTTATTGCCTCCTGCGCGGAAGCCATCTAGGGTCGTTCCGTAGGATGACATCGCCTAGAGGACGGCATCTCCAGAGCACGCCATCATGTCATCCCGAGCTCTCCAGGGCCGCCTTATCTCGTTTCCCAATATATATGACCCCCAACTTTTTTTTTTCCAACTCGACCCAAGCCTAGGTTGCTGCGCTCCCCACGGCGACGGCATCTGGTTCACGCTGATAAGGAAGAGGGGGATGGCAGGGGACAAAAGTGGTCGGAGAGAAACGGCTGACAACGAGAAAGGGAACGAAAAAAGTACCTAATCGCACAATTGCTCATCACGTTCCCCCCGAAAAAGGCTCTCTCTAAAGGGGAAGGGGGCCGGCCCCTTATTAGTCAAGCATATTGATTCGCAGGAGTTTCGGTGCTTGATTATTACCCGCACTAGAATATGCCAATCCTGGACCACAGCCACCTCACTCACACAAAAGCCACATCTGGACCAGCCACTGCAGCCCCTTACACAAGTTGCCTTCCTACCACCTTGATAGCAATGCGTGTGAGTCGGTACATAATGTCTGCTCCATGGGTCAGGTACCCAGCTCGGAAGAACTCTAGCGGCAAAAGCAATGATTTGTAAGAAACATGCAACAACAACAACAGCAACAGCAACGAGAAAACAGAGTGGACCAAGTACGAAGACGGCCTACCAAGGGGATTGGCTAGACGATCGGCATCTGCGGGTAGTTCACCGCATTCTTAGAACTTCATCTCATCATTGAACAAACAGCTAACTCGGCGTGTATCATGTTTCTCAGCTGATCTGCAATTCCTAGTCCCCATGGTCCTTCTTCCTCATCTCTTGAATAGTTTCCCTCGACCAAAAATACCATGCTCTGGTACTATAATCTTGGTTTAGCATCATCCAGGCACAGCGAGCCATCCGGCCTTAGCAACAGTCTCGGCGAAACACATCCATCAGCTGCGAGAGCCCAGTTGCTGAGCCATCCTCGCCGACAAAAAGTATTTTGAGGTCAGGAACTCGTTTATTAAGCGCAGCCTTCGTCTTCATGAGTGGCAAACAATTCCCGGGACCCGAGCATCACCATGGTTCCCCCCACGACGTTACCCCAGCGCTTCGCAAACGATGCCGCGGTACTCAAGTATCTTGCCGAAAAGGCGCCTTCCATTCCCCCTCTCCCCTCGCCTTTCCAGTGCTTTTTCGAAGACGATGATGCCATTTACCACGCCACTGGGCGGGTAGAGGGCGTTTCTATGAACGAGCTCTCACAGAAAGATAAGCCGGTTGTGACGCAGGAGCTCTTGCAGCACGTGGCCACTCTGAGATCTCAGAGATCCGACACGCCAGGGGTTCCCGGCGAAACGCTCTTATACCCACCAATGCGCACCACCAGTCGCGCCTAGCGCCTCAACTATTGTTGGCGACTACGTGGAAGGTCCGACAGGGACGAGTACATCTTTTGCCACAACGGCCTTGGCCAGCATAACATTTCGTGGGCCCCAAAACGCTCAAGATCACTGCCATTATTGACTAGGAGTGTGGTGGGTTCTGGCCCGAGTGGTTTGAAGGTCGTTTTTGAGAGAGACCTGGCCCGAGTGCTGCGATGGAGGGCGAGCAAGATGACTAGGAGCGTTGCCGCAAGTGGCTGCTTACCCACTGCGACAAAGTGGAAATGCTTCATCTACCGAGCTTCGACGAAAAGGTGGCCGAGCTCAAGAAGGCTGAGGCTGCGGAAAAGGTTGCAGATGACGAGGGAACCGTTGTTCGGGATTGATGCCACCGAACTTAACGAGTACCTTAATTACTACCTACTCAGGTCTAGCTACCCGCATCCAACGGCACATGTGAAGGAAAGCAAGCTCATTAAGGGCCTACCTGCCGTCCAACAAACAAGAGTCCATTGTCTTATACAGTGGAGAAAATTCTAGATGAAGACGCCGCCACCCCAAATACCAAGGTATCCAACATTGGCGTGTCGACCGATTTGACGTTTTGCGCCAGGAGCGTAACCCGTATCCTCCCGTCTTATGCCTTCACCCCTGGGGCCAGACACAACCCCGCGTTTGATGCACGACATTGACAGGCCCCAAACATTATTCTCCAAAAAGACGTACGGCCGAGCTTACCAATAGGCCGCTATAGGCAAGGGATAGGTACTAAGGCAGCTTGCCGAACGAAGCCTGGGGAAGAAGCTTCGACAAGAAGGTGGCGCATAGCTGACAGTCGAGTCCGCAGGGTAGATGTCGGGTAACCTGACTGACCAAAACATGTTGTGCTATTCGCATTCGCATTTACATTCTCCCTATCTTTAGACCGACGATAGGTTGCCCTTTCCAAGATGGGTGTTGGCTATACACTGGATTCTTGGAACCACCGAGAAATAGGACAGGGCGATGACTGGAAGATACTTCTAACCCTCAGGCTAATAATGAAGGAAAAGAAGAAAAGGGTTGGAACCGGACCCCCACGGACGGTATGTGCTGAACGGAGCCCCCAGCGCACATCTTCTCCCTTTCCACTCGAGTACGAATACTAAAAAATGCACATAGATGACAAAGCCTAGGGCCTAGTGAAAGTACTTCGGGTTATATAGAACTGCGCGTAGATACCTTGTTTGTATGCAGGTAAGGTAGGTAACCCAAACGAAACCACGAACTGGCTCTCCCCCACTTTTCCGGCATCGGCAGCTAGTGTCCGATTTTCCAAACAGGCCAGGCCCCCAGACCAGCCCAATGCCCGGGCAGTCTGGCTAGCTGGTGGGCCTGGGCCCAGGAAAGCGGAAATTCCGTGGGAAAGATGGGTTTTGTATGTTTGGCGTCATGTACGAAAGGACGTTAGGCAACCAGAAATAAAATAAGAAAAGCCGTTGCATCCGTGAAGGGGAAGAAAAGCGCCACACTTTTTTTCTTTTCTTTCTTTTTATCTCCCCCCACCCACCCCCTTCCTTAATCCCCTGAATGGGGCTCCCCCACTTACCTACCTTACCTGATTACTACCACGAACGTACCACTTTTTATCAACCCCCCTTGCCCATCACAAACAGCACACGCGCACATATACCGAATAAGAACAGTACTGATATAGACAAGCAAACAGGAAAAAAAAGTGATAGTTCAAAAAAGGCGGTAAGAAAACGCTTCCCATCAGCTGGTTGTCCCCTTCTCTCCAACCCCCCCGGTGGCAAAATGCGGCTGTGTTTCACCCCCAGCCACCTCGAGCCGTTTTTGCAACTCTTGGAAGACAGAATATCTCACATCTCAGACGGCGTCCGTCTTACCCTTTCTTTCCGGCATTCTTAGTATATTCTATTGTATATATTATATCTCGGTTCCACGTGTGTCTGTGTGTGTGTGTGTGTGTGTGTGTGTGTGTGTGTGTGCGTGTGTGGCGTGCCGGCTTGGGATTTTACGTGGAAAAGAGGGAAGCAAGTAGAGAAACGAGAAGTAGGTGGATAGACGGACAGACAGATTGACAGATTACTGCTGCTACAGTTTTACACGCATTTAAATACTTGAGGTTGTACCTGTCCTGTTCAATGCAACGGGTTTTCTTGGTGTTCACTTAGTAATATGCATGTCACTCCGTGTCGAGCCCCCCCTTTTTTCCCTTCTCTTTCATCCTCGGCACACACATATATATATATCGAACAGTTTTATATCGGACATGGAATGACGATTGGTGAGGGAGTTGTTTCGCAAGTAAAGGTGGTTGTGCTGGATGCTGGCTAAACGTCCTCTTTTGCAATCCCCCTTGGCCATCTGTGTGGTAGGTAGACTATATCATTACAGTATCCGTACCTATCGTCTTTTCGACAACGCCGTATATGCGTGTGGGGTTTCGCTTCCCGGAATCGCTACCCCTCGGTAGCGACTCATAAATAACGATAGTCCTTGCAGGCCACGAAGCTGTCGCTAGGGGGGACGATAGATGGCCAGATGGTAGTACTCCATATATCACGATAGTCTAAGGTGGTGCCGGCCAGAAATCAGGAGGCAAGTGACACAACATGACCTGATATGGCGGCCTTATGCTACCGGGCCGCTGGTTGACTTTCGAAAGAGGCTAGTGGTGCCTGTTGGCTGCCCTATTACCGGCCCGGCCCCCTACCTCAAACGTCTTCCCTTCGCTTTTCTGTGGCGTCACTTGGTATATCTCTGGCTCCTTGGGTCCTTTGTGTCCAAAGCGGCTGTCATATATCAGCCACATATTCACTACCCACCCTCCTTTCTCTCCCCTCCATTTAAACGGGTCGGAGAAGGGAGCGAAGGGGAAAAAAACCTGATCCAAACCCCGGATGTCCACCGGCCCGGATTCCTTCGAGCTTTGTCACGCTTTGGTGTGACTCTTCACTCGCCTCAGCAACTCAGAAAACGGTTGCACTCACTCCCACGCACTCAGTTACTTGAAGCTCATTGACCGGGTAGCTGTTCATGCCCTGGTAGCCGAGGCCATGCAGTAGAGTCCAGATCTCCCTCCAGTTCGCTGCAGCTGCAGGCCCGAAGGGGATCGACTGTTTGGATCAACAAACTGGAAACCTTGTCTCTCGCACTTTAGCCAAACACGATATTCACACCCATCTCTCTGCTGACTTGGCGCCACAGGTCTGTTGCACCGCCGTTTTCATTGCCTTTGTTGTTATAAAAGCAGTTTCTGGCTGGCGAAGCGACAGTGGCGTGCTCCGAGCTTGTCTCCCCCCTGTCTTCTGTGGCCGCTGCCAAGTCTGCCCGCCGCCACACTTCCCGAACAATCATCCACGCGCGCTCAATATTCCTCATGCCTTGCCTTTGATTTACCGCGGAGAAGGCCTGGTCTGCAAGTTCGCGGTCCTCTGCACTGACGGCCTCGCATGCGGCAACAAATAGGGGCCACAGAAGCGCCCCCATAGGTCCGGCGTGGCAGACGGTCTCAACACAATGGACGAGCGATAGGTGTGTGTGCATCTGGACGACATTGTGGGACCGCGAGCAGCCGTATATTGTCCTGTACAAGTAGACAAATGCCGAGTGACGATAAGCGAGCGCGTTGTTCCTAATGCTGTGGATCCTGTCCCTTGTTGTTGGAGCCAGCCCAATAGTTGGTCTCATAGTTGGCGAATTTCCGGCCGCGCACTCTATGGGGGACGAGTGTGGACTATTTTCGGCGTCAGTGATATTGGGAATTGAGATCTGATCCCCGCTCTGGCCATCGTCGTCTAGACTCAAGATGGGGGCCAGGTGTGGCTCCCATCGAGTTAGGGCTGCTTCGATAGCTCCAGCTGTTGTCTCAAACTCTGTACGTAGGACGGCGATCTTGGGGGTTATAGCATTGGTGCGGACTGCTAGCTGTAGCTCGGTCTTCATAGACAGCAGATTGGATAGACGATGTATGATGGGCCATAGTGTCGTGGCCATGCCGAGAAGGGCGTCCACGTTGCACAGCGGCGAGCCAGCCGACGCTCCAAGTGGGGAGAGAGGCAAGAGGCAATCTGGTGTGGGCGCTGCTGATAGCGGCGGCGTCCCGTTCGAGAGAGCTGCGATCACATCATAAAAACGAAACGCCTGCAGTCTCGTGAGCCCAAATCAGGAGGGGGCAATCAATGCTGGTCCAGAAAGGGAGCACACGTACGCGTTCCAGGAAGACGCTTGTGGGATCGGAGGGCTCCGGGTTCGTGCACATTATAGTAAGTGCCCCCTTTAGGTGCCCAGCTACTATATTGGAGCGTCCCTTCTGGACGAGCTGCCCGCTTTTTAGCCAAGCTTGGACTCGCTGTGGGGTATAGAGTGTAGCTTACCACCTCATAGTAGACCAAAAGCATGATTGCTGCTAGTATCTCGTTTCTGTTGACTGTGCTGTTGGGCTCGATTAGTTGCGCAACCCCCTGGATGGCCTGATTGTGAAAGTAGAGTGACTTCTCCGCATTCTCTACCCCCCGACACTCTAGGTGGGCGCTGGCGAGAGCATAGATTGCGTTTGTGACGGGCGAATCTTTCCGAGTGAGCGGCAGAAGTAGCTGTTGAAAGGGGTTTCCCGTTTCTTCTCGGAAAACTATCAGGTGCGATAAGACGTTGCAGAAGTGATCAACCAGGGCTCGGCGGCTCCGGCGGTCTGAGAACTCCGAGAATGCCGGCGGACAGAAATCGAAAAGGGGAGACCCAACAGGACATGGCGCGATCATGGCCAGGTCTGGATGTAATGACCTCGATTGCGGCGCGATCGCAACCACACCAGAGTCCTGGTGGAGTCCCATAGCTGGCCCCGAATCCCCGCCATTGGCCTCAACCAGAGAGACAGGAGAACGTACCCCAACTGGTGACGTGCCAGAATAGTCAACCCGCGAGAATTTGACGAGAGGGCCGCTGTCATATACGCTTTCTGACGGACTGGAGGCAATGGCATCGCTCAGGAAGCTTAGTACAACACTGCCATGATCCCACTCGCCCCATGACGGGCGCCTTGAGTCATCACTAGCCAAGCTAACTTCGGACAGCTTGCGAGAAGAGGTATATTCTGAAGACAAGACTGATGTGCGAATCGGCGGTAGCGACTCGCGTTTTCTTCGCTGCCGCGGCTGCACAGTTTCGTAGACACAGTCGAAGCTATGCTCCGAGCAGCGTGTGCACCGAGGCCGTCTTTCGTCGCATTTTTTCTTCTGCTCGCCCATCAGCTGGTTAGGTGTACTGTCCTTGTCTGGGCCATGAAGGAGAGCTCGTGACTCCCCAGTCTCAGAACAGTCGCACGTCGCGCAGAGACGTATTGCGGGTTTGTACGGAGTACACAAACCTTTTCCTTGCTTTGTGTCCAAGTCAGAAAAACAAGTCGAAACTATCTATCAATAGAGGGGGATCAACGCACCAACTTGCACAGCCTGTGGCAACATGGTTAGCAGAGTCGACCACTTAAAGACGACAGAACTGTTTTGGCAACTCCCCGACCAGCCCAGCATAACAGCAAGTGTGCAAAGTCGCATTCGACAACCGAAGTAGAAAGGGAGGCATGGGAATTCGAAATTGGGGATTCGAAATCGGAAACTCTCAAATCGACTCACCAGCTCTGGAACGCCTCTTGGGCTCCTTGGGAGCAGCGCGCCGCGTATATAGCAGCATGGTTGAGTGCTTCACAACGACTGTGGTGGTCGAAGGACGAAGCTTCTCCGAAATCCGCTTCTTTGGCTTTCTTTGGTCTTGGCTTCGGCTCCCTGCCGCAAGAAACACGTCTCTCAAATAGCCCATCCGACGGACTGCACAGAGTGGGCCAAAACCGAGGCGCTCGCGCCGCTAGCGGTAGTTTGGCGGCTTGACGTAGTGGACAGTGAATGAAGTACAGCGAGTACTGCGCATACAGGTCAAGGCGAATTGGGTATAACTAGGCGGTAATCGCGTGGAGGGTAGCGAGTGAGTTCGAGGGGTGAAGTGAACAAGTCTAGATTTCCATCTTAAAAAAGAGGTAAACAGCACTACCACTGCCACTGCCACGGCCACGGCCGGCCACCTATCCGCCAAAGGATAGTGTTGAGGCCTTGCCGGCGTGAATCCCGGGTAAGCACACCACAGCGGGACAGTAAGATCGGTCCGGACCTGAGCTGTGTCTTTGGCCTGCTCTTCCCATGATTCTGGGTTGAATTGATTTTTTATTTATTTTTCGTTTAGCTTTTTTGAACAGCAATGCTCCTTCTGCGGCTTAGTGACAGCGGTCTGCGCATCAATTGAGGCGCGCCTTCCTCTTTTCTCCGCCTTCCAGTCCCGTCTCGGTAAAGTCTCTCGGAAAAGCGAGCCCATCTCTCCGCTTTGCCTTTGTGGAGAATTAAGTGCGGGGTTGGCGAGAACGGGCCGTTTAGATCGTCATTTGACCACCCGAGATCCCTCTGCTTCTTGTTTTGGTCGATCCAGTTGTGCAGGTCGGTATTCGGCCCATCGACACTTTCCATGTGAAGCTGTAGTTTGTGCGTACCTTTAGTAAGTCTGTACGTATGTGTAGGAGTTGAAGTCGTGCCTCAAACAGACGTTATCGACCTGCATCCATATCTGCGCTACAGTTACTAAGCGACCCGCTCGAAATCCAAGCCCCGGCAGTCTGGTCTAGTGGCGTAGCCCATCCCAAGAGACTGGACGAACCCGCTGTGGCCCGATAAGCCGGCCTAAATGTCGATCGTATCAGAGCGCAGCGCCTCCGAACGGTACATAGTAGCTACTCTTTCACGGCAAATCTGCGGTCGTCGTCCACGTCTTCTTTCCCTTTTTCGGGATCATCCGAACTGATGAGGTCCCGACTCGTTGGATAAGTTGTTCTCCACAGACAGGTCCCATGTTGAAGGACTTAACCTAACCCGCTTGTTGGGGCTCCTCTTTAAGCGACGAACGGGCTGAAGGGCTCTGTCTGGCTCCGGATGGTAGGTACCGATGCTCACCTAGGTAGGCAGGAATCTGAAGTGCACACAAGACTTGAGCCGTCGACTCTTTTCCATGGAGGAGACGCCAAGGGTCTTCGAGACACGTCGTGCTTCCGGGACCGGTGAACTTCTCTCCCTCCCGACTGCCAACGTCTGCTTCAGGGTTGACTCTGTCGTTCGGAAGTAAAGGGAGCCGAATGGTCTAGCTGAGTAAACGCTTGACACATGGGGGCTGAAATCGTTCAACACCTGTATATTGGCTCCCTCAGCTATCCCACGTTCCACCGTCGTTTGGGGGTGCTTTGTGAACGCGTCATTCGGGCCCCTCTCCAGGGCAATTACCATGTAATCAATCTTCATTTGTTCGCTGAAGAAAGAGGCACAGCGAAAGAACTTGGCGGGGTAGGAATGTGGGATGGGATGGACGACCCAACCTTGGGACCTCGAGTGTTTCTCGGCATTCTGCCTGCATCGAGGGTCGTCCGCTGGCTCTTGGCCTGGGGACTTTGTCAGTTGCCAGACTAGGCCTCGTCTCTCCCAAGTCCGCGTAGACTCCGGATCGGCGTGTTTGACTCGAGGCTCCCATCACCACATACTTACACTTCCACGTTTAGAAAAACCGTTGGAACCTGAAGCGGTTGGTTTCTCGAGAGGAATCCATCCCATCCACGGCCCCGATTGGCGCATTTTCTCCACAAACCCGCCGCCCCCTCGCTCCGGGCCGGACAAGAGACTAGCCAGCTACGGCGTGCCAGGTGTGGTGGCAGGCGGTAACAGCACCACCAACTTGAGCTGGAGCCTGTTGGAAAACACACAAAAGGCCACAACCCGACCGGGAGGCGGGGGCCACGGAAGGTTGGTGGCTGCAGTGGAAAAGAAGAGCTGAAAAACATGAAACATATTCCAATGCGCCAACACAACCCCAGGTTTGCTGCATCGCCACGCTTTCCCACGTGCAACTCCAAGATCAAGAGAAAGCTGTCCAGCCCAGGCAGCAGAGAGCCGACTTCAACATTGCCTTGGTTTGGAACATGTATGTATGTATGTACATGTACGACGGGAGCTACCTTGGCTCGTCCGTTGCCAGCATTGATGGAGAGCATTTCCATGTTAGGAATGTCGTGTGCGTACTGCGGAGTAAGCGCTGACCGTCACTGCTGTGTTTGCTGGTTCGGCAGCATTCTCGGAGGAAAGGGCAAGGGACGGAGGTGGGACAATTGTGGCTGCCTTGAGGCATCCCCATCCCGCTGCCACAGAAAAAGTCGGACTGCTGCCCGTGGCGTGTGTGTGTGTGGAGAGGAGAAGCAGTAATCAGTCCATTAAAACACAGCAAAAAAGCTTCGCGTTTTCTTTTTTCGTTCCTCGCTAACCACCACCTTAGCGTAGTGTGTTAACGTCTGCAACCATGATGGATTCCAAGCCGTCCGCCCCTCCCCTCCAAATGGCAGTCTGTGCCTCTCGGCTCCTCGAGGAACATACGCGACAGCTTAGCTTTGGGGGGGGCCGAAAGGACAATTAATCGGCATCTGGAAGCAATCGACAGCCTGACCATCCCCTCCCTCAAGTCTGCGGGGGGGGGGAACATCGGCATCAGCATCAGCATCAGCATGTATATGTGTATGTGTTGCATGCGTCGTCGCACACATCCCTCCGGCTTGGAGGGCTGGCCTTGAATGTGAATGGGTCGACGCCCGACAACTTCTAACAAGCCAATCGCCGTGTTCCTAGGGCTGACACCACGGATGTCGGTCTCTTGATTGGGCGGGGCGCCCGCGATTGTGCGGGACATACGGATACCCCAAAGTCCATGGACGCCCCGCCGTGCCAGCCGTGCCACTTGGGATTTGCGATAGATGCGGGCGGCATGTTGGGGTGGTCGTCAGATTACAACCTGGGGGCCTAAGAGAGAGTGCCACCCCCGGTCGCGAGCATCTCTCAAGGCGCTCGAATAGCTTCTAAAGGGAAAGAATATCGACGATCTCTTCCCGGAGGACTGGGTTCCCGTCGATTTCAGTTTCTCCCCAGCTCCCGTCGATTCGGCTTCAGCGTCACGCTAGATCGTCGTCGACATCTGATGTCTAATCTGGGCCCGTCGGCGTCTACAAACATTCACCAACTCTCGCTTTCTAGCGTCCCGTCTTATTAGCCCTACCGAGGGATTAAGCCGGTGCAGAACAGCACTGTATACAAACAGTGGATACAGTGGTATACATACCCAGCCTCGCAAACCCGCGGGTTAGGTACAGTGCTGTACAGTCCGACCTGCTGTAAGCGGTCTGGCTCTCGTTCGTGCCACGCTTGATGCCCCGGTCCCGACCACACGGGAGATAGTGGCGTTGCCTGCTCGCCTGCTTCGCCCCGCCGTCAGCACCTTCGACCATCCACGCAATCCTCTCACAGAGAAAAGGGAGCTGCTTCCCAAGTCGGAGCCTCGCCCTGGCCCCGACAAGTTTTGCTTTCATACTACAGTGAAAGTTCTAGCCATTGCGCCAGCGACCCGACCCCTACACGGCGAGATCCGACCCATTTGCGAGGCCTCGTCGTTTTGAGATCGGAGCCGACTATAGCTGCCAAGGTACCGGAGATCGGCATTTGGAATGCTGCGCGGTTTACCCGTCCACGACTAACAAACCTCGGCCATCACCTACCCCGAGCTTGATAAGAGCCGATAAGCGGACAGCCCGCCCCAACGGCCGCGATGCGCAGAGCCTCGACGTGTGCCCCCGGGCTGGTGTTGCTCGTCTCCGCGCTTCTCGGCGGTGAAGCAGCGGCTTCGCATGCGGGGAGGCAAAGGCACGATGCGCTTCTTCACAGGGTGGCCAAGGCGCAAGTGACGGCTCATCCCCTGCGGAGAGACACGAGCACCTGCCAGGCCGACTATTCGCTATGCGCCCAAACGCTGGGCGGAGGGTGTTGTCCCCCGCGATATTCTTGCGCGACGGATTCTTGCTATGCGACAACCGCGGGACCAACATCAGCATGTGGCAAGGCAGGCTACTTCAACTGCGCGGCCTCTGACTCAGGTTCGTTGACTGATTTGCATCATTGGCAACTATTTTACTGACTAGACTCGACGTAAAGGTGGTTGCTGCCCGGTCGGTTACATATGCGGTACCAATGACTGTACGCCTCCCGTCGGCATCACCAACACTTATACATCCTGTCCCAACAACTATTTTCTGTGTCCTGCTTCGATGAGTTTTGGATGCTGCCAGAGCGGGATGGGATGCGCGCAGAGCGCGTGTTACTCTACCAACCCAGTTACCAGTACAGTCACTCAAGCCGTTACAACAACGTCCGGCACGCACAGGATTACAACCACGGAAACATCCGTTGTCGTGGCTACGCCTAGTCCCCCATCCGGCCTTCCTTCAGACACAAATATTGCCGCTGCCAAATTCATCCCAACCAGCGTTCCGAAGAGCAGTGCCATCGTCACCCCAGACAGTGGCGGCGGCGGCGGCCTCAGTCCAGGGGCACTTGGAGGCATCATCGCCGGCGTTGTGGTTCTCCTCATAGTCGTTGTTGTGGCGGCTTTCCTCATCATCAGGCGCCTAAAAGGCGTCCAAAATGTTATGGAGTCTAAGAAGGGTTCGTCTAGCGGCCACCAAACGAAGTCGCAGTCTCAGGCGCAGATGGCGTACTACGGACGGCAGTTGCACGCTGCGCCATCCGACGACATGAGCATAGACCCGTTAATCAAAACGCCGGTCAGCGGCTCGGCCACGCCGCATGTGGGGACACGCGGGCGCTCCGACTCTGACCGTACGCCCTCGCAGAACGACATGATGAGTTCACGGCACGCTAGCCCAGACTCCAACGGGGGGTACTTTGATCTACCAGCACGCGTCCACAACATTCCGGGCGCGCAGAATAACATGAGCACGGCTGCTATACGCGGTAGCATTGACAGCCAGAGCACCCAAGGCCAGAATGGCCACCATCACTGGCGCCAGCAGAGCAACGCAAGCGAGCTATCGGCCGACGGAAGCGAGCACAGTGCCGGCGCCAACAGCCCACTTGTAGTTCCCGAGTTGGATACAAGCGGTACATATGCCGAGTTGCCCTCTGCTGGCAGCGGCGGAAGCCGTAATCGCTCAGGCAGTGGCGCGGGCTCCAGTCCGCGAGTAACCTTTGGTCATGTTCGTCAGGGATCAGTGACTACAGGCTTCGGTGCCGGTGGCCAGTTAGGGGTAGTGAGCGAGTCTGCCGAAATGCACGGCTATTATGGGCCTTCTGACAGACAGGCCGGTCAGACCTCTGCCGGGCTGGAGGATGGCGAGCGAGGGATGAACTCTCCGACCCTACCAAGAGCGCCGGTACCGCGGCCTCCCCCACCAGATTCACAATCGTGAAAGAAATACCTCGAAATCACTTCGAAAATATCACCACAGACATCTTCTCCGCCATATGGATCAAGCCTCGCCCGTTCAAATGCGTACATCTTTCTACTGCGCGATAAGCTGTCAGCGCTAAATCCTCTTTTTCCTCGTTTTTCAAGGGCTTGGTATAAACGGAAGGTCGGTTTGGGTACACGAAAGGAAAATGGGACGGAGTCATCCTGCTGGCCACGATCTTTCCACTTATTCCCCGTTGCGAATTAAAGCAAGTCATTGGCTTCTTTTACCTGGCTTTTTGAGCGAGTTTGGCCAGTCCCCCCTTTTTCCTTGGCATATACGACAAGCATGGAGAGGATGGTCATCCTCTTTTTGTGCTCATTGGGCGTTGATGGGATACTCTACCTGTAGCAACTGGGAGGGTCTTCACCTTTTGAGCCCTGATGACTCCTATGACAGCCTCCTCTTCTGTTCTACGTTGCACGATTCCATGTCAAATATTTTGTTCGTCTTTCCTATTTCTTGTGGCCAAGGCCTTTTGGCTTGTTGGTCCACGAAGATGGCAAGCGAGCCCTGCATATACGAAAGGAAGTCTTGATATCCTACTTCCCGCCCGCTTTTTTGTCAGATCCCCGCCACTGCCATTGCCTCCTGAGCAGGGGGGGTGCGACGATGTCATGTCGGACGAGCTCTGAGCCCTGCTCCACGTCTAGGTCGTTGGGAAATCGGCGATGTAAAGGCTTCCGGCTCTTGGCATATCAGTCTCAGCTGCAAATGTGCAGCACCAATGCCGATATCTTTTAGTTCTGCCGTCCTCGCTCTCAGACCGTCAACCAGGGAATGGCGCAAGAAGTCGGCAGGAGAGCTCTTCAGCATGCAAGAAATATATGTGCTCCAAAGGCACAGCAAAGGCTGATTTTCGAATTCACGGATTCGCAAACTGCACAACAAATAAATTATCATACATAGCCTATACGTAAGATACCAGGCTAAACAGATCCTAATTTATATGCTGTACTACTTCCTTCGTGGATAGGTAGTTCATAACATATTAGTGAAACCCCCATTTTGGAATATCCTCCAGGCCTTGATCTTCGCCTCTCCCTTTTTACTACTAGCACTACTAACTCTGGCAATATAGCTTGTTTATACTATTCATTCAACGTGTTCTGAAGGCTCTACAACATGATGGCTGAACCGTTATCCATGCTCGCGGGGATTGCGAGCCTGATCACCACCACAACCCGCATCTCTGGAGCCCTGCACAAAATCCACAGGGGGCTGAGGAATGGTCACGAGCTCCTTGCGTTATCAAACGAGATTGCAGACCTTACCCTTGTTCTCGATCAAACTCAACGCGCCCAGGACAGGCTTGGCAGCTCAGTTCTGATGACAGTACCGCCGGTGCTGCGGTGCTCAAGTCACAGCTAGACAAAGCTCACGACGTCCTCTCAAAACTAGACAAGCTCTCGTCAGACCTTCTCAAGAGGAAGCGGTCGCTTCAAAGAGTCAAATGGGTGTTACACGAGTCCAGAGCCACAACTTTGAAGGACGAAATGCGCGAGGTGCGGCGAGGGATCCACGAGATATTGGCTGCCAATAATGCGTAAGTCGACTGAACCTAACAAATAGACAAAGAGGAGCAGTTCAAATAGCATCATTTTTCTAACTAGTGCGTACATGTACTTAGCAACTCAGCACCACCTCGACTCGAATAGAGCTGCAGCTCCACAGCGTCTCTTCAGCTATATCCGACAGCCGCCCACTCGTCCAGCAAGGCAGCACTCTCTCTCATGTTTCAGCCCAGCTTACAGCTCTCCAAGAACTGCAAGTTCTGGGCCGCAGCACTGCTAAGCTTCAACTACAAATATCACGGCCGCTGTCTACAATCCAAGAAGCCATTTCGTCTCTCCAGCCACCTCGATCTAGTCCAGTTTCAACTCCCGCAGATAGTCAGATCCAGAGTGCATCATCGCTGGGGGGGACCAAGCAGCCTGAGACGTCGACCATCTTCCCAAATTACAACAACACCGCACACCGAATGCATACGGTCTATTTTTCGGCGACACTCGGCGGCTCCACGTGCGCCACAACATTTTCATGCCGCTGTCATACCATGTGCCATAGTGCCCGGTGGCCACAAGTCTCTTGGGCAATGCCCAAGGCTTTTCTACAGGCCATCGGCCAACTGTTCATTGGCTACTCTGGGTTCCCAGTGGGCAGCTCTTCGGCAACGTCGACAACAAGATGTGACTCTCCATCGTGCCGCGTGGGTAACCAGCAGCAGACCATCCGGCTTTTCGGTGGCGAATCGAGTTCGAAATATCTGATAGAAGCATATTCCGTGCCATTTATCCTTCGTGGGGCGCCGAAGACTTGAAGGCCTTCCTCGACAACCAGCACCCTTGCGTCACAGACATCAAATACAGTGATGGGTCTTCCATTTTGCAAGAATTGCCTCAGAGTTGCCTGTGACGAGAGCCGCAAGGAGCAAAAGCTCCGCCTGCTGCTTCAGTACGGCGCGGACCCCGACTCCAAAAACGACCGTGGGTCCTCGTTCCGAAAGGACCTCGCGATACACAAACTCTGGGGCTGACCGCGCGGTATGGTCTAAATTGAGGGCCTGCTTTCAGAGGACTTTGCTTCTGAAGCCATTGACCATTTATGCCTGTCATATCTTCAGAAGATCATCGTAGGGATATACCTGATTTCCTTTTCTTCCGCAATGTAAATGATACGTAGTAACAGTGAGGCGGAGTTTTGTCACGTCATAAACGTCCGGGACCAAATGGGCCAGACTGCGCTGCACTTTGCGGCCAGATGGGGGGAACCTAGAGGCGGTGCAGATGCTCTTGGAGGCTGGCGCCGATTACAATGCCCGAGACGGGAATGGCAGGCCAGCGCCCGAGTACGCCGCAGCATTTCCCGCAAAAGGGAAAGAAAAAGTCTGCGCCGAGTGCCTGAGACTCTTCCTCGACGCCGGCGCCAATCCCGAGGAAATGCTGCTGTTTCAATATGCCGCACTGGGCACGAACATCCTCGCCGTACAGACTCTACTTGAGTTGCCAGGGGGCGTTGTTGACATAAACCTCAAGAAACAGCCCCATGGCCTGACAGCATTTCATTGAGCCATCAACCAGATAGATATTGGTGTCGCTCGCTATTTGCTAGAGAGGGGCGCCGACAAGAACACAGTCGACAGCAATGGCACCAGCGTGATGCAGCAAGCCATCAGTGGTGATTTCTACGAGGGGCTCGAGTTGCTCTTGGTGGCCCTCGCGGATCATCTCCAAGTTTCCAAGAACGTCAGCACCGTCCTGCACGTTGCCGTATCAGTGGGCGATGTCAAGGCTATGGACATCTTGGCCGGCCATGGCCTTGGCGGCTGCGAGGTGTATGGAAAAGTGTTAGAGTATCAGTAGATATGTGATGGTATAGACAATGTTATATGCGAGGAACCTAGCGACACTGTATATACTTCACATTTCTTCTGAGCCCAGCCAGCATCACGGCCATGGTAGCCGGTTCGTTCCACTCCCCAGGGCTGCCTGGAACAGAACAAATAACCTCGAAACACACTTCTTCCGAGCTCAGCCAGCATCACGGCCATACTAATGGGTTCCCATCCCATCCCCCAGGGCTGCTAGAACAAGCAACTTCGAAACATATTTATTCCGAACCCAGCCAGCATCACGGCCATGCTGATGGCTTCCAGGCTTGCAACAGAATAGATACGAAGGCTAAGGCAAAAAGAGAGGGCCATCCTTCACATTTGCCAAGTTTTGAACCCCCACAGCAATAGAAAGTTTGCCAGGTGCCGGCCAAGACCTTGAAAATCGCTGAACTCACTGTAAGACCCGAAGACCTCCATCTTTTTGCGCTGTGAAAGGTTGGCTTGTTGGCCGGGCAGCTGGCGTGAGGCTTAACCAATTTTGGAACGTAGTGTCCTGAACTTGGCACTGGGGAAAGTGACGTGACCCCTTTTAATTTTTGCGCCAGACTTCGTGCCTTACGCAAACCTCGAAACACTTGAACAGACCAGTTCAAAAGAAAGGCCCGAAAAGTCATCACGGTCCGAGGGAGAGAGAGGGTCTCTGAGGAGACTGGAGAGGCACCCATCGCGAGGACACCAAGGTAGGTAGTTGCGAGGGTCCTTGTGGAGAAGCACCCATCATGAGGGGGACAGTAGTTGAAAGGTTATATATGGAGCCTTTGCCTGAAACTGGCCGCTTGCATTTCAGTAAACAGTTGGACAGCACTCCTGTAGACAATTAGCTAGTTTCCCGTCCATGGGAGGTATTCTTCTACGGACTTTGATGTCGCAAGTTTCTCGCCTTCTGAATAAGTAGCCAGTTGCCGAGAACAGCTTCACCGCAAAAAAGGGGACTGAGCCAGCGGTGTGGGAGTACCGTTTTTTAGAGTTTTAAGTGATGTTCCGAAGTAAGGTTTAATAGTGTCGAGTCTACTACCATGGCCTGGCTCAAGGTCACTTCACAGGCCGTTCAAAAAGCCCCGGTCTTCCTCCGGACCTCACCTTCATCACTTGTGTATGCAATTTATTTTGGACATCCCTTTGGTGGCTTCCACCCCGCGGCCAAGTGTGCCAACTGGGTCTGGGCTAACGACCTAGGCGAACCGGGCCGACTGGGCCAACTGGACGCCTAACACGATAACAATCCAACCGGAGATCTTATAACCGGCCAACAAAGTGAATTCCGGACCCGTCAAAGAAGTATACTTACCTCCTGTACTGTACCTGCAAGGTGGGCGAGGTGAGGCCCACCTGAATCCAACTGTGTTGGTTTTTAGTGATGTGGGGTAGACTAGCCAACTTTTATATACGACTATAGGTAGGTACTAGAGAACCCGAGTTTTCTAATATCTATGGCCGTATGTGCTAGACAGTAGTGGTGAGCTCTCTTTTATCAACGTCGCGAGAGTAACGGAAAGATAAGGAGACTGGGGTTGAAGAGCAGGCTGCGCAAATATCTGGCATGGGTATACGAAGTACAGGGGATGATGTAAAAGAGAAATTACCTGGTACTGTTCAGGGCTTGGGCACAACATACGAGCTTTCAGCAATGTCTCGGGTTTCTATCTCTCTCGAATGCTGTAAATTGTAGTTGTTTGCTTAGTTTATTGAGGTGGGACCGGTCGGGCGAGCACTGTGGTCCATTCCCAAGACAAGGAAGGGGAGCACCGGCGATGCATAGTATGATCCTGCGAAAGTAAACGAACCAGAAACAAAGGTGCGTGCGATGAACCAAGGCCGCGAAAACATTGGGTTCCAGAAATAATAAACCTATCATACTTAGCTAATGTTCCATCGAACCAACAAGATACTGCACGAGTTTACGATTCGGTCTTGGCACGGACTGGGAGGTATCTGGACACTCGACCACACGGAAACTCGGCCCCGTCCGTGGTGTGCGGTACTGTCCGTCTTTGAGTCTTGCGCCTAAGCTTGGAGGCAGCTGGGCTAGTTCCGAAGGAGGGCGACTGACGCGGCTGACTATTCCATCTGATGAGGCATTGCTGGAGGATGATGGAAAAGGGTGACCAGAGCCACACACAACACACGCAAGCCATCGCTGAAGCCCGTCAGCCAAGGCTGAACTTGGGGCAAAGTCGAACTGAAGAAGGCGAATGATAACCTAAGGAGACAAGATGCTGTCTTTGAATTGGTGGGACTTTTCACGTAAACCGCCCGTCCCGACACTCCGCGTCGGACCAAGAATGGAAAGAGGAAGGAACGTGGAAAAGGGAAGGAAGGCTGGAGATAAGCGGGGGTTGCATCTGCACAAGTGTTCCTTCCCCGCCTCCTCTAGCAGAGGTGCATTTACAAACAGCCCTGAGTTGGCGACTGCGGGCCTGGCAGTGGAACATTGAATGAATTGACTCGCCAAGCTCCAGCTAAAAGGCCCAAACGATGGACGGGAATCGGCCAATAGCTCGGATCACGGATGCGCTTCTTCGTTTTAACCTAATCCAAGGTAGCCTCAACTGAGCAAGCTGAGACACTAAAAGTCTTGTCGGGAAGTCACGACACGACGACGAAGCGGCATACCTTTACAGGTGCCCTCATGACGATAGCAACGAGGAAGAAAGTCGCTCACGCACGACCTGACCTCGTGGGAAGAGGTTGCAATCTGCTTCGTCGGGCGTCGCAGCTTGTGGCGCCAGCCATCGGTTCCACTTTGGGCAGTTGAGGAGGAACTTGGCCCGTCGAGCTCGCTCGTTCCAGTTTCCGGGCGAGAGAGATTAGTGGCTCATCGGAATTTTGTCAATTGCCTCGACTCTTCAACGCCCGAACTATTTTTGACGGATAAGCGCGCGTACGGGATGTATTCCGACTCCGCGCTCCATCTTCCAACCGAGCCTAACGACGGAGACCCAGGCTGCTCGTCATTGGCAGCGGAGGAGGCGGGCGATTGGCTTGCAAGCCTCAAATCCCAGCTTTGTTGGTTCCAGAAGAGAAGCAGAAGAAATGACAGTGAAGATGTTTGGACGGATCGGGCAAAGTGAAGACATTTCTCTGGCTCCCGCGTATAGGCGGGGCGCCAAAGCCGACCACTTACACAGTGACACACTGCCAACCCCGGCGACAGTATCCGTCCCGTACATACATACAGTACTGTACCTGGGTGAGACGGTGAGTCCCGCGCTAGTCATCCAACCCAGATCGACGTGAATCCCGCCTGCACTGCAGCCATTGACTTCCCGACGCGGCGTGCCTGCACCAGCATGTCTTCGATCAAGAAAGGGGGCGGCGAGCGAACGAAATGGCACGGGCTGCTCCATGTGGCTTGCCAGCTTCTTTTTAGACCATAGACGGTGGACAAGGGAACAACAATATCCGGCGCAACTTGCATCTATCGTCTGCAAGTTGCTGCAAGTTACCTACGACACTAGACCCGAACAATCGGGTTTCTCGTCAGGTCAACGACAAGCATCGGCGACGCATGGCTTTTTGGCCTTGACAAGGACCCCTGCACGCTGAGCTTGCACGTACATGCCCTCACCCGTTTCGTCCGACGTGCCTCGAGAGTCTTCGCCTCACTGGTTGGAGCTTCCCGCAGACCAATCGAGGGGCCCGGACGAGGCACAGGTTGCAAGCCTCCCAACCAGGCCCGTGAACATGCTTCCACCGCCCAACCACTGGTGCTGTCAGCCCGACTGCAAAACGGCGAGCATCCAACGTGCAAGAGTGCGAGCACGCCGTTTATAGATACAATGGGCCCAAAACCGCGGCCGCCCACACATATCCCATCCTACTTCCTTCCCCCATCCTAAATCTTTGCCTAAGAGAGTTATTATATACGTAGGCGGCCAGTAGACAGTAAGCAGCAAAAACACCATCGTCTATCTGTCTATCTAACTCCAACGCTGCAATCCTTTCAAAATGAAGCTCGCCATTGTTTTGTCGTTTGTCTCGCTGGCTCTCGCCTCGGTGCTCGACCGTCGGGAATGCGCCGGCAACAACTGCAACCGTGCCATATCCGGTACTCGCCCGGGCATCTCTCCGGCCAGCGTCCGGTCTGCCGATTGCAAGAGCTTCCTGCTGACAGTTGTCACCCCGTCGCCGACGTAAGTTCGACCTTTCCTCTCGATTCGTTCGGCCCTACTCTTTTTTTTTCCCTCGCCGCCACCTGGCTCCCTGCTGCGAATATCTATATTTTATAAAATGAAATAAAATCTCATCAACTACTAACCATACTATATAGCACTACCACTGTCACGGTTGACGAAGCCGGCGCCACGCCCCTCAAGCGCGACCTCATTCTCGAGGCCCGCCAGGTCACCCAGACGGCCAGCGTGGTGCCCACATACGCCTCTGCCTGCTCCTCTCCCGCCGCCTACGCCTCGGCCTGTTCGTGCTTCGGCGTCACTGGCTCCGTCTCCACAGCGCCCACGCCAACCGTCACTGTCACCACCACTCTGGACTTTTGCGTCGACCTTTGAGCGGGGTGACGGGGAACGGTAGGAAGGAGTCTCTTGGGGGGATGATGGGATGTTAGTGCGTGCTTGACCCTCTATCGCCATGGCCGAAGTTTTGACTGCTCTTGTTCAGGGGAGTTAAGGGTGTTAAGGGGTGAAGGAATCGAAGGGGTGGATTGGCCTGGGCAGGTGAGGGGGTTGTTCTTTCGCCTTCATGTTTATGGCCAGGACAGGCCCCAAACGGATCCGCCATACTTGCGACGATGGCGACAGCGACGGCAATATCAACGATACAAAGTCACCTTTTTTTGTACCGGGGCTGGCCAACCGATACAAGCTATCTCCTGGTTTCTCTCTATCGTCAAAATTCATATTTTATTTTTAGATGAGATCAGTCATTCCAGCGAAAAGCGTGTGAAAAGAAATAAAATCTTGTTTCGACGAAACCAAAAGAGAGAAATATTAATGTTTCACTATAAATATAATCCCCTCCGAGAATTGCTTCTAAGATAGCCGTTGTCTCCTACGGTAAGCTTCTCTTTACGGCCTGAGAGTGATTCGTCTGGGCTATCGAATGTGCATCTCCTTTCTTTACGGAGTACACAACGCGTAAGTCGGCCTGTATGACTCTATCGGAGCACTGCCATTCAATTGCTTGACTTTTTGCGCCATACCTGACCGCGGCAAATGCTCAACTATGTTCATTTTAGTGTACTCCGTATGCGTGGTAGTGGGTATAAGTCATTTCACTTTGGTAATAGATCTAACTGTGGAAACCGCTTCTTTAGTAGGCGATAGAAAATACACAATGCGGAACAAAGACAAACCCCTAACGAGAAATATCTGTCGACAGCGCGCCTGTGTGAAGCAAAGCGGTTCGTGTGTTTGGGCCCCTTGGCATTGCTCGGGTCTTGGGCATGGCTGTAGCGTTCGGACGAAAAGAGATAAGATAAACACTCCGTATCAGTCATACTCATATCTCTATCAAAGAAACAAGAAGCAGGTGTATCTGTTATGTATTTAAGGAAGGTTTCTGTTCTCCTGCCTTTTTTGTCGACTCTGGGGATGGGATGGCTGCGAGAACCCCAGCCCTACAAGACCTCTAAAGCAACTTCGAGGACTCGAGGTGTTTTGGGACTCGAGAAACAGACAATTAAGGGATCATAGCTAATCCGCACCGCTGCCTCGTGTTCGCTGCTGGCTTCGACAGAATACAGAAAGATGCAGTACGAGTACGTACGGAAGATCTAGGTACCGAGAATCGATCGAACCAACAGTCTACTTTTTGCTCCGCAGCATTTGTTGCACGAGCTTCCAACAGATACCGAGGAAGGAAAGAGGAGCTGTCTGGAGAGGTTGCCCCGCCGGCATTTGGCCCGCTAAACCGTAGTTGGACTAGCTCGAATCGGCTGAACCGGATTCTGGAAGGTCTAGACGGAGTCCCAGCGGTTGGACTTGCAGTTGCCCGCCCGCCTGTGTTTGCCATGCATCATCCGCGGCTGACGGTGCGTGCAGGTTAAAGTTTAAAAGAGATCCGTCAAGCTAAAGAATTCTTACCTTTACCTTCCCTTCCCCTTTTATTCATCAGGCACATGTCAAAAACAACTCGTGTGTCGTTTTTCGCTTCGCTTGCACGGCTCTGGGCTAGGCTAGCACCCAACCAGCCCCTTTTTGGCGGGGTTTCCCCACAATATCCCCCACGTTACGCGCAGGCTGTGCCGCCCTTCTTTGATCCCTCTTCACATGTCAGTCGCAACAGGCGGGCGCGTGACGCCATGATTCGTGAGTTGGGGCCAAGCCAGCGCTGCTGGGCCGCGCATTCCACCGGCTCTACGCGGGTGGGCAGCTCTGAATTGGAAACAAAGCCGGCGAGGCACTGCACTGCACGGCAGTTATTACTAGTAAGTAGCAGAAACAGCATCATGCGGTCTCGTGATACGTAGGTGCGTACGCTCGACATTGCAAAGTCCGAAGTAGACTCGAATTTGTTCTTCTCCTTACTCTGATACATACCCCTTTTTTACCTCGCTGTCTTACCTGACGATTGGTTTTTTTGTTCTTCGTTCTTCGTCTCCTTATTCTATCGTACCCCTCTCCTTGGGTTGTCTGGCTTGACCGAGACTCGTCTCCGTTGGAAATCGTCTTGGGATATTCCCCCACCTTCCCAAGCCAACCATTTATTGTTTATCCAAAAAGAATTACGCCCTGGGTGGCTGAGCTTTTTCGTCTTTCGAGCCCCGACAACATCATCTTAAAAGCAGCGGTTAGAGGGGACAAGTTGGGGTAGCTAGGGCTGCTGGTAGCACTCTATCCGAAGTCATCCGTGTCTTTGTTTGTGTCTCTACTGCGGCCGGTACACACGACCTCGAACTCCAAGACCAAGACCAATCCGAGCGGGTTTTGAAGCCCATGTTTGACGGCACCAGATAGCGAACCGGCACAGCTCGCCGAGCTTTGGCCCACTACACGTTCCAGGCCGTTTGGCTCTGAACCAGTTTCGCTCGCTATGATAGACCACGTCCTCGGGAGGCCCTCGGTCAAGTCCCGAAGGCTGCAGGTCCTCGCCGTTATAGGCTTCTGGTCGGCCTATCTGCTCAGGTATGCTCTCGATCTCGCTCCCCGCCGAGTGTGTGTTCTCCTCGTTGACGCTGCTATAGGGGCAACAAACATGGCCCTCCCGTGTTCCGCCTCTTCTCGCGCATGTTCTCCAAGCGGCTAACAGCATGGCAGACCGTGGTCATGACCATGATCTACCTCTACGCTGCCCGGAACTTCAGCACTCTTGTCGGCCTCGCGAGCCCCGAGCCCATGTCCAACATGTACGACGCCACCTACTTCCGCGCCACTTGGGTGCTCACCGCCCTAGACGCTGGCTTCTGGACCGCCATGAAGATTAAGAGCAAGTGGCTGCGCGACCTGGCCTCCATCGTCTTCTCCGTCTTCTACATGGTGGCTGCCGAAAAAGCCGACGAGAAGGTCCGCAAGGTCCGAGGCAACCTGACAATAGACCATCTCCGCATCAGCTGGAACAAGGGGAACCAGTCCCCATACCTGCGCTTTTTCCAGGGCCTCGTCCGCCCGCGCTTTACTAGGTGGCCGCCGCGGGCCATCCGGATACCCCGGCCGGCCACTAGCGACTACAAAGACCCCGTCTCCGCCTGGCTTTATTACGACGGGCCCCTGTCCGATCTCGAGCATCACAACAAGGTTGTCTTAGACATCCCGGGCGGCGGCTACGTGGCGATGGATCCCCGATGCAATGACGACAAGCTGCTCGCCTGGGCTGCCAAGACGGGCCTGCCCGTGCTGAGCCTCGACTACAAAAAAGCCCCCGAGTACCCGTACCCCTACGCCCTGAACGAATGCTACGATGTCTACTGCACCCTGATCAAGAGCCGCGGCCGATGTATCGGGCTATCCGGAAGGGAGGTGCCCAAGGTGGTTATCACGGGCGACAGCGCCGGAGGGACCCTGGCGACATCCATGACGCTGATGATCATCGAGAGTGGCTCCTCCCCCGTTCGTCGCTTCCACAATGGCCAGTTGGATCTTCCTATTCCCGACGGCCTGATCCTCTTCTATCCTGCCATGGACATGAACATTGGCAATTGGATGTCGGACGAGCAGATGGCGCTGATCAAGGATCGCAGCATGCGTGGCACCAACAAGCCCATCATGCAGCGCAAGTCGATGCAGTACAACGACCTGGTCGGGACTCCCCACCAGTCTGATAATGAGGACGATGCCGGCTCGGGGTCCAAGACCTCGGATTCGTCCAGCCAAGAAGAAGGTGAGAATACCCAAAATAAAGATGCGAGTGATGGCGGCCATGTGCAAGATCCCGCGCCCAAGTACGCGCACTCTGGGCCTACGACATGGGGCCAGACCCAACAACAGGAACAAGGCCAAGGGAACAGTTTAGTTCCTTCTTCTCCCGACGTGCCCGTAAAGCGCCAGCAAAAGAAAAGCATGTCTTCTCACCATCCGGAGCCGATGCGCACGCGGCTAGCCATGTCGAGCATGCTGTCATACTTCAACGACCGTGTTCTGACACCCGAGATGATGCGCGCCATGATTATCTTGTACGTCGGGCCACACAACCGCCCCGACTTTAGCCGTGACTACTTGCTCAGCCCGATACTGGCCCCCGACGTGCTGCTGGCGCGCTTTCCAAAGACATACTTCCTGACGGGCGAGCGGGACCCCCTCGTCGACGACACGGTTATCTTCTCGGGCCGCCTCCGCCGCGTCAAGGCCGCCCAGATAGCCAGCGGAGGTACCCGCTTCGAATACCAGGACCACGACGCCCACGCCCCCGGCTTCAACGAGCGCGATGTCGCCGAGGTCGCCCTCATCCCCGGCATCAGCCACGGCTTCCTCCAGTTCCCGACCGTCTACCCGCCGGCCTGGGGCCTCTTTGACCGCACCGCCCACTGGATCGAGGACGTGTTTGTGGACGCGGAGCGCAAGGAGCGGGACCGCAAGAGGGGCCGGAGACCCACTAACGACGTAGCCAGCAACAACGGCCTGCTCAGCGGGAAGACGCTAGTGGAAACACCTGCAGACATCGCATCGGCGCCGGCGACTGGGGCAGCCACGACGGCGGGGCGGCACCACTTCCGCCACGAGTCGAGCGGCGACGAGGACCGGCCGCTCGAGATGATGAGCATGACGCGGGCGAGGACCCGCTCGGTAAAGGAAGCCGCCGACGAAGCCAGCCCCCCAGTGGCTTCAACAGCCGGGCGGGGAGGGGCTGCTGCCAGCGCCGACAGCGTCGCCAAGGGAGAATACGTGAGCGAAGAAAGTGTACCCGCCGGTACCGACGACGTCGTCGCTGGCGAGGAAGACGATAGTGGCGACGAGGCAACCAAGAGGGGCGGTAACAACGGCGCCGCTGGGCGCGGCGGTGGTGACCTGAAAAGGAAATCCAAGAGGGGCGGCGTCCGCCGCGTGCGCACAAAGGACCACAGCCTTATCAAGCTCGCCAGCTCTGACGACCTGCTCAGCAGGCGCATGCACGGCCTGGCAGGCGGGCTCACAGGGCTGCCAACGGATCCGGAATAGAGAAAATAAACCCCCCTCTCGAGGTGTACTTGTGGGTAGTTAAATAGATGGATATTGGAAGGGGGGGAGAAACGGGGGAATGTATTTTGGTTGGCATGGAAGCGTAGGCATCTACACGAACATGTTTTGACGATGATGTGTGTGTGTGTGCTGTACATATGTACAATACAATACAATACTACAAAGCGGACTCTCTCCGAAAACACGCGAATTTACAATTTTCACCATCTATTCGGGCGGTCAAAATTGCCCAGCTCAGTAACGAAGTTGTTTTGAGCTGGTTTGCGTTCGGTGTTGCTATCGTTAGCAGTTTAGAATAATCTGTTTGTTTGTTGAATCCCTGAAAAGGGCGGGGGGCTTGTTTCAAGACGCTATCGTCCCCCGATAGCCTCGGTGCGGTTCGACAAGGAGTGCGTAGGTACTTACCTTGGTTATAGTAGTAAACCAAAAGGGGACCAATGATTCATTCATATTGGGACTCAAGTACCAATTCGTAGCAGCCCTTCCTGGATTCGGATTGTCTAATGGTTTCTCCTTTAGAATCTGTAGGGAGCAGATAAATCAAGGGTTTGAATTTTTTGCTTGCTTCATTTGTGCTTCCAAAAAGACCAAATGCGGATAGACAGACAGACAGACAGACATTGCTAGATCATGGATGGACGATGGACGTGTTTGTGTTTATGTGTGTCATTGCTTTATGATTCACAGCTACAAACGAACCCCCTAGTGGCTGAACTTCTTCCCGCTACATTTGAGATTGCATGTTTGGCTGAGCACCAAACTCGTCTTCTTCCAAGTTTCTGCCAACTGCTCGTGTCTTATTGCGGGCTGGGGCGGGTGCTCTCTCTCCGGCCGCCCCTTTAGCAAATGGCGTGCGTCTTGCCGGTCCTGCCCTGGATAGAGTGCGTCTCCTTCTGTAGTTGCGGCTTTAGCATCATGAACAATATTGAAGAAGAAGTGAGGGATCATGTGAAAGGGGTGGCTTACCCGGTACTTGGGGTGGTTGTGGGTTGCCTTGCCGCTGGCCGTGTGGTTCTTGTGAATAAAGTCCTGCTGCTTCTTGATGCTGTCACGGTCCATCTGTTCGAGCAGCTGCTGGCCGAGCTTGATGTCGGCAATCAGATTGTCGCAGCGGCTGCGCGTAAAGTCCTCGCGCACCACGACGCGCAGCATCTTGAGGTTTTCGGTGTTGGGCGCCATTGTGTAGGCCGGCACAACCCATCCGCGCACACGAAGCTGGCTGCAGGCGAGGAGGGGGTGTTAGCTTTCTGCCATTCCATTTCCGCAACTGGTGAGTACGTACTGTGCCAAGGCAAACTCGTCGTAGTTTCGGTCTTCTTGGGGCGTGAGGCGGAACGCTACAAGAGGCAGCCCCTCTCCCGACTTCTTGGACATGATGATGAAGCCCATGGCCTCGAGCGAGTCGGATAGGTAGTTGGCCGTCCGCGTCAAGTTGCTCATGATGGCACGGTATCCGTGCTTGCCGAGGCGGATCAGCTGGTAGTACTGCCCAATGACCTGGCTGGCGCCTTTGCTGAAGTTTAGCGTGAACGATGCTTGGTCGGCGCCAAGATAGTTGATGTTGAAGACGAGCTCTTTCGGCAGGTATTCGGCGCTACGCCATACAACCCAGCCGACGCCGGGGTATACGAGGCCGTACTGTAATTTTGGTTAGTGTCGGCACTATCTGAGCCTATGACTCTCGGAAAGCAAACGCTGCCGTCTTGGACATACCTTGTGGCCGGAAACGTTGATTGAGACAACCTTCTCCAGACGGAAATCCCACTCAAGGTCCGGAACGACGAACGGAGCAACGAACCCGCCGCTAGCCGCATCGACGTGAATGGGGATGTCGAGCCCCTTCCTCACCAGCAGATCGTTAACGGCCTTGACGTCTTCGTACTCCCCCGTGTAGGTAGTGCCCAGAATGGCGCAGATGCCAATGGTGTTCTCGTCGACAAGGTTGACCGTCTCCTCGGGGTCGATGACGTATCGTTCCTGGGTGCAGTAGACGAGCTTCTCGTCCACCTCAAAGTAGCGGGCGGCTTTCTCCCAGCAGACCTGCACGGCCGAGGACATGATGATGTTGGGCTTGTCGGTCGACTTGCCTGCGGCCACGCGCTTGTTCTTCCAGCGCTTCTTCATGGCCAGCACGGCCAGCATTATGGCCTCAGAGCTGCCGACGCAGGACGTGCCTACTGCGCCCTTGGTTGCGTGGTCGGAGCCGACTGGCGCGTTGAACAGGCGGCCGATCATGGACACGCATCGGTTCTGTATGTCTGCCGACTGGGGGTACTCCTCGTAGTCGATGAAGTTCTTGGAGAAGGACTCGGCCATGAGCTTCTCGGCTTCTTCCTCCTGCGCGGCTGTCAGTGACTATTTGATGCGTGGCCTTGTGCTTGTCCTACAGCGAATCATTACCATGTAAGTCGTGACAAACGAAGCCAAGCTGTGTTTGGTCAGCGAAAGCCAGGAACTCGAAAGGGCGAAGCTTTAATCGACCTACTTCAGCATGGGGTTACCGTCGAGACTAAGCTCATCCTTGATCATGCGATATGCGACCTCCTTGGGCATCTCCCTCTCGGGCATCTCGTGCCTGGGCAGGTCGAGGGCGGCAAACCTGGAGCCGTAGACGCTGGTGGTGAAGGCATCCTCGTCGTTGACAAGCTGTAGATGGGCCTTCTTGACGCTCTCGACGAGCTTGTCATCGATCTCGTCCTCGGACGGGATGGTGCTGAGGTGGACCATTTTTATTCTGGCTGTGATGTATGTACAGTAACGTACGTCGACGGGCTTATTACGGGATACGGCGGAATCACAGCAGGAAGAAGCTTTGCAAAGTCTCTGGGAACGGGACAGGACAGGTGGGATGGGACGGGCAGATGCAGCAGATGCCTTAGCAGCTAAGGTATGGATGTAATGTATGGAGTATGACAGCTAGCAAAGGTGCTAGGACCGATGTGCAAGAGGTTGGGAGAAGGCGGCCCTGTTATAGCTATCGCTGCGATGCGAGGCGGTGAGGTGCGGACGATGTAGTGAGGTGCGTTGGCTGAGGGGTTTTATGCAGCAGGAGCGTCACCCAATGCACTCCTTTGTTAATCCAAACGTCTGTTTGGTCTGTTTGCATTTCCCGTTGGCACCTCTCTCACCTAAGAAAGATACGGCATGCACGGTTGTAAGAGAGCTGGAGCTGGAGTTGGAGCTCGAGCTGAGCCACTCAGGGGTAGGAGGAAATAAAGCAGCGGAAATGGCGGGGGAGCTCTGCCCCGCACATCTCATGATTCATCAGCCAGGACGCTCAAGGAGGATGTGGTAAGCGCCTTGTGCGATTGTGCAATAGCCAGTAATTTGGGCACAAGTCCCGAGCAAATGGACTGAAATCGTTTTTTGGAGACATGGACACGAAGCCAACTCCCGTCTGTGGAAGGTGCGAGGGAAACAACACCACGGAAGGGACCGTGACAGGAGACTGCCAGTTTGGTGGCGAGCTGGAGGCCGCCAAGCTTCCAGGTTGGCGGGGGGGACCTGCCCTGCCGAACTCGTGGAGGTCGTTTTTGTTCGGGCTTGGGCAGTTACGTATGCCACAGAATCCGGTCACACCTATGCACATGTGCATATGTACTGTACTGCACGAGTGACGCAGCTGCTTCATAAAGCTTGTATTTCCGTCGCACAAGTGCGTTTCTGAGTGCTCTCAGCGACCTATTGCCCCTTCGCGGATGCGGTGAGTGGGGTTTCGGACCGCCGTCGCCCTACACAGCAGGGCAGGCCTGGCCTGCAGCGGACGGATCGCGCTTGCTGCAGCGAGCACCAATACGCTGGGCTGCGGGGTGAGCGGCCGACTATAAAATGGAAGGCAGTTGGGTGCAAACACGCTGTGGGCGGCAGGCAAGGGCGAATGCACCTGCCGTGCAATTCGGGCTTCGTATTGGTCTCCACGCCCATAGGTAGCAGAAGCCACTAGACTGCACTTTTTGATTTCACAGAAGGTCAGAGATGCAAATCTTGGAGAAGGACAGCCATTCAAAGACAAAAAATGGCGCGACAGCCCATACCGACATTCCCCAACGCATGTACAATTCATACGTAAAACACTACCTGGTAGGGTTGGTATATATTTACACATGCGAATTCCCTCAACTTTTTGATGGTTCGATGTCGGTGGCGCATCATCACACTGTTGTTGGGTCTCAAACCCCCACGGATCCCTTCTGCAGCCAGCCTTACCGAGAGACAATACCAGCTGAGCCAACGATAGATAACCTTGCCTCGGATGGCTATCATGGGGCTGGGGGCAATACCTTCGTTGTTAGTATACGCGGTCATACGAAGACTGAGTAACGAGCGAAAACCACCCATAGCCACAATCTGCTCTGATTATGTGGCGCGGCATTCGAATGTTCTCGGGCACCGTTTTTACCTAATGTCACCCAGCACTACTACCTACGTCTCACGATATCTCCTGCTTTTTTATCGTGCCCCAAAGACTGAAGATCTGCTTCCACAAATCGACAGTCTTTCTCCCACTGCCGAGACAGAAACACAGCCACCTGCTATTTACCGCGGTTCTTACTGACTCGGAACAAGTATCTCCCATGGCACTTGTCCGGCCATCGATGCTATCAGCCAGCTCCAAGCTCGATGCGTCGTCAGTTCTCAGCTCAGGGGCTTACACCTGATTATACGGATACCTGGCGAGGAAGCCCCTGACCAACAACATTGTTCATGGCTACACGAGAAGCCCAGCTGGACAGCTTACAAGGGCCGTGAAGGCGGGTGCCATACCCGAAAGCCAGTGCCCCCTGTTACACGGACTATACATTCTTCGTCCCCGCTGAAGGTGAGGGAACTCCTTTTCAACTCATTTCACACAACACAACCCAAATCAGCCATTTATTTTCCATGTGGAAGCCGCGTGTCCGATTCGAAAGTTCTATACAAGTCCGTGTCCATGTTGCTTCGTCTCAGCCCCAAAGGGTTCGTGCCAAAGCTCAAAATGCATGTCGCAGGCGGCCAACAGGGGTTGGGGGTGCCTTGCCTTACCTACAGCTCCGACATGATCTCACTAAATATTTCGGCGAGCCGGCCACCTTCCACCCACAGCGCGTCATGCCCGCCTGTCGCATCTTTCTCGTCTACCTGCAGCGAGGGAGACTTCTTGAGGTAGGCCCTCATTTTCTCGAGCTGGCTGTACGGCACCAAAGTGTCCCCGCTGCTCTGGACAAGCACAACCCTTCTTCCCTCACTCCATTCGTCTGGCCACCATGTGGCCGTCGCAGGACACGCTGTCTTCCACACACTCTCGTCGTGACCGAAGGCGTTGCGCGTGAACACCACATAATCGTCGCGTAGCCACTCGAACCCTGGGGGCGTGTCCCCGATGAAGCCCGCGAGGTCGTAGAGTCCGTTGAGGCCAAGCAAAACAGTGGGCTTCGCAATGGTGATGCTCAGACCCCATCGCGCCGGATCCATGACAGCCTGAAAAGCCAGCATCGCACCGCAGCTATGGCCGGACAAGACATACGGACCCGTCGCGGCCCCCAGACGCTGCAGAAACGAAATACCGGCGAGGACGTCGCTGATGTGGTCTGGGTGCTTGGCCTGCCGGGCCGGGTCCGACGACGGGTCCTGATTTGGCGACAGTCGGTAATTGAGCGACGCCACACCAGCCACGGAATCGAGACTGGGACCGGGGTCGGGGCCGGAGCCGGGGCCGGGGTCGGCTGTGCCTCGTAGGAGGCGCTTTGCAGCGGCGGAGATGGCCGACGAGCTTATCCCGGGATCGCACCACGCGCCACCGTGGACAAAGACCAGCCAATGGCCCGGGCGGCTCGGGAGCGACGCTGCATCAATAACGGTGGCTTCAGACGGGGGGCCAGCCGGGATCCAAACGTCGAGGGTCTGCAGCGACACACCCCCTGCCACATACGGAACATGTTGCTTACGCCAGCCAATAGCTTTGCCCGTCTCGTCGTCGGCGACGGGCGTCCAGGGAACTGAGGCCCATGCAAATCGGTCATCGGCCGACATTTCGCTCGGACGCGCGCCGCGCGACCAACCTGGCAATAACACGTAACCCAACAAGATCCTGGTTCGCCGAGTGTCTCCTTGCTGGGTCTCACGGGTAGGCCTCTTGGAAATCCTTCAAGTCTGAGTCGCGAAACATGCGACGTATTCCCAACGCCTGTTTGCGGTGACGTTGAGAGTGGAACTGTCACTGCAGGGAGTATCGATTAAACCCCCCCCACATTTCCCACTTCACCTGCCTCCCGTCGGGGTTCTTTCCGGAGTGCCAAGCTTTCTGCGGTGGGCTTCCGAAACTCCCGAACTCCCTTCCCCCTCCCATGTCCCCCTTCCCCGCCTGTTCGGCTCGGCAGCTCGGAACATCCGGCTCGACGGCAGAACTGGGGGGGTCCGCCCCCAGGCAAAACTAACTCTCCACAAATTCTGTCTGTCGGGGTCCTTTGCCTGGAAAACGGAGAATTAATAGGCGACCTCTATTATTCCGCTGTCCACTTGAGGGTGTGGTTAACAAGGACCTTGAAGGGAGAATAATACTACATGTCATATCCCTTATTCCAACCACCCCTCCGACGGGAAGGGGGGGGGTTAGAGCTAATCGGATTGTATGCCGGCGAACTCTGCCGGTTTCCGAAAGAAAGGAAAAACGAAACGAAAAAAAATCATTTTTGAATACATGCACACCCGCATAAAGTCCGGCAAGTAGAAACTTGCCTGCCGAACTGGACCCGACCGAACTAGCCGACCGGCCTGGCATCCGGACCAGCCTTTCAACACAAGTTATATATCCGATAGGGTGGGCGCATAAGGTAGGTAGCTTGGTGCTCTCCGGGACTCCCCAACCCCATCCAATTCGAGCGGGGGGGTTGTTTTTTTCGCTTGCACATATATATATATATATATGGTACTCTACTTTAACTGCGCTGCTACGGCAGTCTGATCTGGATCCCGAACACTTTTTCTTTTTGGAAAGGGGAGAGGGGGGGAGGGGAACACCGGACGGGGGTGGCTGCAATATGCTGTCGCACGTTTTTTAGAGTGCGCAGGCAATATGATAGAATCAAGCTGTTTGTGTATACCTTACCTTACCTATGTGCATGTCGGATAGATGGGAGCGAGAATGGAGCGGGCGTTGATTGCTGAAAAATCTAGACTGCATACCGAGGCAGGCGAGCCTGAGTCCCGGGATGGAGTGTGCATGCGTGTGCGCACGTGTTGTGGGCATGTCTATGTGTGTCCGTGTGTGCCTAGGTGTGTGGAGTCGGTCCACTGTCAAGAGCTGTTGTTTACTATTGCTCATCTAGCAGAGGAAAAAGAGGTAGAGAGGCTTTGGCCATCATTCGTAGAGTAATGTGATATGTACTTTTTTTTTGCTTCTGGCTGGGCTGCCTTCCTTCGGGCGTGTTACATAAGTTTATATATGTATGTATATATCAGTCGCCTGCCTTCCCGCCCGCCCACGACAACATATATATATGTTTTTTCCGACCTCCTTCCCCTTCCACCCCCTCACTCCGTGCTGATATCGTGTGTCTTTGCTTCACTTCGTATCCCTTTTTTCCCTCCCCTCTCTTCTCTGGCGTAGACAGATCGAAACAAAACCTGACAAGGTGACCTATGAGGTGTCTTCATCGAATGTGTGTCGTGGTCCGAGTTTTCTCCCTCCCTTTTTGATAGATATCCCGTCCTTCAAAGTCGGCAGTTTACAAAAAACAAGGCAAAGAACAAAAACAACGCTAGAACAGTGGTATCAAAATAAAATGAAGGAAAAAAAGCCGCCAAAATATTCTTCGCCTACCGATAGTTTGTTTACCCTTTGCTGGGGGCCGCACGTGCTGGCCGAGCAGGAAACAACACATAGCCAGACAGCAGTAGTGAAACAAGAAAGAAACGAGAAAAGCAAGCTGGTATCTTCCCACCGATTTGACGAAGACGAAAAAATGAAGACGGAGAATAGCAAAATAAACGCGAATATTTTTTAAGTAGTAGGGAAAAAGCCTCCGGGGATATATCCAAGGCCAACCGCAGGGGTGAATATGGAGGATATGGTAAAAGACCGAGTAATGAGGACCCTAAAATTCATCAAAGCGTCAGAGGATAAATGTATAGTACGTATTGTGTGATGTACGCCTGGCCTCCCGTACAGGGTATTTATGTGCGTGTGTCGACGGGGTAAAGGGGGAGGGGAGGATCATGTAATCAACCCCTTACCCCCTCCCCGTCCCCCTTTTCGTGCCCTGGTCGTGAGGCAAATAACCATCGAGGAGCCGTGGAGGTGGAGGGTTGTGTGGGGAGGAATTTGCGTCGTCTCTCGTCTGACGCGGAAGCCAAGTAAAAGGAACCTATCGTGAGTCATGGGCGTTTGAAACCCCAACTCCTTCTTTCCTTTTCCTTGACTTCTTGGACTTCGCCGTCCCTTTTCGTTTGCTTGCAAACAGCGTGTTACACTGATACGCTTGCTCGCGTGGCTCGTGACGTCGCTTTGTTTGTGAGTTCGAGTTCGGCCACCCCTCTAGCTAGGGGGATATCTTTTGCTCTCCCTCTGTTATACGAACAGACGTAACTTCCTTTATATTTCCATCATAGTCATAGCGTGGGGGAGGACTGGGCTGACACCTCGCCTGCTGACTGCCTGTCCTGCCTGCTCTCCTCTCCCTGCCTGTAAATGTGTGCTCCTTGTCAAATATAAAAACCCGCGAGGTAGGTTCTCATATGATATTCGCAATGCTGATACGCTCCTGGTTCTTGCTCCTGGCCACGCCCGCGGCGGTGGGGCTGTTCGATGATGCCATGACGCCGCTGCTGCTGTTGCTTCCGCCCATCTCCATCTTGATGTTGACGGGGGCCGCAAGCTGCTGAGGCGGCGGCAGGTGTGGCAGCAGCGGAGGCCAGACCTGTTGTCTCTGGGCAGCGGACGGTGCCGTGATGGGCGTCGTCGACTGGGACGTCAGGAGCCCTTGCACAGCGCCCTGCAGGCCCTCCCAGCCAGAAGATGCCCACTCCCAGCGCTCGTCGCTCGTCAGGCTGGTCCGCGCCTCGAGGCTGAATAGGCTGTGCTTCCCTCCCGCCGTCGCAGCTGCCGCCGTGGGCGAGTGGTTCAGTTGGTGTTGGTGGTGCACTTCTGGCGGCTCGCGCTCGCCGCCGGCCCAGACCCAGGCCGTGTCGCTGCCGGCCTGCAGGTCGGCGCTGACGTAGGCTAGCAGCTCCTCGTCGCGAAGGAGAGCGTCCTGTAGAGCGCCGGGCGCCGGGGCGCGGTGCGCGTGCTGCTGCTGGGAGGGGCCGGACGGGGCGGCCTGCGCGAGAAAGGCGGCGTACTCGGCCTTCTTGGACCCGAGGGCCGAGACAAAAAAGGCCAGGAAGCGGCCACACGGGGCAGCCACGTCGCAGTGCTCGTTGATGGCGCCCAGGGCGCGGATGCAGCTGGACGCCTGCTCCAGATAGCCCGTCAGCAGCAGGAACAGTGTGCAGCGGAAGATGTGGGTCGTAAGCAGCGCCGTAGCGCCCTCGGGCAGGGCCGACGTGGTGCGGGCGAGCAGCGATGCCGTCTCGAGGGCCGTGTGGGTGCACTGGTCGATGGCGGTACGGCGCACGTCGGGCGGGCACGTGGGCATGAGATTGTGCCGGTGCAGAAGCAGGCGCGCGTGTAGTAGGTATATCAAGGGGTTCAGGAGCACGGGCGAGAGGGCCGCGTTGCTTGAGGGGTCGCACGTCTGCGGGAAGGTAGACAGGCACGAGGCAAAGTGCTGGTCAAAGGTGGCAAGGCGGGTGGGCGCGATGACGGGCGTCGACAAGGCCCGGCCCAGGGCCGTGTACGAGCGCACGACGTGGATGACGGCCAGCAGCGAGTGCGTCAGCGGTTCGGCGCCGGTGGGCACCAGCATGCCGCCGTCGTGGATGAAGTGGTCGTCGACGTGGGCTGGCAGCTGCACGTCGCAGTCCGAGTCATCAATGAGCGCCGGCCGGCCGAGCTCGAGGGCCAGGCTCCGGTCGAGAATGTAGATGGTCCACCACGTCCTACGCCGCATCTCACCCTCGATTATGGGCCACGGGCCCGACTCCGAGTAGAGCCCAATGTCCTGGGCCACCCGCACGGCGCTCCCGAGCCAGCTCCACGCCGCCGACTTGAGATTCAGCTCGTTCAGCGCAATGGTGATCAGCACTAGCGTCCGCGCATTGTCCAGCACCGGCTCGTTGTTCCAGGGGTCGATGAGCGTGCGGGCCGTCTCCACCAGGTGAGCGGCCGAGTAGGCTCGGTTCTGCTCGTTCTCGACCGTAAAGAGCCTGCCCACGGCGAGCACGGCAAAGAAGAGGGACATGAATGTCTGCGGCACGCGCACGGGGCTCCCCGGCTTGTACAGGTTGTCGACGGCCTGCTGGAACGAGGGCCAGTGTACGATGGGCGTCATGGTGTGGGCCGAGGCGTAGTAGGCCCGGAGCAGCGGCTCCGTGGCCTGGCGGGGCGGCAGAAGATGCTGGAAGTCTCGAAGCTCGGGGGTGGCGGGCCGGCGGAAAGGGGCGGGCGGCTTCCACACGCCGCGTGAGAAAATGCGCAGGTTGGACCTCGCGCGGGCTAGGTCGTGCATGGCGGCCGGCCTCTTCTTGTGCTTGGGCGCCATGTTGATCTCGGGGAGCTGCAGGGGCAGCTGCTCGATGCCGTCGACGTCCATGTCCAGGGGCCCGTCTCGCTCCTGCATCAGGCGGCGGAGCGTCGAGTTCTCGCGCTGGACGCGCTGCATCTGCTTCTCGAGGTCCTGAACCTGCTTGATGGACGACATGCGCCGGTTCGTCTCCTTGGTGAACTGGCACTTGACGCTGCGGCTCGAGCACTCGGAGCAGCTCGTCATCTCGGTGGCGTCGCACTTGACCTTTCTCTCGCGGCAGGCATCGCAGCTGGGGTCCTTCCTCCTCTGGCGGTACGCCCGCTTCTGGGCCTGGGAGCTCGACGACGAGGGCAGCTGGGCGTGCGAGGGCACCGGGGTGCCGCCCACCGACTCGCCCGAGGGCAGCGAGTCCCTCCCCATGGCGGACGACGTGGCCGTGACGGGCGTGTAGGGCTGGAACGGGCCCTGCGAGGACGAAGAGGGCAACGGGGGGATGCCTATGGGGTGAGGAGCCTGGGCCGGATTCGACCTGGACGTCGTCGGGGTTGCTGTTGCCGAAGCTGCTGATGAGGATGTCGTCGTGGTCGTTGTCGTCGAGGTCGTCGAGGTCGAGCCCATCAGGCCGCTAAGATACTGCGTGGGCGGCTTGGGCGAGGTGGCCGACGAAACGGACGACGAGTCGTAGGACCGCCTGGAGGGGTTGGGGGATCGAGCATACGGGTTGTGCGACACAGCTGCCATGGTGCTGGAGCTGGTACTGGTGCTGGAGTGCTGCTGGTGGTGCTAGAGGCGGAGTAAATCAACTTAGTCGGTCGTCTCCCGCGCAGCCTGTCTTGTCTGCTTCGGGTACGTCTCCACAAGGGCCCCAATAGGATGGATTCTGGGGGAGCTGCCGGTCAAGCAACATGCAGACGGATCATTTGGGGCTGTTTTCTGGGATTGGGGGGCGTGTTTAGTTTAAAGGGAATCCAAGCGCACTTCCGGCTCGACTCTCAACTCTCCACACTGGCCTGCACAATGCACACAGACAGGCAGACAAGCAGGCAGGTGCTACATAGACACCACACACACTCTCTCTCGTTCTCACACGCACACACACCCATACACACACAATTACTTTTTCTCTCTGAAGTTCACAGACCCAGACGATGCATACCCTTTTGGGGGAGAGTGAGAGTGAGAGCCAGGGATAATGTATGAGAAGAGAAAAAATAGAGAAAAAAAAAGAAGGGAGAGATGGAAGAGGGGTATCACATACGCACAGCTCTCTCTCTGGATCTCTCTTTTTCTTAGTAAACAGAACAGCGTTCTCAGTATGTATAGGGGGAAGGCAGCCCCCTTAAAGTTGCTTCTTGTCCCCAACAGCCCACAACCACTGTGGACTTCCTGGCCTTAGACGTCGAGGCCGTAAATGCAGTCAGTGCTTGTGTCGTTGCCGTCGACCGAGCCGGGACAGAAGGACTTGACACAAAACACACACAATGTCTCAAGCTCAAGGCCCAAGGGACTAGTCTGTTTCCTGTAGCTTGGGGGAGAAATGGAAGGGCGAACTAAAATCCAGAATGGAATCCTGCTGTTGGAATCGTTGTTCGCAGTGTTGTGTTGCAGCGCCGTGCAACCAACCCTCATGCCGCGTCTGATGCGTAAAAGGGTCTCCTGTGTGAGCTGTGTGTTGTGTGCTGTGGCTTGTCTGACCTCGCCCTTGCCCCGCAGGCTCCTCGAGGTAAACGAGGGTCAGAGAAGCAGAAGCAGAAAGCCGCACCAGCAGCAGTCGGGAGCTGTGCCGTTTGGCCCCGGAGTGGCCGCAATACGACATGTAGGTGTGTGTGCGCCTGGGTACGTGTGTTTTGGCGGCCGTATTAGTAGCACCCGTGGGTGTCAAGGCGTGGTTCCAATTCTAGAGAGTGTGCGGACGGGACGATGCGGCTGGTCGTGTGTATGTATTGTCCGTGTGGTTTAATGGATGGGGCTCGGCAAAAGCTGTCCGGCTGGCGGGTGTAATAAATGCGCGCCAGACAAAGGTACCCAATCCGATCTCGCAAACCCGCTAGACAGATAGACAGACAGACGATCCAGATTCAACACTCTCTGAGGCTACCGTACATACATACATACAGTCTGAACCGAGAGAGAGGGTGTGATGGGACGGATGGATGAGGAGGCGGCGCGGAGGCGGCGGCCCTGTATGAACAAGAGCAAACCGGATCCAGAGCGCTGCACGTTGCGTTGGGAATTCGTCGTTTTGCTAGAGAGAAAATGGGGCACCCCGATCTACGTACTGCCTAGGAGGAGCAACTGGCCGGCAACAAGGGGGAGTAACTGTTAATAGACAACGGCTGGTATCGATCGTTGAGCATCAGCAGTAGATTAGTGACTAAAAAAAAAAAATAGCAAACTCTGGCAGCCACTAAGCGTGATTCGAAAGGGCCAAAAGCGGCAATGCCAGGCCGGTAGGCACACGCCGGGGCGGGCTAGTGGAGGCGGGGGGGCATCTCAGCCATCCTACGTCCTCCCCATGTCATGAGTTATTCTACATCGTCGTCACATTATTAGCTTCCGTCCCACGCTGTTGATGTTGAATGTCGATAGTGTATGTATTGAAGGTACGATTCGGGATACATACAGACAGCAGCATTCAGTGTCCGTCCAGAGACACACCATACATCCGGTGGCGGGACCAAGCTGATCGTAGCCGTTGCAGACTTCAACTGCAGAATCTGGCTGTAGAGAGTAACAAGCACTCGATGCTATCATGCTACAGCCAGCCGGTCCGGTCTTGATGTCGTGCTCTTCTCGTGGCTTTTGGACACTGCACTCTCATCACGCCGTGTCTGATACCGTGTGCCCTTCCTTGCTCAGTGCCTCGATGCGTAACGTGTGCTCCCATCTCGCCTGCCTCGTGGGCAACTGGGCAGGCTTCTTCAGGGCTTGCCTGCCCTCCTCGCAAGCCATCCCTGCATCTGTCCATGAGGGAAAATCGTGGATGGCTTGTGCCTGGCTGGGGTTATCACCAGCGCGTTTCGAGCCGACAAGTGTGGTGGTTTCTCACCTCGGACGGCGTCACTAGCCACAGACCCCGGACCCTGTCAGTTCTGCCCACCCCTGGCCTGTCCAGGGCAAATCGGGAACCGTGCAAAAATAAGGTGCTGTGCCGCACCTCGCTGACATCTACCCGTTTTCTCCTTTCAGCGTGCCGCTGGTGTCGGCGCAGAGTGCCCGGAATGTCGAAAGCCACTGTGCTGGGTAGATGCTCCCAGTAGGTATTGTATGTACTGTACCGCACATACTTTGTACATGCATGCCCACTGAGCAAGATACATAGTAGCATATACCGTATCTGTATGCAGTACGTATCTTGAACCGTGTGCAAGTCGGAGCCATCAGATAGTGGCATGCCTCCCACTTCCACTGTGACGTGCTGGGGAGAGAAGTGTGGGAGGGGTTTATTAATGCTGGTCAAGGCATCGATATCAGATTGCCTTACGGAATATCCGTACTGAGTACGGATACTGCCAGATGGTATGGATGCAATGGGGCCACTGCCAAGCGGACCTCCCAACTCACCCCCTTCCCGGCGCATGTCATTCCTAGAGCCATTTACTGACCGGCAGCTGGTTTATTTGGCGGTGGGAGAACGCTTCCGAGTCGAGCTTAGCACCATTGCACGGCTTTGGGGAGACGATATAGGCTGGGAAACAGATCAACCGAACCATAGACACTACACTATGGACGGTCATGCGCCGTGGAGGGACCGTTGAATCGGTTGGCACTGCCGTAAGGATAGAGCCGGCGTATGTAATCGTTTCCATCTGTCTGTGTGTCTGCCTGTGTGTCTGTCTGTGTGTCTGTCTGTATGTGTGCCACATAATAGTCCGTTGCTGGAATCTGACAGACCTTACGAAATTCTTCTTTTCACCATCCAGTGCCACTGCTAGGGTGCCAAAGCCCTCTAGAAGCCGCACCCGCTGCTGCGCTGCGCCGTGTAGTATGCAGCAGCAGTAGATATCTATCCAGTATAGAATTAATGCGCGCCTGTCAGCCAACAGGGCACATGGCTCCCGCTGAAGGGGCTGAGGTCAGCCTGAGCCGACTGTGGCTTTCGGCTGTCCATCCTGCATGAGGCGCTAGTGGTAGCCTCGGGCTAAAGAAACAATGGGCCATGGGTAGATTCCGAGCCCGACCATCCACTCGGCATGGGTGCCAGGATCCTTCCGTGGCGTGACGTGATGCAGATTCAGAATCAACAAGAGTTGTCCTTCGCTTTCCCCACGCCTCTCGGCATCTTTTGGTCTCCGTTGCACACCCACAAGAGACTGTGGCGTATCGCATCGCCTGTGTAACCACGGCCATTGTCAGCCGGGCGGGCTGTCGAGAGGCTTTCGGCTGCTGACGGGGATGCACCCACCTGCCCGAGGAGAAGACAACGTGGTGTAGGTAGTGTATGTAGGTAATTCCGGGACTCAATATTCCGGACTGTACTATACCTACATACAATACGGTTAGGTACATATGTAAGGAGCACTGCATGAACCGGCGGGTAACTTGGGCGTGGAATCGGTGCACAATGCTGCGGTAGTTTAATTATTTACCTCATTGCGGCTTTTTCCTTGTTTGTCATCGTCGTGTGCCTTAGCAAGCATCAGGCCAGGGGGCTTTCCAAGCCGATGAACCCCAGCCCAGCCCAGGGCACGCTGGACGGACTGCGTATTCTGTCACAAGCAAGGGAACCAGACGGACTGCGGCCTGCGGGGTGGACTGTGAACCGTGGACGGCTTGCAAGGCACCCGGAAGTGGCAGACTAGGCACCGTTTCCAGTCTGAATCTGAACTCGGCCTGTCAATCACAGCACCCCGGTTCGATAGCGAAGGCTCCTAAGATGATCGACTGAACCAGAATAAGGCTCCCGGGGGCCCATGCTCTTATCAGCTCGCTGATTCCGTCCAGAGCGGTGATCCGATCGGCGGTCCATTGGCATTTTTAGCCATGCTATTATCCTGACCGCTTTCTGCTTCCCAGATATGGAGCGAGTTACGGACATTGGCTTCATCATCAACGAATCATCCGGCATGCTGTACGAAGTGCGAATACATCCTACTAGTTATGGCTGTATTCTCCAGTATGTGGCGGTATACACCGTGTTGTTGTTCGCTTTTTGACAACAAGAGGCCCGGGTTTCGATCAAGGCCAACAAGGCTCGTCCTTGGAATAAGCGTCGGGGACCAAAAGCCCGAGAAAGCTGCACGATCGCTGGCGGGTCCCCGGGGTGTCATTGGGGCGGCGGTGCGGAGCAGGAGTGTGGCACTAACTGGATGGTGCACTGGACATCGTTAGGCGTTGCGGGCAAGAGACGAGACGGCTTAGTGGTGCCGGTATTGCCTGCCCTGCACACGTATGAAGTATTCCGTTCCGTTCCGTACATACAATACCAATGGTCGAAGAAGGATTGTTGCGCAGAGGCCGTCATCTGCGTGGCACCGGTCCACAGGCTCATGCACGGCCTAGTTAAGCACCATGGGAAGACAGGATCTCGGTACGGAGGGGCTCATCTTGATGAGCGATGAGTGGTGCGTGCGGCGGCGTGCCTCGAGCGAGCGGCGGGAGCGGCCAAGACGGTCGTCACCCGCTCCAACGGGACGCTCTCTCGTCAACGCCTTCTTGGCTAGTGCACAGATATCCGTGCACAGATATCATGGCGGCCCTGCACCACCTTGTCGACAAAATTTCGATGGGCCCGGATGTGTGGTTGAAAGTCTGGGGCGGGGGGATCTACCCTTGGCCCCTCCCTGGCTGGCCTGCTCTTCCTCTGTAGTGCCCGCAAGAGAATAGTTCACACCACAGACGTTTCCCAAAACAGCTAACAGTTAACTATCGGAGATCGGGCAGAGCGAGTGGAGTGGGATAATGATGCAGTGGAGCCCGCGCCAGCGGCCAAGAAAGAGCGCTCATGCGTCTGAAATTCTGTTCCGACTTGGACAGCCAGCCACGCTACCCCGGACAGGTAGACACATGCTCACCAATGCCGCTTTGGGAGCCGAGCAAGCGGGGTGGTGCCGAGACGCGCCATGGTGGACATGCAAACGTCGGGCAGGAGCTAGAACTGGCGCTGGCGCCTTGACAAGTGAGAAGGGCTGCCGCCGCATGTCGTGTCGTGTCGTGGCCTCCCCAGAGTCCCCAGTTGTCGACGGCATGCATCAACAATGCGACTCGACTCTGGCGTCGCGGGAAACGAGTGCAACAGTGATCAGCAAGAAAAACTCGATCAGGCTTAGTGGGCTGCAAACTTCTTTCCGCTGGGAGCCGTGAGCTTGAGCGAGCTTGCCGCGAACTTGCCGGGAGCTCGCCAAGAGCCAAGTCCACTTCTAGAGGGCCAAGGCCCTACTCCGTGCCTCCGTACCTAGGATGGGATGGGATGAGATGGTAAAGCACGGGAAGGGCAACGCGCCGCGTCTTGTCTTGCACCAGACGCCAGGACTTGCTCGTTAGCCAGTTGCGGGCATCCGTCTGCGAGGCCATTGGCCAAACTGGGGGCCGGGGTCGCCGTCCTCGGTATCTCGCTTTGCAGGACCCTACTACGTATGCACGGTGGGCAAGAACCTAAAGTTTCTGTGCGTCTGGTCTGCCAATGTCTGGGTCGGTGGGACCTTGGAGGCGGACTTGGTTTTCCTTTCCCAATACACTTGGGTCGTCTCAATTGAGCTCGTGCGAAGTGGTTGTCCTTTCGGAAGCCAACCGGACCACTGCTTTGCCAAGATTCCCGTCGGAGAAATCGGTGCCTCCCGTCCTCGGATATCTCGCCTGTCACAAATGAGTGTCAGACGAGAATATGCAGTGGCATCGTCAGCTCAAAGCTTGGTGCCACTAGGAAGGAAGCTGCATTTGCCAACGGCAAGGCCATGGAAGGCATTGTGACGATCCTAAGTCTTTGTGTCTTTCTCTTCTCTCGTCGAGTCGGCAAGCATCCAATATTAGCTGCCAAATGATTAATTGGAAAAAATTCGACGCCATCACATCCTTCATGAAGTAAGGTAACTTGCAGTACCTTAGGTAGGTGGGGGGAGCGAAGCGAAAGTTCCATTCTCTGCTCCCAAAAATGTGTGTGTTGTTGTTGGCAACTGCTGGGGGGTAGCTTTGGGCAGCGCGGGCCTCCCCCTGATCCCTGCAAAGCCACGCACAAGGTCCTGTCCTGGCCGCTGGCCCAGCCACCACGGGCCCGCGGGGGAGTGGTGGCCCTGGTTCCGACTCGGAAGGAGCCATGGTAGTCTCATTGGTCACCCCGCCTCCACCGTTTCAAGATCGATTGCGCGAGATGAGCGGACCCAAGACCTGGGAGGAGCCGACAACAGCAGCCATGGAACGAAACGGGCATGTACTGTGCTGTACAAAGTACACCCTGACTAAGGTACGAATACCCAAAGTAATATACCTCGATGCCAGTGCCCATCTATCCAGACAGACCCGGGAACAGAACCTCGCTGTTGGCAGCTTCGGTGTGGACCATCTCGCGCGGAAACCCCAAGGTATTGAAAATGACCCCGATCCTTGTTTTTCTGAGTTCCTGGATTGGATGCTTGACCAAGAACTCGCATTTTTCGGTTGGCAGTGTACCAAACCAGGAATCCTCTCGTCCTGTTTGGGGGCGGATTTTTGACTGCGCCTGCGTTTCATGAAGATAAGGGATAGGTGGTTCCTTCCATTTAAGCGTACAGCACTGAGGTGCGTACCTTCCTTGCCTACCTACCTACCCACCTCACCTAGCATCCAATGTCACGGGCACATTTCAAGGTTTCTGTTCTGGTGGCTGCCTGGAGAGCGGGAGGAAGGAACGGATGAAGATGAATGGCAAACAACCTACTACGTAGTAAGCAGACTTGGGACGGAAGGAATGTTCAATATCGATAGGGCATGAGATATTGAGAGTCCTCCTACCACCTACAGTAAACTTTGCAGATAGCACATGTTAAATTATCCCTACTTACCTTAATCTTAAAGGCGCACGATGCGAGTTGCGCCCGTTTCAGACTAGTAGGTAGCGAGGGAGGCTCGTCTTTGCCAGTCTCTGTTGCCACCTCAGGATGCAACCACAACTCTTCAGAGTAAATCCGCGTTTACATCTTCTTACCTTCCTTAATTTCCATCGGGGGCTGCATGTTTGGTTGCAGGATACAGATGTGTACGACTCGATACTGCAGGACCTTACGCTTCACATTCAGCTTCCATTTACTTTTGGCCAGATTTCGCCCGCCTCCTCGCAGTTGTGGTACATACTCTATCCTTGCGCCCCAAAATTCAACTCCGTGGTCAAGGTCCAGCCAAACATCGACGGGCCGCCTAGGCCTTCTTGGCAGTGTGGCAGTGGTGCGCTTCCTCGAGCCGCTAACCAAGTCAACCGCTAGACTAACGAACGTCATGGAACGGCGTTTTCCTCCTTGGCTCCATTAAAGCCCGAATGTTACATGCACTTGCCGTCGGCGACCTGATAGACACACGGAGAGACAGCGAGTAGGACTTGCGCTTGCATTGTCAATGGTGTCGACTGTCGACTGTCTCGGCGGATGGTGCACGTGCTTCGGGCCTTGCACGTCTTCAAGCTGCCACGATTACGAAGGTGACCCCGGACAAAAACCAGCTACTAGACCTCCTTAAGCCCCCGAGTTACGGATGCCGTAGGTAGGGTATATACTCTGCCTGACAAGCGCAATTAACATGTACTCGCAATCACCATCAGACAGACGGCCATGAGATGGGCCAGCATGCGGCTCCGTCGTAGCGGACCGTCGTACAGAGCACCAGTCCAGATCGATGCTCGGTGTCACATCGAGATTCCTGCCCCTCCTTCCTCTTCACGTTTCACATGATTACCTTTGTGACGGGACGGCACAGATTCAACAAACATCCCCGACCCATTGAGACTGCAACAGCACGGCTACCAAGGCCGAGCGCCTACAACGGGAGGTCGCGTTTACGGTTCGCAACACTTTGTCAGGGGCGCGAGAAAAGCGAACATGATGCGAACGAACTGCGAGCATACGCCCTGTCCCCCTACAAAGTACTATACTATATGTACATAGTACGGAGTACATACCTGGACAACTCTCCTGGCTTGCCTTGTTTTACTCGGCGCCCGTACGAATACTCCGCAACAGCTCTCACTCAACAATAACATAACTGAACCCTCTGGAGCGGTTCTGTGCTGCACTGTTACGCGTGGCTGCATGGAAAGGAAAGGTTGGAGGGCTGCAGATTCCAAATGCTCCCCCGCCTATTCCATAACTTGGGAACAGAGCATGCATGTCCCAACTCCGAAAGACGACAGTACCTGTGGACTTGTCGTCCTTTTCAGGGTCTTGCAAGCGAGCGGAAGGATGCGAGGGATCCGGCCACCTGTGCCGAGATGCAGATTCCAAGACATTGGGCAGCGGACTAAGGCCGCTGAAGAAGTCGTCTCGGCGTGCACTAACGCGAGGCATGAGATTGGGGCGGCTGCGGGAGAATCCCGAAGCGGGAAGTCCGTATGCTCAGAGAACCAATACCAATGACGAATAGGCGACGCACTGTGGCCGGCAAGAGTGGCCGACCACCACCAGTGAACATGTGGACGGCGTCGGCCACCCACCCCGTTCAACGTTGACGCTCCAGAATGTTAGAAACGCATTGTAATGCTACGCCAAGAATGGCCGCCTGCGTCCTCCAGTATGAGCAGAGGCGAGGAGTTCATCGGCAACTATTCGTCAAAACTTGGTTTCAGCCACATAAGGGCCAGATGGCGGGGAAGCGAGGAGACGAAAAGCAAATATCAGAAGGAGGGAAAAAGAAAGCACGCATTGACGAGGAACCGCAAAACAAGTGCCAACAAACGGAAGGAATATGCTATGTAGTAGTTAGTCATTCCCCTATGTTCGTGCCCATGTACCAAGTACATACGTACATACAATACAAGCCAAGGTAGTGATCACGATCGCATCATCACTCACCACGCCCGAGCCCCGAATCTCTGGCGGAACAGAGTGCTTGAGGTAAATTGCACGTCCAGACACCGTCTCACGGAGTGTTCTCTGGGTGCGGCTGACACGGCTTGGCTTGACAGCCACATCCTAGCAAGCAGTCGCCGCCTCGGCGTGTGCTGCTGCGGGACACACCACGCAGCGCGCACACTCCCATACTAATATTGGGTTTAATTTATAACCACCAGCAGTCTGGGCCTATCCGATTGCCGAATTCCGGTGTCTTTGCTACAGAGTAGTCGACGGGTTCCCGCATGGAACCAGCCAGAATATCAATATAGTATCCGTATACGTACGGATTTAAGCTTCTCACCAGGCAAAGCCAGAGACCGAGCAGATCTGGAGAGCGAGCCGGGAACCCCCCAGCGAACGGCCAGTCAGTTCCGGGGGAACTCCCGAACCGAACATGCGTATTACCTACAGTGCTCAGCCGTCTCGAGGCAAACTGTGAGTTGCGGAATTATTTCCCCTTTCTTTCTGCGCCGCCCTCGACAAAAACGCCCCCGGGTGCTACAGCACGCACGCTCACACACTCGCACACACATTTGCGGACCAACTTGGGCGCTTCCTGAGGTGAAACTTCAAACTGGGTCAGTACATAATAACTGGGCCGGAATTGAATTAGTCCTAACTCCGTCGGGCATGAGCATGGCTTGAGGTCAGGGGCCGCATCCCGCGTTGGGATACCCAAGCTTCCCTCCAGGCCCAGGGCGTACGCTATTACGTGGAAAGATGCTCGCAGCGGTTGAAGAAATCGGATACCTACCATTGCAGAGATAGCCACCGGCCGGGGGTGGCAGCCCTTCGCTACAGCCGCTACGGATATGGAAATACGGCCGGCTCGCAGAAGTTGCGATTTGCTAATGGCGATGGTCGTTAAAATCCGCGGGGTTTTCCAGGCTGCCGGCTTGCGTGGTAGCGGTGGGACCTACCTACCTACCCACCTTACCTATCTCATCTACGTGCGCTGCGGCTACCTTCTGAGGGCAACCTAAGTGACTACCTATCCAGACCGCAGCCGGCTCACCATCATTGAGCATCTAGGCGCATGTCGTGTAACCAAAAGCTGGCAGCAATGAAAAGGGGGTGGGGGGGGAAGGCGGTTGATGGAGGCGCTAGACACCCGTCAATAACGGCTAGGCTTTCCGATTCGCAATGGGCTCAGATGAGCACAATCGGAGACAATAACGCTCACGCATGCCTCACATCGGGTCTCGGCATCCAAAAATAAACAGTGCCCCAAGTATGATTTGGCACGCCGACGACTTGTTGGTCGACCGTGTCATACAGGACAAACACAAGTCCGGCGGGACCAGCGGGGCCAGCGGGAGGTTTCACGCCTCTCTGGCCGTCCACAACGCCAGATGCGGCCGGCGGAAGCCGAGCTCGACGAGAAGCGGGCTCTCTCTGCATTCTGCAAGTGGGTGCGGAGTATAGTGACCTAGTTGTAGGGAAGGGGGTGAGTGGGGAGGAGGACGGGAGCCTGAAAGTGGTGGTTGTGACGAGGTCATCCATCTCACCCTTCTGTCTCACGGCGTCAAATATCACATGTGCACCAAGGGCATTTCTGACTCTTCTGGAATACGCAGGAGGTCGCCGACCAGGCAGTAGGATGAGGGGGCGGGAGGGGACTTCCCCCTCAGGGAGGGGTGGGCTGTTTGCTCGGACGAGCCGCCGTATTCGGGCGCAAAGACGGCCGAGCCCTGTCGCCGTTGGAACGGGGGCAGGCAGGGTGCGGAATACTAATAACACAAAAATAGGTAATCGACATGTTCTCCGAACGGAGATCCTTTCCTTTTCAGAATAGGGAAAGCAGAAGAGTGTCTTTTGGGGATACGTTACTGAAGAGGTATTTCGGAACCGGAACCTGGGCTGGCGGTTCCTGGCGGTGACGCCACGGTTCTGCTTCTTCTCGGATGGCTACCGAGCTCGGCTGCTGATCTCGCCCTCAAGGCTCAGTCTAACGGCTCCAGGAAGCCGGGGCGAAGATCATTCGGACCCGCAATGGCGCTCCCATTTCCATCCTTTGCACTGACTAGCGGCCACTAGCTTCTGTGCTCTCGCGTGGAGTCGAAAGTGGCCGAACGTGGGCCGTGGCCTGGCCGACAGGAACAAGCGTTGAGAAAACGTTGATTTTTTTCCCCAGCCAAGGACCACGAAAACGTTTCACGGCCGCCGCCTTCCAGGAGCTGAAATGGCCTCCACGTATTATTGTGTTGCGTGACATACGCAGAAAGAAAGACACGGCGGGCGGCTTCAAGGGCCTTTTCAGGACCCAGGTTGCTCTGGCCCCGCTCTCGAGTCATTTTTTTTTTCTTCGAGAAGTTTGCTGGACACCAACTTTTTGTGGGCCGAGGATGGAGATGGAGATGGAACCTCAGATCAGAGTGAGATCAGTCCGGAGATCAAGAGATGCTCTGCTGTGGCGCTTCCTCAGCACTAAAGCTCAATCTGGGAACCTGTTCGCCGCCGTGCTTCCGAGGTGCCCTCCACACACACACTCTCACACTCACACTCACACTCACACTCACACGCACACACACCCCGGGAGGCTTCATTGGGCGCCGAAACCAACGCCCCCCTCTTCGTTCTTCAGCAAGGCAAGGCCAGCAAAGCTCGTCAAGGGGCCCGTCCCCAAGGGCCAAGGGCCCCCAGAACATGTCCATTCTCCCCGCTGAGGACCAGGACCTACCCCCCAACAAGCCCCCCACCTCCTCTTTGATGCGCACAGCTCCACACACCCCCCCTCCTTCGGGCCGGCAGCTGCCGCGGCGCAGGGTGCGACTGGCGAGCCTATCGCAAGCCGTCTGCCAGGAAGAGGTTGCTGCTGCTGATAAAGCGGCTCAAGCCTGGCCAAGCCCGCTTCAGCGCATGGGGCATGGGGCTGAGATGAAGGGTCCCTTTGCAATCTCGGCCACGGCAGCTTCCTGGCGACGGTGACATTGTCCAGAGTAGTATCGAATTCTTTTTCTCTCAGTCGTCTTCTTGATGTTTTTGTTCGGTTTCCGCGCTCAGAGATTCCTGGTGGCGCTGGATGCCGGATTGCGCAAATGCGACTAGTCAAGGAGAGAGGGAGGGAGAATCATGCCGGGCCTCCCTCTCAAGGAACGGAAATGAAGGGAACTCTTGAGTTCACCTTCCTTCGGACTTGTCTTTTTTCTCTCTGGCTTTTCAGACACTGAGCCCAGGCTGGCTTGGCAATGCCATGTACATGTTCGGAGCAATAAGCCAGCCGACATATAGATAATGACCGCCAACCAAGGAATCATGACGGAGTGATAGGCTTCTTGGTCCGACTCGGCACCGGCCTCGGCCCGCGCCGTCCACGTCCATGGCGTGGCGTGTGCAAAGGCCGCAGGAAGAGAATGTCACTCACTCCCCAAGAGAAAAAAAGAAAAGCCACCGAGTCGACAAGATGATGATTGCTTTGCTCTCTTGTTACACCATGGCCGGGCGGTTGCAAGCTTGGACTCTGTTGCACCGAGTATATGATTATTATGTGGTCCGTCGCTCAAGCCAGAGTGAATGTGGTACATATATAAACGCAATCAATCAGCCGGACCGGAAACAGAGAGAGGGAGGGAGGGAGAGAGAGAAGGATTGAGGTCCCATCGCATCTCGCATCGCATAGCTTGTCCGACCAAACCCATCCATATTTCCTGAGCGAGCGAGAGAGCGAGAGCAGAGGGCGGCCATCGCCAGCCGCCGGTATCCGCCGCCACCACCGGCCCCATGGCTGCTTGTCTGCCTGTCTCTTTCTTTTCGTCGGAACGAATGGCGGCAGCGGGAGGGGCAAAAAGAAATCAAGGCCATGGTCCGTCTCCAAGTACCTACCTACCTACCTACCTGACCCTGTAATGGTTTTTGTTTTAATCGAGTCCACGCTGTCCATCTCATAGCAACAGTGCGTGTTGCTGTTCGCTGGTGTGCTTGAGAGTTCAGTGAGCGTGGCCTGCACTGTGACTGTTTCTTGCTCTTCATCGTCAACGTCGAGCCTCGGGGTTGGGGTGGCTGTAAGAAGGACAAGAGCAAAGGATAGCAGACTTTAGTCTGCAACACTACTTTCGCGGACTATTCCAGCGTGGATCGCGGGACCAAAAGCCCAAGGACTCCAGACTCGAGCCTCCCAGTTAGACTGGCAGACATCGACAGCAGCACAGCCAGGATGTGCAAGACGCCGCTTCACGGGCTACTAGAAGCCCTGCCCAAGTGCGAGCACCACCTGCACCTCGAGGGGACGCTCTCGCCCGAGCTGCTCTTCACGCTGGCGGAGCGAAACCAAGTGGCGCTGCCCGCGGACGCGGCATACGCATCACCAGCCGCGCTGCGCGCGCGCTACGCCGCGTTCACATCGCTCGACGACTTTTTAGACTTCTACAACGCGGGCGTCGTCGTGCTGCGCACCGCGGCCGACTTCGAGGAGCTGGCCTACGCGTACCTGAGCCGCGCCGCCCGCACGGCCAACGTGCGCCACGCCGAGGTCTTCTTCGACCCGCAGGCGCACACGGCGCGCGGCGTCGCGGTCGCCACCGTCGTGGCCGGCTTCCACGCCGCCGCCCTCCGCGCCCAAGCCGACCACGTCGTCTCTGCCCTGCTCGTCCCCTGCCTCCTGCGCCACCTGCCCGTCGACGACGCCGCCGCGTGTTTCGACGCCATGCTCGCCGCCGGCCTCTTCTCCCCTACTGGCACTGGCAACCCGCCCTTACTCGCCGGTTTGGGCCTGTGCTCGACGGAGCTAGCGCGCCCGCCGAGCGCGTGGGCCGGCATCTTCGCGGCCGCCGCAGCGCAGGGGATCCGGCGCACGGCGCACGCGGGCGAGGAAGGGCCGGCTGCGTACGTGGCCGGCGCGCTGGATCACCTCGGCGCGCAGCGCATCGACCACGGCACGCACGCGGTCGACGATTCTGATCTTCTAGCCCGCCTCGCGGCGCAGCGCGTGCTCGTCACCGCGTGCCCGGTCTCCAACGTCGTGCTGCGCGTGTCGCCGTCGCTCAAGGACACCCCGCTGCGCGCGTACCTAGCCGCGGGGGTCAGGTTCAGTGTTAATAGTGACGACCCGGCGTACTTTGGGGATATGTATCTGCAGGAGGTGTACTGCGCGGTGCAGGAGGCGTTTGCGTTTTCCGTCGATGATTGGGCGCTCATTGCACGGAGTGCTATTGAGGGGAGTTGGTGTGGTGACGAGCGGAAGAGGAGCATCGGCAGAGAGCTGGATAAGGTGCTGGAGGACTGGCACGCGAGGACCGAGGGGACTGTAGCGGCGGCGGCGTGATGGTGTACCCAAGATCAACTCGGATGTGTCCTAAATCTATCTGTGCTATGCTATGGCAGCCGTATCATTCTTATGAGCGGCCAATATATGACAAAGAAACACACTCGGCTTGCTACGCACCTACAGCTGGTGCGTTGCAGCCGCCAGGTTTGGCCACGCGTGCATGTGCCTACAGAGCCGGCAGGGGGGAAGTTCGCGTATCTATGTATTCCATTCTGTTGACCCCTGGGTTGAAGACTAGACCCGCGAAGTATACTGTAGGATACGGCTAGAAGAGGATGTGACATGCAGCGGACATGGAGACACCAACCTCCATACCTAAATGAACGCAGAGCAAACTGAATTCGAACATGCGTGTCAGCATGTTTGTATCCGTTTTTCATGCGAGGTCTGCAATGGGAGGTGACATAGGGGCGGGTAGATGACAAGACTTGGGAGTTGCAGGGCGTAAATCGACATGATAGGAAAGTGAAGGAACATTGAAAGTTGACGTTATGTAAAGCGAATTAAAACACAAGGCTAGAACGAGTATGTATAGCACTACCTCTTCTATATGCCAAAAGAAATCGCACCAAAAGCAACTAAACCATAAACACTTGCTTGTCCGTGCAAAGACCTCTAAACCATCTCTCTCCCATCTTCACGCTATAACCCAACCCCCAAAGTCCAAGTCTCAAAACAGCCTACAGCCTACAGCCTACAGCTGCGCCTGGGTCTCGCCTAGCTTCTTGGTCGAAAACGCACCAAAGTACTGGTTCAGCGCATCTACGGTAGCGGCACCCTCCTCGAGGCTGACGACGATGCCGACGTAGCCGTCGGGGCGGACGACGACAACGCCGCCGCGCTCCTGGTCGAGGCCCATCTTGGCGTGGGCGGGGGCGGCAGCGTCGGGCACGCGGCGGTCCCAGCGGTCGTCGGCGTAGACGTGCTCGCGGTAGCGGGCGAGCAGGGCGGGCAGGTCGCGCGAGATGTCGACGGCGGAGCGCTGGTTGGCGACGACGGTGCAGACGGTGAAGAAGCGGCTGTGGGGGTTGTGGTGCTCGTGGTGGCTGACGGCGTCGGCGTCGGGGCGCGCGTAGGCCGAGTAGAAGGAGCCCTTGCGAGACATGCCGACGGTGAGGTCGCGCAGGGCCTGGGCCGTGACGGCGGGCTTGCCGGCGAAGACAAAGAGGCGGAACGCGCCGTTGAGCGGCACCTCCTGCTCGACGTGGACCACGTTGGCGTCGACGACGCGCGTAACGTCGGCGTTGATGAGCAGCCGCCCCGTGCGCAGCTTGGTGCTGGCTGGGTGCACCACGTGCGACTGCGCTGGGTGCGACGGCGACCAGTTGAGCTCGTTGGGCTTGTATGCCACGCCGTACCCGCTGGTGAACTCGCAGGCCGACTTGAAGGCCTTGATGAACTCGTTGTCCTCGGCCGCCGACGACGACGTGGATGCCGCAGAGGCCTCGCTTGCAGCGCCGGGTCGCTGCGAGAAGAGCTTAGCATATTTGTTGTCGAAATCGAGCAGCGTCTCGGCCACGTCCTTGCGCTCCGGCTCGTACGTCTCGAGCAGGCTGCGCTTTGCGAGGCCGCCCTCGACAGCGTGGATCTTCCAGGCGAGATTCAGCGCGTCCAGGAACGCCGTGTTCATGCCCTGGCCGGCCTTGGGCTGCATGTGGTGTCAGTTGTGCCCATATGCCCAGTGGGAATATAGGGGTATATCTGAAACTCACGCTGTGGGTGTGGCAGGCATCGCCGCCAAGGAACACGCGGTGGTCCAGAGTGTACTTTTCAGAGATACCCTGGCCGATGGGGTAGACCGAGTACCACTCCACTATCTCCCACTCGATCGAGTACGGGTTAAGGATGCGCTTGGCAGATTCCTGCACCTCCTCCTGCGTCGCCGTCTTCCTAGGGTTCCAGTCTGCGTCTGTGGAGGAGGCGATCTGGATGTAAAGTCGCACCATGTTATCCTCGCGAGGGATGACCATGATGGAGCCGTGCTCGGAGTGGATCGTGCATTTCATCTAACGATTTCGGTCAGCAACAGTCGCAGGCCAGGTACGGTTAGTGACTCTCCTACCTTGATATCAGGGAAGTCCGTCTTCACGACGCCGTCCATGACGCCCCACACGTAGGCAATAGGGTCCTTGTGCTTGATGCCAATCTTGAGCTGCTCGCGGATGAATGACCGCGCCCCTTCGCCGCCGAACAGATACTTAGCCTGGACCGACTCGCTCGACGTGCCGTCGATGTGTTCGAGCTGGACTATGACAGGGAATTCCGGGTTCGCCTTCTCGTCCGAAGTAAACCCCGTGATGGTCCACGGCCGCTGTACCTGGGTGCCGTTCTTTTCGAGATCGGCGATGAAGACACGCTCAATCATGCCCTGATGCAGGAGCGTTGTGAAAGGATATCTGGCATCGATAAAGCTAGGGCAACTGGCCCACGTTCCCGTCCGGACAATGCCCTTGCCGCCCCTAGGGGGATCCCAGAAGGCAACCTCGTAGACGCGCGCGGGCTTATGAGCCATGATGGCCGACTTGAGCCCCATGTTCCGGAGCAGGTCGAGTGACCGCGGCTGGATACCGTCAGCCCGCCCTGTTGGGGTGGGCTCGGCCCTGTTGTCAATGTGCTTGATCTTGTAACCCCATCTTGCGAGGCAAGTCGAGAGCATCAGGCCGACTGGTCCGGCGCCGACAATGACTGGTACGGGGCGTTAGTGCTTTCTCTTGTGGGTGAGGGTGATTCCAAGTACCAATATCATATTGATTGGAGGCGTACCGCCGATCAGCGTGTGTTGCCATGGCGTTCGTTGTTGGAGTATGTAGGGTCGCACTTCACGAGAGACGGAGGGAGAAACGGCAGTAAATCAGAAGTAGTAGCAAATGGGTATCTCGGGCTAGCAGCAAATGAAACATGAGAGAGACTGAGAAATTGGCAACTGAGATGGAACTACAAGATAATATATAAATCGGAGAGACCCAGGTACCAGGATCCGGCCTCGTTACCGAGCGCCAGGGCCAGACAATCGAGGGTCAGCAACCACCAGGGCAGGGAGGCCCTCCGAAGGTGACCCTAGAGAACGGCAAGGCGTTCGGGAGGAAATCACAGCTGACTCGAGGATTCGGGCAGAGCGGCAGCCACGGCCGGCAAGGCAGGCGGGCAGCTTCGAGCCATGGGATACTCGTCCTCATAAGCACCCCAAAGGTCCGCGTAGGGCAGACAAGGCACGTGGCGGGGCGAGGCAAACAGCCGTGTGTGGCCGTAGCCGGGCTGGTCGTGTCGAGACCATCAAAGCCAACTGGGGTTAGCTGGCTGAAGGGATGAGGGGGGCGGGGCCGGGACTTGGAGACGGGAGTCAAAGTGGAGTTGGGCGAAGGTGTGGTGGCACGGCTCAAATGCTCAGGAATGTTCTGCAAATTGTTCGGCACGGCGTACAAAAAGGGGCTACCATCTCAGACCCTGCCGTTGGCCCGGTTCCACTCTCGCCGAGATAACCCCAGCCCAAAGAATTGCAAACCTGGATTCCGGGGGACGAGGCCAACGCGCCATCGGCGACATAAACAGCGTTTCATTGGGTCGGGCGATCCCGTCCCTTCTTCTTGCCTCGTCTTGCAATAGCCCGAGGAGCCCGAAGAGCCGTGTGTTTGAGCCGTTGCGTCACCACCCGATTGCGTTTGTTTGAGAGGAGAAGCCGAAAGTCGATGCCGCTGTCAAAATCAAAGTTGTGGGGTAAACGCCCCCGAACTTCGCGCCACACTCCGCGGTCGGCATCAGCGCTAATGGCCGATAGTATGGCCTTTGCTTGCAAGTACACGTGTATGGGCTGGTTTGATGTGGCGTCAGCCAGAGACGACCCTGTGAAGCGGTACGCAGTAGCGCCGTCAGCACTGGTGAGGGGAGCCAGGATGCGCCGCGGTATCCCGGGACATCCCTAGTCCCTCCGTCTTCACATCATAGCGTGTCCGCCAAAGTCTTGGATCTCCCCCAATGATTATGTCATTCGGATCGCATCTTGGCGGCCAGACTGCGAGTCGGCAGAGGTGGGAATCTGCTGTCGCCTGAGAGATGACGAGGTAGTTTGCGTATTCGCCGAACGTCTTCTGTTGCGATACACGACTGTAAGTTCTCTACAGATATGTGAGTGGCCGTTTTCATATCTCCTCTCTTGAAACCCTTTTTTCCAGAGGCGCGTTGCGGCTCATGGCCAAAGGCAGCGTAGTTGCTGTCCGTGTCCTGGTCGCCAAGGTCACCAGGGTGGTCCGAAAAGGGGTAAGGTGGGTAGGTAGTCATCATTGGATAATCTACGAAGAATTGACCTCGTCTGGCGGAGACATTGGCTCGAGTTGTAGGATTCCTCTGTAACGGCGCGGAGCCGTGATTGCTTTTTGTTTTGTTTTTGGCATGGCGACGGATTTGGTTACTGGCAACCTAATGTGGAATGCGCCCGTTCAAAAAAGAGAAAAAAAAACCTCGCCGGACACTTTCGAGTTTTGTGCTCGATACGACGCCGTTGGGAGCGCAGGATTGAAAGATTCATCGACTTTTACCTCTGGGCGTGGAGGTCACGGAACTGCGCCAGTTGATTTGGGAAATCGGATAAGTCTGCCGTGAAGATGGAAGGAGCGTTTCAAGTTTGTTCGTGTCACGGTCACGGTTGCTGTGACGGCTGTGAGCCCGGTGGTCATCCAAACTTATACGGCCGTTCCTTCCCAGCCAGACCACCTCAGCCAGTGTAGGCGGGTCTGGCCAGCGGGAGCCAGAAAGAAACGTCATCCGTCGTTCCAGTGAACGGCTGCGAGACGAAGTGCTTACCTACCGGGCGGTGGCTAGGTAGGGGTCTGCAAGTCACTGATCATGGCCTCAAGACTCAGATCCTGTCTCTCTCCTTTGTGTTCTCGTCGTTCTCAGGTCTGCCCTGGATATATCTCAATCGCCCCGCAGGCAAATTACGTGACCGATTTCTAGCATGTCCGCAATGCCTATTCCTAGTGGAAGCTGCAGTGAAAATGGATGGAAATTCAGCGGCAGGTATTGCGGTGGTGGTGATGGTGGCGGTGGTGGCGGTGGTGGGAGAAGGCATGGAACGAAGTCGGACTCCATGTTCGAAGGCTTCAACTCGAGCTGGCGATTTAGTGGACGTCATTCGACAGGCTGCCCCAGGCTGCGACGGAAGCCAAGTCAGGTCTTTCACTGCATCAGCACCCATCTCCCTTCTTCGGACGGAGCGCACGTTGTGAATTACCCTACGGCAGGTGAGCCACATTCCAACCGCCCAGAAACACTCAGCAGCCTCCCCTCTACACCTCCCACGCACAAACTTCGCAGATCGCGGCGAGTCGTGAATCTACGGCAGACACGGAAAATGCGCATTTACGAATCCCATACAACTGCCTCGATGGCCTCGCCCCGACCTGGATCACCAGAGGTCGCATCTGAATGTGGCAGCGTGGAATATTCCGAGGACGAGGAGCCCCAGATATGCCAGGCTACGAGCGTCTCCATGACGGTTTCGCGAGCTGTTCTGGTCACGGTAGGAAAAAGCACTTTGTCGGTGGATGCATCCAAGGGAACGAGCCCCAAATGGCCAGGCATTGGGGGAAGCACTGTGGGAGACACTAAGAAGAAAGGTGAGCCTATCGGTGGGTGCTCTTGGGACGAGTCGTCTGTACATGCATTATTTTGGACTCGCCTGGGCGCGCGGGCAGCTAACCATCGTGGGCCACAAGGACGCCGCAAGACAGTTTATGACGAGAAGGTGACTTTTTCGTCCGCCCATGGAAAGGAAGAGGGAGATCCGGTCAAACAATTGCGACAATCGCTGCAGGCGCCCATAGTAGGGACAATAGGGACAATGGGTTACCCCGGTGACAATGGTAACGAACAAGCTATCCATATCTTTCTTCCCCTCCACTGCCTACGCAGGCCCCCCCCCCCTATGTACCTGTACCTGTACCCTACTTCTTTTTTCCACCCAATTTCTACTATTTGGCATCAAACTCTTCCTGCAACACTCGCCAACCGCGTCTTCTCTCTTGACGTCCCCTCCCAAACAAAACCTTTGCATTGCGCGGTCCATGCTCCTCTTGCCCGGGCTCACTGACGCTGACTGTTGACCCGACAACTTCGCAACCTATAGCTCGATGTGATATGGACAACCGCAGTTACAACGATAACACCAATTCGCTACCAAGCAATCTCGGGCCCTTTGTTCTCAAGCCCTGCTCCTTTGACGACCCGTCAACTCGAGAATATAGTGAGTTTCGCTCCCAGTCGCCCACCTCCAACCCACCACGTCGCCAGGGCACCTCTGAGAAGTTCAATTTAGAGCATATCAAGTCTTCCCCTACTGACCTAGGTGGGGTTATAGACCCGAGCCACAAGGGGAACAAGTCTCGTTTGCTTGAAGGTCTGGCTGCTCAGGGTGCGTTGACGTAACTCTCTCCTGCCTCTGCCGCCTGATCCAAGCAAAATTCTAACCATAATTCTTTTCGCCTTCTAGGCCAGGAAGACCATCCATATCGCATAGAGCACTGGGTATCCGGTCTTTGCCTAGACAATTTGCACGATCCTGAGCTTGCTCTTCCGCTCCCCGTGAGTTTCGTCCCAAGTGGCCCCCCCATCCCGCTTTCACGTCCACCTGCCAACACAATACTGACGCGTGCAAAAGTCGCTCCCAAACAACAAAAAGCCTCCCCAAACAGACCTTGCTCCCACAGCCAACTTTGATACTGGCGCCTCGCTGGACCAAACCACGATGCCTAAGAATAAAAACTCCGACAAAATGCGCCACCACGGCAAGCATACAGCACCTGTTGACGATGCTAGAGCTATCCGGGGCAATTTCATCCCCGTATCCCACTCGCTCGGCTCCGTGGTCCCTTCTCCAAGCATCGACCGTTCGCAGGGAGTTTATCTGCAGTTCAGCCTGACTGAGACCCAGATGGACCGTCTTACTGCAGCGTAAGCAGACCTTCCTCTTTCCCTTTTCCCCTCCCCCTTTCTGTTCTCTTTGTCTTTTTATCTTTGCGCACAAATTGACACGCTTGAAGATTGTCCCAGGATGAAGGTGCAGAGCAAGCTGCTCGAGGGCGCCATATGGCCCAGAACGCAGGCCAGTTGAAGCAAACTACCAACAACGAGAACAAGCATCCGTCAACAAGCATGCGATCCCGGTCGCCAACCAAGATTCCGCGGGCAGCTAACACCCTTTCCCGAGACCGATCTCATTCTCCCATCAAACATACGAGCGGGGGCAGGAATGTTGATAATCTTCGTGAGGCTTATGAGTTCGAAGCGAGCCGGACACCCAAGTCCCCAGAAGCGCAAAAGGGCTATCGTACCCCAAAGCAATCCACTACTCCGGTGGCTTCCACGTCCTCGCCAACTTGGAGAGATGTCCGGCATTATCCGACGCCCATTGATACAGAAATTGCTCAGAAAAATGCAAAGAGGGCTTCCATGCATGGACGCGAACAGGTGCCAGCCGTTACTCACAATCCACTTGACACTTCTCGGTCGCCATTCCTCAAAGCAGCCCGTTATGCTCTGTCGGACGACACATCTTCGGTATATTCCCAGGGATCCGACGAAGTGTCTCCACTTGCTCCGATAAGCCCGCTTCGCATCAAGAAGGAAGACTTTCCTAAACATATCAGCGTGCTACAAGGCTACAATGAATGGAGACAGTCTCCCTGCTATTCGGATCCCGAATCTAAGAATTCGCAACACGTCCACTTCGAGAAAGGCTCTGTCAACAATCATCCTGGAACAGCAAATGGGTCATCCAGTGGTGGCACTGAGGGCACATACAATCCTCTCGCTCCTTACCTCATGGCCCAAGACAGCTCCGCTCCGACCAGAATGGCTTCCAAGATCCTAATCGGACAGAACGGTTGGCTGGAGGACACCTCGAAGAAGCAGCCCGAGCCCACCACGTCTCCCAGCAGAAAGGGTGGTTTCTTTGATCGCCTCGTCGAGAAGGCAAAGGAGATGGTAAGAAGCTCCGCTAATGTTACTATGATCGCTCGCTGATAATATTACTAGGTTGACAAGGGCAGCGACACCAAATCCCAGCGCAAGTCCCGAGAGTCAGACAAGAGCCAACCCGGCTCCGGCTCGCGCTCCCTGGCAATCTCGTTGAACCCCCGCGAGCAGAGCTTGCTCTACTGCGAGCTCGAGTTTACGCTGGCAACAGCCATAAATGAGTACGTCAAGGCTCAGCTCAACGGAGGCCGCCTTGACCCTGAAAAGCTGCGCAAGATTGCCGACAGCTGGCAACAGCGAGGCCGACCCAAAGTTGTCAGCTTCCGATATGACCTCGAGACGCAGATCGAGTTGGTCAAGCTCCACGTGAACGATTTCATGTTCTACGGCCGGGCGGCGTCGAACCCCTCCATCCTCGGAATCCTCGACACGATGAAGGTCGACGCGCGCGCCATGCGCATCCGCACCTTTTGCCAGCCCGATACTGTCATCGCCAAGCAGCTCCTAGACGCCCAAAATCTGTTTGACCTCATTGGTGCCCCTGAGCACCAGCAGATCCAGCTGGCCGAGATTGTCGCCTTTGTCAAGGCTGCCATGGAGCGCGAGCGCCTGTTAACCCAGCAGCAGGAGTCGCAGCGCGAGTCGGCCGCCACCGGGCTGACTCCCCTCCGCCATACCAAGAGCCAGTCCGGCGAGACGTGGCACGCGGCGAATCAGGTCCGCCGCACGGCTTCGTATGGAGTCATCAAGGAGGGCTAAACCGAACCCCCACAAACCGCATATAGGCTACCCTGATGTTCAAGGAAGACGTAGCGGCACCACCATTTGGGGTCTTCCCCTTTGTCAGAGTATGCAACGGCGTTTTATTCGCCGTTTCTGTTTTTTCTTTTTTTTTTTGCTTTCTCCCTTACATACCCATCTTCCGAGTACTTTGGTTGGTCACTAGGTTTTACAAGGGAAGAAGGATATGATACCCGGGGCGTTTGGCGCAATCGGCTGCATAGATGGAAATAGGGTACGGAAAACGGATACATGGAGAAAAGGACATGGCTTGACTGTTTATCTTCTTCTTTTCTTTCCTTTTCTGTGGAATACCCCCTCCATCCACTGTCTCGCAGGACGCTGCCAAGTGGCTGACGGCACTGCATTTTCCGGCTGGGAATATATCTCGTATTATTCTGGCAGCCCTGGCGTTTTTGTACGCTTTCTTTTTTCTTCTCTTGTCCGGAGTAGGTTCTGTACTGGGAAAGGAGTGTGTACCTATGTGTAGCTGTAACACGAAGGAAAGGAAAGGGAACTTGGTGTCTCGGAAGGCTTTTGTACATACATACATGTACATGTACAGCGAACGTATCATAGCGCGGCGGTTACTGTCACTGAGGTAATAGCCAGAGGGCTTGTATCTATCTTTGTTCTGGCGTAGCGTTGTGGTGCTACTGGTGTTGGAGTATATGTGTCCACTTAGGTTTTCTCTTTAGGGATGGAGATGTGCAAATAGTTGCATGTTCTCTTGCATGTTCTCTGTGCATCGGGTCTGGGGATGTGATGCCCGCCTACCCAGGTGCTAAGTAACTGCATAATTGATCAATTTTCTGTGTTGAGCAATCTACGAGTCCCTGGTGAAAGTGGTGAAACTAGAGACGTCGGTGCTGTGCCTGGCCGTGGACGTGATTTTTTCTTCTTTCTCTTTCTTATTTCTCCTTGGTACTACTCTCCAAAGCACGCATTTCTATTCATGGAAGTGACCTTTGAAATTCTGCGTATCCCACGACCCCTTTTCCGCACCCATTCAACCTCCATAGACACAACCTCACGGTCTTGTTTCTGTCATTCTTACAAGGCATGTCATACCCTACAGCCCCCCTCAACCTCCAAGACGGAGGAAAAAAGGGCTCGGTACCTGGGTACCAGCCTGCTGCACAAACCCCCTTGAGCAACCACACTTGCTTTCTTTGCGAGTTACGTCGATCACAATTCAGCCACCATTCCCATCATGGCAAGATACAGTACCTAGCGAGATGGGTAAGGTAAGTACCGAAATTCAACGCCTTATCTATAAATAAATCATCATCGTGATCATCATGTCGCTTTGCTTTACAAAACCTACAATGGGACCAAGCCCGTCCGCTCGCTCGCTCGCTCGCTCACTGGCATATAAGCTAGTCCCCCGGAAACAAAGAAATCGCTCAAAGGTGGTGGTGGTATAAAAAGACAAATATTACGACGAAACATATTCCTGACCGTTTCTTTGAGCACATACATTTGAAAGGGACGACAGCCTGAACGGCATAAACACACCCAAACAGAAAGGTGAGGATTTAAAAAAAAAGAGGAACAGAGAAATAAGAGAATCAGTGCCGTCTCCTCTCGTCTCTGTCCCTGCCGCCGACGCGGCTCACGTTGCTCGACGCGGCAGCATAGTAGTCGTCGGCCAAGCCGCCGGGCTTCTTCCCGGGGCGCACGCGCTCCTCGTAGGGCTCGTCAAAGCTGTCGCCGCCGTCGCCGTCGTCATCGTAGTCACTACCGCCCCGCCGCCGGTCTGCTCTGCTCCTACTCCTGTCCCGGTCTCGGCCAGTGCTGCTGTGGGCCCTGCCCCTGTCTCTCGCGTCCCTCTCGAGCGCTGGCACCCTCCTGTCGCCCGACCTGCCGAGGTCTTTAGTGTTGTTGTTTTCGCCGGGGCTGGTGCCCCACTTGCGCTCCCAGGCGTCCTGCTCGCGGTTGGTCTTGCTGCGCGACCTCTCGAGGCGCTTCTCGATGGCGTTGGCGCCGAGGCCGCCGACGGCCGCGCCGACGATGGTGGAGATGAGTGCCGCGCCCTTGCTGCTGTCCTTGCTGCCGCTGCCGCCATGGCGGTGGCCGCGCTCGCTAACCTCGCGCGCGGCCAGGCCGCCGACAATGGCGCCCAGCACGCCGACGCCGAGCCCCGACGTCGACTGCGAGAACGTGTGCTCCAGCACGTGGCGCGCCTTGCCGAGGGGGCTGTGCGAGCGCGAGTGGTCGCGCCTGTGATCGCCACTGTCGTCGTCCGAGTCGGTCAGGTTGTCGCGCCGGTGGCGGGCCTGTTGCCCTCTTGGCGCTGCCGCCATTATGGCGCCTGGCGGCGGCACGGAGCGCGGGCGCTGCGGGCGGTAGTCGCGCGGACGCGGCACCTGCAGCGAGTCGCCCGCGTGCAGGCCTCCCTCGCCGGCACCAGGGGGGTAGAAGGGCGTGTGCTGCTCGTAGTGTAGGCGCGGGGCACCTGCGGCTGCGGCTGCGGCTGCTACTGGCGTCACGATGGGGATGGCGCCGTGCGCGTAGGGAGAAGGCACAAATGCGCCGCCGGAAAAGTGGTAGTCTGGAGACAGATCCCGGGCCGCAGAGGACCTGGCCCTGCCGGCGCCGGCGGGAGACCGTCTGCTGCTTCTGTGGCCGCTGTGCCGAGAGCTGTCGTCACGGTGACGCGGCGGGGAGTAGCTATCGCTGTCGTTATCGTTGTCGTACATCCTCTTCTGGCGCGGGTGTGTGGATGGGAGTAGTTGTTATCCGGTGATGGCTGAATGTCTTGTGCTGAGTATTTCCGTGTGGCGAGGAGAACAAAGTTGTGTGTTGGACGAGCCTTGGGGAGCGTCGACTAGATGTGGCCTTGGCTTTTGTCTGTCACGGGGCTGAGCGGCTCGGCTCGGCTGTAGATGGGATGGATGGACGCGGAACAGTCGGCGCCTGGTTGGGTAATACAGGGAAGGTCGCCTTGGTAAGCTACCTCAATAACCTGGGACTTTCTAGGCTGTCGATGTCGTAGACGGATGCACGGGTGCTGATTAGTGTAGCAGTCAATGAAAGAGGCGAACGTGGAGCGACCAGGCGATGTGGTCGTCTATCGCAAAACACAAAACGAAAGACGGGACACCTCAGATATATGGGATGGTCTACAGTATGTCAATCTCGCTCGCCAATCTCGGCGAGCGAGGCTGTCCAAGTCGGGATGCGACTCCGCCACCTTGTAGGTGAGGGGTTGACAAACCTGACGGTTGTCTAGGGATTGTCCGAAGACAAACCAGAGACGCCAAAGCAAAGCTTCCCTCACTTCCTCCTCATTCACCTCACTCGAGGGGATGCACGGGAGCCTTATCCATCGCGGATTTTCGGGCGCGACGGGCGTCCTAGAACAGGTCGAGATTGACGTCGGCATCAGCCCAGCCCACGCTTCCATGGAAAATGGCACTCGGTTGTCGAGGAAGGGCGGGTGGTGGTGGCGATGATGTCACTGCAGCCAAGCAGAATCCCCCAGGCCCATTTTTCCAATGCACGACATACTAGGAGTATGCAGGGCGTGCATGGGTAAGCTGCAGCCTGGTGCATACATCCAGCACAGTCATACAGACTTTGTGCACTTTGTGCATCGTGTTGCGTCGCACGAAAAGGTGCCCGTTGCAGGTTGTACAGTACGTGGAGCCTTGAAATGAACCCGAGTAGGTTGCAACACCAAGTTGCCTCTTCCTCTCGGAGTTAACAAAGTCTGCAACGAATTTTGGGAGAGAGTCGACATGTTTTGCGGGCCGCAGTCTTAAGCGCAACAATTGAACTAATCACGTCTTCATTCTCTAATCGTGTCTCGAGGTCCAAGCTCGAGGCTCTACCCAAGGCACATCGGGACAGGCTCTCAGCCCTCCCCGTCACCCACACCAGCTCCAAACCAAACAGAATCAGCCACAGCTCTGGCAATCCGAATCCACGCTCACCAGCCCTCTGTCCGCTTGGAAGGCAACCTGATGGACGCAGTGTAACCGGACTCAAACCAACCGCATGCCTTCTGTAAGCCTTCGGACACGAACCAGAGTCATCTGTTATCACGCCCACTCGCAAGCAATAGAGGCAAGAAATATCTCGGTAGGGCTGGGTTGCCGCCAGCCTCGTGGAATGTACAGAACGCGGGCTGCGGTAACATGAATATTGAACGCCCTCGTGTAGCCCCCCCTCTTGGGGACAGCCTGAACGTTTAAAGTCGGCGAGTATGTGAGGATAAGAACTATTGAACCTTGTCGTGCCACCGTCTCTGTGCATGGGCAACACAGGACGCGTACGAGTTTGAAGCCACCCATACGTGTACGTGTGTACTAGTAGCTTTGGTAAGTATTAGGTAAGAGAAACGATTGGCCTTCACCCGAGAGCAAATTCCAATTCCCAGTCTATCCGCGACCCAAGACAGAGCCTCATCCTTATCATGCGGTTGCACACACATTGAGAGACACACACCCCCGAAACGCCTCGCCGCATTTCTTATCTAGGCAGGTGACGCCATTAACTTGAAACAGGAAAAAAGGCAGCAGATTAAATAAGCCATCGCTATCAGAGAGGGGGCATTGCGTGACCGGGTTTCCACGGGTGGTCATGCGTCCCGAGCCCTCTTGGGATGCGCCCCTTTTCCGATTCAACGGGCACTGATGTTCAAGTTTGCGGTCAAGAAAGATGGAGAAAACAAGGGAAAAAAAAGTGTGACTGACTTGCCCGTTTCCCAGAATAAGCTGGTGTAAGTGGCAGCGGCGACCTGTGAACAGCCGTCCCGGGGAGAAACGGCAGGAGCGTGCTTAACGACAAACAAAACTACCGAGGCCGCTTGTTAACGCCCAGACGTTGGTACCTTCCTTGATCATATTGCGGAACTTGCTGGTTACAAGACTCTGGGTTCAACTGGACTGAATGAAACAATGCTTGGGCGAGGTGTTTGTTTTCAAAAAGAAAAAGGAAATCAAAAATCAAAACGTGCCAACAGCAATATCACCAAAGGTTCCGTATTACATATTGTCAATACTTGTCGATCCAACAGAATGAATGTGAACAGCCCCATCAGGTTATGTCAACAGGTACACATTCAAGGCAGTGGCGAGCCTGGTGCCAAACTTGAGCCCCCGGAGAGCAAACAGGCTTTCACCTTGCCCATTCCGAACCACTTCACAGAGAACAATCACGCCATTTCCACGAACTCAAGTCCACAACCCACCACCAACCGTCGCGCAATCAAACACAGATATTGTCCCCATTGCGGCCCTTGCCAACAATCTCCACACTGCCAGGTCACTTGAAGTAGCTGGCCTCGTAGGGGCGGCAGGTGGCGTCTATCTGGCCGAGGGCGTAGTTGACGTCGTTGACGTCGAGGTTGCCACTGCTGTTGGGCACGTCGTGCCCTCCCAGGCGCCGTCGGGGAGGTTCAGCGCCGTGGTGAAAGCTGAGGGGGGCTGCATAGTGGTGGGTTTGGTGGTGATAGCGGTGGGAGGGTTTTTTAAATGGTGGTCAGTGAGGGTAACGATGGCTGATGTTTGTGTCTGGCGTCTGGAGAGAAACTCGGAATCGTCAACGAGGTCCAACGTCCTACCTTTTATGCATTTCTTTTGGCGGACTATCAACTCCAGTCCTCATGACTCTCATCTACCACGAGCGTAGAGTGTTCAACATGGACGTGTTGCCAGCCAAGCCTCTGGCGGATCGAACCATTCACGCACCCGAACCCGCATCCGAAGCATCACGGCCCTGCCTCCTCGCAGGCGGAGCAACATTGATACAGGTACATCGACAGACAGAGATGCAGCCAGGCGCAGCAGTATATGACCCGAGCAACCAATAGCCAATCGTTTCTGAACCACTACTTCAACTACCAGAAACACAGCGACAGCAACAGAGCGGGCCGCGGCGAGTCGACCACAATCCGGCAATATACGTGCCGGTTGATCCATATCAATCGGCGCAGCCACGAACAGCAATAGCCACCGCGCCACGACAGTGCTCGCCGCCTCTGCAGAACCGAAGAGAAAAGAAGCCTTGTCGAAACGCCCGTGCAACATTCAAGCTGTCAAGACATCTAATTCGGTGCCACCCCCTCAGCGCGCGCCTGTTTCTCTCGTCATAGACGAATCTGCCTTCCGAGTATGACCTCAAACTTCGGCAAAGCAACCGAGAGCGAGAAGACGAGATAGATGATCCAAACATCCGCGGCCAGCAAACTAATTACGTAGATAACAAGCTCCTTCGGCCGGAAGTTCTGGTCCTAAAGACTCCCGCCGAGGGCACAGCAGCAGCAGCAGCAGCAGCAACATGGTTGATATCGGTTCCTGTAGTGTCGGTTGACATTCTGAGCTAGCTAGTCAGAATTCTAACCTCGAGACAGACAGACAGACTCCCGTTAAAGGTGCAGTAAGTATGTGGTTAAACTGGAGTTGATGAATGGGTAATAATTATCTCGAGTAAAAAGGTCAAGCGAACGCGGGAGAGATCGGCAATAGTCTAAACTCTCTCCATCTCCCCTTCTTTCCTTCCACAGGGGGCGGGATATACTACCCAACATCCCCCCGGTGTCCCCGCAACATAGGTAATTAGACTAGCTGGAAGGCACAGTGATTGTTAATTACCACGCTCTCTCCATTTAAGAAAATCACCTACTTTGATTAGTTTCCCTAGTGAAACTTCTAAGAAGATTACCTGGGTACTGACTGCTAATGTCAGACCACATGTCGAGTTCAAGACAAAAACATTGACTTGTTAGATGTATTATATTACTTAATTAATATTGTCGGGCTCTTAGACTAGACTAGACGACCCATACATGATTACTCGCTTGTAAGGCGACCTAGTTAATTATTGCTCTCAGATTCTCAGACCAGGTATCTGAGCCTTGCCTTTCTACAATCCAAATCAATTCTTGAATGTCTGTCTAGACTTTGGAAGTGGGGTTTCCAATTCCAAGACGTGAAAGCCCAACTACTCCAAGGCTCGGCCTGAACTTGCCAAGTGCTTTCTCCGAGGGAACCGTAGCTACCTATGGGATAACCCCTGATATCGCAATACAAAGGTGTGGGACTCTCCAAACCTAAGCCGTGCAAGGCCAAACGGCGCCAAGAAGGGCGTTTTCCAAGGCCGCTAGTCGCTCTTGGAGCCTTGATATAAAATCCAAAGAGTCTGTTTGGCGCTGGTTGGTCATGACGTAGTTGACCATGCTAGCCATTATCGTCAGAAGATATGGCCACGGATAATAATTGTCTGCAGAGGTGTATACTCTGCGAATCTCTTGAGGTAGCCGCTGGGCGAATGGACTTTTCGTCTCATGATTATATGTGGCCGTGATGCCGGTTGTGTTGTAGCCTTTTCGTGACATCAACGAATGAGTCATGTTAAGGGTACATGACTGGTGCAGCGGTCGAGGGTTTGAATACGTTGTGTCATTCAGCTACAGCAACGGACTGCGCTAGACTAAGTGCCAGAGCGAGGAAGCTGCTGGAGCTGCCAAACTCGGAGAGGGAAGCAGCGTCTTCTCAGGTAATCAGAGAAACGTCATGCAATTCCTATACCCCGCGACGGCGAGGGGACATTGAAGATGCAACACGCTCCTCGATCAGCCTAGACCTGACATAAAAATATCACTGGCTCTGGGGATGCATCAGGACATAGGGCAGGCCGGTCGCGTCATCGCTCCCGGCAAGCCGGATGACAGACCCCCCTGCGGTCGACGGCAGGCTCGCAGTAGACGCCTGGCTGGCCGGGTAGGGGTGTCTCGTCTGGGCAAAGGTGTCGGTGCTCGACGCCCGCGAGAGGCCTGTATGGCGGCTCTTGGGCGTCGTCGGGGCGGTCCGAAACTGCCAAGTGTTGGCAGAAGAGTTGCGCATAGGCATGCCCGGGCGCAGGCGACCCGAGCTGTCGGTACTCGAGCTGGGTCGCCGATGCGCCTGGAAACTGGCTCCGCCGCCCCCGCCAGCTGGCCCATCTGTGCTCAGAGGGTCGATCTGGCTGCGTATGCTCTGCGCAGTGCTGCTGCTGTTGCTGCTCGATCCCGACGAGCTCGACCCCCCACGGGGCGCATCGTTATCGATGTCGCTATCCAGGGCAGACGAGTCGTCACCGTCCGAGTCGTCGTAGCGGGCCAAAGCCGCCGGACTGAGAGGATACATGTTGCGCAAGATGTCGGCAAAGAGATGCATCAGGTTGCGGAACTGCTCAATGGTGAGGGGACGAGAAGAAAACCGCGCGCTCTCGTATTTGGCGAGGAATTCGCCGTTCAAGGGCGGTGGCGCGAGCACACCCAGCTCGGTCAAGTGTGTCAGGTACTCGCGGAGCCCCAGGCTCTCTGGCCGTTGCAGAAGCGCCACGGCTTCTGGGTCCAGCAAGGGCGGATCGGCCTGGGATTCCGGATCTGGAGGGGCGAGCGTGAGGGCCTTTGCCTCTACTAGGTGTGGCAGCTCGGATATGACAGCGTCATACTGAAGGTTTGGCAGATCTGGGGACGTGGGCGGTGCCCAGCCCGGATGCTCGATCTCGCCCCATACTTCAATGTGGTGCGGGACGATGAGATCGATACTGACACTGGCTCTGTCAGACGCGGCGCTCTTCCTCAGCTTTGGCAGCCGGAGCGCCCGCTTCTCGGTGCTGGGCAGTAAGGCCTTTTCCTCTATCGCAACTACCGTTTCATGCTGCTGCTCCTGCTGCTGAGGCGGAGCCACGGGCGAGACCCGTGGCCTCGCCTCGTAGGCAATAGCGGCGCTCCGGCTTATGCCCTCGACAATGACCTGGCGCACGGCGGTCTTGACATCGCCCTTCTCAATCGGGACCCATGATTTCGGGATCGAGGCCAGCACGGAGCGGTTGATGTAGAGTCGCGCGGCGTAGACGAAGGAGATGATGAGAACGGTTGTGAGGTAGGCGAGCGCAATGATGAGGATGTTGTAGTTCTGTTGGCGCTGGACAGCCTGGTGGATGAGGTCGGCTGGCGTAACGATGAGGAAGGCGAGCAGGACGAGGTAGAGGAAGTAGTAGAAGAAGTTGTACACGATCCGGAAGACTCGCGACGCTGCTGACATTCTGCCGGTGCCGGGCTTGCGATCTCCTTCAGGGCCAGAGCTCGAGGTCCACGCTTCTGCTTCTGGCGAGCTCGGGACACGGGTGTCATGTCTGCGCAGGCAATTCGCCAATTCGCGTGGGAAGTCGCAAGACGCTCTCAATACCGGCCCGCGAGGTTGGCGCTCCTTCCTATTAGTTTCATTGACGAGCCGCGGCGGGGATAAACTCTGGGGTTGGGGACCAAAATTGTCGCGTTAGTGCTCAAGCTTGGAAGCCAAGCTCGTTCGCCGGGACAGGTAGGGTGCCAAAGAGCACCGACAACCCTAACCCTACGAACAGCTAAAAGGCCGTTCCCCTGGTCCTCGTCGATCGCCTGACCCAAGCTCCCTAACAAGAACAACTGTGTCTGTGAAACTCCACCGCCAAGAATTCCCGTTATTGCACCGTTAAGGGGCTTGTTTGTTTATGTTTTATTCTTTTAAAAGTTTTAAAAGTACGGACCACCGGTTGCATTCATTTTGTGTTCCGCCTTTAGTCGAAGTGACACACCCCTACTTTTGTACACATACATAAGAAGTCTTATTCCGTTAGACATCAATAGTTTACCTCATCTTGCCTGACGCATCTCCGGCATCACCGCCTGCTCTGGCGCAGCAAGTCTGGCCGCCTCCTTGGCTAACCGCATGTCTGTCAGACTCAGTCTCAGGTCTCGCGCATACGGCCCAAATGCTTCCACAAGCTCGCGGAGCGACTCCTTCAGCGCATCCGAGATGGCCTCCACCTCGGGGCATTCCCTCTTGCCGACCACATCTGTCCAGTGGGTGGGCAGTGTCTGGGTAAACTTGTGCAGCTTGTTCGCCACCGTCGTCAATGTTCGTATAATCGTCGCAACATCCCTCTGGACATTGCCATACTTGTCCTCTGTCAAACTGTGAACCGCGAACTGGCTCAAAGCAGCTGTGACGTTGATATAGAGGCTTGGATCGCCGTAGGGTTCTCCTAGCACCGCGTGGGCCAGCCGCCTGCTGTATTCCTGTCGGAACGGCCAGCCAACGGCCGAGTTCAGCACCTTCAGGGAAAGAATCTTAAACAGGCTCCCGGGATCATCGATACCAGTAGTCTCGAGCTGCACCTTGCGATATTGGTCCTTCGCGGACTGCAGGGCCTTCTTCGCCAAGGGGCTAAGCTGTGATCCTTGACCGGGGTCAACCACTGTCTGAGTGACCGCCTTCTCGATTTCATTGCGAAACTTGTTTTTGCTCTGGGGGGTTGACTGGAAGATGGCGTCCTCTTTCGGGGGCAGCGTGGTTCGTTTCGGCTGTTCGACTACCGTCGGATCCGGGACCGGTGGCTTGGGGTCCTTGCCGTAGAAGTCGATGCGCACCTCAATTTCCTTCAAAGTGTCAATACAAACCCCATAAACTTGCGCCCACATTGGTGCGTCCTTGCGGTCAATGTCTTCATAAATGGCCTTGCGTCTGTCTGGGAAACTCCGCGCAATATCTGCCAACTCCCACACGGCAAAACACTGAGGACAGTTAAAATTTGGCATACAAGCATCGTAACGGAGGTTTAGGGCGTCCACGTACACGAATGGCAAGCTTCTTGCTCTTTAGCCCGTTTAGTAGGCTTCCATTCGGGTCCTTTGATTCGGCCGTCAAAGGTTTCCCGTTCTTAATTGGCTTCCTGACCAAAAAGATAGAAAAGGCGGTGTTACCAACCGTCCATACCAGCAACAGCATGAGACTAGCACCCCAGCAGCGAAGTATGCTCCTAAACGAAAACGGCAGCGAGGTGGGCAGCAAGTTGGTCTTTGGAAGGTTGTAGACGGGCCGGAGGAAGAACATGAGCGCATGCCATACCGTCGAACGGATGAAGAGCATGTAGACGACGGCACTAATGAACAATCCGACTAGCGACTGGTTCACCGTGACTATGAGGATGACGGGCAACTGGTCCCAGAACTGCTTCCATTGTGTTACTGTCGGCTCAGTCTTCTTGGCGTCTTTGGCTCTGGACGTGCCCAGGGACAGCCGGTCGTTATCGTTGAAGAGGTGGAGGCCGGCCTGGTAGAGGCCGAGTATGACAAAGTGAGCCGTGAAGAAGATGGTCTTCTCGTTCAGTCTCGCCCGGTCCGCAGAGAAGTGCGTGATCCACTCGAGGTGTGCAGATTCGGGGATCGACCACAGGTAAATCTGGCTGAAGAGAAGAGCCGACGTCACATACGTGAAGATGGACTCAATCGTCGGGAGCTTGAACACATTTTGTCGAAAGGTCTGGAAAGCTGAGTTGGAGGTGCGCAGGCCAACATGGTACTGGGCGATGCGGAGGATGATGACGGAGAGGGCGCAAGCGCTGAGAAAGAGGGCGCGCAACCCGGTAGGGCCGATGGGGAACCAATACCAAAAGTCTGTCAAACGAATTCACTGTTAGTGTCGCTCGCGGGGCAGCGCGGGAGTTGCGGTCAAGACGAACAGGAGTTCCAGCTCGCCAAGGCGATTGCCTCGAAGTAGGAGATGGCCAGCAGAATCGAGGCCGTGGTCGAGAAGCGCCGATGCAGCGCGGGCTGCAGAAAGTCCTTATAAGGAGATCTTCTGACGGTAGTGGTAGTGGTCGCCATTTCCGCAGCTGGGCATCGTGAGACCAGCCACAAGCAAATCGGGCAGGCCTCGGTCGGCGGAGATGGTCGCTGGCGGGATTCTTCTTACCTGGTCCTGAATCGCGTTTGGTGGAGTTCCTCACCGAGCAACCCACCTTCGTAAATAAAAAAAAATAATGGCTGCGGCGCCTTTCGACGCAAAGGGCGACAGCTCGTGTTAGCAAGCTTGCCAGCCGTAGCGCCCCACCTGATCGTCTCTGGTTGGCTGCACGCACCTGCTAGGTTCCCGGTCCCCTGCCAGCGGAAGGCACCGACGTTCCCTCCAGCCCGCAGCAGGGGCCTGACGGGCTGCGTGTCGGCTGGCGTCACAGGCCCAGCCAAGGGCCAACCTCGACGGGTCACCTTGGCCGCTGCCTCCGATAAGCCGCAATCGAATCATCACTCCCATCCCATCCAGTCGCTTCTTCAGCACTCGCTACAGCATTGTCTTTGTATTTTCTCTTGAACAGCAAGCTTCATTTAAGGAGGAGCACGACGCGGGTGCTGCATCCAAATCCTCCGACTGCTCTGCTCTGGGTCACCGAGAGCGCATCATCATCCCTGGTATCTCAACACCGCACGAGACCATGTCGTTCGACCAACTCTCGTCGCTCGAGGCGGGGCGGCGCCGCGGCGGCGGTGGCGGCAGCGGCAGCAACCCCGGGTTCAGCGATGACCCCGAGTTCCAGCGGCTATCGCAGGACCTAATGAACAAGATCTTCCGACTCAACGGCAACAACCAGCGGCTGAGCGGCGAGGTCGGGCACCTGGGGACGCGGCGAGACACGCCGCGGGTGCGGGAGCGCGTGCATGAGTTGCTCGAGGAATCGCGCGACCTGTTCAAGGAGGTCGGCGAGGGCGTCAAGAAGATCCAGACGTGGGAGGATGTCACGGTATGCACTGCAGCCCCACTCTTCTAAAATACCGATATACGTCCGCAGCATTTACGCATCTGCTTTACGCTCGAGGGGGTCAAGTTAGCTAATCCGCCTTCACTTATTTATAGCCGACACAAAAATACATGCAGCAGAAGCTGTCACGCGAGTTCCAGACGGCGCTGTCCGAGTTCCAGAACCTGCAGCGGCAGGCGCTCGAGAAGGAGAAGGCGTCGGTGACGGCGGCGCGGGCGACCATCGAGTCGGAGGGGGCGGGCGAGGCCGGCAGCCCTCAACTGCTCGACCACCAGCAACAGCAGCAGTTGCAGCAGCAGCAGGAGCTGACGCGGCTGGCGCCGCAGGACGACGTCGACTTCCAGGAGGCGCTCATCATCGAGCGCGAGGAGGAGATCCGCAACATCGAGCAGGGCGTTGGCGACCTCAACGTGCTCTTCCAGCAGGTGGCGCAGATCGTCACGGAGCAGGGCGAGGTGCTCGACACCATCGCCAACAACGTCGAGAACGTCCGCGAGGACACGCGCGGCGCCGACCGCGAGCTGCGCAGCGCGGCGAGGTACCAGAAGAACGCGAGGAGCAAGGCCTGCTGTCTGCTTCTCATACTGGCCGTCATTCTCACCATTGTCCTTCTGGCCATCTTCTTGGGCTGAAACAATTTTGGGGGGCTTTTGGGGATGCGAAGAGGTCTCAATGTGATACATTTCCCTTTTCTATGTCTAGTGTTCTACCTGGCGGAGTTCAAAGGAGTTTACCCCTTTTCGGGTGCTTGTGTCTAGGTTGCGTTTCCACATTTGTATGTACAGCCCGAAAGCGAGTTCTCGTTCTCCCTATCTATCATCCGTATATCAAGCCTTCTTTGACCGACGCGGCCGGATCAAGATGTTCTCGCTTCCTGTGCAAGGAGTCGGGATCTTGGGCATGGGCATGAGCCGAGATATAGTCTCGGTCTGGACTAAGGTTATTGCCGACGAAGAGATCCAGTAGAGGTGAAGAGCCGCTGGCAAGCTCATTGTCGCGGGCCCGACAAGCAAGGCCACGGCCATCAGCGCCCGCTGCAGCCGTTGGCGTCCCTTGCTCTCGCTCACTGCCACGGTCGACGAGACGGCCCCGCTGCCTGGAGCTGGAGCAGACTGCTCGCCTTGTAGCCCAAACAGCGCCCGTATCCCACGCTCCGTCTTGGGCATGATGTTGAGCACGAGCATGGCCGAGAGCATAAACGGCAGCACGTGCAGCGGATCCGGCACCATGAGGTCGGGGAACCACAGACAGCCCCCCGTCGCAAGAGAGGGGTCTGCCCCGAGAGGCAGCACTTGGTCGCCCACGGTTTGCACGGCCGCCTCTACCGGAGTCACTGGCCCGGCATTAGCGTCCCTCGTAAAAGCTACGGCGGCGTCCGAAGGCGAAGGGAAATCCGGATCTTCCGCAGCAGCGACAGCGGCAGCTTGACCCGCGGCGTCGCCGGACTTTGCGCCGAAGACGAGGTTGCCGAGCAGGCCGCGCGGGCCGCCGCAGAGGCGGCGCAGCGCCTCGATGGCCGTGAGCCAAAAGGGGAACACGGCGAAGCTGAGGTAGTCCTTCCACTGCTGGGCGTCGAACCGCCGGTACAGCTGCTTGGAGGTGGCGCGGAAGCGCGCGGCCGTCTCCTTCTGCATGATTCCCATGGACGAGCGCGCCAGCTTGGACGTGCCGTCGTCGTCGCTGCCCAGCGTCTCCCCGTGCACATCGCGCGCGTGCCGCGCGTACCACGCCCGCAGCAGCGGCGTCAGCTCGGCGCGCCGCTGCGCGACCCGCCGGCAGTAGACGGTCAGTGGCAGCCGCGCCACCAGGTTGACCGTCAGCGCCACGTACGGGATCGCCAGCCACCACGGTATGCCGGTGACCGAGTGCAGCTGCGAGAACACGTGCTGCGTGGCGGCGAGTGTTGTCTCGATGGCTGCGGCGCCGGCGAAGCCGCGTCTTGTGGTCCCGTCTGGGCTTCTGCTGGTGGTGGTGGTCTGAGATGACGGCCGTTGAAGGCCCCCGGCTTTCCCAGGCCGCGACGCTGATAGTGACAAGCCTTGTGTCGGCGTGTGATGGGGATGGAGGGCGTGGCTCTGCCGAGTGGAACTGCTGGATGAATAGGCGCGTGCTGTTGTTGCTGCTACCCTCGTGGACACATGACCGACGGCGGCCAGATGCAGACGCAGGACAGAAATAGAATGAGACGCCCTCATCATGCCAGAGCCGATTGCGTGGCGCGAGGGGGCCATTGCCGAGATGGATAATCAAGTACCTAGACACAACTGAGCGCCTGACGGCTACGCATGTGCCTTATATACTGATCATTGTCGTCCCCGTTGGCAGTGTGAATGCTTTTTTACCTCATTAAGTGTGAGTGACCGTTTTTGGGGGCATCATTTCTTTGCCAAGCCCAGCGCGCGATCGCGTCCAAGTAAAGTTCTTGCTGCCAGCTGCACGCACTGGGCAGGGGTGGGTGGGTAGGTGTGCTAGTGCACCCGAGACACTGTGTTCCCTAGGATTGCTCCATTACGGCGATCGTAATGGGGGTTGGATTACGCTATAATAAGCCCAACGAACGAACGGGCTTGTGCTATCCGTCCGCTTTTCCGGCTCGAACGCCCATACGTACGGATACGTCAACGGCCCGGGCATTCCCCATGCAAGCAACACCTAACCCGCAAGAGCCGAAGCTACCTTTCCTACACCCGAACGGAAGCTTCCAAGGGCCAATCGACAGAAGGCCAGATCGTTCCTACCTCGAGACTGCTTTTACCGGTTTACTAGCAACCTATAGTCGACAACTTCCCTCCTCCACAACACCCGACATTAACCGCCGTCGTTGTAGATGATTTGTCCTCGTCTGTCTAGGATAGCCCCGACCACCTCATACTTCCCCCTAGAGGAACTTAGTCTGCGTTTCATGCTATACTAAACAGCACCTTTGAACAATACAATACACAATACTGGAAAATACAACACACCAACATTTCCCTTGATACTGCACCGAGCTTCGGTACTTCATTGTCTATCTCACGCGGCTCGGGACAGACGCACCTCGAATCCTAACAGACCCCTGCGTTGCGCTTTTATTTACCCTCGCAAGAACGAAAGAAGAAGGAAGAAAGAGAAAGAAAGAGAGAGAGAGAGAGAGAGAGCTCAGGGAGGCATGGCCGAGATGTGCGCGGCGCCGTCGGGGCGCAAGCCGTTCTCGTTCGGCCTGGACCCACGGGTGCTGGCGCTAGTGGTGGTGCCACTCGTGGCCGTGACGCCGCTCGCGAGCCTGTTCCTAGTGCCGCTGCTGTGGCGCGCCCTCGGCTCGGCCCTCGGGCGCTACCTGCGCAGGAAGACGGACGGCCGCCGCGGCCAGATCCTCGAGCTGATGGGCGCCGACGAAAAGAAATACCAAGACCAGAAAAACGGGGGTCAGGCACCGGCGGGACAGGAGGGCGGCGGCGGCGGCGGTGGTGAGGACGACGACGGGTGGGAGAACGTGGACGCGTATGCCGTCGGGACGTCGCAGAACGGCGACAAGGAGGAGCAGGAGTGGGAGGGCATCGTGGGCTTCTTCCATCCTTTCTGGTGAGTGGGCTGGCAGTGTCCCTTTTGTGTCTCGCTAGGCGGGGACTTGAGATGCGGTTACTGACCGGGACTGGGACTGGTGTCGCTGAAGCAACGCTGGTGGAGGCGGAGAGAGAGTTCTCTGGGCTGCCATCCGAGCGACGCAGAAGCGCTGGCCAAAGGCAAAGTGTGTCGTGTACACGGGCGACCACGATGTCAACAAGGAAGCTATCCTGGATAGGGTCGAGGTAGGACCCCACGGCTCGGTGGCGTCCCCGGGCTTGCAGCCTGCTACGGACATTCACTGACATGATGGCTCGCAGAACCGGTTCAACATCCACCTCCACCCGCCGGCCGTCAACTTCATATATCTCTCAACAAGACACTGGGTGCTGGCGTCAACATGGCCGCACTTTACGCTCGCCGGGCAGTCGCTCGGCTCGGTAGTCCTCGCGTGGGACGCCTTCTCGCTTCTCGTCCCGGACATCTTCATCGACACAATGGGCTACGCGTTCGCATTGGGTCTGTCCAAGTTCCTCTTCCGCGACGTTCCCACGGCGGCCTACGTGCACTACCCGACAATATCTACCGACATGCTCGAGTCGCTAGACCCGGGCTCGGCGGTGGGCGGCCAGGGGGTCAACGCCGGCCAGGGGCGAGGGACAAAGGGTGCCGTCAAGAAGCTGTACTGGCACCTCTTCGCCATGGTCTACTCGTGGATGGGCGCCTCGGTGGACGTGGTCATGACCAACTCGAGCTGGACGCAGGCGCACATCCAGAAGCTCTGGGGCCCGCTGCGCGCGAGCACGCGCGGCGCCGACCCCATCGCCGTCGTGTACCCGCCGGTGGCGGTGCGCGAGCTCGAGCACGAGGTAGAGGTGTCGGCGGCGAGCGAGGGCCGGCGCGAGAAGGTGGTGCTGTACATTGCGCAGTTCCGCCCCGAGAAGAACCACCAGCTCGTGGTGCAGGCGTTTGCCGAGTTCCTCAAGACGGGCAGCGCGGCGGCGCAGTCGGCGCGCCTCGTGCTGCTTGGCAGCGTGCGTGACGACGCCGACTCGAAGCGCGTCTACAAGCTGCGCCTGCTCGTCAACGAGCTCCACATCCGCGACCGCGTCGACTTCCACCTCGACGCCTCGTGGCCCGAGATCCTCGACTGGCTGCGCCGCGCCTCGGTCGGCGTCAACGGCATGTGGAACGAGCACTTCGGCATTGGTGTTGTTGAGTACCAGGCCGCCGGCCTGATCTCGGTCGTCCACAACAGCGGCGGGCCCAAGCTGGACATTGTCGTCGACGTCAATGGCGAGCCCACAGGTGAGAATCTCCTTTTTTTTTTTTTGGGGGGGGGGGGGGGGGGGGGGTTTCTTTCAGCCTTCTTTTGGCTAAAAAAATTCTAACCTTTTTATTCACTGTCGCAGGATTCCATGCCACCACGTCGACCGAGTTCGCCGAAGGGTTCGAGAAGGCGCTGTCCCTGCCGAACCCCAGCGCCGTCCGACTCCGGGCGCGCGAGTCGGCCAAGCGCTTCACGGAGGAGGAGTTTGCCAGGCGGTGGACGGCGCAGATGGAGAAGCTGGTAGCTATGCGGACGAGGTTAAAGACGAAGATAGGGCCCTGCTAGAGCAATCTTGACTTTTTGAAATTTTCCTTATTTCTCTTGAATAGATGATAACATTGATACCCCTTGCTTTTTCTATCATGTCTAGTGTTTTTTTCCTCGTCTGTTTCCTCTGGTATATACACATTTCGTTGGCGGCGTGTTGGTGTTGGTATTGTAGGGCTTTTTCTCCTTGGCATATATAGCAAGTGTTTGTTGACAGGGGCGGTGAATAAGGGGTCAGCACCCGACTCTGCTTCAGGCACCTACTAGTAGTGGGTGGGTAGCCTTTTCTGACCCCCCCTTGTAGATTTTTCACTTTTATATTCTGCCGCGGCTGTTCTTTTCTCGATTGTTGTTGTCTATGATACCATTACCACTGTAGCAGAATACACTGCAAAGGAAGGGGAGCGGATACAGATATATAGGTATAAAGGTATATAAGGTAGGTGAGGCAGGTTGTTGTTGTATGTAGCGCACACGCATCATTGGCAAATTGTGAAAAGTCAAGCCAAGCTCTTGTCTGTTCACAAGCAACAGCCAGCTACCTAGCCAGTCGATTAGCGATCCTGAAAAGATGTTCTAAACTTTTGGGAAATATCTTTTATCCCCACTCGAAATACGAGTTGGCTAGGCTACGTAGGCAGGTAGGAGCTTTGGGCCGGGTACGTCTAGTATTAGTAGCTAAGGCACGCGCGCCTGTTTGGATATATAAGACAAGTACAGATACAAATATCTAGAGAAACAAAGAAGAACAGAGACAGAGACGGAAAAACAGAAATCTGCTTTCTATTCCTCGTCCGTGGCTTTATTCCTTGCCAGCATCGACGCGGTTCAGAATGGCCACGCCCTCGACGTGGCCCGTCTGCGGGAAGAAGTCGAAGCCCCTGATGCTCTCAATCTCGTACCGGACGCCGCCGCCTGTCTTGTTCTTCTTCTTGTTGTCTTTGTTTTCTCCTCCTGCTTCCACGGTGTTAGCCTCTCCTTCTACTGTTGTCGTGGACATGTTAGTGTTGTTGCTATTGGCGGCAACGTCCTCAACCTCGCCGCGCACCAGCACGCCGACGTCGCGCGCCTGCGTGTGCACGTTGCAGCTGACGTAGACGACGCGCCGCGGCGCAAACTGCAGCAGCTGCCGCAAGAAGCTCGCGTCGCAGCCCTTGCGCGGCGGGTCTAGCACCACGACCGTCTCGTCCGGGTCGTAGCCCGCCACGCTCTTAAAGAGCTCGGGCGCGTCGGCCGCGATGAAGCGGTAGCGGCCCTTTGCTGCTACTGCTGCCTCCTCTTCTTGTCTCCTTGCTGCTGCCGGTGGTGAGTTGCTGCGGCTTCCTCGACGCGGCGGCGACGGCGAGGGCGTCGACATGGCGACGAGGCCGTTGAGCTCGGCGTTGCGGCGCGCGAACTGGATCGACTTCTCGGCAATGTCGATGCCGATGCTGCCGCCGGGGAACAGGGCCGCCTGCGTGATGGTGAACAGGCCCGACCCCGAGTAGGCGTCGATGAGGTTCCGCACGGGCTTCGCGCCGCTGGTGCCGGCAGGCGGGAGGATGTGCTCCCGAATATAGGCGGTAAAGGGCGGCAGGATCGAGTTGTTGTTCTGGAAGAAGGCGCCTGCCGGGTTGGTGAAGACGAAGTCGTCAATGTACTCGGTGCTGGTGGCGTTCTGGTCCGTTATGACCGTCTTGTAGTCCGTGTACGTGTCCGTCTCGACCACGACGGAAGCCGCCGGGGGCGGCGGCGGCGGCGGCGGCGGCGCTGTCCCTGCTGTTTCTATAGACTCGTTTTGTGATTTGGGGACCCTTTGGGTGCTCTCGCGAAGGAGGATGGTGGCGCCTCTTGTGTACTTTCCAAACTCGACGGCCAAGCGCTCGCGCTCTTGTGTTATGCCCTTGCGCACCGTCTCGGTGCCGATGGGGCAGTCCTCGATATCTAGGATGCGCCGCGACGTCTTGGGGGTGAAGCCAAAGGGCGGCATCTCCTGGTGCGGCTTCTTGCTGTGCCGGCCACCGCCGGGGGGGCCGTCAAAGTGCGGTGTCAGCTTGGTGCGGTAGTTGTACTGGAGTGGGCTGCCGATGGTATCGAGAACGTCGGGGACCAGCTCGGGCGGCAGCTGGGAGAAGTTGCGGTAGGCCTTGATGACGATCAGCCGCTTGCGCCGCAGCTGTTCGGCGTAGTCGAGCATCTGGAACTGGCAGCCGGAGCACTTGGCAAAGTACTTGCACTGGATGCGGCTGTCGTCGCGGAGTGGAGATGGCTTTGTGACCGAGATGAAGTCGGCCACTGTGTAGCTCTCGTCAGGCAAGTAGCGGTAGACCTTGACCTTGACCGTGTCGCCGGGCACTGCAAACGGCACGACGTAGATCTGGTCCGAGCCTTTCTGCTTGGCGAGGCCGTCGCCCGTCGACGACATCTCGACAACGTCGACCTCGATCTCGGAGCCCTGTTCTGGTAGCGGTGGCAGTATCCCGCTGTCTGCGGCTGCGGCGCCGTCATCCGAGATCTTAGAAGCCGCCAGCAAGGCTTGCACATCCATTAAAAGCACCTCGTCGTGGGAGCCCTCCTGGACGGGCTTCTTTTGCTTGGTTCTAATTTTCTTTCCAAACTTGTTCTGGCGCTGGCCGCCCTGGGGGTGAGATCGCTTGGTCCCTGCTCCCGCTCCCGCGGCCGCCCCTGCGCTCGGCGCCGGCGCCGGCGCATAGTTCACTCCCCCTCCTCCGTCGACGGCTGCCGTCGCCATGGTAAAGCGAGATCTGGCCCAGAAAAATGCAGGTGTTCTAAGTTGGCTGTGACAGATGCGAGTGAGACTGAGAGTGAGATTGAGTGGTGTGCAGCTGGATGTGGATGACGGTCTGATGAAAACTCTGATGCCCCCGGGCAGCATTTGGCAGGCGTTCGGAGCCAATTGAACAATTTGAAGTCAAGCCAATAATCCTGACCGGTCGGGGCTACAAACAGTTCCAGGGTATTGCCCGTCGTTGAGATGGGATGGTGCTGCTTGCCACCGGATACCTAGCTTCTCTTTTATAAAAACTCAAAAAAAAATCGTCGCTTCTTAGTGAAAGGCTGCCTAACTTTCGATGGATGCGCTTTAGGAGATGGGCCAATTGCTGGAGGTTGCTCAGCGCACGGACCAGTCGCTGGCTGGGAAGCACTCAGGGGGAGTTCCTCCGCTCGACAGGTTGACCTGTTCCCTGGGCACAAAGACATGGAATGAGTTCTGAATATAAAGACGGACATCAATCGTATACGTAGTGGAAATAAAACGGTATAATTCCTTGCTTCCGGCTCCTGCTTTTTCCCATTGACTCATGGCCCGAATTCGCAATGCTCTAGCTGTACTCGGAAGCCCCTATTTTGTCTGGGCCTCCCCTATCAGCAGTGAATCAAAAACATGCCTTCATAAACTACAGAACGCGCTAGAACACAAATCCGCCCGGGTATATCGTTATCCATTCCGTTTGCCTCGGTGCCCAGTCAAACAACAGACAGACACCCGCACACGCCCCTCCCCACCCTCCCAAACACCAACCGATCCATTTTTTCAAAAAGCAAAATCCAGACTGTCACTTTAGCTATCCTTCCATCTTGACATGCTAGCCAAGCACCACCCGGTTATATTGTTGAGGGTCGAGATGCTGCTGTAGCACGCCCTGCAACGCCGCTTTGCTCTTCGCAATGGCGGGAACGATCCCGTCAATCTGCTGGAGGTTGTCCTTCATGCTCTCCATGTGATTACTAATCTGTTTAGAGAGCGCGAGCAACTCTGCGTCTTCGCCAATATCCTGACATGGGTGTTAGCAAGGAGCTTGGGAGAAAATATTCGGAGAAGTGGGAGGAACATAGAACTTGAACTCACCTTAAAAACACCGCTACCCAAGGAGTCCTCTGCCTTCTTGACAATCATTTCGAGAGCCTCGTCGGGCTCCCTCGCCGGTGCTCCTTCGCCATCAAGCACTCGCTGCCTCTCCGGCGCCAGGACATGGTCACGCTTGGCCCGATCCCGCCAGCCCCGGGCCTCAGTCTTGGCGTTCGTCTCCAGCGCGCGCAACGCTTTGTACTCCCTCTCCAGCGCCGCCTCCTCCCTCTCCTTCTCGGCAGTGAGCAGCGCAACCGAGTGCAGGAGAGGGTCCAGCATCTTCTCGGCAGCCTGGATCGCGTGCACCGTCCGTTCAAAATCGAGCTCGGGCGAGTGGCCACCGCTACCGCCGCCAGTACCCGCGGCGTTGCTGTTCCGTCCACCACCACCACCCGACGGCAATGTCGGCGGAGGAAACGGAAATCCCTTGACGAGCTTGTGGTGCAGCCGTGAGGCAAACAGCTCCAGAATGGTCTGCGCCTGCTCCTGTCGGTTCTCCCGACCACGCAGCTGCAGCAGCACGGGGCGCGACGCATCTGATATGATGCTGTCGACGGCTGCGATAGACGGCTGGTCAAGAGTGGTCCATTTCGCCGAGATAGTTGACCGTGGGATTTGCCTCGTCCGAGACGTCAACTGGCGAAATTTCGGTGCGGCAGTCCCTCGGGTTGTTGGACCGGCCTCTTGGTCGCGAGATGGGCCTGCTTTACCCTTTCCATTCGCGGATCGACGCCGTGTCTGGGCGTCTGGGTTGCCGCTCTCTTCTGCAGCGTTGCTTCTAGCCCCACGGCGTCGCTGCTGACTAGTGTCCTTTTCCGCGGGTTCTGGCGCGAGACTCCGACCGGATAGTGATGGACGTCCAGGCCTGCGCTTCCTTTCGCCCACAGTCTCTAGCGTCTTCTTAGATACTTTCGCGGCACCTTTGGAGGTGCTGCTCGGCTGCGCGGACGTGACCAAAGCGGGTTCGGTAGTCTTAGTCTTAGTCTTGCGCTGCGGGCCTCGCGGCTGTGCCGGGAATCGGTTCTGTGCTTGTGTAACAGCAACGTCTCCCAGCGACGAGCGATCACGGCCCAGATTCTTAGATGAGCTATTTGATTCTTGCCCGCCTCGGCGACTAGCATCTGGAGATGCTTCGCTTGTGTTTGGAGCCCACCAAGGCTGGTCACCTGCGGAGCGTCGATCTCTCGTGCTTCGGCGAACTGATGTCTCTGGCTCGTCTCTGCCCTTATCAACGACAGCGCGCGTACGTTCATGTGTCTTCAGTTGCGGATTGTCCGGGAAGGTTTGCTGTTTGTTCCTGGGTTTCGACTCCGGGACGACTACTTCCGTCGCCTGGTTCGCTGTCGCAGACTGTTTTATGCGTTTGCGCGGCCGGGGATCTGATGGTGGCTGGTCGTGTTCGGCGTCGTTTTCGGCGTTCTTTCTAAGGCGCCCCCTCTTTTTAGCCATTGGAGCTTCCGGTGCCGTGACTGGAGTTTCCGGCTCAGGTTCAGGTTCAGGTTCAGGTTCTGCAACGCGACGAGTCCGCTTCGCGACCGGGGCCGGTTCTTCCTCCGGAGGCGCCACCACGTCCAGACTCTTTCGAGGTCTTCCTCGTTTCCTCAGCTCAGTTGTCGCATCGGGCCGTGACATTTGGTCGTTAGACGTGTGCAATGGCAACCGCTCTGCGAGGGGGCGTCTTGCTTGAGCTTCGGGACGCGACGCGCTCTGGGCAGGCACTTGCAGCTTTAGACGATCGCGCTTCAGCCACAATGCAACCCGTAACTCCAACAAAGCTGAACTGTGAACAAGACCCCCAGACTGTGGCTGAGAGAGAGAGCCACTTGCTGGGGAATTTGGGTTTACGACGCAATACGCTGGAGGTGTGTGGCAGCCAATGGGGCCGTCCGTCAGCTGTTGTTAAGAAAGCGGATGATTCCACCTGCCTAAACCGTATCAGGATTTTTACCGGCTCCCTGGACAACACATCGCCCAAGAAGCCCGGCTACCCTAGCCCGACGGCAAACTGTAATCAAAAGAACAGGGTCAATAAAAGAAACCCGGCGCAATCCTTGAACGCACCCAGTTTTGCTTCTTCACATCAACACTCTGTTGCTCTTGCTCTTGCGACCCAAGAGTTGTTGCCATCGTCCATTCATTTTCCTTTTTCTCTTCAATCCAAAGTGCTTACCTAGCGATTTTAACTTGGCCTTTTGCGCCGACCCCTCATTCCTTACATCATTTTAATCCACGCTGTAGTCTCGTTGGCCTTTTCGCCCAACCGCTGTCCAGGCTTCCATTTCCCCTCTCTTCCCAAGTACGAGGCTCCAACTCCCATCTCAACCACAAACCTACGCCACAATGCGCTTCACTACATCGGCCCTTCTAGCGCTGCCGCTGCTCGCGGCCGCTGCTGAGAGCCCCTTCCAAGAGTACAAGGCCAAGTTCCAGAACTTCCTCGGCAACTTCGTCGCTGCTCCCGAGGCTGCCAAGCAAGACCCCGTCGCCGCCTCTTCCACCAAGTCCTCCAAGGCAAAGGTTGTCGGCGCAAAGAAGATCGAGACCCTTTCCCTCAACACCTGGAAGGATACACTCTACGCCCCTGTGAAGCCCGATGCCACACGGCCCGAGGAGTGGTATGTCTTGATTACCGGGGGCAACAAGACATGCTTTGGTGAGTCCGACTCTATCCTTGCGCCGGCTTGATGCACGAGCTGACCATGTATCGCCCGGCACAGGTCACTGCGCCAAGGTCGAGGCCGCCTTCAACGAGTCGGTAGCCAAGTTCGCCACCTTATCCAAGTCTCCCCACGTCGCAATGATCAACTGTGACGACGAGAAGATTCTGTGCAATAGCTGGTCTGCCACTACCGGAGCGCTTTGGATCTTCGAGATGCTCCCTGCCCCGGCCGCCATCGATGTCTACTGGAAGCGCCTGAACCTTACCACGACGACGTCGCAGACCATTCTGGACTTGTATGTCAATGATGACAAGAAGGCATTCTATCTGATCGATAGCTACTTCCATCCATTTGATGGCGTCCTGGCCAAGAATGACCTGGCGGTGCCTGTGGCCTATCTCCTCTGGGGGTTCAACGCCATCCCCTCGTGGGCCATGATGCTCTTTGTGTCCTTCTTCAGCAGATCCATGATGTAAGTTGCATGTTGCCGACAGTGCCGAAGATGCTTGGTACTAACGCCTGGCAGGAACCGTCCCTCTACCCGCCCCGGTGGCCCTGCCGCCGCGGCTGCTGCCGCCGCCGCTCGAGGTGCTGCCCCGGGAGACGCTCGCTCTTAAACGGGCTTTGTTGAGTTTTCTATATAGTTAAGGTTTTAATCTGTGTTCCGGAGGATGTCTGGCCACCGTTTTTTCTTCGTTTGGGAAACCCGGCGGCTTGTATTGGGAGGTCGAGAGCGGAGGGATTGTGCTTTTTGTGCATATGTTGCCTCTTATGGGGCTGGGGATTTTTAAGCGCAACCAGGGAAATAGGGCGCTTTCTGAGCCGTAATCAATTCTTCCCGTCGCAAGTCGCCTTTAGATCGGCCAAGCCCTCGAGGACCTGCTCGCGGAGGTGACTGTTGGCAAGGCGGCCGTAGCGGAGGTCGCTCATGCCCCCGACCGTCTGCCGGACAGAAGCCACGAGACTGGCTTCTTCCTCTCCTAGGCGCTGGAGCTCATTCTCGACTTCTGCGATGGCACCTTCCAACTCTGGAAGGATTGAGTTGATGCTATGCCTAGAGCTCTGCGTGTTTGACGCAGCCCCGAATAGCTATCAACTGGTGTCAGCGCTGTGGTGTTCACATTACCGCTCAACCACGAGTCTCACCATTCGCTCGATCTCGATCTCATCATCCTGCTCGTCTAGCTGTGCCAGGCGTCTCTCCTTGATCACGGTGCGGCGCTGCACTTTGCCCTTCTTGACCTCGCTCTCGATTTCAGCAGCCACAGAATCTACCAGCGCGTTTCTCTGGCTCTGGACATCTCGGTACAGGCTGCGGATGTGCGGCGACGACTGCAGCGACCGCGGGAACAGGCTAGTGAACTCCTGGAGGGATATGACGGCAGGCAGCTGTGCAGGGACCAGCAGGTAGTTGCTTAAGATCTTTAACTCGCTGGGTGCCATGGCGAATTTTGGGTTTGGTGATTGAGTGTGGAGAAAGCGAGAGTGAGTACTTAGGCATGCACGAGGCGTATGACAAACGAAAACAAAATAAAAAACCGACAGCTGCAGGATTAGTCGTCAATGCCCCAATAACTCTAAATGAAGCAAAAAAAGGTCGAAAAGTGTTGGGGATGAACGCGACTACCGTTGGTGTGGGGGTTAGTTGGCCCGTCGCCAGGGGAGGGGGAGAGAGGTCGGAGTGGAGGGGGTGGCCAGACACACGTGTTCCCGTGATCTGTGCTTTTCACTCTCCTTTCTCATCTCATCATGGTGATTTTGGCTCGGGTCCAGACGACTCACTTCCCACCGCCGCAGCGCAGCCCCACTCATTTTTCACCACGCCGCACTCATAACCTTGCTACGTAGCTTTGGGCAGTCCGCCGGAGCCACATCGACATCGACGCGTCAAGGCACTCACTAATTAGGGTTGAGTCAGTCCACAACAACCCGCCAAACAGAATTAGGTATATCGTCTCGGAAACACGCGACTCACCCGCCAACTCGCCAAGGATTGCTCTCACACTCGCGCGCCAATATTCCGGGACTCATTACTCACGCAACCCGGACTCTCGAGGATAAAATGGCGCCATCAAAGCAGCCCCAGCCGCCCTTCTCCAAGGACGAGCGCGTGCTCTGCTTCCACGGGGAGATGCTTTACGAGGCCAAGATTTTGGATGTGCAGCCGAGCGACAATGGCGAGGGCTTCCAGTACAAGATCCACTACAAGGGCTGGAAGAGCAGCTGGGACGACTGGGTGTTCCAGGACCGCGTCCGCAAGTTCAGCGAAGAGAACAAGGACCTGGCCTCGCAGCTTCTCAACCAGTTCCGCAACCTGCAGTCGGGCAAGACGACTAAGGGACTGAAGAAGGCCCTCCGCGCAAACGGTTCTGACCTCGGCTCGGCGCGCGGTAGTGAGGAGCGCACGGCGGCGGCAACCACGCAGAGCGGCCGTGGCCCTCGTCGGGCACGAGACTTTGATCTTGAGCATGTAAGTAGACTGACTGACTGTGCTTGCTCTTTTTTTTTCCTTTTTTTTTCTGTCCATGCCCTGCCACTTGACTGCAATGCCCTGCTCGCTTGAAAAACCTTACTTCGACATTCAGGGAGGCACTGGGAAGTTTCCCATGTTCGTACGCACCGTAGCAGAGGGGGGTCAAGTTGGCCTAGGCTGCCTTTGCGTAACGATAATTAAGACGTGAATCCGGGAAAATGGAAAACATGTTCGAAACCGGCGATACGTATTATTGTCCTTAGGTGTAGTGTGAAGGCGCGGAGCTGGTCTCGGAGGTACAGTACGGGGACGCATCAAGCAGCGCAGTGCGGTGCGGTGCGGGGGGGGGGGGGGCAAACATCCGGTGGTCGAAAGATACAGGGGGAAAGAAGCTTTTGAACGAAGGGCCCAAAATCCAAGCCATGAGGGACGGGAGGGCTGGGCTCAGAACCTCAACTGCTGTTCACCTAAGAGTCGGACATGGCCCAGCAGTTCGACACCAGTTCGACTGTTCACCCATCAATCCGACTATCCACCGGCACACAATCCAATTGATCCCAGCAATGTTGTTCAGGCCGTTTTTGGGCGAGAGGGAATGACTACACCTCGCCTGCACACTTTACCTTACCTCACACGCTCCGTCTCCCTCCTCGTCACCCTCGTTCAGGGAAACAAAGTCTCGCGCTGCAGCGTCTGCACCCCCCGGGCAGTGCGAAGTCATCGTGTCCCCCTTTTTTTTCCTTCATTTGCAGCCTCGCCGCCTCCCACTGCATGAAAAGAAAAAAAAGCGACAACATTTCAGCCCCCCCTCCTTCACCCCCTTCCTCCCTCTCTCTCTCTCTCCCCTCTCAACGCTCGCCTCCTCCACTACCAGGACGCACACCACACATCGCCACATCGAGGATCAACACCAAAACCACGTTGCGGGCTATTCGCTGCGGCAACTCAGGGCGCCGACTATTGTGGCTGCTTTCTCTCTGGAATAATTTTCATAAACACCACACACTCTCTCGCCATGGACCCCCTCGCACTCACCATGCCGCGCAGTATGTGCAGGACGCGGAGCAAGACCCAATGGCTACCACAAAGGTCACCCCCATCTTCACCCTTACCTTTACCTTCGAAGCCCATCCCATTTGAAGACTCGGAAGCTCAGTGGTTCGCCGCATCCCATCGCCGCGACACTTTACGTGTAGCGCCCACGAAAAAAACCTCGGTTTATTTCTTCAAATCGGGCAGGGCAAAGCCATTCGACAGCCGGTTTGACCGGGTTGACCTTATCGAACGCGCCCTCAACAAGAGGCAAAACAATCACCCAAAGGTGATCGCCGCCATGAAGAGCAAGAACCTCACGGACAAACTGGTCGTCTACTGGAACGGCCTTGACGAGGACTGGCGCAACGTCCCCCTGGCTGGTGTTGCTGCCCCCGAGCACCGATATGTTCCTTTCAAGGCCAAATTCGCCGCTGCCCAGGCCTTTGTCGGAAACGATGTGAAGCTTCGTATACTCATTGAACAGCAGCAACTGCTGCCGGCCAAGTCGGCAGATACTAAACCGGCGGAAGTACGTTCGTTGTCCCTGTCGAAACCAACTAGTGCCCAAGTGGGTAGCAAGGTGCTGAGCAAGAGTCTGCTGTCTTCCATCGAACACCCCACCGTTCATTGTACCTCACCGATTCCCGTGTCAAGTGGCCATGGTTTTGTCTGAACTTTGATGTCATGTTTATTAATCTAGGGTATCATGTGTTTCTGCACATCGAGACGTCGACGCTAACATGTTGTCGCAGGAGGATGCCTTCCACAGCCGGCCATCGATCAAGCTCCCCATGCCAGACCACCTCAAGGCGATGCTGGTAGACGACTGGGAGAACGTTACCAAGAATCAACAGCTTGTTCCTCTGCCGCATCCACACCCCGTTGATCAAATCTTCGACGACTATCTCAACTATGAGCGTCACAACCGCATCCCGGGCTCAGCTTCGGTTGAGATTCTAGAAGAGATCATTGCCGGCCTTCGCGAGTATTTTGACAAGTGCCTGGGCCGTATCCTACTTTATCGGTAGGCCTCCGCCCCATGTCTCCTCCTAGTACCACCCCTTTATATTCCTACCACCAGTCACTGACGCCCACGGGCCACAGTTTTGAGCGTGCCCAATTCCACGAACTGCACCAGCAGTGGAACTCGGGAACGGACAGCGAGCACAGGAGTCCTTGTGACACGTATGGAGCAGAGCATCTGTCTCGCCTTCTTGGTATGTTACCCGGACACAATCACTCCCACACAAAATCAAGTTTGTTTAGTTCTAGTCTCCTTCTCTAACACAAACACGCCAGTGTCACTTCCCGAGCTCGTGGCCCAGACAAACATGGATCAGCAGTCCGTGAACCGCCTCCGCGAAGAGCTCATGAAGTTCACCCGCTGGTTTGGCAACAACACCGTCAAGTACTTTGTCAACGAGTACGAGACGCCCAGCCAGGAATACGTCGACCAGGCGCGCAACGCTTAATTTAGGACACAGTACCAATATTGGGACGCGATACCAACTCAGTCCCCGCTTTGCAAACAACCAAACCGTTTATATATCTAAGCGGTCGTCACATTTGACTTCCCCGACCCACCTTCCGCATACATTGCATGACCTCCAGCGACGCCGCCCTATTTGCGCACAATTGTCAAACATAACTTAGTTTCGGCATCAGCAGCTGTCTGTCCCACCCTCTCTTCCCCGTAGCATTATGTCCGAGGGAGGCACCCCCTGTCGGATTAACACACCATGTCGTCCACGTAGAGGCGAGTGGATTTTGCAGGGCTGGGATAGGGGCAGGCAATATGGACGGCAGATCGACAGTAGCCTGTTTACTTGGGCTCGGGAGCTTTTTCCTTTCTCTTTCTCTTTCCTTTTCCTTGTTCCATTTTCTCCTTTCGGCGAACGGTGGGTTGGCCGGCGGGCTTGTACGGTTTCGGGTTCAGGACAAGCAAGGACAGGTTTTAGGTAGGCATTCCATCTTTCAGCGCGTTTGTCTATACGCGGAGAAAAAAAGGGTTTCACACACTATGTACTGTGCCCTGCTCCCGTGTGCTCGAGTAGACCCTGTGATGTGCCGTGGTTGTTTGGTAATACGACCATTAATCCCGTACAAGGTCGTGGGTTGCGTGTTCGGCTGCTTTCTTTGTTCGCGACGACAGTTGTTTTGGGTATTTCCTGAAACATTTAGCCCGGTATCCAACAGAATATCATCTTCTCAAAATTTCATCAGAGGCCATACTGTTTCTTGTTCTGGTAATTGTTTGATATTTATTTTGCAACGTTTAACAGCTCGGCCTCCCACGTTTGTCCCCCTTTTTTTGTGATGATATACAATTATAGCGTTACATGTAGCGTGACAGACAGATACAGATAAATAGGGGCGTACATGTATGTACATGTACATGAACACGCTCTCTCATAAAGTAGCCCCTTGCTGTGTCACCTCCAACAAGCCCCCCCCCGCGGGCCGCGTGATGGGACGAGTGGATGGATGGCGGCGATGTACGCGTTTCTTGCTTGATGGGCAAACAAATTCCCGCTGTCGGCGGCCTATCCTCTCTCTCCCCTTGGCGTGGGAGGGATGGTATATTGGCTCGTCCCTCCGTCCCCCGTAAGCGTAGGCAGTCTTGCTCACTAGCTTCCTCCCCGTATCCCTGTGGTGAGTCCATCGCCTTCTCCCTCGGTTTTATTTGTTCAGCTAGAAGGGAGTGGACATTTCGACTATGACCGTAATCTCTACCCCTTCGAGACTTCTTTCAGGGGTTGGGTGTAATGCCTCAATTTCTACCTTCTTCCCTTCTATCCTCTGCCCCAAAATCGAAAACCGACGTGAAATAATAAATAAAAAATATAACCCCATCCGAATTTCTCCTCCCCGCCTTTTTTCCCCCTCTATAACCTGACCTTGCGGCCAGTTGCCTTGGCGACCTCGCTCGCAAAGTCCCCAATGCTCCCAGCAGCGCGGGGCGGCAGGCGGCCGAAGCCAGACACGACGGGCGTCGCGAGCAGGGCGACCTGGCTGGCGGGGGCGGGGCCGCGCGTCTCAACATAAAAACCGGCGTCGGGCGTGCGCTCGGCCTTGACCTCGGCGGGCGTCAGCGGCGCGGCCACCTCGTCGACCAGCACTAGCTCCTTGACCTTGAGGATCATGCCTGCGAACTGCGCCTCGACTGGGTGGAAGACGGTCTGGTTGCGCCGCCGCAACCCCAGTGCCATGAGCACGCCGCGCGTGCGCTTCGGCAGCCCGATGGCGCTGCGGTGCAGCGTGATGCGGAACCACGACATTTTTCTTTGAGGGAGAGAGAGGGAGGGTGGGCGTGTCGGTTCGGTTTGGGGGTTTGTTTTGTCTGCTCGCGAGCGAGAGAGAGAAAGACGAGCTCGGAAGCTACCCTGTTCAAACTCACGAAGCGTGGCGCATTAGCTTCACTCTAGGAAGCAGAGAGAAAAAAGTCTTACCCTTTTGCAGCGCTAGCTGTCGCCCAGATAGAAGCCCAGTGCTGTCCTGATTCTTGCCTGGCAAGTCTCTTCGACGGCGATGACGAACGAGCTTTGCAAGGGGGGCGAGTCAGGTTGAGAAATCGTGAGGTCATACACAATACACAACACAACACGCCAGTGAACCCCAAAAGTGGGAAGTTGCCGTAGCACGTCGTTCGTCTTGCGCGCTGGTCGGTGAATCGGCGAGCTAGCCTGCCGGGCGCCCCTAAACCCGATTTGGGGATGTCGCCCCACTTTCAACCTCATTCCCAAAGTAAGTCTACCGACACTTACGGCACCTCTGCTACCTAGCCCATGGAAACCTGCTCATAAAGTGTGATGCAAGTAGGCATACACCATGTGGGATTCTGAATAAACTGCTATGAAAGCGAGCTTGGAGTCCCTTCCTATTAGCATTTTCTGTAAAGTCACTGCAGCAAATGTTTTGTCAAATTCTGGCATATCTAGGTAGGTGTACGTGTATACGTTATGGAGGCCGAGGCCAAAAGAGAGGGCCGGCTGACCCTGGCTTCGCAGTAGTGTGGGCGCATTGGATCTTATCGTCGCCAACTGCCCGGTTCACTAGCCAATCGAGCACGGCGTATTATGCTTTCACTTGTTTTTAGAAGCTATAGCGGGTTACTAAAAGACATGGCTTGTAACTACCTACCTACCTAGTCGGCAAATTAATTTCCCATCGGCCTAGAGCTCCCCACGACCATGTATAGGTTCAAAGCCGGCCTCAAGTAAACATCCAACCCCCCCTCGAACGTTTAACCCCTACCTAGTTCTCCCGATTACTCACCTACCCAAACGCAAGTTTTCTGATGACCTTCGATATCTTTCTTACCAATGCATGTACATACTCTAGGTACCCGCTCCGACGTCTCGTAGTAACCGGCACGGACACGCCCGAGAACTTTAGCCTGCTTTTCGGGTCGCAGCAAATTCCCGACGGCCATGCAGAAACCCGCAAGGAGGTGTTCATGGCGGCAGAGACGCCAGCAGGGTCGCCGATGGCTGCAATGGGCGGCTTTTATGACCAGGGATGTCCCAGGTGGTCGCCGCGGCCGGCGAGCGAGGAGGAGGAAAAGGAGATCCAGAAGCAAGTCGAGTTCAGCCGTACGTTCTCGTCGTTCTTGAGGCCGCCATAAAATGTCAAGGCGGTGGGTTGGACGGCTTTAGCTATAGTTGAAACTACGGTGGGATAGCAGCAGAATGAACACTCCTTTCAAAGGACTAAATGATAGTATTTTTACGCCGCACCGAAAGATATAAAACGTGGCTCTGCTCTATTCCAAAACAGCCGGCATTCCATTGCCATGGGATATCGATGCGTAAATGTACTGACCACCTAGTCAACAAGATAACCTTTCCACCAACAACAGCTGATACTTTATGCTTGTTCGCCAAAAGGAAACGGTTGCCTGTACAGCTCCCCCAACATGAGACTATCACTTCTTTTTGGGCCTTCTACGGCCCTTGGCCTTTCCGCCGTCGTCATCGTCGTCGTCATCATCATTAGCTTTGGCGGCTTTCTTCGCCGGCTTCTTGGCCGTCTTTTTGGGCTGTTTGATATACTTGTCCGTCTTGAGGTCCAGCTCCTCCTCATCCACTTCCACCGCCTCGACAGCGTCACCCTCGTCTTCTTCCTCAATGGCCTCTTCGAGATCGGGAACGTCCCTGCTGCCCTTCTTTGGTGCCACAACGCTGCTGGCTTTCATGAAGGGAAGGGGATGTGACATGGCGTTATAGCTGCGAATTTGTTAGCGTCGGCATCAAGACTGCAGGGCTGAATCCTCGTGGGAACTTACGTTCTCGTAAAAGCGGCCTTGGTCTGCGTTTCAATATTAATATGTTCCTCCGCTTGGTATCCTACCCCAAGTTCCTTGATCGAGTCAAAGTCTTCTCGTGTGAGATAGTAGCTGTCCATCAGCTCAATGACCTCTTCCACGCAATCTCTACCCTCAACCTCAAGCCTCTTGACAATTTGGTGCCAGAGCACGGGCAGATATTGCTGGCGGACTTCATTGTGGTCTCCAGAGGTCTTGAGCCGCATGTGCGAGTGTACTTCGCGCACAAAGCGACCAAGTTTCCCATACTTGCTATTGTTGCCCAGCCAAGATGTGAAGGCCGTCTGGCCCCCGAAAGAGCCGGCAATGAAGCTAGAGGGCCGAACAGTACTGAATACAGCATGCGTAGGCATCAGGCTCCACTGTTGCTGGGGACCGTGGATCATACGGTCGACGAGGTCGCCATCGCTGATGCTTTCCGCTGCCTGGTCGACAAGCTCGAGGTACTTCATGTTTTGCTCTCTTGGACTATAGCCTTGAGAGCTGAGCAGGGCTGGCTTTGACCGAAGGTAGTTCTCCTGGATCATCAGGTAGCTGAATTCGTGGTCATTGAAGTATAGCTCAATCTTGTCATTCAGCGTCGCTTTGCTGGCCGGGCCGAAGAGGCCGCCCCCGATCATCTTCTGACAGATGTCCCAGGGCTTGAGGATGACGTGCTTCTCCCAGGCCTTGGTCATCGACTTGGTCTGGTCAAAGTCCATCAAGACTTGGTCTAGCTTTGCCGTCGAAAGCATATTGACGATCTGCCTGATGTCCTTGTTGCTGCCCTCAATTAGTGCATTGACAACCTGAGCCGGCAGCTTCATGCCCTCTCTATGCGCGATGGTCATGACCCGGGACCGAATCTGGTCGACGGTAGGTCGTTGAAACTTGATGTCGAATGCGACATGATCAAAAGGCTTCATCTTGGGAAGTCTGCGCTCGTTGCAGATCAAGATGAGAGGGACCTCTGTCTTCTTGCAAAACTTGGCAAGGGCACCAACACCACCTCGGTCGCCAGCAGACATGCCATCAACCTCGTCCATCACTAGGACCATCTTCTTCTTGCCAACATCGACTTTCTTGCCGTCTCCAGCAAAAAATCCCAGCAGCGATGTGTTGTTGAGCACGTCGCTAACTCCGCTTTCGACGAGCTTTTTACTGCGGGTGTCACTTGCGTTACTCTCGAGCACGTCGTAGCCTTCCAGATTGGCTGCGAGATGGGCTGCAGTGGTCTTGCCGATGCCTGGCGGCCCAGATATTATAATGGCACGGAACCCGCCCATGCCATCGGCACCTCGCCTCTGGAAGTCGTATTTCTTGTGCTTGGGCCAGTTTTTGAGCCACGACTGTATCCTTTCCACGTTGGCTTTATTGCCGCAGATTTGGTTGAGCTGGGTGGGGGCATATTTCGTCGTCCACAGCTGGGAGAGTGGACGTGTTTGGACAGGAGCAGAAGCAGCCACTCCACGAGCAGCAGCGGCTATCTTGGCCGCCTTGGCCGCCTCCTGCTGCCGTGCCTTCTCTTCGCGCTCCATCTGAACAGCCTCGTCGCAGGCCTTCTTCTCCTCTACCTCTCGCTTTTGCTTGGCCTTCTCGGCGCCCTTTCCAGTGCCACCGTGAGCGGGCATGGTTTTGATGAGGTAGAACAATCCTGCTTCATCAATCGCCTTGATTCCGTGCTCCTGGATCTTTCTCAATTTACTGGGGCCAGCATCGTCACCGAGAACGACGAAGTCGGTTTTGCTGCTCGGCGCTCCTGTAACCTTGCCGCCATATCTCTTAACAAGAGCTACGCCTTCGTCGCGGCTGATGGTCTTGAGTAGCCCAGTGAAAACAAACGACTTGCCCATGAGGCAATTATCCTCCCCGTCGGGGATGTCAGCCGCTCCGGCCATGGGAGGGGGCCCTGCGTTACCCCCTCCAGCACCTTTCCTCCAGTCGAACTTCGCATTCGGATCCTTGGCAGGGGCATCCGGTGCCTGAACTGTGGGAACATTGTCAAGTATGTCACGAATGTCGTCCGGCTCCGGCTCGGCTGCTTTCTTGGCTCTCGGAGCCCGTGGCTTGGCCGGCGCGGGCTTCTTTGCGGGCTTGATTTCGTCATCTTCCTCGTCCTCGCTGTCGGAAACAGGGGTTTTCCGCTTGCGGCTTGGAGTTGCGGCTTTCTTGGCGCTTTTAGAGGGCGTCGGCTTGAAATCTTCGGAGGAATCGGCCTTGGCCTGGGGCTTGCCGGCACGAGATACGACACGCTTAGGTTTTGGCAAGAATTCTTCCTCGCTTTCTTCCTCGGCATAGTCGTCGTTCTTTCTCTTGTTGCCGCCCTTGACGTCGGTCATGAAGATGTCCTCGCCATCCTCATCGTCATCGTCGACAAAATCATCGTCTCGGCTAGGGTTCGCATAATTCGGGGCGGGTTTCTTTTTGGCGCCGTTTGACCCATTCGTGGCTGGCTCTGGGGCAACTCTGGAAGCAGTCGGTTTCGTGCGAGGGCTCATGCGGACCTCAACGCCAGGTCCCACGTGTGTCTTGGATGCAGCTTTCGGTGTTGACTGTGAGGTAGCCGCCTTTGGTTTGGCAGATGCGAAGTATTGAGACGCGGAAGTCTCCACCCCTTTAACCTCTGTCGGCTGTCTGTGACGATCGTCTAAGTCAGTCTAATCGCGCCACGCTGTTACAATATCACAGGGGTGCAACTTACGATGCCTTCTTCCTCGGAGTAGACCGGGTTGGTTTTTTGACCCTATTTAATTGTCAGATCGCGGCCAATGGGGGGGCAAGGCCAGCGGAACGGCATATACTTACTCGACAACCATATCATCGTCATCATCGCTATCGTCAATGACCTTTCGCCCCTCTGCAAAAGGTGTTAGAATCAACCCGGCATTGAACGAGGTAAGATACGTAGTTCTTACTGGTCCGCAACTTTTTGGTGGTATCATCCGCTTTCTTAGGCAAAGGTTTTGGAGGTGGTGCTCCCCCTTTGGGCCCGAAGAAGGAGCGGATGTCAGGCATCTTGTAGTGCGAAGCGGTCGTTGAGGAAGTAAAATCCCAAGAATTTATCAGTGCAGCAATTGAATACGAAGCGGCATCTTAAGTCGGTTTATTTGCGGGGTTAGGTTTCAGGCACTGGCGGGAGCTGAACTGGAAGCAATATTCCACGGATGGAAATCGTTTGACGCGAGCTGGAAATGCGACTAAAGTGGTGACGCGAGTGCCTGGGCCTTGTCGCGCCAGAACGTGACCTGCCCATTAGTTTAGTGGGGCGACGCGAAATTCAAGCAGTACATACAGCCAAGCGCCGATGCGCCAAGTCTGCAGTGTGTTTGGCCGGCGTTTTCCCGAAGTGCACCAGAGCTGGAGCTACGGGGGTGGATTTTCGGACCAGGCCGTGCTCAGTCAATTGCCGCCATCGCTGACCTCCCCGTCGACGGCCTCAGCGCAGTCACAATTCCTCCGCCGCCATGAAGCACAACGCTTCCACAGCGCTCCTCGGCGCCTTCCAGGGGCTGAGGATATCTCCCTTGACGACGTTGCGCCTCTCCACACCCCTTCGGCGGCCGTCAGCAGCTCCCCGCGTTGCTACCGCTATCCCTCATGTCAGGATGTTCTCGGCGACAGCCATCCAGGCCGGGTCATGGCTCGAGCCCAACCTCAATCGCAAGGATAAGATGATGAAGGGCCGTCCTAGGGTGCCCACGGGAGGATCGACAAAAGGCACGACGGTTATTTGGGGAGACTACGGACTGCGCATGTGGGACCACCACCGCAGAATCAGCGCTGCACAGCTTTTCCTTGCCGAGAAGACCATCAAGACGAGGCTTCGTGGCCAGAAATACCGCCTGTTTAAGAGGGTCGCTTGTAATGTCGGAGTCTTCATCAGTGGTAACGAGGTAAGGGAAGGCGCCGTCTCCGGTCTAAGCCACTTTACTAACACCTGGCGCAAAGATAAGAATGGGTAAAGGAAAAGGTTCGTTTGATCATTGGGCAGCCAGAGTGGCCGTCAATCAGGTCGTCTTTGAACTCAGAGGCCAGCTCCACGAACAGGTCGTTCGAGACGCCTTCCGGCTTGCTGGACAGAAACTGCCAGGTACGGGATATCTGAAATCCCCGCTTTTACTTTTACTTCCAGACTGACGCATCTGTAGGGCAATGGGAGGTCGTCAAGAAGGGCGATGCGCCTGTCGTTGGAATCACAAAACTGGAGAACGGCGTTACGTTGGAAGACCTCAAGCGCCCAAGGAAAAAGCTCCCAGAAGTCCCTCTCGAGCCGCCATCGCTTGCGTCCACATCCACCTCGGCGCCTCCTCCCGCATAGGCACTGCATTTTGTGTCTGTTATAAATTGTACAAATATGTAGACCAACTCGGACCCCGTGCGCTGCATCGCGGGATTCCTCTTGGCTGTGTGTCCATTAAAGCTACAGCCCCCGTGCATGTAGTGTTTGCGAGGCGCATCCATGTTCTTTATCTAGATCTGTATGAAGTCGAATACTGCTTATTGCCTAGTAATTGGATTATGTCGCCGTAAAAGTTGGCTCGGAGCAACAATTAACCCGTCTCCTCGTCACAGCACCATCAGAAAATAAGGTATTATTAGACTAACCACTTGCACGCCGCTCCGAGTCAGTCTCTAGACCCATTGTTGCAGTTATTACAGGAATGGTGTGTATACAAAATTGAATGTCTTCTGTGCCAACTTTTTAACTTGTTTCGGGACTCTGGATCTATAGGCCTATAAAAGCATAGGATGTGCTGCAGACACGAGAGCTCATGTGGTCCGTGCGCCGACACACGCTTTAATTGATCTTGGCCTGGGCGCGTCAAGCCTTGGTCTCGACGCGTCTCCCTCAAGTCCCCCGATTTTCAGCAGCAGCACAACGAAACCGTCTCTCAAAGCAAGCAACGATTCACAATGGCGCTGATTGTCGACAAACACCGACCCAAGTCGCTCGATAGCCTAACATATCACGAGGAGCTATCCGAACGATTGCGCTCACTGGTATGGCGTGCAGCAGCCCTGTCGAGTCTCGACCCTAACCTCTAACCGTGTCGCAGGCCCAAAGCGGCGATTTCCCCCACCTCCTCGTCTACGGGCCCTCCGGGGCAGGCAAAAAGACACGAATTGTCGCAACTCTGAAGGAATTGTACGGCCCCGGTGTAGAGAAGATTAAGATCGATGCCCGCGTCTTCCAGACCAGCAGCAACCGCAAGCTCGAATTCAATATCGTCTCCTCTGTCTACCACCTGGAGATAACACCTTCAGATGTCGGCAACTACGATAGGGTAGTCGTGCAAGATCTTCTCAAAGAGGTTGCGCAGACGCAGCAGGTGGACCAGGCAGCAAAGCAAAAGTTCAAGGTTGTCGTCATTAACGAGGCCGACCACCTCACTCGAGATGCTCAGGCCGCCCTCCGTCGCACCATGGAGAAGTACTCTCCCAATCTTCGGCTCATCCTCCTGGCCAACTCAACCGCCAACATCATTGCGCCCATCCGGTCGCGTACGCTGCTCGTGCGGGTTGCTGCCCCCACCCACCAAGAGATCTGCGACGTGCTCGCTGTGTCTGCGAAGAAGGAAGGCTGGCTAGTCGTCAAAGGCCTGCACCAGAGAATTGCCGAAGAGAGCGGGAGAAATCTGCGCAAGGCGCTGTTGATGTACGAGGCAGTACACGCACAGAAGTACATACACCTCCGAATCGCGCCATGGTTTTATAGACCCAGCTAACACGCCGGCAGTGAGAAAGTCACAGACAGCACTCCAATACCGCCTCCGGACTGGGAAGCACTTATTGGCCAGATTGCCAAGGAGATCATAGAGGAGCACACGCCAGCGCGGATTCTCCAAGTCCGGTCCAAACTCTACGACCTGCTCACTCACTGCATACCGCCAACCATCATCCTTAAGACACTCACCTTCAAGCTCATCCCCCAGATTGATGACGGACTCAAAGCAGACGTCATCAGGTGGTCTGCCTTTTACGAGCACAGGATCAAAACAGGAACAAAGGTCATTTTCCATCTGGAGGCGTTTGTAGCGAAGTTTATGCGGATACTCGAAATGTATCTGATGAGCATGGACTTGTGAGGGGATTTTTAGTGGTCCATGTCGAGATGTCGGATTAAATTTGCTTGTCATCGAGGATTCGGCGTCCCGGAGCACGGTCGAGCAGGTCACGACTAGTGAACGACGAGTACTCCGTTGATACCCGGATGCAATGCGGTAGCCACTCCTCGGGCTGAATCTCACTGTACTTTTGCTACTAAAGGGGATACGGCTAATGAATTGCGAGTGAATATTATCACTATTATATACACCATTTCAATTCTGATCCGAGCCAACGTAGGGCCAGTCTTTCAGTTTCGATATGTTCTCATAGCTACCGCTTCCGTCGGAGAAAAGCCTTCAGGGCGAGTCAATGGCGGACCTTCCCGTATTGTAAAGTCCCCCGCCAACAATCACTCGGGATTAGATTGCGAGAAGCATTTGAAGACATTGAAGTACTGCCGTGCCCGTCCACCAGCAAGTGCGTGACAATGATACCAAACCTACCAATGTATCCCAAATAAAGGAGCCTCTGAAGAAATACTATAGGCACCTACCAATCATGACCAGTGTTGGTTTCAGGCTGGATTGGCCTAGTGGAGAGGAAACGCATGGCCCCGATATTTCCGGCAGTTTGGCAGCAAGTGATTGGCCCGGCCAGCCCTGCGACAGGCCTTGCAGGGATGTGGTCGCGCTCTTCCCGCGACAAGGATGTAAGAACCCCATTTTCCTTACCCAACGCCAAAATCGCGTTCGTGTCCTTTTGAGAGAGCTCTCCAGCGGCCCGACGAAGAGCATTGTCCATGCTTCGCCTCTGTATCACCAACAAGCTTCAAAGAAACCCCAACGACGTTCCCACACGCAATATCAGTTCGCCAACTGTTTTGTGCACCGCAATTCCCCCATCAGCAACCTGCTGCGACGGGCAGCTTCGACTTTGCGACCAATTGGCAGGAAACAAAGCCGGAACATAGGGGCTAGCTGCTGTACCGAATTCAAGATGCCTCTCAACATCTTCCGCGTCCTGGGTACGGGCTACTCTTCCCTGGCCGCGAAGACGGGAGCGTAGGGATGCTAATACGGTCTGCGCATTGCCACAGGGGACTTTTCCCATCTCGCATCCATCGGCATTCTCCTCCACAAGATGGTACAGCTCAAGGTGCGCTCGCCCCCAGCCGAAAAAAACGCCATGGGAGGCAACTGGCTAACAGTCGCCAGAGCTGTTCCGGCATCTCTTTTAAATCGCAAGCCCTGTACTTTCTCGTCTACATCACGCGATATCTCGGTAGGGACCCGATTTCTTTTCACGTTTGAATCTGAAGGACGCGATTTGCCGCATTGCTACAAGTCGCTGAGGGGTGTTGGGTCGGGTTTGCTTACGCAAGGAGCGGCGGCGGCGGAGCGCACTTTGGCTAATCGCGAACACAAACAGATCTCTTTGCAACGACGAGCATCTACAACGCCGTCTTCAAGATACTCTTCATCGGCGCGCAGGGGTACATTATTTACCTGATGGTCAACGCGTACAAGCCGACCAACGACCCGAACCTCGACACGTTCCGGGTGCAGTACCTGCTCGGCGGGGCGGCGGTGGTGGCGGTGCTGTTCCCCTACGAGTACTCGCTCATGGAGATCCTGTGGGCGTTTTCGATCTGGCTCGAGGCCGTGGCCATCCTGCCGCAGCTGTTCATGCTGCAGCGCACGGGCGAGGCCGAGACCATCACGGCAAACTACCTCTTCGCCCTCGGTCTGTACCGCGCCCTGTACATCCCCAACTGGGTCTACCGTTACGTCATGGAGCCGAGGCATAAGGTGGACTACATCGCCGTGACGGCCGGCATCATCCAGACGGTCCTGTACAGCGACTTCTTCTGGATCTACTACAACAAGGTGCTCAAGGGCCAGAAGTTCAAGCTGCCCGTGTAGAGCTGTCGCTGCTGATCGCTCTGGCGGTGCTATGGCACTGCCGGGGAGCGTGCGCGCCTGAGAGATGTCGAGCCCCTAGCGAATTGGTTAGAGAAGCAGACGGCTTTCTTTTGCCGTTTGGCCAGCCTTTTTCAAGGCGGCGGCGGAGACAGACGGAGCTTGCCCTGTATGGCCACCCGGACACCCGCGACTTTGATTGCCAGCCTTAATTATCAGGGTATTGTTTTATTAGTTCTCTCCAATGGGTTGCGCCTTTTTGGGGACTTGGAGTTTGCAATGGGGCTAAATGGGAAAACTGAACTGGACGTTACTTCTCAGCCTCGGGTCGGTCGAGCCGAGGTGGAGATATGGACGACAATTTGCATGCTTGGCGTTCGGAGATGCGGCTCTTGTTCTTGGCAGCCTGGTCTATTTTTTTTATTTTATTTTTTTGCATGGGAGGTATGATAGAATGCCGAACAATGTACGTGCTTCGGAGAAGGGGTAGGTGAAGGGAGAGAGGGCTTGAGCAAGAGGCGCACGGTCCGCTGGCTGCCTTGAAGTCGGCTTTCCTCTTTTGTGTGCTGGTATGTGTACATAGGAGATGTGGTGTTGTAGAGAACGGAACATGGAGCAGTGGTTTGCTCTTTTTGTCCCGGGACGTCGCCTCGGCTCGTCCCAGTTCGGCTCATGTGGTGCCCAGGCCACATTGTCACAGCACGGCATGGCATGGAGAAGAGAAACTGACGCACCACACCCACTCATGCAATCACGGTGCCGGCCTGCTCGACAAGGCCGATGACGGGCTTGGCCCATGCTTCTTACACAGCTTCTACTCTTCCCTACCGTATCTTAGCTTGGCCTCTCTGCTTCATCAGCGAGGCAATGATTAGTATTAGCCTTTTTTAAGGCTTCGTCTCGATTTTAAGAACACCAATTCCTTCTCGTTGCTCAATTGACTCTCAACAAGGCTTTGTGAACGTTTGCCGAGCTCACAGCTTCACCCAGCAAGCAAGGATAATACTACTTGACCCAAGCTCCAGGCTGGGTAACATCCTTATTCCATACGCAGCTCACGAGCTGCTACCAACCCGTTCTAGGTGCCAAGTGGAACTGCCTTCCCTACAATTAGGTGGCTGGGTGCAACAGCTAGCAGAACTACTAGTCTGACCCTCCATTAAAATAAAGACGAAAGGGAAAGAAAAAAAAAGAAAGAAGAAAAAAACAGAAAGGCATGAAGACGCTGGTTTCCAGTTGGTTTGGGCAGGGCCCTCGGCTAGGCTAGCTTCGCCGAATCAGACAAAAGCTTGGGTCCGGCTTCTGAACTTCTGACGATTGGGGAAGAGAGCGGGGGGTCTGTGCGCCGCAGTTCACCTCTCGGGAACCACGACCCCCCTGCAGCCTTGCAGCTTTTGGGGTCCTGTCCTGGGGAAAGGAAAAGAGGGGCCGTGCGTGCTCTGACCTCTTCTCTCTCCACACGTTTTGAGAGCTTTTATACCCTTGATGATGGCAACACCTCAACCAAAGGATAGCTGGCACCTACCGAGAATGGGAGTGGTGTAACACGACACACGGCAAGCCATTGACGGGCTTCTCCATCGTGCACACCACAACTACGTACCTAGACTACCAGCAAAAACGCAGTTTTCACTCCCATCCCGTTGTTGTTTTGTGTAACTGAATCCAGGCCAGTATCTGTCAGTCAGTCAGTTAGTCTGATTGGTGCTTGGTGCTTAGTGCTTGGCAAGGGGTGCTTGGCAAGGGGTGCAGTTGCTGTTCTGCTGGGTGGAAACACTTGCACGCGCATGCAGACTGCACACACAACCCCCACTGGCTTTCTTGACAACCACCAACCCCCCAACCCCTTGTTGTTGAGCAAGTTCATGCTCGTCAATCTGTCAGTTAGTCGATGCCGCTCCAGGGCAAGACACTTGCCCAGCTTCGGCTGCTGCATGTTCCCGAAGCAGCCAAGACCCAAGGCCCCCAAGGTCAAGCATGGAGGGTAGTAGCAGAGAAGAGAAGGAGAAGAAGGGCAGAAGAGTGCCGAGCCGGATGGCGGGTGGAAGGGGAGTTTTAGGTCTTGGCTCTTTTTCTCTTCTCACCTGTCTGCTAGTCAGGCCAGGTCAGGGGTGGTTTCGATCCCCGGGCCATCATACAATCGCATGTTGTCGTTCCCTCGCTACAGCTATTCCTGGGCGAGGGTTTCGGTGCCATCCGCGGTGATCTTTCTAGCCAGTTTCCTGTTCGCGATGCCGGGCTGGCTGGCTGCCTGCCTGCCTTTTTACCTACCCGGTGAGCCCGTCCACTCCGTCGACCGTTTGGTTTCCCTCTTTCTCCCTCTTTTTCCCTTTTGCCATTTTGCCTAATACTTGTCAACCAAGTTGGCACTCATCTGCCTGAAAGGATGATCGCCACGTTCCCTTCTTTTCCTCTTGCTTTTGCTGTTGCTGCCGCTGCCACTGCTGCTTGACGGCCCTTTTTGCTATTACACTGCTATTCCAAACTCTTCCGCCGAGCGGTAGGAGAAACAAACATTTGGATATTATCCTTTTTTGCCATTCCTGGGACCCGGCTTCCCGGTTCTGCTGCTGCTACCTATAGCCACCATGGCTAAGAATACATCCCTAATGTCGTCGCCACCGCGGCTTCTCCGCCTCAGTCTTTTTTCCCTTTTAATATTCTGCTCGAGCTGTGCTTGGGCCAGCACCAACACCAACAGTAATGGTAACAGCGTCGCCGACAGGCTACAACAACGACAGCACGGGTTGCTTGGAGGGAGGAGGGTGGGGGAAGCTGCAGATGCCGCGGAGCCAGTATTGAGGAGGGGCGGGGAGAGGATAATACCAGACGCCGCCTCGCCACAGATCACACCGGCGCCCTCGGTCCCAGTCCACGACTTTCTCCTGGCCGTCCGGCAGGACGACGGGCAGATCCAGGCGCTGAGCAACCAGCTGCAGCAGCTATCGGCAGCGTCGCGGTCCGTCAGCCAGGCGAGCCAGCAGGTGAGCCAGAGCAGCCAGCAGCTCAGCCAGTTGCTGCAGCAGGCGACGCAGCAGCTCAGCCAGACGCAGCAGTCGCTAGCGAGCGCGAGGGCCGGGCAGAGTGCGGCCGAGGCAGCGTCGCGCGCCGCCACCCAGGCCGCCCAGGACGCGTCGCGCAGCGCCCAGGACGCCGTCCGCTCCGCCTCGAGCTCCGCCTCGGCCTTCATGGCCAGCGTCACCGGGTCCATGGGCGCCAGCTTCAAGAGCGCCGTCGCCCAGGCCAGCCAGAGCGCCGCGCTCGCCATGAACTCGGCCGCCAGCGTCGTGCAAAAGGCTCAGGCCGACGCCACAGCCGTGAGGGTTAGTTCTTCAGTCTACCTACACCGTCTTCCCCAAGCTTTTCCTAAGTTTGCCACTAACACCATTCATTCATCCACAGAACGAAGCCAACACCCAAGTGCAGCAAGCGCAGGGCGCGGCGCTGTCCGTGACGCAGACGGCGCTAGCCGTGGTCGGCGGCGTCATCGGGTCGTCGCTACTGACGGTAGCAGCGTTTGTGCTGGTGCTGCGGTACCGCCGCCGCCGCCGCCGCGCAGGCGCACACCGCGGCGGCAGCACGGCGGGCAGCCGGGCCAACATCGGGTACCCGGCGCTGACGGGGACGTCGAACAAGGCGGCGCTGGGCAACGGCGTGACCTACAACGAGGCAGACTACGCCGAGAGCAGCTACAGCACCGACGACGACTACCCGGCCGACATCAAGGCGCCGCTTCCGGCGCTGGTGCCGGGGCGCGCGCTGAGCCGCAAGAAGAGCACCGCCACTGAAAAGAACAACAACAACAACAACAACAACAACAACAACAACAACAACAACAACGACGACGACGACGACGACGACGACGCCGCCGCCGCCGCCGCCGCCAGCACCATGGGCCTGGCCGTCAGCTACTACACGCCCATGACAGCAACACCACCACCGCAGATGGCCACCATGGTGACGGTCAAGAACGGCATCAACGCCAACAATGTAAACGGCGGCGGGTTCCAGCTCGGCGACCCGCCACCGCCCCGTGGCGCCAACACCAAGTTCACCCTCTTCCCCAAAGCCAGCAGCGACACGTCGAGCATCAGCAGTCCACAGATGCAGGCGCTGGCCGGCAACTACTCGCCCATGAGCGATGCCGCTGGGCCCAGTAGTGGGCTGCGGCAGCAGAGAGCGTCGTCACGGGGCGCCGCAGCGTTCCCCAGCCTCGACACGTGGCTGCGTGCCGGTACCGTGAGTCCGTTCGCTACGCTTCGAAGGGGCCAGGGACAGGGCTCGCCTGATGCCGGGCGGAGGTGATGTTTATTTATTTTAATGGCATTTCGGGACGGGGGGCGGCATGGTTTGATTTAGCGGGTGGAGAGGGCTTTTTTTGCTTAATCTTTTTTTTTGGTTGGGCTACGTGCCTAGAAAGTGAGGCAGGGGTGCAGAGCGTGAGGAGATACCTACCTGCCCCTATACATATACCCCTTTTTCTTTCTTCGGCTTCTTCTCCGCCAAGGACTCACCTAGCCACTTGATCTACCTTACTTAATCATGTAGTAAAACGCTTTACAAGTTTATTCATCCCGTGCTCCCCAATGTCCGATATTTTGTCTGATATATCTACGGAGTGTTCCTAGACTATGTGGCTCGAGTTCGGATAGTGATGCAGTCTAAACCCGCCAAGGGGGGGACAAGTTCATGCCAAGGTAGTGAAAGAGATGGGGCAAGGAAGAGCGTCTCATTCGAGCGCCTAGTTAGAGCCTGCCAGCTCAAGTCGCAAACAAATGAGAATACTAACCGGTAGGGTCTGCTTAATAATCCGTAATCTAGTCCCTGAACAATGGTTAGCGCTGCACGGAGGAAGCCGGGGATTACGGAGTATGCTGAGTAGGCCGGGGCACATTTGCTCTGGTATCTATTGCATGGAGACAATTAAAGGCTTTGGGATTATGTATTAGGCGCCCCGGCAGCTACCTACCGCTTCCCTCGGAGAAAAGGCTTCCAGGCGAGTCCTGAGGCTCTTCACATATTGGAAAGTCCCGTCCCACGCCGACAAACATTCAGCGGGGGACTGGACTACGCAAAATGGCCCTTACGGCTCGTTTGCCTGCGATTTCGCACACCCCCAGAATTTTGGCCCCCTTAGACACAGTCTAGACACTGGCTAGGGTGACAATCACCTAATTCTAGGAGGCAACGTAGCTTTGCGGTTTCACCAATTACATTGTATCTGCTGTGCGCACTTGCATAAGGCAATCTTCAACTTGGATTGGGCAGGCAGCAATTTCCAACTAGTTTCAGACTTTCTTCAAAAGCGATCTCACTCCCCCCCCCCCTGTATTACGATAACCTAGATTTATTCCATGGTGTTGAGAAGTCTTGGCAGCGAACGCCACTACAGCCGTTAGGGTATTAGTGGCACTTTTGTGAGTGCACAACCCAGGGATTCGGGAAGTCTTGGCAATCGTCTGCCGCATCGCCGCATTTCTTGGCGATGGAGTTCCCGCACTCTTACTCCGCATCGCACGCGGCACTTGCTCACAATGGCACAAGAAAAGTTTCAGCTTCAGGACTACACCCATATGTATTTTCCACTGTCACCTTCCAGCAACAAAATTTTAATTGGAATGCATGCGCCCGGAAATGATCGGGTTTTGACTGGAGCGCCTGTCTGCTGCACGCCCGGCAGCCCGGCACGATAGTGCTCGTCCAGGCTGCAAAAGTGCGCTTCTTCCATGCTAGGTTCGGACATCAGCGCGAAAAACAGACGACGGGGGCGGAAAGCCCGCTGACGATTGGGGGTTCGGAGCAGGTGGCTGGCAGACTAGCGAGCTGCGGGCGGCGGGGTGCAAGAAAATGCGAATGGGGAAACGAGAAAAAAGGAAAAGAGGGAAAGGATGCAATGATCGAAACGTGCTCGTCCGGCAAGCTCCATGTTCTCACGTGTGGTCGTCGTCCAACGTCGTCAGCCGTTAGTCTCCCTGTCCTCCCTAATTTAGCTAGCAACGCTCCATCCCTACCGGGTTGTGGGGGGGGGTGTAACATCGCGGTCAAGGCGGTTCTACGGAGTAAGCCCCCTTCCACCGCCGCCCAACTCATCAAAGGTACCGCAGGTTGGTTGTGTTTGATTAGGTCGCGTGCGTGCGTGTTTGCGTGCTAGCACGCAGGCTTTTCAAAAGAGTTACGCAAGCCCGGCGGCGCTACTTACCGACACCGACCCCCTCCTGGCTCTTCCCCGGCGAGACTAGGAACAAAGGGACCCTTCTTGCCTTGGGATCTAACTTTGACGAGTAAGGCCGGAACAGGGCTGCAAAATGCCGTCCCCAAGGTAGGACCCGCTGCCGCGACCAAACTCCATGTCTTGGCGCTCGCTGCTGCCCTGCCCTGGCCTTGCGAAACGCATCAACGAACGTTGCTCCGTAGGTCCTGCGCGCTACTCGAAGCTTGATCTATTCTTAGGGCGAGTCTCCAGACCTTTGGTTGCAGTCGCGGATGACGTTTGGTAGCAGGCAACACCCTCCGCTGCACCTAGTACTAGGATGACCACGCGCCAGTGGGTTCGCACGGGCTGGCGAGGGGGACGGGAAGGTGCAACCCTCGAGGTCATTCGCGCCGTTTGCGAACCGGCAGGCGCGGGCCGCCCACGACTGATAAGGACCTGGAAATCACTCCGCGGCCATGGAAGTTCCCTAGGGTTTGCAGGCCTGCACTATCTGAGAATGGACTATGTAGGTCTGGGCAGGTCCAAGGACCACAGCACAACGCACGCAAGGCGTCGGGTTCACGTGTAAGTGTAACGAAGTGTCCGACTTTACCGTGCGTGCGAGGAATTCAAGGTTCGGAATTTACCCTCCACCTCTCCTTCCTCTCTCTCCGGTCTAGTCCAAGTGCCCTGGCTGCGCCGAGACGTTGCGGCTGGCCAAAGACGGGCCTACCTTGCCTGAGGTAGTGACGCACGCCCTTCTAGACTCGTTCCCCCCTGGCCCCCCTGGGTCCCATCCCCATCCTCCTAGCTAGGGGATGCTATTCTTTTATTCAATGACAAGTGCCTGGCGCCAACGGGCTATCCCTTTCTCCTCGTCACCTACGCAGTCGGATTGCGTGGCCAAATGCTCTAGCAGTTTCAGTTGGCTGTGGAGTCCTTAAAATTGTTATCACTAGCAGATCCCAACTTGCCCTGCCTCGTCAGGCCTCGTCATGTCCATGACTTCGAATTCCGTGTCGTACCTATCTCGTGTCCTCGCTTGCTCTTATTTGCTTTCGGGATCCAATGTGGCGTCCAGTGTTCCGAGATGTGGCCTGAGATCCCTTCAGCTCTTATTCCGCTGCTAAATCTGCCAGTCGATTCATGGCCCTTGACAAAAGCCAGCCTCCCCTTTTGTGTGCCTCCTTCAGCGGGCTGCCACCTTGTTCAACCCGTCCAAGGCACAGCCTAGCCTGAGTGAACTAGATCTAGCTTGTCCTCTTTGGTTCAAACCATCGCCGTCGACATGAGAAACCTTGCTTCTATTCCTATGCAATCCCTCCTCCTGCTGTCAGGCTTGCTGGCCTCGCCACTGCTCATTAACGCAGCAGCAGTCCCAGCGAACCTCTTCCAAGACGCAACTACAACAATAGCGGGAGCAGAAGCAGCCGTGAGCCTACCACCGGTGGGAACACACGACAACCTCGCTGCATCAAACACCGCTGCGAGTCCTTTCCCAGCTGAAACCGCAGCCAGTCCTCCACCGCCAGTAGTAAAACCGGTCAAGCTTGCCTCAATACACAACCCTCACCTCCGACCGCCAGCCGGCGGCTTCGAATACAAATATTTCCAAGAGCCAGGCGAGAGCCTCGAGCTGGGCCACTACGACATACGATACTTCCATGGCGAGGTCGAGTACGAGGAACACCGGGAAACGCTGCGTCATCTAATCCGGTCTTACCTAACCGTGTTCCAGCACCTCGGAGTCGAGACATGGCTGGCACACGGCACGCTGCTAGGGTGGTGGTGGAACGGCCGCATCATGCCGTGGGACTTTGACCTGGACGCGCAGGTGAGCATATCGACGCTCAAGTACCTGGGGGAGAACTACAACCGCACGCTGCACACGTACGAGTACTTCGACGACGGCGACCAAGAGGCTGTCGGCAACAACACCTACGGCAAAGACGGTGGCGGCGAGCAGCAGAAGAGGAGCAGCAGGCCCACCAAATCCCGAACCTACCTCCTCGACATCAACCCGGCCAGCGCCACGCTCGAGCGCCAGCAGGGCCTGAACGTCATCGACGCGCGCTGGGTCGACACGAGCAACGGCATGTTCGTTGACATCACGGGCCTCGCCGAGCGCACCCCCGACTACTCGCCCGGCGTGTGGAGCTGCAAGAACTACCACCGCTACCGCACCCGCGACCTGTTCCCCATGCGCCGCTCCGAGTTCGAGGGCGTCCCGGCCACGGTCCCCTACAGCTTCGAGGCCATCCTGCGCGAGGAATACGGCGAGAAGAGCATGGTGGCCACCCATTGGCAGGGGTGAGTTTATTGCTTTTACCTTCTTTGCTTCCCCTATCCCTTTCCCTGCCCCCTTTTAAAACCCCCCTTCTAACTGAAATTCTCGCGTCGATAGCCACCACTGGGCACCCAATCTAAAGGAGTGGGTGAAGGACCTGGAAACCCAATAGCCCGATATTTGTCTCGGGGCAACATAGTGAAGGAAGTGTAGGGGACACTCGAAAATGCCCCGTCGTATTTTGTTTTTATGGTATCTCGCCATCTGTTTTGCTGTCTACACATGAAGCGACATGATACGACATGTCGTTTTTGGTAGGGACTGGCTAGGTACTAGGTTAGGTAGCCTCCCGAGGCCATTTTCGTCTGTACATATTTGCCTTTTTTCAACCCGACTCCGTCGAGAGTTTGGTTCTCTACATACATACATATTATATTTGAGTCGTCTACCAGGTCCTGTAAATACCGACAGGCTGTTGTTTCTGTTAATAATAAGCTTGTCCAGGCTTCTGTCACTAGCCATCACAAATTAAACGCCGCAGAGCAAATTCCTGCATATACCTCGCTCCGTGTGTCTCATCTGTCCTCCGGATTTGATATTTAACAACAGTTTATTGCAACGAGGGCGTGCGTATGCGTGTCAAGGCTCAAGTTCTGACCTCCATCCTTGCATGAGATCGGTCTTCTGGTGTAGGCAAGCCTAGAGTTGGTATGACATACGAAAGAGTCGATCGGTTGGTCAATGCTGGTGCTGCACGGGCCCGATTCACATCCGTATTCTCAAGCATGAAAGGACGCCAAGCACAAAGGCTCAAAACATGGGGACAGAAGAGTCCACAAGAAGTACTGCACAGTCAACTGAATATTGACGCTGTTGTGATGATATCGAAAATGTTTACATGGATCCCGCTGAGAAAAAAAGGCCGCTTGAGGCGAGTCTATATGCCCCGGGCTTTAACCCCCAACAATGAAAAACGGCAAATGACGGTTTCACCTTCATTCCAAACCGCAAATGGCATATCCGCTATGGTTATCGTGACGTCGATGCGGTCCGTCCTCTCAGAAAGCAGTGGTGGCAGACAGCCACCGTCATGATACCCCTATAGTGAACACAATCGCCCCCCTTCGTATCGCTTCCCGAGCCCGGGCCCCATCATCAGCTGTTAGAAATATCTCCCAACCGCAGGTTCCAAGGATATTCTGCATCCCGCCCTTTCCAACCGTCTATAGAGACATCTTCGCTACTTCCTTCCGGCTAGTCCTTATGTCATCTACTGTATAGACTACCTAGGACTGCTGTCCCTCCTTGTCCTGCTTGTCCTGAATGTCCTGAGACGATTCATCGGGGCTTTTCTCAGGCTGGCTCGGGGTTGCCTTCGGTTTCGACCACCTACGGTCGATTGCGTGGGCGATGATTAGCCTCCGATCAGCATCAGGCTGATCGATTTTCTCCCTAGTGTTATCATCATTTCTGGAGCCACCACCTAGGACATAGGTTCCGCCGTACCAGGCTCCGTTGTCTGCGACCTCGTCCTCTCGCGAGGGCGCAAATTCGAGGGTACTTAATGGGCGCCCGGCCTTAGCCCAGTCCGCAGCGGCAACCTCGCGCTCGATTTGATGGCACAGATCCCAGAACTTCCGATCGTGCGGTCCGTAGACATTATGGGCGAGCTCGTGACATAGCGTCTTACGCACGGTGGTGTAGTCGCGCCAACCTAACATATCGTCGGTTCGCAGGCGCAGCTCAATGACCTCGCCGTGGTTGCGGTTGAGCCCTAGGGTCCGCGATACGCCCTCGTGTGTCGCATTAGTGTGCTCGCGGGGGTCCATCTCCGTAAGTAAACCGACGCTCCACTGGTGCTTTTTCATGGCGGCCTTGATGCCGATATCACCCCTGAGTTTCATCAAGAAGTTCATACTAGTGTCCGCCTGGGGAAGGTATCTCAGGGGACGCAACGACAAGAACGTGTAGGGGTCGTAACTAGCGGGCTTCGTCGCGGCCTTGACACGCTTGTCCCACCGTTGAGCGAGAGCGGCTCGCCGATCTTTTGCAGCCTTAAGGGCTTCTATAAACGAGGCAAGTTCTGCTAGCTTTGGTGCTAGGAGCCGTATGGTGGTGCCGTGGAGTCGTTCGAGCAGGAATTCTTGGTCCTGGGGGTATTTGATAAGCGACGGCACACCCGGCTGGGGTTTCTCGACGATGGCTTTGCACACGTTCCAGTCGTATTTCGGGTAGTAGTTCCAAAACGCGAGAATCATATCCTCGAACAAGTCGCCTACGTGGAAAGAATACTCCTTATTTTGCATACTCTCGGGGGCGAACTTGATTTTAAGCCTCAGGGGTCCATGGGGTCGGTCGACAGCTTCGCCGAGTAAGGGCGAGACGGACTGTTCATCGCCGACTAAGGGCGGCGAGATAGACCTGTCTTCATCGGCCCGCTTATCGGATGCCATGGTGAAAGACAACCTAACGTGGGCGCCGAAACCAGGCGAACGATACGTCGAGTTTATGGGTTTCTTGTTTGTCGGTCGGAATGAACCGGAAGTCGTACGGATCTTCCTGGTAACCCAGACAAGATAACTTTCCAATAATTGCGTATCAGGCACAAAGTGTCGTAGGGACTACTGCTGTGAAGAATGGATGCAAGATGAATGATGCCTAGAAGGAACTGTAGCGCGACGACGGAAAAACGGTGCCCTGTTGCGAAGACGGTTGAAAATAAATTAGGTTGCGTGTTCGGGCTTCAGCCTCGGGAAAGAGGTCACGTTAACCTAGATGCGCCTGCCGGACTTCCATGACGATTCTAGAAGCAACGGGTTTGTCAGGCAAACCGCTTTGTCATCCCGCTCGCCATGTGCTGGAGCCCGGGCCATGGCGCCTGACTTGCTCATGGGAGCTTTTGATTCAATATTGCTAACTTGCTACCTTCCCTTGAATTCTTTCTTTAGAAACTCAGGTAGGTAGCTGAATGTCTATTTGAAGGTATCCGGAATTTCGGAAATCAAATTTTAGGATGGCTAGGAATGGTAAATAATATGAGATCCAACATTGTCATTCTGACCAAATTCGGAATGTTTGTTAGCGCGGGACTTTTTAACAGGGAAAGCTCTCATTCTAGGTTTCTTACCGCTCACTCGAGGTAAAAGCTTTCTCAAAGTAAGGCAGCGATCTGGAGCACCTGAAACTTATAGAACTCTAGAGACACATCTCTTCTCTTTAAGAAACATCTGACAAAGGCTTTCCTTAGCCGATTCATATGCTGCAATCCTCACTCTTCCCAAGTACCGCGCTAATATTTATTCGAAAATTAGACTGCAATCAACACGAAACCTAAGTGAGGTAGGTAATCGTACGGAGTACTTTTCAATCAGCTGTTCCAAGTTCATTCTTTCCATAAAACAAACTATTTCAAAGACCGACTTGTCCTTTTGCAAAACAAGGCGTCACTGTTTTGGCGGGGACCCCCGTTGAAGATCGATGCGGGTAAGAACGTTGCGCTCCTCAACCAGGTACGTGCCTGCATGTAGCATTGTGAACGATAAGGTTAAATAATCGTGACAGCGGGCTCCAACACCTCATCCATATGACCGCACCAGAGCACTATAGGTCCGCCGATCTATCAAGACGTTGACTCTAAGAGCGCCGCCGTTCTTTTCACGGAAAACTTTGCATAGAGTGCCTCGCGGTTCATCTTCACTTCAATCCGAGTCGTATCCGTAGTTCGTATCCAAGGCACCTGCCATTTTCGGGGGCATGGCCACGAACGAGTCTAGCGCTGCCCCCAACATTGATTGTGCCTGAATTGGAAAGCGTGTCCGAGTTCTTTTTGGGAGCAAGACACGACGTGGGCGTGACTGTCAATACATACCGGAGTGACTGCCCTGTAATTCTGGATTCCATCAGAGCTTGCTGTGCGTTCCTCCTGCAAATCGACGTAATTACAGGGTACCTCTCATCCCACCTTCTTGGCAATCTGGTGGGGATTTCGAGATCAGGGCAGGCGCGAACCCATCGTCACGTCTTCTTGGCCCTGGAATGAGGCCGCTGTCGTCCCAACTCGCCGCATCGTGTTGCTTGTTGGTTTCTCTTCCACTTCCCTCGCCTCGACACTCGCTCGCTCAATGGAAGCAACAAGGAAGGGGCTTTTGGTCGGGGATTTGGCTCTTCTTTTTTCTCCATGCTTGTACCTTTGAGCAACCAACAATCTTTTATCGCTTTCATTGCTGCAGAGAAGCCACAAAACAGCATCTGATCACCCACCGCCACCACCAATCACCAATCACGAATACTACGGAAAATACCACTTCGGTAGAGCTACTGGTGGCTTTCCCTGCCCAACCAAGACAATGCGTGTATGCTGCGTATTTTCCTTCTCTACACACTCATACTGTTAATAGCGTCATTCCGAGCCGTTACATGCCGAAAAGAAACAATGGCAATGCCTAGGCTTGCTTGCCTGGCTCGGACTTCGGAATCGCAGCCGAGAGGGAGCTTGCTAACGCATGGGCGCGTAGATTTATTTAGCGCTTCTCGCCCTCGGCGCGACGCTTGCCAATGCGGTGCCGTCCTTGGAAGTAGTTGACAACTACTTTGTCAATCCGGCAACGAACACCCGCTTCCAGATCGTTGGCGTTGCGTACCAGCCCGGCGGCTCGTCTGCTTACGGAACCCAGGCGGGCGTCGACCCGTTGAGTGACAAGGATATCTGCCTCCGGGATGCGGCCATCTTGCAGGTTCTGGGCGCCAACGCAATCCGCGTCTACAACTTGAATCCGGACCTGAACCACGACGAGTGCGCAAGTATTTTCAATGCGGCCGGCATATATATGCTCCTCGACGTCAACTCGCCCCTGCCCGGCGAGTCCCTGACCAGCGTGGAGCCCTACAAATCCTACTATGCTGCCTACCTGAACCGGACCTTTGCTGTCGTTGAGGCCTTCAAGGAATACCCCAACACGCTTGCCTTCTTCTCTGGAAACGAGGTCATGGATGATGAGACGACATCCACCTGGGTCCCTCCGTACATGCGGGCAGTTACGCGTGATATCAAGAACTATGTCGCTGCACACTCAAAGCGACCCATTCCTGTTGGCTACTCGGCGGCTGATGTTCGCAACATACTGTTTGACACATGGAACTACTTCCAGTGTGTCGAGAATGGTGACCAGAAAGACATGAGCAAAGTAGACCTCTTCGCTCTTAATAGCTACAGCTGGTGCGGCAACAGCTCCTTCACCGAGTCTGGCTACAATGTTTTGGTCGAAGGCTTCACTGGCAGCTCTGTGCCCGTCTTCTACTCCGAGTTTGGTTGCAACAACCCCGCCCCACGGAATTTCAGCGAGGTTTCCACCATCTACGGGTCGCAGATGACGGGCGTCTTTTCGGGTGGCATTGTGTATGAGTACACACAGGGAGTCAACGAATTTGGCCTGGTCAACATAAGCTCCGACGGTTCCGTTATTCTCACGAGCGACTTTCACTCTTTGAAGGCTCAATATGCGAAGCTCAATTTTACCCAAATCCAAAGCACCCCAGCCCCGAAGCCAGGCTCGGGCCCAAAAGCGCCTGCCTGCAACCCTAAGCTGATAACCGATGATGTGTTCAGCACAAACTTCACGCTCCCTGTGCTTCCCCCGGGAGCCAAGGAAATTATTCAAGGTGGCGTCAGCCAAGCGCCCTCGGGAAAGATTGTGAAAATCAGCGATTACTCTGTCAAGCACACTGTGGCGAATGCCGACGGAAGCGTCCTTGTCAAGCTGGCTGTCAAGCCGCTGCCAGATAATGCCTTCAACAGTACGTTGAAACACCCCAAAAGAAGCCCTCAGTGGCTGTTTTCAGCTTTGGCTTCTTGGCTCCGTCGCAACCTGATGTTGTACTGATATGATGCAGTTCCCGGCTCTAATGAGGCCGTATCTACGGCTGCTCCCAGCCCCACGACCACGGCCGCCACGGGTACAACCAGTGCTCCCGCCCCCACCCAGAGCAAAGATGCCGGCAGCAAACCTGTTGCCGTTGTCCTTCCCGCTGTCGCCATGGGGGCGTTCGCAGTCCTGGCCGGAATCGCCATCTAGGTCAGGCGCCGGTACTTGGCTATAGAGTTAGACCCAGACCATCACGTCTTCCCGCTGCCACGGCTCCAACCACTCCGCGCCCCTGGTATAGCTGACTGGCGATGTCGCCTCTTTGCTCTTCGTACGAGACGTTAGCCGTGGTAAACGGTGCGGGCAGTTAATAGTAATACTTCCTCCTGTTATTTATTTTTCGATGTCGACGAGCATCATGGATCCTTGCATTGTCATTCTTTCCTTTCTCGCCTCTGCTATCTTTTTTGCAAGATACTACTTTTATCGGGGATGGCATTGCTGTGGCTTTACAATTCGGGGTTAGGGCTAAGCAGATGGGCTACTATGTTGATGTAAATATATATAGGGGGTGGGGGGGTGAAACGACGGGGCAAGCTCTTGTTTTTTTAAATGGTCTTGTGATGTTGGCATACCCGCTACCCAGGTGGTCTACAAGCAAGGTAGTACTTAGGTAGCGAGTGGTTGGTGTCGGCGGCGAAAAGAAACCTGATAGTATTTCAAACCATGCATGACCGGAGACTTCAGTTATGCGTTAAAATATTTGGGAGAGGTGAGGTGATGCATTAAACAGGATGAAAATACTTAGGACGCCATTGGCGGCATACATGAAATGGCCGAGCAATTGGCGCGGACACAAGAGTGAGAATCGGTACGTGAATATACACGTGGTATTTGTTTGTTAGCTTCATGTTATTACCGACAGGAAATACCATGGGAAAGATAAAAAAGAAGCGACGAGCAGGTGAACCACCAACTAAGAAGATAAATTAAAAACATCAAAGTAAAACAACGGCAGCTGAGCTCCGGGCTCCGTCTCTCTTTTCCTGTGCGAAGTTCTCTATCATTCATGGTTTATGTAATGTCTCTGTGTGCGTGTCTCCTCTCAAGGGCTGGCTGGCCCCAGGGACACTTCCCTACATTCCGTCTCACTTTCTCTCCCCCGTACAGGCGCCGCCATATTAGACAAAGCAAAGAGGGAAAAAAAGAACAAGGATGTAAAGTAAACAAAATAAGAGTAAGGTAGGTAACTAGCGAATTACTCTTTTTTTCTCGGCTCTGTCTTCTACTTAACTCTCTAAGCCTTGAACTCCTCAGCCTTACTCTCCTCCCACTTCCCGGGGACCAGGGCCAGGGGCACAATGCCGCTGACGTGCATCTCGGGGCCAAAGATCTTGGCGTTGAGGCCGAGCTCCTGGGTGGCGGCCTTGAGGTTCTTGAGACCCTCCTGATAGTTGGGGCCAGCGCGGCGGACCCAGATCTGCACGTTGTGCTCGTTGAGAGCCTTGGCGTACTCGCGGAGGGCCTTTATCACGCCCTTGAAGGTGCTGGCCACGTTGGTGAAGTTGGCAATACCGCCACCGATGAACAAGACCTTGCCCTTGGGGCTGATGGGTGCGCGCAGCATCAAGTCGAGGACGGTGCGGGCGTAGTGGTAGGTCTGCGACTCGGTGGGGGCACCCGAGTACTCGCCGTAGTTGGCCAGCTCATCGGCAAAGCCCGCGGAGGCGATGGCGTCAGCGTATACGACCGAGGCACCACCACCAGCGACAAGAGTCCAGATACGTCCAGTGGCGTTCAGGACCGTAAGCTTCAGAGAGGCGCCCGTCTTGGCGTCGAGCTCGGCGATGTACGCCTCCTCCTTGGTAAGCTCACGGCCGAAGGGGGCCGGAAACTCAATTGGCGGGCCGGCGTCAATGCTGACGGCACCATTTGCTGATGCGGCAGCGGTGATGCCGAGCGCGGCGGGAGATCTCGCAACAGCCCACTTGACACCGCACTCGAAGTCGGCAGTTTGATCGAGCTTGGCAGCGAGATCTAGGAAGTGAACTGACGCAGAGGTGGCATCCTCATTGGGGATGACAACCAAGGGGTTGATCTCCATATATGTGAACTGGCAGTCGACATAGACGGCATAGAGACGGGTGACTGTAAACCGGTTAGCCCGCTATCTATCAAAGGAGAGGCGAGACAAGTGTGCTAGGGGCCTTACTAAAGTCGATGAGAACATTGTGGAGGCCCTTGGGCACTTTCTTCAGAAGAACTGCTGCGAGCTCCTCGTTTGAGGGGTATTGTGAGAGGTCGACGGGGACAAGGATCTTCTCGGCCTTTGCGTCGACATCACCAACGTCTACGCCGCCTTCGTGTGTGAAGAGAATCCAGTCACCCTTGTTGATAAGTTAGCTTCGTTACTTTGATTGCCTGGGCAAGGACTCAGCATGTTTCGGTCGCACTCGGTAGCCGCTGCTGCACAGGCGGGTTTAAGCATGTGGTGTGCGGATAGGGGTTGGGTACGCGCCCAACTCCCGATCCACACATCACAATGCGGCTTAGTCTCCGTTCGTCCGGCAACTTTGCCAACGCGGGGACACCTAGGCCGGGCTCAATGCTGGCCTGCATTCTCCCGTTTATAAAGAAAGACACAGCCGGCTGCTCCAGACAGATGCTGTTTTCCTATCCTTCTTTTGTGCAATGCGTTTTTCTTTTCTTTTGCTTCTTTCGCATTGATTTTCCAGGGGTTGCACGCCCCCTCCGCCTGCTCTCGAGAACAAAAGGCCCTTGATGTGTGCACCGCTTTTACGGAGAGAACCGAGAAGCGAGAAAACAAAACACAGACTTACATCGCGAACGGAATTGATCTGGAAACAAAGTCAGCACAAATTGCCCAAGTCTAGCATCGGCAAGCGACCACGGGTCTACGTACGTTGATGTAGTACTCGGTGTTGGAAGGGTGTGGCACAAAGGGCTCGACCAGGAACTGGCGGAGAATTCCTTCTGTGTGCTCGACCTTTTGAGCCTTGCCGGCGCGCTCAGCGACCCACGCCTTTGCCTCTGGCCATGTCTTGTTCAGGGCCAGGAGACCGCTCTTGCCTCGCCGCTTGATAAGCTGGTCGGGCTTCGCGACGAACTTGGCGCCCTGGTGCAGCAGCCACGGATATGTGAGCTCGGCCTGGTCGAGAATGTCGTTCGGGTTGGCATCCTCGGGGAAGTAGAGCGAGGCCAGTCTAGGGGGTGGGTTGTGCTTCGTAGGAGCAGGCAGCGTGCTCGGCTTGATCACCGGGGCGCGCGTGAGGTGATAGTTGATGATGGCCTTGCCATCGGCCTCGGAGACGCTCTTCGCAGACATGTCGACAGTATAGGTAAGCCGCGTGCTTTCTTTCTTCTGGCCTATTCCTTTTCTTCAAGTTTCGTTGTCTTTTCTATATTTCGCACGTGGGTCAGAAATTGGTCCAGCTATGGATTGGTGTCGGAGTCGTGCGCCTGTCTGTTTCTGCGGTTCGGCAGGCGGGGGCAGGGAAGCTCACTCAATTCAACGGCTGCGGGGGGAAGAAATTCCCAAATGGACTGATGGGAGGGCGGCACGCGGACAAATTGCTATCGTCAAGCAAGCGAGGCAAGACAGGCAAACCGAGAAGTCTCGAGGGGGAGGAGAGGGAAAACGGAGCAGGGGAGCGGCCGAGGAATGTTGGATGACAATGAATCGGTACGCTCTCGAGTCGCCGTCTGCTTCGAAGGAAATCAGGGACTGGCTCCAGCACAAAAGTCGACCTCTGGCGAACGAAAGCACTCCTCTCCAGGTACCAGTAGCGTGCTTTGGGCGTTGGGGAAGGGCTAGGGGCCGGGAAAAAAAGGTACTCAGAACCTTTTGGATCAATGGGGTTAACCCAAGCGGGGCAAGCGGTCTGGGAAGCGAAGTACTGGTACTTGCAGGACCCCGCGGATGAGTGCTCGGGCAATCACACCAATCCCACCAAAAAAGGTTGTCTCCGTTTGCGAGGGTGGACCGGAAAGCCTCTTGCACACCGTCGCTTCGAAGCCGATCGCTCGGTGTTCCTAGCTTCTTATTCGTTGCTGATACTCGGTGTCCGATGAACACGGCCCAAAACATTAAGCAAGCATTCCGTCTGCGTTTTGGCCTTTGGATTCCATCCCCGAGCTTCACCACCGTCTCTGATTCTGTCTCATGTCCTTCAAGCTGGAAGCCTGACCTCAAGCTCGTGGCATAGCGCGTGCGACTGCCCCGTATGATTTTTACTTTGTCCCGGGTGCGGATCGCTCCGCAGTGCGGAGTGTGGATTGGGGATCGTCCGGGACCGGCAACCTTGACTGGCCAGCGCAGCGAGCCAGCTCGTGGACAATCGTGGAAGTCATAAGTCATAAGCAGCGCAGCCGCAGCCGGCACGAATCTTGCATTCGTACTGCATTATGCCGACGTGCTTGCTGGTTGCTTATTGCCGAGTACCTAGGTTATCTCAGGTGCCAGTTTCGGGCATCGTCGGGCACTGCAGAGCAGGTCCGTAAGGACAGCCATCGGGTCTCGCTCACAGCCCCGAATCCCTCTACAGGCAACGGGAGCGGAAACGGCATGCACCGAGGTGTGGCTGACCCTCGGCGTCCTACTACTTCTGTTTTCGGTGCATTGCGCGCGTGCTCCGGCCCATGAGCCGTCCGAGTTGACGACTCCCGTCTTTCAAAGCCCTCACATCATGATGCCACTCGGCTGTGTTATCTCTCTCAAAGTGGATTCAATTGAGCCTATAATCTCGAGTTGCTGTGCACACGCAAGCAAATGGCCGCGTCCAAGCCCTCCCTGTGGATAAGTTTCCGAGGTTGAATGCGTCTGGCGGCCTGGCTAGCCGACGGGGGAGCCATTGGGTTTGGCAAACGTCACGGAAACATCTTTGGGATTGGAGCGGGTCGTTAATTGATGAGGATGGATGTAGAGGATTGGATGGGATGGTGGCTCAGGTCTTGTACCGGTACTTCGGCCACGACACGGGGGTCAAGTGGAAGTTCTGTGGGACAGCGTTGCCCGCTGCAGAAAAAAAAAGTTCGCCAGTGGCTGAAATTGGTGAAAGTCCGCTCGGCCATTGGACCAGGGTCAGAAAAGAGTTGGGGAAAGCTCGTCGCTTTGTTGGATATCCCCGCCACTTTGTTGGATCTCGCCCGATGTTTCGGACGGTCAGGCCAATTAGCTGGTGCAACATTCCACTGTTTTGAACCAGCGTGAGGTGGGCTTGCCACTTGTTGACTTTCCGGGCATCGATTGAAGCTAAGGGATGGTGACTTGGGCCTAGGGTGCCGAACAAGGTGGTACATACCTTGTCTGGCGGAGCTCGTGGCTGCACCGCACCGCACTGCACTGACTGCGGCCCCCAGGTCTGCGTTCCCCCCCTCGACCGAAATAGAAGGCACCGACCAAAAAAAAACCTCCCCCCCAAACCCCAACCTGCGCGCCCTGACATTCGCATCTCAGACACTTCGTCGCTCCTCACTGCTGCTTCGTCGTTCGACCCAAACCCTCGTCGTCCTCGGCCCTACGCCGCACAGCACAGCACTCATTGATTTCCGAGATTCACAGGTTTTTCCCGGGCTAGATCCCTAGATCTTCAGATTTCCTCCACGATGCCTGCTGCCACTTCCAGCGCTAATGGCGTAAATGGCAATGGCACGAGCAGCACCGTCGCCAGCACCAGCAACCCGACGGGCGGCCTATCTGCTAACGACAACATTCGCCGTTTCGCCGCGCCCAGCCGGCCGCTGAGTCCCCTTCCTGCACACGCCCTCTTCAACGACAAGACAAGATGCTTCGTCTACGGTCTGCAGCCCCGTGCCGTGCAGGGCATGCTCGACTTCGACTTCATCTGTAAGCGCGCCACGCCCTCGGTTGCCGGCATCATCTACACATTCGGCGGCCAATTCGTCAGCAAGATGTACTGGGGCACCAGCGAGACTCTCCTGCCCGTTTACCAGGAGGTCAACAAGGCCGTGGCCAAGCACCCAGATGTTGATGTCGTCGTCAACTTTGCTTCCTCGCGAAGTGTATACAGCTCCACCATGGAGCTGATGGAGTACCCCCAGATCAAGACGATTGCAATTATTGCAGAAGGTGTTCCCGAGCGCGTAAGAGACCCGTCGCATTCTCGTGTGGGGTAGAGCGCACAAAGCACAAGAGCTGACTTTCCTTTTGACAGCGAGCTCGCGAGATTGCCCATGTCGCAAAGAAGAAGGGTGTCACCATCATCGGGCCCGCTACTGTCGGTGGCATCAAGCCCGGCTGCTTCAAGATTGGTAACACGGGTGGCATGATGGATAACATCGTCGCCTCCAAGCTGTACCGCAAGGGCTCCGTCGGCTACGTCTCCAAGTCGGGCGGCATGTCCAACGAGCTGAACAACATCATCGCACAGACCACGGACGGCGTCTACGAAGGCGTTGCTATTGGTGGCGATCGGTACCCGGGAACGACCTTTATCGACCATCTACTACGCTACCAGGCGGATCCTGCTTGCAAGATCCTCGTGCTGCTCGGAGAGGTCGGCGGTGTCGAGGAGTACAAGGTCATTGACGCTGTCAAGCAAGGCATCATCACCAAGCCAATTGTTGCCTGGGCCATTGGTACCTGCGCGAGCATGTTCAAGACCGAGGTCCAGTTCGGCCACGCCGGTGCTTTTGCGAACTCGCAGCTCGAGACGGCTGCCATGAAGAACAAGCAGATGAAGGAGGCCGGTTTCTACGTGCCCAACACGTTTGAGGACATGCCCGATCTCCTCAAGTCGGTCTATAACAAGCTCGTCAAGGAAGGCACCATCAAGCCCCAGCCGGAGCCCGTGGTTCCCAAGATCCCTATCGACTACTCGTGGGCGCAGGAGCTTGGCCTCATCCGCAAGCCAGCGGCTTTCATCTCCACCATCTCGGACGACCGTGGCCAAGAGCTCCTCTACGCCGGCATGCCAATCTCGGACGTGTTCCGGGAGGACATTGGCATTGGTGGTGTCATGTCCCTGCTGTGGTTCCGCCGCCGCCTGCCCGACTATGCCTCCAAGTTCCTCGAGATGGTGCTCATGCTGACGGCCGATCACGGCCCGGCTGTGTCTGGCGCCATGAACACTATCATTACCACGCGTGCCGGCAAGGACTTGATCAGCGCCTTGGTCAGTGGTCTGCTCACGATCGGCTCACGGTTCGGCGGTGCTCTAGATGGCGCTGCCGAGGAGTTCACCAAGGCGTCAGACAAGGGCCTGAGCCCGCGCGAGTTTGTGGACACGATGCGTAAGCAGAACAAGCTCATTCCCGGAATTGGGCACCGCGTGAAGTCGCGTAACAACCCGGATTTGCGTGTAGAGCTCGTCAAGGAGTACGTCAAGGCGAAGTTCCCCAGCCACAAGCTGCTCGACTACGCGCTAGCAGTCGAGACGGTCACGACATCAAAGAAGGACAACCTGATTCTGAACGTGGACGGATGCATCGCCGTGTGCTTCGTGGATCTGCTACGGAATTGCGGTGCCTTCAGCGCCGAGGAGGCTGAGGACTACCTGGGTATGGGTGTGCTCAACGGTCTCTTCGTGCTCGGGCGCAGCATTGGTCTCATTGCTCATTATCTCGATCAAAAGAGACTGCGCACCGGTCTCTACCGCCATCCGTGGGACGACATCACGTACCTGCTCCCCAGCCTGCAACAGGCTGGCCCGCCGGGTGCCGAGGGCCGTGTGGAGGTTCAGATTTAAACTTTGTAGAGGAAGAAGCGAGATGCCACCGCACACGTTGTTTTGCTCGTGATATTCGAATGCTAGAGGGGAAAGACGCCGTCACTACACGAAAGAGGGATGGAGGACGGGCCACCTGGCCTTGACAAATACCAATTCGCTATCCTCGGGGTCTAGCAGCTGAAACTTTTTGTCTGTCATGGATTTTCAACAAGCGTGTTGAAAAGGGGCGCGGTTGCTACTGGCGGTGGCGGTTATCCACCGTCCACTGGCTAAGCTGTATGACAAAGGACACTTTTACAACACATAGAGAAAGCACTTTTAATTCAACCGCTGACAGCATGCATGCTCGTTTGAGTTGTCTATGCTTCGGCTACCGCAGTCTGGGTAGCCAGACACATGCTGTCACGGCAATGGAAGCTCGGCTAACGTGCGAACGCCTCTCCCAGGCTTGTTCAAGCGATGGCGGCGTATTAGGAGCTAGTAAATATCAATTGCTTGTCTTGTGGGCTTGTTACTATCAGGGTACCATCAGGGGGTGGGGGCGGGGGTGTAAAGGAGCAGACGTGTACGCATGGTACCTCCCTAGCTATGGATATACGGTTTCTAGGAACCAAGTTTTGAAGTCAATATAAGGTAGGGCAGCCACTTATGCTTGAAACTTACTCTGTGGTTCTATTGCCATAGCTGCCTACCTACGTTGTCTATTTGCTGCATTGGTTATTGAGAGTGAACAAGTGGGGATGGGTGGGCCATGGCAGATAGTCGCCTTGAAGAGTAAACAACACCCCGATGTATTTCTTAATTTGCTCGGTGAGGTCCAATGGCTTTCTCTTCATAATTTCTTTTGTAATAGATCTAGCATGGCCGGTTTCTTTGCCCCGCTAGTCCTGCTAGCTAGCTTGCGATCGAAAGAAAAAAAACCCCTCCAAAAAAGGGGGTGAGGAGGTTGAAGTCCGTACCATAGCTCCCCCCATCCACCACTTTCTTCCCATTGTGCAAAAACTGTAACTGAGCCAACATCCCAAGCTTCACAGCCCCCCCCACCGTCTTCTCGGTAAGGTTTCTCCTGCCACAACCCTAGATAGATAACGGTAAAGAAGTTTATCTCTTGCGCTACTCCTGTCTTGCAGGCTGCTTGTACGGCTCGTGGACGTTATTGTCCTTGCGCTCCTCCTGCCTCGCTGGCTGCTTGTACGGCTCGTGGACATTATTGTCCTTTCACACCTGACGGGCGACGCGCTTGGCTGGTTCCTTGGCAGGCGGCTTTGGGGGGTCCATTGTTTTCTCCTCCCCTGTCTCTTTTATTTTAGGGTTTATTAGTGATTAGTTCCCTCCTTTCTTTTCGTGGGTTACGTATACAGGGTGTGTGTAGTGAATGTGAGAAGGGAAAACGAACCGGTTGTGTGTGTTTTTTTCTGTTGTTGGGTGTTATTGTCGCGGAGACTTTAATGGCGGTGATAGTTCTGCTGTGTCGCACTGTACAAGAAGAGCTTCACCTACGACTCAAGAAAGGGCGGAGACACAGACACAGACACATTTTACACGCCCACGCAGCCAGCCTAACGACTCTGTCTCGCCAGACACGCCAGCGGCGTCATGGGCCAGGCAAGCCAATATAACTGCGCTGCAGGATGACCCAGAGAGAAACATGGTGGCCAAACAGAAAACAAGGAGAGACGGTAACACGCAAACCGGTAGTGGTAGTCAGTCATATGACACCACCGTGCACTATCTCGACCCCAGACACTGTCTTCTTCGGCGGGTGGTTCGAAGAGTTCAGACGAGGCATGCTTCATACAAACTCACGACCCCCCATGGCCAAGCCTGGCACCCGCTTGAGAGAGCAAACGACTCCTTCTATCACCGCGAAGCATGTCATGTTTGTTTTCAGATCACCAAACAAACCGCAGGGCAGGCAGAGAGCAAGCAATGTACATACCCAATGAATCAATACACCCTAAAGCTCGCTATCTCTTCACGTCACCTGCTCCCAGAGCGGCCGCTGCCAGTTGCTGGTGCTGCTGATAAACGACATTGTGTTGGGCTATTGCCAGCCGCAAGTCCTGACTGTGCAAAAAACCGACCATCCGATGCCAACCCCGAACCTGACCGTGACCTTTGATGCTGATGATACTGACCCTGAGCTCGACTCTTGACGCTGATCCTGATTTCCATCCCAACGCCTACTCCAACTACGACTTAGACTCAGCGGCATTGACCAGCGACTCTGCGTCGCCGACCTGCCGCCGCTCCGTCACCTCCATTGCGCTCTTGAGACGTTTACGCATAATTAATTGCAAGGGCAGCGTCAATCCTTGGGGGGCCGGCCCATTACCCCTCATGACTGCTGATTGCTATTGTAGAGGCTCTAACGAGCTGGAGAGCCTGTTCAAGTGCAGGTACACGTCTGTCCCATATCTAGAAGAAAGGGCAGGTATAGTGAGTGATTGAGGCATATAATACAGGGGACCAGGTTGCTTACCCTTCCATGCTAATCAGTTTAAGGTCACCGCCGAAGTACCTCGCATACAGACGCGATATGGGCAGGCCGTAGCCGAAGCCTGCCATTGGCGCCTTGAAGTCGCTCTTGTCAAAGTCGGGGTCCAGGTTCGGGGTGCGGTCGACCGTGGTATACATATAAGTCCAGACGAGCGGGATGGCGCTGCGTGGGATGCCGCCGCCCTCGTCCGAGATCTTGATGGTGATGTCCTCCTTGCCCTCGGCCACAATCACCTTTGTGACGGGGAACTCCTCCTTGTCCTGGCCGTGCGTCTCGACGACGGCGCGCAGCGAATTCTTGAGCGTCTCGAACAGCATATGCGAGAGATGGCCCGGCACATACATGAAGTTAAGGTTGGGGTTGCAGACGAGCTGGATCTTGGGCGCCTCGAATAGGCCGTAGTGGTCTTCGCAAACGAAGCGCGCGTTCTCTATGGCCTCTTGCGCAAGATCCTTGACGAACGTCTTGGTGCAGATGATGCCGACGTACGTCGGATCGCGGTAGTGGCTCTGGTCTGTCAGTGCTATGTGTTGACCAATGAGCATGCGGATCCCTATGCGGGACATGTAGAAGCGGTCCAGGAAAGACTGAATATTATTGTCAATCTGCATCCGTTGGCGCTTGCGCTTGTACTCGAGCACGCCCTGCGCCATTGTGGTCACGACGCTGTCGTGCCTCCTCTTGATCTTGTGCAGCGTCTGGGCGAACCTGTTGTTGTACAGCTGCAAGTCGGGCGGCCAGTCGCCCGTGTCGTCGACCATGGCGAAGTATCTCCTCGTGGCGGGGAACTTCTTGCCCCAGCCATTGCCCACCTGAGACGTCTGCTGGACGCCTGTCCACGAATTGTACTGGCCCTCCTCGATGCTCGGGTTCGGCGTCGCCTCGGACAGCCACGCAGAGCCCTTGCTACCAGCCAGCTTGGCCGGCTTCATCAACCGTTCCTTCACGTCCCTTGGCAGGTCGGGACGGGGGAGTGTTGTGATTTCCTGCGGCGGACCTTGCATGTGAGTCACGGTCTGCGGGGGGGCAGGGACGGCAGAAGCGGCGGCGTACCTCGAACGACTGCGCATACCAGTCCCGCACCTTCTTCACCGAGGGCATCTCATTGAGCCCATCGGGGAGGTTGTCGAGCTCTTGCACGCGGTGGGCGAGGCGGATGGGAAGCTCCTCGGCGAGAAACTGCGAGGCCCGGAACAGGGTTCCTAGAGGCGGGCGTCCGTCAGCAGACCGGGCAAGAGACGCGGGGAACGAGCGAGACAACGAAGGAGGGCGAGGCATTGGGCGGCGAGAGCTCACCGGTAGAGGGCTTCTCGCCAAATTGGACCATCTGGCGCAAGCTGACACCAGTCGCGGGGAAACTCGCATAGTGGCTGATGGTGTCCATCAATTTGTCACTCTTCCGCCACGCCATGATGGCGGCTTAGGCGTCGCCAATTGGAGTCGGGGAGCGGTGTGGCGGGCAAGTGTCGTGAACCATGTGGACGGGGCCAAGCAAAGGAAGCTGTGTCGGGTCGAGACTTGAGAATGCAAACAGAGCAGAGTAAAGAAAACAAAAAACAGAGCAAGTCACAGACAGACAGACAGACAATTCTTTGCGGCGTGTCGGGCGAGGGTCGAATTGAACGTCGCGGGTCGAGAGAAGCTGCTGCTGCTGCTAGGTGCTGCACCGACCCCAGAGCAAGGATACAGCGCCCGGCTCTACCCAGCTACTGCCTGTAACAGCCGAGGCAAACGGATCGCGGCGACCAATGACGCAAGTGGACGACGATAACGGGGCCTTCTAGACTCGATGGTGTTCTGCACTACCCTGAATTCGATTGTATCAATACCAATTGCAATTGCTCGTCGGGTGTGCCGCCAGTCGTGCGCGAGTTCGCGGCCGTCTCGACATTGGAGATACCCAGATACCTGTACAAGACAAGAGCGTGGTGGCCAGGGTGTTGTTACCTTTGGTAATGGATGTATCCGTACTGCCAGGACCTTGTGTTGCAGAGAAAGCGAAGCGATTCTTAAAGCGTCTGGGGCGCCATATGCTCGCTCCTCTGGTGCTAGCTGCTAGGGAAAGGACTCGCCTGTGACTCGACAGCTTCCCACCCGCCTCGCTATACACATATGGCTCCCGTCGGTAATGGAATGGATGGCATGCTTCTCACCCCATGTCTCCCTTGCGCGTGTTACCCCACACTTCCAAGGGGCCTAGGACAAGCTAGGGATGGATCGAAACTATGGTGGGGCAGACCCTTTGCAGTCTGCACCTCCCTCCTTTGCTCCAGCCCAAGCTGGCACCACGACGCAGTAACAGCTGCCCAATGTCACCAGTTCCCCAGCTGGGAGCTTGACCAACACTGGGCCAAAAAGCTGTACAAGTCTCTCTATAAGCTCTTTTCTTTTGCTGCTTATCCCCTGTGCTGAGCGGGTAGCAGGGCTCGAGGACGGCTTGACATGTGCCATCCTTCAACTCGAGTCAAAGCTGCCAATGTTTCATTTCATCTGAACGGTGGATCATCTCGGCCACTGGCGGGAACTCGGTATCTAGAGAAGCAGAGGCTGTTTAAGTAGAGTAGTGCCGGAGAATAAAATGTGCCGCGATGTTGATACGGCAGACGGACTCCACCCTCTGGAAGGTCAAGGCGGCCGGGTGTGCGGAAGCAAGCTCCAGCTCCCTTGCACACCTTGCACACCGCAGATGGCACACCGCCCGACCTTGAGCTTTACCAGTAAATACAGCCCAATCACGGAGTCCAAGATGTAAAAGGCTCAAAAGGCTCACTGCCTTGCAGCTCGCCCTGCCGTGCAGGGCTTGCTCCAAAGGAATCCATAGCTATTGAAATCCCTAGTTCTACCTGGTATACATTTCAAGCACAGTACCGCACCAACATCCAATAATTCAAGGATTACGGAATATAGCAGACTATAGACCACTGGTTCCCGTTACCGTCACCGTCACCTTAAAACTGGATGAAATGGCGGGGTTCACTGACGGCGGGGTGGCCCCACCAACGGGTTCGTCTCTTCTACCCCCAAAGGAAGGAACACAGCTTCGGGCACCAGAGACCCAACTAAGGTGGTTTCCTTGGTTAAACATCAGACGATGTTGAAGACAGGGCAAGGGCGAAGTTGACAAAAGAGGCAAAGTCGACAAAAGAGGGCCGTGGTCGGGAGAAATACGCAAAGACATAGGAGTTGGACACGCCTAGCCTAGGTATCAATGGTCCAAGCCACGGCGTCTTGACAATGCCCGAGGAGGAAGAAGGAGGGCCGGGACGAGACCCAGGCCGCTCGCTCGATCCGCCATCTCCGTTATCTCCACCCTCGTCGTTCCCATCGCCGACTACGCCATCCCGAGAGACGAGGGAGGCGGGCGTGGAGAGTATGTTGGAGAGTGCTGGTCGTCGCCGGCAAACGCCTCCAAACCAACTGCTGCAGCACCCGCCTCTCACTCGACCGCGCATTAACAACCGCCAACATGCCCGCTCGCCATCGCTGCCACTCCTTCCAAGCGCCCTGTCGTCTCCCAGGAGTCTGCACCATCTGGGAATAGGATCCCCGTTGCCACTGTCTCCGTTACGCAGGCAATTTCCATCGCCGCCCGGCATCGCCAACAGCAGCAGCTTCGGTATAGCCAGGGACGACGCCGACGACGAGCTGAGCGACGACAACGACAGCCATGGCCGACTTGATGTTGCTGGCGGCGATACCGACAGCTCTGAAGCAGGCGGCCGGCTCGAGCTGGACGACCATGACAACAATCTCACCCAAGATAGCAAGGACGTGCTCGTGCAGCGTCTGAGCGACCTTGTTCAGCGCCTATCGACAGCCGCTAACATAACCCTGGCCGCCAGTGCCATTCAGCAGACGGCCATCATCGGCCAGCTGCACGCCAAGGTCGACGAGATGGAAGGCGCCCTGCTGGGCGAGGCAAGCGGCGGCGCCGGCCGGAGGCCGAGGAGGACACAGCCTTACGGGAGGAGACGAAGGGCGAGGCCATCGCGCTCGCCTCGGCCATTTCCCCTGCCCGTGCCGCTGCTGTTGCCGAACAGATCTGGTTCTTTGATGTCGCCATCATCGCTGTCCTCGCAACCGTCAGGAAGTCAGCCCGCGAATGCGCTGTGGCTCGGCGGCACGCTCACCCCCCCTCCTCCTTGGCGCACAGGGGCCGGTGGCCAAAGTGGTGGTAGCGCCGATGGCGATGGCGACGACGCGTCAGCCGAACACTTTACCGATATCTCATCTTGGATGCAGCAACAAGTGCCCTCTGCAATAGAGCCATCAGCCACGACAGAAGAAATAGCAACCACTATAGAAGCAGCGCCGACAGCAAAGCCGGCCAGCGTAACGACAGTTGTTCTCGCCGCCACAGCGAAAACCCAGCCAGACGTGGCCGAGCGAGTCGCTGCCGCGGCCGAGAAGCTGAATGCTGATTTGGAAATGGTTGTGAGGAGCCTACGCGCTCGGCGAGAAGAGTCAGTTGTGAGTCCTTTTCGCAAGAGACTATACTTAAACCTTTTGTCTCCCAAATTAAGAGACACAAGCTGACCCATCGGCCCAAATCATTAGCACATCCACGGGCTTCTAGTCGAGAGAGCTGAAGCTGCGGCTTCACGAATCCTGGAACTTGAAAAGGATGTGGTTGATCTGTGAGTCGCCCCCCTCCCCCCTAAACCTATTTTACCCCTTTTAACCCTATCTCCCCACCAATTACCCATGGCGACGAGGAAACCACCACTCCTGTTTTTGTTTGTGACTTCCTCCCCTCAGAGCTAATTCACGTGGACAAAAGGGAAGACGAGATAAGCAGCAACGAGTCTGAACTCAAAAACCTCCGCCTTGAACTGCGGGCCGTCGAAGCGCTGTCCTCCTACCCGGCCGCAGGCGTCATGGCCGCCGACCCGGACCTCGTGCAGAGCATCGAGAACTGGAGGTCGGATTGGGCTGCCCTACGCGACAAGATGTCGCTGCGCAAGAAGGACCGCCGCAGCCGCCGCCGTGGCCATGTGCTGCACCGAGAAGGAGGCGGAGACGACCACGGCTCGACCCTCGCAAGCATGTCAAATCTTTCCGAGTTAGACAGCAATGAGCTTCTATACTAAGCAGCTGGCCAGTAGCTAGGAGCAGTTGTGACAGGGTGATGTTTTTTTTTATTCTCTTTCTCTCTCAGCGGCATATGACGGATGACGGATGACAGATGATATCCTGGCGTCGGTACTTGCATTAATACAATTGTGTATGGCACGCTAGGTCTGCATGGAATTGGACTGGTGGGATACGGAATAGGATAGCGTGGAGTTTATTTCTGGAAGCGAAAAAAAACATGGGACTGGTTTACGCAAGGTGGTGTTTTCGTTCTTCACCTTTTGTCGCGTCTGCCCGTTATTTCCAACCTATCGTGTGGACATGTGCAACTATACTTTATCGCGTTGCTGTGGTGTCAATTCCTTGGGGGTCGTGGTGATGGCAGTATGACGTCGGGGTTTTCTAGTCCAGTGTTGTTGACGCCAGCTTTAGAGTTTCCCAAACCCTCGCGAGCATGAGCTTTTGATGGAGCCTCGGCAGTCTCCTTTGATACAACACATACCTTGTCGTTATTTTCTCTTGGGCGATGGGTGGCTGTCAATAGAGTCAGCGAGGGGCAAGGCCTGTGTGAGGTTGAAGCAACAACCCCAGTTCTGCTGCTTCACGGCATGGCGGACAGGTGGTAAGATAGATGATGCCATCTTGGGACGAGGCTGGACCCAGTCGAGCACTACATTTATTGTACATGTAGAATATTCTTCGCCCTTTACTAGCCATAATCAGTGCGCACCACGGGATCTCAATGCTCGGTTTATAGCTTTTGGCAGAGCCTAGCTCGGAAGTCATGATAATCATTTTGATTCGTCTTCGGTATAAGGAATATTCTCTCTTCGTCCCTGCCGTTGGGCTCCTACATTCATCTAAGCGAACAACTCATATCCTGCTAACCCACGAAATTCCAGAACACAAAGCAAACAAGACACGTGACATAAATATGTATGTCCCTCTGAGCACCCTGGGGTTATTATAAGAGCGCAGAGGTGACAAGGGACGTTGTGATAAGATCCTCAGAGCCGCCTTGCTTGTTGCCAATATACAGACCACCCGCTGCGTGCTATCATCTGGCCTTTCGTCTTATTATTCGAATTTGAAGATGTGGTGAGGAACACAAGATTGTGAGCCTGGGCTGACCAGCTAGTCCATTCCTTCCATGTTTGCCTCAGATCTGACGGATATTTTGATGACCGGAGGTTCAATTCCCCAGATCGCCGCTTATCTGCTTCTTCCTAGCTCCCCGCCACACCTAGACGTTTTCTAGAGATGGTCCTCCTTGACGATTCATCGAATCTACGTATACGTGCCATTCTTTGAGAACAGCCTGTGGGGAGCCGGGGATTTCCAGGCCCCAGACTTGACCGAAGCACCTCGGTCGGCATTCTTACGAAATAGCATTGGACAATTCGGCGAGCCGCTATCAAGCGGGAGGTCGCCTTTTTTAAGCTCGTATATTTCGTGACTTCCCTCGAGGTTGGTGAGAGCATTACGAGGCAGGCACGAATTGGGTGTTCCCGCTTACAGTACTTGACCACACCGCAACGCAAAGGATCTTTTCCAGTTCGCCATTTCAACCTGGAAGCTACATCACGTGTCTCGACTAAACGGCTCCTTCCCATTTACCTGCTCGTAAAGGTTCCGTATTGGGAAATAGAGGGTTCATGAAGCACAGGCCCGCAGCACTGTCCTTCGCCTACCTCATTGAACTTCATCCCCTCCAAGGATATTACCCTCTTTCCCGCGTTCTAGCAGCTCACTTTTCTTTTTGGAGATTCCCGCTACGTGCCTAGCCAATCTATTTTCTCTCTCCAGGGAGATTCTAAGATCCTGTTCCATCCTCACCCCACCCCCCACGGACTAGCGAGTTCGTCCAGAACAACAGCGGAGTCCCTCTAATTCTATTCACACCTATCTCCTTCATTCTTCCTCGCCTTACCCACTCCACTTTCCACGTCTCAAAACAATAAGTACCGCCTTCCATCTTCCATACCTTACAGGTATCGTTCACCTTTGGCCTCCACACCCTGAGCTCTGCCTCGCCGAACGCAACCTTTCAACGATCACCTCTTGGGGCTTCTATTCTCCTCGGCGCTCCGCCTCCTTCTCTTTCTCCTCTCGCTCCTCTGTGCTTGCCTCCAGGCCCCCGTCGTGGTACTCACATTAACACCTACGCAACATCCTCTAAGGAACAAGTACGTATCTCAAACTGCCAATCGCGCCCGCCTATACCCTACTACATTTCTAGCTACAAGCCCGCCAAGCACAGCTCAGAACTATACCAGAACCCCAGAACCCCGCGCGCCAAGTTGTGGCTACCTGGAGTATATCCTTCCATTCCGGCAAGGGGATATCACCATATCTTACCTCATTTGAACGAAATATATTTTAGAAGACAACGGCTCTTTATCAAGCTTCCCTCCACATCCCCATCACTCGGCCACCATTGCCCAGAAACATCTTCTAACAAGCTTTCACCCGCGAAGCACAATGTCTCGAAATCAGTCGTCAAAGCCTTCGATGTCTTGGCGCGATGAGGCGAATCCTGCATGGAAGTGAGTTACTCGACCTTCCTGTGCGAGCTAAGCCATGCTGACAATGCTTGCCTAGGGCGTCTATTCCTGCACAGTAGGGAATCCGATTGTGTCTCTATGTCCAGCGAGAGCTAACACGATGTAAAGGATCCGATGCGCCACCCGAGGCGAGTGGAAAAATCGAGATGACTACTCCTTGAAGAGTCTCGATGAATACAATACCCGAGCCCGCCATAATAAGGCCACGCCAAATGATTCTGGCATTACATGCAAGGAACACTCGGCAACTCAGCAAAAACTGCGATGCGAGGGCCCCTGCAATTCGGTCAGAGCCATTGAGTTCTTCAGCAAGAGCAGCCGCCGACGAGGCAGAAACGTGAGTATCCTCTGAGCTGCTACAAACCCTAGCTGAATTCTAATAAGCTTTAGTGGTGCGTTCATTGCACAGACTATCAGAACTGTCTGGAAATCGGTCAGGTTCTACCGCCTCCAAACTCTCAGCTATCGGCCGACGAGATGATGCAGCGACTGCCCTATGCTGGAAATCTCAGGGACGAAGCGGCCACGGCAGCCATCGTCGGTGATATACGCGCAATGGATGTTCCAAGCACCACGGTAAGTTCTCTTTGCCCATTCCTCGCGTAGGCTCAGACTCATAGTGACTAACGTCGATATTAGTCTGCAAGCAGTGGCACGGTGAGAAACCTGCCGGTCCCAAGAATTAACCTTGGACGCGGAAGTACCATGGGACACGGAAGTACCGTGGGTGCTGGAAGTGTCAGTAACCGTGGCAATGTCAGCCAGGCTCAAAGCACCGTCGGATTTCGCACGGTGTTCTCTGAGTTAATGGACATCGAAGACGATAATTTCTATTATGACGAACCTGCTATCCACCGTACGGCGCCGTCGGCAGCACCCACGCGCCCGGCGCCACACTGGGTGCCCCAGCAGGCGGGTCCGAACAATGCACCCACTCAGATGGCTGAGAGCGTCCCTGGAAGTGTGGCAAACGTCACGGGAAATTCGAATAGCATGATCTGGGACTCGACAGAGTCTAACGCAGCGAGTGTTCACCCACGCCACCGGATCCTAGAGGAGGACAGAAATCCTGTCACATTCAACGCCTGGGGTCCCGATGGCGATTACCAGAGGATGACGAAGGCGCCGACGGTTGCGTCCACATCGACGTATGATTCCGTTCTGGAGGGACAGGAGAAAGTTGGAAAGAATGGCTGGGTCAAGCCTGTGAGTATTCCTCGTGATTATAAAAACATCACAGATATACTGACGTTTCCGCAGGCCGGGCGTCGGATTATGCCCCAGATGCCGGCCTACCTCCGGTTCGATCTGGGTGAGAAGACTGATGACTACGATGACTACGATGCCTACGACGGAGAGTCGGACGACACAATTTAAGGCAGAGATGTGCAGCAGTTTCGCCGCAAGCCGTGGTCTCGATGATGAACGATGGGGTTATGAGCCTGAGTTTTTGGGCGTTGACTTCTATGGCCGGATTTACCAGACAGTTTTCGCCCGGTTTCTAGCGTCCCGAAAGCGCAGGTAATGAGGTGCGTAGTTTACGACGAGCTTTTTCTTTGCTTTCGGCTGGTATGATGGGTAGGCATCTGGATCTTTGGGAGGTGCGGGAGAATGGATGCCAACTTGAAGCTCACCCACAGACAGCCGAAATGATGGCTCGCATTTTTTGGTGGAAAGAAGGTGGGAAGATGCCACGGTTTGCCTTATTTCCATTGCTACTAGTAGTGCCCTTTGGGGACAGGAAAGGTAATTCTTAGCTATTAGATAGCTTAGTATACCAATAGCTAGTTAGCGTAATAGATGTCAGCGTTGCGAATTTCCTAGTGTACACAGTAAGACGAGACTCCATCGGGTAGATGTATGTGGCTGGCCAGGCTGCAGCTGGTGGTACCAGGCAAGGCTGCGGGATGGCACCATTCAAGCACTCCCGAAAAGCAGTGGAACATGCAACCTCGAGCTGAATCCTGTTTCAATGCAAGGGAAAGAGCTTGGCACAATAAAGCCAATCACGGCGGTATTTATTTGTAGACCAGAAATGTAAGTGTGCACCCACGCTGGCTATCCCATGTTGTTCGCCTTGACAAGAGAAGTCGATGACGAGCCGGCTAGGTCCGGAGCTGGCACTGCCTTCCATGACGAGCAGCAGAGCCGCATGTTTTCTATTTCTTATAGCAGCTGACGGGGTGACGGGGCTTGATTTGTACTTTTAGCCATCTAGCCTCCCTGGCAAGGGGAGGCGATCTCTCTCGATCGAGATGCAAACCTACCAGGCAAGAATCGAGAGAGAGACATACAGAGGGGGGGTTGGTGTTGCCGATCAGGTTCCCGTTCCACATTGCCCGCCCGGCTTGTGTGTAAAGGTAATTGTTAGCGTGGTGAGTGCTGCGCATCCGTTGGTCCCCCTCCTCCCCCCCACACCTCGTCCTTCTGGAGCGCGTCTTCATGTCGGGGAAGACCTTGAAGTTCAGACAGGCATCCAAGCCACTTTCCCTTTTGGTCGCCTCGGTGTGCAAACGCCCACACACCATCCGTGATTCATTCCTTCTTCTTTTCCACACCCTTTTTTTTTGTTTGACACACACTCACACACTATACGTGCTGCCGAATTCTTTGATAAGCATAGACAGCCAGCCATGGCAATGAATGAGTCGACACGAAGATAGGGGCGGCGGCGGGAGAGGGTGGCCTCGCCTGGCCAAGCCCGGCCAAAGCAGCCACGCGGCTGTTCCATCTATATGGAATTTCTGCTCCGAATCTTGCCAGTCTGAACAAGTCTGTCTGCTTCGTGTGCATATGGGTCCGTGTGCCCATCTTCTCGTCGGCCCAGGAGCGCTCTGGGGCGTGGGAAGGGAGAAGGCTTCTCATGCTATCGCGCGCGCGCGCGCTCTCTCTCTTTCTCCCCCTCACTCTCTGCCTCTCTCCCCTCAGCGTCCCCATGCCGGAAGGGAATATGGACGGGCAGGCTGGCGGCGGCGGCGGCGACGCTGGGGTTATGTTATCTCTCCCATGTGCCCGTCCATGTCCTCTTATATGGCTGCACTTGGGTTCCTCCTCTTCTTCCCTTTCTCCCCCCATTTCTTTATCAGTCTGTCGTTGTGCACGCACCGGGGCTGCATCAACCTATCTTGTAAGTGTACGACAAGGCCAGCAAGTTAGTAGGTTGCGAGTCTGCATCTGCAATCTGCATCACATCGCTTATCTTCCTCACTACCTGCCTATCCAGCTCTCTATTAGTCTGTCTGTCTACTTTTCTGCCTTTTAACTCCTGCTGCCGCTCAACCCAGCTTGCGAACGGGCGGGCTATGTCTGATTGCGGCACCTCGAACTGCAACACGCCCACCACTCACACGCTCAGCCTCGCACCCTATCAGGTCACCGTCACCGTCACCCATTGTTATGCCCCATCGCCGCCGAGGGGCCAATAAGTGAGTGAGCCATGGACAGCAGCAGCACTTTGGTGAAAGGTGCACCTCTCAAGCGGGGGGACATGGCGGTGCTCATGGCCGCCGCTCTGCATGCATCGTCGACAGACTTGAAGAGCAGCAGCGCGGGCTCTTTGAACCGCCAGTTTCTCTTCCCCGAGAGAAAGGAGCCTCTTTCTCCCGTCCTGGTACCGTCGTCCGGACCATCTGGGAATGAGCAACCAAAGCAAGCCAGTAACAACAACAACTCGCACGACGGCAGTGAATCCGACTCGGACGCTTCCAACTCTTCCGACGACAGCTACGACTCGGACGACGACGATGAAGATAAATCGGCGGCAGCTGCAACAGGCGACGGAGCTGCCTTGTCTTCTCGCACGCGTGCGCCGTCGTGGGAATCATCCACGACTGTGGCGACAATAGTAGAGGACGAGAATGCCAGTATCAAAATAGCAGCAGCGGCAGCTGCAGCCTCGCTGAATCCCGCCGCGTCTGTGGATGTGCTTGCCGAGATCAGGAAGATGATCAAAGAGGAGTGTAAGTCCTCTTTTCCTCTCTTTTATTTCTGGTAAGGGCTAGCAGGCGAAGAGACCATAACTGACCCCTCTGCAGTAGGGCAGTTCCGAGACGACAAGGACAAGAAAGGAGAGGAGCAGCAGAAGACGCAGGGCCAAGACACTCCAACGCAGCAACCGCCTCGGACGCGGTCGCCGCCTAGTTCTCAGCCTTCTCCAGTCTCGAAGTCTAGCTATGCTTTTCCTTCCCTCCAGCAGCAGCAGCAGCCGGTGGCCCCTGGCCCAGCCGCGAGCTCAACTCCATCGTCGCCTGGGAGACAGACGGAGGCTCGCTGGAGCGATACTAGCATCTCGCCCGTTGTTGAGATGAGCGCCATCGACCAGAAATGGGGCATCCTGTTCGATGGGCAAGGGGTGGGCACCAAGAGACTGGAACAGGTGTTTAAGGGGTTCGCTAGGTATATCGTACGTCCCCTAATACTGGCGGATACTTGTATGGGACATGCTGGCTAATCTGACGCAGGCCGAAGAGCTTACGCCGCGCAAGATGGAAGTGGTGACGCCGGACAAGGTAGTGATATTCTACCTGCACTACAAGCTCGACGTCGAGGTGTTTCCCTTCACGGCCATCTTCTCGGGCCGCGGGCGGCAAGCCCACGAGCGCGTGGCCGACCTGTACCACCAGCTGGGGTGCGAGTACTACCTGGTGCCGGCCGAGGCCCAGTGCCGGCCGACCATGCCGGGGCTCACGATGCGCGGATTCGCGCAGTGGATGACGTGGACCATCCGCGCGTATCCGGACGAGGAGGCGCGGCGGTTGGCCCGCGCCGTGTCGGCCCTGCCCTTCAACGCCGAGAGCCTGCTCGACGGCAAGCCCGAGCGCCTGCCCAAGCAAATCTCGCGCCACCTGCTACCCGAGAAGCCCAACCAGGATGCCCGCGCTCGCTTTGACGACGTCCTGAAGCGCGTCGTCGACGACATGCAGCTGTCGCCCTCATCCGCCGCCTCGGCCACGTTCAGGGGCGTCCCTCTAGCCAACCTGAGTAATAGCAGCACCGCACAGCCGTATTCTTCTCCGAGGCAGGACGCAAGTGCAAGCAGCAACAGCAGCACAGCTACCCGCCGCGCCTCGGACTCGCGCACCTCGAGCCCACGTTCACGCTACCGCCCGCGAAGCGAAGTCCCATCGTCAGCCTCGTCAGCCTCGTCAGCCGCATCCTGGCAGACGGATGAAGATTACAACAACCACAGCCGCAGACGCAGCGCGACGGGCACAGGCACCGGCGGCGGCACAACCCCACGGGCACGCAGCGGCAGCGTGCGCGATGACATGAGTACAGGCGCAGGCTACGCGCGGTCCATGGGCTCAGCGTCGCATGCCAGCAACAGCTCAGCAGCGCGCCGCGACCCCCCGTCTAGCAGCCGCCCCCCGCCCCCCATCGTCACCGCCGCGAGCTCGGCAGCTTCTTCCAACAGCACTAACGCCCGCCGCAGCCGCCGCGGCAGCTCCCCACCCCCGTTTGGCCACCGCCACCACTCCCTCTCGGTCGGCGACATGTTGTCATTCCCTGCTACTCCGTCACCGACGGCCGTCAAGTTTGACACCAGCACCACGGCTGCTTCTGGCCGAGGGGGAGACCGCGGCCGCAGCGCCAGGGACGAACGCGACAGGGACAGGGACAGAGACAGGGAGCGTGAGCGCGAACGCGAGAGGGAAAGGGACCGCCGCGGCCGCCGACCCGCGTCGCTGGTGAATACGTTTAGCAACACCAGTGCCAGCGGCGGGGGCGGAGGAAGTAGCAGTAGCAGCAGCAGGCGGAGTACTAGCCGCAGGCGCCTGCCCCCGGTCGTCATCGTGCATGACGATCGCGATAGGGAGAGGGACAGGGAGAGAGACAGAGACAGAGACAGAGAGAGGGATAGGGACGGCCGCGGCCCGACCTGGCAGGAGTATCTGGCTGGCCCTGCCGCTGGTGCTGCTTCTAGATCGGGTACGAGGGTGCGCAGGCCGTCTGAGGCGAGGTCTTCTACTTCGTGAGGCTATGCGTTTACCCCTATCCTATGTGGTTCTTCTCTTTGTTTTCTACTCTTCTTTTTGCCTCTTTCACTTCTGAGATTGTTGTTGTTAACTGAAATCGTTTTTTTTTCTTGCTCTCCTTTTCCTTTTCGTCTGCGCTTCTTTATTCCTTCCTATACTTATTGTACTACGCTCCCTTATGGGTACTTTTCATTTTCTCTGTACGCGTCACTGAAGTACCCGGACTGCAGAAGATTGGGCCCGGCTGGGCAAGTTAATGCCCTTCCTCTCCTTTTGTATCTTTGTCTCTATCAATTAGCTGGGTAAATGGTCGTCCGGCGCGTGTGTTGTAGCTCTGCTTGGCTGCCTGTGTTTCTATTATCTCTGACCTCTTTATCTTTCCCGTTATCTGACTGCTTTCTCTTTGACATACTCTCTTTCGGGGTCCGAGTAGAACCGTCTGTTCCTCTTTTTGCTCTCCTTTATTTGTCTTGGTAGTTTGTTGAAGCGTGGAAGCGAGCAGCCTTGCCCACCTTACGAATATCCAGAGGGGTTACGTACGGTTCACGATGTGATATGAAATATTGAGAATAGGACATGCAAACAGACTGGACTACCTTACCTATCTTAGCTAGGGTGGGATGGGACGGGGACGAACACACACAGCAGCAGATTAGAGATACGTAGCAAACGGGCCCTGAGTTATTAACGCAGGATGAATAACAGAGACTCCAAGGTCCATCAATATTTTTTAGACTCTTCTCCTTTACTGGAAGACGTTGATAGTCTCGTTTCTTAGTTGGAATGGACCTTGCAACAGTTGGCCTCGTGGCTTCGCGAGGCACGACTTTTCGATTGCAAAGCCCTGTGGACCTGAACAGCCCCAGGGCAAATGTCGACGCTCTTGCAACGTTCGCGCTGGCCAGGAATGAAAGCAACGTCTCTAGGCATGCAAACGTAAGGCCCCCTCTCTTAGTGCACCTCTTTAATGTCCTGTATACTCCCGTGTTAAAATTGAGTTGTACTCTATTTAGCTTTTACATTTGCTGGATCTTAAATTACTACCAAGTTCGCCCTCTTTAAGGGGGCACGATATAACGAGCTCAAGGGCTTAGAGAAGTAAGGTGATTCTGATTCTCTGTCAAGGCATCGATCGCCTGATACTCGACAGTGGTGCGGCGAACAATTCCATTTGATGTGTGTGGAACTCAATTGGCTGGGACCCGCGAGGCTGGCGTTGAACTGTTGGCCAGCTGGCAATCAGCTGAGAGAGGTTGCTTGGACGTTTCTGGGGAAAGGCCTGGGCTTGTTGCTCTAAGTAGGTGAGCAAGCGATTGCCCGGGAATGGAATTTTCAAGCCCAAACGTGAAACGCACAGAAAAGGAGTCCAATGGAGGGACGGTGATGTGATGGCGCCCCACAGACCAGCAGCCAAAACCGCACCTCAGCCTGATTGGGAAGGGGGCCCGTGCTCTGCCTGCTTTGCTCGGCCGCGCTCTCCGCGAAGGGGGCGTGTTTGGTACTTCGTTTGGTACGGGTGGCGCATGAAGGTCCACACGCGTTGTTCCCATTTTTCTTCTTCCTCCATGCCTTCTTGGCCGAGGGCCAAAGCAACGAGTGGTGACGAGCCTGCCCCCCTTCCCAGGCTTCGAATGACGGCCCCGCTTGCATGAACCCATTGATTCAACTCCGCGTTCGAAGTGAGGGGCAAATGACAGCAGCGGGCTTTGTGAGCTCTCCCTACTCGGTTGTGCCCACTGTTCCCCAGTGGTCCTGGGGGCTTCTGTTCCAGGACTGGGACCATCCATGGTGTCTGTCAGGGCCGTCCGAAATGAGACTGGCAATCTCCTGATCTCCGAGTTTGGCAAGGCTCTAAAGGTGAGGAGGGGGGCCCGGGGGAAACCCGGCCGGTGCCGCCGTGCCTTTGCCTGTCCTACATGCTTTGCCGCCGGCTCCGTGGGTTTCCCCTCCAGTTAATTGCACGCATGTCTCGGCCCAATGGCCCCGAACAATAGGAGGTGGTGGTCAATGGATCGAAGCGGGCGGGATAGAAGGACCCAGGCCCGAGGTTATCGGAGACCAGAATAAAGGCCACCTTCCCTAAGCTGGCAATCTCGAGAGAGGCCATAATACGCATCCATAAGTACTATGTAAGGAAGCTTCTTAGTCCAGCTTCCTCCCTTCGTAGTCCACGTTGTTCCAATCAGGCGTTTCACGGCGTTCGTTCCCTGCCGTTCCCAGTGCCGTTCCCGACTTGGCAGCTGGCGCAAGGCTAGAAAAGCTGAGCGAGGCTTCTAGTTCCCGGAAGGAAGCTCGCAGGCGGCTGTGTCATCCAACTTCGAATTGGTGCTGCGTGGTATGCGTCATGTCATTTTTAGACGGCGAACCCAAGTTGTACAGGTTATTGCGGGACTTTATTCTGTTGACTTGACAGAATCGTGACCACTTAGCCTGTTCCCGACAATTGTTGGGGTGTGATGAAGCTCGAGTTTGGAGCAGCTTGAGCTTGGACGGCCAGCAAAGGAGGGCGCGCAACCCAAAGCTCGACGTGCTGGGTTGGCGGGAAAAGAGGATTTTGCTGAATGGTACGGTACTCCAACGCTATCAGATTACCTCCGACTCACAGCTAGATTAGGTGATGGTCTGACAATCAACGTTCAGAACCAAGTTCCTGTCCAGCTAACGAGTCCTGTCATTGGCTTCCAAGACTTCGAGAAACTCTTCAAACCCCTTTGTAGCGACCCAGAATGCCACAAAAGAAACCAAAAGCATTGGAAATTGCTGTCCCAGCCCCAGAAGCGGACCAGCCGCGATGAAGTGTCTGTCGTGGGGTACATGGAGAGTGGCCATGTCCTTGGAATGTTTCTTCCAAGCCCTTTGCCTAGAACGAGAATCGGGTATGTGCAGACTGTAGAGCCCCCAAGCCGGCAGTACCTCGATCCTTACGCCCCTCGACGGCGTGCAATCCACTGCCACCATGCGGTTGGATGTGAAGTGCTGACTCCGAAACTTAAAAAGAACAAAAAAAGGGACCCGAGTACCAAAAAGGAAAACGTACCTGCACATCCGCTCGCGCTGCTGCAGGTTGATGGACAAACTTGACATGCGCCGTAGGACACACCTGGACGCAAACACTGTGAGAACCACCGAGTATGTATGTGCATGCGGTTTTCCGAGTTCTTACTTGCCTCTTACCTGCTTCTTGCCTGCGTCTGAGACAGCCGTACACAATGGCTGCGCCCTCTATGTTCATCCCGAGCTGAAAAATAAGAAGAAAACTCTGTCTTCTTTCCCCCACCTTTTGCTTGCACTGCCAGAGCAGCTCTTGGCCTTTGGGGCTCGTTTGTTTTCTGGTCTCTGGCGTGCTCAACTGCCCATCGTCGATGGGATCTCGTGACTCCCACCGTTTTTTCCCCCATGAAAGTGGCGCTTTTCCCGAGTGCCTGTACGATCGGAAACATGTGCGGTACCCCTATTCGGTGGGGTCTCCCCATGTTGTGGATTGGTAAATTAGCACGCAATATTATTATTGCTTCCCAGGCTTCCTGCGACTGTCAATTAGGCCTTGGGCGGGACGACCTCCGTCCAGAAAAGCCAGAGTCGTTCCGTTCTTGTTGCCCAGCAAAGAGGGTCCCCTTCATGCGAGGCGCGCTTGCAGGGTCTGAGAGGTGCTGTACCGCTTGCCACTGCTATTTTCTGAGACGGCAAAGCACCGTGAGTCCGCGACATCAAAACCAGGCTGTTATGGGAAGCAAAGGGCTCGACTGGCTGGGGGCGCACTTGAAAAGCCTGTTTCGCTTTCTCGCCAGTCATCGCTTCGTCTGAATGTCTTGAACGTCTCTCTGGTCCCCGCAACTTTCTTACAGGTCGCCGCTGCAGGCTAGCCACAGGAGCCCGTTAGTCCACAAGTCCACAAGTAGTACGGCACGTAATCCGTGATGCTGCGGGCGTGCATCGCTTTTGCCAAATGAGCCGGTGATGTGTCTCGTCGACAGAAATCCAGCCACTCAAGCAAGAACTACATAACATCTGACCAACCGACACTGTTTGGAAACGAAACCCCCTCAACAAAGAACGCTTGCTATCGCAACGTCGCGACTCTGCTGATCGGGGGTTGCCATTGGCGAAATGCGCGTTTATCTCTTGCGCACACATTCCAGATTGCAGATAGGAAGTCACCTAAACAGCTGTCTCGGTGCCCAGAAGATGCATCGTGCATGACCAAACACGATGCTCTCTGAGCTGAGAGCAACAGCCGAATTTCCAATGCTAGCAGCCTACTCGCTGCGTTTTGGGGGTAGGGTTGTAGGGCGGAGCCGGGCAACCACAACCTACCTCTGTAGGTCCTCAGGTAGGTCTGTTTGGTAGCAGTAGGGAAATCGCCAACCATAACAGCGGAGGCACCCTCGCCTGCGTAGATATCCTCGTCTCTTTGTCACTTTGTCGAATGTTGACAAACTCTTTCCCGGCGCGTGTTGTTGGGTTTGAAAGCCGTTCGAAACCTCGAATCCAGACCCGCGGAAAAATTTTCGACGCCTCTTGCTTTCTTTTTTCTGCCAGGGTTAGTTATTGGGTGCGACGGCCATTTCTTTTTTCCCCTGCTTCAACCCCGGTCTCTTGGCCCCAAATTGCCCTCTTGGAAAGGCAGCGCTCCTCCGACTCACTAGCGAGATTGGGGTCCCCTATCGTTTCTCGAAGCCCACCCCGGCTCCATTGATTCATGCTAATGACGGGCCCATCTCCCACACAACAGCGCCCTTCCTCTTCCATCCAGCGATCTGACAATTGAGAAAGAAATCACCACTCGTCTCGTACACTGCCCATGAACGAGTTGGGTCCCTTTCCGGAACTCTGGCTCACTTCTCCCCGAGGCTGCGTTCCCTTTCCATCTCCACATTTGACGGTTTTGCGACGAGAGTTTGGCAAGGACACACCTTAAGCGGCCAACCTGCAGCAAGCAAGACGCAGTAACAGCAGCAGCTAGCACCTGCGCTGACGGGAGTGTTCTATCTGTCAATCGATCTGCCCGCTAGCACCACCACCACCAGCCTGCCAACTGCGATTCTCGACGCTCTCCTGGCTCATTCGGCAGACTCGCATCGCTCTCGTCAAGAAACTACCAGGGGAGAAAACCGCGCATCTTTATGTCCCTGGGATCCATCTCTCGTTCTTGTTACTGTTACTGCATCCACAGTATCGATTTGCGCTAGCTTCGTTGTTACGCCTGCGAACTCCAAGTTCCTAGCCCGGATCGTTACAAGGACCCGCCCAGAGACCTAACTGTGCCCCCCAGCTCAGCTTGGCTCCCCTGCCTCGCCATCCTTTTAATCATCCATACCACCATCATTTCATGTCGTTCGTTCTTGAGGCAATACTCGTCCACTCTTTCTGACTCGGCCTCCCGCACCGTCCGCGTCGTTGCAACATCACGACTCTTTGATCGCTGGGCGCAAACACCTACGACTCCCGCCCAAACTAACACAAACGCAACCGTAACCGCAACCGCAATAGGCCGACACACACCGACGCTGCTGCTAACGCATTCGCTCTTCTGCATGCCCCGGTAACTGCGCGTAGCTCTTCCACAGAGCTCGACTCAGGAACCAAAGCCTCTTAGCTTGCGCTTGTCCTTTGGGCAAAGGGGTGAGCGTTGACGAGCTTCGGCGACGGCCCTGTTCCCACGGGACTCGGAAAGTGACTTGCGGCTGGACTCTCACGAACGGGCCTGATTGATTTACGCCATGACCGTCACCCATGACTTGACCCATCGGGGGTCTACCCAAGGAATAAACGGGATGGCCCTCGAGGACCGATTCGAGGTCTTGAAGGAGATTGGAGATGGCAGCTTCGGCAGCGTGGTCTTAGCCAGAGTGCGAAGCGCAGGTGCCAACGTTGCCCGTCGCGGCACTGTGGTATGTCTTTCGGTCCCCCTTTCCTTCTGGGCTGTCCTGACACAAGCATCGCTATTAGATTGCTATCAAGACGATGAAGAAGACGTTTGAGTCCTTCACGCCCTGCATGGAACTGAGGGAGGTCGTCTTCCTCAGGACATTGCCTACCCACGCCCATCTTGTTCCCGCCCTTGACATTTTCCTTGACCCCTTCACCAAGAAGCTACACATCTGTATGGAATATATGGAGGGAAATCTCTACCAACTAATGAAGGCGAGAGATCATAAATGCCTCGACAACGCAAGCGTCAAGAGCATCTTGTTCCAGATTATGCAAGGTCTCGAACACATACATGCTCACAATTTCTTCCACCGAGATATCAAGCCAGAAAACATTCTTGTATCAACATCATCTCACCAGGACTATGCAAACTCTTTTAGACGATATTCCGCCATGGTGACACCCCCGTCAACTCCCCCGGCATACACAGTTAAGATCGCCGACTTTGGCTTGGCGCGCGAAACGCATTCGAAGCTACCTTACACCACCTATGTTTCTACACGGTGGTATCGCGCCCCAGAGGTATTACTACGCGCAGGCGAGTACTCGGCCCCGGTGGATATCTGGGCCATCGGCGCAATGGCTGTTGAGGTCGCTACCCTTAAGCCGCTTTTCCCTGGTGGAAACGAGGTCGACCAGGTTTGGAGAGTCTGCGAGATCATGGGAAGCCCGGGGAATTGGTATAACAAAGCGGGTGCCCGTGTCGGCGGCGGTGATTGGAGAGAAGGAACCCGCCTCGCCGGCAAGCTTGGGTTTTCTTTCCCCAAGATGGCGCCTCATGCCATGGACACAATCCTCCAAGCGCCACAATGGCCGGCATCATTGGGCCAATTTGTGACCTGGTGTCTGATGTGGGATCCTAAAAACCGGCCAACGTCCACCCAGGCGCTCGCTCACGAGTACTTTACCGATGCCGTTGATCCCCTACGACCCAAGTCATCGGCGTCCCGAATTTTAGGACGGAAGCAGTCGGATCTCAGCCGAGGCAAGGACTCGGCTGCGTCCACTCCGACCTCTTCAAAACCCTCCTGGTTTAGGAAATCCTTAATCGGGCGCTCAGAGAGTACGGAAATTGTCGTGACACCGCAACCTAGTGTCAAGGAGAACATTGCCCCTCGACCTTCACCAGTACAAGCTGCTTCGGAGGCGGCGGCGGCGGCGGCGGCGGCAGCGGCAGCGGCAGCAGTACCTAAAGTCAAGCCGGCTGCTAGCAAAAGAACGACATGGACTAATGGTCCATCAAACGTCGCGCCAATGCCGATACTTCCCACCATACGGCCCATCTCTCCGTTGTCCGATGCTGTGACCGCGCAGGCTAGCAACAGGACACCCGCGTACAACGATGCTTACGTGATTGGGACGCAGAGGAGTACTCAAGCCGAGGAGAAGTCGAAGAAGATTGGCCGCCAGCTGTCGGTTGCTTCGAGTACAAATCACTACGCTGAGCTTCATAGGCAACAAGCTGAGCGGGCTTTGAATGGCAACTCTGGTCTTGCATCACCGCCAAGTGGGCAAAAGGAGAGCTTCTTCTCGCATCTACGGAAACGAGCGAGAAGATTCTCTGGGCGACATCAGACACCGATTTCGCCGACCCCCGATGATATCGAGGCGCAGGCTGGCTGCGGGCCGTGGGCAAGCAACAGGTCATCAATGATTATTGACAACCAGTTCCCGGCTCCTGCACCCAAGGACACATATGACTCCTTGGACAAGACACTGCGAGACATTCCGCATGTCACACATGTCACGGAAATTGCCCCTGCCCCGCCGATTCACCAATCGTCATCGCCAAGTAGCAATCTCAAACGCCACCATTCGCTACCGCACCATCAGCCACGATCCGTGGATAACCTCCTTGGCGCGGCTCGGGGGGGAGGCCCGATATCTAGCCGGACCCGGAGAGCACAGGCGACGCAAGGCGTTCACCAATACGATGCTCCAGACGAAGAAGATGAGCTGCTAGACGAAGTCCTCACGTCGACCCGCCGTGTGATGAAGCGCCTCGAACGAGATCCCAGAACTCTGAGGCAATCTGCCAGCAATCTTGGGCTGTCAAATCCGTACCCGACGCCGTCGCCGTCTGCTAGCGGTCATGCTGTGCTCTTTAGCGATGGACAAGAGGCAGTCACCCCCAAGCCTCTGGACCTCCACAAGAAGACTTCGGCTTATAAGTGGCCCACACCTCCGTATGACGAAAGCGACTGGGCAGCCTCAGCATCAGCAAGCATCTGGGCGGCTGGGAACCGTTTCTGATTGACGTTGCCTGCAGTTTTTTCGTTCTGCTTGCAAAAAAAAAGTCCTATATGGCTGGTTACCATGGAATGGAGTTTGGGTTTGCTTTCTGGAAGGCATGGCGGTTATCATCACTCTTTTTCGACTGGATTTTCTTTCTCAACGGGACTCGACGGCAGACGCAGTCTCCGATTCTTCGCAAACACACGCTTTTCAGCCGTGAATTCGTACCAGACGCCTTTTTTTCTCTTGTCGTTTTCACAATACCCCTTCTAGTTTTTTTGCCCTTTACTCGAGCAAGGGTTTAATATCGTTGCGTGGTTTGCCATTTAAATACCCCCCCCCCCCCCCTATATAGATTGGAGGGCTGATTTTATCAGCCGCCGTCGCGATCAGCGCGGAGTCGAGTTCAGTATCAGACGGATTTCCTTTGTCACAGAACCTATTGGAGTTTTATGTTATATTCCGCCATTTTTTCCCTTGCCTGACATAGTACCTCCTTATTGGATACAACTCTCGAGATCGCGGCGCCGATCGTGTTTCTTTTATGTTTTATCCTTTATTGTCCCCGTCCGGGACTCCCTTAGTCTCGAAATAGCGGGTAGTTGGCTTTATGTTATATCTTTCCCTCTCCATTCACTTGTAAGGCTTCGGATGGTAGGGGTTTTAGAGGAAGCTTGGAACTTGCAAGGTGGATTGATCTTGATCTGTACAAAGTGGAAACTCAAAGGCAAATGTACTTTTTCATGCCTTTGAGGTCGGCAGTGGCCATATACGAAGCCAGTTTTGTGGGAGAAATCGGCAGTGTAGAAATCAAGACAGAGTGTATGAAACTTTTCGACTCTCTTCTGTTCTGTTATATCGTTCTTCCACTGCTTGCGACATTTTCCACAACTGTATCGTGTCTGACTGGATACTATCACTCTTCCTCTCAATGTTGAATCTGCGAGGGCAGAATAGATGCCTTAACGTTTTTTGCTCTTTTACTTCTTTGGACATCTTCCTGACAATCAACTTATCATGCAGAATTGACGCAGGTAAAAAGCTAAAATGTAGTTGATGATTGCCTGGCCTCAAAAGGCGGTCTCGCGGGCTCGAGAGCTATGAGATACCCGCTGTCTCTTGGTAAGCCGTTAAGACGGCGGTTAAGGTGCGATGTAGGTGCATACAGTACAGGTTAGGCCAGTTTGGTCAAGCAGGTCAGGTAGCCGCATAGAACGCAGATACTTTTTCTGGGCTACCTATCTTTGTGGTCCATGTGCAGCAAAGCAGCATTGCCGTCTGCCTGCGTTGGAGTGTCAAACTTTGTTAGGTCCGTAGGTACGTAATATGGAAAAGTTGGGACGAGCGAGTCCATGGCTACGGAGGATGCTTGGCAAAATAAGGTACACGTACCCTCGTATTGACAGGCGGGTACCCCTCATCCCCACGATATATTGAGCATCACGTGAGACTGTAGAGCGATGAGAGCAAATGGGAAATACAGAATACTGGAATCGGAGTGAGTCAAGCTGGGGCTGAATGAATATTGAGAATGGAAGCTGCGCGCCTGCGTGCCTGTCTGTGTGGTGTGCCTGCCCCTCTTAGAAGAGCCCCCGCAAATACGCACGTGGAGAGACAGAGAAGGAGATACGGAGCTGCCTTAAAAGAGAGGAAAAGAGGGGTTCTGGGCCTAAAGCCGTGGCAGGTAACCTACCGTTAGACCTGGCCGTCTGCCAAGCGGGCAACCCGCTCTTGGTCAATATGCGCGTCTAAAAAAACGATGGAAGAGAGAGAGCTGAGAGAATACACACACAACCAACCTACCTTACCTTCCGAGTCTACCTAGGCAGGCAGCAGCATTCGGGACAGCATCATTCGACAACCACCAACACGTCGGCCCCAAAAACGACTCGCACCACAAGTTACAAACCTGCTTACGGCTTGCGTAACCCGTTGCACTCTTGCGCTGAAAGTTGCGGCAAGTAGTTCCTTCCCTCCGAATAGAGGTACAGTACAGTACGGTACATATTACTCCGTACTTCAGGTACATTCGCTACCTAGGTTGCTACTACTGCATTGAACGGCAGTCAGTGGACAGTCACTCTCCCACTCACACACACACCAGCACCGTCGGTGTCGGTGTCTCTGTCGCCGTCGCCGTCGCTCCCCCAGCAAACTCTCTCTCTCTCTTCACTGGGCCTCAGCTGCCACAGCAGCTCGGATCGGAAAACGGTCGATCGGTCGGACGGTAGATCAGTCGGGTTCTCCGTGCTTCCTTCGAGTCCCCCGTTGTACCCACCCTTCCTAGGCTCGCTTTAAGGCGAGGTGCTGCATGCCTTACTTAAACCTTTATACCTTGTTTCTTATTGCTTATTTCCTATTACTCATCGCTCCAACTCACTCCCTCGGTGTGGGGAGTGTTGCAACTTGATCCTAAAAGCCACGGCTAAGGCTAGATATTCTGTCGTTGTCCTTGTCGTTGTCGTTCAGTCGGAGAGATATACAGTGATCAGGGAGTGTTGTGATATTGATCTTGTCTAACTGACTTTTGATAACTTTTGGTTTCTCCTTTTGTCCTTTTCGTCCTTTTCTGTCTTTATTGTTGCCTGTTGTTTCTTATTATCATTGTTGCTGCTGCTGCTGATCCCAAGTCATTAGGTCTTGTCGACGTGCACACGCTAACACGCGGCTCTGCTAGGAACTGTTTTGGGTGTCGCGTGAGTCTTGTCTTAACGGGGCAAGGTGTTTGTTTGTTAGTTTTGGGGGGTTTGTGATTACCTTGCACATTTCTTATATTATTCCTGCCTGCCTGTTTTGTCTGGCTGCCGCGTACGGCGCAAACTGTCGTCATCCCGCCTGGCTCTGTTTATCCTTTCTCGTTTCTCTCTTGTTTCTTTCCTTTTCTTCTTTTCTGTCTTCTTCCCACGCTAGCCCTGCTTCGTTGTTGGCCGTGGATGCCGGGGCATGAGAGAGACTAAAGAGGGACGGGATAGTTCGCGAACGCGGGGCCTACCACCTACGTCGTATATATACATCACTCACGCCTTCGCCGTCGACAGGCATTAATACCCACATCATGAACATCAACCTACCTCTGCACCAGGTGTCGCCAAGCAGGAGGAACCGCGATAGCAGGAACTACTTCACCAGCACCAGCGTCTCGACCGTCAATGCCAACCCCAACGCCACGCAGGCTCCTCCCCCCTTTACCGAAGCCATCAACGGCCCCGTCAGGGAGCCCGCCAGAGATATAGCCCCCGCCAGTGACCGCCTCATAGTTGGCGTTGACTTTGGAACGACATTCTCGGGGTGAGTCTTGGCCTAGCCCCTGTCTCTGTCTCTCTTTTAGCTAACAACTCGCCGTCTGTGCCATGCGTAGTGTGGCTGCCGTGTACACCTCGACACCAGATGATATCGAGATCATCAAGACTTGGCCGGGCGGGAACGGCATCACCTCGGACAAGGTCCCCACCGAGATCTCATACGACCGACCCACCAGCTCGCCGCCCGGCACGGCTCCCACGGTGAAATGGGGTTTCCAGTTCAAGCCCGAGGAGTCGCGGCTCCGATGTATCAAGCTGTTTCTCGACCGCTCCCAGAAGCTGCCCTTCTACGTCAGCCCCCTGGAGACAGCCGCCCAGCTCAGGCAGTTCAACAAGACCGTCATTGACGCTGTGAGCGACTATCTGACGCAGATATACAAGCACACCATGGACACGCTGACGCGCCGCTACGGCGAGTCCTTCATGGCCTCCACAAAGGTAGACTTTGTCCTGACATGTCCCGCCGTCTGGTCCGATGCCGCCAAGAACACCACATTGCAGGCTGCTGAGCGCGCCGGCATGGGCGCAAAGTCGCAGATCCAGATGATCAGCGAGCCCGAGGCCGCCGCTGTCTACACCCTCAAGGCCATCCAGCCGAACCACTTGAAGGTCGGCGACAACTTTATCGTCTGCGACGGCGGTGGAGGTACCGTCGAGTGAGTCTTGATCAGCCGCCGAGTCTTGACTATGGGGAGGCGGACTGCTGACTAGAGAATGAGCAATAATCTAGTCTGATCGCCTACAAGATTGTGTCGCTAAGGCCCATCCGCGTCGAGGAATCCGCCGTCGGCACTGGCGGCCTTTGCGGAAGTGCATTCCTCAACTACAGGTTCGAGGAGCACGTCAAGAACCGGCTTGGCCAGACCAGATTCGACGAGATGAAGGCCAAGAAGGGCAAGACGTGGCAGATGGGTTTGCGGTATTTTGAAGAGTTTGTGAAGCGGAACTTCAACGAGGACGAACACCAAGAAGTCAATGTCCCGTAAGTGCTCTTGGCCCCGAATATTTATTCCCTGAAACATTTCATCCGTGTCTGGCAGTATATATAAATATTGGCTAACACTCAGCTTGGCGCGCAGATTTCCCGGCCTCGCAGACGACGAAGAAGTCGGGCTGGACTCTGGGTTCCTCGTCATGTCGGCGGACCAGATCAAAGACATCTTTGAACCCGTGGTCAAGGAGGTTTGCGATCTCGTTCAGGGGCAGGTGGAGACCCTTCGAGCCAAGGGTGGCGTCGTATCGGGAATCATTTTGGTCGGTGGCTTCGGGCAGAGCGACTACCTGTACCGGCGACTTAAGAGCCACTTTGCCAGCGCGGCGCCGCCGCCCTACACGGAGCGGCCGACGCACTCGAGCGCCTCGCTCGTGCAGGACCACGGCAACGTCGAGGTCATGCAGCCCGTCTACGCGTGGACAGCCGTCGTCCGTGGTGCCGTCCTCCGCGGCCTCGAGGGCAACATGGTCATCTCGCGCAAGGCCCGCATGCACTACGGTACCTCATACGCCACCGTCTACGACGAGGAGAAGCACTCGGTCAGCGAGCGCTACTGGTCGCCGCTGTGGGAACGGTGGATGGTCTCGGACCGCATGCAGTGGCACATTGCCAAGGTGAGTGATTCTGTCTTCCCCTATTTTTGTCTTTTGAGTAGTGTTCTAATGAAAGGGTGAACAAAAACAGGGTGAGGCTCTCTCCCCCTTGAGCCCTATCGCCTTCCACTACACGCGCAATTTCCGGCCCGGCCAATCACTCATTGTCACCGACGACCTCATCGCTTGTGAGTCCGACGAACCCCCCAAGGCCTACACGCGCGACCTCGTCCACGTGTGCACCCTCACCACCGACCTCAACGCCGTGCCCGCCGCCCTCTTCACCCGCCTCACCACAACACGCGGCGTCGAGTTTGACAATCTCGACTTCACCCTCGAGATGATTGTCGACAGCGCCGGTCTGGGATTTGAGCTCAAGGTCGACGGCGTGCGCTACGGCCGTGTGGATGCAGACTTTCACTGAGGCTGGTTTCTATAATGGGGTGACAAATGGGCGACTCACCTACTGGGTATTTTCCTGTATTCTTGGGAGTGGTCAAGGTATTCATACTCATATATATCACATTTGAAGTTTTGACAATCTCCGTTTTCATTTCGAGCGGAGCAGGGGCCGAGGGCCGGTTGGGTTGGATGGTACGTACGTACGCAGTATTTGAAAAGATGGGCACAGACATAGGTATATACTGAGGCAAGGTTAGGGTGGGGCGGTGACCATTGACATCTGAAATGGATGGAAATGAAGGGATGAGGAACTGAATCAAAGATGAATGGATGGACAGGACCCTCACGTTTGGCTTTTGACGTGGTGCGAGGGGCGGTGTGGTTGGTATTTAGCGAGGCGATTGGTCGTTTCATGAAGATGAAGGCGTGGAAACCCCCTCCTCTCTCTCTCTCTCTCTCTGTCTGTCTGTCTCCATTCATCTCCATGCCTGTCTGCTTGTATTGTGACAGAAGTTTTGTTTGTGTAATAACCCGGCGACCAACCACCATATCTCTATCCCGAGCATGGTTTTGGCTTTATTCGTATCAAAAGCCTAGAAACGGGTCTAAAGATGTCAACAAAGGTATCCATCCAGCGGTAGGGACAGACAGACAGACAGACACGGGTTCAAATAGCATAATATATTCAAACTCCCACATAAACATGCTCTGTGTGTCGTCTACCACTGCCGTTGGCAACTAATTTCTCACAATGCGCTCGCTGTTTTGCTTTCTCTAATAACCACCGCCCCTCCCAATTTAGATGAGAGATTTTCAAAAGATAGATAAATCAACAAGGACCAAAAAGGAAACAGGAAAAAAATTATTATCATACAGCCAAGCCCTCCTCCTGAGCCTCGTCCTTCTCTAGCCGCTCTAGGCCCGTCGTGCACACGGCGCCGTAGACGCGCAGCGGAACCGCCACCTCGAAGCTCTCGCACGTCAGGTTCTCGGCCGCGACGAGGACAAGGCCGCCGCGGTCGTCGCGGGAAATTTCTTCGAGCAGCGGGTGGACAGGGCCGCTGTTGCCGGCGACCGCGACGAGGCGGCGCTTGTTGCTTCTGTGGTGGCGTCGATGATGGCGGGTCCTCTGGACTGTCTTCTCGCTGCCGTTGTCGTCGGCGCCACCCTCGCCGCTGCCGTCTTCATCCTCGTCACCGTCGTCGTCGACGTCGTCGTTTTCTTCTTCGTCGTCTTCCTCGACATCCTCGTCGTCCTCTTCAATGTCCTCAATGTCGCCGCGCTCGACGTCGTGAGTGGGCACGACGAACTCGAGCCGGATCTTCCACTCGAGACAGACGCCGCTCGTGACAAACTCGGGCGTGGCCGACACGGGGATGGTGGGGTTGAAGACGATGCGGCGCGCGTACAGGGTGGCCTCGCTGGCCGTGACCCAGACCTTGCGCGTGACGCGGTGGATGCTGGCGTCGGACCGTAGGGCGAGGCTGGGGTCGACGCGCTCGGCCGACTCGAGCGCCGAGTGCACGGCGTAGCAGGGGATGTCGGCGCCCGAGAAGTCGATGGCCATGTTGATGACCTCGCCGAGGCGGTAGGCCGGGCGCGCCAGCATGACGATACCGACGCGGCGCCCGTTGCGCGCAATCTCGAAGCGGTTGGCGCTCTGCTGGCCGGCGCCCGTCATGTTGGCGCGCATAATGGCCAGGTCGATGGCATCCTTGGCGCTGGTCGTCACCATTCCGCCGGGGAACCCGTCATCCGTGGACGAGTACATCGACGCTCGCCGAGACGTGGGCATGGCACTGGGGCTCAGCAGGCCGGCAGCGCTTTCCTGGGGTCTGGCGAGCAGCTCGTCAACGTACGCGAGGAACGATTTCATGGTGGATGAACCGATTGGGCCCAGCCTATTATTATTATTCTGCAGCGAGCCATCCAGGCGAGAACTGTCCTTCTCTTTGTCCAAGCTCTGGACCCGAGCTTGGTCCCGTAGGATGATGTAGGGAGACATTAGATCGTGGCCGAGAATCTCTCCGTAGCTGTTGACGCTGCCCAGCACCCGAAAAGGTATGTCGACAGACCTGACCTGCTGCTCCTTGGCACCCCCCGGCCGCTGCGTGCCAATCACCAGACTGTAGGAAATCTTGATAGCTTTTCCGCGGTGTGTCGGTGGCAGGCCTTTGGGTAAGCGGAACGAGTACTCAAAGGCCTTGCTCTCGCCCGGCCTTAGCTGTAGATCGACAAATAATATGGACTGCGGCGTTGAAAGCAGTGGTATCGACTTTGAGCTTGCGATACCGCGCATCTCCTTGATGCTGCTAAGTTCGCCGCTGCCCAGTAGCTCGCCAATGGAGCTGGTGAAGTTGCCCCATCCAAACCCCCTCAGCAAGCCGCTATCTCGCTTCGACGTGTCCACGCCGATGACACCGCCTCCCTGGCCGCCAACGACGGCCTTCCGCTTGACCTGCTCAAAGGGCCCTTGGTTGACGAGGGAGCCGTCGAGGGAGAAGGTCCCCTGCAGTTGGGCGTAGCCCATCATCAGAGCCTCGGGTAACCTTACGGAGCCGGGCGCGAGACTGGACGTCCGCCTGTTGTGAGGCTGGCGGCCATGGGTCCGCAGAGGCTGCTGGGTCACGTACTCGGACGCCAGCGTCTCGGATGAATTGTTGCTGAGCGAATAGAACTCGCCACTGCTCCTCGGCGTGCCTGCTATGCTCGTCGTCGAGAGGACTCGTGCTGATGGGCCGACGCCGTGCTCGTTGATGGTCGGCACGGGCTCTCTGGGCCGCGCCGGGAGGGTAGTCGCATCGCCAGTCGAGTATGTGGGGCTGCCCAGAAGGTCTTCTGCCCCCGGGGCTGGCGGGACTCCCCCCGGTCCCGGCCACGAGGGTGCCTGCGTGAAGGGGAACCTAAATCCAGACATGACGGCGTCCGGCGTGGTGGTCGGGGATGATTGCGAGTACCCAATGCTGGGGGTGGCTGGCACCGTAGAGGCACCCGAGGGACGGCCATTGGACATGCTCCTGTCGGGGGGGAAGGAAGACTGGAAGAGGGGCGAGGACTGGGAGTTGGGGAGCCTCGAGGGGTGTGTAGCTGTGTCACGGGAGTCAGACTGCACGCCCTGCCCCTCGGGCGGTCCGGGACTCGACTTACCGGAACGAGGCCCGTTGAGATAGGAACCACGGGGGACAATCTGCAGGCTGGACGCGCGGGCATGCCCCCGTGCTGGCCGTTGGGGCTTGACGGATGGGGCGGTGTTGTTGTTGCCGCTCTGTGCGTGATCGTGAGCATCGTCAACGGTGCCCACGGAGCCAATCGAGACTATGGACACCGACCGCTTGTGGCTGTGGCCATTGCGCGGGGGACGGGGGCCGGCAGCGGACGATGACCAGGGTATGGACCCGGCACGGGAACGGGAGGCGGCAGCGGCAGCGGCAGTGGAAGCGGCAGCGGAAGCCGACGCGGAAGCACCAGATGGGACCGTCAGGGACAGGGTAGATCGGTGGCCGCGGACGGATGGTGGCGGGGCGAGGCCGTGATGGGCGGCGCCATTAGGCTTTGTTCGGGCTTGTGCGGCAGGATGGAGGGGGGACGACTGGCGCGGCGGGCGCTCGCCGCTGGGGTGCCTCGGCTGCTGGGCAAAGGACTTTTGGGGCGCATGGGAGGTGGGCAGCGGCGGCAACTGCGACTGCGACTGCGACGAAGAGGGCGGGCTCGGGACGCGGGCGACGTTCTTGAAGACAATGGTGCATTTGACCTCGTCGCCGGCAAAGACAACCTGCTCCTCCCAGCGCACATAGACACGCACATTGCTTTTGGAGCCGTCGGACGACATGGCCGCAGCCATCCCAGCCATGTGATGTATATGTGATGTATTTCTGTCCGAGGCAGCAGCGTTGGATGGCGGGCGGTGGTTATTGCCGGAGCTCGGCTCGGTGGCCGACAGCGCGATGATGGAGAGCAGCGAGGTGCAGACGGGGACGGGGAATGGGATGTTGTCGGTGATGGTGTCGGCGGTCGAGAAGTATCGACCAAGTGGTTAAACCGCCTGCAGCATCGCTGTTGAGCAGCATCTTGCGGTCCCAGCAGCAATGAATGCAGATAGACAGGTTGCAGATTGCAGCATGCAGCAACCAGCAAGTACCACGTCGTTGGAGTCGCTCGTCAGGTCGAAGTTGCCTGCCGTCCGTTTCCCAGCGAGGCCGTCGGTGGGATGCAGTCACCGATCCAGTACCGCACTATATAATCCATGCTACCCCAACAAAGCAGCCAGTAGCAGGGACCCTTGCCAGCTGGCAGCTTAACTCAGCGTTCCTTATGTCTGACCCTAACCCTGGCGAGTTGATTTTCCCCCCTTTTACTTGGTCTGCCTCTTCCACTCGGGAGAAGTAATGTCTACAGACCTACCAAAGTATACGGATTACACGGAGTGCATGCCTCGAGCGACGAAAACAGTGTTAGTACTAGACAGGACATGTCCACTCAAATTCACCTTAGTATACTAAACCGAACAACCCCAATCGATATACCGACCTGCCCTGATCACACACACATCCTCCTCTTCGCTGCCCCCCAGCCAAGATACAAACCAAAAAAATAAAAAGCAGCCGGCCCATAATGCCTATGCTCCTGCCCATGCCTTTCCCTTATGCATTCCCCATTTTATTTACTTCCACCAAGCAGCACCAGCCTGGCCAAGTCGCTCACGACAGGCGGCTGCTGGCGCGTCTTGGCCGCCTCTAAGCTTTCATGGAAGACAGCCTGCCCGCCCGTCGGCCGATAACCTGCCGCCGCCTCATGTGCGCCGCCATCTCCTGTGGCAACGGCATCACCAGCCGGCTGGCCGTCGCCGGGACCATCTTGCTGCTGTTCCTGCTGTTGCCATACCTCCTTGACAGCGAGCCTGCATGCGTCGACGACCTGGGCCACGAGATCCTCGACAGTCCTGGCGCGCTCGGCCATGTTACGACGCGCGAGACCAAACACGAGGCGCTCTACCTCTGCCTTGGAGGCCTCGACGCGCTCGACCAGCCGCCGGACACTGTTGACGAGGTACTCCTCCTCGTACACGGTGCCCTTGCGGCCGCGGGCGCGCTTCTTCTCCTCGCGCTTGCGGTTCTTGCTCGTGGCCCGCGACACATTGCTGCCCACCGTGCCCACGCTACCGCCTTTGCCCGTATAGCGAGTGAAAAGACTGACGCCAGTGCTCATGCGGGAGCTCGCCGCGACCGACACGTCGTCGGGGATGTCCATGCCGTCGCGGCTATAGGGATTCTCGCCCTCGTAGAACGACAGCGGGTCCTCGCGGGCCTTCTTGCGCAGCTCCGCAATCCGCGGCACCTGCGCCTTCAGCTGCGCCTTGCAGTCAGCCAGAAACTCGGTGCTGCTCGAGAAGGCTTCGGCGAGTCCCGTATCAACAGCGCTCTCGAGCAAGTCTGCGCGTTTGTGCAGCGCAACGAGGCGCAAGGCATCCGCGAACAGATAGCCTTTGCCGAGGAACTGGATCGCTGTCTCGATAGAGGCCAGATACTCGACGTGAATGGCGGCTGCTGCCGCGTAGTCCTTGGACTCGCGGAGGGCATCCGCAAGATCGCTAGCAATCTCCTGCAACTTCTCGCTTGAAATTGGCGGCTCCTGCTGCTGCGCAACGTAGAGACACTCGCGCCAGCACGCTGCACCGCCCTTGAGATAGCACTCCGTGGCGTCTGCAAAGTTTCCAAGAGACTCGTATGCCAAGCCGGCTTCCCTAAATAGGGATGTCGATTTCAGGTATGCAGCATAGAGATCAATAAGGGCTATATGGTGCTGCTCCTCGAGACGGTAGAGCCCGAGGGCATATTGGTAGAGCTTGTGCTTCACCACGTAGTTCTGGACGTCCTCGAAGTTTCCAAGCGCTTTGAGATGGCCAAGCGCCTTCTCTCCGTAGCCTAGCTTGTCGTCAATCGTAAACTGGCGCTTCAGTTTCGACATTTTGTGGAGGCCCTGGATGAAGGGGAGGTATTCACGCGGATCCCGCTGGGATTGCTGAGCGACTAGGAGTGTGAGATCGAGGTTATAGAGACCCAGGGCGTGATCAAAGAGTTTGTTGACGTCAACCAAAAAGCAAATATGCTCGACTGCACGCTCTGCCAACGCCTCGTCTTCTCGCATGAGGTCGGCAACGACCAGAAGACCATCCTCAAGTGCTGGTGGGCTTTTGCAAACATGGGCTGTAATGATGTTCTGCAGGTTGGCGTTCTTCTGAGTGCGAAGCCTCTGCAAAACAGCATCACAGACGGTATTGACTTTTCCAGGAGCCTGAATTTCCGAGTCGGGTAGTGCTTGGCCAGCTGCAGGCTTTGTGTCTCTATACATGGTCTTGGAGACATCCTCCTCCCTATTTCATACATTAGCAATGCGTTCCTTCATCGTGTTCAGACAGTAGTAGGACATACTTCAGTGTAGACAGGAACAAGTCGATATTGGCAGTCTCCTTCACCTGGTCGAGGAATAGGCCAACATTAATGAGAAATTGCGCCGGCCGATGGTCGTAAAGAATGTTCATATCCACGCGTTGTGTGCGACACGTCGTAAAGGCGGCACCATATTCCTTCTGCTCGATTAGCTGCCTAATGCCTGCCACCACCATTGCACGTGGGAAAATAGTCTCCAGATTTCCCCGCGGCATTTGAAGAACCATGCTCATGTTGGCGGGCATGGCTGTCACGAGTCTGGCACCCCGTTCAATGCTTCGGCAACGCTCGTCGTTCTCGGGGTCATCCTGGGGAACATCGAGGTCTTGAAAAATGATTAGTACTTTGCTCATAATAATTCACGTGGGATGGCACCAACCTTTAGGACTAGCAAGATGGACAAACTTGACGAGGTGATTGCTCGTAGTGAAGATGAGATGGCTCCCTGTGACGATAAAGGACGTGCAGTTCTTGGCTAGCTGCCGCGAGTTGGCATAGAGATGCCCGTTCCTTGACAGTCCAAAGCCCAACAATTTCCCGTCATGCGTAACGAAGCTGGCCCAGGGTAAAAGGGTAGGAAATCCGATGGGAAGATTGACATGTTCCCCACCAGAAACGAGACTTAGCCTCCCTTGACGATCCTGGGCAACAATGCCGTCAGGAGAGGAATTGTCTGGCGAGGTTATTGTAGAAATAAGCCCTGCAGGTGTTTCCGACCACTTGTTTTCTTGGCTAGATGCGCCAACGTGGTACGAGATTAAATCGACGTCTTCTGCCATCCGTAGAACCTGCACCTCTTGCGGCCCCGCAAACTCAACCTGAAGGAAAGATTCCTCGTAGAATTCAGAGTCTAATATCGGGAAAACGGCCTTTTCTTGTAGTTTTGGACAAGAAAGACGGGCAGCGTTTGCCTCGAGACCATAAATATTGACTCCTAGCCGGTGCAATACAGCCATGGCAAATCCGTCTTTGGTAAACGCAACGTCAATCACGGGGGACTCGACTTCGAGCTCATACATTGCAATTGGCGGTGGAATGTTGGCCGTTCGAAAAGGTGTGAACTTAATTGTTGGCCCATCGATTACGGCTACTGCCCCATAGTCATTGGGAGCTGCTGTTGGCCCCCTGGAAACGGAGAAAACAAACTCATTCAGGAGCACATTGCCTGAATAATAGTGAGTTTGTGCCTGGTGATAAAAGTTGGTGCAAACGGATGCTGGAAATTGCTTACCTGCAACGGCGGTGGCAAAGAGAAGTGGCTTCTCAGCATGCCAGGAAAACTGCAGAGTCTGCTGCTCCAAGCTCCCATCAACATGGGGCTGGTGCTGCCCACAGTGAACCTCTTGCTTTAGATACCAATGGTAGTTGCCCGTGGTCCATAGCTGGACCCTGTCTCGCATGGTGACAGCAAGGACAGACGAGTCGGAGTTCCACTCGAGCGCAAGATGCTCCATGGCACCGGGCGCATCTTGAGGAGCTCTAAGGGTGAATTGGCCATGCCGAAGGCCGTTCCTCTCGAAAAACACAACGTCGACACGGTCAGGAAGGCGCTGGATGCCGGCCATCAGATTGCCGGCAGGGCGCCAGCTGAGGCTTCCTTCAAGACCATCAACAGGCTCGCTGACACTGTCCAACTCACCATCGCGGTTATAGACACGTATGACTCTCCGCGGTTGTTCCTGGTGCAGGTTTATGGCGACAAATGCGCCGTCCCCTCTCCAGCTAACAGTGCAACGGCCGTCGTCGTTGGGACTGAACAGGCCTTCGTCAACCTTTTCAGGGATGGTGGGATCTCGGAGCGCCTTGGCCTTGGCTCCCCTGCCGTGGAACTGCGTCTCCTTCTTGCCCCATCCGACCGAAACATGCTTGGAGGCCTTGAGGTCATCGGCAGTTACTGCCGTCTCTGTAATGACATCGAAGCTCCGGCTCATAAACACTACCTTGTCGTCACCGGTCACGATGACGAGCAGCTCCTCGTCGGGCGACCACCGGGCAGCGACGATGGACGGTTGGAGGGTGCCTACGATCTCGACATGTGCTCCACTAGGCTCGCCGGCGGTGGCACCGTCTTCGTCCTCGACCACAGTCACAATGTCGCCGCCAGCTAGGATGACGCACGTGGTCAACGTGTCGCTGCAGTGGTGCAAGCTCCTGATGATGTCTACATGGCCATTTTCGGTTGGGCTTGGCGCGTCCCACGAGGCGACGGTTCTCGCCTGGCTGCGGATCCGGTTTGTTTTTTAGGACATGTCGCCCCACGGGGAAAGACGGAGAGGGGAGAGACTAAGAGGAATGGAACACGGGAAAGAACAAAAAGGAGGGCTTGGTAGCTTACAGGCTTGAAGGGGGCGATGCATCTCTCGAAAGCCTGACTAGCTCGATCGAGGCCGCGTCGGCAGTCGGGCCGTAGGTAACTAGTATCTCGTCCCTGGCGGCATCCCAGCATGAGGCGGATATGGCTGAGGGCGCTCTAAAGACGCCATGTCCAATGTTTCGAAGGTTCCGCATCGTTTCTGGGGGGTTGACCTTCCCTTTCTCTGCCGAGTGCTACTAAGGTAAGGAGGCGTCGATCTAGCCTCACATGTGCAAGTGAGCCGATTATGAAATCATAATCCCCTGTTATCCAGTGTAAAACAGAGATGGGCCGACCGATGATGAGTCGGGTGTTTTCGGCGCTCCAAAAAAAGTGGGAAGAATTGGAGGGGGAGAAAAGGAGGACAAGCAGCTAGGGAGAAGACGGGAGGGAAAATGTTACGCAATCGTGCCAAATGCCAAAACTCTTACGCCTCAAATGCTCAGGCAGATGCCTAGGTAGATAGTATTGGCAACAAGAGACGGCGTGGCAGTCTCTACGTCGATGGCGGTTCTGGTTTCTTGATTCTCGATTCCCGATTCAATGTGAAGCCTCAGATGCGGCCTCAAAAACTCTGTTAACTGTTGTTAGTCACAAGTGCTTGCAGGGCGGGCTGCTGTGGCTGGAAGTACTAGGGTACTTTGCCCAAGCCGAGAGTTGCGGGGGCATACGGGGCTTCGGATGCAATCACCCAGCTCGCCAAAGGTCCTCGGTACTTCTAGAGAGGGCCGGAAGCTTTAACTAGTGGCGGTGGCGTTAGCTATAGTGCAAACCAGAGAAGCTTCGATGGCTAGCAAATCACAGGCCGGCCAGCTCCTCGGGATGCGTGTCTGGGCACGACAGGGGTCATCGATGTCGGGTGTGCGTACTGGCTGGAATGCAGGTGCCGCCTGGCCACAAGCACAAGCCACGCCTGCGTCCGCTTACCATCCAGCTTGCCGTCCCAAAAATCACAAGCCCATCATTGACAAGACGATAAAAAAAGGTCTACTACTTAACACCATCCCACACGCATTGCGGCGCCAGCAGTTGACCATTTCCACTTCTACGGAATGTAACGGAGAGGTAGCCGAGCAGTCGGGCAAAAGAAAGAAAGAAAAGCAGACACTGCCTGGCCTTGCCTCTTCGCAACCCATAATAGCTGCCTGCCTATCTTGCCTTTTTTTATATCCAATTGCTCTTCTTCCTCTTCATCCGTCCCACCTCCCGCCAATTTTCTCAATCTATACCTTGATATACTTTATACTTGCTCGGCCCAAGGTGTGAGCAAATCAGTCACCGGGCCCGGAAACGCGTCTATTCGATACACACTTGGCATTGCAGTCTCACCCCCCTTGACTACCAGCCACTCTGAAGCAAAAAAAAAATATGGATGTTGCGTACAACCAGCACTCCAGCGCGGCTAAGCGCAAGAACCGCTCGAGCACGAACCTGAACCACCTGACACTGGCACCTCTCACATCCAAGCTGCCGCTGGGGGACGACGACGACCTTGTCGACCTGGTCTCGGCGGCGGCAAACGGCCCATTGCGCATCCCGAGCACCTCATATCTGCAGGGGAAATCGGCCCCCACAACGCCGCGGCTGCTGTCGCGGTCGCCCGGCGGCAGCGCAGCCAGCGGGCGGCGCTCGCAGTCTCGCCCGCGCCTGCCCAAGAGCAAGTCAGCCACGCACATCGCTCCGCTGTCGAGCTTCTCTACAAATTCCGCTAGCCACGGGGGCAAGCCGCCCCTGTCTGCGTCCGCGACCGCATCCCCCACGGCATCCAGGCGCAAGGGCGGCGTCAGCGGCAGCCACCACCCCCACTTTGCCCCCACTATCCACGACGATGCCGGCTCCGACTGGCTGCTGCGCGCCGGCGCGCTGATATCCACCGAGACGCGCGAGTCCAAGGGCCAGGCCTGGCTGGTGTCGCGGGCGAGCTCCACGAGTCTGGCGGGGATGCGCGATGCCGACGACTACGAGGATATTGACGGTGGATATGTCGAGCGGGAGCAGCAGCTGCTGGCGGCTGCGGCGGCTAGCCGTAACGCCAGCCGCAGGGGCAGCTTGGGCCACGTGGCTACCGCTGGCATTGTCGTTGAGGACGACCACGTCTCGGTGTACTCGCCGACGCACAGCCGCTACGGCAGCCGCTCCCACAGTCGGGTCGGCAGCCGTACTCAAATGCTGGTGACGCCTAGGGACCACCGGTCCATGGACGGCTACTTTTCGCTGACGCCAGGATCGGTGGCGGCGTCGGCGTCGGCATCCGCGTATGGTGGCGATGTGGATGACGACTCAACCGCCGTGGCGGGGCCCGACTTTGTCAATCTCGACGAGAAACTCGAGGCCATCGAGCAGCACACGAGTGTCGACGACGAGGCGTACGTGCGGCGGCTGGTCAAGCACGGCAATGGCGGTGTGGGGACCTGGTTCGGCAGCGTCCTGGGCGTGAATCTATTCTCGGTCAACGAGGACGAAGAGGAGTCGGACGACGACGAGGAGGAGAGTGCGTCGACAGATGGCGAGCTGGATGTCGACGACGACAGTGGTGAGGGGGACCAGGCCACGCAGCAGCAGCGGCGCGCGTCGAGCTCCTCCCGGCGGCTCGAAGGTTTCACTACAGCCCTCGAGGAACGCATGCCATCTCCGAAGGCTGACGAGGGCGGGTGGCAGGACGCAGCCTGGTTGCTGACTGTGGCATCAAAGGTCCTCCTCTGAGCGTCCTACCCTGCCTACCACCGCCCGTCCCCATCCGCGAGTTTGTCGAGGGCCCCCCTCTCCCCCGCGAGCCGTCCGCCCACCGCCCGACTCCCCGGCCGTGGTGCCATTCATCATTCCCATGACGATATACTTGTAACGTTTGCTACCGTCTCTCTTTGTCAAGCCGAGTACTTGGTAGCGGCATGATCCGCCTCCCTAGGGGGGATTCAAGATGTCTACGAAAGGATCCTGTCCTCAAACAGCTTGGGAGCGCTGTAATCGCTTGCCGCTCAAACTAAGGCTGCTTCGGGAGGCAGAATAGGCTTTATCAAGACCAACGGTATCGCACACCGCGGGGCAGCGCCATGATGCTCTACCGCTGCTGCCGCCCTCGTCGACGAACCTCCTGAAAGGGGTGGGACGAGGGGCCGGGGGCTGGAGTTGGGGGTTGCTTTTTGTTTCCCGCCCGTGGAATCTTCCAGCAACTCAACCTTTTCGGCGTTTGTTTCTGTTTATGGAACGATTCCGGCAAAGCATTGGCTCTCCAACACAAAGGCCATGCTTCGTGGGAAAAAAATATTGGCACGGTTAGTTCGTGATAGGCTCGGTCTTTGGCTGGTGGGGGAAAAAAGAAAACGAGTGGTGGTTGCTTGCCCAAAAAACAGGTTTTGGACGTGTTACTATGCAGTTCACATGCATGGAATGTTGGCGAGATTTTTTTTTGTCTCCTAAAACTCCTCCCCCGGAAAAAGGAAAAAAAGAAAAGGGAGAGAGATACGGGGGAACATGTGGACGGTGAGGCGTTTGAGGATATGCGGATTCCCTTCAGACAGCGAATATTTGCTGCTTTTATAGAGAGAGGACGATAGAAAAACAGTTAATCGGCGATACTGCAAGACAAAAAAAGAGAGTTCTGGGCCCAGCCTCTCGCGTTCAAGTCATCATTATCCCTATAGAGCCTCGAAACGCTAGTAGTTGCAAGTCCTTTACATGTTCGGCCTCGGAGAGCGTCAACTAACCTCCGGTCGTGTCTCGGCTATTTATCAGGCCACGGACGGGTATGCGTGGGCCCGGGACATAGGTTTGTACAGAAACATTGCAAGTATTGAGCAAGTCTGCGAGGATGCTGTGTATGTAGCATACATTATTATTATTATTATTATATGAAAAGACAAGGAACGATAAAATGTCTTTCTCATTTGGTGCGTATCTAGCCAGTGTTCCTGCTCCTTAGGTCGGTGACTGAGAGATCGCGCAGATAGGCTGGTTGATGAGTGTCTTTCTTTCACATTCTTTCAGTTCAGCGATACTCGAGTAGCCGAAGCCTACTAACATACGGTAGTTATGTTCGTGTCGATGGGAAACATGCTTGCTTCCGACGCGCCTAGTGGGCGGCTACCATGGATCACCTCGTATACTGTTTTATACAGAGAAGAGAAGTCAAACTCGGCGGCTGAAAAATATCCGTCGATCAGCGCAGTTTCAAGACTAGCTCGACGATCAACGCTGTGCGTCAGTGATAATGATAGCTCATCTAGCTATTGAGATAGATGATTTCTCAAATGGCAAAGGACTCGTCGATCTCCTCTCTCAGGTCGAATCATAGCCCATTGGCCGGACTCCTCGACTTTTGCGAGACTCGAGTTGTTATACAGAGTAGTGTGGAGGTGGGCTCTTCTACTAGTTTATGTTTACCCAGGCAGAAGCTGTATTAGATAAAGAACCCCAAGAGATATTTGTTCCATTGTGTGGTAATAATGTGGACGTGATGAGCAATATTTGTGCGCAAATATCCGTTTCCAATAGCCAAGAGTTCCAGGGCCGTACGTTTGCCGCTGGCTACCTTGCCTACCTGCCAAAGGAGTGACTTTTGGAAAGGTACAGGAAGGATGAGCAACAAATCAAATATGGGCCAACCCACCTCTCTGCATATGCTAGAAGTATCATCCAGGCTGACTGGTCGGACCCGAGTCCGCTCCTCCGCGAAGGGCGGCAGCTAGAGCTAAGCGGGTCTCGTGGTAGGCATGGTCCAATGTGGATTTGCACAATCGGTACCTATCGATGACGTGCCGATATCCGGCGGATGGGGCTTCTTAGGCACTGCGGAGTACCATGGGAAAAATTGAATCAATTCAGGGATGTAATGCTTTCCACCGCACGTACGACTAGAGTCTCGACGGTCGTAGATACGTAGACGTGAATCACAAACACTTTAAGAATAGGGGGAGAAGGTGTTGGAAACAATAAATGTGGGTAGCCGTCTAGAAAAGCGCCTGATGACTTCGAAAATCGAAAGAGGGACACACCAAGACACACGCGTCCACCAATTTCCGACAGTTAGGGCCTTGGTAAAATGTGACCTTATTCAACCACAAAGCTCGGCGAATGCTCGGTGGTTGTAGAGACAAAAATCGCAATCGTAGGACCAGAGGATGCACCCAAGTGTCCCAGCTAAGCTTGTGAAGGCTTCAGTAGGAACAATTCTTATCATCTAGGTAGGTGGTTCATTAGGGTGGTCCGAAGAGGACTGAGTTGGTCTGGAATGAGAGAGGATGGAGAAGATTCATGAGTCGGAGCTTTGACGTTTTTGGCCTAGAAGCCCAGCCCAATTGAGATTTCGAGGATGGATCCCTGTCTTATGTGGTGCTACCGATGACGCCAACCTCACAGAATGACGTCGGGAAAAGAGACGAACTACATTGCCCCACCCGACAGTGGTTGCAGAGTGGGTCGAGGTGGGGCTAGCTTTTCGCGGGGCTGGGCGACCCCTCAAGGACGGACACGAGAATGAGAGCCTTGGAGGGGTTTTTTTTTCATCCAGTACTTGCGGAAACCGCACGCTGGTATTCAGTTTCTGCTTCAATATCATTTGTCTTGTAGGCCCAGAATAAAATGACCAAGGTGGGTATCATGTCAGGAGGAGACGCAATGATTAGCGTGGTTGGTGAAAGTGGCACCATTGTCCCAGAGACAGGGTCTTCTCTCGAAGCTGTCGGGTGGCTCCTTCCAGTGGTCGGGACCTTCTGTTGCAGTGTGACTGCATTATGCCATATGCAGGGCCTCCCTGTTCCTGGCCTTCGAAAATTTCCAGCTGTTCTATTGCTTGCTTACTGGGCAGGCAACCGCATCTGCTCTCTACTACGTAAGTCGGAGAGGGAACCAGCGCTGGACTGAGGGGCCTTGTCACTTTTGATTCCATGAGGTCCCGTGGTCCTGTAACGCCCAAGCGCTTGGCTGTCGGTTAGGCGCAATGCAAGTCGGATTCGAATGGTTTCGGCGGCTGAGCGCGGTAAGGGACGAAGATCGGCCTTGGTCCCTGCATTTCCCACAGCGGTCGTGCCCCTTTTCTGTCTGCTTTCTGCCAGCGCAATTGTTTTCGTATCGGAGCGTCCTTTCGCCGTTCGTTGCCGCGGTTTAAATTTTCGTCAGGCCAAACTTTGGCTTCTCAAGCCGTGCAATCTGAGGACATTGCTCTTGGGGGCATGGGTCGATGCGGCTGAGAATATTTCGTTGAGAGATCCCGTCGTTTGTGTCTCATTCGATCGCCGGTGATGGCGGCAGTTTTATCTGGGAGCTAGGCCTTGCCCTTCTCCGCTCTCAGACATTGCGTCACTTTTTTGACGGACCATGCACGGCCCACTCCCGCCTTCTTTCTCCCCGTGCGTTTTCCGGACGCTGTACCTGTACTTGTACAACGATTGATGACATCGCTTGCCAAACCATGGGACCTTCCTGTGTTGCTCGAACAGCACACGAGAGCCAAGGAGCTCCGGCCCGTCGAGACCCTTTACTAATCCGACGAATTGAAGGAAAAGGGGAGCTTGGGCCGCCTGGAGCGTCGATCATTACTGACCCTATCCACTGGCAGCCAGACCAACACTGAATAAGGTGATCTCTAAATGCAGTGCGCGTGTATGTATGTATGTACACGGTACAAGGCAAACCGATGAGGGCGAAAACCGATGAGGTGAAGAAAGATGTCCCGGGGTCCCCACCGTCCAAGTCATACGCGCGCCCTGTCGCCAGGGAAAAAGATGGAACCACATGATTGTCGCCAATAAGGGAGCATGCCACATCCAAAGTCGGGTGTGGGGGCAGACAACGGCTCAACTCACAAGAAGGCAGTTGAGAACAAAATGGAAGCCTCACGCGCGGCTGTGGTACGGTGATGCGTATAATCATGGCGTATCTAATAAACCTCTGCTATTTGAGCTTAAGGTATTGCCTAGCTTCTATTTCTCGGGGGGGTTCGGTTTAAGTTTTGTTGTAATCGGCTCCTTATTTCAACATTCCGTTGCCATGCCTGGATATGGAACATTGTGGAGTTTGGTCGCATCATCACTGTGATTTTTGCGGTTGCGTCCATGTGTTCCCAGGCTCCTAGTAGTGTCTAAGATTCAAGATCATACCTGCTCAGCAAAAGCCCCGGGCATCAGCCACTTGGGTAAGGTAGGCAATGTAAGGCAATGTGCAAACTTTGGACTTAGCACGCGGGCGTCTGTACCTAGGTTAGATAGGTTCGGTTCGCGGTTCGCGGTTTGCGGTTTTCAGTTGGAGAAGATAGCGACTGCCGTCCAGGGAAGATTGCGCGCCCATGCCTCGGCCACCTTGCCTCGCCTCTCACAAAGAGAGAAGGTTCTACCTTCCTTGTATTAGTACAGATGGAACGAACAAACAGTCCCAACTCAATCGTCTCTCGCCCGATGCCAGCAGATAGAGCCTGACCTAGTCGAATTCACCGCTCTCAAATAGCAGGCCCGTTTTGCCCACCTTACATAGATACATACCTACCTTAATACGTGCATCGCTACCTACCCCTACCTGCCTAGCTGCCGTTGCCGCATCCCCGTCCCAGTCTCCCCACTCCTCCACCACTCCACCACCACCTCACTCAACTCGACTGCCCACACCTTACAGCAGCACCCTAGAGAACTTGAAGTCACATCTACCTGCCCGCCTCTCAGACTCTCTTCACCACACCCTGCACTACCCTATTAGGCCGCTCGTCAACCTCCCTACTTCCACCATACCTCCGCTTCTGTCACAGCCTAGTACAAGGACGAACGAACAATCGAGTTGTTGTGGCCTCGCCCTCTACCCCGCTGCAAAATTTCGCCCTGACGCTGGCGATAGCTTCTCACCCTGGGACCCCGTCACCCTGCCACGCCGCACAACACATCTCGGACACCGCGCTCACTCTACGCTTCTATCTTAGTACTCAGTAACGAGTAGGTAAATTTTACGGCCAGACTCGGCTTCTTTCATCCCCTGGTGACCTTTCCGCTCCGATGGGCCATGTTGACCCGTAAACCACAAGAAGTCAGGTTCCCGTAAACGTCAACGTCGGCCATCCCCGCGAGTTGCTGCCGCTGCCCGGACGCCCACTCTAGACCGGCCGCACAGTGCCCCGTGCTAAATAACTTGAAATAGCTTGTGCTGTCGGCCGTGTCGTGTAAGCTCGTTTTCCCTTTCCGTGTATAACCTACCCGCGGGTCTCTCCGCTTTCCTCTAGCCTGCCGGAGGCAGACGGGGGGGCATGGTACTCATTTCACTGCACTCCCGCTCACACTGCTTTTCCCACTCGCACCCGCTTGAGCAACAGGGGTCAGGTACTTAAGTGCTGGGGGGCTCCTAGTGTAGATGCTGCAGCCCTGGGCACCTGATCTACCTATCTGGCTCCCCTTGGCCTCCTCCCCCCTGGCCGAGTTTCTCTCGAGTTATTCTGTCGCCGAAGAGCCCCAGCTGGAGCTCTCTATTCCACTCTCCTTTTGTCTACGGGTTACTTATCCGTACCACGTCTGAGATGGACGACAGGGTTCGTGGATGCCCCGGCGCATGATCATGGTGTCTTCTGCCACGCGTCGTCTTCGGCCGCTGACCATGGAGGGACAATTATAGGACGACGAAGAATCCCTCACAATGCCCGACTTCGGAGATCATGTCGACAACACGATCTTCTCTCAGATCCTGGAGATGGACGAGAGTGAAGCAGACCGTGACTTCAGCGGGCCTCTGGTTTTGAACTTCTTTGACCAAGCTATCGAGACGTTCCAGAAGATGGAGGAAGCGCTGTAAGTATTTATCAGGCAGTGATGTCTTCTCCCCCTCTGCTTCGCGGGGTTGCTATTGCGTACGCCAGCCAAGCTCCGAGCCTCCCTGCCTTACTTAGGCTCTATGTGGCTCCTCCATTTGTCCAGGACAGCCTACGTGGCGCGCCGCTGCGTAATCTTGAAGTTTTTTTTTTTAGTTTTTTTTTAGTTTTTTTTTTGGCTAATAATCACGCCTCTCCCCCACGAAAGCGCCGAAAAGGACCTCGATACCCTATCCGGCTTGGGTCACTTCCTCAAAGGCTCTTCGGCGACACTCGGATTCAATAAGATAAGAGACAGCTGTCAAGTTATCCAGCAGTACGGTCACCAGTTGACCGTTGACGGATCCACGGAGCCCGACGAGAACGTTTGCCTGCAAAAAATCACAGATGCTCTCAAGGCGGTCAAGGTCGACACCAAGGAACTAGATAAGGCGATGAAGAAGTTTTTCGAGGTGACCGAGTAATGTCCATCCCGACCGCGATACTATTTCGTCCTTGTCGATCATCTGTGATATCCCCAGGTGACAACTCGACCAACGATGGCTAGCTCTTGAGGATGCATGGGCGGTGGAGTTATTTGGAGCTTGGCGGAGGTCCCAGGCTGAGGACGAGCTGGAGCGCAGGAGACACATGAAGCTGTCTTCTTTGTTGTTTTTGTGTTGACATCTTTTTTTCCCCTCGCAACTTGCGCATTTTTGACATTGGCTGCCAGATGGGGCGCCTCCCACGAACTCAGCTGGCAGCATGCGGATTCACGGGTTACTGCATGATGGGTTATATGGAATCAGTCATCCTGATTTCTTAGGGCAAGCCAGCGCATGCGGTCCTTGCCAGACCTCGAGTCGTTGGAAAAGAAGTCTCGATCTGGGGTAGTTTATTAGTTAGGGGCGGCTTCTCTGAGCTTTCTTCAATTCACTATCATGCCGCTTAAGTAGCTTAAAACCTTTCCCATATCATCTCTACATGGAGCCTCTATAATAATACCACGTGGTGATGAGAGGGCAGGGTATTTCTCTAGAAGACGAAATTGAGGAATCGGCAACGGCGTAAATTTGTCTATTTGAGCACGGTGGTAGAGTATATATCATTGCTTTAGGGCGTCGGAAAACGTTAAAGACTGCAGAAATCGAAGGGAAGGAAAGGCATGGGAACATCAATCTGAAGTAATCCTCAGTATGGGAGTACTTCCTTCACCCTATAGCCCCAGCACATCTAAGTTAACCCTGGCCGCGAAGCACAGGCCCCATTGAATACTCATATACAACCCTAGGAAGGCATCATCTCGACACATTTCCATTGCTCCCACCCCAAACATCGGAGTTCCCACCCACTTCAGAAACAACATCGCGGATTCTAAGAGAATCTTCTTTTCTCTCCCGCCACGGCGAATCGGTCTCATCCATACCGTGGAACTTTTAGCTCGTGGCCGAGAACCGTTGTACTCGGTATTGTGTGGACAAAGGCTACTGAGAACGAGTCATCCTTCAAGACCAGAAGGCCAACTTCGTGAATTTGTCCTGCTTTACCGAAACATACAAAAGACACAGAAGATAAAAAAGAGCTTGGTAGCACGAGGCTGCGGGGACATGGTGCCCTCAAAGGCAGCTCCTACACACTTCCTCTGCATCCCACTCGTCACGGCAGCGTCGCGCCCTCAGCTCGTCCAGAGTCTAGCGACGTTCCGCGCCGATGTCTCGAGCCCGCTGAGCTTCGGGGTCCCGGAGGAAGCGATTCGGCCCGTCGGCACGCTGCACCTCACGCTCGGCGTCTTCAGTTTCCCCAAAAACGAAGGGCTGGACAGGGCCATCGAACTGCTGCGGTCGCTGAGGCCGAGAGAGATTCTCGCTTCTATAACGCCCCCGACTATGCTAGGGGCTAAAGTAGAAGAAGACAAGACAGTGGTAGCGGTGACGACGGAGGTGGCGGATGACGACAAGGGGAAGGCGGTCGAAGCCACGGCGCCACAAGACGGGGCTCCTCTAACAATCACGCTGCGCGGCCTCGGGTCGATGCAGCCGCCCGCCAAAGCGGCAGTGCTCTACTCACCGCCAGTCGACCGGCTGGGCACGCTGCAGGCGTTCTGCGAGAAGGTGAGGGCCGTGTTCCGGGAAGCCGAGCTGATGACGGAGGAGAACCGGCCCTTGCTGCTGCACGCAACCATCATGAACACCATCTACGTCAAGGGCAAGGACAAGAAGCAGCAGCGGAAGGCTGGTAGCGGCGGTGGCAAGAAGTGGGAGAGGCTGACCGTCGATGCCAGGGGCATTCTCGACAGGTACGAGGACCACGTCTGGATGCAGGATGTGGGCCTGAGCAGCATCGCCATCTGCAAGATGGGCGCAACGAAAACAGACGTCGACGGCGTAGAGGACGAAGCATACGAAGTCGAAGCAGAGATCAGCTTCTGAAGAGAAAACTGGAAGCTTTTCTTTCTTCCTGGACTCTTCCATATAATCCATCCATATCTATGTCTCCCATATTCGAGGGCCAGTTTTCCATGTCAGCCCATACATATATCCAAATAAATATATGCTGTGCACCCGAGAACCCAATGCCCTCCTATTTCATCACGTCGTATTCCATTCGTAGGGGTGAAAGAAAGGGCCCAAAGCGCGAAGGTTAAAGATCCTTCCTGCTAGTTTTTTTAGTTCTTTTTTAGTTCTGGTTTTGCGATGTGTCTATATATTTCTTTTGTTATATTTTGTTTTATGCGAAGACGGTTGACTGAGACTGAATAAAAGTGGAATGGGATATCTGCCCTGGAAATCCGACTTCTGGGCCGATAACTAGGGGGCCTATCCCTGAAAGTTGGGCGTCAGCAAGGTTACCCGGGGCTGCCCAGGATCTGGGGGACGGGACCTGGGCCCCCACCACACCGGTATCCGCCCCGTCCCCAGCTACCTACTCAGGGCAGGCACCTTAGTTCGGTCAGGTAGCCAGCCGCTTGGAGCGACTCTCTGGGCCGCATGCCGTGTAACTCCTGACCTAAAATAGGCAGACAGAAAAGGATTGAAGATGGTTGACGACCAGCTCGAACTCCAACTCTAAACAACTGAATCGCCACCATCCTCCCGTACAATCCGAAATGAAAGTTTAGGCAGCCACAGCCGACAACGGCTCGCACTATTTGGAGTTGGACATTGGTTAGCGTCGGCGACCTTTTGATAGCGGCTGCAAGGCGAAAAAGAAAGAAAAAGCCATGCCGTGATGCTGGCGGGCGACGGCAGCACCCCAAGTTCTAGTCTGCATCTTCTGCAACCTCAACCTCAGCCTCAGCCTTAGCTTGATTGCTGTCCACGGCCCAGACCAGACCAGACCAGACCTTAACAGTGCAGACGACTTGTCTTGGTGTTCTTGATGCCTCGCAAGACCAAGACAGCAGCATCGACAAGCATGAGCACGTCGGAAAAGCGCCGTGCTCCCTCGGGGCCCGGCTCGCCGTCGCGCCCCATCCGAACCACCGCCGACTCGTCCTCGTCCTCGCCGAACGCCCGCGCCGCCTCCGTCATAGCCCCTCCGCCCCGTGCCGCCCTTAGCGGCGCCTCCTCTCCTGCCCCGGGCGGCCGCCGAAGTCGCGACCCAAGCATGGCGCCCGCGGGGGCTGGGAAAGACTCTGGGGGAATCGGCGTCAACGGCGGCGGCGGCGGCGGCGGCGGCGGTAGGAGCAGCTCATCCTCGCCACCGGGGATCGCAGCGACAGCAGTAACAGCGGCCGCCGCCGCAGCCGCCGAAGCCCTCAAGGACCGAGACGCGCGCATCGCGTCGCTCGAGAGCGAGCTGGGCGTGATGGAGACGGAGTTCCAGCGCGAGCTCGACAAGTTGAGCTCGGCTGAGAGCGAGACGGCGTCGTTCTGGCAGGCCAAGTGCGCCGCGCTCGGCCAGCAGCTGCAGCAGGCCAACACCGAGGTGGGCATGCTGCGCGCCGAGACGGAGCTGCGCGGCGCCGAGCGCGAGGAGCTGCGCGCGCGCCTGGCCGACGCGCGGCGCGACGTCTACGAGCGCGATGACGAGATCCGCGACCTGCGCGGCCAGATCCGCGGCCTCAAGGAGTGGGTCAGCACCAGCACCCGCTCCGACGGCCAGGCCCAGACTAGCGACGAGGTGTTTGGCGACGGCATGGCTAGGCTCGGGAACGGGCTCCAGAACTGGGTTTTGGTCAACTTTCGGCGAGCCAAGATTGGTCAGTGTTTTTTTTATGTCTCAACCTTCTCGTCTTTGTATAATAAAATACAGTCAAAATGCGCGACCCCCGGTTGACAATCAAGGGTGCAGACCTAGCCAAAGCCGACGAAGCTACAATGTCAGAACTCAGCCGCCTGGTCCCCATGTATGAAGACCTCGCATCGACAGCTAAGGTCCACCTAATCCAGTCCATGATTTCGCGCCTGCTCGTGGACCTGGTGTTTAACACCTATTTCATCGGCCTGTCCAGCGAGCAGGCCGAGCAAGTCACGGAGGTAGAGAGCTTCCTCGGCTCATTCGGTAAGGAGCCTCCATGTTCGCCAGTCGTGTCTTTTTGGGGGGATGTACATGAGTGACTCACTGTGTTACGCAGCATCGTCGCCAGAGACGATTAACCAATGGCGGTCTCTGACGCTCACCATCCTGAAGAAAGCGGCCGGCGAGAAGATGCAGGCAGAGACGGCCAGCATCACAGACACGGTCATGTCACGGGTCAACGACATGCTGGACGCCATCACGGACACCCGCGCGGCCGAGCCGCGCGACCAGGGCCTGCGGGCGCTCGTCGGCAGCGCCATCGAGCTCTCGCAGCTCTTGGCCGTGCAGAAGGCCGTGCTCAAGGTCAGTATGCCCGAGATCCTGCCGCACCAGCGCGTCATGTTCGACGCCTCGACCATGGAGGACATTGGCGGCGAGGACGAGGACGGCCTGGCCGAGAGGGACATTTGTTGCGTCACGTTTCCGGGCATCATCAAGATCGGCGACGAGAGCGGAGGCCACCTGCAGTACAGAAATGTCATCACCAAGGCCCGGGTTCTTTGCAGTCCCGAGTGAAGTGCCCTTGGAGAGCGCCGCCCTCTGGTGACATGGGGACACAATGCTGGCATCAAAATCCCGGTCGCGCCATGGCGTTTTTGGGCGGGGGTTCGAGGTCAGCTGCGCGACGGAGATGTCTGTTTCCCCGCCAGAGAGCCGCAAGATGCGCCGGGGGAGCTTGTCACACCGATTATGGCACAAAGCTACGGGAAGCTACAAGAGACAAAGGCAAAGACGAACATAACACCAACATCGGATTGATCTCTCTTTTCCATTCGTTAAGACGGCGCCTGCCCACTCTGGAGAGAGAGCGAACCATAAACATGCATGTCTTCTCGTCGCGTCATGGTGTGTTACCTCGTCCATCGATCGTGGCTCGAATTCTAGCCAGTCCCTCAAGAAAGTGGAAGCTGAGCATGGAAGAGGTGTGGGGGGAGGAAAGCAAGCGCCAAGCTCGGCTTCTTCCTTTGAATCCGATAATAGTCTGCCCTCCAGTCTGCGTTCTGTACTGTACTTACTGTACTCTGTCAATACTGCCGGCCGGCTCACTGCCGCCGGGACGGCTACATAGCGCATGCACGATAAATACATACAAGCTGATCAGCAAGTGCCATGTACGGCGGGGAACCCGAGAACGAGATGGGTTGTGGTTGGTGGTCTGGTGGGGTCGAGAGCAATGTCTGTATGCATGTAGCAGCGCCTTTTCGGACAGCTCTCATGGGCTGATGATACGTATGTGTGTGCGTGCGTCAAGGAATAAAACAAGCCAACTTCATTGGCTCCCATGCCCGCAGAGCCTCCAAAAAATGGCCCCTCTCCTTCCTCCCCCTTTCCTCTTCCCCCTCTCCCCCTTGACCCCAACCGAGTCTGAAAGCCACGCACATGAAAAAAAGAAGCTATGGAGCTTGTTGGTTTTCGGCATCCATCCATCCAGCCCACCCACCCCCCCGAACATTCTGCGCGCCACTTTCGTCCCGCTTCTTTATTCCCTACTACCCTTACGGTAGGGGGGAGGAGGCGGTAGGATGTTCTTTTCTTCTATCCGCGGAATACAGTCCTGCTGCTCCCACGTTCTCTTCTGGGAAGGGGGAGGGGCAAGGGGAGGACGCGCGCGCGCGCGCAAGTGCGTCTGGTCGAGCAAGCGTAGGAGCATGCATACATACCTACCTTAGGTAGGTGAGGAAGGTGCCAACCAAGACATGGAGAGAGTTGCCAGTGTCGATCGACAGCAGCATGATAGACGAAGACGATTACACGGGGAGCTGAAAACTAGGATATCGAGAGCCAGAGATCTAGAGACCTAAGAGAGAGAGAGAGAGCCAGGGCTGTCGTGCCACGTATTCCCCCCCCCTTCCTCTCAAGCACGCAAGCACCCTTTTCGTGAGCGAGCCACAAGACTCGGCTTGCGGAGCTGTGTCTTTTAGTCCGGTTGTTTTATCAAATCTATACATAGGGTATACATAAACACCGGCGCTGATCTTTGAGTGTGGGATGCACGGTAGGCGAAGAGGAGGGTGTCCGAGCGGGTTTCCCCCTGTCCAACGCAACCCACAAATCCCCAATAGATCATGTTTGGTGGTAAGAGAGGAATGAAAAGAAAGGAAAGAAAGGATGGATGGGCTATGTGTGTTGGGTGTGCATCTTCTTTCTGCGGTTCTGTGCAACGGGGACGTGCAGCTTTCGCTTCTCTGATGTGCTGGATTGGCAGAAACCCGCTCTCGCTCTCTTTAACGTTGCGGTGGCCGCGCTGGCGCCGTCCCCCGGATTGGATTGGTTCGTATGTGGGTTCACTTTTTTCCCTCTCATGGTTCCATTCGAGAGCTGCTGCTAGCTGCACTGCATTGCCGAGCTTGCAATGCACTGCAATCCTAGGTCGGCCGGCTTCCTTTTTTTTCTTTGCTTTTTCTGTTCGTCTTGTTGTCGTCGTTTCTCTTGGTGTACACACCAAACCCACCAGACCAAACCACCCGCTCTCCCAGCTTGCTGCCTGTGATAAGACCGACTTTGTACGTGCGTGTCCGCTGCGGGGTGACTTTGAGAGGGGAAGAGGAACGGAGTAAGCCAGGCAGATGGATATATTGAAGGAAATATTAGAACAACGGGAGAGAACACTCTAGGCATCGACATTCGATCTCAACCAACAAGAACGACACCGGCCTATCCCTTGCGGTGAAATCATGGAAAGGAAACGCGTGTCTGAGACTGGGCGGGTTGCCGCGTCCAACACATGGGGAAAGGAGGAGGATCACCTGGGTGTGGTGGGTGGGTGTGGGCATTGACAACCTCCTGATTGGCAGCTTCCAATGAACCATTCGCCGGGGGGGCCGCCCGTTCCCGTCCCGTTCTCTTATTACACAACCTCAACTCGAGGTCCGCGACGATCGTAGGTAATGAGAAATGGGCGGGACCATGAGAGAGGGGTGGGGAGGTTTGGAAAATGGAGAGGGACGGCAGCCGCCGATAAAAACCCCGCCCCGCCGCCAAAATTCCATCTGGATGAGGGACGGCTGCCGAACCCCCTGCCCTCAGTTGCATCTCCAGCCCAGACTTTCCAAATTCAAACCCGGCTTTCTCAAACGCTTTTCGGCTTGCCTCGCTCTAAAAACTTTTTGTGCGAGCCCGGTTGTGCTGATTAAACCAAGAAAAAAAAGGGCCGGCGAGCTCCCTCTCCCGATCCGACCGTGGTTCCGACCGACGACACCGTCGTCCGGTCGGCACACTTTCCTTCCCCGGCATTCTTGTCTCGCAGTAGCGAAACGCAGTGGGTGAGCCCAGGGGTCGGGTCTGCCATTGCAGCACCTGGTCCGTAAGGGTAGCGTAGCCGGCGGGGGTCTAACACTGGTTGCGCGCCTACCCCCCTGCCCGTCAAAGTCAATGGGAAGCCCCAAAGCCAACCCCCCGCATCTCGCAGCTTATCCGTCTCCCACCTTTTGAACGACCCCTTCGTCCTTGTCGGGCACTTGGCCGTCACGGATTGATCGATTGCGGCCGCCGGCCATCCATCGCACCGTCGTGATGTCGAATATCGATGCCCAAGAGATCTTCGGGTTCATCCGAGACAACTATGGCGAATCATCGTACGCCGCGGGCCAAGCGCTAGCCTACTTCAGCCAAGATTCTGTCCCACGATGGGCGCCACCGTTACGCGCACCGACGGGCGCGGGCGACGGCGACGCCAGTTTCGACTCCGACTTTGATGCAAACCTCGATGCCGAATATTCCACGACAGTACCGTCGGTCGCCACCACTTCCAGAACACGCACTACCAAGTCGAGCGACATGTCCTCTTCGTCCCTCTTCAGCTGCCCGCGCACTCGCTACGACGACACAAGCTCGGTGGGGCAGAGCTCAGCGCCCACCCGGTCTATTGTCGGGCATCCACACCATACCCTCGTGCAGCAGCTCGACCCCGGCCTGGACCACGTCGGTCACGGACAGCCGCAGCAGCAGAACTCGTTTGTGCTGTGGTGCGAGTTTTGCGCCCTCAAGGGGTGCCAAGTGACATTCCGCGGCGACGACGAGGCCGGCTGGATCGAACACCATGCCCGCCATCTAGAAGATCGCTTCCCCGCCCGCCTCATGTGTTGGTTTTGCGACCACGTCCCCTTCGTCGCCGGCCAGCCCGCTGAGCGCCGCGCCAACTTTGAGCTTCGCATGCAGCACATCCGCGCCCACATCTTCGACGAGTACCAGCTCTCCGACCACATGCGGCCCGACTTCTTCGTCATTGAGCACTTGCACAAGCACCGCCTGCTCGATGAGGAAACGTTTCGATACGCAATGCAATACAACGAGCTGCCTGCCGCATTCAGGCTGCCCCCCGAGGAGCCACCGCTGCTGTCGTCTTCGAGGCCACTGGGCCAGCCTCAACCATATGACAGGGGACAATTCCACGATTTGGAAAAAGAGAATCGTTACCGACGCAGAAACCGAGACGCCAACAGACGAAGGCGATAGTGGGGGGGGGGGGCCAGCTTTGCGCTTGCAAGCCGTAAAAGAAGAGGGATAGGTTTGCGGCAATTTAGAAAGTGACACGAAATGAGTTGCCATAAAAAAGAAAGAAAACAAACCTCGGGTTTCTTCTGTCTTGGGCGCGTAGTTGGTTGCCTTGCATCAAGGACGCGTCCAAGATATAAAAAAAAAAATACGCGTCCAAGCTGCAAACGCCGCTTCCATCATTCCGGCTGGCGGCCCCGCTTCGAGTCCACCCCCGGCACCCGGGTTGCTGGGCCGGCGGACCAGCACAAGAGACGAATGCCCTCGTCTCATCAATATCGCGCATTACAAGACATGCTCGCTTCTTTTTTTCCTTGTTGTGTGCAGCAATTGATGCTCCAAAGAAATATTTGAGCGTATCTGCGCGAACCCTTTCGGCACACGTCGGTTTGCGTCGAATTTCTTTTTTTGAAGCCCTTTTGCTGTGGGCCTCACCGAGTTTATGTATAACCCTGCTACCGTCTGGTTGGACGGAATGGCAAGGCTGAGTGCAATTCTGCCTTGGCTCTTTTTTTCTTGCTTCTTTTCGTGTTGTGCAGCACAGCAAGCACCCCTCACTCGGACTGTCTAGCCTCTTTTCTCTTGGTACGTTCATGATATCCCATCTGTTTTTTTTTTTTTTGCTTTCTCTCTTTCCCTCTCTCTTACTTTGTCCAATACTGGTTGATTAGGATGTGAGAGATAGGAGAGTCGAGGTCTTTGAGTTTTTTTTGGTTAATGCTGGGGGCCGCTATTCGGAGCGTAACACCAGCGGGGCGTATTCCGGCGATTGTTTCTTGGGTATTTATTTCTCTGGTCGGTGATATTCTGGACTTGAATAATGTATATGGCTCGGTCAGAGGCAACCGAAACTAGTACCTAGATTGATCAGACACCAAAATATACGGCTCTACGAGCAGTTTAAAAAGTGGCGAGACTGGCACACCTCATACTTTTTAAGTCGGCAGAATGCATGTCTCGATACGGGCCGTTTTGTAAAACGGTAACGATTCTCCGTTTAAACCAGCAACTCTTTTTTCCTGGGGTCCGCAACTCCGTAATTTCACCATCTACGACCCTGCGTCTCTTCATTGGCCCCTGCCGCTTCTTCTCCACAGAGTTACAAAAACACCCTGCCAAAATATCAATTGAGTCACGTGTGAGGGTTCTGGGGACTTCGAGATGTAGGTAATCGAAGCATCGGTCCAGCCAGCCCTCAATTTTTCTGTCATGGCTACTAATTAATCATGTGCCTTCTACGGAAGGACGTAAAGAAATGGCTGAGACTGGCCCAGATGAATTAATCCTACCCCCATTTCTCCTTCTCTCCATTGGGGCCACGCACGTAATACACTTTGGTAACCGCAAGTGTCAGCTCAGCAAACCCAACAGCAAATGCTGTAGTTTGAAAATGACATTGTATCCTCGGCCTTGTTGATATCACTCTTTAAAGGGGGCTTGAAGAATTGGTAGACCTCTTTGAAGTCCTGAGGGTGAGAGGTTTGAGGACTTCCCCTCGTCGGCTGGTGAGCTTTGTTCATCGTGGCGGCTGGGACTTTGTTGAAATGTGTCACCTAAGATTTGAGCCACATCCGAGCCATAACCGAGTTGAATCTTAAAAGGCCCTTTATGACGCTCACTTCTAGTATCACGAGATTTCCTTTGTTTACTTTTTAGGTATAAATAGGGGCTTCTTTTCCTATATCTTTAGGCCTTTTTTAGACAGACAATTCAGACAATTCAATGCGCTGTCAACTACGATCACGTGCAAGAGTTATGAGCCCGGCCTAACCACCAAAGTAGCTTCCGCAACAGCAGTTTGCAGCACCCCTCTCGAAGCTCGTGATCTTAGCAAACAAAGCCCTCAGTCCTCGTTCAGTCCTTCATTCAGCCCTTCGTCAAGCCAGTCAGTAGGCTAAGTCAACAATGGCCTCTGTAACGACCACAACCGCCTACAAGCCCACTCTAACGCGCCCGTCAGACTGGCCCGCCTGGTACAACAGCCTAAAGAAGGTCGCCAACGACAGAGAGCTCCTTGACACCGTCGACATCAATAACAACGACTGGCTTCCTCTCATCAAGGTACTCCCCTGCACCTTCGAAGACTTCCTCGACCGTCGGTAACCTCAAGCCACGCCCCGCACCGCTGTTGAACTACGTGACCTAGCCGACAATGCAACCACACAGCAAATGCAGTCCTGGCGTTCGTTTGAGTCAGAACGACGCGAGAAGAAGTCCTACGAAAGGGAGATTGACCTGGTTCGAGAGGTCAAGGAATGGATTCGTACGAACACTGCAGCCACGTACATGAACCTCGCTGAATCCGACAGAGCGACCCTGAAGGACATCGTCAGGAAGCTCCATTCCCTGGTGTCGATTTCCACACGTTAGGAGGCTGAAAGAGCTCGGGAAGTATACAGGTCTGTTCTCAGGAAGCCCGGAAAGTCGTTGTCACCCGCCAGGTGGCTCTTGCAGTGGCAGGAACATACAACGCCAACTGGATGAACACAGTGGTAATGAAGAGCGCAGAGGCTGAGCTGAAGGGCTCTGAGCAAGACCTGCCCTATTACGCCAACGCATTCAGGCTGGTCTGCGAAGTTGAACCAAGCAGGTCCAACAGCGCCTTCTCTACCTTCAACGGCAAGCCAGAGGGCGATCGACCAACATATACATGCCCTTGTCGACCCGATGCCGCATTCCACAAGCCAGAGAAGTGCTGGGCCCTGCGTGAAGTCATCACAGGGAAGAAGGGCAAGCACCAGATCTCGCAGAAAAGGCTCGACTATGCCCGGGAGCAGTTGAAGAAGCCTTAGTGGAAAGACCTGGCCGAGAAGATCAAGAACGGCACCACCGAAGAGAAGAACGACTGGTCAAAACCGCCACCATGATCACTATGATCAACGCTCTCAACTACGGCCCTCACCCACTCTCACGATCTGTCATCTTTGATACAGGGGCCTCGATCCATGTTGTCAACTCGAAGGCGATGCTCGTTCCCGGTACGTTCACGCCCTCTACGGGTGATGATTCCGTTCAGGTCGGAGATAGCCACCTGGCCATTGACGGCAGGGGCACCTGGGTCATCAAGAAGATCCTCAACGGCCCTGAAGGAAAGAATACGCTTGACCTCACCCTCAGCAATGTGGCTGTTATTACGGGATTCCACGTCAATATCGTCTCTTCCGTCATTCTCAAGCGTAAGGCCGATATGTGGTACCACGGCTTTGACAATACAGTCAGATTCGGCCCGTCGGAAAGGAATAAGGTTATCACATCACTGATAGTCATGTACGACCTTCTGGTCATTCAATATAACGATATTTCCTCGTGCTTTACAGTCCTCAAGTCCGTACCAAGGAGTGATGCAGGTGTATTCGTACTTCCGGCAATACGAAGCTATCGTCAGCACCAATATCGGCCCTCTAGGGACCCTCTACCAACGAGGGAAGAGGTGAGGTCCCAAGAGCGCGGTTCACCCCATAGTATACGAATTCAAATTCCCAAAAGACAAAGAAACGGCGATAAGAGGCGGGTTGAGTAAATTCGCCCCATGGTTCGCATCCCAAGCTATTTAAAGCCACTTTCCATCTGAAATGGGGTTTTGTTCGAGGTGAGATGTGAGACCCAAGAGGCACGGTTCGCCCCATGGTTTGCGTATCTCAAGCCATCAACAAGCACATTGTATCCGGGGCGATAATCAAAGTCCAAAAATAGCCTGAGATCAACAATCTAGTCGTTGCCCAAGAACTTTGCCTCTTGGCTCACACACAAGTACTTCACCAACAGGGTCCGTTGTCTTGGTTATGTCTGGAGAATGCATGAATTTCTAAAGCAAAGTTTGTTGAATAACATGCCGCTCAGGATCCTTTTTTCTTTGATGAATTGTGGACTCGGTTCCAACCACTTGAGCAAGTCACACAACGAACGCCGCCTTCTCCGGATCCCTGCCTTTACGGGCAGCACCGCTGTCATCTTGTTGGGTCTCAAGCTAGGTTGGTATCATGATGAAACATGAAAAAGGTGGCACGCATTGCACAATCAGGCTGTTGGACGCCTCGGTCCACTAGGTATCATGACCATGTATCTATATATTATATTATCTGTCTCCTCGTCTCTATCCAAACACTCAAGCCTTCTGCTTCAATATTCACAATAGATCTGTTGCGAACTCATCACCGGGGCTCTCAGTTTCACTCACATCCTCTCATCAAAGACCGAAATTATATCATTATGGCCTCACGCCCTGATCTAGTCTTTGGGTTGGAGCTTGAGCTATTCGTCAAGCTCAAGGATCAGCATGTCGAAGCTCTCAAGAAAATGCTTAGAGAAGCAGGAGCACATGGAAAGCCCGCATCGCTCCCCAAGCCATTTTGCTCTTGGGACTTCTCACTCAGCAGCCGTACTCGCTCTGAAGTCGGCGATGAAATGCACACTGCCCAGGAAAACCAGCGGAGACGTGTGAGGCGCGCCATCGAGTTCTACATGGCGACGAAAGACACCAAGATTGGCTCAAGCGAGGGTAATGGATGGCTGGTTATGGACGAACCGGCCTTGGAGGAGGAAGGGTCGAAGGGACCGGCAACTTCTGGCGTGTCGAAATCGTTTCTCCCCCGATGCGCCTCGTACCATTAGAAGGACGACCTAAGGGACATCGTCTATGAGGCCATTGCCCGTGTTTTCGACATAAAGGTAACCAATGGGTGTTCACACGAGAGGTGAGAAATTGTAGATCGTTTTACACACAAATTGACATGAGCGAGTGAAAATGTCCCGACACACCAAAAACGGTGGTACTCCATCAATCAAGGCTCATGGAAGAGAGAGCAATAAACGGAGCACAGCAAAACGGCCACTTGAGCAAAGGCGGCCACATTAAGCGAAGGCGGTGAGCAACCCCGGCCCACTTCACTGACCCGCGCGCGCGCCCTTGGAGAGGCAAGTTCGATGCAACGGCCGCCGCCGGCGTGAGTCAGAGCGTTTTTCTCTCAACGTCTCTTCAAAAAAGCCGTCTCTGAAGAGCAAGCTTCTGTAGCAATCACGCCACGGCACAGATGTGTAGGTACCTAGCCTATAGAGTTACCAGAGATTATGCGGTGGTCGGCTGAATGGGTGTCGTATAAGGTCTTGCTGTGCTAGTAAGCGTCCACCAACTCCAGAAGCGGAAGGGATGAGGAGAGGATGGATAATTTCTGTCGTATAATATATACTAGTCTCAATTTCTTTTCACAAAAGCCGTCTCGCCCGAAAAAGTATAAACATTAAAAGCAGACAGAGAAAGAAAGGTCAAGCAAACAACCAACGCTGTCCAGAGTAATCGCCAAACCCCAAAGGAGAATAAACAATCAAGACAAGCCGATAGACGAAGGGAAAAGAAAACCGAGTCCCGGCCAGCATTCAATTGATTCGCCCGAGACTCCTTTGTCCCAGGGTAAGAGAAGAAAAATAGTTGCCCAATGACCCCATCGCGCCGCCCACCCAAACCAACTTAAAAAAATAAGAAAAAAGAAAAGAGAACGACTTGAATGAAACCGCCAGACGCCAGAATCCCCAAGTAAACCCAATGAAATAAATGTGCAAGTAATACAGTACAAAACAAGCCTCCAAAAGAAGAGAGAAAAATGAAAGAAAATGGGTATCTCGACTACTGCTTCTCTCAATCACCTCCTTCCCACCGGCTCCTTCGCCAATTTTGCCTCCGCCGTGTAGATTTTATCCTACTCTCTTTATCCATCCGACCCTTCCCTTCACCAAATACCCAGCCTTAAACAGGCGCAGGCTCTTCACATAGCACGCCAGAACTCGGCGAGGTTGAACCCTCGCCCGCCGTCCTGGGCCGCTCCCGGATCAAAGCACCCTTCTCCTCCTCGCTCAGGCGCAACCGGAGCTTCACGTCCAGCATTGTGACCAAGCGTTCGCTGTACTCATCGAGCAAGCCGCTCAGCATTCCCTCGCTAACCGTCTTGCCGCGGTCCGCCTCCCGACTGCTCCGGCTTCGGATGGCACGCTCGCCGAGAGCCGCGGCTGTCAGACGAAGCTCCGCATCTAGCTGAGCAAGCACGTCGCTGTCGATCGAGTCCGTTGATGTCAGCTTCTTACGATAAGCGCGCAGCTGGCGGCATGTCTGTTCTGTCGCCATGCTAAGACTACCAAAGCCATAGCTGCCGCGCAGATTCGAACCCGATTTCTTGCGTGATGTGACAATGCCCGACGGCGGCGTCATATTCAGAGCCGGGAGCGAAGGCCGTCTTAATATCCGCGACCGGTTCTTGGGACTTTGGGGCGGGGGGCTGCTCGAGGGGCTGGCGCCTCCTGACGAGGCGCGACGTGACGGCGTGTTTTCAGCAACTGTGCCCCGCGGACTAGCCTGCTTCTCAGCCAAGGGCGTCCGGATGGAAGGTGTTACAGATGCTGCCAGCTGAAATTTGGACGCCCGCCGCTGAAGAGGACGGGGCGGGGAGCGGCGCCCGGCGTTTGATGTTGGCCGTTGAAATTCGGCCAACTCGGCTTTTGAAAGGACTCGGCGTAGCGGCGGCCGTTGTGAGGTGAACGAGCTCGTCTTCTCGGGAGATGGATCGCGGGTCCTCAACCCAGATGTGTTGTCTTGGAGGTCCAGACCCCAGATCATGATTGTGCCGTCTTCGCCCACACTGACAACCTTCCTCCCTAGCTCGTCACTATCGGTCATGATAACGCCGTTGATAGCTTCAGTGTGGCCCCACTCGCGGTCCATGAAAGATCCCGACTGGGCATCATATAACCGGACCGACTTGTCTGTATTGGAAATGCCCAAAAGAAAGGTAAGATCCCCAGCCGCGTATTGGCCGTACGTGAGTGACTCCAAGACAACAGTTTCGAGTCCTCCTTCATCGTTACATTTGAAGGAACCAGAGAGTCGCCCGGTGGCGACGTCGTACTGGCACACGGACCGGTCCAGGAGCGAGACGTAGACGGTCTTTTCGTCTGGCGTAATGGCCATTGATGACGGTGAGGCCCTCAAGGAAATTACTTTGAAGGGAATAGCTGCTAGGACATCGGGCTCCCCTTCTTTTGCGACGAGGTCGTAGACTTGGAGAGTCCGGTCCAAAGAGCACGTCAAGATCTTGTCTTCCGAGGGGATCAACACTTGCACAACCTTGGCTGTGAACTCTAGCGTCTGAAAATGCTCAAATACCCCAGTGGGTGACCGATGGAAAAGCTGCACCGTGCGGTCCCTACCACAGGAGGCCACAAGAGCCCTCGAATTTCTCTCGAATATCGTGATGTCTTGGCAGTCAGAGGAGTGCGCCTTTGTTTCCATAAGAGACTCCTTGGTGGAAGCGTCTATGACGCGCAGGACTCCAAGCTTATCTCCGGCAACGAAGAGACTGCCGTTATTTGTGGCTCTCACCACCATCAGCTGGTTGAAGGGTTCCGAGTCGCTCCCTATATCGGTACGCTCTATTGGGATAGCAAAAGACGACCGAATCATGCCGTCCATGTTCCAGAGATCAACCTTTCCGGAAGCGGACCATGTGAAGAAAGCGGCACCGAGACTATTAGTCTCGCGTAGGCGCTGTATGCCAACGATGGGATCGCCGGGACCGGGAATGGGAATATGATTTGGGTCGCTAATGGAGCCAGCGGGAATGTGTTCAGGGCTCCAAACGTCAATTGATCGTCGTGTGTCGATCGTGACGAGATTCTCGGCCAGGAACCCCATTGCAAGGAGGCCCTGAGTCGACTGAGGACTGTGAATGGTCGGTGTTGGGGCGCCTTCCAAAATGCCTTCAATGCCGAGGACGACAAACTGGCCGTCCTTGCCTCCTATAAAGATATCTTCGTTCCTACTACTAATGCAGCTAACGTTAAAGCCAAGATCCATGACTCTGATTAGCTTCATCTGCCTATTAGTATCATCCAACAAGCAGACACTGCCCGTCTCCGAACAGAGGATGGCCTTGCTATCACTGATCGCGATGGCGCAACAAAAAGTCGCCTCCAGCAGCGAGCCGAGTAGAATGTTTCTGCCAGGCAAAGGCTTGTGGGCCTGCTGAGAGGCGGGAAAGGACCCGTCAAATCTCTGCTTGGTAGGCGAGATAGAGGGGCCATCCTCGACCCTCCAGACCTTGACATGGCGGACACCCAGGGTGATCAGGTTGCTGCCCATCCACACCATCCCCTTGACGTGCGAGGTGCAGCGGTTCTGTTGGAATAGCTTGGCCGCGCCGGTACGGGGATCGATCTTCCACAAATAAAGGAAGCCGTCATTGGCCGCGCCGAGTGAAGCCAGATACTTTGTGTCTGGAGACCAGGCAACAGCCCTGACCCCAAACATATGTTCACTTATGGATACCAGGGGCGTGTCGGACGACGAGTCCTGCAGGCTGAAGATGAGGACGCGTGGGGCATAGCCTGTCTCGCCGACTGCGAGATATTTTCCATCTCGGCTGAGGGCTAGACATGTCGCGGCTTTTATCCGCTCGCGACTCGTCCAGGTCTTCGAGGAGGGAGAGTCGGACCATTCCAAGCCTCCTCCGCCGTAGAGCGAGTCTCTCGGGGAGGAGGCGGCAGCGGCCCGGTTCCTACTATCGTTGGCCTTGGGGGTAGAGGTTGGGGTAGATGACGCATGCGAGACGGGGGACACGGTAAAGACTGGGACAGCGGAGGGCCGGGCTCGGTAGAAGCGCTGCGAGTAGTGCTCGCCCGACACATCGACGACGACCACGGCACCGCCGGCGATGTAGGCAAACGAGGAGTAGACCGTGTCAAAGCCGGTCGGGGAGGTGCAGGTCGTGCCGACAACGCGCCTGAGAGACAGACATGTATCGTAGACGGGGCGTGCGCGTATGGGAGATCGAGAGGGTCTTTGAAGAAAGGGGGAGTTGGCGGGCGTGAGCTTGAGCCGGTTCGAAGGAGTGGATGCCATCTCTGCTCGCCATTGGCCAATCAAGGCTGGTAGTTGGGATGGAAAGGGGCGAGATGCTCAACAAGGGGTCGAGGACATCTGTACGAAAGCTACGAGAGAAGAGCGTCGGTGCGTGGTTTGGATGGCTCCCAAGGTATAACGAGTGAGTGGGAGGCGTCGGCTAACTAGTGACGGAACCGATTTGTGGATGCGCGCTGGAGTTGGTGGCCAAGTGCGTTTGCGTTTTCCTATCCCGAGGCAAGCTGTCTTGAGCGAATGATGACGAGAAGGCCGGTGGGAATATGGGAGGGCTTAAGGCTGCAAGTCCAGTCTGGGTCAGTTGAGTTCGGACAGAAAAAGTATAATCCTCAAGGCTGTCCATGTCCAGCCAGGGCGCGGAGAAAGAAGGCTCACAGCGACATGAATGGGCGGCGAGACAAGTCAATTGTCTCGATAGGGCTGTTAACTACGAACGGGGAGAGTGCTAGAGAACCATTGGTGTCGTGTGCGTGCGCGTGCGCGTGCGCGTGCAGCTAGGTTTGGAGTCGTGAAAGAGAAGGGGAGAAAATAGGCTGGCGCACACCAGAGAGTCTCTCTGCAAAGTGCAAAGCTCTTGGGCGAGAACACTGGAGCTGGGGCCAAGTCAGGTACCGTACCGCGCCATTCCGGACCGGGGTAGTATTTTGTTTTCTGGCAGGGGTCCGTTCGTTGACCGGGGAGGCAAGTGGGGAGGGAGGCCCGGGCGTGCTTTCCGCTTTCCTTTCGGCTGCCACGAGCCAGGTGCGCGCTGGGCTTGCCAGCTGCCTGTGATGCCTTGTCGAGGTGGGACAAGAATGGCCTGTGCGTGTCTCTTACCGTTTCCGGCCTTCAATAAGGCTCCCGCGCCAATCACGGCCGGGTCCTAATCTTGGGGGGTGATAATCCTTTCCCTTGCAGGATGACGCCGTTTTAATGTGCGGTGCGTGCCGGGACCTGGAGGTGGAAGTGGGATGTTTTGAAAGACTGCTCCGTTCAAGACAATTGAATCTGTGCGCACTCTGGTATTTGTTCCGCAATTCGGGCAGTCGCAGTTCGGGTCGACGGTAGCTCTCTTTTCAATTGTTCCTCTAGCGCGAGGCTGGTCTTTAAAAACCCCACGTCTTCTTCAAAAAGTGTCTGCTCTGTCGTCCGCCGCAGGGACATGCTGTTGTGTGACAGTCCCGAGGCGATGCATTAGTGCCATGCTGGTTTGCATTGAGCGAGATGAAATGAGATCCCCCCTGCAAGCTTTCTTTCTTTTTCTGGCACCTGTCGCTTTCTACTGTAATCCGAAAGACTTTAGATGACGGATACAGGCCGCAGCCTCGTCATTTCTGTTTCGTCTGAATGCGAGCCACTCACAGGTGACAGGGTGACCGAATGGGGTTTTTATTCGGGTCGTTAGATTTGCCTGCAATAACCTTTTTATGCTACACCGTACCTTGGATATTCCAGTCATTGGTTCTACCGTTTGAAGATTGGCTGACACTTCAACCTTCGACAGTTCCTAAACACAATATCCGTACTTACACGGTTACTTTGTCCGTCGCTTACTTCAGGTAATACCTTCGACAGGTACCGCTAGCACACGGCACCTGTTCGGTTCATGCGGAGGTTCCGAATATCATGCGCTAACACGGCCATATGTTGACGTGCTAATACAGATTATATGCACAATATATACATTGGTAATTAGAAGAGGAGGGTGGCTTCGATGGCGCCTGTTCTCGATGGACTCTAACTCGCCATATCACATCATGCTCTCCGAAAGCTTCTGCTGCGCCCGGATCAAGGTCCTCTTGTGCTTCCCCCGAGCAGAGTGCTCGGGAGTCTTGAGAGGTTCTTTCCTGAACAAGTGTCGCCGATCACGGATGCCTTCCAACCGCCACCTCAACGGAGGCTTCTTGCCCTGGGCCGACCAGCGGTTCCAGACCTTCAAGCCCCGCTTATGCCACCTCGTTTGGCGGTCAATCTCCTCCTCGGCCGTCGGCGTCCACTTGCTCCTGAGAATTCTGCGGATAGCTTCAGGAGATTGCTCAAACTTTTTGGCCAGCTCCTGGGTTGTGTATACATCGGGAAACTCGGCATTGAGGGCCCTGATGCCGGCTAGCGCGTCAGGCGACAGCTTCTTACGAGGATTCCACCCCTCTGGAAACTTCTCCTTAAGACGCTCCTTCTGGGCTCTCCAGTCTGGAAGAGTCCATTTCTCATCTTCATCTTGGCCCTCCTCGGCCTCCTCTACCGGCTTAGACCTTTTTGATTCCCACGCCTGGGCCGACCTCTGGAGAGCCTCCATTGTCTCGCGGGTTATCCTTGTCCTCTCGCCGCGCGGTTCTAGTCGAGCACCCCACGGCTGCTCTGCTGCAACATGCCTAGCGGAATGCCGGCCCGAGTTGATATTTAGCCCCTCGAACCCAAGGGTTGGCTCGGCAGCTTCAGTCGATGTCTCTGCAAACTTGGCGCGAGGCACCGTTTTCGACTTCTTTGGTTCTGCCGGCTTCTTGGCGGCTACTGCCATCGACTGCTTGGCTTCCTTGACTGAGTTTTCGGGTGATTCTATGATCAAATTGCTTGGTACTTCGACTGCCTTCATTTCGGTCGTTATCGGAAGGCTTTGCGGCTTGGTCCGCCTCGTCTGCGAGGGTTCTGAGGAACCGCGTTGCGGTCTGGCCTTTCGGGACGAAGATTGGGGGTTCCTGGCCGATCCAGCCGCCTTGGATTGACGTCTGGAATTCGTGGAATGGGCCTCGCGGCCAGACGAATCTTGCCAGGCATCGGCCGCAGCGACAGCACGATGAGTGGCCTTGCGCTGGTCACGAACGGCGCGTTCAAGTGTGTCGGCCAGGTCGCTCTGTTTGGAGCATGATGTGTGCAATGGTCGAGACGAGGGTGTTAAGAAAGGATGGGCGGCGCCTTTGAGGCCGGCCAAGGCTGGAAAATTCCTCGACAGGTACGCTCCCGCGGCCGCGACGGAGGCCGAGACATGGGCGCCAGGAAGTTGGACGTGTGCGATGCTTTTCACAAAAATGCTGAGCGCTACCGTGCGGCAGGAGCACACCATGCTGGGTAAAAGACGGGCGGCGTTTGGCGGGCGACTCTGGACAAGGACCGGAAAAAGAGTCGGTCGAGGTGCTTCGACATGAAAAATTTCCCGTCGCGCCGGTACTCTTGAACACCGACCAAATTTATCGCCCCACATTGTTCCCTACAGCTTCTCCTTCAGGGGCCTTGCATTTGGGCTGGGCAGCTCCACAAGCGCAGGCGCACAACCCTAACCCTTCCATTGGTCTCGTTCAACGACTGGTGGCAAACCCCATCACATTGATCGCTCTGTAAGACGTCGGCTAGAAATAAATTCTCCTACATACAACGCTGGCTAGTATAAACAACAACGGCTGTATAAAGCAGGTGCCGGGAGACGAGACGGAAGCCTTTTGAACAAGGAAAAGCAGCAAATCCTCACTGATAGATGACTGATCTAGTTTATCAAAAGTGGGGAAGACTCGGTTACGGTTAACTGTTATTAGCTCACCTCGCCTGTATCGCCAACATCGCCTTCTCGAGGCAGGAGCGTGATGATTTCGTCATACATACCATATGGTCGCCCCCTCTCACCAACATGTTCGCATCCCCACATCAACTTATAGCCATCATGGACGTTGGTTGGAGTTAATTATTGACTGGCGCTCTGGCTTTGCAGCGGGACTGGGCTATTTTAATGATCATTATCAGATAGACTGGACCGAAACTCTCCTCGATGATACATCCCTGAAGAAAACATCGGAACCACACCTTAGACAAATCATCATGCCGAGTCACAGTAGCCGCGGCAGCTGCGGAGAGGCCAAGGACGGGGAACTGGGAGGAAAGCGGGTGGCGGCATGGGGCTACGAGTTCGAGTGGACTCGCCAACACATGACGCCCGAGCAAATGCGCCCGTTGATGTTCTCCTACGACGTGCTCGCCACCGAGTGTCTGGACCGGCTGGACGAACTCGCCCCCGTGTCGCTTCCGTCCAAGGCCGGAGAGAGAAGGACGAAACCGAGCGGAAAGGCGGCAACAACAGATGGAGAGCTAACACTAGACGGGAAAGAGGATCCGGGGGAGAGGGGAGGTCACCACCGCCGCCACCGAGACCTATTCGAGCTCCTTCGGCAACAAGCGTACCACGACGAGACGCTGCAACGGCTCTGGGCCGAAGTCAACACGGTGCCCGAGTGGGTCGACTGGCAGCAGATCGAGCGGGGCCAGCACGTCTTCTACCGCTACGTCGGTCCGTTCCTTGTCGGGCTCACCTTCCAGTCTCTGCTGGGCGGCATGGCCTTCCACCGCGTGGTCGAGACGCTGGCGCGGACGGGGGGGTTCGGGATGGGTGCTGCGCGTCGGCGACTGCTCGAGACTTTCCAGCACGTACTGGACGTGACCGAGGGCCTCGAGGCCGTCCAGCCGGGGCTGGGACAGGGGGGCAAAGGGTGGGCCTCGACGGTGCGCGTGAGGCTGCTGCACGCCTCGGTGCGGAGGCGGATCCTACGCCTCGCCGCCTCCGACCCCGAGTACTTCGACGTGGCGCGCTACGGCGTGCCCGTCAACGACCTCGACAGCATCGGCACCGTGCTGGCCTTCTCGGCCTCACTGATCTGGGTCAGCTTCCCGCGCCAGGGCATCTTCCTACGCGAGAGCGAGATCGCCGACTACATCGCTCTGTGGCGCTGGGTCGCCTATCTGCTGGGGACCCCGACCGACGTCCTAGCCACGCCTACCGCCGCCCGCACAATGATGGAGTCGCTGCTGGCCCGGACCGACGAGGTCGCCCCGTCAACCGCCTCGCAGGATCTCGCCAATAACATCATCGCTAGCCTGGCCGGCCAGCCTCCAACGTATCCCTCTGCCGACTTTCTGCGCGCCGAGGCATACTGGTAGGTGTCATTCTTCGCTCTCCGTCACTTACAAATATACCTAACTACCCTCTAAGGTGGACCGCCGATCTTAGATTTCTACCACCTTTCCCCTCTAGGAACAAATAAAATAAAACAGATCCACAACTAACGTCGACTCTACCCAGGCTCAACGGCCACGCCCTCGCCGACGCGCTAGCCGTGCCGCGGCCGCCACGCTACTACACGGTGCTAGTGGCCGGGCAGTGCCTATTCTTCATGGCTATGAGCTACGCCAAGCGCGCCGTGCCGGCCTGGGACCGCCGCAGCATCCGGCGCCTGCGGCCGATGCTGCGCGCCGTCGTCCTTGAGCAGGCCGGCGGCCGCGACGCCACCCACGCCTTCAAGTATATCCCCAACCCGGGAAAATTTACTCGGGGGGCGGCGGGGCAGCTACCTAGAGAGAGGGACGGTAGTGGCAGTGGCGCCGAGACGGAGCGAGGGAAGCAAGAGCAGTGTGTTACTGATGCTGTTCGCGGGCAATGGCTCCGCAGTAGCAGCAGCAGTCCAGTCGAACGCCGCGCCCTCCAAGCCCTGCTCGTCGCCTCGGCCCTCGCAGCGTGGGCTGCTTGGTTGTGCGCGAAGAGCGCCTCCGGTCTGTTCCAGACGGCAACACTGGGGTGATGCATGCAGTGCAAGCGCCTTTTTTTTTTTTTTGCTAAACTACAATCCTGTATTTCTCCCGTTTGGATGTTTGCGACAGGTCGCTGGTTCGGCTATCTCTTCTCAATTAGAATTTTTGCCCCTTTCTTTCCATGTTGGTTCATTACCATTGGACGACGAGTGTGTGTGTGCGTGGTGCAAGGCTAATTATCCGACACCATGGGTATATATTCCGAGACACGTTTACTGTTGTCTCTTGACCCCAAAAATGCCTTGTTACACTACTAATGGCGGGCTAGCAGCTAGTCTTCCGGCGCGCAGCGGCGCATGAAACTTGAGAGGCAAAACGAGAAAAGAGAGGAAAAAGGGTTGGCTGATGCCTAGCCGGATGCCGGCCGGGCTAGCTCGTAAGACAGGAGGATGGGGAACGATGTTGCCCTCTTCACCGTCCCATCAATCAATCCGTCATCTATCGGACTCTCACACTTATCGTAAACACAACCTAACAAGCACCGGCAGCGTTCTGCCTCAAGTTCCATTCCTGTAGCGGGCGGCGCAACCCCGAAGAACATCTGTGTGTGGCACGGGTGCGAAATAGAATAAATAAAGCGAAAAGGGATCCGAGCTTGTTGACGACGCCCCCATTCCCATTCCTCATATTCGGGAGGGACGTTGGCGCTTGTTGGAGTCCTTTGAGGCTTCACTCTCTCTCTCTCTGTCTCTGAGTCTCACGCCCCTGGTGTTAGGCCATTGATTTGGGAGCCCCTTTTCGAGACGGGAACGCACCAACGCTCACCACAACCAACAAAAGAAATCGGATCAAGGGCAATGGCTTTGGTCGATTCTCTGGACTAGCTTGTCCATGAGCATCTGGATTATTGTATCGGGATGGAGATGCAGCGGGAGCAAGCAAAGCAAGCCCAGCTACCTACCTAATGCACTTAGGTATGGTCAAGGCTTGCATACATACCGCACGCAACACTCTCTGATCTGCCATTGCTTGCTTGCTTGTTGATATCAATGTTGCCATTGTTAATGTGTTTATTTGCGTTTTGTTGTTCTCCTCCCTGCTTCTCAAAAGGAAAATTTTCAGAGAGAGAGAGAGAAAAGAGGATGCTTTTCTTAGCCTTACTCCTGAAGGGGAAAAAAGGAACAACTCCACCCACCCCTTCTCCGAAATGCTGACTTTTGCCTGAGAATAAAAAGAAATGTTTTTCTGTAGGCATTTTTGCGTTGGTTCCGCAGCTCAGGTCTCTCTTTATCTCTCTCTATGACGCGGCGCCGCCTTACAAGGTACAACAACGCATCCACACGCGCCCCCAACGCCGGCTCCTGATCTTCGCAGCCGTGCTGCTGCTCTGGCCGCGCACGATTATTGCGTGCTGCTGGCTTAGTAGTGAGATGGAAAATAATAGTAAGACAGGTGTAAAAGAAACAGAGGAAAAGAAAGAAAAGAAGAAAGAAAAAGATGATGGCGGGTGGGCGGTAAATCCTAGTACATTGTGTGGCTAGGTAGAGCTGGATATGTATCCATTGCATCTAACCTGCTTCCCCACGCTTCGCCCCTAACCCTGAGTTGGTTGTACAACTAGGCATCGAGCATGAGCTCCACCGGCGGTCGCGTGGTGTGCGCCATGATGGGTTTTACGCTGGCAGTGTAGTCGGGCACGATGGGGCTGATGTCCCCGGGCTCGTCCGTCATGTCGTCAACGGTGACGCACGGCAGGTCGGGGCTGCTGCCGTCGTGCTGCTCCTGGGGCTGGAAGATGAGGGTGGAGCTGCGGCTGCGCTGGCGGCTGGCGAAGCCGCCGGCGCCGTCGGGGCGGGTGCTGTCGGCGGGCGAGACGGGCGAGTAGCCGGTGCCGCCCATGACGCTGTCGGCGGGGTTGTTGTGGTGGCGCAGGCGGGCCAGGGCGTCGGCCAGGTCCTCGGCGTGCACCATCTTGTTGGGCGCGTCCTCGAGGCGCATCTCCCAGCCGTGGGGCGGGCTGGGCGGCGGGCTGATGAAGAACAGCTTGCCGGCGTCGGGCAGCGCCAGGTGCACGTCCTGCTGGGCCGAGACGGACGTGGGCTGGCCAAAGTAGACGCGGCAGCGCTCGCCCATGACGGCCTCGCCGTCCCAGGCCTGGCGCACGGCGATGGCGGCGTCCTCGCTGAAGAAGGACACGATGATACGGCGGAACGACTTGAGCGGCGACCACGAGTAGATTGGCGCCGTCTTCTCGACCAGCTCCCGTATCGTCTGCAGGTTGTCGGCCTGGAATATGTCGAGCGACTGTAGGTTGGTGAAGATGAGCGTGTTGGATGGCGGCGTCGGCTGCACCAGCGGCGGCATGTTGGAAAGGTCGAGGGTCAACGACGACTTCTTGGATAGCGAGGACCGGGTCGAGGACCGGGACGGCGGTGACGGCGGGGAAATCCTGGCGCTCTCCCCGTTGTGTTGTGGTTGTGACGTTTGTTGCGGCTCCATTGCGATGGAGAGTGTGTGTGTTTGTTGTGCGGGTAGGTTGGAGTTGGATCGATCTAGCAGTGATGTGGCAGAATACTACGGAGTAGTAGTAGCAGGATAGGATATGGAGGGGGTGGTGATGCAAAGTTGCAGATTGAAGATTGAACAACTGAGGAGAGGGAGTGAAGTGGTCTTATCTCCCAGGGGGTCGGCTGCAGGTTGCAGGAGCGGGAGCAGCAGGTTCCAAGTGCAGGTTCCAAGGTCGGGCTGTGTGTGTGTGGCGGATGGGCGGGTATTTGGATATTCACGGGCACTGCGCTGCACTGCAAGAGACTGACGGGCGGGGCGACAGATGCGGAAGGTGGGCGGGCGTGGAATTTATACGGCCGTCTCTCTTGGGGAAATCGGAGGTTGCACTAATGTATGGAGTAGGTTAGGTAGACGGGATGCTGCGAGGTGTGGCGGAGAGCTGCAGTGAAACAGAAGGCCGCCGGAGGCGATCACGGGTCTCTGTTTTGGAAGCCCACAGGGCGCCCCCCAAAAACCAGAACCTGCGGGAGCCCTGTGTAGCAACAGAGCCGCGGTCAGGATGACCAACTCAGTGAGTTGGAAGGCTGAGCCGCACTGACGGGCCCGTTCTCAGCGGGACAGGCACAGTACCTACAGTTACTACCAAGGTGTTACGAGGAATCAACACTTTTTTGTTGGCATGTTGCCTCCTCCTCCCTCTCGCAGAGACGCGAGAAAGTCTGAGCCTCTCTAATTCATTCGATAGTATCCATGGACTACTGCGTAGGTATGGACGGAGTATCCATTCCACTGCGCAGCCCGACGTCTGCGGTGCAGGGTTAGACATGCGCCGGGCCGGTTACAGGCGGGGGATTGCCATGCAAACCAGTTCGGGTCATCCCATGGCTAATAATTCTCCGCACTGCAATTCTGTCTTGCCACCACTTTGCACTCTCCAAGCCTCATCCACTGGGACCTACCTTACGCAGCGGGCGATTTCTTGGCTGTCGTAGTCCGGGAAGGAAGGTCCCCCAAAGGAGGGACCTTTTGCGGCGCTTGGCCAGAGGCTCAGATTCAATTCCAACTTTCGCCCAGCCGAGGGGCAAATGGAAGGCACGAGGTACTGTTCCTAAGGCTACGTACTGAACGGTACTTGCGGAGGACGGAGTGCGGGTTGCTGTCCAAGTCCCGAACATGGGCTGGCGCGTCGGCACTGCGCAACGAGAGCCACTCGACCCGCAAAAATGAATCTTTTGCTCAACAGAATTTGAGAGGAGAGGCCCAGCTAAGGTCTGGGGTTGCGTACGCAAACTTTGCACAGCCTCGCATGGCGCTTTGTGTTTCTTTGCGAGACACAGGCACGAGGGGCACGCGCGCCGGGAAGAAACCTACACAGTTCATACGGCAGAGTCAGTCACCTCTGTCAACCTGCTGGCAGGTTCCAGGGCTCTCTCCACAAGGCTTGGCGTGGGACTCGCTGTCTCGGCCAGTCCACCCAAGCCACAAGCCACCGAGCCACCCAGCCGGGGCCTCCGCCGATACTGGATGGAGAGTGGTTTGCGGAACTGGAACTGCGCCAAGCCCGCAATACTTGAAGGGCAGTTCGACTGATCTGAGGTGTCGGGCAAAATCCAGAAGCCCCCCCCGCCGCAGTGCCAAAGCCGCCGGCGCTGCCCCTGAGGTGGCAGTGGGCGTGCAGCTGATAACTTTGCCCTAGAATCGGTACAGATAGCGCGGGTAATATCTGTGTTTTTGGCCCAGCAGTCGGCCTCGTTCGTGCTGAGTAAACTGTAAAGAGGAAGAACGCACTGGGCTACACTAAAAGACGGGCCAACCACCAGGTCGGCTCCACCCGCTTGGGGTGCTCAGCCTCGATGGGCCTCTGGAATTGAATTGAGACAATTCCCAAGCCTCTGTGCCCTGGGGCCGCCCGAGGGCTAGACGTGGCAATCGTGGCTGCTCAAACACTTTGCTTCATCTTCAAGGCTTATTTCTCCAGTAAGACCCCCCACAGTTGGTTGCATTTGTCCATTCTCATCACTCGCGGGCAGTGGCACAGGAAACTCTCGGTCATCATCCTTTTTGTCCCTGCTTCTCTCTTCGAACCCATCAGGGCATCCATCCATCCTCGGGTGCCTTTCCCGCCCTTTAAGTGTGCGTGGCAGGACACACCTTAAGACATTCCTGTTGCTTCGCATTCTCTTTCGTCAGAAGTCTATTCAGGTCCCGAGCAACCCAGACTCAGACACCAAAAAAAAAAAAAAAAACCTGACACACTGCCCTGATCTGATTATCCCCCGGAAAGAGACAGAAACGCCTGGTTTGCCTAGTGCGGCGGCGTCGAGTTTAGTCTAAACTGACTTGGCTTAACTTGCATGCTGCCACTGTCGCATATGCTGGTAAATACGCCGCCGAGAGTTTTGGCTACATTATCTGCGTACCCGCGGCGCATTGCTCCTTAGCTTGCGCCATGCTGTTGAAGAAGAAGCTGCTTATACGTCATGGCGTATGCCCGCCCATATGGATGTCGGGGAACTGGGTTGCGGCAATATTGATCTTGGCATTGACATGCCCCCTTCTCTGCTTCCAGACTGAGGTACACACTGCATACCGGGTAGACTGTAGTAGACAGACCCTAGGACTGTCTCTGGTTTCTTAGCCTGGAAGGCAACAATTGTAGAAGAAACGAAGCTATTCCAATTACTCCTCGTCCGTCCCCGTGCGCTCGGCATGGTCGTGGCCGGCTATGCAAAAACAAGCCTGCCGGCAAAGTTGCAAAGATGATGAAAATAGAATCCAGCTCGCCTGCCTCCCTCGGACATGGCTACCTACCTTACCTACCTTGCCTATTACGATCATGGCACCCGTCAAAGCCGTAAAGATGGCATCGCCAAGATGGCCAAGCCAAACGTCAGCATCACCTGCCACCAAGGTACGAACACACGCACAGTAGACAACTGCTTGCAAGAGAAAAAGAGGGGAGGAGGGTGAGGGGGGTATCTATTCCATTTTCCAACCGTCGCAGCTTCTTTTTTTTCTATCCATGTACATAAAGTACATACGGTACAATATACACAACAAACAGCCCAACTGCATGCACAAGCAAACCTCACACGTGGGCTGCGTCTTGTCTCGTAGATTACCACTTGCTGAGTCGGGAAATAGATAAGAGGGGAAGAAAGGCTCAACGTCCCAGCCAAGCGTGGCTGAGTTCCTGCCGGACACCCCCCCTGCCACCCCTTTTATTTTCGCCCTAACAACAAACAGAGGCTCTCTACATACTTTGGGGCAAACTCGCCACGCAAAGCCATGCAAGTAACTGTTGGGCCGTGCGGCGGGTTCTGCGCTTTTCATCGTCCTGTTTCTCTTGTCGGCCGAGAGTAGGGGACTAGTAGATAGATGGAAACTCCCAAGATTATCTAATCTCGATGCCGAGCTTGTCGACTAGCGCCTGCGTGACCTGGTCGTGCAGCCGGTTCGTCTCAGCGTTGGTCAGGGTGCGCTCGAGGCTGCGGTAGTTGACACGGTAGCACATGCTCCGGCGGCCCGTCTTGGGGTGGGTGAAGGCGTCGGCGAGCGCGACGTCCTCGACCGTATCGCCGGCGATGTCGCGGACAATCTCCATGAGGTCGTTCTCGTGGAAATCCTGGGCGCTGGCGTCTCGCGAGTTGCCGCCGGCAGCCGACAACGTCGAACGCAGCCAAAAGGACACGTCCTTATAGCAGGCCGGGTACTTTGAGAAGGGCACGAAGCGGCGCAGGCGGGCGAGGTCGTCCGAGACGCCGGCGAACTGGCCCAGGAACCGGTCGTCGCGCGACCAGAAGAGGCGGATGTCGGGGATCTGGAACAGCAGCATGGCGATGCGGTCGAGCCCGATGCCGAACGCCCAGCCGACCTTAGACGGCACCTGCGCGTCGATCAGGATCTGCTGCTGCGTGACGCCGCACCCGAGCACTTCGAGCCAGTCGCCCGCGTAGTACACCTCGAGCTCCCACGACGGGCTGGTGAAGGGGAAGTAGGCCTCGACCCAGCGCACGCGCAGCGGCTCGTCGACGTAGTTGGGGTCCTGCCGGGCCGCGGCGGCCTTGGCGCGCGTGAAGATCTCCACCACCATCAACTCCAGGGAGCGCTTGAGGTGGGCGGCCACGGCCTCGGCCTCGCTTGGCGTGTGGTGGGCCGCCTGCAGCGGGTTGCGCTCGGGGTCGAAGGGCGGGTTCGGGTCCTCGACGGGGATGTCGTGCGTCGGCAGCCGCGCCAGGTCCGCGTAGACGGCGGCTGCCACGTCGCCGCCGGGCACCGCCGCCCGGTCCCAGACGCGCGCGCCCTCCATCTGGTGGAACACGGGGTAGTGGCTCCGATCGACCTCGTCGCGGCGGTACACGTCGGCGCTGATCAGGTAGCCGTCGCTCTCGCTCGCGCGGAACAGCGCCGCCTCGTGCGCGCTCGTGTGCGTGCGCAGCAGCATGTCCTTGTTGATGTAGTACGTGTCGGACCGGTTCCGCCCCGGGTGGTCGGGCGGGAAGCCCAGAGAGTCAAAGTTCTCGACCGTCGACACGACAGGGTCGAAGTCATTGTGGTACTTGAACGTCGGCCGTGGGAACTTGGACTCGAGAATCTGCCTCGTGATGGAGACTGGGTGGTCCTTTTGTAGGTGCAGCTTGCGGCTCGTCGACGCGAGCACGTTGGCCGGGGCGTTGAACCAAGAATCGGTGGCGTACGTCTTTCCGTTGATCTCGACTGTAGCGGGATTGCTGCTAGTAGTGCTACTAGTGCCGGTGCCCTTTACGGGTTCCGCCAGGGCGGGAGAGGGGGCAGAAGCGACTCGGGGACCTTTGGTGTAGGTTCCATCATCATCAGCACGACCCGAATGGGGGTTGAGGAGTTAGTCGGTCGCGACCTCGATGCGCAACTGCTGACCTGAAGAGAAAGGCAAGCGCTGGTATTGGCTGCCAGGCCGCTCTGGGCTGTTCAATTGGCTCCGGCGCCGCAGACGCAGACATAGCGATGCAGTTGACGAAACATGGGTGCGGTAGCTCCCCGCGCGACCCGGCTCGACGAGGCGGCCGGCGACTGCACCAAGTGCTCGAGGCCCGGTCACGCTGATGCTCATTCTAAGGCCGCTGCTGACGGGCGCGCCAGGACGTTGATTGCGATATATCTGGCGGCAGACGGGAGCAATCCCTATGAGCCCCGTTGCAGGGGGAGGAGGAGGTTTCGGCTGCTTGCGATAGCGAGCCAGCCACGTGTTGAGAGGTGTAAGCTAGCCGTTTCAAAATTCAAACTCCAATGGGATGGGACGGGATTGGATTTTTGGAGATGCAAGCTTCCGTCCGACGCCCCGATCAGTGTTTGGTGGCGCACGGCTGGCTAGGGGCCCCCACAGCTCAGTGACAGGCGGCTGACAGTGCGTGTGGGACAGGGGACCCCTGCTATATTATGACATCAGGCCAGGCGCAACCTTGTTGGAGATGCATGCTCCGAAAATCGCATATTACCAGGCTTGAGATAAGAGAAAAATTGGCGGCTTATCTCCGCCGCTCCGTCCGACATTTGGAGGGAATGCAGCACCCCTTTTCCAATCCTCAGACAATTTGCGACGACGGCGACGACGGCGACGACGACGACGACGACGAATAAGACTACGACGACGACGACGGCAGCAACTGGATGCGGCGGCGCTGTTGATTTAAGCATTTGATTTGAGCACTTGATTCAATTCTTCCTTCACGCTTTTTCTCATCTCAATATTCAGTAATTAAATTCCTCGCGGGATGTCGTCTTCGTAGCGAGCGACCTCTCTCTGCCCACCCCTCCTCCCCTCCCCTCAGTCCGTCGATAATCGCATCATGCAGACGGCAGGCCGACATCACTCTCCTACCGCGGCCGCGGTGGGCGCAGTCGAACCAGGCCCTAACACTGCCGGGAAGAAGCCGCCAGGCCGCAAAGACAGTGACACGATTGCCGCGTCATCGGCATCGCAATCGCAGGGGAGCCAGAAACCCATCCGCTATCCCTTCTGGTTCGGGGGCAGCGCCAGCAGTCTGGCTGCGTGCGTGACGCATCCTCTAGATCTTGGTATGCTTGGTGTTGCTTCCTGGTTTTGCTGTTTGGGGATTGGGCTTGCTAACCTTTTTCCTGCGCAGTCAAGGTAAGGGATAGACGGCCTCACTCCTCGCGCTTGGGGGCCAGAGACATATTCGGCCCACTCGTTCATCCGAGGGGACATGGCAGCAAGCTACAGTATCGGCCCAATAGGTCATGACTAACACGAGACAACAACCCCAGGTGCGACTCCAGACGCGCACGGGCGACATGCCCAAGACGATGAGCGGCACGTTTGTGCACATTGTCAAGCACGGCGGCGTGCGGGGCCTGTACAACGGGCTGTCGGCCTCGCTGCTGCGGCAGCTGACGTACTCGACGACGCGGTTCGGGATATACGAGGAGCTGAAGCAGCGCTACGACGCCGCCCAGCAAGACAAGCAGCACCACCACGGCGCAATCACGGCCAAGAAGCAGCAGCCGTCGCTCGGGGCGCTCATTGCCATGGCGTCGGCGTCAGGGTTCGTCGGCGGCATCGCGGGCAACGCGGCCGACGTGCTCAACGTACGCATGCAGCACGACGCGTCGCTGCCGGCGGCGCAGCGGCGCAACTACACGCACGCCGTCGACGGGCTGGCGCGCATGGTGCGTGAGGAAGGGCTGGCCAGCGTGTTCCGCGGCGTGTGGCCCAACAGCCTGCGCGCGGCCGCCATGACGGCGTCGCAGCTCGCCAGCTACGACGTCTTCAAGCGCACCCTCATCCGGAACACGCCCATGGACGACGGCCTGGCCACCCACTTCGTGTCGTCGTTCCTCGCCGGCGTCGTCGCCGCCACCGTCACTAGCCCCATCGACGTCATCAAGACCCGCGTCATGTCCGCCTCGGGCAAGAGCAGCATCCCCCACCTACTCAGAGAAATCTACGCCGCCGAGGGCCTGCGCTGGATGTTCAAGGGCTGGGTGCCCAGCTTTTTGCGCCTAGGGCCGTACGTTAACTCCCTCCTTCCCTCCACCCTTGCCATTAACCACCGATTCCCATCTTCCTTCTATTTACTCAACCTGCGCCTACCAGGGCCCGCTAACTGACATTCCTCTTCACAGGCAAACAATCTGTACATTTTTGTTTCTAGAGTCTCATCGCAAGATATACAGGGATATCAAGGGCTAGAGGAGAAGTGAAGAAAAGACTTGACGACCACCACGGCCAGAGATAGATACACAAGGCAAACAGGTCACCATTAATATATATATACATGTATAGATAGATAGAGTAAGAGCGAGAGACGCAGTGTATAGACCATGGCGGTGGCGGCGGTGTTTTTGTCTGTGTTTTTGTTGATTTTTCTTGTCTGAGTAGTTGGATGATGTACTGGCACAGTTTCGCAGGCAGGGCACGCGGCGTTATTGGGACATCGCATTTTTATTGTTCTGTCATTCACGGCCACTCTATTTTTCTGTCAGCATCATCTCTCCCCTCTCTGTCCGCATCATCTCTCCCCTCTCTGTCCTCATCCTCTTGTCTGTTTTTGTACTGTTTGTCTTTTTTTTTTCTATACCCCCTGAATGATTGTAGAAGAAATATTTCCCCCAAAGAGTAGAGAAAATGCCAGGCTTCAGCGACGAGGCTTCTTGTTTTTCTTTGTGCTCAAGGGACGGCGCTACCCAACGCCTTCGTTCACCTTTCCCTCCCCGTGTTCCATCTAACTCCAATGGTATCTTTACAGCCCGAAAAAAATAAAGCAGAAACGAAATACCCACTTCGCCCTGCCCCCCGGAAGGGGCACCAGTCGCTAGAATAGCAAGTATAGCGGTGCCCGGCCAGTGGTAAGAAAATCAAACATACATGACGGCAGCCCCCGATCAATGGGCATACTGCCGCAACCGCTCAAGCCATTTCCCATGTGAGAAATGCGGTCAGTCTGAGCCCATTCTGGTGCCAACGTAAACCACTCTCCTCCCAAAACCCAACGACGTCCGAGAGAATAGTGTATAGAGGGTAAACCCAATGCCATGGGGAAAGGAAGTTCATATTCTCACCAGCTTGGCACGCCACTGGCCCCGTATGGCGTGGTACCATACGGGGTAACCCCTCCACCACCTCCCCAAGAGCTCTGGTTGCCGCCGCCTCCTGCGCCGAAGCCGCTGGGCGTCGTGTAGCCGTCTTGCCAGCCATCGCCGCCGCCGCCACCAAAACCGGGGCTTTGGAGCCCGTTGGCACCGCCGCCTCCCTCGCCGGCGGTGAGCTCATTGACCAGTCCGGCCAGCTTCATCATCATAACCTCCATGGCCTCGGTAGCGATCGTCTCTGGGGCTAGAGGGCCCGCAGTCTCGACATTGAAGTAGAAGGTCGTGGGCTCAGCGTCGAATTGGAAGGGCTGGGTCTCATCGGGGGGGTCCTCCCACGTGGCGTAGTCGCTCGGCGGCCTGCAATGTTTTATTCCTGGGTAAGCGGGCCATGCTAGAAGGCAAGGGGACTTGGGGAGTGGTTGCTCTCTTCTTTCACCTACCACTCCTTCTTGGGGTCCTCCTCGTACCACATGTCCAAGTGGTGAAACTTGTTGTGCGGATCATACTCGTAGCCTATGGCGGCCGAAGGCGCCCACTTGGCATGCTCTTTGGCAATGCCCTTCTTGGCGATGCACGTGAGCTTGATTTCCTGGCCGGGGCGCAGCTTCAGGATGAGAGGGCCTTGACCGTCGGCGTCGGTAATAACGGGGGTTCCGATGTGGTCGTTGAGGCGGTCGCCGGCGGGCACCAGGTCGCGAGCCACTACTTGCATATTCTCTTCGCCGGTACACTTGGCGTGCAGCGTCAGCGTGACGCTGCATTGGTCGCAGTACTCGTCGCAGTCGCAGTCGCGCGACGACTTGAGCTTCTTGACGCCCTCGGCGTTCAGAGGGATCAGACCCAGGCGGTGAGCGATGAACTCGTCGGCGAGCACGGAGCTGTTCTCCTCAATCTGCACGAGGTCGATGGCGATGGTGGGAATCTCGGCCAACATGACGCGCCGCAGCGTGTTGGCAAAGTCCATGGTCGTGTCCTTGAGCTCGAACTTGCATCGCAGCGCGTCGGACTGGGGCAGGAAACCAGTAGGTCAGCATGATTTCCATCGCCGTCGTTCAAGAGCTGCGCGACGGCGGGGGGAGGCGGTGGGGAGGAGCGGGCCTACGTGTGAAATTTTGACTGTCGGGGTCTTATCAATGCGCGCATGCTTGATCACTTCGTCTGGGTTTGTCGTGCCGTAATCCATATTGACGGTGCTCTGTTATACACATTCACTAGATGCGGTAGTGAAGTTAGAGGTTAGCGAAGCCTATGTAAGTTGCCAGGTAAACGGATACCGTGCGGTGCAGTGCGAGACTGTGAGTGGGGTGGATGATGCGAGAAGTTTGGCGGCTCAAGATCACAAAGCGCGACCGATAGAAAGGTGTGGGGTCTCCGGCTAGCCTATTCGCTTAGTCTGGGTGCTCTGAAAAGCCTATCTTCACGTGAAGACCCTTTGTGAGGCGACAACCCCTGTAACAAGTCCGCCTGTGCTTGCCGATTCCCGGGCTTATCCGTTTAGCGCCATCAGGCCCCGTCGTCATAAAATTTCTCGAGACATAGCACCAGATTTTCTCCATCACGCGATAAAACTGCCGCCATCTCATCCCAACCCGAGCTTCCCAACAGCCTCCGCCACCATGCTACGACAGACTCTCTCGACGCCATCAAGGGCAATTGGCTCCAGCCTCAGACTAGCAGCTCAAAGACCAGTAGCGCGGCCGCAATTCTACCGCGCCCCGTTAGCAGCCACCCGCTCAGTCGCCCCCATTGCTCTACAGCGGGCGAGGTGGTACAGCTCCGAGGCCGAGCCCTCCAAGGACGCCGATGTCAAGGATGCCTCCAAGGCCGAGGAGTCGGCAAAGTCGGAGACTGACAGCGTCGAATCTACGTTAAGGAAACAGCTCGAGGCCAAGGATGTCGAGGCGCGGGATTGGAAGGTTTGCTCCCCTTTTTTTTTCTGTCATGTTACATTCCTTCTAGGGAAACTCACTGAACCACAGCGGCTGACCGCATCTTGACAAATAGGACAAGTTCCTGCGCTCCGTGGCCGACTTCCGCAACCTGCAGGAGCGGACGGCGCGCGACATGAAGGCGGCGCGCGACTTTGCTATCCAGAAGTTCGCCAAGGACCTGGTGGACAGCGTCGACAACTTCGACCGCGCCCTGGCCATGGTGCCCGAGGACAAGCTCAAGGCCGAGGAGCAGACGGAGCAACTGCGCGACCTGGTCAACCTGTACGAGGGCCTGCGCATGACCGAGAGCATCCTGCTCGAGACGCTCAAGAAGCACGGCCTCGAGCGCTTCGACCCCCACGGCGAGAAGTTCAACCCCAACGAGCATGAGGCTACCTTCATGACCCCCATGGCCGACAAGGACGAGAACACCGTCATCCACACCCAGCAGAAGGGCTTCAGGCTCAACGGCCGCATCCTGCGCCCCGCCAAGGTCGGCGTGGTCAAGAACAAATAGAGAGTGCAAAGCAGCATCTTTGTTCCGCGCTAGGGGGCTGAGAGGGTGACACCTCTCTGTGTATGCGCACCCCCGTGTATTATCACTACTATTATCATCTTCTCTGCTGTATTCTTTCTTCGGCACCGAAGAAGTGCCCGTGGGGGAGGGACAGGGGCGTTTTACTCATCTTTTCGTTTTTCTGGTTTCCCATGTATAATGCTCCTCTCACGATGTCAGTTGTCTGCTATAAAACAAAAATCTCTTAAGCATATTCGGAAAGCGGAAAATTTGGGGAGAAGAGAGGCAGGCGGAGGAAGGAGGTCGTGGGCGAGCTCTTTTGTCTGTACCGAGTGTACGTATGTATGTTGTCTGCCTGCCTGCCCTGTCAAACTGCATATACCATCACACAACTTGATTCACAATGCCAGCTTTCGTGTCTCCTGGTTTAACCTTTGGGGATGCGCTACGGGTTGCGTCACATGAGCAAGCTGGGAGAATGGATATGGATCCTCTTTACCCCTTTCCGGGGACCGCAGGAGGTGCGGCAAAAGTCATCTCTCTCTGTCTGTCCCTGCGCCGATTGTCTATCCGACTGACTGGATTGTATGTACCTATGTACTTGATCGGCCGCTTGACGAGGCGGCACGATGGCATCCGTCAAGGGGGCAGAGACTCGGAAAAGAAAAAGGTGAAAAAAAGAAAATCAAACCCCAAAGGCGCGTCGCCGTCCGTCCGCCGTTCCAGTCGTCTCGTCCTCCACCACCTGCCAACCATCGAGGCAGTGCGTAAGCAAGCTAGACACCAGCACACGCCCTTTTGCCACTCACTCAGCAAGTAGCAATCTCAACGCTGCAGCGGCTCCGCCAGCGCCAGATACTCATCCTCAGTAACATTACCAACCGCCTCGAGCAGCGCGCCAACACCAGCATGATAGCCCGCCGCAGCCGCCATGGCCTGCAGCTCGGCCTCGGCCGCCGCCAGCCGCGCGCGCAGGCCCGTCTGCTCGGCCTCGGCCGCCTCGACGCCCGCGAGCTCGTCCACCACGTCGCCCGCCACCGCCGCTAGGTGCGCCGCCGCGTGCTCGCGCATCCGCGCTGCGTGCTGCGCTGCGTCGCGCTGCGCGATGCGTGCCATGAGCGCGGCCGCGTTGCGCGCTTCTATTTTGCTGTTGGGGGCGGGCTGTGTTAGTTGAGTCTGGTTTTTTTTTTGGGCCTTTTGGGTTTTTTTTTGGTTTTTCTCGTGTTGTTGTTTAGTTTGTGTTTGCAGAGGTTTGATGTTGTGTTAGGTTGTAGGATTAGTAGTAAGTGGGTGTTGCGCGGGGGAGAATGGGAATGGGAAAAGGGGTGAAAGTAAACAACAACGACCAGTCATCAACGCCGACCCACACCAAAACCATCAACAGACAAAGAAAGCAACAAAGAAATGAAATGAGAGCAGAAAAACGTACCGGAAGTGCAAAGCCTTCAGCTGCTTACGCATCTCGTCGTTCTCTTCGTCGAGGCGCTTCCTCTCGCCCGCAAGCATGCGCTGCTCGCGGTATCCGTCGGCCAGCGCAGCACGGGCATCGACACCGCGCACGCCGCCAAATAGCTCGCCCTCGTAGTTCTCGACGGCGGCAGCGACTTGCTCCTGCAGATTGTGCGTCAGTCGGTGTTACTGAGAGAGCAAAACTGGGGCTGGGCTGGGCTATGCTTACCTCGGTGTACGTCTCGACGTCGCCCTTGATCTTCTCGGGATCGGCGGGCAGGACCTTGATGAAGCCATCACGGAGCATGCGCTTCTAGCGCGCGGCCGCGGGGTCCATGCGGGTCAGCAGGTACTGGGCGACGCCGTCGGCGCGCCCGAGGTTGTGCGACGGGTCGATGCCTTTTGTGTACGTCTGGTCAGCCAGGAGACTACAAATCAACTATATATGCCAGGAGGCACATACCTGGTGCGGTCCACAGTGCGGTCGGGTTCGGCGGCAGGCCGTGCTGGTGCTGCTGCGACGCCATGGCCGGGTTGCCGTCCGAGCTGTCGCTCCACGCCGCGTAGTCGTCGTAGATGGGCCAGTCGCCCGCGCCGTACTGCACCACGTGCTCGTTCTGCTCGTCGCCCGTGTCGGCGGGCGTCGGCGGGCGCTGGCGCGGCTCGTCCTGTGAGGGGCGGAAAGGGGTCGGGATAAGCCAAAGCCACACATTGCCGACCAGTGCTCGCGCACGCGTCGTTTCACCCGCTCTGCTTGGAGGGTAAAAGGGGCGAAGGGCGAACCTTTGGCACCGTTGGCTTCTTGGGAGCGGGACCCGACTCCTGCTGCTTGTTGCTCCTGCTGCAGCCCTCGGCCCAGGCAGCAAAGGTGCACGGCGAGATGCCGCCGTGCTCGGCGGGGCCCTCGTCGTCCGAGACCCAGTCTTGGTCGTCGTCGTCGTCGTAGCCGCCCGCGGCGGCAGACCAATACATGCTTGAATGGGCCTCAAGCAAGCCGCCTCGGCCGCCCTCAAAGGCGGCAGCGAGAGCTACGGCTACGCTCTCTGGGGTGGGCGTGCCCGGGATCGAGTCGGGCAGCGCCGGCATGTCGCCGCGCTGGTGGTCCTCGTCGGCCACCTCCTTTCCCTTATGGTTGGCCGCATGCCAACCCTCGCCGCTGCCGGCCTTGATATTGTCGGCGCCGTGGCCTCCGGGAACACACAGGTGCTCAAAGTTTGCCATCTTGACTTCGGCCAGGATTCTGTTTGACGATGTGTCAGAACGAGCAGGCTGGCAACAAATGGACGGAAGAGAGTGATGGTAAGGGGTTGAAGCCGAGACAAGAAAATGGTGCTATCGGTGATGGGTATGGGAGAAGAAGTGAGACAGTAAAAAGGAGAGTGAAGTGAACGGCAAGCAAGAAAAAAAGGGGAACACAACAGTGACAACGTACCGCGCCTCGCCCGAGGCCTCGTTCTGCTCCTCTCTGTTAAGGAGCTGGCCCAAGAGCCGCTCGTTCTCCAGGTCGACGCCGCTGGCGCCACCACGCATCGCCACATATGCGGCCATCATCGAGTCGGTGAGGACCCAGTTTCTGGAGCTCTCACCCGAGGGGTTGGCTGCCGAGCAGCCGGCGGCAGGACCGCTGTCGTCACGTTCTGCAGAAGCCATGGCGGAATCGGCAAGTTAGCTAAGGTAGGTTTCTTTTTGGCCGGGAAAAACAGGGAGCCGCAAAATGGCCAAGACTTGGTTGGACGATCGGGAGCGAGGACTAAAGTCAAGCGTGAGGAAAGGAAAGCAGCCAAAAAAAAAAAAAAAAAAAAAAGGGAAAACAAAACAACCTTTGCCCTCGTTTTGGACCATGCTCTCGTTCTTCTCATTCTGGCCGGCTTGGCAGTGCGATGACTGAATGGACTGCCTAAAGAAGAAAAGAGGAAAGGAAGAGGAAGGAGGAGGGGGCCAGGGGGTTTTTATAGGGGACCCCGAGGGCGGGCCGGAGCCAGGCGCGGAAAGTGGAGGGTTTCTCACTTTGCTCTCACAATATGCCCGGGCAGACAATAGTAACGCGCACAATAGTAACCCGGGGAGCAACAATAGGAACTGCAGAGATGGCCTGGTCATACGGCCCAAGACTGCCAGCCATTGTCAGAGATCTATTGTTGATAAGGACAATGTGCATATCCGTCAACCCTGAATAAAGTATTTGAACAATTCAAACCACAGTGCAGTATAGTTTATGCCTTTCACAATAAGCAGTGGCCGAGTTCAAGACACACCTTCTCATCCCTCGCAGAGAGACAGACATTGAAATATATTCCCGGCTCCGGTGCTTGGCCAAGTCTTTGTACAGACTTATTACCCCCGAGCTCTTCACCTTGAAACTACACATCCAACTCGTCGCTTCAGAGAGCCACAAGCGATCCCAGACCGACCCAGACTTCCCCGACGAAATCTGGAAAGATCATGAGGCATTCAAACGCCAGAAGCTAGAAGACGACGAGCTGTGCAGGGCCCAGGACGACGCCAAACAGCCTACAGAACCAAGGAAATCGTTGGACGGTCTCTCCCAGGCCTGAAACTAGTCACCCCCGTCACCGCAGCTGGCGAACGTATATACCCCGGCCTCGCTTCTTGTTCCCACGATATAAATTCTAGGATTGATGCTAGAACCGCCACCATGCAGACAACAACCAATTCAGAAAAAAAAAATGAACAAAGTCCCCGACATACCCAAGGCACCGAAAGATCGAGCAAAAGGATATAAGTGTAAACGCGAGGAGAATATCGCAGCTATAGAGGCCGCTGCCCTATCTACTCCAAACAAGAAACGCGAAATTGTACTGGGCTGCGCGGCCCGCCCTCTCCGGCTCCATTATGTGGGCTTTGTGCCTCGAAAGGGGCCATGGGGCCAAAAACGCGAATTCAGCACGTCTGCAAACTCATAAAGTTGTAAATCCTCGGCTTACACTTGACCTTGGTCGTCGTAGCAAGGTACTTGCTTGCCTAGCGGCAGTTGGGTTGCTCGGTGAAGCCTATGTTAGAGTGCCTACTAGCTATCTATCTACTCGCCCACCTACTTCCATAAAAAGATGCTTGGAGATCTGATACGTGCCCGTATATCTCATAGTTCAATATTCTACTGCTTCAAATTCCTGGCTCTCCAACTAAACTACCTTTTTAGCGTGCGTGTGTAGTGATTGGTATAGGTCATATGAATGTTTTGATCAACTCCAAAACTATAGAAGTCGTCCCTAGACAGACATGCCGAATAAATAAATAAACACGAAACGTATCCTTTCTCATGCCCAGATCCAGATCGCCAATGCAGGAAGGCGTTTGCTTAACGCATTTTCCATCGCCCCGTGATGTTTTCATGTTCCATCCTGCTTTTTCTCTAGCCGCCCAGGACACCCGTAGCCTCTTTGGTTTTTTTCTAACTTGGTCCTTGCAGCAGCCAGCACCCCACCACGTTTATATCTATCCCGGAAACAAAACTTGGAATGCGAAAGGGGGTTCAACTCGGACAAGATGACGCTCAGTGGAGGCATTCTCTATTAAGAAGTTAGAACTTTGACTTTCTCCATACAAGTCTGCAAAACGGCCCGAAGACGATGTTAGTGCAAAAAGGGGGGAAAGAGAAAGGTGGTATTTTAGGTAAGAAAGCTAGAGTCTTGAGGGAACCGGTCATATTGGGCAAGGCAACGAATGCCTCGAATCAAGCGTGGAGTTAATATGACATGATATTATTTTATTTCTTTTATACCCCAAGAATCCCGCCCAACCAAGTTTTCTAACTAATCGTTCCTCTAGTCTTACCATCTTGAGTACTTCTACACCACTACGCAGCTTCATATCATACGCGCCATCCCCGAGCATCATACCTCGTAGTTACGACACCCACTACCCACTTTAGCACCACCATCCACCCCCCTCACACCTCGCAACCCTTTACCCCCTAACCATCCAACCAACCAATCACAGGATAAACAACACACACGAGACCTTTGACGCAACCAGCACCAGCCTCAAATCCACCATAAACCGCGCCACCGCCAGATTGACCCACGCCACCGCCAACCAGACGCGCGCAAACATGACGGCCCTTTCCAGACGGTCGCCGGTGCCCCTCGTCAGCGGGCGCAGCAGCTCGCCGAGCATGCCGCGGCCGTCCATGTACCAGCCCCGCGAGGCGAAGTAGGGGATCAGCGTGATGGTGACCAGCGCGTAGCTGTGTACGACTGTGGCGTCGAGGGACGCGGCTGCGGAGAGGAACATGCGGAAACTCGTCGCGGTGGGGAGGCCGAGGGTCCAGAAGATGAGGGACTCGGTCTAGAACAGCGGGAGGGCGAGTTGGCCGAGGAGGAGGTGGATGAGTTTGAGGAGGGAGACTAGCTCGTCTTCCATTTTTTTTAATTTTTTTTTCCCTGGCGATTGTTGCGAGGGGTTGAGAGCGAGGAGACTGGGCTGAGCCGGATACAGGGAAGGCAGTTGAGATAAATCCATGGCCGAGTTTGGGTTGGTTGTTTTCCTTATTTTGAGTTGCAAGTGATCTAGCCACATGGAAACGTGAACCTTCGACTCTCGCGTGCCAGGCGCTAACGGGGTTGGGTCAAGTTAAAGTCATAAGGTAAAACGGGCCAGCCAGTCCTGGGTTGCTCGGCAGGGGACACCGCAGAGAGCAGACCCAAGCCCTCATCCGTGGCGACTACAACGACACGGTACAAGCAACATGAACAGCCTGAGTGAGAGCAAATAGAAACCCAAAGAAGAGCTGAGTGTAGAGTGTGTTGCGTTGTTTTGCTTTGTCCCTCTTGTGATGGCACCCGAGACTCTTTCTTTTATTTACATAAATATAAAAGAGAATTCAACTTTTGTCTCTCCCATCATGATGGTATCCTACCCCACCACCCTACTCCCGAGGCAACAGTACCAACACCCCTATAGCCAACACTTCTCTCTTCGACTCAGGCCTTGTACAGCAGATCCAAAAAGCCCCTCGCCAAGTCGACGACGACGCTCTTGTTGGGCAGGCTGCCGGCGACGCCGTATAGGGCAGCGGCGTCGCCCGTGCCCTTGCCCTTGGCGCCCTTGCCCTCGACGATGCGCACGCGCTCCTTCTCGCGCTCCTCCTCGACGACGGCCTCGAGGTCGGCCGCCAGCCGCTCCCACACCTTGGAGAGGGGCAGCGTCATGGCTACGTGGATGGCGGGCGGGTTCTGGAGGGCGTTGAGGTGCCACCCGCGGGCCGTCATGCCGTCCGAGATGTCGTACACGTCCAGGTTGCGCGCCCGGAACGCCACCACGCTGACCAGCGGCTTGCCCATGATCTCGAGCTCGGCCGCCAGCGCCGGCGTGTCGCGGATGCGCTCGGCCAGCTTCTTGGCGGACCCGACAATCTGCTCGCAGCTAGCCAGGTAGCCCGCCTCGCCGACCGTCACGAGACTGGCCCAGCAGGCGGCGATGAGGGCCCCGGGACGGCTGCCGGCGATACCGGGCGACGCATACACGCCGCCGCTCCAGCTCGGGTCGACAAAGTACTGATATGTGCGCAGCTCCTGGGTCCGGTACAGCACAGTGCTGCTACCCTTGGGCGCGAAGCCGTACTTGTGCGTGTCGCAGCTGATGCTGGTGACGCCCTTGAGCCGGAAGTCAAAGGGCTCCGCCTCGAAGCCGGCCTTCTCGAGGAAGGGCATGAGGAAGGAGCCGAGGCAGCAGTCGACGTGCAGCGGCAGGCGGCGCTTGAGCGCCAGCTTAGACAATGCGCTGATGTCGTCCATGATGCCATGCGGGAAGTTGGGCGCCGACCCCACCAGCAGGATGGTGTTGCTGTTGACCAGGCGCGACACGCGGCGCACGTCCACCTGGTAGGTCGGCGCAGGGCACGCAACCATGTGGATTTTGATCTTGAAGTACTCGCCGGCCTTGCGGAAGGCCGTGTGGGCCGTCTCGGGGAGGATCATCTCTGGCTCGGTAATGCCGCGTTCGGCGTAGGCCTTTTGTCTCGCGCTCAGGCAGGCGGACAGGATGCTCTCGGTGCCGCCGCTGGTGCTGACGCCGGCGGCGCCGACGGGGGCGTTGAAGAGGCCGAGGACCATGGCGACGACCTCGGCCTCCATCTTGCGCACGCCGGGGAAGACGTCGGGGTGGATGGGGTTGGCGACGGTGAACTTGCCGTAGGCCTCGGTCTGCAGGCGCAGCAGGTCGTCCTCGCCGTGGTAGACGGCGCCCGAGACGTAGCCGTCCTCCCAGCGCGTGTGGTCCATGGTGGCCAGCGTGTCGAGCTCTTTGCGCACCGCGTCCTCGGACCAGCCCTCTTTGGGTAGGGTCAGGTAGCGCGTCGTGCTAGCAGGCACCATCTTGATCTGCAGCTTGGCGAGGGCGTCGTGCACCTGCTTGCGCACCTGGGTGCGTACGCCGGGCATGCGCAAGAAGTAGCCATAGCCGATGCGCCGGGCGTTGGCGTACAGCTCGGCCAGTGTGCCCAGCAGCCCGCGGCCCTTGAGTTTTAGCAGCACGTGTCGCGTCCATCGCAAGACGAAGAGGAAGAAGACAATGTTTCGCAGCCTGTGTCTGGTGTTAATTGGGTCTCCTGCTTATCCCTTGGCGAGTCGGGCTGTGTGCATAATAAACACATGGAGGGTGGTAATGATACACGGGAAGGGATGGGATGGTATGGCGGGAGGAGGGCGGGAGGAGGTCGTGCTTATCCATCCCTATAACGAAATGAAATGAAATAAAATAAATAAACACTGACAGATCCAGGTTTAGCAGCTGCAGCGTATTGGCCGGCCGCGATCTCTTGACAGTGTTGAAGCTCTCTCGTAAGCTCACGGGCATGCGGGAAGTGCCCGGCATCCTTCCGAGTGGTTCCAACCGCGAAACTTGGCCCCCAAAACCGTCGCAACCAAATACCTCAAGGATCAGTCTCAGTCAGTATCAGTACCAGGCCGTCAACGCTGAGCCGTTTGTTCTCTGAAGGGCCAAGGAAGAGCGAGCAAGGCCGTTTGCGCTGCTCGTGTCGCCACCTCCTGGTCAGGTAAGGAAGGCCGACGCTCGCTGCCTCAGGTTGTGCGTGCCGTCAACTAGACCCAGGCCGACCTCGATGCCCGGGACATTGGTGCTTCTGGCAGGGTGGGTTAAAAAAAAAAGAGGAAAGCTGGCGGGGATTCTGGCTTCACTTGTTGGCGAAAAGATTATGGACCATCAGAGTCCGAGGTGATGTAAAAGCTCGGGCTTTGGGGCGACTGGGCCTTGCAAGACATTAGTACGCAGCGGACTTACATACCTAGCGAGCTATCCGTATTCCGTGCTAGTGAATGGGCGACGAGATGGTCGAGTCCCACGCAAGCCGTCACCTACCCCACCACGCTACTGAGCCGAGTTAGCGAGCCATCCATCACATGCGTCCCCAAGGTCCCGCCCGTTCTTCCTACGTTCGGTACGGAGCACATTAGCCCTAGTGCGTTTGACCGTTTTTGGCCACCAAAGCTTGCTAAGGCTCCAGGACGCCCCTTCCCTTCTTTGTCAGCTATTAGGTCGTCAACGAGGCAACATGTCACGAGAGCCCGGACAGGGACCCTCTTTTGGAGCAACGCTCGTCGGAGTGTGGTTGCCAATGTGGCAGCAGCAGCATCGAACTCGTCACACTGCCTCGGAAGAGCACCAAAAGAAACAGGGAATACGCATGCCTAGGTAGGTAGGTAGGCTGGCAGTCAATTAACGAAAATGACGACAAGGCCTGGCCGTTTCCATGACATCCACCTTTCACACACTCCCTAGTTTATAACCAAATACGAGCGTCTATCGCGTGCAGAAAGCAGAGTGCAGAACAAAATAAGCCAATCTGCATCCATACCGTCCATATATCCATATACAAAACACCGCGGCCAACGTCCGTGATGGCCGGCTTTCTACCCCGAAATGAAGTGGGCTTGCAGAGCCAAGCTGTGCAATTACCATGAACGCACCCCGCGTGTCCGTACCGTAATCCAACTGCCCGCCCCTTTTCACTCCCGTCGCGAATAGTAAAGGGCAAGGGGGGTTGCCGCCATCCCAACAGGAAATCCTCGAAACGCCAGTTTTACATGTTCCTCTGAGAACCAAAAGAAGCACTTCATCCATGGGTGATTATGGAAGCGCATGCTCGGAGTGGTAGTGGTGGTAGCAGTGGTGAGGAGAAAGGCTATCGTTGGCTCGTTGCCGAATGTGATGACAAAATGTGGTTTCGTTAATCGCGTGAAAGACGGTTGTGGCCATCGACCGTCCTCCCTTTCTTCATCATGAGTTCTTGAACGCCGTCCGCCACTTCTGGGCGAATTTCTGTGACTCGACTTCACAGGCAATCGAATTTTGTGCCTGGCAGTCGACAAACCGAATGGCAATATCCCCGTCCTGGTATTCGGCTCCCTTGCTGGCCTTGCTGTATGAATTGATGGTTCGCTGGTTTACGAGGGCCAGCTTCGCTAGTATAGTGGGATGCCATTGCACGATATGTTCCTAATAAGCGGTTCAGCGCCTGGGTTCATGTGTCCTGGTGCGCTCAAGATTTCGAGACTGGGCACCGCCCTCGGGAACTCACCAACGCATGTGTCTCGGCTTTCTGGAAGTTGTAGCTCCTGTAGAGCGGATCGAACCAAGTCTCCAAGAAGAACTTTGCCCAGTCTCCGTTCCGGAGCACGTAGCTGCCAGACGACAGCCCTTCCTTGTCCTGCGTCAAGACGAAGTCGACATCCTGCCCCTTGAGATGGCTGAACGTCTTGATTATGCTGTCTGGAGGGACGACTGGATGATCCTTAATCATCAACTTCTCCAACCTAGACGACTTCATCACGTGGTCTTCAATCTTGAGGCGCGGGTTCATCACGAACGAATTCTGGTCGAGATGCCAGACGTAGTTGCAGTCCGGAAACTTGGTGAGCGCGTGGCGCATCGCCACCACAGTCGTCCAGGATGCCGGCGCGTTCTTCAGGTCGTAATCGCCCACCTTGGGGAAGAAAGTCTGGTAGCCTAGAGACGATCCCAAGTTAGAATCGTGGGGGCCTTGGGGGAGGGGGCATCGTGCCGCGACGGACTGCGTCACGTACCGTGTCTTTCGGCATATTGTATCCTGTTCTCCTTCACCGCATCTATGTATGCTTTGCTGTACTTTACCTCGTCGAGCACCGTCACCAGCACAACGGGCGGCTTTCCTGACGGCCTGTGCTGCGAGTATGCGCCATGCCCATGGCTCGCCCAGGTGACGAGGTATATAAAGGTGATGAGGGCGAGCCCGGCGAGAGCGATGAGCTGGAGACGGCTCCGCCTGAATCGCGGGAGGTTGGACGAGCGCGGGAGGTATAGCGGAGGATTCGATGTCTTCCGCGGAGGGTATGCGAAATGCATCGCCGGCAGCAACGGCCCAGGCGTCCCCTAGGCCCGGTACAGAGTGGCCGGCGACTCGTACAACTATATCTCCAGTCGAGAAGCGAAGTAAGGCATGCACAGTCGGGATGGCTTTCGAGGCCGGTTTTCGTCTGACGGGATAGGTGGCTAGCGAGGGTAGCGCGCGGGTTTGGATAGGGAGGTGTCGCAAATCGGAATTTATTCGGATTAGCTGTCTGTCAGCCGGGCAGGTCGAGAGGGCATAGGTTTAATTTGGTAGCACATCTAGGTGTCAGGATTTAATAGACATTGGCGAGATTGGCTGGCGACGCTGTGCCTCGTACACGGACTCGGCCCGCAAGGTGTTGAGGTGGGCGCGGACAGGGAGGAGCGAACGACTGGGCGAACTCGAACCCAGGGAGAGTGAATGCATACAGATGTTTGCCAAAGCCAATCAAGCCGCCACATTCGTCGAGTGTGGATGCCGATGCCGATACGGATCGAATTGGTTCGAAGTCCAGAGGTTCCCTGAATGGCCAGGCGCTCTGTCAACACTCGGAAATCGGCAAGGGAGTGGTGACAGGTGGCAGCCGCTGCATTAGCTGTAGCAGGGTCACCAGTGCCCACATCAAATTTTAGCGGAACGGCGCCATGGCCTTATCGCATCTTATCGGCCCAAACGTCTAATTGAATCGGCAACTCCCTTCGTTGTGTCGTGATAGAGACCGAGAAAAGCCAACGAAAGATGTCTTCATCTACCTGGCCCACTTTGGGTACTCTGTTACAATAAGAATGGCTCAATTAACATCTATATACGGAAATACGGCTATATTAATGAACTAAATCACAATTCAATAAACAACTTGAAGAGAGGCAAAATGGCTATTAGACGTGCTTTGCGAACAGGGTTAGGGTTCACCGCTGAATTTTCCTTTAATTTTCCTTGCTCATTCTTTTTCCGAGTTACTGTGTTAGTAGCCACCAGATTTTGGTTTCGTCGCTTATGAAGCTCAACAGATACATTTCACATTCACCGTACAACGGACGGCTATTAATGTCTCAAACATGAGCTGGAGGAACCGAATTTGACCCAACCACATCGTCCCTTCCTCGAAGCTCAAACTCACTCAACACTACCCCACTTGGCCGTCGTGGCGGGTGAGGGCCTCAAATTATTTTCCTTCACTGAACTTCCCTTCCCTGTGATGCAGTCGTTCTGCAATATCAACTTCCAACATGTCGCGCCGGCCACAGCTTCTAAGAGGGGGCATCGATAGAGAGACGTACCAAATAGTGCGCAGGCTCGAGGAGTTGGAGCAGAGCGAGGACGACTTTCAGAAGGGCCGGCGCAAGAAGAGCCGCCTCACTGTCGGCGTCATCTACGACAGCATCAAGCGCTCCAACTCGAGCCTAGCCCGCCAGAAGAGGCGCTCGCTCGAGGACTCGATTGAGCGGGTGCTAGCGCTGCGCAAGGACGAGGCCAAGGCCGACGACCAGTACGACTCAGACGACGCTATAGAGCTCGCAGAGAAACAGGCTGCTGCTGCGTCTAAGGCTCCCAGCCGCGACTTTAATTTGTTGAACAAGCAGATCGCCAAGGCCTGGAACATAAACAACACAACCTCTACCTCTACCACCACAACGACAGGCGTTGCTGTCGCGCCCGAGACGGATGGCGACTCTTCTCAAACGCCGGCCGTGGAGTCGGCAACGCCTGGCAAGGAACCAATAGCGCCTGTCCTAGAGCCAACAACGCCTGGCCCAGAACTAACGACACCTAGTGCAACCCTCGACAGGCGTGTCAACGGGGAGCCGAGGCCTAAGAAGAGAAAGGGCACGCCCAGGCCCGAGATGGTTGACCGATCCCCGCCAACGGGCCTGTCCATCCGCGACATCGCTGGCGTCGACGACACGCTGGACCGGCTGCTGGACGAGGTCTGGTTCCCGCTCTGCGCCGGGGAGGCCTGCGAAAAGATGGGCTACCGCTACGAGAACGGCGTTCTTTTGCACGGGCCGTCAGGCTGCGGCAAGACGGCACTGGCCAACGCCGTTGCCGGGAGCGTCGGCACCGCCTTCATCCCCGTCTCGGCCGCTTCCATGATCAGCGGCACGTCGGGCGAGTCCGAGAAGAACATCCGCGACGTGTTTGACGAGGCGATTCAGCTCGCCCCTTGCCTTCTCTTTATCGACGATATCGACGCCATCGCCGGCAAGCGCGAGAGCGCCAGCAAGGGCATGGAGGGCCGTATCGTGACCGAGATCATGAGCGGCATGGACCGCATCAAGAAGAACGCGCCGCTCGGCAAGAACGTGGTTGTGCTAGCCGCTACCACCCGACCCGACTTCCTCGACCCCGCCATTCGGCGACGCTTCAGTGTCGAGATAGACATTGGCATGCCCAACGAGCGTGCCCGGGAGCAGATACTACGGTCCATGGCGCGGGGCCTCAATGTAGCCGACGACGTCGACTTCTCCGAGCTGGCCCGTCTGACGCCTGGCTATGTTGGGAGTGACTTGCAGCACGTGGTTCAGGCGGCTGTGACTGGGAGCTTCCGCGGTGGGCTTGAGGACCTGATTGACAAGGCGCGCACCTTCAGTCCTCCCACGAGCAACGACGATGGCTTGACGCCGGTACAGCGGAACTGGCTCTTACTCGAGGACCATCGGAACGCGTCGTGGGGCCAAACATGCATTACGCAAGCACAGTTCAAGGTCGCCGTGGCGCGGGTCCAGCCAGCTTCGAAGCGGGAAGGGTTCAGCGCGATTCCGGACACGACATGGGCCAAGGTCGGCGCACTTGGCGACGTGCGGCGCAAACTCGAAATGTCCATCATCGGCCCTATCAAGCAGCCCGAGCTTTTCCGCAGAGTGGGCATCAAGCCGGCGGCGGGCATTCTGCTCTGGGGCCCTCCCGGGTGCGGCAAGACCCTGGTGGCCAAGGCCGTGGCCAACGAGTCCAAGGCCAACTTCATCTCGATCAAGGGCCCCGAGCTACTCAACAAGTACGTGGGCGAGTCGGAGCGGGCAGTACGACAACTATTCTCGCGCGCCAAATCTTCAGCCCCTTGCGTCCTCTTCTTTGACGAGATGGACGCGCTTGTCCCTCGCCGCGACGACTCCCTGTCCGACGCCAGCGCGCGCGTCGTGAACACCCTCCTGACCGAGCTGGACGGCGTCGGCGACCGCACTGGGATCTACGTCATCGGCGCTACCAACCGCCCCGACATGATCGATGAGGCTATTCGCCGCCCCGGTCGCCTTGGCACGAGCATATACGTCGGCCTGCCTTCGCCCGAGGACCGCGTCGACATTCTCAAAACACTGTACCGCAACACAATCATCAAGGCTAAGGCCGACGCGCCATCACCGGCGACAGAAGCATCTACAGCAGGCCTGGACGCCTCAACAGCGATGGAGATTGAGGAAGAAGAGGTAGATCTGGAGCGCGTGGCCCTCGACCCCCGCTGCACGGGCTTCTCGGGCGCGGACCTGGGCAATCTCATGCAAGCCGCCGCGCAGGCCTGTCTGCAGAGGGCGTATCTCATGCAGATGCAGATAGAGCAAGGCACGGCATCGACAGGCACCCCCGTGATCACGCTAAGGGACTGGGAGAAGGCCCTGACGGAAGTCAAGCCAAGCGTCAAAGACATGCGCAAATACACTAGTATGAACTGAAAAAGAAGAGGGGCATATACGTAGCATATAGACAGGAGCACATGAAGGGCGTACTGGGTTCAGATAAATAGAGGCGGGTTGGATCTAGACATGGAGGGGACAACAATGCTGTCACGTCAAGGTTTGAGATTCTGTACTATCTGTCGGTTACGAGCCTCTGATACAAACGATACATACCCATCCTACCAATTGTCATAGCACACCGTTGTCCTCTTTAAAAATGCGAGCATGGGTGCGGCTGGTTTATGCTAGGCACGTGGAGAGCAAAAGAGGAAAAAAGGCTTTCAGAGGGAATAAAAAGAGTAGGGAATCATATGTCGGGTCGCCGAGCACTGGTCTAGCGTCTATGGTACAATCATGTGCAAAGCCAGCCGTTCTAATGCAAAAGAGTCCCGTTATTAATACAACACGTAACAAACTACAACCGCCACCGCCCACAACACCGTCGTCGCGTCTTTTTTTTCTTCTTTCTCTATTTGGTCGACTCCTTCAGGAAGCTAGATAGGTGGGAAATGGGTTAGTTTTTTCCCCCCCTGGGATATGGGTTTGTTCGGATAAGCGAAGAGGCGAGAGAAGACGTACGTAATGAGATCGTTCCTGTCCTTGTCCTTCTTCAGGCCGCCGAAAGCCATCTTGGTTCCGGGGATGAACTTCTTGGGGTTCTCAAGGTAGTCGAACTAGAAGGCGAAAAAAGTTTGTTAGCCACCAATTTTCGCGCAGATTGTCAGGTCAATCTTCACGGGAGGGCCATACCAGAGTGTCCTCGTTCCAGGTAATGCCCTTCTGCTTGTTGGCATCCGTGTATGCGTAGCCGTCGACGGAGCCGGTCTTGCGGCCGAAGAGGCCGTGGAGCGCGGGGCCGATCTTGTTGCCGCCGTCTTTCTCGAGGGTGTGGCACTGCGCGCACCGCGTCTTGAAGAGGTTCGCACCCTTCTTAGCATCGCCTGATTATTCCAACAGTCACACGTCAGCAACCTGCAGCAGCAACATGTGAAATAACGCAGCAAGGTGAGGCACAAGAAAAAGTGCGCCAAAGCCCCCGTTCAGAAAAAGGCACTCCATGTTCGACAAGGGAAAAAGGCTCCCAGTCTCGTTCTGGCCGTGATGTTTTGCCGACCCGGGCTTGCAGCCGAGGTTTGCGAACTCGGGAAGGGCGGAAAAATACCGCAGCGCGCATGTTTGCGGCGCCGCCGTCGCTCGGCGCAAAACAAGCCACCATGGCTTCTTCTTTGCGACTTGGCAAAGAATGAGGGCCGACGGGGGGGCAATCAACACCGATTCTAGCCAGGAGAGCGGGTGCTAGCACCGGCGGGCCACGTGTGGGCAGCCAATGGCTCGCAAGAGGCTAGATCTCGGGGGGTGGTAGTGGTGACGGTGACGACGAAGGCGGATGGCGGGCCAACAAAAAAATTTATCCCCCGGAGTTGGAGAAAACAAAAAATTGCTTGTCTTACCCGACTTGAAGCCCATTGTGACAGATGTTGTGGTGTAGTGGTATTAAGAATTAGAAGGCGTGACAGAGAGTCGATCGAGGATATGCTGGGAGATTTTCGTTTGTTCGTGAAGGTGAAAGTTGGAAGAAGGGGAAAGAAGTCGCGAAGGAGGGAGTTTCCAGGAAAATAAGAAAACCAGGGTAACCACACAGCGTGCGTTCCTTGGCTGGCCTGGCCTGTGCCGGGATCTTTTTTTCCAACTTTTAATCGGATGACCTACTAGCCTCCCGAGTCCTGGGCCACAGGAGCCACAGTTGGGGCTAGAGGGAGTGGAGATTTGACGAGCGCGCGCCAATCAGGTCCCGAGAGTTACTAAGGGCATGGCGGGCGAAATCGGAAAAGGCCGGGCCAGGTTTCCATTTGCCTGCGCTTTGCCGTAGAGCATCGGCGGAGCTACGTGCCCGTTCCTTTGAAGAAAAGGGCCGCTAGACTAAAAAGGAGGTAAAATCGACAGGCACACACATCATCATCGAATGTGGCGTAGGCATGCTGGGCTGTTGCGCCACACAGACTGAAACCCGGGCCCCCCAGCCTGACCAACGAGGTACCCAAGTACCCGAGTGCCTCACTTCACCTCCGCGCCAAGGCTGCACGAGGCAGAGCTAAGCTGCTGTAATTTTCATGTCATCATCCAGTTCGCGTCCAAGCTCCTTCAAGAAGAGCCGCAACGTCCACGACGCACCTCGGTTCTGAGGCGCACGCCAATTGAACCCTCACTCACCACCGTAACACAACCACAATGGCGGGCGCAGCGTCGATCCCGCGATTCTTGCTGCCTCAGCACGGGCTGATCTGGCGGCGAGCAGCAGCAGCCGCAGCAGGAACAACAGCCTCAGCCAGCCCGGCACCGCAATATGTACGGCTCGCCAGCAGCAGCAGCAGCAGCAGCTCGAGCTCCAAGAAGCCGTCATCCGCAGCAGGACCGGGAAACGTGCTGGCAAAGCCGGAGCGGTTCAACCCGCCGTCGCACGGGGCGCGGCTGCCGCGCAAGGGCGGCGCCCTGCCGCGGCACTACGGCGGCGAGCTGAGCAGCGACGAGGTGCAGCGCCAGCGGGCCAAGGACTACCCGGGCCTGCCGCCGCCACCGGGCACGTGGGGCCAGTGGTTCTGGAACAGCCGCGGCCTGCACATGGCCATCACGCTCGTGAGTTGTTTTCTCGCCGTCGCTCACTCACTGTCTCACTCTCATCACTCTCACTCACTCACTCTCTCACTGTTACTCACTGTTACTCACTGCTGTTACTCTCACGCTCACCCCCACTCACACACACACTCACATACTCACACATTTCCCATCACACACCCGCAACTAACAACACCCCAGGGAACCCTCACATCACTCGCCGTGTACACATTCACAGAGAACTTCAAGCGCACATCGCCCTTCGTCGACCTACTCCCAACCTACAGCGACATGGCGGCGCACCCGATCGCGTCCACACAGCAGGTCATCGAAGTGGTGCGCATGAACGCGATGCACCGGGCGGCGGAGACGGACCGCAAGCGCAAGCGGCACGTCGAGGACGTGGAGAAGCGCAAGCTGTACCGGCAGGCGCACGGGCTGCCCGAGGAGCAAGGGTTCTTCGGGCTGAAGCAGGCCACGATCCGCACCGACGCCGAGATGGCCGCCGAGGCCGCCGCGCGCGCCCACGCCGAGGCGCTTTCCGCCTCGCCTGTGCGGCCTGACACTGACGAGCAGGTGCTGCCGCCGCCAGCTGCTACTAAGGACGGGGTGGCGTCTGCGTCGGCAGCAGCGCCGCAGCAAGGAGAGCCGAGAAAGAAGTGGCTGGGTATCTTTTGATGAATAGCAATGTATCTATATCTATGTACACACACAGTAGGGCTCGGGGGCGCCAACTGTCCTGACCGTAGGCCTGGAGCATCTCCTCCCCATCAACTGCTTTAGCTGAAGGGAGTGGCGTAAATAGACAGAAACATCAAGGCGAGAGGCAGTACGACAGTACTCTGTAATCGTTTCTCGTTTCTCTTTTCTCTCTCTATCCCAGATCCACCGCGTCCAAAGCGTCGAGGACCTCGTCGGCCACGCCGCCCTTCTCCAGCACCTTCTGCACGAGCGCGGCCATGACCAGCGGCTTGGCGCCTCCTCTGGGCGCCCTCCAGACGCCCTCGACGGCCTCGGCCTCTGCCGTCCTGGCCTCGGGCTGGTTCTGCGCCGTGGTCGCGCCGTAGGCGCTGTTGGCGGCGTTGGGCACGCCCGGCGGCGTCAGCCGCGACGGCGGGTCTATCGTGCGGATCGACAGCAACCGGAGGCTGCGTGCCGCGGGGACCGCCGCGTCGTCCAAGTCCATCGTCGCCGCCGTCGAAGTAGCCACCGCCGTGTCCTCCGCTACCGACACGGCCAGCGCTACGTCCGCTACCGCTAACTCCTCCTTGGCCGGGTCAAAGATGATGTTGTTCCCCACCGCCATGACCAGCAGCGTCACGGGCGGCCTCGCGGATTCCTTCGTAGTTCTGCTGCTGCCGCTGCCGCGCGGGTACAGGTGCCGTGCGGCGGCCCAGTCGTCGTCGAAGAACGGGTCCTCGTCTCCCTCCGACTTGAGCAGCGGCAGGCGCGTTGCCAGCAGCGCCAGGTGCGTCGTCAGCGACAGCAGCGGAAGCGGATACGAGAGAGGCGGCGAGATAAGGAGGATCTGTACGTTTGCGTGTTTGTGCGGTTAGCTTCTTTCTCTCGTTTACGATGCGTCAAGTCATGTCACGGGCGACCCGAGAGCAAAAGAACCCTCCACCCCGCGGGCAAAAGACAGAACAGAATAAAAAGGGAAAGAAAGAAACCCACATCGAGATACAGCTTCCAGTGAAAGCGGCGGTTGATCCACAGGCGCCTAGCGAACGCGCCGTCGGCAAGCAGCGCCTCGCTCAGCATGGCACCCAGAAAGGCCGTGCCAGCGTCGTCGTCGCGGTAGCCGGGGATCTCGACCGTCAGCCCGACCCAGTCGCTGTCGCCCGCTTTGTCCCCCCCATCATCATCCTCACCCTCACCCCTCGCACTACCACCCTCTTCCCACTCCGTGCCAGCAGTCGCACCGTCCGCCAGCCGCGTGCGCTCGACCTCGGCCTTGACGCCGACAATCGCCTCGGTGCCGTCGGCAAAGCAGATGCGCGCGCTGCCGTTGGTGCCGGGCAGGATGCCCGTCTCGGCTATGAGCGGGCGGAACTGGGCCGGCGCACGGCCGTCGGGCCGGATCGGCGGCGTCAGCGACAGCGCCGCATGCAGGTAGGCGAGCTCGGCGGGCGAGAGGAGGACGTGTTGTGTGGACGCCATGTTTTTCTTTTGATAACTTGTTTTTCCTTCTCTTTTTCCCGGGGATCCAGATACTCGCGTCTCTCTGCTCCCGTCGTGCCCCTCTTCCTTCTCCCTCTCTTTTTTCTTCTCTCCGGCTTCTCTTTCCCCGTGTCTGCCCGCCTCCCAAACTTCGACCTCAAAAAGTGTCGTGTTTCGTTTCTGGTGTTTCTGCTGTCGAATATATTTTCCGGGCCTCAAGTTATGGGGCAGACAGGATCAGTCGGTGGGAAAAGGTCGAGTGCTTCGGTTCGCACGCGTGGTTCCTTCTGTCCCCGTGTTTACGTTGAAATTGGGAGCCGAGGGGAATGGAAAGGTGGTTTGCTTGGGCGACGAAAACGGATTCCAAACAATCGAAATTTTGGAGAGGCCTAGAATTTTAGTGTAGAGCGTCGGTCAGGGAAGCTTTGCTACCCCACCTTAGTCCGTACCTAGGCCCAGCTGCAAGGGAGGCTGACGTGTGGGGTGAGGCTGAACAGCAACCTAGCTTCACAAGCGGGACCGCTAAAAGCACTACGACAACGCCCTGGCGTACGGGGGTATTAGTATTCGGTGAAATTACATTATTCGTACGAAGCACAAGGTATCCCCCTTTCTCATGGTAGACGCTTCCCCAAGATCATGCAGCCAGATTACCGTAAAAAGTCCCACGACACATTCTCAAAGCATCAACGCAGAACCAGCTCGGCTCAGCACTAAAGACAGTTTATCGATACCTCTGTACATACAATAAACTGCGCTATGTGTCTTGTCAGGCACGCTGCGTCTCCGCAAATAAATTAACCCACATTAAAAGTCCCACCCCTTTTAAGGAGAAAAAAGGGGCAGACAGAAAGCCCGCTGCAGTCCGCTACACACCGTCCGCTGTCTGCTGCAATTCCTTCGGGATCTCCCAGCCATGAGCAGTAGCCGCGCGTCTGTAGGCCTCGACCGCTTCTCCGATTCCATAATCATTCAACTGGTGGGTTTTTTTCTCGAGCCGCGCAGGAAAGGGTTCCGTGTTGGTGATGGCCATGCGCACCTGGAGGATCACGCTCTCCATGCTGTTTACGGGAGTCCAGCCTGAGAGGGTCAAGAGCTCCATGCACATGGCTCCGCCGCCTGTGACATGGCCGCCGCCGCCGTTCATAAAAGGTAGGAAGCGCGGGCGGATAATTCGCACAAAGGGGGGAGACATCGGAAAATCCCCTCCGAAGCGGACCTCGAGGACGATAGACGAAACATTGGCCTCCTTCATGTCCTTGGCCAGCGGGAGGGAGCAATCAAAGCTATGCAGCTCGATGATCCACTGAAATAGATTCGTTATCTCGTCAAAGTCCATGTACCAACCGAGCTCCTGAAGAGGGGTGTTGGCCTGAACGGCCTGCATCTTCTTCAACTCGTGACTCAATTGCCTCGTCGCAAAATCGCTTGCAAACGACGGAGGCTTGAGGCGCACAAGCGTCGACAGATCCAGAGCACCTGGCTTGAAGCTCGTAAGGGTTGGGTCCATGCTTGGGGGAGTCGGCGGCCGTCGGATGCTACTGTCTTTGTGCAACCCGTGATAAGGGTGGGAACCATGACTGAGCGGATAAACGCCTGCCGCATCTATACTAGAGCTGTGGGAATGCGATTTCTTGTGTGGCGGGCTTTTTCCCTCGCTCTCTTCGTCGTCCGAGTGTAGAAACTCGATGTCTATGTCGTCCTCGACGCTGCTGTCGTCTTCCAAGAGCAGAACCCCTCGCTTCATAGATGTCTTTGAGACTCGGCTAACTGGCCCATCAGCCGATCCAGCGTTGACATCTCGAAATGGAATAGCTGACAGGGGTATCTCTATTGATGCGTTATTAGGCCCGTAGATTACGCGAGATGGGTCCTGACCGTGAATTCCGTCACCGGTCGGGACTTGCTGTTTAGGCCATATAATAAACCCAGCGGACCCGAGGCCTATTCCTGACGTAAACACAGTGCTATGGTTGGCCGACTGAACGAATAGATATCGGCACTGGTGCCAGTCCAACTGAGACACGACATAGTGAGGGTTCGTCGACACGAACTCTCCGGGCAGGTTGATGATTTCGTTCAAGCTCATGCAAGCTCCGACCTTGAGGGCCGAGTTTGGCCAAGGCCGAGACGAGTTTTGCACGTAGGCTATGCTTGTGGAATAATGACGACTGAAATACACGCCATTCCCAGAGGCGCGGCCGTTCCTGATGTCCTTGAAATCCAAGCCAGTGCGGATGATGCTATGCCAATTTGACAAGTTGCTGCCGTGCCAAGCAAATATCGTAGGGTTTGCAGAGATGTCATTGCGCGCTGCCACGTCGTGCAGCGCTCGGTTGAATCGTAACTCCTTGTCGGGCGAGCCTTGGGCAAAGCGGAACTGGATCCAACCGTCAAGTCCCGGGATGCGTTCGTGCTCGCGATTTCTGCCCTTGCCGGACAGGCGTTGAGCCTTATCTAAGCCGGCCTCGCCAACCTCTTTCAGGGAACGATCAACCTGCAGAATACAGGAGCGGTTCGAAGACACGATCCACTGGAGGAGAGATGCGGCGGGAGGAGAGATGCGGCTCATAGACCGCAAGCTGCCATGCGCATGATTATGCAAGAAACATCCTATGTCTCGAATACTGGGAAGCGTGTCCAGAATGTGGCGCATGATTTCGCACTTCTCCTGCATGAGCAATGAGTCGAAGTCGGTGTCGTAAAAGAACAACTCTGCGCGATAATCTTTTGGCCCTGTCGGTGCCATGTTCAGCGACACGTTGCCCATTAGCCCAGTGCCCCAATTTCTTCCCGACTCGCCCATTATCTCGATATCAAACCAGCTGCCCGGTTCCGGAATGGCGACTATGACGGCATGAGTCGTTACGGTCTGTCCTAGAGCACGAAATGCGACCCATCGGTTCAGCATGAGATGTCGGTCGCTCATCACCTCTTTCAGTGTGATTCGGTTAGTGCTCGGCGACACTTGTACTTTTATGGGGGTATCCTCTGTCTCGCTGGCTAGGTTCGGCACACTGAGTCTCAAGCCCGTTGGCAGTGTGCGGATGGCGGGTGGTGTTTGCTTGTCTCCAGGGCTATTGTCCTTATACCCGGCGTCCGGTTGGATGGCAGCATAGCACAGACTTACCAGGAGATCTACAACGTATGGCTCCGTGAGAATCTCGCGTTCTATGCTGGGGCCGAGGCCCATGGCCATGTACTGGAACAGACATAAGGGGTTGGCGCAAACATAGGGTCGTAGTGCTTCGAACCCCTTTTCCAGTCTCCTGTGACATCTCAAGCAGTATTCCGTGCATTTGAGAAAGTAATGCATTGCAAATTGCATGGCTGCCAATGGAAAGCTGCCTTGGGTGCTCGGGTCAGCCTTGGTCAGATGGTCGAGGGCGAGGACCTGGTGATCTTCTGCCGCCAGGCCGCTACCGGCTTCTTTGGGCTCAAAGGAGACGTTCTCGGCGGTACCGAATCCTAAACGAGCCGAGAGAAGCTCGTTCGCATCTTCCCACGAGAGTGACCCTCGCTCTCGGAGCTTCAGCAACGATACAAAGCTTTCGTTTAAAAACTGGTCTAGGGAACTGGAGACGAATAGTTTCTCAAAGACATGGTCGACTCGAGTCTGGCTATCACTCTCAGTTGAGCTAGCCGCTTTGGTGTAGCACTTTACTTCCGAGAAGGCAGCCAAGACTTGAGCCATAGAGGGCTTGTATCGGCGACACTTTCCTATCCGGAAGCTTACACGGGTGTTGGCGACGGCCTCCTCAACAATGCCCTCTAGGCCTGCGTAGGCGGACTCGAAACGGACAAGGAGCACGACATAGTCCTTCTCATCCACGTCCCACGCTTCTATGGCCTCGTCTGACAAGCCGAGTTTTCCGATGCGGATGGAAATTGAGAAGATAGCCTGGGAGTTGAAATCGCTGAAGATGCCGACCTTGTAGCCCGCATCCTTGACCTGGCGGAGATCTCGCTTGAAGCGCGTTTTTTGTGCCCGAGATTCCCCGGCAGTTACAGGTTGGCGAGGATCTAATGAAGACAAGCCAAATGCTTCGCCGTCGAACTCGAACTCATCTTCGGAATTGTCATCGTCATCGTAGTCGGCATCGTTGCCAAGGCTGTCCTCGTCATCGCCATTCTCAGGCTCATCATTGTCCCCATCTTCAGTCTCGGTGCCCAAGTCGTTGCGGCCGGGTCTCCCCGGTACGCGATTGAGCGCCGACTCGAGGTGTTTCGACAATTCAAAGACCAGTTCGTAGACGGTGATGCCGACAAGATAGTCTTTGATAGCCGTGAGGGTATCGATGACTGCCTGGGACGCGCCATCATTATCGGTGCAGGAGACCATAAACATGTTGCCGTCGGGGTACTCGCTAATGTCGGTGGCAACGGCCTGGATATGCACGACCTTTTCAAGGCTAGGATGGTGGTAGGAAATGACAAATTCGCCTTCAGACCCTCCTTCCTCAATGGAACTAATGCCGGCAAGGACGCCCGTAGCAGCCTTTCCGGCGGCGGCCGGGATATCGGTCTTGAAATTCCTGCGAGCCATGGCCGAGATGTGATCGAGGTAGAGGGTTTAAGGATGAACGATATCGACGGCGATGTCGATAAATGCAGTGAAGATAAATGCAGGGACGATGACCGTGGCCCGGAGACTGACTGGTGCTGTTGCAAAGTTGCACGCGAGCCAGCGAGGTTCGGGAGGCGGGCAAGTATCTTATTTTAAGAAGTACTTTTTAAAGCGACCCGAGTGTTGGCCTTTGGGCCGTGAACTGGAAGTGAATGGCGGCGAAATCTTTCTCTGGACTAGAAGTCAAGCCTGAGGATATGAGACCTGGGTCGGGTGTCTGGAATCGTGTTGCCTACCAGTTCAGTTCCCCTTGCAGGATGCCGGGGGGATTCGTTTGGCTCCTCAGTTACCCGGGCACTTTTACGGGTACTGGGATGGAAATTGCGGGGAGACTGGGTCGCGTGAGAGAGCCTCATGGGCCCGGAAACGAAGCTTGATCCCGTGAAAAGCGCAAACGAGGGAAAGCAGAGGCGGAAGCGGTAGCGTGAGAGAGAAAAGAGAGAGTAGGTGGAAGTAATGGGATGGATGCCACGGCAGTGGAGGTTGGACGGTTGGCTGCGTCGACAACTTCTGGCGGACACTTCAACCACCACCAGCCATGAAAGTGTACTAATCAAGGCTCAAAACGCCAGATGACTAGAGAGTTTACCTAGCCAGATGACTAGAGGGGTAATTTTGATATAAAGTCTCTAGTCATCCGGCGTTTCCTGCGACTGGCGTTACAAGTATGTACCGGGTCGAAAGACGTATTAACAAAAAATACACGGGCGCCGGGCTAGTAGCCACGCCGGAAGAAGGATGTACGTTTTTCTAGATAGCCTTTACAGAAGAGATTATACTAAATAAAAAGTGATTGATTCCCATCATCAATATCATGCAAAAGAAGCACAATCGGTAGCGCGGTGTGTACGGATACCTGTGTACCAGGTAAATACCATACCCAATACCGTACAGCACATACATTCCCCGTCACTGACGGTGGCTGCCCCAACGGCCCGAGCAAGACCGCCGTCCAGGTGGTCCGAGCCACCTCACCAGCAAGCAACAGTACCCACCTACCCCACTAAATCCAATTCAACTTCAGCTCGCGGTGGTGCAGGTGTGCGTCTCAATCGATATGCCCCCTTTTTAGTCTGTCATGAAATGACCTTTCGTTCACACCCGCATCTGACATCACACCGATCACATATCATATCACCTCGGGTCTGCGAATTACTAGTCGCCGTCTGAGTCTTGAAGCGGATTAAGTCGCGCTGTCGTCTCTCTGCTCGGAAATTAATCGAAACAGCGTCCTTCAACGTTGATTCGGGACCGCGAATGAGACCTTAATAATCGACATATATATTATGGCCTGGGACTCCAGTAAGCCAGGGCGGCGGCGACAGAGCAGTGCCGCGTCAGGAAGCTCGCGTAATGTGTCGGGTCATGGGCGCCAGACGTCCAAACAAGTCGCCCAAGCTAAGTCGCATCATGTGGCCGACCCCTTTTTGCAAGACTTTCTGAGCCCCTCGTTTGATGCCGCCGCGTATCTAAACGCTACATTGCCGCCTCTACAAACGCCGGGCCCGTCCTCCTCCTCTCGTGGCCCCCAGAACGCGGTGCCCTTGGCCGAGCTCTCAACCCTGGCTCAGTCGTCCCTGTCCCAGCTCAATGCCCACACCAACAGGCTTACCAACACCCTAACCCAACTCACCGACGACATCCTTCGGAGCGGCGGCCGGCTAGCCTACGAGGTCGAGCTTCTGCGCGGCAAGACCCTTGGCCTGGCCGAAGCCCTTACCGAGGGTCTGCACGACGACATTGCAAAGTTTGTACCCGGCGGCGTCCGGGACATCGTTGCCGAGCCGAGAGCGCCTTCTGTTGCGGTTGTGGATGGTCATGGCCTGCCCTCCCATCAAAGACGCCTCTCAGTGGCGGCAGCGGCAGCCACCAGCGCTCCCGCCCCTGGGGCCGACGACGTGGCAGCTGCCCCTGGAACAACCGAGCCCGCTGCTGTGGACGAGCCGCCCTACATATCGCAGCTGCGCACATTAACACTGGTGCGTGCCCGGCTGGACTCGGTCATTAAGACGTTTGGCGATGCCATGGAGTTTGTGTTCCCGCCGTCCGAGGTTTCGGTTAGCTCGTCGTTCCTGTCCGTCTCAGCACCCGATGCCGGCGGCCAGAACCACAGCACCGAGGAGAAAGGCCAGCAGGTCCTTCAGACTCTGCGCGACGACATCTCTACCCTTCTCAACCAGAACCCCGACCCAGTCAAGGGCATCGAGGACGCCGCCCGCCGCATCGAAGAGCTGAAGGACCTAGCAAAGGTGTGGAAGGGTACGGCCGAGGAGAAGGGGCGCACGAAATTCATCGAGAGCCTGGCCAGGATGGTGGAAGAGAAGCACAGAGACCTCCTGCGCGACATGGACCAGTCGTCTCGCCGAGATGGCGGGAAGCCTGACTCGGAAGCAGGCTCCAAGAAGGCCAGCGGGGAGTCCGATGCTGCCCAGTCGGAAAACAAGGGCTACGGAGCCTATGGCCTTATCAGCCAGCTCCAGAAACTAAGAAGTGGGCTGTGATTGATGGCCGCGATGTCGTATTTGACTCTGGTTTTTTTCTTTCAGACGGCTCGGATACGGTCATGGTATCGCAGCGAATCTTTCCTTCGAATCAAGACCTCTCGCAAACCCCCCCCCCCCACAATTATTATTATTTATTTTTCTTGCGGCCAGGCGAACAAACAATCGTAGGCTAGCCTCTGTTCTACTATTTGTCCCCTTCACACCCCACGGGAGGCCCTCTTCAATCATACCGCATTACGGATCGGGAATACATACCTATGCTCCAAAGGTTCTTTTGCCAGACGTCCGAGGCGAACGTTGCACCGTGTACCGCGGTCCTCGTTCGAAGCACAAGCATGATTCACAATGACCGGCCCCAGCCAGGGGGCAAGTGACACACGGTCCTCATGTTTAATTACATTGTGGTCGCTCCAAAGTACTCTAGGGTAGCCGGCGTAAGCTGACGCAGAAGGCCCCAAGCCCAGGAATATTGTGTCTCTCTCCCTTTCAGGATCGGGCGAGCTTCTTCTTCCATTCGCCCTCCAAATTGTATCCCCATTTTCTCAATGCCAGCTTTTTTTTTTTCGCCCGCGAGCATGGTGACTTCTTTTTCCTACTTGAGCACACCACCTTGAGGGAAATCTTTCTGGGAAAGGAGGTCCCCCCTCCCCTGCTTTTCGCGGTTGCTCGTGAAAACAATGGGTTCCAGACCCGCAGGAAACGCACAATGCCATCGCTATCACCCAGGCCCATATACTGTACGCAGTAGAAGACTCTTGGTGTTTCTGCTCTTTTCCATTTCTCTTTGTGGTGTCTTGGTTCTTGTTTCCGACCTGGTGAGTCGAAATCTGGACGTGGCCCCACATTTCTCTCTCTCTCTCCTCTCTCTCTCTCTCATGTTGAGTCAAAGGCTCCCAATTTGGGAGAAGTGAACCGCAAAAGACAGCTACTGACCAACGAATATCCAACACGCCAGCGCTTGATAACGTACGCGCTTGTGTCCAGTATTAGCGGAATTTCTTGGCTGGAAATCACTACGGCTCTTGCCCGTGTCGGCGGCTTAGCCTCAGATGAGCTCTCCGACGCCAATACCAACAAAAAGACGTGGCCCCGTCCGCGTTTCCACCTTGTCGTTGACGCGCGGGAAAAGCGTTCGAGTCTCTGTAAAACCCTTTTCTCGGCCGTCATCCAGGGCTACCCGCCTCCGATTCTAGTGGGGTACACTGAAGAGGGCGAGGAGGAGGAGCCGATCAGCCCCGCGGGTTTGGTCAGCACAACACTGGAGGCCATCTCGACAAACCGTCTCGGCGACGAGGACGTGGTCCTGTGGCTTGCGGCTGACCACTGGGTCCAGCTCCCGATCGAGGTCCTCGTCAGGCGCTACCTCCAGCAGACAGAGGTTCTGGGCCAGAGGCTGGCACGGCAATACCCGTTGCTCGGCTTCGAGCAGCGCATCCTCTTTGCCGCAAGCAAGAGCTGCTTATACAAGTGCAACGACACGGATGTCCTCCCAGAATCTTCACTCCCCCGCGACGTGTACGGCTCCTTCAGGGGAATCCCGGCGAACATCAGCTTCTCCCGGCCCCGCTTCATCGCGCCGGGCGCCTTCATCGGCCGGGTCAGAGATGTCGTTCCGTTCCTCAGAGCCACGCTGAAGGTATTCGACAGCGCTCGCGACGACAAGCTTGACGAGGCTATCGTCTGGGACCAGTTGTTCCGGAGCCAAGAAGCCGCGCGGCAGCTGCGGTTGAGCCTCGGCCAGACCAGCTTCGAGCGGTTCCGAAGCTCGCTCCTGACCAAGGGCGCCGCCGCCGGTAAGTGGACGGCCACACAAAAACAACAAAAAATAAAAGAAAAAGAAGAAGCGGGCCCCGAAACCGGCGATGGGGAAGCAGAGCTCGGGTTCGGCCTCGACTACGAGAGCAGGATCTTTCAGGACCTGTCGCCGCACAGCGCCGCCGCCGACGTGCAGTTCCTGCGGTTCGACCGCCCGGCCGTGGCCAGGTCGCCCTCGCGGTCCGCAGCGTGCCTCTACGCAGATCCCCTCGCGCTGCCCCCAGAGCTGCGGCCGCACGGGTCGCCGCTCGCGCACCTCAACGAGTCCGATTTCTTAATGCCGTCATCGTCATCCCCACAACCACCACCACTGCAACCACCGCAGCCGGACCTCGCGCAGCTCAAGAGAGACGTCCTCTGGTCGACCGTGGCCCTGGCCACCAACGTGGCCGTCCCCCGCGGCAGCATCCCCGCCGTGCTGAGCGCGCCGCCGGACGACGACGCGGACGACTGGTGGTGGCGGAACATGTACTTCAGGCCGCACGGCCGGCTCCTGCTCCAGCACTATCTCCGCCCGAACCGGTACGCCCTGGCCGAGCAGGCCACGCGAGGCGGGAGCGCGTGGTGGAACGCCCGAGGCGGGCGGGGAGGGGTTTGGACGGGCCGAGGTATGTTTTCTTTTTGGTTTCTATAATTCACGGAAGTCCCCCCTCCCCATTTTCTTTCTCCTCTTCTTTTTCTTCTTCTCTCACCTCCAACCTATTTTACTGACTTGCTAATCCTTGTTTGCTATCCGCAGGCGGCTGGATTGCCTGGACCCATATCTGTGGTCCAAAGCACGACTCGGTTCTGTTCCGAGATGGATGATTTGCTCCCCTTTGCACTAAATATGATGGCTGGGCTGGCTTGAGCAAAGCAAGCTTTCTTCTGACACGAGTAAAAGGGGGCGCGGCCGCAATATAGGATTTTTCACTTAGGAGTCTTCGAGAAACTGCTCCCACAAAATAGCGTGCTACTTACTACATAGATATCTCAGTAGGTGGTATTCATATGTCTGTTGCTGAACATGGGGTAATTACTGTGTGGAACTCGCCCACTATGAAAAGGAAAAAGTTTGTTTAGTATTGTCCTGAAAGACATCGCTTTACCTACAGGTAAGAGGTTAGGTAGCATTCTAGCCTGTCGAGGGCGGCCATCCAGGTAAACCCGCAGCTCAGACTGTTGCTGCTCAGGGGCCGCCTGGCTGCTATCCAAGTGTCTTACAGTACTGTCCCCATCTTCTCAGACATCAACCAGCAGGACCAACAGCGACGCTCTTCGTTGTACCTGCAGCAAGAAATGAGCTCTTTATTTCATGCGCTATTTTCTTTTCTTCCAGAATGCTAATTGCTCTCTATCTTTTATTGGCCTCCGCGCAGCTTCTTTCGGTCGATCTACAGGCAAGCAAGTATTTGGTCTCCCCTTTGCCATCCAATACGGAGACATCTAGACCTTCGAGATGGCTAGTTTAAGACTGTTGTTCTCTCCGTGAATATACGCACTTCTGGTTAGTGAGGGGCAGCGAAGCAAAAAGAACGAGTAAAGAGAAAAGAAAAAAAGAAGACTAGCAAAGGCCGGGGCACTGTCAGGAGATGTGGGTCCTCTTGTCTAGATTTCGTCTCTCTCCCATCTCTCAAGTGTTAAGACACATGGAAAGCATCACGAATTCTCAGAACCGTCATAGGACCCAGACCTAGTTGTGCTCTTTGCTCTCACGCTCATCTTTTTTGCGACCTGAGAACTGAAAAACGATCAAGGAAAAAGCCAAAGTGTCCACCCATAAAAGCCATCGAATGCCACCAGGCAACCTGGCCACCCATCCCATTTTATGACGATAGCTCTCCTTTTTATCAGAAAATCACTACTGCCGCCGACCCCGATACCATGTTTTGGTTTTGCCCCCCTATCAAGGCAGGTCGAAAAAAGGGAAGGGATGCGAGGGGAATCTATCATGACCAGCCGTACAACTCCTACAAAAGCGGATGCAGAAACGTACCACAAATGGCCCTTTACCAAAAGACTTAAATTTTGGGGGTGAAATGAGAAAGCACAGAAAGAACGGGGGGGGGGGAAAGAGACATAGCTGCCGTTGCCTTGCTACTCCTTGTAACTCGCTGCAGTCTTGCGTAGTCCGTTGGCCTCGCCTGCCTCCAGAAGTTAGAAACTGTCGGAGAGTCCCAGGAATATCTCGTTCTCCTTCCCGGGGACTAGACAGGGGGAAAAGAAACGCGAAATTAATAGAAGCACGCAAAGTGCAAGGCTCGTGACTAGCCATATTCCTCGCCATATTGAGAAAGATCCTGGCCTGGCCTCCCAGAATCAAGACAGAGTTGCTCATCAAACCCATGAAAACACCCGACGTTTCTGGATGTCTTTGTCTTCCGAGTGTTTCCGCCGAATAGCCCATTGTCTGGCGAAAAGGCGCAAAGAGCAAGAAACTGTACCCCAATATGGCGGCTCCTAGGCTACCTCGCTATGGTCGACCGTTCCAGGGCGTTTAGCAGCTCGGGACGATCTTGCAATAGTGCGGTGGCTTCGGCATAGGTGAACCATTTGCGCTCTCGCTTCTCTTTCTCGGGCCAGTCTTCAGCCTCTTGTATCACAGTGGCTTCGTAGAACTGGTAAAGCGACCGTCCGTTGTCCTTGGAGTGCTTCTTGGAAGGGCGCGTCTCCACGATCTCGCCGAGGTCGTAATCGATCTGCACCACAATGCCAGCCTCCTCCCAAGCCTCGCGCTCGGCGGCCTCGGTGCATTCCTCGTCGGTCTCCCAGCCGCCCTTAGGCAGCACCCAGCCTTTCCGGCGCGTTGACTGGATCAACATCACGTACGTCTTGTCCTCCGACAGCGGTACTACGCCGGCAACCAGTCGCTCGCCCTTGGTGTTGTATCCTGCAAAGGAGGGTCAGTCTGGCCGACCGCAAGGACTGGGAAGACATACAGACCCTCCCATGTCCAGGAGGCCGCATTGTCTTGCAATACGCGCGGCAGCCTACTTTCTTGAAAAGGCCGCAAGGGGATCGGAGGAAGAAGAACTCACTCTGCTTGGCCCGGCCAGTCCGCGACTCCATAGTACGATTGCTGCCACTTGCGGCCATAACTCCTTCGGTCGAGCAGGTACTACGGCTCGGCCGAGTATGTGGCCCAGGTAGCTGGTAGCTAGCGTTGGAAAGATCGAAAAAGGGACACCCAGTCCGACTCCACTTCGGCGAGGCGGTTACACGACAATGGACTTCGGACAAGTTTGACCCAGGACGGCCCTAGGAAATGCCACGAAGCAGACTGTGTAGGTAGGTTGCAACGAGAGATGACGCGCCCTCAACACGTCTTGGACGGCATGGTCGGAGCAGGGCGTGGGAGGAAGATGGGCGGCTTGACGAAACCCAAGGCTGGTGGTGGACCCGCGCAGTGAAGGGTTTGGAGAGTGAAGAACCTTATAGGTTAAACGTCTCGTAGACAAAAAAAGACCGAGCGTGCGGATGCTGGCGTACAGCGTACGGTGCACGTCGTAGGTACAGGTACTGTTGCAGCGTGATAAAACGAAGGTCTGCTGTTTCAGCCAACGACTAACTCGTAGAGAAAGACCCGGAAGACAGCAGTGTTTATGTGCGGTGGTGTGTATATGTATGTATGTGTATGTCTGTATGTACGACAGAGCCTGTATGTACGACAGAGCCGCCGGGAGGGTGTCGAAGGCAGTGGCGACTGCGGAGGGGTTGTGCACAGGAGCCCTAAGAGTTCTAGTGCATAACCCGCCACTACAGCGTGCCGGCAGGACAATGGAAAAGCGTTCCGAGTGTCGCTGAGGGTCCGAAAACGAACGTGAAGCCCAACACGAGGGTAATTTTGGGTGAGAGAATAGGGCAAGGCAAAGGGGAGAGAGCGGGACGCCGTCGGGCCGGATTGGGGGGGGGGGCCTGTCGAGATGTGCTTCGGTGCGGGTTGCGGGCTGTGGATCGCAAATGCCCTGGCGGAACGGAAGCGCGGAGCAAAAAGGCAGAAAATATTTTTTTCCCCTTGCAAGATATTTTCTTTTTCCTTCTTTTCTTTTCCCGCGCACGCGCTCAGTGTCCGGCAACGGCAATGGCTCGGCGAGCGCCTCTCAACGAGACCCGCAAGTGAGGAAAGGAGTTAGAGATTTTAAGTTATTAAAAGGTGTGCTCTTTTTGGACAAGCCCAGAGGCAATGCAGCCGAGGTCGTGGCTGACCGTGGCCGTGTGATGAGATATCAGCGCTGGGGGCTAGGTTGCCAGGGCAGGAGCAGCATGCACAATCAATGAGACTCGGAGCTCAGGGAGGTCCAATGCTTGCTTGGCTTGGAAAGGCAGGGGCGGAGGTGGAAGTGGAGGCAGCAAGCTGGAGCTCCTGCTGCTGGCGGTGTCTCGTGCCCATCAGTAAGTAAGATGGAGGGGCAGTTCCCGGGGAAATTAAAGTTGACTTTTTATACTAGTAATGGAAGGAGGTAGGGAGTAGGCAGGCAGCGGAGGAAGGTACGGCAATTTCTAGGTACAGGACAGTACATCCAAGGCAAGACCAGACTCTTTCTTGCCAGACGTGAGCGAGCCATGGAGACAACGAATGGAAGCTAGCGAACAGCTCCCTGCAACTGGTGCTCTTGTGTGGGTGTGCGCTGTGTGATTTGCTGCGGTGGCAGGGGTAGCTCGATAGGGTAAGGCAGCTCTAGGCCTCTAGAGGGCTGGGCGCCTTCTCTTTGGTGCAGTGCCCTCGGTTCCCCACATCGCAGAGAGAAGCATGACGGACATGACGGAGCCAGACTCAAGCAAGTATTCGGTAACAAAGCGCGATGGAAAGAAACGGGTTGAGGGGAAGAGAAAGGGGAGCCTCCAATCGAGCTAAACCCTTTCTCCTTGTCCACCTGCTGCGACGGGTCCAGCGAGCCCCAACCGGACTGGACAACCAAAACCGCCGCGTGCAGAGGCGCGTGGGTAACACCTCACCTCATGCATGAGGGGTGACGGGAGCGAGGTGCCTTGTGAGCAAAGTATAACAACGGCACTCGCTAACAGCCTCCGCTTCTTGTCTTGCGCTGCCGGTCCCATCTCGCGCTGCTTGGGGCAGAGCCCGCGAGGAAAGCGTAGAGGTGGCCTAGAAGACCGAAAAGTCTTCTGATTCGGGCATAGAGTTTACGGCCCCCCAGTGTGATGTAAGTGCAGACACATTGCTCGAGTTAGTGAGTACCTGTGTTTCAACTCTGCTATACAAGAGAGACAGACGACAGACGGCAGCATCCCACGTCCGTCCTCCCGTCTACATGGTAACAATGGAACCTGGAACTTGCCTATCTGCATTCTTACCAGCTTGCCGGCGGGTGAGCGTCGACGATGACTTGGCCGGGTGGGATACCGTAGCCAACGCAACGTAATAAAATACATTTGGTACTATACTTGGGTAGGCCGATTCCTTGGCTGAAACCAATCAAGAACCGAGACCACCTGCTCTGTACCTTACCTAGTATAGTCTTTGATTCCATGTTCAATCGAAGCGCTCAACCTCAACCGCTTCACGGGAGAGCGGGGCAGACGACCACAGGGCGAAAGGACGATCTTGGTAGGTGGGGGTTGCAGCAGCTCCTTTGCTGGGGTTGGGGCTGACTTCATCTTGGCTAGCGGGCTGCCTAAGGTTGACGGGACCACTCAGGTAGGTCACGGACCGACCTCACTGACTAACACTCTTCTGCCGCCAACGAACGCTCTCCAGCTTCCAACACAACCCAAGGCAGTAGAGAGGATCCGAAAGCGTCGTTCAGGCCGTGATTCGCCAACAGTGAGAACCGAAAGCTAATTATCAAAATACCTCGGCACCCTGCAGTCCGTGGTTTGCCGTTGCCGTCGTCTATGCGTCTCTGCCTGTTCCATTTTGCCTCTCTGCCACTCCAACAACCCTGAACCACTTGAACCAGCCGGGAACCTAGTCTAGTCCTTCCTCGATTTTGTTTGAGCTGAGGTGCTGGACTGGCTGACGGAATCGTTCCCCCACATTGTCGGTGCTGTGTGTTCGCTTTTGCTTGCTCGCTGTCTTGTCTTGTGGGACTCGACGTGGACGAACCATTGGAATTGGAATTGGAGCTGCGCATCATCATAACCGGAGAAGTCCTAGGTACTGTACCTACCACAGGCCGAGCAGGCGCCCGGTCTCCCTCAAGTCTTGTTGGTTTCACCGCCTCACGACAACAGCTCGACGGCGGGCTTTAGCCTTGCGACAGCACCCGGGCAGAGGGCGTGCCGTGGGTCGATTTTTAACACGTCACACATCAGATCCCGAGCCCATCGGCCGTTTCTGGCCTCGCGCCTAGCTCCGCCGGCCCTGCTCCCGACCTGTCGCCAACAGGAGAAGTGTCCCCGTTCCGGATTCCTAGGGAGGTCCCCCGCCCGACCCACGGACATTTTCCTGGGCTCCGGCATCTTGGACTCCTTCCGTTGCCGGCCACTCCCACGCTGCCGTCTCCTGGGTACAACGGGCACACGTACTGTACGCGTGCACACACCCTCCAGGCGACGAGGCGACGAGGCGGGAGCACGCTGGTCTCAACGGTCTTGGTGTCCCAGGGACAAAGCTCTTCCAGCCTCTTTCAAGCCCCCCCCACTCGGCGCCCATCTGGGAGGGCAGCATGGACAATGCAGCACCACACATGCAGGCCCTGGACGACGCGGCTGCACACTTTTCCTATATATGCCCAATCGGTGAGTTGATCGTCTCCACGCCCTCCTACCCAACCATTCGCGCATGTGCTGCAGTGGTCCACTGCCGTTGGCTGCTCGGGTCTTTGGATGCGATCTACACCTACATGCCTCTACTCCCGGTAGCTCGTGCGCCAAGTGGCCAGGGCAGCTCTGAGGCAGCTCAATCCAGGTCCCAGATCGGAGCTTCGGTGCTCTCATCCCCACGCCGTCACACACGGGCTACCTAACTAGTTAGCCCTTTTCCTCGCTCGGGCAGCCACATCCCCATTCGCAGTCTCAGCACTGCACGTCGTTTCCTTCTGTCACAAAATTGAGGCTACCCACGGCCTAGCTCCGCTCTCTCGGAACTACGTTTTCGGGTCGAGCGGTCTTGCGTCTCCATTTGCGTCACGTGTGGTGAGGCTTGCCGTCGACGTGCATCCTGCCAAGACCCTTGACATTTTGATAGGGTGACATACATCCTGCGGACACTACACTACCCTACCCTACACTGCGTCCCGTCCTATGCTACCAGACGTTTTATTGCACCTTGACACAATAGTTGTGCTGACTCTCGAGTGATACTCGACAGGATACAGCAACTCGTCCGACTGCGGCTACTGCCGCCGCTCTCGCAGTGGTCAGTCTTCAAAACGTGAATCTATACCTCTTCTTGTATCATTGCCTTGCTTATAGCTGCCTCTCGAGTCGTGTTGAGAGTTATTCCTCCAACAATGATTGCGTCTGGAGCTCTGTCCACATCCCTGCTCGTCTTCATGTCAGCCTCCCGAACCCTGTAACTTCTTGCTCCTGGCGAGCCCCTGTTGCATGGATGGATGGCTCACTCTATGAGTCAAGCCGCCACCTCAACCAGTCACTCGCTGTAAGTGTTCGAGTCTGTATCTAACTCGCTGTCTCTGTAGGCTATTCCTATTACGCTGTAGCAACTTCGTTGACGCCCGATTTCTATCAAGCGTTGATTGATCGATGTTGGAGGCGTTCTGGGACCCTCCTTTACCGGCCAAATCAGAAGAATTCGTGCTGTCCACATTACACGCTCCGTCTGGATTCTACCGCCTTCAAAGCGACCAAAGACCAGCGCCAGGCGGTCAACCGCTTCAACAAGCATGTCATTGGCGAGAGCTATGCCAGAGAGGCAGCTCGCCTGCACCCCCCTACGCGCGAGCAGGTACGGAAGCGGAACAATGAGTTCGACCTCGCCAAAAGGATCCACGAGCCCGAGGCCCCAATGCTCAAGTCTCCCCCACTGCCGGCACACCAGTTCACTGTCGCTTTGGAGCCAAATACATTCACTGAAGAAAAGTATGACGTGTTCGAGAATTATCAGCGAATCGTCCACAAAGAAGCACCAGAAAAGATCTCTCGGGGCGGCTTTCAGCGATTTCTCTGCTCCTCGCCTCTGAAACACGAGACGGTAACTGGCCCCGATGGCAAGGAGCGCCAGTTGGGTTCCTTTCACCAGTGCTACCGCCTCGATGGGAAGCTTGTCGCCATAGGGGTCCTGGATTTGCTTCCCCACTGCGTCAGTGCTGTATACTTTCTCTACCACGAATCTATTCACTCATTCAGCCCTGGAAAGCTCGGTGCTCTGCAAGAGATTGCTCTAGCCCTCGAGGGCGGGTACCGTTGGTGGTACTCGGGGTTTTATATCCATAACTGTGACAAGATGAAGTACAAGATCGACTTCTCCCCTCAGTACGTCCTCGACCCAGAGACTCTGAAGTGGGATCTTCTCGACAAGGAGGCCTTGAGGTTGTTTGATCAGAAGCCTTATGTCAGCCTCTCAAGAGAGCGCCAAGGAATCAGCGAGGAGCCGGTCAAGGAGAGCGCTTCGGAAATCAAAGCCGGCCGACAAGATAGCGCGAGTGATGCGGATGACCTTGACGATGGCGAGGACGAATCGTTTCTCTTCCACAGCGGCATGCCCGGCATCCCATCGCTAGATCAGATGGAGGAAGTGGACATGGACGGCCTGTTGCTCCGCTCAGACTACGCAGACAGCTTCTTCTCGGCATCCGACTTGGTCGTCTGGGAAGCGGAGCGTATCTCGCAGTATGGGACGCTGAAGTCGAGAATTGCCGAAATGGTGGCGGCAATCGGTCCCGACTTGATGGGTGCCATTTGCGTAGATTTCCGCAAGCGCAGCAGATCCTAGTTCCTGGTAGGATCGCACTTTCCGATTCACATACATGCAGACACACTCACTGAGCGTTCGGTGAGTGAACTGGGCAACTGATCGCATGTCCCGTTTTGGAGTTCGGTAAGCGTGGGGTTGGGTCCAGTCGATGGCATTCTGGGGATGGGGTACAGACGTTTGCTGCATCGAGTGGCTGCATCCCGTTCCGTGGAGATACTAGACAACACCACTGGAATTGGTGTCGGAACATGGGTCGTGACGGAGCACATGATGCAAGATTTTGTGATGGCACCGTCTCTTGCTCACAGGGAGAAAGAGGTAAGAGGTTCATTTTGGAGTGGTGGACGTGGGGGGAGGGGTGGGGCGTATATTACTTCATATGCGAAAGGCCGGCTTTCTTTTTCTTGGTTGGGAATTCGGAGAGGCCCGATATGACGACGACGATGATGACTGCATTAATAGACACCCCATTTACACGTACATGTACGGGCCAGGTCGGGCGAAGCTAGGCCAGTTAGGCGGCTCGCCTCATTTTCATTGCATGCAGAGTTGCAGATTAGATACGGGATTATACGGAACGTTTGCATTTGACCTAGTAGATAGGAGACAATAGAAGCCGGTCTGGTTGGTAACTAAGGTACCCAGGCACCCAGCTGAACTTCCTTGAGCCTGCGGACACTGCAGGACGGACTGCGGGTGCAACGAGGTCATGGGTCCATGTTGCATGTGGCATACTGCATAGGCATAGAGATGGCTTGTTTCGTTATCTTGGCAGCCGCATGTATTCGAAAGTCTTGTTTGCTTTTTTTCTTTCTCTTGGTCCTCACTCTTGATTTTGGGCTGTTGGTAATACGCAAGTCTAACGGAATGCTTCAGCTTGTGGTTATCCCACATTCTACATCCCTCCCGCCATAGCCGGCAGCCGCTCTTACCTAAGGTGCCTTTGTGTCGGTCTTGTCAGTCGGGGCGGTTGTCTTGGAAAATGACAAGAGCAGTGTTGTTTGAGGGTCATGGGCTGAGCTGGGACGGCGGTCTAGATGTTGTCCGTTGATGGCAATGCTCCTGGAAGTTCCCTCCATTCTTGACTATTGCACACTTAGTCTCAGCTAGATGGTTTTTGCCTTTTTGTTGGTAGTTCATTGTTTGATGATATTTTCCTGTAAGCCATTACAGAACTAGAAAGGTTTTGTAGGGGATAGAAGGACAGTATGTGTTACTAATAGGGAGACTCAACTTCTAACAAAAAATTGACCCGTAATGAATCGTCCAGGAGCCATCGTACTTTCCCTTCTCTCGTCCAAGTCCGTCGGCTCTAAGGGTCGTGAGTGGGCGGCTCCTTCTTTCGCCCAGGTGCTCCTTCTTTCGCCTAGGTGCTCCTTCTTTCGCCCAGGTGCTCCTTCTTTCGCCCAGGTGCTCCTTCTCGTCTTGTAGCAATCTAGAGAGCCAAGATCCACTCGCTCTTTATCTCTAGAGCGGAGAAGGCCAGTCGTGCAGTCCTTGGACGCAGCCTGAGGGCTTGGAAGTTCCTTCTGTCATTTGCAGCGAGAGTTGGCAATGCATTTGATGTCCCGCCTGAACTGGCACTCCGCGTTTTTTGGGTGATTGGCCCGCGTCCTTTCCATGTCTTCACCCCCGTCTGGTTCCGAGCTCTCGGCGGTCTGATCTGGTCTAGCTACGATGACAACAGCCGTGGTTGACTTGGGCACCATTGAAATCGCTGCAACCAAGTCGACCCTCTCTCTGACATTGACAAGCTCCTTCTCCATCACGCTGCCCTCTGCATGGCAGGAGCGGAGACTGCCAACCGCCACTGAGCTATGCCAGTCCTCTGCCGCTGGAGACATATGGATCGCCAAGGCCGGGTCTTGCTGTGTGGAAATTTCGACCTTGATCAATGGTGTCCCGCCTGGCAGCAGCACTCTTGACCCGCGTGCTGTTTCCGCGGTTGTTTGCTTGGTTTCCGAGTGCCAGGTAAACAATTGATTCCAATTTTGCACTGTTGGCTCGCTTTCACGCTCTGACTGCGTTGTAGATCTGGAACGATATGGGGCTCGAGCTGAGGACCAAGCACACCTCGGCCCCCGGGGTTCCAAATCAGCACAGCCCGCAGGCTTCGTTTTTCCTCCACCATCCTGATCTCTCGTCGGACATGATCGCGCCATCTAATATCCCCTGTGCGCGGTTCCGGGGACTTAATTGTGAGATAAACTTCGGTGTCAATCCTGTGACCCACCAGGCAGAAACGCAGGTCGTTACCACTACACGGCGAACCACAGGATCACCAGACAAAGTAACGAATCTGACGCAAAACGAACTCGGATGTTCTGACCATGGTCACACATATAATCTAAGACGCAACCCAAGGCGGAGTCAAAAGGCTGTGGTGGCCCACGAGGAGATGGAAGCCATATACTTGTCAAAATCAGCATTTTCCGTCAAGCCAATTACTGAGAATGAGTCAAGGCTACAAGGTGGCTTTGGCTCTCCTGGTACTGCATCAATTGCGGAACTCACGTCGCTTCTGGATGTGGCGCTTCGCAAACTCATAGGGGTAAGGAAATCATCGTCGCCGGGGACCAGAACGATCAAGAATTTGGAAACCCCTTCTTTGATTGATATTGCTCCCGGAGTTTGGAACCTCCAGTATCTTCAGGCATGAGTTCACGCAGTACAGTTTTGTTGGTTTTTGCTGACACTTGGAATTTTAGTTACTGGCAGCCCATGCAGGAGTCATCCCTTCACTGGCCAACAGCATGGCCCGACTGGGAAATGCTCGCTCAGCCAGCTTACGCAAGAAGCTCGAGAGCATCACACAGAATGGGACATCCATAACTCAAGAAGAAGTTGGAGACGGAGACGATGCCAAAAATGAGATTAGAAGGCGGATATGGCTACGGTGCCAGACAGATATCAGAGCAGAGCCGATCAAACGAATTGACAGCCGAAAGAAATCGCAGCAACTCACAGTCCGGGAACCGCCAGGACAACCTGGTTTACACGACTTAATCGATTTCGGGGCATTGACGACCACAAGAATCCTCGAGAACGATGCTATTATGAATACAGCCTACCGTGAGCACATGGCAGAAAACCTTCCTTTATTCGACCACCCCCGAGGTGGATACGAAACTGTTCAAGCAGACTTTGATACGATTGATACACACTACAATAGTGGCGATGATAAAACATCATCTGACGACTGGATGGATGACCCAGACGCCGATTATTTCTATGCGGACGGGAATGGCAACATCTACCTAGTTGAGAGGCAGGCCGTGTTTGGCCTGATGAACTAGAGTGGCCATCAGATGTATCTACGGATTCGAGTTCCGAGTTCGGGGAAGAATAAAGATAGACAGACATGGGCACGCAAGACCAAGGTCTGAGCCCCTAAGTGTGTAAACTAGAAAGTTTTAGTGCGAGTGGTGATGGGTATAAGCCATTTCACTTTTGTCATAGATCTGTGGAAGCCCCTCCTTGAGCAGACGAAATACAATATATAAACTCGAAAGCTAAAATTGACAGAGCCCAGATTCGGGCAGGGTCTTCTCAATGACTATAAACACGCCCCAATATGTATATGAATGTAACTGAATGTAACTGGCACTGGTGTCTAAGTGATCCGATTAATAAGTGCCCGGCACAGCCCGCGGCCATGCAGAAATGTAATGTATCCAGTGAAAAGATGGATCAGTGAAGAATAAACAGCCCCTAAGTAATCCCCATCTTGCCTTTGAAGCCTTCTCAGTAACGCCAGAATGCAATATCAATAGGAAAATCATGCATCAATACTCCTTCTCCGCTCACATCACTTTTGGGACGGGCGGAGCACTGACGGTCCTGGGAAAGGGGGTGGGCGACTGGAAGACCCCATGGCGGCAGATCGTTGTCGTGTTTTGTTGTGGCCGTGGCGGTCTTGGGTGCGTTGACATTTGGATAGCACCCCAAGGTACTCGAGTACTCGGCTCAAGTCTGTTGGAATCGCTGCCGTCGATCGGACAGTGCAGTGCAGTGCTGCATTTGCTGTACCCCGAGTCTTTCTTTCTCCCTGTTCCTCTCGCTCTACTAATGAAACCAGACAGCTCTCGACAGGGCTGAGCATATCAGAACACCCCTTTCGTATTGGTTGCCGTGGTCATACACAAAATAAAACCGCCATTCTCTTCATCCTTTCCCATTTTCTGTCTGGGTTGGTTTTGGTGTTTTTGTTGGCATGCGGCAATGACACGGCAGAGATCCCTCCACTTCCCAACGCCCGGAGGAGAGACGACAGCATTTTTTATCGTTGGGCAGGCGGCTTGGGGCTCTTCCCGGCGGCGGCGGGCTTCTTGTCGTCCTTCTCCTTCTTCTTCTTCTGCTCGGGCTTCAGCGTCGCGTGGTGGATGAACCACAGCAGCGTGATCTGCAGCGCTATACCGACCAGCACCAATATCAGGATGGTGAACAGATTCGGCTGGTCGTTGAGCACCGCCACGGCCTGCGGCGTGGCGCCGATCTTGCCGAACCAGTCAAAGGGTCCCGGCTGGGGTGTTGCGGCGGCGGAGGGCGCGGGGGTGGACATGGTGTATGTATGTGTGTATGTGTGCCTGCGGCGTATGTAAGGGTATATAAGGCTGGTGGGCGGTTGTGGGCGGTCGGCCTCTCTATGGTCCCGGCTGGGATTACTGTTGTTGTTTGGATGACCTCGCGGAGATGACCAAGACAAGAGTGGAAGAAAAGAAGAGAAAAAGATCGTGAGGCGGAGGAGGGGAGGAGCCTAGGGATAGGCGAGGTAGATAATAGACAGTTGGGATCAAAGCGCCGCAGGAGTGTTTCGCCCTTGTTTATTGCAATCCTTGGCCTTCCAGGGCAAGAAGAGCAAGGGCGAGCGAGCAACAAGACGCAGAATGGCTATCAAATTGAAACTAGACACGTAGTTCAAGAAGATCAAGCGTACTTTCGGCTTGTAGTCCGAGAAGAGAGATCAGTAATTATTTAAGTGCACTGTGGGGAATGCAGGTGGAAGCAAGAGAGAAAAAAAGGTTGGTATAATAAGAGAAAACGAGAGATGGGAGTGCAACCCGAGAGAGGGGAGATGGGGGATGGCCAGACCACTTGGCCTGGGCTGCGTCTTGAAACCACAGGCGCGACAATAGAACGATTCCTAGCAGAAAAGTCGCACGAGACGTCCCCTTCTACCTTCTCTACTGCGTAAGTACAAAGTACCACCCCCAGGTGCCGGCCAAGCAGGGCTTGAGACGCTGGTCTGGCCGACTTAGTCGAGGGACGTCGTCTTGAAGGGGGAAAGTGACAAGTGACAAGCACCTTGCGGCAAAATGATCCCTGGCCGCGTTTCAGACTTGCGACAGAGTCGCCTGATGCAGTTAGGTAAGCAAGCCCTGATTGGCTGGCCGCCCCCAGCGCCCAAGCCGATTGCCGAGGCCAGAACTTGGAGCGTCGACTACGTTGCCGACAAGAGACTTGAATTGCTGGCAGATCGTTGATTGCCATGTAACCTCCGGAGGATTGGCGCGGGTAAAGGCAGGCAAGTGTAGACGGACTGCATATACGGAGATGCTTAGACAAAATTCTGGAGGTGGAGCATTTGTATCTGTTGTGGCTTCTTTTTGATGGCGGTCACATGATGGGTCAGATGACTTGATCGGCTTTCTGGGAAGGGCTGGTCCAGCGAGCCAAACAATGTTTGGCCTGGAATATTAGGCGGCATGGGACCGACTAGGGTCCTAGGGTCCATTCGCCAAGCGCTAGCATAGCCAAGATTAGGCCCAAAAAAAAATCATTGCCATCAAGGTGAGTAGTCAGCGTCCCATAGCAGCTGCAAGCTTCGCAGCAGAAAAAGAAGGAGACGCGACAAGGGTTCGAGCTCCTCGCAACAAGCCGCTGCCATTGGGGCTCCCGACGACCACAGCCCAGCCCGGTCCCGACAGCAACAGCAACAGCGATAGCGACAGCAAAAGGACGGCGGAACGCGATGAGCGTAGCACGCCCGTTGGCCCGGAGTTTGTTTTCGCGGCGGCTCGTGGCCCTGTCGACTCCGCCAGCGCAGCCATGTCACCACCACTCGTTCCACACGTCGCCGCCCCTGGCCGTCCGGCGCCGGCCACGCTTCAAGAACATACGCGCTGCTGATATGGGGCTGGTGACGGAGGAGAAAGTGGAGCAGTTCGCACAGCAGAACTTCCCCCGCTTCACGCCCGAGGAGGTGGCCGAGCTCAGCAAGCGCTTCTCGCCCGAGCAGATCACGGCCCTCGAGGCCGGCGAGGCCTCCATCGACCCCAAGGACCTGACGGTGCAGGGCCGCCTGCGCGTCGACCCCTACATCCTGCCCTACATTGAGGACTTTGCCGACATCCAGCCCATCGTCGACAAGCGCCCCAAGAACAAGGCGCCCCCCGACCCCACGGCGCGCTTCATGGACCTCGACGAGTTCACCGCCGACCTGGTCGAGTGGGCCGACAAGTTCAAGACGGGCGACCCGACGGGCACCATGAAGAGGCTGGGCGACTTCGTGCCCGAAAAGTGGAGACACGCCGACGAGAAGAACTGGCCCGCCGGCGTGCGCGACAAGGCCAAGAAGGACTTTCTGCGCTACGTCGAGACCGAGTCGTCCAACACGTCGTCGGGCGTCCTCACGGACGCCGACGTGCTCGAGTACATCCTGGAGCGGTCGTCCATGACGGACAAGAACCGGCAGAGCAACTCGCTGCTCGCCCCGGCCCTCCCTAACAAGGTGCCTGGCGTCGCGGGGCTGTACAAGAACGCCATCGACCCGGCCGACGAGGGCCTCGACGACTCGGGCATCTACCAGGACCTGAAGAAGCGCACCGGCATGACGGTGAGGCAGATCCTCTCCCTCCGGGTCAAGGTCATCGTGAGACGCTATGTCGTGAACCAGACGCGTCTGGGCAAAGTGAGGAGTGCTTCCATCATGGCCTTTGCCGGCAACGAGAACGGGTGGCTCGGGATTGGAATGGCCAAGTCGACCGAAAGCCCCTTGGCCATGGAGAAGGCGAAGCTCCTGGCCATCGCCGATATGAAGCCGATTCCGAGATACGAGAACCGGACCGTGTACGGCAACACCGAGGGCAAAGTTGGCGCCACTGTCGTGCAACTGTTTCCTCGACCTCCAGGTAAAAATAATCTCTCCCGCTTTGCACCTCGTATGTGATTTCTTAAAAGAAACAAGAATACTGACGTTGTGCTGCAGGATTTGGCCTCCGCGTACCATTCCGCATCTTTGAGCTTTGCCGGGCCGCAGGAATCCGCGATCTGGCCGCCAAGATGCCGCGTGCCCGCAGCCCGATGAACTCGGTCAAGGCCCTGCACCAGGCCCTGATGAGCCAGAAAGACCCAGAGAAGATCGCCAAGGGGAGGGGGAGGAAGCTTGTGGATGTCCGCAAGGTGTATTATGGCGGAGCTGTATATTAAACCAAAAATACTAGACATCCCTTTTCTTGGCGGCAGGGGGAAAAGAGGAAAATGTATCTCTATGTCTAATCATATAAATATATATATATTGTCTACCAGAGAAACACCAGTCTCCAACGAGCGCAGTATATATATTTGCAGCAAGGGGCTTTTCTTAGCACGTTGGTCCTACTGTTATAGACATGCATACTACCCAAGTCAATTTCCGCTGGTCTACAGAAAAAGAGCGAGCGAGTAGTTTGGTTTTCACTTCATATTCATTAGACTCCTATCCCTAGCCACCGTTTTGGTTGTCCCCGTCGAAAAGAAATAAATGTCCAGGGTATCTCTCTCTCTCATCTGCTCCCAGATCGTAGGTTGGTAGGCTAAGAGTAAAACAAGGTACACGCAACCTCTCCGCTACCTCCCCAGAACGGACGTCTCTACCCTGTCTGCTATGTGTAGGTAGCGATAAGATAGGGCCCTTCTGCACCATGTATATAGCAACAAGCAGATATGATCATAAACACCAAACACTAACCCCCCCCCCCCCCCCCTTTTTTTTTTTTCTTTCTGCTCTTTTTTTGTTACTACTACAGCTACAGCTACTGCTGGTCACCACCGCCGCCCCAGTCAATCTCCTGCTGCAGCACAATGCTGTACACGCTGGCTTTGAGTAACGTGAAGACGAGGCTCGTCTTGCGCTCGAGCTCGCGCAAGCCGTCGAGGATCTCGCTGGTCGGCGCGCTGGCGAGGTGGTCGAGCATGGATGCCAGCTGTGACGGGGTTAGTGTTGGTGTGGATCATGAGCTAGGTATGAATTTTATTGTGTGTGTGTGTGTGTGTGTGTGTGTGTGTGCGTGTGTGTGTGTGTGTATGTGATGATGACGGAGTTGGTGAGAAGTGAGCGAGTTAGTCAGTGAGTGGAGATACAAATAATCCCAGCATTTAAACACATAAAAGTACATCGTGGCTTGGGAATGGGATTCACACCAATTAAAAAAAATAAGAATAAAAATAAAAATAGCAAACTAACTTTCTTCATGTTCTCAGCCAAGCGCTCATACTCGTCGAGCACCTCCTGCTCGGTAGGCGACAGTTCGGGCGGCGAGGCCAGCAGCGCGCTGGGCGGCCTTGGCGGCTCCATTTGCGCGATCGTACGTACGCACAAGTGTGCGTGCTTCTCCCGCTCAGCTCGGTGCTCTCCCTTCGCCAATATAGGTGAATTCACGCAGTTGCTCGTGGCGATGACGAGGATCACAAACTGGCTTGAAGACGCGGTCAACGCGCTGCTTGTCTCGAGCGCGGGGGGCATCAACCCTTCCCCTCCGTCATTGGGTGGGAAGGGGGAGGGGGGCTCCCCGTTCCCCTAGAAATACAGTGTGAATACACGTGCAGATACTTCGCTGCACACTGTATGAACGGCCTCGGCGTGGCTTGCTTACCTCCCCCTGAATGGCGGCGACAAGTAAACAACTGACTGTATCGAAGCTGCCAGAGACGAATTTGCATGCTATTTAGGGTGAAAATGATCTCAATGCCTAGTTCGCGCTAAATTACACTTGGTAAACCCCTTCACGGGGTATTATACAGTGTCGTGTCTAGCATGCCTAATGTGAGAAATAAAAGGGGCTCCTTTTCAAGTACTTATATTGCCCAGACGAGCACTTTCTCTTCCCACTCCCCTCCAATCTACCTCAATATGTTCTCGTCTTCCGCCTGCCTGGCTTCTCACACGCGGCAATACCGCGAGGAACATCGTCGCCTCGTCTCGGCCTGGCACCGACCATGGACTTGACAGCGCCGACCCAACCCAGCGACTGCCGCTTCCAGGCCCGGGGCTTCGACCCGTCCGACGGCCGCTCCAGAATCATCGGCGGCGGGGGCCGCAGCTCGTCAGTAGCCGCTCGGAGGAACGGAGGAGCCACCGCGATACTCTCCGGTCTAGCTTCATCACCCTCGTCCTCGTCCGACGTGACTCCCGTGACGACGTTAGTCATAAAGTGGTCGACCCCCTCCGCGACCCTCGCCGACGGCATGTCGATGATGCGCTCTTCAATGTCGTAGTCCATGCGCAACTCTGCCAGTGTCTCGGGGGCCATCCTCTCCGGGACAGGAGGTTCGTCGTTCGAGGGCGGCCGCTTGCTCTTTCTCGCCTGCCACGTCACTTTGCGGTGCTCCTTGAAATCGAACTTGACCGGCACCTCGCTATCACCGCTGCTGGACGAAGGAGACGAAGAAGGCACGACGCGCTCGGCGGCGATCTCGACCCACACCTCAGCCTTGCGGATGGTATCGGCGTAGATGATGAGCACGGCCAGGACCGACAGCGGCAGCGCGGCCGCCCAGAACACGAAGAACTTGTCGCCGTACGGCCCGAACGTATCGCCCATTGACAGGATCCCCGACACGATGGGCATCGGGATCAGGATCCCGCCCAGGTAGCTGACGCGGTCGAGCGCCCGCTGGTTCTCGTCGGCGCTGGGCCGCGGCAGCAGCGATCTTCTGTCGTTATTGTTGTTGACGGCGCTGCCGTCGGTTTGTTGCTGCTGCGAGGCGTCCATCGTGTTGGTGCGGCTGATCTTCCGCGAGCTGGCTGACGTCTTGGAGGATCGGGTTCTTGTCGTCGACCCTGCGAGCGAAGACGGGTCAGGTTTCAAGGGAGACGAGACGAGCAGAGCAATACGCTCATGCACTCGAGAAGCAAGTTCTTTCCAGTCCGAAGATGTATACAGACATCCAGTACCTTGCTGAAGTCCTGCAACGTCAGTGACCCTTCCGCGGTCGAGAGATGTACGCAACTCCCTAGATCTCTGCTGCCGTTCCAGGAAGCCAGCCATGTCGGCATTCCGCTCGAGAGACTCGAGCATCCGCCAGCAGCACGCAGCCTGCTCGCGGCGTCTGTGAAACAGCGAAACAATACCCAGACCAAGAAACTCGAACAACTCGAGCCAGTGGTCATATGCCAGTTCCGACAGGACGTGCTGCAGCCCCCCAGCTTCATCCCCAACAACCCCACGTTCTACGACATCGAAGATACCATGCTCCAGCGCGTCGACAAGAGTGTCTTCCAAACTCGCCGTCTGGCACCCCTCAGACAGCAGCACGTCCCACTCGTCGTCGTCGTCACCTTTGGCCGTCTGCTTCTCTGAGGCAACAGTGGTGTCGCGGGGCGAGACCGAGAACGGCTCTGTCACGGCCCCCGTCGCCCTCCGCGCCTTGCGCAGTTGCGAACCCGGATCGCTGCTCCACACGGGCCGGTCAAGAAACATCACGGCAACATTGCCCGTGGCCGTGGCCCAGAGCGACGCGCGGCAAAACACAGCAGCAGCCGCAGCAGCAGCAGCAGTAGCAGCAACATTGCCTGTGCCCGTCTTGGGTGCCGCCATGGTCGCGACGACGGGCGGCGCGTCCATCAGGTCGACGAACCTTCTGCTCACCGTCGTTTCCCTGGACATGGTGGCGGTGCGCTGGACGAGTTCGGGGTATTCGTAGACGGCGAAGCGTGTCTCCGTCTCGTTGGTTTGGGCCCGCCGCCGCCGCCTCAGCGCCGGGCGGTAGCGGTAGCGGCCGGCGTGGGCTTCGACAAACGCCGGGTCGACGTCCAGGCAGGCGAGCACGGCGTCGAGGTGGCCTGCCGGCAGGCCGTGCAGCACGAACAGGCGCCATTGATTACTGCTGCCGTCGGACCTGGCCGTGGCTGCTTCGAGAGCCGCGCGCCACTCCCCGGCCGTGGCCAGGGCCGTCTTCCGACTCCCGCCCCCGGGAGCGTCCCAGTCGAGCAGGTAGGCCGGAGGGGGCGCGTCTGTGGGTACGCCGGTGGCTTGTTGCAATGTCTCCGCCTGGTTCGGGTGCTTGATGTGGTAGATGCGCTGCTGTTCTTGTTGTTGGTCCTGCTTGCGGTTCTGCTGCGCCGCGCGCGCACGCTGGATGGCTTCTTCCATACTGGACATGGTTCCTGAACCCTACCAAGGTCTATACCGAGCTTGAGAAGACGTGAAATGTTTTAGTGCGTCTATGTCTTCTGAACGCTGTGAGGAAAGACAATGGATGCGAGTTCAATTCAAGGCAACCTCTCCCATCAATCAACAGACCCAGCCTGGCTCGTGGCTGCCTTGCCGTGTAATACCTACATAGCAAGGCAAGGCCAAAAAGGAAAACCCAGCACCGTCCAAGGCAGGCAGAGGCAGAGCCAAGCACGGCCGACCGACAATTGCATTACATCAGTGGAAGAGGAAGTAGGAACATCGCATCCCTTTTCGGGAAACGTCGCTCAGCCACACACGCGCAGCTTTGGGCCAATAGAGACCAACGTTCTGCCGTGCAGCACGCCGAATTTGGTCACAAAAAGGCGGGGGAGTGTAAAAGCAATCCTTGTGACGATCCTCAGTCCCGAAGATGGTCACTCATTCAGCCGCACAAAGCGTAACTCGGGCAGTTGTCCAAGTAGTGTAGCACACCAGCATGGGCTCGGTCCCAGCGACACAGCACAACAACATAAGAACCATCTCTCTCATACACACAGAGGAGACCGATTAACAATCCACACTTCACAGTTCGTAGAAGCAACCATCATGCATAATATTGAAGCTGTCCGTCCCGTTTTCTTCTTTCAAACGATGAGATAGATAAATGAGGCAAGGCAAGGCAAGTAGCTGCTGTAAAAGAGACTCCAGCGCGACTCATAGTAGCAGGCAAAAGGACAACTCAAGGACCAAAGAGAGTAAGGTAGGCACCTAGGTAGCGAGACAACCATTTGAGTGATAAATCCTCCCCATCCCGCCATGGAAAAAAAATAAGACGAAAAATCTCGCAAGGAACCACACAAACAGACAGAAAATAGAGAGCAGCTCCATTTCCTGCAGCAAAGGCAAAAGCAAAAGAATAAATTGAATTAAAAAAAAAAAAAGTCAAAATAGACAATAGAAACGCCAGCCAGAGAGAGAGATATATGATTTGCCCCCTAAAAAACCGAAAGAAAAAGAAGGAAGAAACTCCAGTTCAGATGAAGTAAGCTAGCTACCTTACCTACCTAGTTAGCATAACGATGAAGATATGGTAACAAGAGAGTTACACAGAGAGAGAGAGAGAGGGAGACGATGTATTTCCTTTCTTTTCTTCAGAGAAAAATAAAGAAAAGAATTGCAGAGACCAGAGTCCACCGAGAGCCCCAGATCTTGCCACGCCCTCCACACACACACACACATACACACACACATACACACACACACTCGCGCACACACGCGTCTCCCCCGGCCCGTCATAATGTGTCAGTCTAAAATGAGCGAGAGTGACCATGAGATGATGACGAAGAACAAAAGGAGAGAGAATGACAGCCAACCAAGCCAGGAGAGGTGGAGGAGAGAAAAAAAAGCCAAAAGGGCATGAAAAAAAAAAGATGACCCGGCCTCACCCCCAAAGTTTAAAAGAGAAAAAAGAAGACCTCCATGTGTAAATGCTCTCTCAAGTGACGGGCCGAGAGGGGTGTGTAGCAAAAAGAGAGAAATCGAGAATAGGGAGCAAGTTCCAGTTCCAAGGGATCGCGGGAGCGGCTTGATTCATCTCTGAAGAAGAAAAAAACCACCCCGGCCAATCAAGGGACCCCTCCCCCCTCCCTCCTAGAGCACGGTGCAGAAGACGGCTCGCTGCCTCGGCCGGAGAAGACGGGCCCCCACAGCTGGTGGGTAACTGCTTCCATGAGCTTCCTATGACTCGTATCCATTGGCATTGCCGCCTTTCTGGGCGGCGGCGGCGGCGGCGTTTTTGGCCTTGTTGGCTTCTGCAGCGTAGTGCTGGTCCTCGCCCTCGTGGTGCAGCGTGACGCTGTTGAACTCCTCAAAGGGGTCAACCACGTCCGCCCCCGGCGTCACCAGGCCGCTGTCCATGGGCAGATGGCCTTTTAACCCCATCGGTCTTGAGCCGCTAATGTCGACGCTCTCGCTCTCCTTGACGTTGCGGAAATTGATAGTATCGATGCCCCGCCCCTGGTTGGGCACGATGGGCGGCTTCATGTGGCGGATGAGCGCCCATTGCGTCGTCCTGAAGAACGGGTGGCTCTTGATGTCGGACGCACCAGCTCGGGCCCCGAGCCGGCGGTTCTCGTCCTTGATAAGCAGTTTCCGGATTAGGGATTTGCATAGACTACGCAGGCTCGTTAGTATAACACCACACCAAAAAGATGGATTGTGAAACTGACTTTGATATTTGCGGTGCCCCCGCGTGGTCAGGGAAAGGAATATCTTCCCTGAGGATGTTCGCAAACGTCGCATTGCGGTTCTTCCCCTTGAACGGTGTCGTGCCGTACAACATCTCATAGACTAGGATTCCCAGGGTCCACCAGTCCACGGCGCTGGTGTGCCCGCTCCCCTTGATAACCTCGGGGGCGATATACTCCTCGGTTCCCACGAACGAATTCGTCCGGAAGTTGGCGATGCACGACTTGGTGTCGATTGTCGGCAGCGACGACGTGCTCGTACCGTTCTTGCCGATAATCATCGTTGGCTTGCCGCCGGGATCCGACTGTTTGGAGAGATCAAAGTCCGAAAGCATTATGTGACCGGACTGGTGAAGCAAGATGTCTGGTACGGGCAGAGTCAGCAAAGCATCACGATACGGGAATGAAGTCGGTTTTCAACATACTCTCTGGCTTCAGATCCCTGTAAATAAAACCCATCAGATGTAGATACTCCAACGCCGCCGTGACTTCTGCCGCGTAAAACCGGGCATCGTCTTCTGGTATGCACTTGCCGGGCCGTGTCTGCAGCGCCCTGAAGAATTCGCCGCCGCTGCAGTATTCCATGCACAGGTAGAGGTAATCCTCGGACTGGAACGAGTGATAGAGCGTCACGATAAAGGGGTGGTTACTCGTGGCGAGAATCTCTTGTTCTGCTAGCGCTCGCTTGATCTTGTTGCGCTTGATCATCTCCTTTTTGCTCAAGACTGTGGGTATTTGTCAGCGGGTGTTGTCCGGTACCTCCGAGACCAAAAGGACTCCGGCACGGATAAGAGCAGCCTACCTTTCATGGCATACAGCCTCGAGCTCTTCTTTTCCCTCACCAGGTAAACCTTTCCCACGTCTCCCTTACCGATCAGCTTGATCTTGTCGAAGCTCTGCGGGCCGACCTCGACGTTCCGGACTTTGATCGAGTTGGAGCTGTAGGTGCGGCGGAAGGCGAGCGGCGAGCGGCCCGGCGGCGGGAGGGCTCCAAGGCCATCCGGGTCGGGTATAGACAGGCCGTTGGAAGCGTCTTCGGTGGGTGTCGTCTGTTCGGCGAAGCCGAGCGTGTTGGAGTCCTTGTTGCGGACCAACGGCTCCTTTGCTAGCTCGGCCGTGGCGGGGCGCTCGGCGCTGCCCTTGCTCTTGGAAAACAGCCCCTGAACATTGGGGGCGCTGGCAACCCTCCGCAACTTCCGCGCGAGCTCCTCCTTGGTGGTGGTGGTGGGCTGCTCGTCGATCGCGATGCCGTTAGGACCGTCGATCTTGAGGATGGGGGTGTCGGGGGGGCTCGGGGGAACGGAGCCCTCGTTGTGATGGCGGAGGCCGGGCTGGCCCTGGTGAGCAAAGTAGGGGTTCGCATGCGCCGTAGGGCTCATGGACTCGTCGAGCGCATTGCCCTCGCTGGCGACCGTGGCACTGCGCAAGCGGCCGACGCTGAAGAAGCGGGACTGGCGGAATGGCGTCTTGGTCTCGGCTTTGAGGGCGGACCCATGACTGCTGCCGCTGCCACTGCCGCTGCCACTGTTGCTCTCACGGTCGCGCCCGCCCGAGTTGATGCGGAAGAAATTCCTCAGCCGCTGCGGAAAGTGGCTATCGCCAATCGTGCTCTTTGTTGACGGCATTCTTATAGTCGTACCGGATCATGAGGCGACGGCCATGTTGGGAGGGATGGGAATGGAAGTTTGGATGGGGTGATGTGATGTGATGGTGGAGGATCCAGGTGTGACGGCGCTGCCCTGAGAAGTGGAGGATAGATTAGCTAGGCGCTGCTAAGCTAAAAGGCCCGCCCCCAGAATTCCAGAATGCCGGCCCTGCGCTGTACGTACGGGCCTTCACTGTAAAGTTGGTATGTGCTCTTGGGAGGCCCCTGTTCGCCAGTGGCCAGCCCCCCGTTGCCAATTGGCAAGCGGCGAGTCACGGGACTTTCCGCTGCCCAGCCCGCGCCATCGGCCTGCGCCCGGTGGCCACACGGCCAACCCTCAGCCAGCCCGCCCCTGTCAATGCCCCTTCCCAAGAATCAAAATGCTCAGAATGTCAAATCGTTCCTGCTCCCATTCAGCCCAGCCCAGCGTTGAAAGTTCCTTTTCTCCATTCGCGGGCGCACAGTCCAGTTTGGGATGTTCAGGGCCTACCAATCCCGGTTGGCAGGCGCTGACAAGGGGCATGTAAATCGTAACCTGGAAGGTGAGGAGTGGTATCCGTCCGTATCCGTAGCGCGAATACCAACCTGAACTGGAGTGCTCCGAAACTGATTTGGACCTTCTGAATCTTGACCTTTGCCACCCTCACTTGCTGTCTTTTCCCCCGGGCAGGACACACACCTAAATTGGCTCGCGACATATGCAACGTGCGGGTTTATTTCACGGACTTGCTTGTCTGCTCCTTTTCCGGGTTACCTTTTTCTCCTGAAGCGCGGGGCATAATACCTCACTCAAGTATCTTCTTTGGCTGCAGGGCGACACCGGGTCTCCTGATTGGCCCTCGCCTGCCCTTCCCTCGCCTTCTCCGGGCGCCTGGGTTGGAGAAAGAAGGCCTGTTGAGGAGCTCAACCTGTTCGCCAGCGGCAATGTGAGTGCTGTGGGTAAATGGCTCGACGCAACCGCGTATCCGTAGGTTAGGCTGGCGAAACCGGGGCTTAGGTTTGCTCTCCTGGCCTAGCAATGTAATGCATGTACCTACACGCGGACGGGCTACCTTAGTTCTAGACTCGAACGACGAAAGAGAATATGCGTGCATGCACGCATGCTCCCAAACAAGCACGTCTTGTTGCAATCAAGCAGTATTACGGAGCAAACGGTGGGGGGAGGTGTATGTACGCCAACCAGGGAACTGCGATTGTGTTACACCATTTCGCCGAGAACTTCATCCTTCACCATACTAAACTTGGACACCTACCTTTCTGGGATGTCGAAATGCCCAGCCAGTCTTAGCTCCCTGAGAACCATCTTTACACAGCAACCTTAGAAGTATGTTCCTATTACTTATAGTAAGTTTGGTCGTCGAGCCGTACGGGCTGACATAATCAGGCGGCTTCTTGCCCCCAACTTGAAGGCTCCCACTAGACGCACACGTGTGTGCGCTTATGTAAGTGACCTTTTTGAAGCATGGAAGGCAATTCGGCTTGCATTGATCAACCAACTCTCTGAGTTGCGGTCTAACCAAGCTAAACAACAGATCCGTATACCTCTTGAGCTCGATAAAGCTCTGTATAATGCCGTACAGGGCTGGGTCTCATACGAAGCATTACGGAAGGTTGAGAAGCAGCGGCAATTGCAGTGGAAAGACCCTCCTCCGCGGCCTACTTGTACAGGCACTTTTACACGTATCTACGGGCTTCCATGTGTACATGTACTTACTGGGCGTCAAGAGCCTCTTCTTCTTGAAGACTTCCATTCGCACTGGCGCTTAATACGTGATGGGGCTCCACCTCAGCTTTTAGAGCCCCATCGTATAGAGCCAAAAGCTACAAGTAGGCTCCCAGCGTCAAGTACGAAGCGAGAGCCCGCCGAGGCAACACAGGCAACGCGGGCTAAGCGGCTAAGCCAGTGTACGGCTTGCGGTGAAATTGGCCATAGACGGACCTCTCGGGTGTGCCCGAAGCGTTATTCAGATGTTGTACGGATTGATTGAATGGCTGGCTGGCTGGCTGCAGTGTGGGCGATAGGTTGGCTGTGGTGGAAAAGGGTGCGAAAAAATTGGCCGCGTTAGATGCATTTTCAGAGTTACATAAGCAATTTCACACTTACATAAGCGCACACACGTGTGCGTCTAGTGGGAGCCCAACTTGAAGCGCAACGCCCCGTGGGTGGTCTGTGCTCATGTGATCAACCGAATGCTTGGCAACAACATCGCTTGAGCGCGTTTGTTGGAACGACTTGCTGAACGGCCTGTAAATGCCCTCCATTTCCACGTGCTTCCAGCCGCCACCAATCTCATCGATAAACCCAATGCCAAAACGGTTAGATTGATGATGGGACTAGAGAAGATATTTTCATAGCCGGAGTTTTCCCCCTTCACATTTCACACTCATCTAGGCTATGTTGGCGACTTCACTCTGCACACTTGACTCCTCATCGACCTCTCGACTTGCTACAGCAGCTAGGGTGGCGGCGGACAAACACATCGCAGCCACACAACTCCCTCTAAGCCGGGAATCATGCCATACAACCCCGGTTTTGATTCGGCAGCGGGCTCCAATATCTACTCTAGCACCTCAAGCAGTGCTAGCGACAACCGCGGTCACCCACCGGGTGAGCAGCTTGGCCTCGCCCACGTTCCTCAACCCCGCGCGGGACAAAATGGCCTAATCAGGGACTCCGAGGATGATTCCGACCAGGAGATGTATGAGATGGGTGATGACGAAGACGAGTACGACCAAGCCGAGCTGCCCCAACCCAGCTATACGCCACCTCCCGTCACTCCGGCCATCGCTCAATCTCAAACAAGAATTCCGCCTACACCGGAGAATCCCCCGTTATCCCAGGTGGCTGTTATACTTCACTCTAGTCTGCAAAAGGAAGCATATGCCAAAGTCGAGGATGAAGAAAGCTCGGGCCTTTTCGTAACCTTGGATCTTACCCGCATGCCGAAGAAACTACACGCTGCCACAGATGCAGGACCACCGCGTGCTTCTTCCAAGGCTAGCAGCCCAGCAATCACCGATGCCGCCCCACGACCAAAGAAACGAGGTCGGACGATAGGGTGGACGGCGGGAACCGGGCCGTACTTGGAAAATAAAGGCCTGCCCGGCGCGAGGCCAAAGGTGAAGAAAGCTGCGGGCGACCTCAAGCGGAGAGCTCGCCGCCCCAGAAACCCCTCGCCCACGCCTCGTCGTGTATACCTGGCCCTCAAGCCGAAATTTGTACCGTTCCTCTGTGAGTGGGAGGGATGCCCGGCCCAGCTGCAGAACCATGAGACGCTACGAAGGCACGTTATGAAGGTTCATGGGCACGCCGAAACCTGTAAATGGGGCAAGTGCGCAAAGCTCCAGCCAGTACCACAACCAATGGGAAAGGACGAGCTTGCGGCCCACATGGACAAGGCACATCTCCTGCCCTGCGTCTGGAATGCTGGCGATGGGCCGCGCAACACCGATCTGGGGATGCCCAATGCAGCGTCTATGAGAGGGGACGCCGACCCGCTGCCGCCATATCTGTTCGACGAAGATGGTCATCAGGTGACGCCTTCCATCAAGGACCAGGATTATGAGAATGACAAGGACCGCAGGAACCGGCAGCATATGCTAGATCGCCTAATAACGCGGCGAGATAACAACGCACCAGACGAGCCACAATACACGCAACAGGAGTTGAAAGAGGTAGCCCTCGCTCTCAGCCAGAAGAAAGCCAAGCAGAAGATGTTCAAGGAGTATCGAGACCGCGCCGTAGGAGCCCCCGGTGTACAGGGGACATTAGACCCGCAGTTCAGGGGGATATTGTCATGGCATGGCACCCGGTAAAGAGAATTGAGAACAAGCATTACCCAATCCACCCGAACCAAGACGACCCGATACTTGATATTCGAGAGCTTAAGCCTAGAACCAAAACAGCCGCATGTCCCTTTTCGACAGTACCACCACCCTAACAGAGAGGCTCAGTACTGCCTAGGTCTCTTCGGTACTCAACCCTTTGCTTCTAAGTCTCGGGCTCAGACTTGGGATGTCTAAGAGAGGAGATGCGCAACGTCGTTTGTACTGTACAACAAAAGATAACCTAAGAATAATAGCCTGAAAGCAGTCAGACATGTTCTCAAACTGTTGCGATGACTTGTACCGTCTGTAGCAGTGCTCTACAGCTTTAACGGGCCTCACATTGTCGATGTCATAAGGGATTTTGGCTCTTCAGCAAAGAATGGGGACGAGACGAGCATACAGAGCAAAACAAGTTAATGTCACAAGCAGCGCCAGTTGGTTAGTGCTTGGGAGACTCATTCCAGTCGTTGCTGGGTAACTTCCTGGGTTGCGGAAAGCAAACGCTCGGCACAAAAACACTCTTATAACATGGATGGTAGTACTAAGCGTTGTTTGCATTTGTAATCTAGCGAAGAGCTACTAGCGGAGCGGTTATGAGGAGAGGGAGGGAAGCTTACCAAGGCCAGAAACATGAATTTTCTTCACAAAACTTTTACGGACACTGTAAGCCCGCGACCTCTGGCGAACCACTCTGGCTGACATAGAATTAGGGGGTGCATTTCTGAAGGAACTCAATTTGGAGTCCGAAGCAAGAATGGCGCCTTTGAACAAGTAAACAAAGGGGACTAAGTACACAAAAAACAAACATGTCTATCCATATTGGTTCTCGGAAGTGGTCCCCAGCAACGCCTTCAATTGCCTCAGCTCGTCCAGCTCTTCTGGGCTCCATCTCGCAATGCTCTGCTGGCCGTTCCAGCTCACCACCAGCTTTCTGAAGTCGGCCAACAACGCGTCGCTTTCCACGGCCCTCTGATTCCTTTGCTCTCGTGTCACCTCGTGCGAATTCTGCACTCCGTAGATGCCAAGCTGGGTCTCGTACCTCCTGCGCAACAGCTCCGTGCCAGCTTCCACATCCTCTGGCTCAACATCATCGGCGTCTAGCTTCTTCTCATACATCTCCAGCTCGGTCCGCACATTTTCGTAGTAGGCTTCCAGCTCGGCCTCGAATTTTCTCGCCTGGATAAACCCGTCCCCCATGGCGCCAAGCTCCAGCGTGCTGCCGTCGGCGGCGGCAGCCGTCTCCCCCCCGTCCAGGTAGACGGTGCGGCCGAGGTCTGGTGATGCAAGTCTGGAGCCCCGCGGCGAGAGCAACGTGCCTTTCTTCCAGTGCCACACGAGCCAACAGGCTGCCCACGAGATAACGAGCCCGCTCGTTGCGCCGAAAATGACCTTTTCGGTTTCGATCGAACCGGCGCTGGCGTGGGATGCGTTTTCGATGACGAGCGAGCCGGGTGGGAAGGAGTCAGAGCTCGCATTGAGCGGGCCGGGAATCGCGACGACATTGGGGGGAAGCGGGCCGATGTTCCACTCGGACGTGCTCATGTTCATGAGCTCGACCCATTTCTGTGGATTGGTGGTATAATAGTTGTATCCTCTCCAGGACTCCATTGTTGCGGCCGGGTACTTCTGGGCTGGGGGGTATCGAAACAAAACAGTGATGGCAGAGTTGGATGTTCGGCAGACGAAGGAACGCGGGTTGACCCAGCACGGACAACACTTGACAAAGGCCAACTGGCCGAGATTGGGGTTGTGGGAAGGGCGAGGAACTGGCAGCTAGGGGTGGGGGGGCCGCCGAGGCAAACAGGTAGGTGTTCGAGACAAGGCTGCGAAAAGTGACTTCGGGCCCCTGGTAAGTGAACAACATGGTACAAACTCGCCGGACGTATATTCACCCAAAAGCTGCCTGTGGCTTGCGCTAACGCTGCAACAGATGTTGTGGCTAGCTTCCTGGATGCAGCCCGCCAGCCTCATCTCTCTCTCGCTCCAGCCTAGAACTACGTGTGTGTCACCAGTCATACGAGAGAGAATGGATCGCAGTTCCCGAGGTGGAACCCGTTCACGCCCATCCGCCCCGTCCCGTCGGTGGTCTTGCCACACATCAAACCAATATCAGCACGTTCTTGGTTGATGGAGACGTCCAGCTGCAACTGGATAATCTCGTACTCCTTCCCGCGGTTAGTCACGGTCTGCGCCACCCGTTGATGCACATCTGGCGGAATTGTGCTGAGGTCGAAGTCCATCGACACCTCCCCGGGTGAGACTGTTGCAGCGGCGGTTAGTCAGTCAGCCAGTCCGTCTCTTGGGAAATATTGCGGCATCTTTTAGAACTTACTATCCCCGAGGTTGACGTGTTGCAGGTCGTCGTCGGTCGCGGAGATAATGATGGTGATCCTCCCAGCTCGAGGGCTCAAGGGGGTGAGCTTCCTGACGAGCCTGATGGTCTTCTCAGTTGGCTTGTCATGCCGGATCAGGTCGCCCTTGAAGGCAAACCACTCGACATGGTCGCGGGCGCGTTCCACCCCGTCCAGCGAGTCTTCGTATCTCTGCTGTGGCTTGTGGTCGTACAAGGCAAACCGCTTGGAGGTGACAAGGCCTAGGCTGTACGGCATCTGGACGACCGGAGGAGGAACCTTGCAGTTCAGACCAAGGCCCAGCAAGACGCCGCCCCGCGCCACGGCAGTCCAGCACTCGTCGCTTCGCAACAGCTCGAAGCGCCACGAGCGGGCGAGATCGTTGACGCACTTCTTGAGATACTCGCTGTGGGAAAAGCCACCCGAGAGGAAGATGGTCCGGACAGTCCGCCGCTTGGTTACCACCTGTAACAGCTGCTCCTCGATGAGCTGCTTGATGCCGCCGACGCATTCCTTGAACATTTCTTCCATGTCCTCACCGCTGATAAAGAGCTGGCCTCCCACAATACCTCTAGACGGGTCGTCCATTGCGCCGATATCCGGGGGCAAATCTAGAATGAAATACTGGGGCTGCTGTCCTGCGGGTCCGGGTTCGCGGCCCTCGAACTCGCGCTTGATGACCTCGAATCTCTCCAACATGATTTGCTCGCCGCGCTTAAGGACGGTATGGTTCGCACGCCCGTACCGTTCTCTGGCTCCTCCCATGTTCAGGAGCTTCGTGTAGCACGCGGGACTGAGCCGGTTGGGGAGGAATTCCTGCAGGAAGCAGTTGTCGATCTTGGTTGCCCCGAAGCTGCCGCCTGACACCGCTGTGACTTTAGCGATCTTGAACGGGGAGAGCTGGTCGATGCGGTACGACACCAGGTCGACGGTTCCTCCGCCAGCGTCGACGACGATAAAACACTCGCCGACCCGGAGCTGATGCTCGCTGACCGTTTGCTGGGCCCGGGCTGCTTGCACCGTGTACTGCGCACATGCCTCGGGCTCGGAGGCGAGGCGGAGGCAGCCCAGCCTCACTTTGACATCGCCGAAAGCAGCCCAGAAGGCAGACGTGACAGCTCGGAAGATGAGGTTTTTGCCCCGGTCGTCCCAGACTGCAGGGTGCGTGATGACCACGTCCAGGGGGAACTGCTCCAGCTGCGTCCTGTCGCGGACGTTCTCGATGTCGACGCGCACTTGATGGAGCACCTCCTTGAGATAGTCGAGCACGATGTCTGCCGAAGTCTTTATCAGGTGCCGCGGAATGTCCGACTGCGGCTTGCCGGGGCCGAAGTTGAGCATGTCGGCCTCCTGGAGCGTGTGCTTCATCGACTTGAGCGCATCGACGCGCTTCGGCACCTCGAGCCTCAGCTTGGTCCACCGGATGGCATAGACGCTGTCGCCGATGTCGTAGCCCCATTTCTGGCTCGAACTTGCCGAGTAGGTGAGCACCGACGGCACCTTGGCTCCGAGGCCGCCGACCCAGTTCTGGACGATTCGGATATCGGAGAACTTGGAATTCGGACCTTGGGCGAGGATCCATGCCGCTCCTGTATGGCAACAACGGAGTTCAGCCGAGGCGTCAAATTGGGGTAACTACTGTGCCAGTGGAAGAAGAGCTTCTTACCGGTGTACGTGGTACCATAGTCGATACAAATCACATATCTGGGGTAAACGTCGCCCGAGGCACTGTTGAGCTGCGTGTTTGAAGTCCCGCCCAGTGACTCGGACATGATGCTGACAGATCCTTCAGGGGCGGCCATTTCTCTCTCTCGAAAGGCGCGAATCACACAATAACAGCCTCGTATGTATATGAAAGATGCTGTTTCCGATGAAAAGAGGACCAATGCTCGTCCATGGGACACCGATGGTATTTGAGGATGGTGGGGAGGCCCTGGCAACTTGGTGTAGGTACTTTGAAACCACCCGGGGGGGGGGGGGGTTGGACATAGCCGAGCGGCCCTGAGGGGGGAGTTGAACCTGACGAGGCTGTGGTATACGAAGTATATGTCGTGTAAGTTCTGCCTTTGGCGCCCGCATGTGGCATGGGCATGGGCATGGGCATGGTCTGGACAGCGCCACTGAAGACAGGACTCGCTTGGCGCTCCCCTCCCCTCCTCCCCCTTGGATCAGGCTCGGGCTAGACTGTAGGTCGACATGCCGCTTTTTGACAATGGGGCGCCAGTCGAACAGCTCTTGCAAATCCTCCCCTCGCCAATTTCTCAAGATACATCTTTGATGCAGCTTCGTTTTGTCGCTTGCCTCCGCATCGAGTGTTCTGGACTCGTGGGCAATGGGGTTATTACCTTTAAGAACTGGTAAGGAGCGTGAGAAACCACGGAATGGTTCCAGCAATGATGGGAATAAAATACATGAGCATCCCCCATCAGGTCTTGCACCCATCGATCCGTCTATTAAGGGGTCGCAGGCAAAGGTAGAGGGACGTGGACGATTTGCCAGCTTTGCCAGCTTGAAAGCCCTTGGGAATGTAGTGGGAAGAAAAGGTGGGAAGAAAGACGACAATCCAACACCCAACACACCACTCGCAACCTCGGAGCACAAAGGAGAGCTCGAGCAGCCTACAAACAACACGACTCACACTGGCCCAGCATATCAACAAACTCTTGTTCTCGCCAACTCTACCACAGCGTTCACTTCATCTCTCCCCACAAAGCCACACCAAGGCCACGTCGACCACTTCGACGATCGCAGTCAACAGCTTTCCATTCAGCACACGGAAAGCCAATATGACCATGGCATAGCACAGGGTATTACGCCACACACACACACAGTGGTGCCGCAACCCCAAGTTCAGGAGAGATATCATCCTAGATTTGAACATCCCTGGGGCACGATAAACGAAGCCGAACTCCCAGATAACTCTGCGTCACCGCCTCCCACCATGACACATCCAACACCACACACGGTAACGCACGAGCTTCCGGCCACGGGCTATCGGGGGCCGACAACAAATAAGATGAACGCGGACGGGCAACCTGCAATTATTGCCGCAAAACTCGCATTCGATAGATCTCAAGCCCCCCTGAGCCAAAATGGAGGACTGCTTGTTGCTCCTTCACTTGATCGTAGTACACCATACAGCGCTGTCGGCCCTGCCGGGACTTCGAATCATCTGCAGGCCACGATCCCACGCCGCAAGCTGCAGTTGCATGTACGGCCATCGCCAGAAGAGCTGCCGGACCAAGTGCTACCGGCTGAAACGCCACAACCCCGGGACGCCCACGAGATAGCCCAGAGAGCGGCCCAAGAGGCGGTCCAAGTTCAAGAACCGTCGCCACCGGCACCACTCCTAGGGACGCCGTCGCCTTTCAATGGCAGGCGGCCGGGCAAAGAACCCGAGGAGGACCCTGAAGCAGATGAAGAATCCAAATGTGTACCCTCGCATTTTAGCGATACCTCTTTGCTTTCTCCGCCCACCAAACCTACAGAGCTACCGGGTCAGCCGAAACAGCTTGAACCTGGACTGCGGTCTCCCGCGCAAGAGCTGCCGTCCGAGAGGCCAGGTCCTGAAGTCCAAGTTGCGAGTGGAGGGGATATATCACCACTAGAAGCGACAACCCAAGAGACTGGGCCAGAAGAACTTCCTAGGGTAGGGGAGGGCGGTAAGATGGCTGGTCAGATATTGCCTCCTCGGCCTCTCCTCCAGCCAGGCGTTGCAGATTCCACAGATTTGCGCATCAAAGTATATCTTCAGCGCCGTGGCGTTCCCGTAGATTCCCTGTACGACGGGCTCACCAACCTGTTCAACTGGTCTGATAAGGAGCAGGACAGATCCAACAAGGAGCAGAAAGAAATCCAGAAGAAGTTCCAAGCGGCGTCCGACGAAGCCCGGAACTTGGCGCAAGAAATCAACAAAAAAGATCTAGCGATGATCCAGCTCACGAGCGAGCGCGACGCGTTGAGGCAGCATGCCGGCAAGACCGAGGCGAAGCAGAAGAGCGCCGAAGAAGCATGCCAGAAGGCCAAATCGGACCTCAGTAAAGCCCAAGGTTCCATCAAATGGCTGCAACAGGCCAACCAAAGCGTTACCCGAGAGAGGGACCAAAAGACTCTAAAGATCAGTGATCTACTCGGCGAGACCAGCAGCCTGAGAGGCGAGATTGACGATATTAAGGCAGCCTCGGCCATCAAACTAGAGGCCAAGCAGAAAGAGTACGATACCAAGTGGAGATTGTACGACGCGCAACTGCACACCGAGAGGCAAAACTTGTTGGCCATGGCCGCACAGTACAAAGAAGCTCTAGCCGCCAAAGACAGCCAAGCGGATCTAGCCGCCCAGCGGTACCAAAACGAACTAGGAAGCATAAATACGCTATGGAATTCGAAATGGAGAATGGCTATCCAGGAGTTTGACACCCAGCTGGAGACGCAGGCCCAGAAGCACCAGGGGGAAATGGGACAAGCGGGCCGCTCGATCGCCGAGATGGTCGAGAAGCACGCCGGGGAGATCAAGTCGCGGGAAGACCAGACGGCGGCCGTGGAAGCGCGCTACCGGCGGCGGCTGGCCGAGGTGGAGGGTAGCGTGCGGGCCGAGATCGAGCGGGCGCAGCGCGAAGACCGCATGACCATCAGGCGGCAGCAGCAGCAGATCGCCGCGTACACCAAGGACGGCTACGCGCCCGTCGACGACGCCGCCTTCACCAAGTCGTTCCAGGCCCTCGTGCAGGACGTCAACCGCCTCGCCAGCCACGCCCGCCTGCCGCCCACCATCGACTTTGACCCGGCGCTCGACCCGACGGGCTGCCTCGAGAGACACGGCGGGCTGAGGAGGAGCTGGATCTGGCCGCGCTTCGTCCGCAACCTGTGCTGGGAGGTCCTGCTCGCGGGGTTTTTCAGTCTGCCGTTTGGGTTCGGCGCCCTGGGGAAGCAGGGCGACGGGTATGATGAGCTAAGGCGCATGTATCAGGCTACGGCACGGCTGGTTCTGACTGGCAAGTTCACTCTTCTTCTTTCTAATCCTTCCCCTTTTTGCCCCCTTTCCCTCCCTTTCCCCCCCTTTCCTCCCTTTTCCCCCCTTTTTCCTCCTTTTTCTTTTTTTCCTTCCTCTACCCGTTCAAGGTCCTTTTTTTCCTAACGAACCAGCTTTCCCCCCCCACAGACGACACGGACCCTGTCATGGCAATGCCCAACGAGAAAGATGTCAGCCTGTACCGCGCCTCGTACATGGAAAAGATGCTCTCGGCGATCCGGTCTGACCAGAGGGGGGCAACCGCCGGCGGCGAGATGGCGTACGCCGTGGTCTTCCAAAAGAACGTCGACGCGGTGGCGCGACGGCTCTACGACACGCTCGACCACATCGTCAACGGGCAGATCAGCGCGGCGTGTCTGCAGCAGGCGTCTGCCGTTGCGCACAAGCTGGGGATACTCGCGCTGGAGATGGGCACGCAGCGCGCCAGGATCTGGCTCGAGACGTGCCGCTACGGCGAGCACTCGACGCCCGATGAGTGGAAGACGGAGGATGGGGAGGAGACGGCCTCGGTCGGCGGGTCGGTTGGTGGTGTTATGGTAGACTTGATGGTGCATCCCTGCCTGAGCAGGGTCGGCGACGGGAGAGATGATTTAGTCAAGAAGAAGGTCATGGCCAAGGGCGAGTTCGTGCCGCTGCGTTGATTTGTAGTTACTGACTCTGTATGCGAGCCTTTTCTTGGTACCTACACAGAATATGGATATAATTCTACCGCATTTACACCATTTAACAATTTATTTTTTTATTTTTTCATTCTTTTACGATACTACGTAACATGACGGTGTCAATGTTCCAGACCCGCCTTGAGCTGCTCGCAGAGTGTGGGAACTACCAGTCAATCAGAGGATGCAGTCGCACGTGATTGGTCAACAGGCTGCACAGCCTCAGTGGCTGACCACCATGCGAGCCGCTATGCGGCACGTGCGCGAGGCGCACCACCCCTCACGTAACCTCCTGCATCGCCAATTCCAACGCGCATCCTGTCCCCGTAGTTCGTGACCTTAGACATAGAGCAGACCAGAATACAACCACCACAACCACCTCATTCGCATCGGTTACTGCAGTGACTATGGAACGAATGACCTTGTCATTCCAACACAGAGAGAGCCTCAGGCAACCCCTATTGCGAGGTCAGGGAGGGGAGAGGAGGGCCGTGACAAGGCTCTCAACAACAACCTCTCACTGTAGCAGCCACTAATTTCAGCTCTCAGTTCAGCTCCTAAAGCTAAAGGCATACTAAAAATAAAAAAAGTTAAGGGGTCAGAAAGTTTGAGGGTTGAGGATTCCAAATCCACAGTCTTGTCCACATTTGGGGGGGGAGGGGGGGGGAATCTAGGGCTTGCTTTGCTTTTCGCCGTTTCACTTATCAGTGTCCATGCACATGGAACCAACGAGACAGGGTAGGCTGACCTGGTAACTGGTTTCACAACACAACACGAAAATAAAAAACGCCATGCTGCTAGCCGCGCCCGAAACGTGAGGCGGGGGAGCAAGAGCCTGCCTAGGTAAGGCATGTACATAGTGAAAGCCTTACAGTACTTGGTCATACATGCCCTGCAGTACGAGAGGAAAAAGGTTCAACAGCATGCTGCCGTGGCAGGTAGTAATATAGATAATAGGGCCGTTGTTGCAGGCCGGATGCAAGCCCCATAGGCAGGCAATCAATCAGCCACCACAGTGGACGCTACCTCCTCGACCTCGGCCCGCTTTAAGCGCCAGCCTTGCCCTTGCTATAGGGGAAGGTAGGTGGCAACGACGGATGGAGGGAACATGGCAGATGCCAAGCCGGCCTCAGCCAAAGAGTAGCGGTCGGTTTGGGGTTCCCCCGGCGGAGAAGGTCTTATGAGGATGAGGGTGAGTGAAAGCGCTGCTCTGCTTCCTAGAGTCCATACCTACCTAGCCCGGGGCTGGACACCTGGGACGGCACGACATCCCTTCCCGCCCTTGCCACACCTACCTACCTGACTGACTGGCTTGCCTGGGAGTTTCGCTATCCTGTCGGCCATGTTGGAGGTTGTGTTCTTCCTCGTCCTCACGTCACGTCCTCTCGTCTCAAAGATTGAGTTTGAGCCCATGGGGGTTTTTTTTCACCTTTCCTTGTCTGTTTACCTATGTGATCTATCCTTCTCGGTAAAAAAAAAAAGAAAAAGAAAAAGAAAGGGGGAGGTAAGCAAAACTCAAAATCATGAGCTCGACGTGGACTCTCTGGACGCTGCCGGCGCAGCCGGCGCCGGGATCCGCCGTCGTGTATCCCACGTTTGTGACGATATTGGCCTTTATCTGCGTCGCGTTTGCCCTCTTCTTCCATCTCAAGCTCTCGGGCTCGACTCTGTTGTGGCCCGAGTTCAAGAGCATCAGGGGCTCGACGATGGTACTTGCCGTGTAAGTTTTTGAAGTTCCAATCTTCCCGCCGGACCAATCCTTTTTGTCTGGCTGTTGTCATCTTTGTCCTCTGACAGGCTTTTCTTTTTTTCTTTTTTGGCGTAGCTGGTATACAGGAACGGCCGTCGATCGGTGGCTTCACTTCAATCACCGCGCCTTGCCAAACGGCTACATCCTCTTCGAGCCGATGCTGCAGAGCCTGCGGGTCATCTCGACCATCTGGTTCCTCTGGGCACTTACGACATCGTGTGGGAGGATCTGGAGCGGCGGTTCAAGGGCAAGCGGTCGAAGGGCATGTGGTGGCTTGCCGCCAAGGCTGCCATCTTCGTGGTCGGCCTGGTCTCGCTCTACTACGTCGTGCTGGACGTGGCGACGGCCGTGGTGTGGCTGCAGTTTCTGAGCCTCAACGTCATCTCCGACGTTGCCACGAAGCGCAACGACTTCGAGCAGGCTATGACGGCTTTCTTCACCGTCTTTGGCGTCTTGACCATCTTCGCCGTCGTGGCGACCGTTTTCTTCCGCGCCAGGGCGAGGGAGGGGTCCTGGGCAAAGGTGAGTTAGTACCTCAATCACGCTAAGAATCTCGGCTTACCAGATTTCAATACCCAACAACTCTGCCAGGACCGAGTATACCTCGTCATAGCCACCATAGTGCTCTTTATGCGCTCCTTGAGCGAGTGTATCATCGTTGCCGTGGTCAAAAACGGCTCAGCCCTCCGACGCGCTGCCCAAGGGCCATACGATATCACATACGGCACCTTGACGTGCCTATACCTGGTCTTCATGGGCCTGCAAGCCTGCCAGATCGTCTTGAACCCCGACAAGGGCACCGCGGACGCCGAAAACGTGCAGTCGGACGTGCGCGCCTGGATTCTCGGCAGGCTCGAAAAAGTGACGGAGAATCGTGTGCACACGGCGCCGGCGTTGAGCAGCATCCTCGACGACGCCAGCGCGGAACTCGCTCTGATCCTGGAATACGGCCCGCTCTCGCTCACCTCGGGCCTGCCGGCGGATAAAAAGGCCAAGGTGGCCGAGAACTATGTCAAGCAACTCCGCCGCCACTTCTCGAGTCTCGCCCCTCAGCCCAAGACGATGCCCATCATCCTGCCTCAGCCTCCTTCCAACGGCCGCATCAGAAGCACTCCGGTCGGCAGGCAGAGCTTACCGCCAATGCCCAGCTCCAGCGCGTACGAGAGCCTGCGGAGCAGCTCCAATCCTGAAATGAGGAAGCCGTCGTCGGTCCCAGATATGCGCGGAAACCGGTTCGCTCCTTGCGGACTCCGCGAGAATCCCCCGGCTGGCTCTGTGCCGTGGCAGCTAAACGTTGTCCCGATCGAGGAACACCAGCCTCTGGCCGCATACCACCTGCCCGCGCAGCCCTTTGGCAGTGGTGGTGGCCGCTTCGTCCCGGCAAACCCCAACGCGCCCAGTTTCGGCCACAGAGCCCAAGCAGCAGCAGGGTTCGTCGGTGGGCAGGGGCAGGGGCAGCAACAGCAACAGCAACAACAACAGCAACAGCAACAGCAACAGCAACAGCAACAGCAAAAGCAACAGCAACGCAGACGGTTCGGAACTCAGGAAGGCAGTAGTAGCAGTACCTCTATCATTTTCGGGGCCGGCATTGGTCAGGCTCAGGCTCAGGCTCAGGCTCAGGCTCAGTGGTATCCGCCCGAGAGCTACGCACCGCAGCCCCAAGCCTACCCTGCACAGAGTCCGCCGCAGAGCCCAGCACCGCAAGAGAGCTCGCCGCAGCCGCAACCGCAACTGCGGGCCCTGTACCCGCCGCCGCTGCTGGCTCAGCATTACATGCCCCAGTACGCACCGCCGCACGTAGAAGACGCCCAGACAGCAGCGCCTCAGCCTGCGCCAACCCAACGGCGGAGGTTCGAGCCGGCGCGGGATCCTGCCGTGTCTCCCGCGCCGCCACAGGGCCCGGTTCAAGTCCCGGTTCAAGTCCCGGTTCCAGTCCTCCCGGTTCAAGTCCCGGTTCAAGTCCTCCCGGTTCAAGCCCCTAAGGCAAGCCAGCAGCAGCAGAGGTATCATCCGTGGTTTGCCCCGGAGAGCCTCCCCGGCCAGGTGGTATATGCCGAGACTGTGACGGATTCGGAAGTGGGGTCGACGAGATCGCCTGTCAACTTTGACTATGCGCTGCCGGATCTGGGGCAGCGGAATCTTCCTTGATATGTAGTAGCCAGATTGCCTCGCCTAGTTAGTTAGTTGCTGTGGTTTTTTTCTCAAACTAAACAAACGCCCCGAGGAGTGTCTGCGGCTTGGAGCGGATACAGGTAAGGTACCTAGTTAGTTAGTAAACAAAGGGTCATGAAAATGAACAAGGAGGCAACGTTTTTCCAAACCAACCGCGTTTCCCTGACTGACCGTGATTTGATTCATGGAACCGGACGGAGCAGAGCACGGGGGGATTGGGTGACAGCAGCTCCAGTGTAAGGCAGGCTCCCAGCCACGGTTCCCCCCTCCTCCCCCGCGCCCCGAGCATGCAAGCCCCAAGACACCTAGGTAGTAGGTATATACCTCAGGTAGGTTATTAGCCTGCCTGCCTGGCTACCTACCACTGAGCTCAAGGCCATGGGCACAAAGCCAGCGCCACAGCTTCGGCAACCTGGGAGCTCGTCAAATCCGACTCACTCAACCTCACCCCCCTCACCTCCCTTTTCAACCCTACCCCATTTCCGCTCTCATGTCTTTCTCTCTCTCTCTCTCTCTCTCTCTCTCTCTCTCTCTCTCTCTCTCTCTCTGTCTCTCTCCGCCTTAGCCTTGAGTGCATGCGTGGATGCATGCCATCTCTCAACCTCTCATGAACAGATCCGCCATGCCAATCCTCCCTCGCAAATTCGACTGGGACAAGGAAATCGAGCAGACAGCGGCCAAAGACAGCTTCATCATCTGCCGCCCAGATGAGTTTCCCCTCTCGCAGGTGCAGGCCGTAGCCGAGCGTGTCCTCCACCCGGAGCCGTCGACCTTCTTCAGCCGCAAGCCCGTGCCGCGCTGTTCCGCGGCCGGCAACGAGATCCTCATCGACGAGCTCAAGGGTCTGGCGGGCGTGTTCTACGTCGAGGAGGCCGCCATTGTCGGCTGCCTGCACCTGTTCACCTGGGAGGTGGCGCGCTGGCACCTCTGGAAGAGGATCCGGCCCGACTTGGCGACGGCCAACGAGGACTCCTTCACCTCGCGCATCTCGGTCTACCTTCAGTGCATCGTCGTGGCGCAAAAGGCCGACGCGGTGCTGGTCCACGACGGCGAGGCGCTGGCGGCGCGACAGCTGCTCCGCATCCTCCACCACGGAAAGATAAACGAGTTCCCCTCGGTCCTGGAGCTGCTTGCCACCGTCACCGACACCAGCTGCGAGGAGCTGCTGCCCTTTGACTTCCTCGCCGAGGTGCTGCGGCGGGCCAAGTGGCGCGAGAAGCTCAAGGACTAGCTGGCCCGCCTCCGGAGGTCCCAGCGATGGGCCGACGCACATAGCCTGGTAGACGGGCTGCAGGGCCTGTCTCGACGGGCCGACCTCCCGCACGACGTCCGCAGCTGGCTCCCAGACCTCTTTTCGCACCACTACGCCATGTGGGCGTCGTGGCAGCCCGACGTCGCGCGCATCCGGGCCTGGAAGGCCGGCACGACGCCCGCGCAGCGAGCCCGGCTCGCGCCCGTCCTGGAGCTCGAGGGCCCCGACACGACGCCCCAGCAGCGCAGCACGCTCCGGCACTCGAGCTGTGGAGCCTTCCCCGACGCCCGCTCGCACGGCACGCACGACAACGGCAGAGACATCCTCGACGGGCTGCTCGACCTGCTCGACGGCGCCGTGCGCATCGGCCCCAACGCCGTCGACCTCTTCATCCACCTCGCCCTCGCCACCACAGCCACCACAGCCACCACAACCCTCACCGCCGCCTCCACGCACACGCACGCACTGACCTGGCATCCCCTGCACCAGCTCTCCGCCGCCTTTTCCCCGCCCCCGCCGGGAGTGGACGACGCCGACTCAGTGCCCGGCACGCTGCTCTCGTTCCTGCGCTCGCTGCAGCACCCGCCAGTGTCGATGCACCAGCGCATGGCCGCGCTGACGGCGGTGCTGCCGGTCCTCACCTCATCGACACCCTTGCAGGCGCTCTTTGGCGACGCCCACGACATCTCCGTCCGAGCGCCGCGCGCCCTCTCGGACGCGCAACGGCACTTCTGCTGCCTGCTCTCACAGCAACAGCAACGATGCGGCCCCGGCGGCGCGGCGCTTCCCTTGGGCCTCGCGGTGCGCGCGCTCGGCGGCGCCATGCTCAGCTCAAACTGGATGCTCGGGCGGTGGAAGCCGGCCTTCGTGCACATGCTCGGCGCGCTGCCGTGCGAGGGCGAGATCCGCGCCCGTTTCCGGGCCACTACCACCGTCACCGCCGAGCACCGCCAGGCCCACTTGGACTACCTCGCCGTGACCCTCGGGGCCAGCGAGATACTAGCCGCCGCCGGCGGGCAGGTGGTGATGATGACGACGCCGGCGGTGGTGGTGGTGGTGATCGAGGACGAGGTGTGGCGGGCCGAGCTGGACGCCGATCGCCACGCGCTGCGCAAGACGCTGCAGGGGCTGCGGGGCGTCGACTGGCAGCTGGCGACGAGGTGTCTCTTGGCGGCGGCAGGGGACGACGACGACGACACCTTTGTCAGGGGCGTGACGGGGTACATCGTCGGCGGCTCCGACCAGACGTGCGTGAACATGGCGCGGTTCTTGGCGCCGCGGGTCGTGGGACCGGGGGGCGACCGTTTGCCGGCGCGGAGCGGGAGGAGGAGGAAGAGGGAATGCTGGGTCGAGCTGTGTTTGTGGATGATGCGGAGGCGGCCGAGGGGCATGCTGGAGCGGCTGGGGGCGGACTTGTCCGTCGAGAGCTGGAACGAGTGGGTGGGCTGTCTGCGGGTTCTGTTTGGGGACGGTCATCTAGGCGACAAGGGCGCGCTGGGCTTCACGGCCGAGAGGATGAGGCAGATCACCATCTGGAAGATGAGCAGACGGGGCGTCGGGAGGGTGCACAGCGCGAGCTCGAGGTCGACGCTCAGTGATTATTGAGTACAATAATATCCAGATTCATCTCTATGTGCCATCAACTGCACTGTGGGGTATTCCGTACTTGCTGTGTAAAATGCTTCTCGGGGAGCCAAGGCTATCTGGGCATTTCAACATCCTGGAAAGGTAGGTTGTCCAAGTTTAGTACCTATGGTGAAGGATAAAGTTCTCGGCGGAATGGGGCATTACAATCGCAGTTCCCTGGTCGCGTGCACGTACACCATTTGCCCTGTGGTGCTGCTTGATTGAAAAAAGACGTATACGGCATGCTTAGCTACGTAGAAGCTTTACCCCGGATCAGTAATCGGCACACATGCACGGGCGGATCCTCACGAATGGAACTGAGGACCCACCATTACGTGCTTGTGGTCAGCCAAGACATCCCTCACAAACCTTGGACCAAGCCTTGAAGCTGCTGGGAACACACGTCCACCTCTCACTGACAGTTGGTAATCACCAGTTGCCCTGCATATGGTACCTTATTTCACCATTGCTGTCGAATCTTTGCCCATTGTCCCTAGGTGTATTATTAATCACCCGGGCCGTCCGCTGTCGTCCGCTAAAAGATTCCCCCACTGGGCGGGGTTCGATGGCTTTCGCTCGCCATTCCTGGATCGAGCTCGTGTGATGATGCAGCTCTCGTCTCTTATATAAAATGCATGCCGTCGCTCCATAACTTGGCGACATTCTATAAACCAGCCCAATTCCTTTCGCCTTCATATATCACCATCACAAGCCAGCTTTGCCAGATCCTTCGCCCCGCTCGTCGTGACTTTCGCTGCCTACACTCAAAACGCTCCACACCGAGCCACCTGATATACCTTACGTGAACAACTCAGCGTTACATCAGAATGGCCTCCAAGACCTTCTACGCCGTCATCGCCGGAGTCGGCGCCGGCACGGGCCGGTCGGTGGCGCTGCGCTTCTCCAAGTCGTACCCGGTGGTGCTGCTCGCGCGCAAGCCCGAGAGCTACAACGACGTCGTGGCCGAGATCAAGGCGGCCGGCGGCGAGGCCATTGGGATCAGCGCCGACACGGCCGACCCGGCCGCCGTGGCCGCGGCCTTTGCCACCATCAAGAAAGAGTTCCCCGACAAGAAGCTGGCGGCCGCTATTTGTTTGTTGTTCCCATTCCCCCCCCTCTTTTTTTCTCAAGGGGTGGTCATCGTCATGATCAGAGGTTCAAGAGAACGGCGTCCTGACATGCCAATCTTGTAGACAATGTTGGTGCCGGCCGAGCTATCAAGCCGTTCCTTGAGCTCGAGCCCAAGGATTTCGACGATAGTCTTGCCGGCAACGCGTAAGTCTTCCCCGGTCCCCCAAAATCGTCTGCAAGTTTGATATGCAGCCACGCCCGCCAACTTGTTCATGAGAAAACAAATGACCTAACGTCCCTGGGGTCCAATACAGACGGGGCCTGTTCAACTTCGCGAAGAACACGCTGCCGCAGCTCGAGGCGTCCGTAAGCGACGCGCCGCACCCGCCGTCGCTGATCATCACAGGGGCGACGGCGTCGGTGCGGGGTTCGGCGCGCTTCGCGGTATTCGCGGCGGGCAAGTTCGCCGTGCGAGCGCTGGGCCAGTCGCTGGCCCGCGAGTACGGGCCCAAGGGCGTCCATGTCAGCCACGTCATCGTCGACGGCGTCATCGATATCCCCCGGACCCAGGGCTACACTGTCAACGACGGCAAGCCCGACGGGAAGATCAGTGCCGATGCGGTACGTTTTCGTCGTTGATAACCTCCTGCCCTGCTTACCTTGTCTCTCCTTCTCTCTTTTCCGTGAAAAGGCCCCTAACGAGGCGTATCTGTAGATTGCCGACAGTTACTGGCACCTCCACACGCAACACCGTTCTGGGTTCACCCAAGAGCTCGACTTGCGACCGTATGTGGAGAAGTTCTGAGTAACGTTGCCATGTTTGTTATGGACAAATGCGGCATGGCCTGTTTTTGAATTTATGTACAATAGGCAAATCATTCTGTTTGTATATCATTCTCGTCATGTCCCCTGTCCCAGTAAATGTGATGATGATGATGATGTCAACATACAACCATGCCTAAGGGCAAAGTAACATATAGGACACCTATGGCGGTGTCCTCTGTGAAGTACCCTCCTACTTAGAGTAGATGCTGCCTAAGCGCCGAAGAGGCTGTTACCAGTTTTAAGAACCTCATATTATCCCACCCCTAAAAGGAGCCATGCGGATTTCTCTATGCTTCCGAGGATTAAGTTGTTTCGGTATGCGGGGCGAGTGCAAAGCGCCTTCCCAAGGCTATCGACCAGCTCGATCAACCCTTTCTGGCACCCTGCCCAGGAAAAGCTCTGCGTGGCTTGCCCCACCTCGCTCGTATTGGTGTGGTATGGCTGTTTGGTCAACAGCTTTCATGTGCCAGATGCAGGTTCGACGATTTTATCGTCATCTGCTTCGCCATTCGCATCGTTGCTTGTGTTGACACTCGAGCTGCCACTCGCCCCACCGTTCGTCTCATCATTCTCCTCGTCATCGCTCTGGTCGTCAGAACCGTCGTCGTCTGCCTCGTCATCCTGGTCGCCGTTCGTTTCGTCATCTGGGACGTGTGTCGAGATAGGAACGCCGTGCAGGGCTGCAAGCCGTTCTTCCTCTCTCCTGGATGCGAGTGTCTCTGTCTCTAGTCTCAGCTTCTCCAGATTCCAAACATCACCCGCATCTTCGTCGTCCGAGTCATCGCCGTCCATCTTCCAGTTGCCGCTCTCAAATAGGGCACGGCCAGTTGCTTCCTTGGCGCGTCTCGCCTCCTCTTCGGCGGCCTTCTTCTCCAGACGATCCTTCTTCCATTTGGCAAAGCTCTCGGGTGTGACAGGTGTCAGTGTGCCAGTAAGCTTGTGTCTCTCCGACTCCAAGAAATCCTCAAGGGTTAGGGTCTTGAGAGGTGACTTGTCCATCAGGGCCTTCTCCGCCGCCCTCTGCTCCTTGGTCTTGAGGACGAATCTGTAGCGAGTTAGCTCATGTCTGGCAAATATATATACCCGCAAGTGCCACTAACCCAGGTGGAAGAGCATGCTTGTACATGCACTTGTCGCCGCCGTTGGGGCAGATCCAGAACCAGCCGTATTTGCCGTCTTCGATAGCCTCGATGAAGAATTTGCAAACCTTTTCGGTCGTACTGCGTTGGTTTCCCTTCTTGGACAGAACAACAGAGCGTAGCTTCTCCTCGTCCCAGTCCGCTGACGTCTCCTGCTTTTTCTTCTCATCCTCGTCCTGCCTCGTGTCCTGGTACAAGTTCCTCTTCTCGACCCTGCGCTCGACCTCGAGGTCGTGCGAGAACTTGCACTTCTTGCCCTTCTCGCAGTTCCCCTTCTTGAAGAAGATGCACAGCACCGTCTTGGGGTCGACGCCGAAGGGCACCTTCTGGATCTGGGCCGGCTTGTTGAGTAGCAGGTCAGCCTCGCGCTTGGCATCTTCGGCCGCCTTCTTGTCCCGCTCGCGCTGTGCCTTCTCGGCCTCCTTGCGCTTCTGCTCGGCATTTCCGCCCGCCTTAATGGACGAGGCGAGGGCGGCAATCGTCTTCTGTGCGGCGGACCCCTTCTTATTCTTCATACCAAAGGTTTTGTCCTCGACCGACTTGGCGGACTTCTTGGCGCCCGCCACCTTCTCAATCTTTTTGGGAGGCATAATGGGCAGATTTTAAATGAGTGGCTTTTGTGACAATCGAATCCGCGCTCGGTGTGTTCCTGTTGTGTGCCTGGCGCGGCCGGGAACTGGTGGTGGTGTCTCGACTCCGAGTTTTTTGCAAGATTAAGTGTGCAGCTCGAGGCGGGGCGGGGGATCTTGAATGAGAACTCCAGTGCCTCAGTGGGTTGCCACAGGGCCGGGGCACGCCGGCGACTAGGCGACCCCCAGAAGAGAGAGAGCCCTGACGTCGGTTACCTCCCGCTTTGGACTGGGGCTGGAAGGCACTGCCAAGTGCACGTGATCTAGAACATTTCCCCAGTCGCCTGTGCGGGAGGTACACGTATGGCGGTGCTCCCCAAGTACCGATACAAGCGGCAACTAAAATACGGGTCAGACGATTGAAGCGGCCTCGCGCAACCGCTTTCCAAGGGGAAAGCTGTCCAGATCCAACCCACATCACGGCCTCCCGTCGTTCCCATCCAGCTAGACCATAGAAACCAAAGACCGCGCAATTTTACCAGCATACAAGGTACTAGCTGAAATTCCAGTTTTATGTGGTCAATGAATCATTGCGCATGTGCTCACAGCATCTTTCCTAGACACTTTCGCCTTCGAGTCACTCGAAAGTCGCCCAGCGCATCTGCAATCGGCACCTGCCCCGTCACAACAACAACCATGATAACAGACAACGAATTGTACCGCCTCGCCATCTTTTTCGGCTCTGCGGCAATGGTCCTCATTGTCGTCTACCACTTCTTCGAGGTCAATGCGAAGGAGAGCGAGCAGGAGGCTGTCAAAGACAAGGCTCCCATCAAAGCCGGTGCCTCCCCAGCCCCGGCTTCCACCAAGACAAGGTGAAGACCTGCGAACTGGGTGTACGACTAGGAAGGACATAGAAAGCCGGGTTTCTTTGGTGTCAAAAATAGGAGTTCGCCAGTGCCGCGCGTGAGAAGCCTGCGGGCCGAGAGGTTGACAAACCGAAACGAAAACGGCGTGGGAAGCGGTCTACGAATGGCTTTGATACGGTTGACGGAGTGGCCTTGGTCTAGTGGCCGGCCCGAGACTCGCGATACAACGCGACAGCCACGTACCTGTAGGCGACAGGCATGTCGCGATTCCATACGTATAATAAATACAACGCCAGCTCACAGCTAGGATAGGCTTGGTGAGCGTGTTATTACCAGAGGCAGAGACAAACAAGGTTCTGCTTCAGATTTTTTGCCTCCTCTGTGCCCTTTAAAGTAAACAGGTTCCTACCTTCTTCAAAAATCGACTCGATTGAGGAATCAGGGCAACGCAGAAGTTCTGCATCAAGACGACGGTAAGCTCATTGCAGCTGCTGCCAAATGCCAAGTGGCACCAGCTCAAACTTCTTACCCTCTGCGGATAAGCTGTCGGGGTACGGTCGTCTTACGGCTAGAAGACCAAGCGGCTTAGATCGTGAAAGCTAAAACTTTACCGCGGTAAACAGAAGCGGTGGAGATCAATCCAGACGTCTAATCACGCCTTAATGGTTGGACTCCGTAGCGGTTGACGTAGCTGTAGTACGGTTTACGTAGGTTTATTTGCGATTGAATCGGGAGCGGTTGGAAACCTTCAGCGGCTTAGTCGCTCCAAGCCAGCTCCAGCTGATGCACTCCAGAGGCCAGGTTTTCCTACCAACCGTCGCCCAACTACTTCGCGGTTGGCCATAGACTAGGCGGCTTAGGCACTAAGCGACTTACGATTCCTTAGCCGTAGGTGTACTATTTACAAACCAAGCCATAAAGTAATGGTTGTAAATTTTCGGGGGGAGCAGTTAAGTTGCTCGGCGACTTACGTACCTTGACCTTTAGTGCACGTGCCCCTTCTGTACCAGTGTGGCTAGGCATTCGGAACTGTTAGTCAAGACTCCACTTTGACTCATCCAAAAAGAGGCTAGCCTGGCTGATCTGGAGCCTGCCCAACGCCACCTGACTGGTCCCTCCCTTCCCGCCTTAACAACCCGCACCTTGAGACCCCAAAAGCAGGGCGCAGTTCCTTCCTTCAACAAAGTGCCGCCCTCAACTTCTCGCGCAGCCTTTTCCACTTCCTCCATTTCCATTCACCAGCACAGAACGCAAATCATCTTCCTTCACTCGATCTGTTCATTTCATTCAGGCCTGCATCCAACTTGACAGCCTGACACGACTTCTTTTACCTGCCGCGACAAATTAATACAAAGCCCTTTTCTTCTGCCCCGCCGCCTCGCGTTCTCGACGCAAATCCGCAGCAGTTTTCTAAATTCTCGGCCTGCAAGCCTTCATCTCCCACCTCCTTCTAAATCCGCCATTTGGTCCATCGACCGACAATCCTACAGACCTTCGCGTCGCGCTGCCACCACAAGAAGTGAAAAAGTCGCAGCAGCACTTGTCGCCTTCTTGTCATCAATCACACTATCTGTTAAGACTCCGACACCGCCACAATGTCTGCCAAATTGAACCAGTCTCTTGACGAGATCCTCTCGACCCGCGCGGCCGCCAGCCGCCGTGGTCGCCCTTCGACACGTCGCTCAACTGGAACTCGCCCTGCCAACTCGGCCCCTGCTGGTGGAATTCAAAAGAACACCAAGCCAGCTCGTAACGCCGGAAAGCCCACTGGAGGCAAGGGCGCTGGATTCACCGGCGAATCCAAAGTCATTGTCAGCAATTTGGTAAGCATTTTCCATCAACGTCGCTCAGTTCCAGTGCTAATTTTTGACAGCCCAAGGATGTTTCCGAGGCCCAGATCAAGGTATGTTGTTACCGATGAGGCCATTCAGCCTTCGGACTTTTGTCGACATTCCTCTTCCGTGGCGTATTCCCAGGTCATGTCCTCGGTGTAGGACATTTGGGTAGATTCGCTTGCGTCCCAGCAAGCGACTGCTTGTGGCCAATGACTCCTTCCAAATGCGTATGCGAAGCAATGTCGTCATTTGGAAGTCGAGCAAAACCCCGTCGCGCTTCGTACTCTTTTCATCATGGTAGCCTGGCAAGCACCTATGATTTGGATCGCTGCGCAGACGCTTAAGGGGTGATCGCAATGCCTTTTTGAGTGTTGCATGGCTACGTGTTTTGGCATGACCGCATCTGGATGGTGACCAGTATGTCAACTTGCAATCCACACCTCAGCGAGCTTAGCAGTGGGCAGAACTTGGCGTCCCTGATTACAGGGTGCTCAACGGATCAATCGGGGGTTTATCGGTTGTTGTGTTGAGGGGGCACTTACAACCGTTCTTGAGGACATTCCATGTTGCGGGAGTTGTTTTGGATCTGCGTCCTCGAACGGCACCAATGTCTTGACCGGCATATGGTATCACGCGGACCGATCCCATTACACGCTTTCGAAACGCTTTGTTAGGCTCGGTGCCTGTAACATCCCACTGGATAAGAGGCTCCAGTGGTCGTCGGATTTTGTTCATCAGCCAGTCGCCGGTGACACTGGCATGAACGTGCTCGCTGCTCTGCTCGCTGCTTTTTGGAAGATTTCCACTATTCGAGGCGACTTTCTGCTATGCGATGGCTTTCGTGGATTATGGAGTTCGAATCGCCCCTCCGGATGCGGATACTCAGTCTAAATCTCACATGACGCTAACCACGAATAACCATTGATAGGAATTTCTCCAGTCTTCGGTAGGCCAAGTTAAGAAGGTTGAGCTGTCTTACGGACAGGGCGGCACAAGCCGAGGAATTGCTAGCGTCACTTTCCATCATGCGGACGGAGCTAGCAAGGCATTTTCGAAGGTCAACGGCCTTCTAATCGACAACCGCCCCGTGAAGGTATGCAAATCTCCTCTCTAACCGTGCTAGAAAACAGGCTAACGTTTCATAGGTGGAAGTTGTCGTTGCGTCGGCTGAGCTCATCCCTCAACCGAAGCCTCTCAATCAAAGGGTCACACAGCCAAAGGTGCAGCCCAAGTCTGCTGCCAATATCAAGCATGGCGCAGGTGCTGCCAAGGGCCCCGCCGGTGCCGCTCGAGGCGTCGGAAAGAAAGGAACTCGCGGCCGCGGCGGCCGCAATGGTCGTCCCGCTAAGAAGACAACAGAGGAGCTGGATTCGGAGATGGCCGACTACTTTGTCGCCCCCGCTGCTGAGAATACCACCAGTGGTGCTCAGCCGGCCACCAACGGAGATGCGCCTATGGAGGTTGAGATTCTCTAAATGCAGGCCGCAATTGCCTGTGTTACGAAGGAGTGGAGCAAGGCTCAGCGCATTTTACTAAGCGCATATTCAGCAGGGTTCGGTGGCTTGGGATTTGGTGTTGGGGATGGTATTTGTTTTTTTTCCAGCACGTTACTTGGGGCTAAGGTATTTTAACGGGACTGTCTTTACCTGGACAGTCTAGGCTTTAGCTTGTGTTAATTCCACGGACCTTTTGCTTCCCACCATTGGCAGGACAAGCTTCTACAGATATGCGTGTCTCTAGTGATCCAAAGTGAGTATGGATCTTGTGGTGCCTTGATTGTATCTCTTGCCCGGAATTCTTGCAGGGCAGGTTTGGCACAGGGCACCAAATGAATTCTTAAGGAGGTTTCCCAGCCGCTGAAGGTGCGGAAAGGAGTGGCTTATGCTGCGGTCGTTTCCTAGGCAATGGTGGAGGCTCGTCCACTTAGGCAGGTTCTTTGAAGAGGAATAAATTATTACATGTTGCTGCCGATTTATGTGACTGTATGTGACCGTGTGGAATAGGGGGCAAGAGGTCAAGTGAAGGAAGTGAGGCTCCAAGAAATACTGTTCGCTCAAAGCTCGGAGAGTGGGCAAGCGTGTGGTGATTGTAGAATCTGTACCTTCAAAAGTAGGAAAATAATGTCCCATCCTCCAAAAAGAAGCCAGAATGAAGTAGACGATGAACTATCTCCCCACCCCTTTCTCCTTCCTTCCTTCCCTCTCCATTGTTCAAGGCGGATTTCCTCCGTCTGTTCCCTGGCCAGTTTCTGTCCAACTCACTGGTCCCTTCGTGTCTGTCTCTCTTCCATATCTATGGAAACATGTATGGAAACATGAGGGACATGGGGAAGATCATTGGACAGGGGGTTGGAGCGGTGCTGATGTCTTGACGGGAAGGGTGTCAGTCAGTCTCGCTGTATTTCTCGCCGCTGTAGATAGGAATAGGACATGGCTGGATGGGTTGATGGGGAGACATACATACAGACGGGCGGGCCCTACTTGGACCCCTGATTGCCCGAGTTGCCCAAGTTCGGCTCGCGGTACGGCTCGTCGGCGGGCCACGCCGTCGTAGCAGCGCCGCGGCGAGAGTCCTCGGCCGCGTCCGCCGCCGTGTACTGGTCCGGCGGGTTAGTGCTGGCGCTCGACGTCGAGCTGGTGTCGCTGGCACCGCCGCCGCCGCCGCTGCTGCCGCTGTCGGAGATACTGCCCGCGTCAGAGCCCCTGGAGGAAGACATTGTCGTCTGTTGTACTTGTACTTGTGTGTAGTTAGTGGGCTGCTTGGGCGGGAGGTTGGATGTCTGTGATAGGGAGATAGAGAAGGCCTTGGCCGAGACGAGAAGGTTCGGGAGGACTGATGTGAGAATCTTAATTGTTGTCTGTCACAAAGCGTGAGAAACTAGCTTAGTTCGACATAGTTTAGTTGCTTGTGCGTTGCAGGATTCTAGTTCCGTAGGTGTGAGGACAGGAGAGCTCTATATATACACATTCTATACTCTAATCCTGTCATCGAGGACTGAAGAGACAGGCACTGGCCCGTCATGGAAGCCGAGAGGCATTAGACGACGGGATTGAAAAGGCTTAGCTCAGCTAGCAGCATCCCGATGACCGATGAAGACGAGGAGGAGCACGAGACTTCCGAGTAGACGGACGGTATGAACAAACAATACACCACAGCTCGCAAATTTGCCCATCAAAGTATTCAGGACTTCCAGATCACGGTCGAACAAACAACACACGTAGATAACATCACACATACTCAACTAGCCGCCCACCAGCTCACCCAAGGCCCTTTCCGGAAGCTCACGACAGCAAGAGGATACGAAGTTGAGAGAGCAAGCAATGGAGCAACGTAGTATCTGGACCCCTGAATGAGCAGGCCGCCAGCTTAGTCTGCTAAGAGACGTCGAGTTCCTTCTCCCTCTCCATTTCCGTTGTCGGCTCGTTCCAAGTACGCTCAGCCCTTCGCAAAGTTTGTCCGTCTCCCCGGGCACTATCCCTTGTCCTCTTAGAGACGACACCGTGATCTCTTCTTCCCGCGAGCGTGTCCCCTACTCGGTATACATCAAACAACCAGGCCCACACCCTAAGTCCCGCCCAGTAACACAGCTTTCCGCAGCTGTAACGAACTCTCTTGTCCGCCTCCCCGATCCCTCGACTCCTGTGGTGCCAGGAAGTAGTAGAACAGAGAGGCTCGAGAAATGAAAAGGGGGGAAAGAGAAGGAAAGAAAAAAGAGGCGCGGATACTCTGATATCCGGCCGGATCTATTCCACTCTCGGGGACCGGGGCTCCCTCCCTTGTCTTTGCTCCTTTTTCATCAGAAACAAACTGTGCTCTTCTCGTTGTGACTACATAGATAGGGTAGAGTGTAGACCGGTAGGGGCGGTTAAGCAGGCAAGCAGTGACCTAGTCAGTCCTCATGACCGCGAAGCAAGTAGACAAGCAAGGAGCAAGCAAGAGGGAGGCAGACAAGCAAATCATCAGAATAAGCCAGCAAGCCAGCAAGCGATACACGCAGAAGAAAAGGCTAGCAAGCAACTTTGGCATAGACAGGCATGCTTGTACTTGAAGTGTTTACTTCTCGGTACTAACAACCATGCCAAACACAACCTGGCATGCTCTACCTACTCGAATATACACCAACCAAGCCGACAATCATCGGACAAGACAAGCAGAATCAGCCAGCCAACAACAAAGGGCGGACATAACCGCCAGCAGAGTCCAGGCATGCATACATACCTTTACGTGTGTGTGTGTGTGTGTGTGTGTGTGTAAAAAAAGATGCGTGACGGGTGGCTAGAGGGCCAAGTTGGAAAAGAATGGAAGTTACACTATCACCGTAAAGAAAAAAGAAAACACCCAAAAAAAAAGCATGTTCAAAAAAAAAGTCAGAAGGACAATGGACAAAGCAACGAGGCTCTCCCGTCTATCTGTGCGACGTGCCCTAGCGGATAGGCAAGATCCCGAAGCACAAGGACCAGCCACCGCGGGCTCGTCTCCCGTAGGACAAGCGATGACGAAATCAACACCGGTCTCCCTCTACCCCCAATCTCAATCGCCAAGAACCCCCGGGAGGACTCCAAGCTGCTGCTATATTGGTGTGTGCCATTCCCGAGAACCGGGTTGAGCCCATTACATCTGCCGTCCGCGGTTAGTACCCGAGACTTATTCACATAAAAATTTCCCGTTCAGCATATTGGGAAATATCTGCTTTCCGCCCCGCGGCGTAGCCGATGAAGATGTCTCTTCGGGGTGGGGGGAGAGGGGTCACAAAGGGAGACGATTCTTCTCTTTTGCCTTATAACTACGAGTTGCCAGTAACAAGTTCCATTCGCCTAAAAAAAGATCCTGTCTGTTGGGCCAAATTAGGTTGCTCAATCAGCCGAGACCACCTACCAAAATCGTTATTCTAAAGCGATTGATGATACTTTTCGTTCGTATTTCATAACCCCCCCCCCTACCTCGTGCCCAATAAAGCCGAGCTGGCAGACTCTCATCGGTTTTCCATTACGGTCCTTTTACGCCTCCGCCTTCTTCTCGCCGGCCGGCTTCTCGCCAGCCTCCTCCTCTTCGCCCTCGAGAGCGGGCATGTCGTCATCCGAATCTTCATCATCCTCTTCGTCGCCCGTCGGCATACCAGCGCCGCCGCCGAGCTTAGAGAAGTCGATGCCGCCAAGGTCACCGCCACCTGTAAATCTCAAAGTTAGCAAGCTGTAGACGACAAGGGGTACTCGAGCCGCTGGAGGTCTCAGCCCGCAGTGTCTCGGATCTGGTCTGTCTCCGCCCCCCCCCAATTCAGTCTTGCATGTACGTACCCATACCGCCCATACCACCCATGCCCGGCATTCCTCCTATAACCACGTATTAGATTCCGAGAGAGGATGGGGGGAAAGGGGTGGGGAGTAAAGCAAAAGCAAAGTAACCAGCAGAGAGTACCAATGCGCCTCTTATCGTGCCTATCAGGGGGGTGCGGGGGGAGAAAGAGGCAACTTACCCATACCGCCGAAGTTGGAGAAGTCTTCCTCAGCCACCTCGTGCTGCTCGTCCTCGTCAACCCACTTGTCGAAGTCGGTCTTGAGGAAGTGGGACCTCTGGGTGCCCTTGAGCAGACGCGGCCAGTAGGCCTCGCTGAGCTCCTTCTTGCGAAGCTTAATCTCAACATCGCGAGCAGTGTGGTTGACTTTGCTCGCGGCCGGGTCGATCTCGGCGTAGAACTCGAGCTCGAGCGAGTACGACCGCTTGAGCGTGTCTGAGTGGCCCGAGAAGGTCAGGCCGGTGGGCTTGAGGTCCAGCTTCAGGTTGCTGGCCGGCACGTCGGGGACGCTGATGGTGAGGTAAATAAAGTTCTTCTCGGCATCGTCCTTGGAGGAGCGTTGCGCCCAGAGGACTAGAGTGCGCCGACCATGGTTAGCGGTGGTGAGGAACGGATCCGAGATGGGTTCCTCTCCGAAGAAGAAAAAATCGGCGAAGGTGCGGGGAGGGGGGCATATGCGGGGTGTGAGGGTGTCAAGAGTCGGGGCAATGGGGGCATCGAATCATCGGCATATCGAGGATGTCTGGTAGGGCTAGTCAAGCTAGCTGCAATAGCAAGCCACGCATTTTGGTAGAGGAGCCGCTTCAGCAAGGCTATGGGAATTCTTACCCTCAGGTGTTACGGTCGCCGCCATTGTAATGGATGGAGTAGCTGTTGTGAGTGGTGCAAATCACGATTTTGGTGCGGAAGGAGGGGTAGCTCCGTGGAGGTCGCTCAAAAAACTGGCTTTGCTAGTCTCGAAGAGATAGCAGACAGCAAAAGGTCTGGTGATTGGGTTTGATGCAAAGTGCCGTCGGTATGCTGGAGTTGGGGCTGCTTCTTGGCGTGGTGGAAAATGTCTTCGGGAAAGAAAGGGGAAGAGAGAGGTGGGATGTTGATGAGGCTGCAGCGATTTACGCTCTAGTCAAGTAGCAGCAAGCATGAAACGGTGGAATTCCTAAGAAGCCTAAAGATTCGAGCCACACGGACCACGGCAGGGCTGAGCAACAGCATCCCATTGAGTGGAAGCTGTGCATAAGTGGAGCAAGCAAGGCAGGCAAGAGCAAGGCCTGGGTCCCAAACCGAACCAAAATTTATTACCGAATTACTTATTCCACCAGAAACTTCGATATTCTAGAAGAAAAGAAGCCGTTGGTTTCAGTCCCAGGCCGTCCGTGTCAGATTCTTTGTTTCGTGCGCGAGTCTTCCCGTTAACGCCAATTAAGCGACTGCCATGGCATGCAGCGCAGTCAATGGGCAATCCCAAACGAACGTTGACCTCGTCATGGCTTCGAACCATCTTCAGCCCTATTGCCTACCTTGTGTCCTGAGGTATCCCGTACTCATCAACACCCGAGCGTAAATACCGTCCAGTCCCTGTATGATTTATTTGGGGGGTGACTTTTCAAGATGTTAAAGGCCTTTCGCCGGTTTTTCTCCAAGACAGGCGGTAGTTGTTGGGCCTCTATTTCAGAACCCCGGAGCCCTATCTCGATCCCACAAATGCTTCCCTAGCAAAGGTATTTCTCAGGCCGGTTTAAATTACGGGAATCCCTACAGATACCGCACCTACGAGTGGACAATATGACCGGTCTAGGCCGGTTGAAAATGGTGCTAAGTACACGCCTACCTACCTGGGGCGTACTTACGGTACCGAGATAGATGCAGTAGAAATTGCGCTGAACTGGTAATTTCATACAAAAATTGTCTTCACCACAGTCGACGAATGGCGAGTGCACAGTTTTGTGAAGCTTATGGTGAAGCTGTCGTTTCCTTGACGACACACGACACAACAACGGCTAGGGCTGTCAGCCTGACTTACTTACGCCTGGGTCCATTGCGGGCCCCAGCATTTTGTGGAGGTGGGGCATAACTCAGGTCAAGGTGGGGGATCGGTTCTTTCAGGCGTTTGGGTGCAGCCTAACAGTGCGGCGACTAACGAGTTCTTTGACTAAGGACATCGACCGCTCGCAACCGCCATTGACGACGACGACGACGACGACGTCAGCAGTTCGCATCCTCAACGAGCGCCATCAACCCAAGCTGTAAGCAAGAAGGAAGAGCACAGTCGAAACAACCAGGGAACGCCGGCTTCTTCCCGTGTGTGCGTGCGTGCGCGCAGCCATGGAGACGCTCAGGGCTCTCTTCGTCGCGCCAGACCCCCAGGCCCAGGTAACAACCCCCCCCCCCCACCTCCCGTGCATCCCCTCTCTTTATCTCTCTCTTGTTGTGGAGAGGCAAGACTAGCAAGAAACTGTCTAGCTGATAGGTTTTCTCTTTATAAAACAGTTCCGGAAATGCAACGCACTCATGCGCACCAACATGCGCAAGCTTGACCGCGAGATGGCGGCCTTCAAGGCGGCCGAGACCAAGACCAAGAACCTGATCCTGGCGGCGGACAAGCGCGGGCAGCGCAACCCGGCGCAGCGCAAGCAGGCGGAGCGCGACGTGCGGTCGTTCGCACGCGAGCTGGTGCGCCAGCGCAAGGCCGCCGACCGCCTCGCCACGAGCAAGGCCCAGCTGGGCAGCGTGCAGCTGCAGGTCAACGAGGCGTTCGCGCTGCGCAAGATCGAGGGCAGCATCCGCGCCAGCGTCGGCGTCATGAAGGACGTCAACGCCCTAGTGCGCCTACCCGAGCTGGCCGGCACCATGCGCGACCTGAGCATGGAGCTGATGAAGGCCGGCATCATCGAGGAGATGGTCGGTGAGACCCTGCCCGACGCCGACCTGCTGGAGGAGGACGAGGCCGAGGCCGATTCCGAGGTCGACAAGGTCCTCGGCGAGATCCTCAAGGACCGCATGGCCAACACCGGTGCCCTCCCCAGCGTGCCACTGCCCCAGCAGCCTGTCGCCGCCCCCGCCAAGCCGCAGCAGCAGCAGCAAGAAGAGGAGGAGGATGAGGACGACACCGAGGCCATGATGGACCAGATGCGGAACCGGCTGGAGGCTCTCAGGAGTTAGGCCGGTTTGCTGGGTGTGGGAGCAAATGAACGAATGTCGATCTATCTACCTAACTGGGCTGGTTGTGGGTATTGCATACAAGGACTGGATAATTATTACGGACAGCGCCGGGACTAAGCTGGGAAATACAACGGCGTTTAAGGGGGGTGCTTTTGGGGGGGAGGGTCATTTCCTCTGCGCAGCCTTGGTGTTTTTTTTTCTTCTCGTCACTTTTCTTGTTGACACAGATTTTGTCTCAGTCTGTTTCTTGCCGTGGTCCTGTAGAGCTTACTTGACTGTTGAACTCGCCGCCGACGTCCACCCTTGCCCTTTTCAGGCCCTGCTCCTCGTGCCAGAGCCTTCGATTGTTTCTGCGTGTGGCTGTTGCCCGCTTCAACGAAGATGGGCTTCTCTCCTTCCCCATTTCTATGACGACATCTCATCCTCTGGTAGTTAGTTATCCGAAGATGTAATCAACAACAGACGGCCCTTGTGCCGTGAGGATAAAAGCTACTCGGGAACACTTTGAGAATGGGACAGATTGCCGAATAAGATACAAGACAGGAAGAAATGAGGTAATTATTTGGTACTGCTGTCCATGTTTGGGATATGCTGAGCGGTGTCGGCGTTGGGGTTGGGTGCCTCTGGCTCGCGATGCCCTCCCCCCTTTAAAGGTGTACTTTATGGTGAGGCTGGCTATCGGACCTGAATATCATGCACTTAGTGCTGGGGCAAACATTACTCGAGTATTCTCTGCAATACCTCCCACGAGAGCCTTATACGCACGACCAGGCCTGGAGGGAGATCTCACCTGGCTCCCTCTCCGGTGTCCGGAACCTAGTGGGGAGGAGGTAGATATATCCTAGCCGCCGAGGGCTCTGGAGTGGCTGTTCTTTGGTTTCTAGGGGCTGGTGAGTCTTGTTTCTATCGACTGGTTGTGATACAGGTGAGTCAACACGCCAAAGGAGAGATGTGCTGTTTATATCAACCAAACGTGCGTTAGATGCCCACTTTTTAGGTTTATTCTTCTTCTTTGTATCCCTCGCCTCTTTGGGGTAGAATGGTGCCAGGGTGAATGTCGTAGAAGAGAGCAGCCTCTTCAAAGCATCCGGCTACAACCATGCTATACCTGTGTCGTGCATTCTACTGCGCTCTCCCCCCTGTAAGCATGAAGACGAGAAATGTTTCTGCGAGCCCTCATAGTGTGTCCGGATATTTCAGAGTAAATAAGCAATGCTATGGCCTTTGAGACCAGGTACGGATAAAGGCGCGTTTTCGCCCCGGGAGCTCCTTCGAACAGGCCATCCGGTACGTACACATCAAGCTAGTCGGTATTCTCGTCTTCTCTTCTTGTTTTCCTGTCTTTGAGGAACAGATGTAGGTCAGGGATGTGCTATGCGTATTAACTTGTTTAAAGTATGAACCACCCGTAGTTACTCTCCGAGGCTTGCTTATAAGCGCGAGTCTTCTGGAGGCGTAGCAGAATAGTACCCTTTTGCTGTGACTAGCTCGCCGGTATATAAAGGTGTAACTCCTGGCTCGTCTGAAGCTCAAATCTGACAAGTGTGAAGAGCACTAGGTTTCGCGTCACGCGTTGGCCGTCTCTGGCACCGATGTCGAAGACGTGAAGCAAGCGGACTCGGCATTCAACTTCCGTCAACTCACAAAACATAGTTTCTTAGCCCATTGAGTATAGTTGGCCTTCGTGAAAATAGGAACCAAGCCCCGCCAGTCCCTCCGAAGTAAATTAAACCCATCTCTGGCCACAAGGGGAGAAACATGGGTTTTTCGAAAGGACGAGAAAGCTGACTATTTGCCAATAGCGCGAGTTAACACCGGGCTGATTGACACTCTGCTAAGTCTCTTACACTCGTCAGTTCGAGTATCACTCACCTATCCCATGTCTATATCAGAGTAAGCCGAGGAAAGTAGCCGGCCAGGCGAGGACAGCAGTATTAACCACAATGACTATGGATTCGTCTATAAACTACAGAATATATGATGTTGGGGATATTGCTCATTATGTCATTTCAGTTATTGTGGCTCTTTTTAGTATCTTCAAAGGCCACGGTACGGAACGAGAACTCTTGTGTGGGTATGAGGGACGCTTCTGGTCGAGGACAGTGCCACTTCGCCGGCTTTATCAACAGCAGTCTACCCAGAAGTCCGTTGGAGACGAAACTTCAGCTTCGAGCTCGCCCTCCAGAGCCCCGTGGAGTTGAGAGTAAATACATGTTTGCCCGTAAGGAATCACAACGGTAAATAAATAGCAGCGGCCTTAGAATATATCGTTCATTTTATTCTGTTTCGTCTGCTCAAGGAGGGATTTCCATAGTTATACGTACCACAAAAGTGAAATGGCTTATACCCATCACTACGCACACAATTAAATGAACACAATTAAGAATTTGCCGCGGTATAGCATATCGTTCATTGTATTTTTCGCCTCCCCGTGTTCTCTTTCCTTTGTCATGTCTCTTGGCGGCCTTTCGGTTTACGTCTCCCTCCCATCTTTCATGTTTTCTCGACAACTATTATCTGTCCACTTCTTCCTCCTATCCAGGAGTTTCCTGCACCAACAGTAAACAACAACACCAATGGCCAGCCCGGCAGCAAGAGAACCATAGGTTGCACCGCAACCAAGCTCCCTGAAAAAAGCAGCACACCTACCGGTCTTCACTCCTGATCGACGCATTAAATCAGAGCCGCTTGCATATCGGGGGCGGCAAGCCATACACTCACTCTTTGGCCATCCCAGTCTATCCACACAGGGGGCACGTATGAAAATCATCTGTCAACATCGCTTTAACGCTGCTCCGACATACATACCCACCCAGGGGCTCGCATGCATACGATGCCATGATGAATATGCACAGGAGGGGGAAACGGTTCGTGATGAAACGTGACCGGTCTGTGACAGCGAGGCTCCTCTTCCCTTCTCGCTAGCAACAGAAGACATCGATCATAGGGCAGGCAGGCAGCGAAGACGGTTTGTAGTCCCAGCAGTGTGATAAGCCGGCCAGCCAGCCATCCCCCGAGATCTCAAGATCTGGTTGGACTGCGTACGAGGGATACAAGGACGTGATGTAAAGCAGATATCACCGGAGACGGCAGAGGACCCCGCCCTTGCCGCAGCCAGGCGTGGCCACATGTTCAGCACGCTTTCTTCGGCTTCTTTACTACTATTTTCTTTTCTCGCACCAGCCGAGGCTGACCTCAGCTACGTACCTACGCTACGCACAACAATCACATTGATGATACCTCAGTCGGGTAGCCGCACATAGCGCGCAAACACACACACCGGGACAGGGATGGCAAGGGGGGTCAAGTGGAGGCGTGAAGTGAAAGGCAAAGCGATGGTGACCCCTTGTCGAAGCGCCGTCGAAGAAAGTCAAGTCAGGCAAGTAAAGAAATGCGGGGGTCTGACAACGGTGGGGGATATATCTACATGTACATGTACAATGTGTGTTTCCTTTCTCGTTGTCTATTGTATGTACATACATTACATGTTATTGCACACACATGTATGTATGCGTAGACAATAAGACCAACTCCTCTCTCCTTCAGTATCCTGTCCGTTTCCTCAAGAAACAGTCATTGGAAACCACCCCCTCTCCCATACCTACCTCCAAACACCCCCGTCTTATTCCGTAGCTCAAAGCCTACAACCAGTTTTTAGCTAACACACATGCTTTTCAAGCGTGTGCACATCCGTCTGCACCTAGGTACTCCGTAGGCGTGTATAAAATCGTTAGCGTGGGCGTCCCGATTGGCCCGAGTCCGGCCGCAGCGTGCCGTCACACCTGTGATGCTCTGTGATATTGAGGGGGGAGGGGGAGGGGGGTACGAGCATCATCAAGTTTTTTTTTTGTTCCGCCTCTCGTTTCTTGCTTGATCCAAAAGGAAAAACCCCCCAAGGAAGAAGAAAATGGACAAAAAACAGCACTCATCGGAGAGATGCGAGTGAGTTTAGGTGGCTGGTGTCTCGTGATCATTCTCCATTGTAATACACACGCAGGTGTTGGAATATCACGTTCATACCTAGGTGACCACGAAACCGAGCAGATGCCCTCCCCCGGTTCCCACCATCTCATCGCGGGGCTTTCTTCCCGGGGAAAGAAGACACGGAGAACGAAAAGATCGGGATAGGGAGTAAAAAACGTGATCGTTTCGAGGTGTGGCCTGCAAACAACGTTCTAACCCAGCAAGCAACTAACTAAAGTCGCCGGTGACAGTGACAGGGCAAACTAGGGGTTATTAGTGGGGTGGGTTGGAGTAGGTTTCTAGTCAGAAAAACCCGTCTCGCTAGCCGCCATCACTTATCAGATTCCACTTTCTTCTTCCCTTCCCGCTCCTTGTTTGATCACAGTCAGACAGACAGACAGACAGACAGACAGACAGGCAGGCAGGCAGGCAGGCACACACGGGATGGGACTCTTATAGACAAGAAGAAAAAAGACCTGACTGGATAAGAAGAAAAACGACGAGTGAGAAAAAGAAACCGGGCATCTTGTTTGCTTGGATCCCCCCCTTCCCCTCACAGAAAGCATCTTCACAGCAACCTCACGCACATAAATCACATACACACCTATCAATTACAACACCTCAAGAAAAGCACATGCAACAAACATGCAACGTAGCACACATTCGCTCCCACACAGCACTACAGCTGCACCCCATCGCCAGAAAAAAAAGCCAGGCCAGGGAGCAAAAAGATGCGGGGTGGGGGAACGTGATGCGTGATGCGTGATGAGAGAAAGTAGGAGATCTGAAGGTGTGTGCTGAGAAGGGGCCAGCACGGGCTTCATGATTGGAGCCTCTCTCTGGCTGGTCGGACAGTCCGTGTGCGTGCTGCGTGGAGAAAAAAGATCGTCATGTTCTAGACGGCTCTCTTTTCCCCATTTCCCCGCTTCCTTTTCTTTCCCCTCTCGCTGCCGACAGAGACCAGAAGAGACTAAGCAAGCTGCCAGCCAGCCAGCCAGTTAGTGGTCGACCGCAAAAGAGACGTCGGATCTCGCGAG